GTGACCAACCAAATGCAAGTTGGAATTTTGTCTTGCACGATTGCTGCCTTATTCAAGGCTTCCACTGATGCGAGAAAGTGGCACGGCAGTAGTGGTCAGCCAGGTGAAGACTTGATCAAATGTACAGTCGGTCCCGAAGCTCTTTATCTAGTATCCGTACTAAGCTTGATGTTGGGGGAATCCCTGCTAATGAATCATCATGAACGTGGGGGGTTCTGGCCCCTGGGATGGCATCTACGAACACATATCATTGATGCTCGTCGGATCTCGCAATGCAAAAGTGCTACGGATACATAAATTCAATGTATTCAGGGTCACAGGGGGTCCAAATATGATCTTCCTACGCCTCTAGAGCCGGGGCCTGCTTATTAGTAGGAGGCACCCGCCTTGGCACACCCTGCCTGGTCGGCCGCCAGCGTGACGACCTTAAAGAGGCAATGCCACACCTCCAACCGTCATCCATTTTCAAGGCCTTTCACGACCTTGCACCAGCTGCCATCATCCCCCTCCCAGTCAACAACCGCCATGGCGGAGGAAAAGAGCGCCCAGTTGGGCAGCTCCTTGGAGAAACACGACATTCCTCTGCCCACAGCGACAACCACCGTGGGACCTACCGCGGATTCGCCAGACGCGTCCAACCCGAATCCCGTCGTCGATGAGGATGAGGCGCGCAAGAAGAGCGCTCGCCCTGAGCGCACAGCGACCTTTCAGGACTATCTGGTGAGTCCAGGCCTCACTTGCCCATGAAGCCTCGCCGAAGGGTTGAGCTCACGAATTTTGATCCCAGCGCATCTTTAAATATGCCACAAAGTGGGATTTTCTCGCCTATGCGGCGGGCTTCTTCTGCGCCATTGGCGCTGGCGTCACGATGCCCCTGATGAATGTCATTTTTGGTATGCCCAAGACACGGCTGCGACGATGCGTTCCATTCGCACCACTGACACCAGTGCGCAGGACGTTTTGTCGGTAATTTCAGCAGTTTTTCTATCGGCGGCGGTCAAACACCAGATGACTTTAGAGCCACGATCAACAGGCTCAGCCTCTACATGTTTGCCCTGTTCATCGCTCGCTGGGGTGCCGGTTCCGTCAATAAGTTTGCCTTCCGTATGATCGGCATTCGCTTGTCGTCAGCGATCCGTCTGCACTATCTCCAGAGACTCTTCGGGCAGAGCATCCACGTCCTGGACTCCATGCCCCCTGGCTACGCCGTCAGCACCATCACGTCGACCAGCAATGTCCTCCAGTTGGGCATCTCGGAGAAACTCGGGGTTTTCGTCGAGTTCACCTCTCTCATCATCGCCGCCATCATCGTGGCCTTCACCTGGAACTGGGAGCTCGCGCTGGTGACCTTCTCCGGCGTCGTCTTCATCGTCACGGCCGTCGGTATCATTCTGCCCTTGGTGCTCAAGGTCCATGCGAAGCAAGGCAGGGCGGACGCCAAGGCCGGTGCCGTTTCCAGTGAAGCTCTGGCGAGCATTCGCATGATCATGGCGAGCGGTGCTGAAGCCAGGACATCAAAGAGGTTTGCAGAGCACGTCGCCGAGGCGCAAAAGCAGGCGTTGCGCTTGTCGCCCCTAATTTCGATCCAGTTCGCCCTCGTCGTAAGTGGAAGTACAATGCACACAAGCCACCTATCACTAAAGATGCGTAGTTCTTTGGTGCGTTCGCCTCTTTTGGCCTTGCCTTCTGGTACGGCACCAGGATGTACGCCCAGAACAAGATCGACAATCCTGGCGTCGTTATTGTGTCAGTCCCCAAAGCTGCCACTGCTAGCTAGCAACGAACTAACGGGCTTTAGCGTTCTTCTATCCGTGATGATGATTGTCTTCTCGATGGAGCGCATCTCGACGCCACTCCTGGCTATCGGCAAGGCCAGCGTCGCCGCCTGCGAATTCTTCACCGTCATCGATGCACCACAGCCAAACAGGGGCCACCTCAAAGAGCCTGACGTGCGTGCCAACGACGACATTGAGTTGAGCAACGTGACCTTTGCCTACCCCAGCCGCCCGCACGTCAAGATTCTGGACGACCTGGATCTGACCTTGGAAGCCGGCAAGCTGACCGCCATTGTTGGTCCTTCTGGATCTGGAAAGAGTACCATTGTTGGCCTGATTGAGAGATGGTACACGCTGAGGGACCAGCACGTGATTGCAAAGGCGAAGGAGCAGGAGAAGCAGAAGAAGAAGAAGGAGGAAGGGAGCGAGGAAGACGATCCTCCATCGATCGTCGAGGAGGAAGAGACCGGTCCGCCCATCGCCCTGAGCGGTACCGTCGAGACCAGCGGCCACAACCTGGACGAGATCGACCTCACCTGGTGGCGGTCGCAGATCGGGCTCGTGCAACAGGAGCCCTTCCTGTTCAACGACACAATCTACAAGAACGTGGCCAACGGCCTCAACGGCTCTCAGTGGGAGAACGAGCCTGAGGAGCGCAAAAGAGAGCTGGTCAAGGAAGCATGCGCCGAGGCCTTTGCCGATGAATTCATCGACAAACTTCCGGACCGGTACGACACCCTTGTCGGAGACAGTGGCGCAAGGTTGTCTGGCGGCCAGCGGCAGCGCATCGCCATCGCCCGGTCCATCGTCCGCAAACCCAAGATCCTCATCCTTGACGAGGCGACCAGCGCCATCGACGTACGTGGCGAGCGCATCGTGCAGGCCGCCCTCGACCGCGTTGCCAAGGGGCGCACCACCATCACGATTGCCCACCGTCTCTCGACCATCAAGAAAGCCGACCGCATCGTGGTCCTAAAGAAGGGCAAAGTCGTGGAGAGCGGCACGCACGACAGTCTCATCGCCAGCGAGGGTGTGTACAGGGGCCTGGTCCAGGCTCAAGCTTTGTCGTTGGGTGAGCCCAGCGAAGCCGACGCGGAGACCGCAGAGGTCCATGATGAGGATGATGAGGACTCGTTGACTCGCCAGAAGAGCGAAGCACAGTCCGCACTCGCCGACCATGAAAAAGACGACAAGGCCAAGAACGCGAAGCAGCGTGGCCTGTTTAGCAGTTTCGGCCTCTTCTTCTGGGAATCAAAGAACCTGTGGCTGCTCCTGGCGCTGGTCGTCTTCTTCGCCGCCTGTGCGGGCGCGGCCATCCCCATCCAAGCCTGGCTGTTTGCGACGTCCATCGACCTCTTCAAGTACGGCAACCCCCCGTACCCACCGGGCAAGCTCATGGACGAGGCCAGCTTCTGGTCACTCATGTGGACAGTACTCGCCATCGGCGTCTGCCTCGCGTACCTGGGCTCCCTGGCCGCGTCGACCCGCATCTCCGGCACCGTCAGGGCCAAGTATCAGCAGCAGTACTTTGACTCCATCCTGTTCCAGAAGGCAGCCTACTTTGATCACGAAGACCGATCGCACGGGACGCTCACCTCGCGCGTGGCCGACGACCCAAAGCAGCTCGAGGAGCTCATGGGGGCCAACATGTCCATGGTGTACATTGCCCTCTTCAACCTGACGGGCTCCGTCATCATCGCCCTCGTCTTTGCCTGGAAGCTGGCCCTCGTGGCCATCTGCGTCGTCCTCCCCATCACTCTGGCTTCGTCGTACTGGCGCCTGCGCTACGAGCTGCAGTTTGCCAAGATGAACAACGACGTCTTCGCCGACAGTTCCCAGTTTGCGTCCGAATCCATCGGTGCCTTCCGCACCGTGACTTCCTTGACGCTCGAGGAGCCCATCTGCCGTCGTTTCGAGAAGCTGTGTCGAGGCCACGTCGTCACGGCGTACAAGAAGGCTCGTTGGGTCAGCATCATCTTTGGGCTGGCCGACAGTTCGACAATGGCCTGCCAAGCGCTGCTGTTCTACTACGGTGGCCGGCTGCTGCTGCGCGGCGAGATTGACCTGATCGCCTTCTTCGTCTGCCTCATGGCCGTCATGAACGCTGGCGAGTCTGCTGGCAACAGCTTGAGCTTCGGGCCCAATGCCGCCTCGGTCACCGCGTCCGCCAACCGCATCCTCGACGCCCGCGAGTCCCGGCTCCGCGACAAACACACCGACGAGCACGGCATCTCCGGCGGCGAGGGCGGTATGAAGATTGAGCTGCGCAACGTGGGGTTCAAATATCCGTCGCGCGACAACCCTGTCTTCAAAAACCTCAGCCTGACCATTGAAAAGGGCCAGTTTGCGGCGCTCGTCGGCGCCTCGGGCTGTGGCAAGACGAGCATCATCTCGCTCCTGGAGCGCTTCTACGACATTAACGCGGGCAGGATCCTCGTCAATGACGTGGACATTACCGACGTCAACATCTACGCATACCGAAAACATCTCTCCCTCGTGGCCCAGGAGCCTACTCTGTTCCAGGGCACCCTGCGCGACAACATTCTCCTGGGTGTCGACGGCGATTCCGTCACGGACGCGCAGCTCCACGCCGCCTGTCGCGACGCCTCCATCCACGACTTCATCGTGTCACTGCCTGAAGGCTACAATACCAACATTGGCTCGCGGGGTGTATCCTTGTCAGGGGGTCAGAAGCAGCGTGTCTCCATCGCCCGCGCGCTGATCCGCAATCCGCAAATCCTGCTCCTCGACGAGGCCACGTCCAGTCTCGACTCGGAGAGCGAGAAGCTCGTCCAGGCCGCGTTTGAAAAGGCCGGCAAGGGACGCACCATGGTCTGTGTTGCGCATCGCCTGGCCACCGTGCAGAATGCCCATGTCATTTTCGTTCTCGGTGAGGGCGGCAAGCTGCTGGAGAAGGGAAATCACGTGGAGTTGTTGAAGAAGAAGGGTGTCTACTACCAAATGGTAAGTCGCAGCCAGATTCAAGAATGCTTACTTGCTGACCTCTTTTTTAGTGTCAAAGTCAGGCGCTCGATCGGTAGAGGAGTGGTTTGTAAAATAAAGCCCGCATTGTTTGGCGTTATGGTTGGGAAATATACTTCACTCCAGAGACGAGTGCATCATTTGCATATCACACACACTGCTCTCAAAAATATAACACGATTTCTACGTCTTTGCAACAACAAACCCGTCTATGATCTATCTGCGCCTTCCACAGCCTATCCTCTACGATGTTTCTGTCCATGCCTCGTCTAGCGTTTTGAGACAATCGTCTGCATGTGTCATGACAAAATCATGACCTCCCGGTAGCACCCTCCAGAATACCTTGTCCTCGCCGCCGATCAACGGCAGCCCGGTCTTCGTGTAATCAGCCTCGTCAATGATCTCGTCCCCCTTGGCCAATAGCACCACCGTGGCCCCCTTTTTCCTCTCACCAAGCTTCGCCCAGACCTCGTGCTGCTCGGTCAGCGGCGCGTACCGGATGCATGACATGAACGCGGGCACGAAACCACGATGATGCTCCACCATCCAGCGCACGTAGTGCAAGACCTTGTGTTCCAAGGGCGTGGCGCGCACGCCCTCTGGGGGATCCGCCGCTTCCGCCGCCGCCACCTCGACCTCCTTGATCTGAGGAACCTTCTTCTTGCGCGCAATCGGCTGCTGCAGCCTCTTGCTGGTCAGCCAGGCCACCAGCGTCTCGGGCACGAACCCGCTCTTGAACGCAAACTGTGTCACGGCGCCAAAGAGCTCCGCCCGGATCAGCCCAGCCGGCGCCAGCAGGACCAGCGAGTCGACCAGGTTCGGGAACGCCGCCGCAAACTGCACCGCGATGCCGCCGCCGAGCGAGTACCCCACGACCTTGAGCCGCGCGCTCTTGCCCGTCCAGCTCAGATCCGACGACGCTAGCACGAGCAGCATCTGCGTAACGTACAGCCGTTCATCGTGCGGCAGATCCCCCACGCCATCCGTGAACCCCCTGCCAAACAAATCGTACAGCAGGACGCGATGCCCGCGCTCCACGAGACCGTGCGCAATGGGCGAGAGCGTCACGCACGACGTCGAAATACCGTGGACAAAGAGAACCTTGTCCCCATCCTCGGGGCCAAACTCGTACGCGCGGATCCTGCCATAGGGCGTGTCCACGTCACGGGCGCCGGGGAACTGGTCGGGCTGGTAGACAAGGGCCTTGAGGGACTCTGCGGGGAGATGGGGGAGCGTGGTCTTGAGTGGGCTGGGGAGAATCTTCTCGCGTCGAGGCCAGAGAGTCGTCTTGCCGACGAGAAGGAGGGTTGTCGTCGCCAGGGCAGTGACGGTCACGGTGACGAGAAGCGTGGTGGAGGCGGCGGGGAATTCCATGGCTGCTGCGTGCCTCAAGGGGGGGGGGGCCTCAGCTGGAGGAGAATAGCAAGGGTAAGTACCTGGTAAGGAAAATGGCGAACAGATGTGTCAGGGCGGGGGAATGGCAAGAAATTAGGCTTCCACGATGGTTCCTCCAGGACGACGCCGCGTCATGGTACCTAAACTACCTACGTATCCGTAATAATAAATCAGCGGGCACGCCGCACGACGGACGGGGCGTGCCTGCCACGTGCCGGAGCATCCGATTGCGCGGCGTCCAGTCCAATCGAGCATCCCCGTGTTCGGGAATCAGTCATCAGATCCTCAGCACCAACAAGGCACGCATTACATTATTCGGATGAGCTCTATCGTACAGCTAGCTTTTCTCTGTTCGGCCGTCAGGGGGTATCTCGTTGTGAAAATAGTACGTAGCATAGTCAAATGCTTGCTGTCGCTCATTCATCACCTCCGCGCTGCTGTCAAACCGAACCCAGCCCAACGGCCCAAGCAGCATCTCCCAGCTGCTTGACCAGCGTGCAAAGGTTTTCCACCATGGGCGGCAGGCTCTCGCATCCGTCGTTCACGTTGCTGCGGAGAAGTTCCTGGATGATCGCCATGCAAGCGCGCGGATCGTCCAGACCAGACTCGGATGTGTTCTCGCCATTCATCGGTCCGCGAATGACTGGCCGACCTTGACCGAAGCCAACAAATCTTTGAATAGGCATGGTATCGGTGCCGTCCAAGTACACGGGATCAGAAGACTGGTACGGCCGTGGCAGAGTGGACGGTCCCTTGTTGGCCTTGTTGATGACACCGTACGCCCACAGAGCTAGAGCTGCCTGCTGCACCGCCACCGCACAAAAGTCTTTCAACTGGCCAGGTGCGACGGCCTTTGCGTATCGGATAATCTGGCTTGCGCAAGACACAGCCGACCGGGCTTCGGAGCTGGATGACCACTGCTGCAGTACAGGATAAGTGCGCCGCGCTTGGTCCTCTCCCTCCTTTCCAGCGAAGAGCTGCAAGTCGTCGAGCGAAACGTGCAAGCTCATGATGAGAAAGTTGAGTACAATGTGCTCCTCAAAAGTCACGTCCGGCCATTCCTGGGCAAGAAGCTGAAAGCTCTGTAGGTCCTTTAAGAGTTCTTGGTGGCGGGATCCGAGCAGAAGATTTTGGTTCCCTCCAGCGTTGCCGTTGTTGGAGCGGGTTTTGTGGATGGCGCTCAGTCGCCGATACTCGAGTATCAGAGCCCAGAAACCATGCAAGTAGATCGAAACAGACGATTGCACATCCAACCGCAGCGTGTTGCCTGACAGTTGATGTATGTCGAAAAATAGGTCACCCATCGAGGGAAGGGGTCGGCCTCGGTCCGCATGGCGCTGCAGGTACTCGTTTTTCCACTCAAGCGCGCTACCAGCCATCCATAGCTCCTTTGGTTCGGGCAGGGGCAGCGTCAGCTCCGCATATGAGATGGCCTGGTTGGTCAAAGTCGCCATGGAACACTGCGCATCGCGAAGCAGGCAGTGGAAAACCAGACTACTCAAGTCAGTACTGAACACAGCCGTCCATAGGCTAATGGCTATACATACCGCTTCCATCTTTCCCGCTCCACCCAAAGCCTCCACTTGGCTTCTAGCTCAGCACCATCATCCGAGGGATCGACTGCCACATGCGGATAAGAAGAACGCAAGAACTTATTGCGATATCGCAGGAGCTGGTTGTTGGTCAGAGGTCTGGGTCTGGCTGCGGGCACATGCTCCACTCACCGTGACGGGGACTGTAAGTTGACTTTGCGCGAGCTCCATTTTTCTCCGGTTACCGCTCCATAAGCCAATCTCTTGTGCTAGGAGCAGTGCTTGGACAAGCCCAATATCACGAGCGGTCGGTATGTTGTCCTCAAACTGCCAGTTGTTAGTATTTGCAGAAAAGAAATATGCTCAAAGGGGGGAGGGGGGGGGGGGCCGTGCATACTTGGGTTGGGAGAGTGGCGCCTGTTCCTGTCAGCATGTGTTCGATCCCCGTACTCTGGGGTTCAGTTGACTTACGAGCCGCGTCTTGCAGGATGAACCCAAATTTTCGCAGTGTCGACATGGACGACTGAGCCGCACCAGCAGCGGCGGCCATGGCGACCCATTCCGTTGATTGTTCGTCAAGACGGAAAGTTGGGAAATGGATCCATTGTGAAGCCTGATTTGCCATGGAGAGCAGAAAGTTCTGGACAAGCACGTCCATCACCTCCACAGAGGGAAACAAGGAGGCCACTCGCATGGCACTGGAGCCCGGCCGGCACGTACTGAGGACCATTGCGAGCACACGGTCTCGAGCAGAAGGCTCGAGTCTCTCCGGCGTGATCCTGTCGATGCGATCACGCATGTCAGGCGTGCTGGCCGGACTCGCAGCAGTACCACTGTTGCGGCTCTTGCCGTTGTTGGCTGGGGTCCAGGTCGAGTTCGTCCACATTTTCACCAAGTCCTGGCGCACTTGCGCCATGTCTGTGGAGCCGTCACGGATGTGCCCGCCTGGCGCCAACCTTATCCCCTGAGACAGCGAATGATGTCCGTCCACGTTCCAGTAGTCCAGCAAACCGAGATCATCCTCGTTGAGATCAAGATTGCCCTGGTCACAATAGTCAAGTAGAGTCAGACCTTGAACTAGCCCGGAGCGTGTTGTCTCGGCCGAGTTCTCATGGACAACATCCCGCAGGAACTCGGAGAAGGGGAGACGATTAGGGTCCATTGCACTAGTGGCTGGCTGCAACTCTGGTAAACGGTCAATCAGGGCTCCTATAGATCGAGTTCTGGTTAGCTGAGGGCTCTGATATCCGTATGCTTGTCCGCAACCTGCCTTTTTCCACATAGGTCTCTGGTGTCGGTACTTGACTAGGCTCATGGCTTGAAAATCTGGCTTGGAAGGAAGGAAGAGGGGTGAAAGAACCGCCAAGTCGGTCATTGCTGTAGCGATGTTGACTGTAGTGGCGGTGGTGCTGTCGCTGATTATTGTGGTGCAGCGGAGCCAGCTCATGCACCGATTGAGGCGCAGTTGTCGGCAGAGGGCGGGGTTGAGCTTGGTGGTTGGAGTAGGACATGGATCCCATTCCCGGCGAGTGGGATTCTTCTCGCGATGTGGTGGTCGTCGACTGGGCCGGCCCATTGTTGATGGGAGCCGCCGTTGTCGCACGCCTTGCCGCCGGTTCATCCTTTCCCTGCTCATTGTTGTCCTTGCTGCTGCCCTGCACAGAGGAGTGTGCGTTGACCGAGAAATGCATCAGATGCATGGCCGCTGTAGACGGCGCTTCGGTTGAAACGCACTCGAGCTTGCGAGTAACACAGCGCTTGCAAGGCTTTGTGTCATCGCATTTCACACGAGCCACGGCGCAAGAGCGACAGGCATGAGACACCCGGCCGGCACCGGGGGAGGTCGTAGTACGACGGCGTTTCTTGGGCGAATCGTTGTCATGGTTGGCCACATGGCGTCGCAGCAAGTCTTTGCGGGCAAACGATTTCTGGCAGATGTCGCATACGAATCGTCGGCCGAGAGTGTGCGTCTGGACATGGCGCACGAGGTGCTCTGGTCGAGAGTATGAACGACCGCAGTCTCGACATGCGTACAAATTGGTGCCGCGATGGTTCGTTTGCGGGTTTGCCGGGGAAGGATTGTTTTCCGCAGTATCAATTGTGTCGCGGTTCGAGTCGACAGCCAGGGCCGAAGTCGCGGTTAGCGCTGGAGATGAAGGTGACGCTGGAGCAACTGCTGACGCGGCCCCATGGCCTTGATGGTTGCGAGCGTCCGTCGAGCCATGGCTTTGTGTGCGAAGACGCCCATCTTGCGCAACTGTTGCCGGCTCTTTCAATGGTGAGCTCAACGTGGATGAAAGCGCAAATGAGGCCGTGGGCGCAGTGGGAGGCGCCAGTCGTACTTGTAGAGTTGAGCTCGACCCTGATGGTAGTGGTGGTGGCAGCGATACTGGTGGGACTGTGTGATTACGCGTATTGGGACTGGCAGAGGCACCAGCCCTGGACACGTTCCTGGACTGCTGCGATTGCGGACGCGCCTGTGGTGAATCATGTTGCTGACTAGCATACGAAGAAGGGGAGGCTGGATAAAGATCACGTCCAGATGTTGGCCGGGGAGGGTCGAGGATATGGGACAGTGGCCCGGCCATGGTTCCAGGATTGCCGATTGTCCGTCTGGGTGGGAGTCGAGAAGACGTCCGAGTCCAGCGCCCGCCCCAACTCACCCACAACTACCAAACCCGCCTGGACGAATCGCGCAGCGCAAAGTGGTTCACAGACAGCAGTGGGCCCAGGAGAGGCGTCGCATGCAAGAGCGACATGGGCGGCACAGAGGCAGTGCAGCAAGAGCTTCCTGTCGAATGCGCGTATCGCTCGCTGGTGGGTGAGCTGGCTGGCTGGAGGTGCGGGTGCGGGTGTGGGTGCTGATCCCGTTGGGCCAACTGCTGTAACTTGGTCGGCAGAGTCAGCCGCGTTCAGGATGGGAAGACGAAGAAGGCGTAGGCACGTACGCAGTAGATCCGCAAGATTGGAAGAGAAAGTCAAGTGTCTGGCAAAGGTAATCAGGAGGACTGGACCCCGATAGTCAAAGACCAAGGGGGTGTCCGGCCTGTCAGTGCATATTCGAGGCGCTCCGAGGTGGGCTGTCGTCGTAAGCTCTTTTTCTGCACCGTGGCGGCGCTCAAGCAAATCATCGATGCATCCTGGGCGGGCAGGCCTCGTCATGGCTCGGCGCCGGGGAATCAACAAGAATTTGATTAAGGATACGCGAAGGTACAGCTAAGATGGTGTCGGCGATCTGCTTTACCCCTGAATACGTGTATACCTTACGCACAAACAAGCTCCTGCTGCGTCTTGTTCTTGCCCACGCTGCTCTACTTACTCGCTCTTGCCTCTTTCTCGGGTGCACACAATAAGGGGTGGGCGACCTCCGGCAGTCAGGTCCATATCGATAAGCATCAGCCGCGCAAGCTTATTATTACCTTAGTGGATGCCCTGAACCGTGATTCCGCGAACTGTGCCTGCCTGGTCAATTGTTATGCTGGCTCCCAGAGTTCTCCCCAAGAAATACGCGTACTGCCGAGCACCGCACTTACCCTCCAGCTCGTGATTTAGGCAAGAAGAGCATCGCCGGTCGTTTGTAAACTCTGCATCCCTCCCGATCATCACTGCCGTCACGGAAGGAGAGTTGCGCGTACCATCTCTTGGCGGACCCTCCCGACCTCCAGTCGCTTCTGGGCCGGTCCTCCGGTCAAGTAAGTCAACGGAACCTCCAGCAAGCAACGAAATCAGGATGCCCTGCCCTTGTCTATCCTGTCTGAGAGTCTGCGTACGATACGTCCAAATCCGCTGCTTTCTCTGTCACCTACTCGTCCCCGAACGGCGCCTTTGCGAGATTATACTACGTAATTCATGGACAATTGCTTGCCTCTCCTGCTCTCGCTTGGCAATGGCACCTTCGGAATGAGGGGGTCCAGTCCTCTGCCTGCGCCCGGCTCCGACGCCAGCATATCTGTGCCACTTCCACGTATTTTACGATGCGTACTACTACGCACATGCATGATTCAAACTTGTAGGTTAGTCAGTGCATTCAACGGCAACCGCCGGCCTCAATGACTCGCAATTTTGAATGTCCAAAGTGATCCAGCGGCGCGTCCTGCAGTGGGTTCTGCCTGTGGTACCTTTGATGTGCCAAGATCACAGGCACAAGCCGCCAAGCTCCTTCGCGAGAATCGATCCGCCATGACTGAAATGCCACGCGTCCCCGGTTAGACAACTTGACGCCCTGCAATCGGAACGATGGCCATGTGGTGCGCGAGTCTTTGTATCAGCATTGAAGAGGAATTTTTGTTGCTCCCTGTTGCCAATGCGCCATGTTAGCTCTCTTGAGCAATTCACGAGTCGTCAGCCCTACGACTAGCTAGGAGCCGGTTAAACCGCTGCGTCTCTGCGTGCGCTGTCGAGTGACTTGCGGCGAAACAAATACTTGTAATTACGCGTGTCCTTCGGCAGGGATCAAGCCGCAACCTTCGCATGGGCATTGCCACCATGCAGCATTTGACAGTGCAGCAACAAGACTCTTTCTTATACGATGTTTGTTTTCTATCCCACTATTACGGCAATTACGTGCCGTACATGTGCAATATTGCCAAGTCGGTTTAGCGAGGTTGCTTTTGAGCCTCATCTTCCACCTCTATGCTCTGTGTCACTCATCAACTGTTTCCAGAACATAACCAGGCTCTAAATGTCTATTTGTTCGGGTCACTAAACATTGAAGCATGACGCTACGCTACGTACCATGATTGATACTACTACGTATCATCCATGCTCCTCACAGTCACAGAGAGAGGCCGCTGTCAATCACAGCATTGGCACCAGTGACACTCTTGGATCTGACAAAGCACAGCACCTGGTCGGCCACGTCCTCGACCGTCACCAAACGCTTGAGGGGCGTCCTTTCTCGCGTCGCTTCGGGTACATTCTCGGGGAAAACCGTCTTGGCCCAGTCCTAAGACTTATCAGCGATTGTATCCGAAACATGTTCGGCTTGGGACCCACGGTCAACATCAATCCGGGCGAGACGCTGTTGACTCGAATGTTGGGACCGGCACTTTTCGCCAAACCCTTGATGAGGTGCAGCTGCGCTGCCTTGGAGACACTGTACGCCTTCGGCACCCAACCGTCAGTGTGAGTCCGTCTGACAAGTGAGGGCCATGACTTACAAGTGAGCTCCCGCTCACAGTCACTCCGGCCAACGACGCGGTGGCAATGAACGAGCCCGAGGTCTTGTCCAGATGGCTCTTGGATGCATGCATTAGGAACAGATGCGACTTGACGTTCATGTTATAACACCTGTCCCAATCATTTTCAACAATATTGTCGTCCAGGTTGGTGATGTCCCTGTATGTCGTCCAACCGCCATTTGAGAAGACAACATCCAAGCGCCCAAAGTGGTCGACAGTAGCATCCACCAGTTTGTAGATGGCGTCGCGGTCTGCCAGGTCGGCACGAAGCGCTATGAAGTCATCGGATCTTGCATCTTCTGTGGATGACCGTAGTTGCTGCACTAGATCGTTCGCGCGTGCCTCGTTGTTGTTGAAATTCACGGCCACACGAAAGCCACTCCTTGCGAAAAGCTTGGCAGTAGCAGCTCCCAGTCCTGCGGAGCCAGCGGTCGCCAACGCGACAGGCTTTACACTCATGTTTAGATTGAACGCAGCATCAGCTTGGTGCGTGACCAGGATAGACTAGAGATTAGGTAGTCTGTCCCTGACAGCAGTCAACAGCTCTCCAGGTTGTGTTTAGTGCCAATGCGGGGTAAACAACCTCCCTTGGAGTAAGTGGAAGTAATAAGTGAAAGACTGAAAGTACTTTACCAGTGGACAAGTGCTGCTTTTCAGGCACCGTGCCAAAAGTTAAGACATAGGGTAGCTAACACTTCACTGCTGAAGTTGGCTGACAGCATTCGCAAGCAGCGAGCGACATTCTTCCAGCATCTCGGGATACATAAATTTCAGAGTCAGTTGGCGACATTGAACTTGAAACGACGGCATGTTCCACTTTTCCCTCACTGCCCTTTCCAGCCTTTCAGGTGGCTGTCCTTTTAAGGCAAACTGCACTAATATCAGTATAATGACTAATCAGAAAAGTAGCGTGACCAGTCTGTCAAAAGTGGCGCCTGATAAGCTTCCCCAGCTGCAAGATTACCACCGATAAGAAAGTCCATGCTCCATGATCCCTGTCTGTGACTTATCGACGACGCAATCTGGATCGCGTGTTCCAGCTTCCCCTCGCAAGACGCACGAGTGCACATCCGGAATCATTTCTTTCACTGTCCGCATCGCTTGCTACGCTGCGTCTCAACCCGTGCACAGCGTCCGTAATGCAGCATGACTAGACGCTACCTGACCTAGGCTAGCCGAAGGTGAGATGAATGGCGCGAGTCAACCACTCCCCCCAAGGTGCTAATAAGCGTGTCGCAGAGTGACCCAACCAAGGGCGCAACGTTGGGTTCATCGAGACTCTCGCATCTATTGCCCACGTGCGCATGTCCTCTTTTTCATCTTTTCCATTCATATTCACAGCGACTGCCTGAAAGCTTCCCCGTTCTCTCGTTACAGAAGCCGGCTTCTTCGAATGCACCACGATGGCAAGCTCCGAGCCGGATGCAGCAGGCCCCGCCACCGACCTCGCCGACGACGCGCCCAGCCATCGCCCTGATAGCATATACTCCGATTCCGTCGCCTCTTCCGCATCTGGAATATCTCTTAGCCGCCAGAGTTGTCCGTTGAGAACCCAAGACTTCCACGACCAAGAGTGCTCACGATACTTTGACTGTCCCTCCCACACCCTTGAACGATCTCCCTCGAGCCCGACCGATCGTCACGCGGACCGCCCGCCCAACCTGGACCTGGATGACCTAGGAATGACGAGCCGACCAGGCGAAACTAGACAAAACGAGCAAACAGCAACAGCGATCGCAGCGCGCGATCGCCCGCTTCCGCCCCAACCTACGGAAGACGAGGCGCAGTCGGACGACGAAGGGCCGGTACAGCCAAATGAACGCATGGCGTCCTTTGCTCGCAGACCTAGTCAGGCATCTATCGGTCGAGTGCCGCCATCACCCAGTACGCCGGGGCGTTATGAGTTCCGGCCTGGCGCGGAAAGACCCTTGATCCCCTTGGGCCATGGACCTCTTCCAGCTCTGCCCCACAGCCGTTCAAGGCCGCACACGGGCGGTCGGAGTCCTTCAGACTACATTGCTCCGAGATGGCAGCCGGATGCGGAGGTTACGTACTGTCCAATCTGCCAGACGCAGTTCAGCTTCTTCGTGCGGAAGCACCACTGCAGGTAAGGCACCGGCGGCTTGTCGTCGAAGCCGGACACTCGCTGACTCGTTTGTAACAGGAAATGCGGAAGGGTCGTGTGCAACGCTTGCTCACCTCATCGGATCATCATACCTCATCAGTTCATCGTGAGGCCACCGGGGTACGAGCTTCCACCGGAGAGCTTGCTCATGGATCAGCTCGGAATTGGGTATGTCGATGTGCACGGATCTGGAGGCGAAAGAGTCAGGCTCTGCAATCCATGCGTCCCAGACCCCAACGTGGCGCCGCCTCAGAATGCCTCGGGTTCATTGCCGCCGACCTCGCCTGGCTCGGCTCGCGCGCCACATCAGCGATCTCGAAGTAGTATTGGAGATGCTTATGGTGCAGCGACTGCCTCTAACAGGTACGGCGTTGTTTTTGCCAGTGGTCAACAGAACGATGTGTTTCAAACTTCTGCGCCGAGACACAGGAGTGTCACATTGGTACGTGTAACGTGTTGTTTGCTCTACAATATGCCTGTGCTAACTCGTTGCAGAGCCCGGGAGCTCACGCCATGCCTCACCCATCATCACGAGCGCGGCCGGGCCCGTCCACCTACTATCCTGGTGTCCATGCCCGTTACTCAACCAGCGCGTCGAGCTCATCTGCACCCTTCTATCCTGCACGCTACAGCTCACTTGGCCAGGGGCCAGCCTCACCACGCCATCGAAATCTACCACCAACTCCTCAGATTGCAGAGGAAGACGAGTGTCCCATATGCCACCGTGAGCTGCCTCGGCGAACATTCCCAGACTTTGCCACTCTGCGGGAAGATCACATCAATGCATGCATCCAGTCACACAGCACGTACGGGAGCCCACTGCCGAGGCCAGAAGGCGACACACGCGAGCAGCCCGCGGTCGCACCTAGGAGGACCGGCATGTACACGTACCCAGCAACTGAAAAGGATTGCATCGATGATGCGGAATGCACTATATGCTTGGAGGAGTTTGCAGTTGGCGTGCCAATGGCGCGACTGGAGTGTCTCTGCCGTTTTCATCGTTCTTGCATCACCGCATGGTTCGTCAACCATCCAGGGAGGTGCCCAGTGCACCAGCATGACGGTTTTGGATATTAGCGCTGCATTTGCGAACGTTGACATAGCATGGACGGCTAGTCATGAAATTCTTTCTATTTCGGCGCAACGGGGAGTCTGCGGTATACTTTTCAGGGGCAGGAGGAGCTGGCATACACGTACACTCACTCCACTCACTCTCTTAGTCTTTAGTACCGGGGAAACAAGACGCGATGGTCGTCCTGCCTTGATCCTCTAGTCTAGTATCTCAGCATATCATGAATTTTCTTCTCTGTTTGGAACGACGTAGCGATAGCAACTATGATCTTGAGATTTCCACTTCCAAGCGGCGCTCTGTACGAGACTGGATACACGCCAACGTAAAGCTTGTACGCGTCCTGTACTCTGTCGCGGAAGTGGAGAGGATGGCGCCCACAGCTTTGATTAGGAGGCACAAAGACTAAATCAAGGTGCGCGGCTACTGTTGTCTGAACAGCAATGCTCGGTTGTGAAACGTTTCGTGAGACTTGGCCAAATGTCATAACTGCGATAGATAACGTTAACTATTGTGCTGTCGAGTGCCTACCCTAGATGCTGATCTTGGCGCTCGCATGTGAGGCCGCCACGACTTTGATCATTTCCCAGCGCATCCACAATGGCCCATGCAGATCGATCTTTCGCACGCCCCGCCGCAACGTTGGCCCTTGAAAGGTGGGCCGCTGCAGGGCGGGTGGGGAGATGGGGATGGTGCGAGATACCTCGTCATCAGGCGTGGGTTGTGTGCTGTGAAAGGTACCATTCAAACCCCAGCCACCAATGATGAGGGTCAATTCTGGGCATTACGTCGCCCGCTCAGCTGGGCAGGGGCCTGACAATCAGTCACCAACTCAATGAATGAATATCCTGTTCAGCATCCAATCCAATCCACTTCAATCCAGTCCCACTTCCCTCAAGGCTCAACCACACCCTCTGTCGTCCCATGCTGCAATTCTCCTTTGTCCTCCACTCTGCCCCCATCTACACGCGGCAAAGCTAGTCCAGGACGTTGGGAAGGGAATCTTCCTGCACCAGCCGCACCTCCACTAGTAGGCTCCCGCTATCTACCTCACTACTACGGAGTAGGCTAGGAAGCTAAGGCAGCTTGCCTTCCCTCCTTCAGCTCCAACCAGCCCTCCTCCACCTGTCGTCGACAGCCATTTCATATTGCCCTCCCTCCATTTCCCGCGACTCCCACGGGCGTCGAATTTGACCTTCACCAGCCGATCCGGGCCTCCGCGCTACATTTTCTGCGACTCGACGCGCCTACTCCGCATCTCCAACAACAATTCGATTCGCGCGCGGCCAACATCTCGCCATTCTGGACCCCTCACCCAGCCAATAGCTCTCGACAAGCTAGCTACTTGCTCTTGACGACACCTGCGCGAGAGCTCCTGAGGACCGCGCACCGACCCAATCAGCCTTGGGTACAACAACCACTGGCAACTATTGCCTCCGCGAAGATTATAAACCGCTACCATGGCGTCACGCGAAGCTGCGGAGCTCAAAACCGAGGGCGTAATTGAGGCGGCGGACAACCCTGAGACCAATGTCACCGCAGACGACGCGCAAAAGGAGATGGTCGCACAGTCGAAGAATGCGGGTGTGCCTGCATTTACTTTTGACCCGGATGCCTCGCCCGAGGAGAAGCGCCGCCAAGCGCAAGCTGTGGGTTGACCTCAGGAGTACTCATCTCTTGAATCCGGACTGACAAGATGGATATAGGCCGTCCCTGCCGAGCTTCGGAAGCACAACAAGGCGACCGCTATCGTTTCCGACATTGATGATGGCACTGGACCCGACGAAGACCTGCCCGAAGCGGGCAAGGGAGGTGCCATTGACGTTGCCAAGGATGCATCTGGCAACAAGGTAGCAGAGGTAGACCCAGAAGCGAGTGAACCTCCCTTTTCGCGAACAGGCTGGGCTCCTAAATTTGGTGCTATCGGTGAGAAGATTACCGACGACGAGAGCTTGCTGGACCATGCCACTTGGGTCGAGGGCAGGCTCCCCGATCATCTCTACGGAGGTAAGTATCGACCCAGCACTCCTGAATTGCCGACGCACCTCGTCTCACATCTTCTCAGATTGGTACCACAACTGCGCCGTGATTGTCTTCGCGTGCGTGTTCTCATGGCTAATTGCCGTACTCGGCGGTGGCCTGGGCTGGGTCTTGATCATCATGACTACCTGCTCAGTGTACTACAGGACCTCGCTGCGGCGTGTGCGCCGAAACTTCCGCGATGACATTCGGCGCGAGATGGCCATGAAGAAGCTGGAAGACGACAACGAGTCGCTGGAATGGATCAACTCCTTCCTCGTCAAGTTCTGGCCCATTTACCAGCCTGTGCTGGCGCAAACCGTCATCAACTCGGTCGACCAGGTCCTCAGCACCGCCACGCCATCTTTCCTCGATAGCTTGAAGCTCAAGACATTCACGCTCGGTACCAAACCCCCGCGCATGGAGCATGTCAAGACATACCCAAAGACAGAAGACAACATTGTGCTCATGGACTGGAAGTTCAGCTTCACCCCCAACGACACCGCCGACATGACTGCTCGTCAGCTCAACAACAAGATCAACCCCAAGGTTGTCCTGGAAATCCGTGTTGGCAAGGCAATGATCAGCAAGGGTCTCGACGTTATCGTGGAGGACATGGCGTTTTCCGGCATCATGAGGCTGAAGGTCAAGCTCCAAATTCCGTTCCCGCACATTGAGCGAGTCGAAATGTGCTTCCTCGAGCGACCCATGATCGATTATGTCTGCAAGCCTTTGGGTGGTGATACCCTCGGCTTTGACATCAATTTCATCCCTGGTCTGGAGAGCTTCATCCAGGAGCAGATCCATGGTAATCTCGCGCCCATGATGTATGCGCCCAAGACTTTTCCCATCGAAGTGGCCAAGATGCTGGCCGGCTCGCCCGTGGATCAAGCTGTGGGCGTACTGGCTGTCACACTCCACGGTGCTCACGGTCTCAAAAACACAGACAATTTCTCTGGTACCGTCGATCCATACGCCTGCGTCACAGTCAATCAGCGCGCTGAACTCGCCCGGACCAAGACTATCGAAGACAACCCCAATCCCCGCTGGAACGAAACTCACTACATTATCATCAACTCTTTCGCCGAGTCTCTCGACATCCAGGTGTTCGACAAGAACGAGTTCCGTAAATCCAAGATGCTCGGTGTTGCTTCGTTCCGCTTGGAGAACCTCGAGGAACTGCACGAGCATGAGAACGAACGTCTTGAAGTGATTGCAGATGGCAAGGCTCGCGGAACCCTATCAGCTGACTTTCGTTTCTTCCCGGTCTTGGAGACGACCAAGAATGAGGACGGTGTCGAGGAGCCGCCGCCAGAGTCCAACCAGGGCATCCTCCGTTTCAACGTGCAGCAGGCCAAGGATCTGGACGGCACCAAGAGCCTGGTCGGACAACTCAACCCCTACGCCACCATGTTCCTCAACGGCAAGCAGATCCACCAAACGAAAAAGCTCAAACGAACGAACAATCCCATCTGGGATAATGGCTCCCGGGAGATCCTCATCACTGATCGTAAGAAGGCCAAGCTCGGTGTTACAATCAAGGATGATCGGGACCTTGCTGGCGACCAGGTGCTTGGCAAGTACCAGATCAAGCTTGATGATATGATCGAGTGCATGGAGCAAGGAAAGGAATGGTATCATTTGGCTGGCGCTTCCACCGGCCGTGTGCATATGACCGCTCAGTGGCGACCTGTGGCGATATCAGGAGTAGTCGGCACCGGCGGATACTCTACCCCCATTGGTGTCATGCGATTTCACTTCAAGAAGGCCAACGACCTGCGCAACTTTGAGGCTTTTGGCAAATCCGACCCTTACACCCGCGTGCTGGCGTCTGGTATCCAAAAGGCCAGGACCGTGACTTTCCGCAATGACCTCGACCCCGAGTGGGATGAGGTCCTTTACGTGCCCATTCATTCACCCCGCGATAAAGTTACATTGGAAGTTATGGACACCGAGAAGATGGGTAAGGACCGCAGTTTGGGCTTGGTGGAGCTCTTTGCTGGGGACTTTGTCAAAGAGGAGAATGGCGAATACCTCGTCCACGACCAGAAGAAGGAGCGCACGGACGGCCTGCTTCTCCACGGAAAAGGTATGCCCAAGGGTACGCTAACCTACACTGCGGCCTTCTACCCAACTCTGAATATCGCCGACCCCGAGGAAGAGGAAGAAGAGGCTGCCGAGGCAAAATCTAAGCCCTTATCAGATGACGCCAGCGAGAAGCCGAGAATTTCCACCGACCGTGCCAGCAACGCCGGTAAGTTCAAGGCGAGCCTCGACAAGCCAGGCTCAGAGAAGAGCGGCGGCACCGATTCCGACTCCCTTCCTCCGCCAACGCCTACGACCGCTGGGAGACGGTCCGTGGATCAACGTCCCAAGTTGCGCCTCAGCCCCGAGGAGCTGCTTCGCCACGAGAGCGGTTTGCTGATTTTCAGGCTTATGGAGGCTGAGATGCCCGAGTCATATACTTCGCTGGAAGTTTTCGTCGATGATCACCTATACCCGTCTTACACTTCTGCCACGGCTCCCAAGCGGAACTACAAGTTTGACGAGATTGGCGACTGTGTCATTCGTGAGCTCGAATTCTCGCGTCTTACGATCAAGGCCCGCAAGAAGGGCGACGACGTGGACGAACATCTGGCGTCCCTCAGTGGCAACACCCTGGATACACTCAAGCAATGCTTGGTGAGTCTCTCGGAAACTTCCCCCCTTGGTGGGCATAGCTAACGATTGTAGAACAACCCCACCATACTCAAGCTCAAGCCTGACGAGGGCCGCGGCGGCTGGGTTAAGGTCAGCTTGAAATACGTGCCCATCAATATGTCACTCGATCCAAGCGAGAGCATCAACAACATGGGCAAGCTGCGCCTCGACATTCTCGACGGTCAAGATCTGCCCTCTGCTGATAGGAACGGCAAGAGTGATCCTTATTGCAAGTTCGAGCTCAACGGCAACGAAATCTTCAAGACCAAGGTCCAGAAGAAGACGCTCAACCCCGTATGGAATGAGTTCTTCGAGGTGGAAGTACCTTCGCGCACAGCTGCCGAACTCGTTGTCAAGGTCTATGACTACGACTTTGCTGACAAGCCGGATTTCCTCGGCGCTGCGAATGTCAACCTCGAGGCTCTTGACCCCTTCAAGGCTACCGAGTCCAAGCTCATGCTTGACGGCAAATCCGGTATGGTCAGGGTCCGCATGCTCTTCCGGCCAGACTACGTTAGGCGCGCCCGACAGGGCACCTCTACCTTCCAAGGCACGTTTGGTGGTCCTGGGAGGATCGTGACGGGTGTTGCCGGGGCCCCTATCAAGGGTGGAGCGGCCGTGGCTGGTGTGGTGGGCTCTGGCGTTGGCAAGGGTGCTACGTTCCTGCGCCGTGGTCTGTTCGGCAAGAAGGATGAGGACGAGCCGAATGGTTCGGTGCCCGTGATTACCACAGATGGAAGTGACAGTCCGGTCCGATCCCGAGGCGGGACCGAGACCCCGACTGACCGACCTACAACAAGCCAAGGCCAGTATAACCATAACCGGACTAAGAGCATCGGCGCTGCGTCGACTCGCAGCTACCAACCAGGTGCTGCAGGCACGGGCACAGCCCACTTCACGGTCGTCAGTGCGACTGGCTTCCCTCCCTCCTCCGACCTGTATGTCCAGATCACCCAGTTGGGCGGCAAGGAAAAGACCGTTGGCAAGACCAAGCATTTCAAGACATCTGAGGGGCAATGGAACTTTGACGAGTCTTTCAAGGCCACATGCACCGCAGAGACGTTCTTCAAGGTCGAGGTCAAGGGCGAGCACACGTTTGGTAGGGACGACGAACTCGGCGAGACCAAGTATGTCGTTGACGAGTCCGGATCGGGTGCGGCGAAGGAGGTGTCCGTCGGCAGCGGCACGGTTGTGATCAAGAGCACGTTCCAGCTCCCAGAGTCGTCCAGCTTGTCGGCCGATTCCCCCAGCCGCTCGATGCGACGCAGCTTCTTGAGCAAGCGCGATACGGGACGCAGCAGCAGGGAAGGGACGCCCAATGCTTAGAAGGATGCGACGCGATGGAGGCGAGGAGGGTGACGGACAATGGGCACTGCGGGGGTCTGTTGTTGCCGTTATATTGATGGTGGTCTGGTTCAGCAGAGTTCGTGATTTTAGTGCGCTAATTGTGAAGCAAGTATGTGTTTTGTCGGGTAAGGGTACCTTGTCCGGGCCAGAATAGCAATGGAGTTTCAGTATCTGTGACAATTCTGTTATTGCTACGTGATCTACTTGTACAAAGGCGAAGAAAGCTGTCGAGTTTGTCCTGCTTGTCCGTCGTGCTCAGTCCCTCATGTGGCAGCTACTTACCCTGTACGGCAAAGGGTGGAGTTGTTCGTAGTGAGGGGCCATCAGCCACAGCAACAAGCCACACTCCGAGCTCCTCACATCTGGCGAGCGCCAGTGACGACGCGGAAGCTGCCTGACTGGAGCTCAGCAAGCAACCTCATCCCACCGTCTACCACAACTCTGGTCCACCATCTCCTCGAGACCGTAACGACGAAACACCAGATCTCGTCATTCTGCGGCCCCATATAACAAACAGCCGATTCTCTTTCTCATTCACAATCCACCAGCATGGACGCCCTCGTGGCCAAGTACAGCCGCCCCGCGGCAGAGGAATCAGACCCCTTCGAGAATGAGCTGGAGTCTCAAGATCTCATGAACCCGGCGGATCATCTCTCTCTAAAGTTTGCCATGCCACCTGTTGCTCAGGTATGACCCATTCAGTAGAGCCACGCAGGCTGTCCAGGTGGCGGCAGATCAGGGCAGGAAATCTAACTTTGTCATTCACAGCCTTCCTCATGGCTCCGCGCTGCGACCGACGACCGATCCAACCCAGAGTGCCCCATCAAGATCGCCCACGGTACCACAACCCTCGCCTTCCGCTTCCGGGGCGGCATCATTGTCGCGACCGATTCCCGTGCCACCGCCGGCGACTGGATTGCCAGCCAGACCGTCAAGAAGGTCATTGAGATCAACAGCGTCCTGCTGGGCACCATGGCCGGTGGCGCCGCCGACTGCCAGTACTGGCTCGCCTGGCTGGGCATGCAGTGCCGCCTGCACGAGCTGCGTCACAAGCGCCGCATCAGCGTCGCCGCCGCGAGCAAGATCCTCGCCAACCTCGTGTATTCGTACAAGGGCATGGGGTTGAGCATGGGCACCATGTGCGCGGGCGTCACGGCCGAGGAAGGACCTGCGCTGTACTACGTCGACAGCGACGGGACGCGGCTGGCGGGCAACCTGTTCTGCGTGGGGTCCGGTCAGACCTTTGCGTACGGTGTGCTGGACGCCGAGTACAAGTACGAGCTGAGCAACGAGGAGGCACTGGAGCTCGGGCGGAGGAGTATCCTCGCGGCGGCGCACAGAGATGCCTACTCTGGTGGCTACATCAACCTGTACCACATTGAGGAGAAGGGCTGGACACGCCACGGATTCAGCGACACGAACCCCATCTTCTGGAAGACCAAGCTCGAGAAGGGCGAGTTCTCCAACGTTACGAGCGAGCTGGAGTAGACGGAGTGGGGATGGTAGTGGGAGACGTAGCAGCAGGCCAAGCAGCTGTACAACAATGAAGAATAACGACTCAATCAAGACTTGCGCTAATCTACATGCTGCAATGCGTGCCTATGCTCGTAATCTAGCCTACATATGTGATACATTTCATACACAGGTTTAGTCCTGGATTAGTTCTTCACCCAGCCTTGGGCACCCATGATGCCGCCATCTATCCTCTCATCGAGCGGCCATTTCCTGATCATCAACACATCCAAGTCCGTCGTCCATCCACGCTCGAACATTTCCATCCCCGCCCAGGCAATCATGGCCGCATTGTCAGTGCAAAGCCCCACGGGCGGCACCACAATCTTCAGTCCGACAAGGCCCCGAGCACGCAACGTGGAGCGCACGACATGCAGCAGGAATCTGTTGCAGGCCACACCTCCAGCCAGCACGAGGGTAGGACACGCTTGGAGACCATGCACATCGGACAAGGCGAGCACGAGACGATCCGCGATATGCCGAAACGCAGCCGCCATGACGTACCGCGCCAACACCTTCCGCTGCTCGACATCCATATCACCGACCCGGTCCATAATCTTCTTCGCGTTCGTGCCCAGGCCGGAGAAGGAGAACTCTAGCTTCCGCGTGTGGGAGAGAGGGATCTTGAAAGCCCAGTCATAACCCTCTTTCTGAAGCACCATCGCCTCACCGCCCCGTTTGCTTCTGGCCTGGAAAAAGGCATACTCCTCCTCCGTCCCGCCATCTGGAAAGGCAAACGCCTCCAGCAGACGACCGTACATGACGTCCGTGGCGGAGCGCAGGACATCGGCAGGCAGGACGACACGCGCCACCTGGTCGAGCATGTTGCCCACGGCCGTGTCGAGCGTGCTGGCGAGTATCTCGTGATCGACGAGACTCCGCGAATGTACAAGCTGTGTGTGCCCTCCCGAGACGAGCAGCGACAGAAACGGCCCATCAAGTGACCCTCCCTCGTCCACGGGCATGGGCGCCCGGATCGCCCTGGCGAGCTTTGGTGTGAGGGCGTGGGCCTGCATGTGATGCACCCCGACCATGGGGACGTCCCACGCGGCGCAAAGACCTTTCGCCGTGTTCAGGCCTGTGGCGAGATTGGTCACGATGCCCGGACCTCTCGTCACGGACACAAAGTCCGGCTTGGTGGCGCCGTCGGGCAGACACGCCAGGCTCTTCCGCAGCAGCGGCGCGAGGGCGCGGGTGTGGCCCTTGGCCGCCTCGACGGGGTGGACGCCTGCAAAGGCGAGGTGGTCGCTCGATATGCGCTCGTTGAAGAGGAGTCTGTGCTCGTTGGTCAGGTCATTGCGATGGAGGATCGCGACGCCCGTGTCGTCGCATGATGTCTCGATCGCGAGGGTCGACAGATGCCTGGGAGAAAACAGCGATGGCCGGAGGAGGGCCTGCCGCTTAGGGAGGAGGGAACATGGTCGGAAGCGCATGAGGTCGTGGGCTCATGAAGAGGAGTTGGACAGGCGTCGGATCTAGGAAGGAAAAGTGTCAATATTCCCAATCCCATGTGAAGTGTGCAAATAATGACTACCCTGTATCGGTCGCGACACCTGCGCAAGCAATAGCATAATCAGCTTTGCTTACCTTGCCTTCAATTGCGAATGACTTGTCCTTTCTCTCGGTAAATGTTTTGGTACCTGATGAAAGGTTTACTTGCCCTGCTGTCGTTCAGTAGTGCATAATTTGACGTTGCCTCGTTGGATGCATTATAGCAACACATTGTGTCCACATTGTGTCTTTCGATGTCATCTTGTTCAAACTAGAAGAAGATATTAAAAGCTATAGAGTGGTACAGCCTTGCCAAGTACCCTTTCTCTTTTGTCCATTCAAGCTATATATATAGTTCATGTTCACAATCCCCTTTGACGCCGCCTGATGCACACCTTTGAAGCAACGCTAGCAAGTACATTTTCCTCCACCACTACGACACAGGCACAAGTTCACTCACGTCCAGTTGACCCATTCACATCGACAACCGCCTGTCCCTCCGTCGTAGCCCCCAAACGAATCGTTGGTATCCTTCCGGTGGTTCACGACAGTCCCTGCGAACTCCAGATCGTTGGGAAGCAGCTTGGGGTTGTCCTGGTCCAGCTGGCCTCGCTCGTCAACGGGCCAGTACCAGACAAACTTCTCCTTGGGATTTCCGCCGTGTGTGTCGAGTGTCACGGTCACTGGATAGGGCATTGTGCCTGGTCTGACCAGTTCGGGGGTGCCCTCTATGCTGTCACCTTCCGGCAAGAGCTGAGAGCCGTCTTCCAAAGTCCGGGTCCAGATCTGGACGAGCATACGGGTCTGCGACCAAGTCGCGTAGTAGTTTGCTTCGCTTTGCGTGCAGCCGCCATCAATGTCAAGTGGAACGTCATTGTCGGTGTTGTTGAGCGATTTGAGGTAGATTGTCCGCTTGAAGTACGTGTAGAAGCCGTAGTGCTCCGTGGGTAGACCGCGGTCGTACAATCGCACGGGCTGCTGACCGGGACTTGGGAGCATGCGCGCTGGTTGCGGCGTACCGTCCTCTCCGAGATCCGCTGCCGATATGAGGTCCTTGACAAGATCATCACCTATCCTTGTCTGTCTTTTGTCAAGGACAGGATTCTCAACCTCATCATCGACAGAGTCAAGCAAGCTGATGAAGAATGGCGCAGGCTCGCCAGCCTTCTCATCGGATTCGATCTCGTCTGTGGTGTCCCCTAGGAACCACATGTCCTCAAAGGCCGGTGGCTCGGGATTTGGTTTGAACTCGGTGGCTTGACCGTCACGAACGAAGGCGCGCGCCGAGGCGGCCATCCCCTTGGAGCGTCGCGCCACAGATTTTGGAGGCTCGCCATTCGGGACGTTCCACTGCTCGCGAGTGCTGTTGTCCCATTGGATCTGCATGATAAAGGTCGGCTGGTTCGCCCTGTAAGGGGCGACAGACTCATGCTGCTCCTTGGGCAGGGAACAACTCCAGAGAGTGGACGGCTCAGTGCAGCCAGACTTTGCAACAATGTTGTCGCTCCCCACTACCGTCATGACACCTGTTGGCATGGGCGGAAAGTCGGTCAAGTTGCGCCAGATCGACTCGACCTCGTGGGATCCTTTGGGTTGCGTGAGTACGACACCTAGCACAGTGGCGAGGATGATGAGCAAGAGAAGCAGGGCAGTTATCACCAGGCACCATCTTCTGCGCTTCCGCCCTTCGCGACCTGTCCTCCCAAAGCAACCAGTGGCAGGAATGCAACCCCTGCCTCGCCAGAAGCCACCAAGCTTACGGGCCATGATGTCCTCTTTCTCATGTCGCCGCCGCTCACGTTCTACCTTGCGCTCGTCGCCACGGGCATCGTGTGAGTGTTCTTGGAGAAGAGTGGTTGCCAGCGCGCGATCCGGCAACGGCACTCGTAGAGGTGCTGGCATGTCTGGGGGAAATGTAGGGGTGATGGGGATATTGGTCATCTGAGTGGCTCCTTGCGATGTCATGGTAGCCGCTAGCCCCGGCGAGCCAGGCACAGGCGATGGCGGAAACTGAGCCTGGAGCGGGTGGCCAGGTGGGAAGACTGCACGGTATCGGATGGGGACGCCACTACTTTGCTCATGGGGTTGTCTCGGCGGAGAATAGGGTGGGGGAGTCCCGAGGCCTAGGTTCGGCGTGAGCGTGACATGAGTCTTCTCAGATAAAAAAGGATTGTTTGACGCCAGTGAGGTAGGTGGTGTTGGCTGTGCGGAGCGACGGTGCCCAGATGTCGGGGGAGTCGGTGTCCTGCGAGGCGTCGGCGCTCGAACGATAGGAGGCGGGCTCGCGCGAGGTACGGGCAAGGCGACAGCCTGAGGGGCCTTTTCATCGACAGTGAAGTCGTGAGAAGGGCTGTTGTGAGTCTGCGCCTCGCCTGCCATGATCGGCGAATCAAGCCTTGTCTTTCTGCTCTGAAATGTGAACCGCTTGTCCAGGAAAGGTGTGACAACGTGATCCCACCACCCGTTGGCCCTGGAACCCGCGCTATCAGGTGTCAAGCCCGCTGCTTTCATCCTCTGTTGCAGGGCCGACCTTGGAGTTTTGGGGCTTCCATCCTCTTCGAAGAGCGTGCATGGCGACCCGCCATCATCGCTGTTGTGGCCGCCTTCGAGACTGATGAGTCGGCGATGGGCAGACGTCTTATAGCCGGACGGCAGGGCAGGCACAGGAGGCACGTCTTCATTGATGGGTTGCTTAGACCCACTGAGGCTGGTGGCCTGTGAATATACGCTCGATGCGGGACGGAAGCCGTTGGTGGTTGACGCAGTTTCTGGCGTGTCAGGGGACCAGACCGATATCTGTGGCCCTGATGGCGCCCGTGGGGCATGTGCTGGCCCTTGGACAGGGCTGGCGCTCGGAACCCTTGGCGCATTGTCGCCACCTGTGTTCTCATCACTAGAAGGGAATGAGATGCCAATCATGATCGGCGCATCTCCTGGTGTCAGATTGACGCCTCCGCTCTTTGGGGTCGCAGTCTGAGGCGTGGCCGAGGCAGGGCTCTTGCCCTTATTCTTCTTGAGCCAGTTCCAGTTGCCTACAGAGGCCGAGTTGGGTTCACCTTCCAGTGCCCTGAGCGCCGCAGCATCGACGAACTTGGCAGGTTTTCCGTTGTGTGGATGAGCTTGGTCCAGTCCTCGAAACGTGGTCATGTCCGTGATGACCTTGATCCCAGCCATTGCATTCTGTGCCCTCTGCCTGTGCTTTGATTTGAGGCGCCGGACTCTGGTGGTTGGAAGTCTTGGCAGCGATTGTCGTGGGCCATGGGGTTTCTGTTGTGTCGATGAATAGGAGTTTGGGGGCGCGACCTCGACCGCGACTTGCTCACTCGGGTCTATCGGGGTGACGACATCCTCATCTTCCCAGTTTTCCCAGTCGTCGGTCGACTGGCGGCGGGTTGCACCCCCAAGCTGCTGTGGTTGTATGTGTGTGGTTGCCATGGGTGACTGAGTGGCTCTGTTTGATAATGGTAACGATCGTACTATGCTGATGTTGGTGGCCTGCCACAATGGTCCGTTTGATTATTCACTCGATTGTATGGTAATAGAACAGCTAGTCCACAGTTGAAGGGAGCTCTCTGTTGGTAAGAGCTCGTGGTAACGTAGGAAGAACAACGCTTTTGTCGTTTGGGAACGGGAGAACGAGTGACAGTACCAATAGGGAGTGGATGTGGGCTCCAGCAACGAACAATAGAGGCACAAAAAGGCGAACAATAAAGGGGAAGGAAAAAAGAGCAAGGAATCCTGGATGCTTCAAGAAACTTTGAAGAGAGAGTGAGGACTGGACCGAGAGGAAGGACTGTTAGGCTCGGATGGGAGGACGGATGAGAGAGCCGCGACTGGCGGCTCCAAGCCGGTCGACCGCATGTCAACTTCACTAAATAAAACAACCATCTCCGCAATGTTGCGTCTGGAGGGGCGCACGGCAGTGTCGTCGATGAAGGATACGCAAGCAACTCGATGGTTTGCGAGGCTTGACGGTTGATGAGCGTTTGGAATAGGCGCTTTGGTGAGGTCGCGGCGCTCCACTATTGGCTACCCTTAGGCGCCGAGCTGGTGGTGCGTCGTGATTGGCCCATTGTCGCAGTCCGTCGCTGCAGAACAATCTTCAAGTTCTTATTCACATTGTGCAGTGTTATTCACCTGTCGAGTTTTTCATAATTGTATAATCACCTGCGATCATATCGAAACAAGGTGGTAGGTAAAGTAAGATCAGATACATGTGCTGCAGGTGGAAATCACGACGGCTTGTTGGGCAGGGCAATATCCCACCGTACAGGGCTGTCCCCCACATACCGACATGAAGAGCTGCAACTAATGTAGACGAATAACTTGATAAATGCCCGAAATCATGTCTGAGCTACTTCACGTGGACTTGAGTCTTGAAGCGTCATAGGTATGTGACAAGTGTGGCCCTCTCATGATACTGAAAGGACCTTGAAAAATTCTTATTGGAAGTTTGGAACGCTAGGTTACGTGTCGTGCTTCTTGACGGACCTCGCCTGATGAGTTAGTAGTTAAAGTAGGTCATGTAGACCGTGTCAGAGAGTGAGATAATAAACAACGCTGTCTACACATGGTGACTGGGGATGAGGACCAGGAACCTTTTAGTTCAATGAAGGCTCAGGAGATGCTGTCTGGAATGGTGCTGGCAAAGGAGCATGACACGATAGTGTGGTACTTGTCTTCCGGCCCAAGTCGCACGGAGACAGAGGTGCTCAAGCAGCAAGCCAAGACTGGCCGTTATCTTACCGAAAACCTTGTGAGGCATCCCATTCCCACGCTGGCCCGCTGGACAAGGTATCCCATGTCTTGTTCACGCATGGCAGGCTGAACGGTGCATGTGCGCAGCGAGCACCAGACCTGCACTTTTGATTAACATGTTGATGAGATTTCCAAGAAAGCGCACCCCAAGATCATGAGCAGAAGGAAAACGTGTCCATCGAGAGATTGGATCTTGTGAAACTTGACTAGAGCTTCAAACAGCCCGTGTCACAGTCCAGTCTGCCTGCACCCACTGATTGCCGGCGTTCACGGGGGCCCAGTGACTCCAGTCCCCTATCTGCGATCTCTCAGCTGCCACTGCAGGTGAACCCGCAGCGCCAAGCCAGCACCTCGTTAGCTCGACCACCATCCAACAAGCGTCCAACAGAGTGGCCAGAACAGAATCTGGATGCCCCCTACCGTATCTGATTAGCTTTTTGGCGATACTTTACTACCTCCAAGGGTTGATACGGCTGCACCACCACCTCCAATTGCTATCGTCAGCACGAACCACAGCCACTAGTCACGCGGGTTCGACGCAGCCACCACCGAGTGTCTTCAACACCACGACTCCAGTCGACGCTGTCCGACCCTCCTTGCGCAGCGCGCCCCATTCGACACGACATACACACACACCATCGCACCGCTGCGACGCTGCGCAACCTGCCAGACTTGCATCTCGCAACGGGCGAGCGTCCACATTCACGAACACGAATCCCGCCTTGCACCGTCGAGCGGCGCCTGGCCAGCCGTCGCGCCAATCGAGTACACCTGTCCCAGTTACGTCCTCGCAAACCGCCACGCTGGCGCCGTCTCAGCCTCCCGAGGCCGGCTCTTCGAGCTCCCTCAGCGGCAGACGATTTCAGTCTCACCACCGAAGGCGCTCCTCGGCTGGCCAGCACACGACCCTCAGCGAGCAACGGGCGGGTACATTGCTGTCCCTCAACAGCCCAAAGACGAGCCCGTCGCTCTCACAACCTCCTCTGACACCTGTTCCTGGTAAGTCAGGCCTCGCACGCCCCCGGAACTTGAACTGTCCCGGCCCACCAGCGCGGCCTTCGACATGGTTTCGGCGCATGCTGACTTGGACGTCTCCATTGCAGGCACACCATCGATAGGCATGTCCCTCTCGCGCAGTCCGTCACCCATCCCGGGTGGAGGGTGGGCGAGTCCCGGGCTCAACATTAACAGCGGACGGACGAGCCCAGCCCACATCACGGGCGGCCCGACAGCTTGGGAGTCGGCCAAGATGAGAAACCACAACGTCAACGGGTACCCATCGTTCTCGACGCAGAACTCGGGCTTCTTTGTCCGTCACATGCGCAAAATCTCTAGCAACCTGCCTCGATTCGGCGCAGACTCAGCATATGCACAGAAGGAGAGGTTGGGGCACGGGTCTTGGGATACACGGAACATGTCCATGCTCGGCCGGTTACGATCTATGTTCAGACGCATGGGGAGGAAGCTCAAGCTGCGCCTGCTGATTGCGACCATTGTCTTCTTCTGCTTGTTGATATTTTACAACTCTCGTGAGTAGATTCGTGGTCATGATGGGTCTCCGGCTAACATGTCTTGTTGCAGCCTTGCTGTATTACTGGCGTAAATCGTCCATGGGCGGGAACGGCGAGAAGTTTGTCATCATCCTCGGCGCAAATCCGGGTGGCGGCGTCATGGAGTGGAAGGGCGCGCGCGAATGGGCCATTGAGCGGGACAGCGTGCGGAACAAGAAGAAGTACACCCAGCGATGGGGCTACGAGCTGGAGATTGTCGACATGAGCACCAAGAAGCGCTACGCGCACGAGTGGCGCGAGAGTTGGGAAAAGGTTGACTTTATGCGCACGACCATGCGCAAGTACCCAAACGCGGAGTGGTAAGTTGTCTCGACCCGCGGCCCCCTGTGTCTCTCGCTCGGCCACAGCTAACGCGCGGAGGTTCTGGTGGATGGATCTGAACACGTACATTATGGAGCTCTCGTTCCCGTTGCAGGAGCATCTCCTGCACAACCTGGAGGACAAGGTCTACCGCGACATCAACGAGTGGAACCCCCTCAACATCTCGCACCCGTTCACCGATCACTACCTCGACGAGACTGCGCTGAGCCCTGTTGGCGACGGGAGAGCAGACTCGGTCAACCTGCTGATCACCCAGGACTGTGCCGGCTTCAACTTGGGGTCGTTCCTCCTCCGGCGCAGTGCGTGGACCGACCGGCTCCTGGACATCTGGTGGGACCCCGTGCTGTACGAGCAGAAGCACATGCAGTGGGACCACAAGGAGCAGGACGCGCTGGAGCAAATGTACGAGAGCCACCCGTGGGTGCGGCAGCACACGGGCTTCCTGCCGCAGCGCATGATCAACGCGTTCCCGCCGGCGGCGTGCAGCGACGGGACGAATCAGAACAACACGCGCTTCCACTACAACGAGCACGACCACGACTTTGTGGTGAACATGGCCGGCTGCGAGTGGGGGCGCGACTGCTGGGGCGAGATGTACCACTACCGCGAGTTTGGGTACTGGCTCAACCGCAACCCGTGGGAGCGTTTCAAGGAGGACCTTGTCGCCGAGATTTGGTTCAAGATCACGGGGCAGCGCGTCAAGCTGTGAGCGAGGGTTGCGTCCTTTCAGGCGTTCGTTGCATCGCATATACCCCGGCTCATCGGGGCGGACGGTTTGGGGCATTTTCATCATGAGCGTATTCATTTCTTCACTTTTTACACGCAAAATGACAGATCTAGGGAGGTTCCGGACGGGAAGACGTTTGTTTCTCCTTTCTCTTTTTGTAGGTGTTTCTCCAGCGTATCATGCATATAGACAGGCGCAAGGGGTGTTCGGATGGCTGGACCACCACTGCAGCCTGGAGCAGGAGGTACGATGAATGAAGACCTGGGGTTTTGGTTGACAAGTCCTGCAGACGTGTGTTGGCGTACATGAAAATGGAGCAAAGCACGGATCGATGAAGAAAACTCTTTGCAGGACATTGTGCGATATCGAGCCCCTGTGAGCAGCCAGAAAGGTGTGGTTGCTTCCGGGCCGACCTGATCTCCTGTTGTACCACGAGTACATGTAGTAGACCTGTACCATGCAAGATGACGATCGTTTCCAAACGGGTGGATCGGAAACGTCCGAGGGACAACCGCTTTGGGTAGGAGGCTTTTGATTCTTCTCAAGTCGAGTTGGATCAGACAAGACGGCAACCCGCAATATCTGGGAGCACTACTCACTGCATTGCGCATCTCGAAGCATGGGGGGACTGGAGGATGCGCATCGGGGTCTGTCTTGAATGTCTTGAATGTTTCAAGAGGCTTGGCCGGAGTTTACAATGACCGCTGACCTGCGACTACGAGCATCTGGGATCCCGGATCATGGCATTTCATTTCATGCATGACACACTAATAGATGGTGGCCTGGTAGGCGCTGTGGTGGGGGGGGCCCATCATAGGCACGCACGCACTTCACCCAGTGAAGTCAAAGTGGGGGCGCCCCTGCCCAATGCAGGGCGGCGCTTCGAATGTCACAGAGCGCGAGCGCGGGGACTCTCTGAATGGTCTTTGTCTCTCCATGCCTTCATCTCCTGCGTGCTGCTGCAATCTCGTGCGGCTACCACTCGCTGTCCAGCACGCGTGGTCTCGTTTCGACAAAGAAGCAAAGGCCATGCATGCCCTAGTCACTTGGCCTGCCATGGGCTCGAGTCGGTTCGGGGGAGCGGCCCAAGGATCAAGACGCAAGAGTCAAGCCCGGACGATACCTGGGTGCATACTCATGTGCTGCGTCGGCCGCGAAGCGAAGCGTGGGCAACCCTCATCTCGCGTCGCATCATTCTTTCTGGGCCTGAACGTATCAGCTCTGCACGACAGACGGTAATCTACTTCGTGCCAAGTACGGATAGTCGGCCGCGCTCCAATCTCCATGCTGCTCTGAGGCCCCTAGCTATCCTTGTCCAGATCGGACGGAAGTGCTCACGATACGTCGACATCCATTGTCACCTCCCACTACGGGGAGCTAGGGACGGCCATGGACCCACGCCTTCTCATGACACCTGTCTGAGGTTGGATTTGTCGCGCCGTGAGAAGCGAGGCGGCTAATTCTAGTCTGCTGCGTGCTCTGCCTAGAATCAACTTGCGAGTGCTCACGCTCAGAGCACGTAATTATATAGTCGTGGACGTCCACCCACGGACTGCCATGGCTGACTCTTGCAAGATCTGTCCTGAAGCCACGCAGCCTTGTTCTTCGTTTTCGTCCTATTATCGGTCCCTTCTGGACCATCCGATCCTTTTGCCTGACAGCTGGTCTTCTGTCAGTTCCTCCTCATCCGATGCTCACTCATTGTTCTCTCAGCACCGCCTCAGCTCAGGCCTTGCTCATTACTCGTTCACGCGTGTGCCTTGTCCACAGCTCGGTGAGCGGTTCATGAACCTCACTCTGGCCTGCCCTCTTCTTGATTTCTGCGCACGCCTTCCTTCATCCCCCTGAACCCGTGGGACCCTCTCTCCTTTGACTTCGCCACGATCCTTACCACAACAATTGTTCTTCTTCGTGGCTGGCCCACAGCTGCAACTACGATCGTAACGACTGCTGCAAAGCTTGCTAGCTATTCGCCATGCTTTTCGGCGCCCCTACTGCCTTTGGCCTTGCTGGTCTCTTTGCCGGCACCGTCCAGGCTCAGTATCAACTAGACACCTTCTACAACTCTGAGAACTTCTTCAACGAGTTTTCCTTCTTCAACGAGCCCGATCCGACACACGGCTTTGTCGAGTACGTCGACCAGGCCTCGGCCTTCGACCTGGGGCTTGCCCACAACGACAATGGCAAGATCCACATGGCGGCTGATGCCCTCGAGGTCAACCCTGCCAACGGACGCAAGTCTGTCCGCTTGACTTCGAACAAGGTCTTCACCCACGGCCTCGTCATCAGCGACATTGAGCACATGCCCGGCTCGGAGTGTGGCGCGTGGCCGGCGCATTGGCTCTTTGGAGACCCGTGGCCGTATGCCGGCGAAATCGACATTATCGAGGGCGTCAACGACCAGTCCGCCACGGCGGTCACCCTACACACTGGTCCCGGCTGCACCATCCGCAACGAGGGCTCTGATCTCACAACCCTGTTGAAGGAGGCCGACTGCAACGCGGGCAATGCCAACACGGGCTGTGGCCAGCAGACATCCAACCACCTCAACTACGGCACGGGCTTCAACCAGATCGGGGGCGGCGTCTACGCCATGGAGTGGACGTCTGACTTTATTGCCGTCCACTTCTTCCCTCGCGACCTGATTCCTGCCGACATTACCGGCGGCCACCCCGATCCATCGACATGGGGTCTCCCCATTGCCAAGTTTGTGGGAAGCCCTGGCTGTGACATGGATGGCTTCTTCCGCGACAACAGGATCATCTTCAACACGACCTTTTGCGGCGACTGGGCGGGCAGCCCCGACGTCTGGAACAACAACCCCGTCTGCAGCGCCAAGGCACCCACCTGCAATGACTTTGTCGCCAACAACCCCCAGGAGTACGAGGAGGCGTACTGGACGGTCAACTCCGTGTCCGTCTACAAGAACAACGGCACCCCCACGACCTCTACCCCTACACAGCGTCAGGCCTTCCAGGCTTAAAGCCCCTTTGACAAGATGTATATATTTATCCATGAGGGGATTGCACGTGATGGAACGAATGATACCCGGAATTCGACGCGCATTGGTTGCGGCGTTTTAAGGGATGCGGACGGAATGAGGACCGGCGTTCAGGACATGATATCTATCTCCTAGTCTAGGGAGATTTTCACTTCTGCTTACACATATATGCCTGGCTGCTCGACAGCATTTTGAATACCATGTATTGCTATTTGTGCTCTCATTCTCCCGTGTCTTGCCTTTATCTTTGCCAAAGGCTCGGACAAGCCGACATGCCATCGACTGTCTAGACTAGTCGCTTGGCTCGGGCCAGTTGTACGACGGACCCTGCGCAATGCCAAAGTTCGGGGTGCCGTTCTGGTTGGCGCGGAGGGGCTGGACCAGGGCGTAGCGCGAGTCGTCGCAGGCGCCATTGGGGTTGGACGTGGCGTGGAACGTGATCCAGGTCTCGGTGCCGTCGGGACTCATGAAGAAGCTGTTGTGGCCGGTGCCGTAGTGGCCGTTGGCGCTGGACAGGACGCAGCCATTCGACTTGGTCCAAGACGAAGGCGATGCCGGGTTGCCCGTGCCGTTCCACTCGAGCGTGGCGACGCAATAGTCGGGGGTCCAGCAGTAGTTGGCCGAGTAGGCAATGTACGTCCTGCCGCCAAAGTAGAGGGCGTTGGCGCCCTCCTGGACAGGGGTGCCGGAGCGCTCCCAGGGCTGGTCGGGCTGCGAGATGATGGAGAGGCCGCCGGTGGTGGAGATGTAGTCGCTGCCCAGCTTGCGGACGCACGTCGACTGGTATTGCACGCCCGTCTGGCATGAGTAGACAAAGTAGTTGCCCCAGTCAGCGAAGCGGACGACGGTCCCATCGATGCCCCACTCGTTGAGCATCTGACGGCCGTACGACCATGAGTCCCAGGGGGTGGCACCACCGACGAGAGCGTGCATTCTCTGTCCGTCGAGGTTGTTGCAGTTGCCGGCCGTGTAGTAGATGTACCACCGGCCGTCAAAGTAGTGCATCTCGGGCGCCCACATGTTGCAGCGACGCGAAGGGTTGGTGTCCGAGTAGATGACCCTGGGGGTGGCCGACTTGAGACCCTGAATGGTCGTGGCCCTTCGCAGCTGTAGGTTGTCCCATGTCGTCGAGATGAGGTAGTAGTAGCCTCCCGAGTAGGTGACCTGGGGATCACTGCCTCCGGGGTTGCGGACAGGGTTGGTGAAGGCCTCTGCGCCGCCAAAGAGGCCAAAGGCGCCTAGAAGGCTGAGCACGAGCTTGAAAGGGCGCATCGTCAAGGTTCGGATAGAGAGGGAGGGAGATGATGGTAGACCGATGCTGACTGACTGGAAGCAAAGGAGTCGATCCCTCGCCGGGCGCTCGAGTTATATATCCATGAGTACGGACTTGGTTTCTAATGAGATGAGCACGGGGTAAACGTGGAGCAAGCAGCCCTGCCCAGTTCCCGCGCCTATGAGAAACCAGGTCGTGTCCCGCCCGATGGCATCAACACCGGTATTCCTGCTGAGCGACGGGAGGTGAGACACGTTATTGGAGCGGTTTTGGCTGCCCTCGGCGCATGGTTCGATACAGACCGGACAATAGGTGGGAAAAGCATGGGGAAGTCCATCTGGCCCCCTTTACGTTTCCCCCCGCGTTCGCATTCACGTTGTAGCTGCAGCATATTCTCAATTTCTCATGCAACCCGGGGCCCCGGCAGATGGAAGCGCACAGGCGAGCCAATGACGGTCAGCGACCCTTTGCCACGAGCCAAGTCTGCCGGACTGCCAGATAAACATCATGATATGGTCCATCAGCCGGCCGGCAGTCGATCCTCCGTCGGCCCACTGGGGTTAGCGTGTCCTGGGCATCAATGTTGGTCCGAGCTCTCCTCCGCGGTGGCGGCCTGCGGCGACGGCAGCGCGCACGCTTCTGTCGCCGGGCTCCGGCACATTCCAGACTATATGTGATGTCCACGGCGGCAAAGGCCTACCGAGGCTTCGACTACCGCCTGATTTTCGATGACATCGATGCGGAGGACATGTACCTTTCTGAATCAACGCCATCCGACGATGGATTTGGCGATGGAAACAGATTGTGGCGAGGATAGGCTGGAGGTATGAATGAGTTAAGTGCGTCAGATCATATTCATACGACCACCCGCAAAATGTCGGCGAGGAAGCGACTGACGTCCTGACTCCTTCCTCGCACGGGTCAGGTCGTCCACCCCAGGTACCACAATTCTTCGCGACTTTGTGTGGGTCTCCAACCCAGACGGATGTGCCTAATATTAGGGACACTCGCGGATCACCAAATGAATACCAATAAATAATAAATTCATACTTGTATACGTGCACGTGGTGCACGTGATCCGCTGTACGGAGTAGTCTGATAGTACTTAGATAACGCGCCTCGGCATCGCATCCCTGTCTCCGGGCATCGGATCCAGGCCGCCGGCGATGAAGTCATCGCCAGTGCGGATGCCCATAATTAATCATGATACTACTGTACACATAGAACCGAGCTTCCATTGCGCTGTCAAGACAACCTTTCACACACACACTCACTAGCATTCGCTCTCTTCTCTCCGCTAGTCACACGCACCGCAAACCATCACAATGGCGTCCAACGTTGGCCTCGACATTCTCTCCAAGAACCTCTCCTACTTCAGTGTACGTCTTGTCTCGTGCGAGCAGAGCAGCCTGATATACTGACCGGCGTCTGCGCCCACGTAGGTCCCCGCCGCCTTCCTGTGCGCCCTGGGCCCTCACGTGTACGCCATCACCAGCGCACAGAGCATCTACGACAACCGTGACCCCCGAACCTTCAAGGACAAGGTCGCCCAGACCCAAACCCTCGACGCCGCTGTACGTTGAACACCAGCCAGAGTCGGCCCGTAGAGTCCACGCGCGCAGTGACTGACGTACCCTCTCTCTCCACAGTCAAAGTCCCGTATCACAAAGGCCAAGCAGGCCTCTGAGAATGGCTTCGAGACAGTCGGCTTCTTCGCCGCCGCCGTCGTCGCCGGCAACCAGGTCGGCATCGAGCCGCGCATTCTCAACGCCCTCACCTGGGGCTACGTCGCCTCCCGCATCGCGTTCAATGTCGCCTACGTCCACATGTGCCAGGAAACGAGCATGAGCTTCCTCCGTTCCGCCTTGTGGCAGGGCGGCGCATGGACCATTGTGAGTATCTGGATCTCGGCTGGACTCAAGGCTATGAATGCCTACGTGTTCTAAGTTAGACGGGAGAAGTGGTAACGTGGGGATTTCTTCTGGCGTGGCCGTCACAAGGGGGGGGGGGGCTGCATGGAGTATGAATCAGTCTTGATGTGATGGAATACAAGCTTGGATCCACCCGACCATCGTCGTGCAAGTGCTATGCATACATACTAGTACAGAACGTCATCCTTCCAGCAGGCCGTGGACATGGCAGGGTGCTGCCCACCAGCTTGACCGACCTCGTACAATGAATAGATTCAGGGTATAAAAGAGACGCCCTGACATCTGAGAGGCTTTAAAAATCAGCTGGCTGGCTCTGGAAACCAAAAAAAAAAAAAAACCACCTGCCAACCTCTAGACATCGACTGTACTTACCACCTGCTACAATACCACCGTCCTTGCCTTCGACAATGCTCGTTCTCGTCGGTTTCTTCGCCGTGCTGGCCGCTGCCCTTCCAGCCCCGATGACCATCTCGACAACTCCTCGGCCAGCACAGACGCCAACGCCAGCGCCGTCGTCAGCTACCAGTCTGAGCTGCGACTATGCGTATTGCGACGGGTCCTCGAGCTGGTGCTTCTTCTGGGCCGGGGTCACATCCTACGATTTCTCCCGTGGACCAGTGCCGGGAGAGACGAGATCACAGATTGGACTATGTGGTCAAACGTCATATGAGATAGATCCCGTGCCATCTGACGAGCCTGTATCCAAGTCTCTAGCTCTGCCAGAGCCGACGATGCCCTCGACGCGGCACCGATGAAGCGGTTGCTTGGAGAGGGCCACAGGTCCACAGAGACTAGTCTTGGTCTTGCAGAGCTTGTGACGGAAAGTACGTCGGTCAGATTTCGTGCTTCTCGAGAAACAGGCAAATAGGCTGGGTCTGTGTAAGGCAGAGGGACTGTTCAAAGTTGCCACAGTGCAACACGCTTTATACGTTTAGATTCAATGCATCTCTGCTCCTCCAAAGCTCCTGTTCCGAGTGAGTGTGGCTCGCCCTTGCGTGGCCCGGTTCCACCGCTCATGGCTCGGCCTGCGGTCAAGTGCAGCCGAAGGTTGCGCACGGTTCGTTGCACCGTCCCGGCCGTCACCCTGTTCAACACCAAGCATGGCATCTGCCGGCATCGACGGGTCGTCCTTGATTTGCGCAACGAAGAAGGACGCAAACAAGACGCAGACGCCACCCAGCGCTAGCACAATGGCAAGGCTGTGGTCCCCCGGCGTGCCGCGAGGCTTCTGCCAGATCTTAAAAATGATGCTGGAAGCCACTGTGGCAATCATCTGTGGCGCCGCAATGGCCATGTTGTGAATGCCTAGAATCACGCCTGCCTGGTCCGTCTCCTCGTCCTCTGCCGATGCGTCACTGGAGGCTTCGGAGGCCCCGTTGCTGGACCGGTTCTTCTGAGCGCGGATTAGAGCGTCGCGCCGGCTAATCTCGGCACTGATAATGGCCCATGGCGCCCAGAGGGTCATTGCCCAGGTGATGCCGACGAGGCCAATGAGGGCAGTCGCAGCCTCAACAGACCGCACGAGGACTGTACAAAGCATGGCGGCTGCGTACAGCACCAGAGACCCAAACCAGGCTCGTTTCAGCGTGAATCCTGGGATTCTGAGACGATCCAGCATCGAGGGCTTGTCGTCATCGAGTAGCGTTGATGCCGTGTCAGTCTCCCCTGGTACCTGTGCAACCACCGGCACGCTGTCGTACGTAGGTGCAATGAAGAAGGGTAACAAGACGTTGGTGAGCAGACTCACAACCGAGTTCATGAGCAATGCATATGTGCCAATTCTGGTCGCTCGCTCATAGAGCCTGTCCAACTCCTCCGGTGGCATGTGGGGATTCTCTCGTAGGTACGGCTCCACATATATCTCGCCAATGTAGGACGACGTGTAGAACAAGAGCGGGAAGAAGCCTATCCAGGCGAAGAACTGCACCTCGCAGACCCTCTTGATCTGCGGCGGCAGGCGTCTCACAGATTTCACCAGTGTGACGAAGAAGGCCAGGACCCCGCGGTGGTTGGCGGGTGGCGGTCCCTCTTGGCGAGGGTCCCTTTCCTTGATGACCATCGTGCTGAGTATGATCGTCGACGCCAAAGCAATGGACGCCAATGTGCAGAGAATCTTGAACTGAGTACCGCCAAAGATCCACAAATAGGCAGGCAGGTCCAGGTAGCCCGCAATGTACCCGAGGATGTTGCCGAAGCCCGTGATGCGACTGGCCATTGCATTCGCAGCCTCCTGCTGATGGGCCGGTGCGCAGTCAACGATGAAGGCGCGAATGGCAGCCTGCACGGTGTTGATCGCAAAGTCCAGCACATACACCCATATGACTGCCACCACAATGGTCATGACCCTGACGCCACTCGACTCAACATCGGCACCAAATGCCCCGGCGACCCCTGTCACGATCTCCTTCGTCCATGCCAGCAGCAGCAACGACGCGACAGTGACCGCAGAGCCTCCGAGCATGAACGGCTTGCGCTTCCCAATGGACAGACGGCAGCTGTCGCTGAGCATACCGACATAGGGCTGCACCAACGTGCCAGTCAACGGGCCGGCGATCCACACCAGCGCCATCAAAGACTTGCTCAGACCCAAGGAAAGCAAGAAAGGCGAGCCATTGGATAGCTCTACAGACCACGCGATCTGCAACCCGCCGATGCTGATAGTCAGCAGAATCAGGTACCAGACACTCTTTGTTCTTTGAGTTTCGTCGTCATCTTCAGTCCCATCTCCCACGCTCCAGCCTCCATCCGCTTGTTCATTGGGTAGGATCAGGGGTGCTCTTTCGTCGATTCTGCGGTAGTTCGTGACATGCTCGGGCGCCGAAGCGTGATGAACGTCGTCTTGTTGCTGCGCAAGAGACGTGCTTAACGATTTCGAGGGAGTGGTCGCGGTCATCGTCTGTGATGTAGATGGTCGTGTCGTGTCTGTGCCCAGGGATGTTCGAGGTTGCAGTACAGACGCGAGATGTAGTGGTTGTAGAGCAGAAGGAAGCGTCCGCCTCCTAACCTAGCGTTGCCTCAGCCGCGTGATGCAAGCTAAGGGGCAGTCATTCGATTGGGAGTGATGGTCCACGAGAGCAGAGAAAGCAGGTCTTCGATGAGGTTCACGCCATCGTCAGACGACGCGAGTCGCGCCTCGAAGTCGGGGTCTGGATCAGGTGGTATGACTCGCGAGTCACGGGCTGTATGCACTGGGTCGAAGCCTGAAGAATTTCCGAAAGAGCGACCCCGGGGTGAGGAAGGGGTTGCGTCACATGGTGTCAGGGTCCAATGCCACCCCAAGGTACCTTACCTTATCGATAAAAATGTGTGCACTCGCTCACAGACAGCCAGAGATGAACAATAAAGCATTAGGTTAGATGGAGCACGATAGATTAGTAATTAACAGCTATTAGCGAACCGAATACTGGAGTCAAATTCCCAGGAAATCCAGACTTTGGGAAGCACTTGCAGTTGAGGCAGGAATGACGACGTGGCCCTTTCAAGTTTTGAGGTGTGAGGGCAAGCTGCTCATGTTGGCATGTGGAAGTGGGCTTGGAGCTTTGGGTTGCAAAGGAGCCACTGATAAGCGCCAAACCATGATCAGGTTTTGGGTGCCAGTTGCACTCGACAGACTCCAGTCTTCCTTCACCGCGAAATCTTCTTGCAGCTTACCAGCTTTGATGACTCCTGGGTTGATAATCTGATGAGACAGACAGTCGGTCACGGCACCGGCTCGCAGTCAAGCACCGGTGAATTTGCATGCCAGCCAGGCAGCCAGTCAATCAACATGTCCGCGTCTTTAATGCGGGGCTTGTTACCCCAAACAGCAACAAAACAACAACACCAATCTTTCAATGCCGTCAACCCTCTTGACCTCAGCGTCTCTGGCCCCGACCCTAAGATCTTCAACATGGCACCCGTGCCTCTCGAGCAGCAAGTCAAGTAAGATTGCAACTGGCGCGGTACGTGCTCGAGTGCCGAGACTGACTAACATGCCATCGCTAGCTACCAGTCTGTCGCTCTAGTCGCCGGGCATGTCATCGCCGCGGTGCTCCTGACTGTGGGGGTTGGGCGGAGCCTGTACCGGTCCAAGCGCGCTCTTGGCCCGGCGCAGGACACGAGGGAACGACGACACTCGCGCGCAACGCTCATCCCGGTATTTGCCATCCTGGCGTTGTTGAGCTTGGGCAGTGCGAGCTACGCGGCCCTTCAGCACGCTGTGCTATCGTACAAGGTCTGGGCTGGAGAGCGAGACATCGCGGTTCCACTCAGGTACGTCAATATTCTATGGGACATGTCAAAGCATTCACTTACACAGACCGCAGAGTCTATGGAGACAAAGGCCTCTTTCCATTTGGGGAGAATGCAACAGATGTGTACCCAGGTCTTTGGATGACCGACACGCCTGTCCAGCTCGATAGTTTCGAGATTCTGGCCGAACGAGCGCGTCGATTCTGGTGGGGGCAGCAGATCGAGATGGGCCTCATCCCCTGGAATCTGTTCCTGTCCGTCGAGGGTCGCCGTCGCAACATGTCCAATCTGTGGGCGTACTCTCTGCTCGGCCAGCTGGTTTCACTATCGTTTGGACAGAATCTCTTCTTCATCGCACTGCTGCTGACGCCGTCACCCCTGCCGCCACGGGTCGGGCGATTCTTCACCCTGAAGCCTAGCACGTGGACGCCCTCCATCTTCATCAGCGCATCGTGCCTGGGTCTGGCATATGCTGCCTTGTGGAACGCACGTCAAGCAGTCAATAGCCCAAACGCTGCTCCAGCTGTGCTGCTCAGCAGATCGCTCACAGTGATGCCCCTGGTGCTGCCGTACCTGTTGCCAGCAAGCTGGGGTCGCACCTTGACTAGTCACCGCGATACTCACCAAGCCTACGCGACCTTGTTCAAATTGGCATCCCTCGGCAGCTTCGTGCTGCACGTCAAGGTCTCGTACGAGGGCCTGCTTCACAGCGCACCGAGTGCATACTACCACCGCCACAGCAAATACTTGCCGTTTGACATGGAGAAACGATCGGCATGGGAGAGGACAACGAGCGCCATTGGGAGGATCTTGAGCGCAACCTCGGACCATCCTGTGGTTAGTGGTGCTGGCTTCGATGTACTGCTCTCAGGGACGAGCTTGGGTCTTTGGGCAGCTGTGCGCGCGACGGATGTGGCCGACATTCTCGCCGCGTCGATTCCGTGGTACACGCACGCACAGCACGAGAGGGACTTTGAGCATCGCGATGCTGACAAGTCCCCTCGGGCGGTAGCAACCAAGACTCACCATGATGAGCCGGCTCCCTCGCCGCGTCGCCGCGGACGACCTCGCAAGGTCAAGAGAGAGTCTGACTCCGTTAGTGACGCCTCATACGAGCCCACGCCATCAGAGGCTGCTGCATTGGTAGAAGGCGATGAAGTTAAGGAAGCCGGCGAGCTGGACTGGGAATCGAGTGCTGTTGCTTGGGGGCTGACAGCATTGGGTGGTCTCGGGGCCGGGAGCGCGGGGGTGTTGGGCAGTGAGTGTGTTGCGCGGTGATCGCACGTAGCAGCTGGCACTGGACTTCAGGTTGTTGGATAGCAGAGCTACCGCTGGACAAAGGGCAACAGCTGGAGAGGGAGTATGACTACAAGTATGTCAAGTGTAGGCGGAAACGTGGTGTCCTATGAGGCACCGCAAATTTCTGAACGAGCATTGAGAATCTACACAAGAATCAACATAAAGTGTTGTGTCATTACCTTGTGGACGACAAGTATGGGGAATAGGGTTCGCGTAACGTAATTAACGCAACGTGACTCTGGGGAGCTTGAGAGCTGGAGATTCCGGATCCGCCGCCTGCTGTCAAGTGGAGGCTGCATGAGAGGACATGGAGCTGTCGCTGCGTCGGTAACTAATGAGCCGCCTCCAAGCCATCCATCGAAGATTGCAACGACCGCACGGGCCGACAGCGCTCGCCAGCGGCACAGTGGGCACAGTACGTTGGCCTGGCGCCCGTGATATTGAACGAGTGGCGGTGGAACTGACGACCTTTCATGTCCTCGTAATCAAAGAAAAGGTGCAGCAATCATTAGACTCTTTCAAGTATTGGCATACGCTTTCCCCACGCTACGTCGAGTTATGTACATTCCAGCAACCACAGGCAGCAGCAGGCTGCAGGCTCCGAGCTCCGTCTTCCGTGAAACATGACACTGGACAGGAATCGCCGAGAATTGGCCAAGAGGGACGGACAGTGGCCACCGCCTTGCAATTGCTGTTAGTTCTTGTTGGGTGTGACCGTGTGGGCATGAGTGGACGCCGGAACGAGCTCGGTCGAATTCCTGGTTCGCTGAGGTGACGTCTTTTGGGGTGACCCGTGCGTCGGGAGTCGAGAGTCGAGGGCCTTGGAAGCGGCAAATTCTCTTTCGCGACAATTCCCGCGTCTCCCGACTGGAGTGCTACTGCGTAGCCCTTGTCGAAATCATCCGGGGGCTCCGCTTGGGGGAAGAATTGGGTCTGGAGTCGAAAATGGCTCATGCTCAGAGGTTCGCTACGTACAGTACACGATAGGTACGTAACTCGATTACGGTGCTGAGTGCTCACAGGCCTTCCCAGACCCTTGGCGACGATACGTCGGGGTACGTCGATGGGATTGAATTGTTCATGCAAAACACAGCAATGCGGTCATCGTCCCAAGAATTCCCGAATCATCGCCGCGAGCAGCCTGTGTTGAACTCGAGCCTCACACCATGTCCCTGGGTCGCCAAACGTGATAGGGCCGACAAGGTCCTTTGTCATCGTACTGTGTCTCAAGTCTCAAGTAGCGGCGACATTTCTTCAGCATCATTCGGTCGTAGGTCTGGCCGAGGCGTGGGGGTGTCTGGTCCTCTCCCACTCCGCACACATGCTTCATCTGTCAATAGTGAAACTGGTGGCTGGAAGCCTGGAAAGACGCAGCACGGACAGACTTTGCAAGTCTAGACATATTCACCATCCAGAGCAACACACATTCTCCGCCTTGAGAGAAAAATTTCACACACCCAATGCATGTGCGTATGTGTGTGAGCATTCGATTCGTTCTGGAAGACAGACCGGTCCGGCCGGACAGGCGACGGCCATAACGGCTGGGCAGGTGGAAAACTGGAAATGGCTGGGCCGCCAGTAAAAATGCCTAATTATCGCATCGGAACGGTAGCGCCGCGCCCAGCGCGTTTCTCGCTTGCGGCCTTGAGTTGACAGTCTTCCCTGCAGGCACCAGACTGAATCGGACTGGACCGAGTAAATCAGGGGCCCAGGCCCCTCCCATCCCCCCATTCATCCCACTCGTGGCTGCCTGCCTGGCAGCTTCCCGCGAGGTACGTACTCCGTGTCTCGCCTCGCCTCGCCCGCCGGGCCTCTCAATCCTTGGTGCGCATCCTCGCGCTTCGTGCTCTTCAGTTCAGTTGTCATCATCGTGGAGTCGGCCCAGGAGGGTGGAACCGACAGCGCCGACCCTCCATTTTACCACGAATCCCACCACCCATGATCCGCCCAGTAGGCGCCATCATCAGATGCCCAGCCAGGCCCCAGCCCGGTCTTGTCTGCCCGGATCTTGGCCCCAAGAATGCCTGTCTCCTCTCGATCCTCTTGCTGTCTTAAATCCAGGGTCTCCCACCTCATATCTTTGCTCAGTCTACGGTCACCATCGAATACTTATTTACATGTTTGAATCACTCGTGCTATTACCCTCTTCCAACACCTCTCAGAGTCGATCCCAACGTGCAAGCCGCCGCCTCAACTGAGCCTGCCTACCAAATCAAGTAACGAATCTCGCGTATCACGCAACTTCCCCCGACCACCACAACCACCCATACCACCAGTCCCGGACACAGACAGTCGCTCGTCATGGCTATTCGTGATCGAGTTCGCCGTGCCCTGCACAAGTCCAGCACATCAGAAACAGAAGCTATTCAGATCCGGCCCGTCGCCCACGCCAACACCTTCGACTCGGGCTACTCCGGCTCGGGCTCGACCACACCATCCTCCCTCCATCGGGCGAACACAAACCTCACCGCTGCCTCGACATCGCCGAAAGCTCTCTGGTCCTGGACGTCGCGGACCGATCAGGAGAAGGAGAAGCGCAGGAAGCAGAAGGACGAAGAGAAGGAAAAGGCACGGCAAGCCAAGGTCAATGCCGCGAGCAAGGCCAAGAACAAGGGCAGGCCGGTGCATCCCCGCGACAAGCCATTGACGGCCCAGAATCTTAAGCACCAGGAAATGCTCAGCGGCTTCACCTTTGAGTTCGGCTCCAGCCCAGACCGCATGAGCCAAATCTGCACTGATTACGAATGGAGCCCCTGCTGCACACGCGCCGCGAGCATCGACGGCGATCACACAGACGGCAGCTACACAACTTCGGGCGCGTCCACCACCTTGGATTTGACGCGAGCCTAAATGAATTCGCCAAAGACGAGTACGAATTTATCGCATATTGTAAATTCCTTCGCTTCGCTACCCTCGCGTAGGAAACGACTAATTCCCTGCTTTACCCGGTCGCATTCGGTTCTTTCCGAAAAGTGACTGGAGGCGACGACTGGAGGCGCCGCCACGCTGCATTCTGGCCCCCGGGCCCGCCAGCCCGTCTAAAGCCGCATGCCCACGGCGGTTGTGGTGGGCGTGCTCGGGTGAGCCTCGACCGCGCACGACACTCACCACACCAACTCGGCGTGGTCATGCCGACGGTTGATCATGCTTGGCGCGGCAGAATTGATTCTGCCGCAGGTCCTCTGTCGGAGAACAGCGAGATCTTCTGGGCACGTCGCCACGACAATCTCAGCGCGCACATGACGGCATTGCACAGCTCAACAGAGCAGATGCACAGAGCCAGTCACCACGTCCTAGGTTGCTTCGTCTATTCTAATGTTGCATTATGTGCAACTATATTTGACACGACGTCGCATCAACAAGCAAGCGTCTCACTTGGAAAACTTGAACCGAGCCCATAGCTGCTTGAGCCGTATCAGGCGACTATACCTGGCGGGCTCCAGCATGAACAACCAGGTTGTCATCGACTCTTCAATGTTGGTGCTGCCTACTCAGCATAAATATCTAATAGAAGGAAGTGCCCCACGTCGGGACCGACGTCGGCACGGCTCTGATGGTTGTACAACTACAATAGACTTAGACATAGCAGCCGTCATTCATATCGGCCTTGCCATTAATGATACAACGATTACCACCACAAAGACACTGTGTCTGTGATACCTGCATGCGTAGACAAGCACACTCGGATGCGCATACGCCAAATGAGGATGTTTGTTTGTCTGTGCGTGTCAGATGGCCGAGTGTCCCAGTCCTGACCATCGCTGATGTAGTATCGAAGCATGTAACAACTGATAAATTACGAAGACCTTCACTTAGTGAGAACACTTAAAGGTATCGTACTCAAAAAACGTTGTCGGAGTTATTCTCGTCTCGTACAAAGGCAACGAGTGCCCCGGTATCCGGCTCAAGATCAACCTTTGGGACGGTTGACCGAGCGATGGCAAAAGACGGTGCATTCACGTCGAAGAGCAAGTAATTACCTCTATTTGCAAGCGATGCGTACCGCCTTCCTCAGCCAATATAGGCCAGGCGACGCAGGCTTTGGTTCGATATCTTGAATTAAGTTCATGTCTCACACAGAATTTGCCCTGCGCATCGCGAAACCCGCTGCCGCAAGCAAGACGGGCAGCACAGCCGGAACATTCTTTTCGCCGGTGGTCATGGCCGAGCTGTAGCATCCTTGCACGTGACCTTGGCGCACCACCACTCTTGCCCTACCTACCGCCCCACACGCCAAAAATTCACAGCGTCTGGGTGAAGTCGACCAAATCTCCGCCCTTCTTTTCGACCTCGCCCGAAACCATCGAATTCAACAACGAGCACACACAAGGCAACCGACCGCCCAGTTGCCCATCATGTCGCTCGTCTCCGGGGAGAAGACGAACTTCCAGTTCGTAAGTGATCACCACACCACCCTCTTTTTTCACGATGGCATTGCCCAGCAGAGCACGACGGCGGCGCGCGCATTTACTTCGATGGAAACGTCCACCATACATGCGACGAACACATGACTTGGAGGATATTGGCTAACGTGGGCAATAGATCTTGCGTCTGTTGAACACCAACGTCGATGGCAAGCAAAAGGTCATGTACGCCTTGACCAAGATCAAGGGTGTTGGCCGTCGTTACTCCAACTTGGTCTGCAAGAAGGCCGATGTCGACCTGAACAAGCGGTATGCAGGACCACCCACGCTTCGAGCAGAGAGGAGAGAAGGAGTAAAGACTAACAATCGTCCGCAGTGCTGGTGAGCTCACCTCGGAAGAGCTCGAGCGTATCGTCACCATCATCCAGAACCCCACGCAGTACAAGATCCCCACCTGGTTCCTCAACAGGCAGCGCGACATTGTCGACGGCAAGGACATCCACACCCTCGCCAACGGTGTCGACTCCAAGCTCCGCGAGGATCTCGAGCGCCTCAAGAAGATCCGCGCCCACCGTGGTCTCCGTCACTACTGGGGCCTCCGCGTGCGTGGTCAGCACACCAAGACCACCGGCCGCCGTGGCAGGACTGTCGGTGTCTCCAAGAGGAAGGGTGGTTAAACGATACGGCGCGAGGAAGCATCATGATTCTACTACGTTTTGGGAGTGGGATATTAGGCGTGACGGCTGGGTTCTCTACTTTGATGAGCATATTGAACGGATTGCTTTCGGGAACACACGGCTAGGATCGACAACAATGATCAAAAAAGCATTTCAAAAACAATCTGATGTGCATACGCAAAGGTGTCCACGCTCAAGGTGTTTGCTGCTTGAGGACTGATATAGGGGGTATCTATCAACGTTGCATCTATCGTTAGTCTTCGTGTGTCACGGCCATCTCCAAAACCTCGGCCCGCCCCTGCCCCTTTGTCTCGTTCGCAATAAAGTCGGACAGCGCCTTGTACGCGCCCGGCTCCACGAAGCCCACGACCTCCCACTCGGACCCCATGACATCCTGACTTTCCACCTGCTCCACGTAGCCCAGGATCCGGTCCTTGACGGTGCCGGGGGCGGCCGCCTTTTGCTCTCCGTCGTCCTCCTTGGACGCACCCTTCCCGCTGCCGCCGCCGCTGGACTTGACAGCCTGCTTGAGCACGTTCGTGGAGCATGTGACCCTCAGCTTCATGCGTGCCCTGGCCACGGGAATGGGCTGGTGTGCAATGAGTGCCTTCATAGCCTCCAGGGCCTGGCTCTTTGCGCTCTTGGTCGTGACGACGCCCGTCCAGTTGTGCTCCTTGGCCCGCGAGGGCTTCGCGTCGCCCTCTTCGCCAGCCGTTGTCGTCGTCGGGGTGGCCGTGCCACTCGCCGTGGCGCTCTTGTCCGCGCTGTTTGTGTGCGCCGCCGAGCTCAGCATGTCGAGCGCCTTCTCGATCATGCCCGACGTGTACACCCTCTTTGTCCTCGGGTCGACGAGCTTGCTTGCCACGATGCCTATCAACTCATTGTGCACCCGTTCTAGCTGTGCGGCCCGCTCCTTTTCGCCGACTTGTAGTTCGCCCTTTTTCAAAATCTCCAGGATGATATCATCGGTCGATTTCCCCTTGCCAAACGCCTTCTCGATGTCCTCCTTGGGAGCTGTCTGGCCCTTTGACACATTAAGAAACACGTTGGGGATCTGCAGGACATTGTCGAGATCCGTCTCGATGCCGGAGCGGTACTCGAGGACCTTGTTCTTGTAGCAGGCGATCTCGAAGCGCTTCTTGCCCTTTTTGAGGCGCACGAGCGAGACATTTGTGAGTTTGATCTGGTTCGACGGCTGGTTGATCTGTCGTGACATGATGGCGGCTGTGTGTGTGTGTGTGTGCGAGCTCTGGAGGAGAAGACAAGAACCGGAAGCCTCTGTATGTTGTGTTTACCAGGTATATAATGGATGGACCTGGCGCTGGGAAATGACGACGACTGCAGTGAGGATGACGGACATGTCATATTCCCAGGTGCCCGCCCGCCTGAGCACAGCAAGCCTGGGCCTCCAAAATTTCATTCGAACCCCGCCAAAGGGCATTCTTGGTTTTGTGAGTGTTGACATTAAAGTCAGTGGACTGGTGCTTTGCGCGAAGAGCTATATACGCTGCATAGCGGTCTTTATCGGCATTAAAATTTGGAATTGATAATACTCTTCCTGTGAATCAATTACATCGGCAGCAGATAGTACTTATGAAAGCACCGTTGCTCATAAACGACCCCAGCCTACTGCCGGCGTGGTCCTCCAAGTATTGTGTCAGCCTTCCCCCCACCACTGGAGGCTCATGCCCCGCCTTCCAAATTCAGTCCTCAAAAGGACCCCTTGACACTTTGAGTCACAACGGACTGGCCGACTGGGACCTTTCTAGCGAGGGACAATACGAGACTGTGACTCGACTCACCTCACACTCCCCAGCGCTCGATCATTGACCATCGACCACCATGGCCGATTCTTCGCAGCCTGTGCCACCGGCACCCGCCGACGTGGAAGCCACCCAGGCCACCTCGGGCGGCCAGAAGATTGATCCCTGGAACGTCTCTGGCGAGGTGGGAGAGGATGGCAAGGTCAAGGCCATTGACTACCACAAGCTCACGAATGAGTTTGGCACGTCCCTGATCGACGACAAGCTCCTCGAGCGCTGGGAAAAGGTCACGGGTCACAAGCCGCATCGGTTCATGAGACGGCAGATTGTGTTCAGTCACAGGGACCTGTCACTCATCTTGGATCGCTACGAGAAGGTGAGTTTCTCAGCATGGGATTGAATTTCACCGGCTACACCGTGGCTGACATATTGGCACAGAATGAACCTTTCTACCTTTACACGGGGCGCGGACCGAGCAGTGACAGCATGCACGTAGGCCACACTCAGGTGTTCGACTTTGTCAAGTAAGGAGGCCAGCCCATGAGGACCTCCCGCAAATAAAGCCATGTTCCTAACCTTGCGTCCAGGTGGCTGCAGGACGTTCTCGACGTGCCCCTAATCATCATGTTGACAGATGGTGAGCCTTGCTTTGTCTCTAAGCGACGCGACAACTTGCCAGTCAACTGACCCGTTGGCAGATGAAAAGTTCCTCTTCTCCGAGAAGCGCACCGTCGAGGAGGTTATTGGGTACAGCAAGACGAATGCCATGGACATCATTGCCATTGGATTCGACCCGAAGAAGACTTTCATCTTTTCCGACTTTGAGTATGTCGGTGGCGCATTCTACCGCAACATTGTGCGCTTCTCCAAGCGCGTGACGTACAACACCGCAAAGGCAATCTTTGGTTTCGACGGAAGGTCGGTGGCTGTCTCTGCTCGCTGAGCTGTGCGTGCGTGCGTGCGTCAAGGCTTACTCTGTCGCAGCTCCAACATTGGCAAGATTCACTTTGCCAGCATCCAGGGCGCCACCGCCTTTGCGACGTCCTTCCCGCACATCTTCGGCGCGGACGAGAAGCGCGTGGCGGGCATCCCGTGCCTGATCCCGTGCGCCATCGACCAGGACCCCTATTTCCGTCTCACGCGCGATGCGGCGTACGGCCTGCGCTACGCCAAGCCCTCCCTCATCCACATGCGCTTCCTCGATGCCCTGCAAGGGCCTGGCTCCAAAATGTCGGCCAGCGACGCCAACTCGGCCATCTTCCTGAGCGACACGCCGAAGCAGATCAAGACCAAGATCAACAAGTATGCCTTCTCGGGCGGCCAGGAGACGCTGGAGGAGCACCGCGAGCTGGGCGGGAACCCCGATGTCGACGTGGCGTACCAGTATCTGCAGTTCATGATGGACGACGACGAGGTATGAGGCGTTGCCTGCGATGGGAGAGTTGAAGGCTAATGATGGTAGGAACTCGCCCGCTTGAACCGCGAGTACAGGAGCGGAGAATTGCTTACTGGCGAGGTATGTCTGCCACATGACCCCGTCCCCCTTGTCAAAGATGGCAAGCCGCTCATACACACTGTGTCTAGATGAAGAATGTCTGCATCGAGCACTTACAGAAATACGTCACGGGGTTCCAGGAGCGCAGGGCCAAGGTCAACGAGGACGTTGTCAACGAGTTCATGGCGACGCGACCACTGGAGTGGGCCGGCAACCCCAACGTCCCGCGCGCCGACCTCGTGGTGCCTGTCAAGGCCGAGGGCGGCGAGTCGAAGGAGGGTGGTGAGGTTGGCGACGGCAAGCTGTCGAAGAATGCGCAAAAGAAGCTCCTGAAGGAGCAGAAGCTGGCGCAGCAGAAGGCGGAGAAGGAAGCGGCCAAGGCCGCTACACACGCGTCGTCATAGAGATAAGACAAGAAGTAGAGATGCTTGCAAGCCTACAGTCGCTTTTTTATCTCGTCGCGATCTCAATTGTTCCATCTTCAAATTCAATGGGCGATAGAGTTCCAACTTTCGGCACGATGTCGTGGATTGGCACGAACCCCGGCCGAGCGACGGTTCGGATCCGGGGCCGATAGTACACGAACACTTCACCACCATGTTTACCCGGCATCGAGCTAGTCCACTATCAACAATAGATCGGTGCCGCGCCGTCGATCAACGGACTGCAGGGTGTTAGTCGAAGGATCGCTGTGCCGGTAGGCAGGAAGATATTACGTCGGTCAGCCCCGTCAGTCGTGCACGATGAGCTCTCTTTTTTTTTCTTCTTATTTTTTTCTTCCTTCAGTGTGTTCATCGCATACGGTCACTCGATCGTGATTATATATCATTTGGTCAAGATGCGTCTCTCCCAGTCTGCCCTCGCGTTGGGTGCTGCCGTCGCCTCGCCGGCTCTCGCCCAGGAACAAAAGGTTCTGAACGGCGGCAAGCTACCAAGTTTTGACTTTGGTGCCATTGACCAGGATAGCTGGTGGTCGCCCCTCGAGGATCTCTGGGGTGAAGCTTCCAGTGAAATCAAGGCTACCTGGAACGAGGTGTCCATGCTGGTGCCTGGTGCCCTCGAGACGTTCAAGAAGGCGACGCTCGCTCAGCCAGAGCCAGCAACGAGGCGCCCCACGAGCGACTATGAATTCCACGTCAAGGGCGTCGACGTCGCGGAGATCGTCGTGGAGACACAGGGCGGGACGCACCGCAAGGTGGACGGGGATTTGAGCGACTATGGCCTGAGGGTGAAGTCGGTCGATCCGTCCAAGCTCAAGGTGGATGATGTGAAGCAGTACTCTGGTTATCTGGACCAGTACGAGGAGGACAAGCACCTCTTCTTCTGTAAGGACATCTCAACGACGCGGCACTCGAGTATGGATAAGAGATGAGAGGCATGACTGACCAGACTAGGGTTCTTTGAGTCTCGCAATGACCCCAAGAACGACCCCGTGGTCCTTTGGCTCAACGGTGGTCCAGGATGCTCCTCGATGGTGGGCTTGTTCTTCGAGCTTGGTCCGGCCCGGATCAACGAGAAGCTGGAGCCTGTCCGCAACCCGCACGCTTGGAACAACAATGCGTCCGTCATCTTCATCGAGCAGCCGGTCAACGTGGGGTACTCGCACAGCCCCAAGACCGTCAAGGACTCGACGCAGTCGGCCAAGGACATTTACGCCATGCTCAGCCTGTTCTTCCATCAGTTCCCCGAGTACGCGGCGCAGGACTTTCACCTTGCCGGCGAGTCGTACGGGGGCCACTACATTCCGGCCATGGCGGCGGAGATCTTGTCGCACACGCACCGCAACATCAACATCAAGAGCGCCATGGTCGGCAATGGCCTCTCGGACGTGCTCACGCAGTACGCCTACTACAAGCCGTACGCCTGCGACGGGGCGGGCGGCTGGCCGGCGGTGCTCGAGGAGCCCGAGTGCGAGGCCATGGACAAGTCGCTGGACCGGTGCCAGTCGCTCATCCAGCGCTGCTACGACACGGAGAGCGCCTGGACGTGCGTGCCGGCGCACCTGTACTGCAACAACGCGCTGATCCTGCCGTACACACGGTCGGGCCGGAACCCATACGACATTCGCGACCCGTGCGAGGACGAGGCGAACCTCTGCTACACGGGCATCAAGTACGTGACCGACTACCTCAACCAGCGCGAGGTTATGGAGGCCGTGGGGTCCGAGGTGGACCACTACGGCAGCTGCAACTGGGACGTGAACCGGGACTTCACGCGGACGGGGGACTGGATGAAGCCGTTTTACCGGCTGACGGCCAAGGTGCTCAAGGAGATTCCCTTTCTCGTCTACGTGGGTGACGCCGACTTTATCTGCAACTGGCTGGGAATCAAGGCGTGGGTGGAGCGGCTCGCGTGGGCGCACAAGGATGCCTTTAACGAGGCCGAGCTGGGGTTCCTGACGTATGGCGGGGAGGACGAGGAGGATGGCGAGAAGTACGGGCGCGTCAAGACGAGCCACAACTTTACGTTTGTCAAGATCTTCAAGGCCGGGCACATGGTGCCTTACGACCAGCCGGAGGCGGCGAGCGACATGATCAACCGCTGGATGGCGGGCGAGTGGACAGCCTGATCTGGGGGTGGAGTGAATGCTTGACATTGATGTGCAATTTTTTTGTTGATACGTACGTACGTCTGTAGTGATCAATTGGGTGCCAGAATAAGACAAGCTTCCGAGGATGTTGGTCAGTCCGACGCTACCCTTTCCAACGATCGGTTACGCACGCACGGTACCCTACGGCGGCACGGCCTAGGGTAGAAAAAGTGCCTCCGTCTCTCCGAAGAATAGAGGGGCCAACGGTCCCGGGGAACGTCGAAAAAGCCTATCAAGGCGACCCACCCGGATTTGTTGGGAGGCGGTCATGCAGGTTTGCGCGGCGATCAATTCCAGCGAAGAGGCGTCGCCTTGCTGCGCAGACTGTCCCAGCTACCGTTGCCAATGAGCCCATGAGCGTCTTGAACAGATGGTCTAGGCATTCCTCAGCTTGCAAGAAGCAGCACATTCGGACCTTTGGTTGTTCATTATCACTAGTATTGGTAGCTTGCGAATTTGTGCACTTGGCAGAATGAAGCTGGTGTCCGTCATGTAAGGGTCCACCGGCAGCCACTAGCGCCTCAACAACAAATACAGCCAAGACTTTGATCTGTTAGTGGACTGCAGGATCCTTGGTGATAGCACTATCAGATACAAGTCCTCGGCGACCCCCACTGCCTGATCGGGACCGCCCCACCGCTGGACCCCTGGCCGTGGACGTTCCCGAGCCCCAACTTCTTCTTTTTTCTTTCTTTCACGCCGCAAGCCCTCATGTTTCTGGAAAAGAGACATGTGCTCACTGCGCGCGCCCCCAATGCCGAGGTAGCTGGGACGCATGAGGGAGGGTCCCTTGCGCAGATTCCCAGGGTCCGATCTCACATGAAGACCGTCGGCTGGGAGTCGACCGAGCTCGAGTCTGTCTGCGACTCTGTCGCGATCTGATGGTGATAGCAGTCTCAGAGCAACAGCATTTGAATGATGAGTTGGCTTCCCAAGTATACACGAGACACCAGCCAAACTCAGTTTCTGTAGCTCAGCAGAAGAACCGCGTGTACGTCCGGGGACGTCCACCAAACTCCAAGCTTGTGCAACCAAGACAAGCTTGTTGGGTCTGCATTGCGTACGTACCCGCCCCGAAATATTATCATCACAGCCTCTTTGCATGCCAATCCGCCTCCCCAAGGGCACCGCGCGCGTCCCGGCGTCTCCACTCCCGCTTATACGTACATGTAGAGTCCTCAGTCGAATTAACATCCGTTCATTTATACCCACGGGCCACATGCAGTCGCTCTACCTGTCCGTCTATCTTCCTACCTAGTCTGGAGCCAAGACAAGCGAGGTTGCACAACATTTCGGAGCAGGTCCCTCTTCCAGCCAGCTCCTTCCCCCTCTCAGTCCAACCAACAATTAGTCCTGACCGACCGACTGCCTGCCTGCCTTGTTGTCCGTTCACGTCAAATTCGACATTCTCCCATCTCTCCATCCATCCCTCTTCGTCAGCGTCGTGCTTTGTCACGGACCTACGCCCTGGAACATATCCTCATACCGGCTTTTGCGACTTCTTCCAACCTAACACTCGGTTATAGTCGACCTTCAGTCGACAATCTGAACAAGCGAGCGAACATCCATCCTCCGAGTCCCCCATCTTCACCAACAAAAAGCCCACAATGTCCGACACGTTGAGCTTGCTGGCCACCATGCCAGAGCCAGCGCTCTTTGCCTTTCCACCAACCGGCCATGCGGCGCCTGTGCCTCCCCCAGCCGCGCCCAACTCAATCCTGCACCCGCTCAATATCCCGGACACCTGGTTCACGGCTGCGCTTGACGCCAAGGTCCCCATCACCATTGCAGCCACCTACGCCGTCACCGTCAAGCTCCTCAACTACTACAACAAGTCGCGTGGGAACAAGGCCTGGGCCGTCTCCAAGACCGGCGCCTTCAAGGTCCTCGTCATCCTCCACAATGTCTTCCTCGCCGTCTACTCGGCCTGGACCTTTGTCGGCATGCTAGGCGGCATGCGCCGCAGCATCGTCAGCCCCATGGCCTCTACTGGCCTCGCTGGCACCGCCGACTCCTTCTGCCGCGTCTTCGGCGCCCCGGGGCTCGGCAACTCCATCTACCACGACGACACCACCGGCGCCTGGGCTACCCTGGCCGCCGACGGCGGCGCGTTCGACAACGGCATGCCCTCGCGCGCCCAGGGCGGCCGTCTCTGGAACGAGGGCCTCGCCTACTACGGCTGGATCTTCTACCTCAGCAAGTTCTACGAGGTCATTGACACCCTTATCATCCTCGCCAAGGGCAAGCCCAGCTCCACGCTCCAGACGTACCACCACGCCGGTGCCATGCTCTGCATGTGGGCGGGCATCCGCTTCATGTCCTCGCCCATCTGGGTCTTTGTCCTCGTCAACTCCTTCATCCACTCGCTCATGTACACCTACTACACCGTCACCGCCTTCCACATCAAGGTCCCCGTCGCCATCAAGCGCTCCCTCACCACCATGCAGATCACCCAGTTCCTCCTCGGCGGCTCCTACACCATGCTCCACTCCTTCATCTCCTACGTCGTCCCCATGACCACGGTCAACGAGGTCTCCGTCCCCGTCGACGCCCCCTCCGCACCGGCCACCGACGCAGGCGCCCTCGACGCGATCAGGAACCTCGTCTTTGGCAACGCTGCTGGCCACGTCAAGACCGTCCCCAACGGCTCCATCGTCGAGTCGACCCTCAGCGCCCAGACCGTCCACGTCAACCAGCCCTGCATTATGAGCGCTGGTGAGACGTTTGCCATCTGGCTCAACGTGCTCTACCTCGCGCCCCTCACCTACCTCTTTATGAGCTTCTTCATCGCCAGCTACCTCAAGCGCAGCAACGCCGCCCAGAAGACCAACAAGATGAACGGCAAGGGCTCCAGCCTGGCCTCGCGCAGGCTCAGTAACGAGGTCACGCTCGCCGAGAAGGCCGGATGGGACGCCGCCAAGGGTGTGCAGAAGGAGGTCTACGGCGCCAACGGGAGCGCCATCTCCGACGACGACACTCCCAAGAAGGGCAAGGCCGGCAAGGGCTCCAATAGGAGGGCATAGAGTGAAGACAGTTGGGACCAACACAAGGAAGTGCTGAAAGAAGTCGTTCGTTCACAAAGGAGATTGCGTTTCTGCATTTACTGTCATTTTTCGGGTACAACGCATTACATGGCATCCGGCGTCGGCATGGGGCGTTTTTGGGTGGTGATGGTCTTGGTTTTGAATGGACAAAAAGGAAATTAGGCCGTGTGCCCTCGGATCGGAGCTTGCAAACGATGCTGTTGCAAACGATGCTGGGTGGTCATACCTTGATTAATAACTACGCAGCACTGATATTGCTTCAAACCCGAGTCAGTCTTTACATCGCTAGTGGAAGTTTGATAAGAAGATCTGCGTGATGACATCTGCCGGGATATGACATGACGTTCACACGTGGGGTACAGTACAGGGACTCGGGACAGCAAGTTTGACGCAACGATTTGATAAGTACTCATCCAAGTTTAGTATATATCGGTAGTTTGAAGTTCAGACCATCTATATGCGCTCTATTGTTCTAAAATTCCAAGAAAAAAACGCCTGCCAGGTTTGCTCATGGCTCAAAAGACTCCGCTGTATCTGTGTTTGTAGTAAAGCAAAAGCAAATTAGCTGTCCTCGGCAGCGCTCGCTTATCGTAATTCCAAACGCCAGGCCCAATCTAAATGTGCGGCCAGTTCAAAGTATGTGGTGCGTGTGTATATGTCGATCTTGAAGTGAAGGTTTGATCTGTGGAACGCAGATGACATCTAGAAAGTGCTCCATGACCAGTCGCGAGGGACGCTGGCGGCCGCGTTGGGGCTCTTTGCCAGCTGCAGGCCGGCCTGTAGATTCTGGCTCGGCTTCCCGGCCGCGGAGATGGGCGTGACAGGCATGTCATTCGACGACACGGAGCTCGAGCTGTGGCTGTTGTTCCGGCTGTGCCAGACGCGATACTCCTCAAAGCAGTGGTTGCAGGTGCGCGACGGGGCGCCGCGGGGGTTGTAGTTGGCGTCCTGGTCGAGCGGGGTCTCGTAGCTGGAATGCTCATCGCAGAAGATGTTGCCGCATCGTCGGCAGTGGTGGCGACGGACAAAGTAGCTGAAGCCGCGCCGGCAAGTGGCATCGTCGCAGATGGAGGATTCCGGGTCAGGCTTTGGGGTGATCGTTAGCGCTCTGAACGATGAATCACCGATGGGACAGTGGGACAATCTCTTACCTTCCAGTGCTGTCGCGTCGGAGCGTCTGTCACCTCGGGGAACAGCTTGTGATCGAGGGTGCCGACGAGCTCCTTCTCCTTGGCCAGCTCGTCCGTGGAGCGTCGGCTCAGCCTTTGGATGACACCAAAGCCAGGCACGTTGCGAAACGTCCCGCTGTTCGAGTTGCGGCGACTGCGGCTGTGCTCTGACACTGGCGAGTAGGTGCCCGTGCTGGTCCGTGAGACTTGCGTGAAGTCGCTGTTGGGTCGCAAGACAGCCGGCATGTACATTGGGCGACCACTCTGGCGATCATTGTTGCTCTTGGGCGACGAGGGCATGGATGATCTCTGCTGCTCTTGGTCCGAAGTGCTCAGCGGTGAGATCTGCTGGGACCCAGTTGGGGTGTGATAAGACGTGGATCGGACATGCTGAGGCCGTTGAATACGCTGCCGAGAGTCCTGGGGCTGATGCTGAGGGGTATAGGGGAGCTTCTGCTCGGTCGGTAGCATGTTGGGCATGATTAAATCGGAGGCCATGTTGAAGGCGAGTGTGTAGGTGTTGTGTGGTCGATTTGGGTATCTGGTCGCGTGTCGTTTCGAAGAGGCGGGGGGGGCAAAAGTGATTATTAGGCGTGAGGCGTGGAGGGGTTGGTTGGCTGTACGTCGTGAGTGGTTTGTACGAGTGCGCTTTTCGTGTAGGACGAGTCTAGCGAGATGCTGCGGCGTATTGTCGTGTACCACGTCGCCTTCTGGTGAAACAGCCGCCGTGAAGGAAAGAAGCAATGTCTAGATTCTATCGAGGATTCGAAAAGCCATGGAATATTGGCATGGAGGGGGCCCAGGGGGGTTGATGAATCGGGACATCGGGGTCTTTTGTTGGAGTGCCTCGTCCAGCCTCTCTCGCGCCTTCTCCATGGAGCACTCGAACCGGAGGGACGACGGGGGTGGGCACCTGCCAAGATGTCTTGGGACCCTCCGAGGCCCTCAGGACCCTCAGGGAACCCTGCACTGCGGCCTCTGACTGGTGTGTCGCCCTATCGTGCTCGCCGTTAGCGGCTCCCGGGTGCCTGTAGCCTCTGGCACGTCCTTACCCAAATAGTGCAATACGACGTAGCCGTTCTCCGGCGCTGACATTCTAGGCCCGGCAATTGGCCGTCGCGTCGACACTTGTGCAGCTGGCCTCTCATCCACTCACATCTCAATTTGATGAGAACGGTGATCTTGGTCCTCGTCGGGGACAGGACAGATTTTCCCAAGTTGATGGTGTCGGGCGTCATCCTCCATCGGATTCATCGTCGATGATAATTATGTGACGGCATGAGAGGCTGGGGCAAGGATCTTCTCCTCTCCAACGACGAAAGAGGTGTTGGAGATCAGACTCGAGGCTTTACGCGACCAACACTCAGGCACCCTAAGCATCCAAGTTACCAGACGTTGTACATTGCCAGTTTTAGCGTCGTATGTATATACATACTAATCAACAGCCACCTCATCATTCCATCTCCCATCGTCCGCTCTTCCCCCCTTCCTTGAGGACGACCCTCAAGCCCTCCACGCGCATCCCCTTATCCACCGCCTTGCACATATCGTACACAGTCAAGGCCGCCGTGCTCGCGGCCGTCAGCGCCTCCATCTCGACCCCCGTCTTACCATCGCAGGACACCGTCGCCCGGATCTCCACCCTGTCCTTCTTCTCCTGGTCCTCGTCCTCGCCAGGCCGCAGTTCCAGATCGACAGAGACGTGCGAGATGGGAATGGGATGACACAGCGGGATGAGATCCGGCGTGCGCTTGGCGGCCATGATGCCGGCTATGCGTGCCACGGAGAGCACGTCGCCCTTGGTGAGGCTGTTGGCGCCGATGAGGGGCAGCACGGTGGGCTTGGAAAAGTGCACGGCACACGCTGCCACGGCCGTCCGGCTGGTCGGCTGCTTCGACGAGATGGAGACCATGTGCGCGGCGCCGGACGGGTTGACGTGCGTCAGCCGGGGCTTCTCGTCGTCGTCTTTGCGGACGCGAGGGGCCGCTGCGAAGAATCGATGCTGCTGCTGTTGCTGAGGATGGCGAGCCGAGCAGGTCCTGCCCAAGGGCAAAAAGGGGCTACGAGGGACTTTGAGAGGCATGATTATGACGACAGGTGATGTTGATGCTGCAGGGACATGATTCGGCGGTTTTCATGGCGTTGATGAACAACAAATTCGCGCCGAGCAAAGTCACTTACCCCAGGCCCCACATCATGTCTCGCCGTCCAAGACTCCAAGTATACTACGTACGTGAATGTACGAATTTGCCTATGAGACTAGGGTATATCATGGTAAAGACATAGATATCGCGTGTGCGAAAATGTTCACCCACCTATCAAGATCATGGGCCTATTTTTCATGTGCTCCAGCTCGCCCATGCCAGCATGCTTGGCTTTCTTCCGCTTGACAGCCATGCCAATGACGTGCAACAGCTCAGCCTCCGCCGGTGCGATCCCCAAAGCTTGCTCATGCGGTACCAAGCCCTGCCGCCTGTCCATCTCAATCTGCTTCATGGCTTCGTAGGCTTGCTCGTCGATGGGACTACCGCCGTTGGCTCGCCGTAGAATGTCGCGCAGCGACACCTCTGCGTTCCCAAATAGGCAGACCTTGAGGTTCCCGTCGCTGGTGATGCGGAGGCGGTTGCAGGTGCCGCAGAAATTATGCGTCATGCTCGTGATGAAGCCCAGCCGACCGACGTGGCCCGGGACCTGCCACGTCTTGCTCGTGTCGTTCTTGTGGTCGCGTACCTTGTCCAGGCCGGGGTAGTGCTCGCGGATCAGATCCAGCATCTCGCCGTAGCTGTACATCTTCTTCTTGCTCCACTTGTTCCCGTCAAAGGGCATGTACTCGATGAAGCGGACCTCGACGTCCTTTTCGCGCGTCATCTCGACAAAGGGCAGTATCTCGCGGTCGTTCACGCCCCGCATGACGACGCAGTTGATCTTGAGCCTGATCCCGGCCCCCAGTCGATTCATCTCCAGGATACGGTCGATGCTCTTCTGCACCGCCGCGAACCCTTTGCGGCGGGTCATGATTTGGAACTGAAAGGGGTCGAGGGTATCCAGACTGAGGTTCACGCCCGTCAAGCCCGCCTCGACCATACTGTCCAGCTTCCGATGGAGTGATATCCCATTCGTGGTCAGGCAGATCTCCTTCAGGCCATGGGGTCTCAGGGTACCGAGCTGTTGCATCAGGGGCACTATGTCCCGCCGCACGGTAGGCTCGCCCCCCGTCAACCGAATCTTGGTGACGCCTTGGTGCACAAAGACGGACGAGAGCATGAAGATCTCAGGTGTCGTCAGCAAGTGCTCGTTTGGTGAGAGGGGCACACCCTCTTCGGGCATGCAGTAGACGCATCGTAGGTTACAGCGCTCCGTGACGGAGATCCTGAGATAGTCGTGCTGACGGTGGAGAGTGTCCGTCAGGAAGTCGGAAAAGGGCTTGGTCTCCTTGAGCCGACTAGAGCGAATTGGAGTTGGTTCTGGCGCGGGCGCGATGCTCCCATCGATGTTGCTGGTGACTGGGGCAGCCGAGGAGCTGACAGCTCGGCTGGAAGTCTGTCGCGGGGCTGCATCCCAGTGGCGACTCGGTAACAGCGAGCTCGAGATGCCATGTCGAAAAGTCCGAAAGGGACGTGTCCTCTGCGATGCCCCCATACTGTCGAGTAACAATAATATATAATGCGTTGAGAGTGGTGTGCGCTCAGGCGACTGACTGACTGGCTTGAGCCAGGGTGGAGGACCCTGATCAACGGTATGTTCCGCACCTAGGCGAATGGTTTGGAAATGCGCATCGTGATCCGGAATACGTGCAGCGAAAGACAGAGCCAACCAGTAGTGCCGGGTTGATAATAATGACAATGATGTGTAGGTACAGTGGGGAATAGATCGATGGGATTTGAGTCAGAGTGATGTGTGCGTTGAGTTATGAATCCGCGGACATGCATGAAGCGGCATCGGCTTGCAATGAGATATTACTATTGTACTCCGCTTTTGCCGCCCTCAATGTCCCGTCCACCTACCCTGCACCAATTTTCGGTGGCCTCCAACGCAGTTTGTCGCTTACATGTATCGTAGAATCTCAGGGTTCTTTTGTATTCCTGTAGATATCGAGCAAGACAAACCGTCCTAGCAGAAGCTTTGACTAGAGTTGCCATGCACTTTAGAGTAGAGACAGTAAAGTGTAAAGTACATCAGCGATGCAAAAATGCTGCGTGTCGTTCCGTCAGACAAGCCAATGAACTGCTTGTTAGCAAAGTATGAGTCGAGATCATAAGTAGCTGCCCAAAAAGGCACTTGCTGGCCATTGTCATCAATCCGACATGGAAGCACAACCCTGGAAGAGGCTAGAATTAACTATCTCTTCCAACAAAGGTCTGGTTCAGACTCGTCGAGTGCTTTACACATCGGATACGATGTGGCCATCAGCCCCGCCAAAGTAAACACTGCAGACAAACACCCCGCTACGCGTCCCTCGACGTTCTAGTCGCGACCAGCGCATCAACCACCAAGAATACGCGACTCAAAAACGTCGTACTCGGTGCCGAAAGCAATTGAAGAATTATCTGGCCGTGGTGGTACTTTTACAAGCGCATGATGGATCTCATATCAACTTGTCGTCCAGTCTAACCGTCTCCTAAATACCCAAGACCTAGGTCGGTCCCCTCCTGCGATGCACTTCTCGCCAGCTTTCCCATGTGAGCACGACGCCTGCGCTCCCTCCCACCGTCTCGAGTCTGACCCTCCACAGCCTCGCAACATTGCGTCGTCAGTCCCAACGGTCGTCTTGTCGCCACACTGAGCCCCGACGGCATCCACATCCGCGATGCACGCACCTTGCAGACCTTGAACGTCGTCTCCCTGCCAGCCGGTGCATCAAAGCCCATCACAACCTTACTATGGGCTCCCTTGTCCACCAGAGTCTTGGTCGGCTCTGCGGACCAAACCCATGTACTGTCCGCTTTATATTCGTCGGACCATGCTGCCATCCTGAATCCCCTGTCCGGCATGGGCAAACCCTCACACACCCAATTCGGGAGCACGCACAGAGATTCAGACATCTTGGTATACTCCCAACAAGGACTAAAGCTTCTGGTCTATGACTTGCGCACCTCCAAAGGCTTGGAAATTCCGGGCCCCAAATTCTACCAACCGTCTTCAGCAGCAAGAGGCCTCTCACTACGTGCCTCTGGACACTTGGCCCTCTTGACGAGGGTCAGTGGCAGAGACCTCATCAGCATACACAGCCCGGAGACACGGCAGATGCAGAGATCATGGGCTCCCGAAACCATCGACGCACACGGCATCTGCTGGTCCCCAGACGGCCAGTGGCTCCTGGTGTGGGAATCACCGGCGCATGGCTGGCGCGTGCTCCTCTACACGGCCGATGGCCAGCTGGTTCGGACATTTCCCGGGTTCCACGATCCCACAGACGAGGACGCCAAACTTCGTCCTGGCGTGCGGTCGTTGCGTTTGAGCCCCGACGGGAAGGGCTGCGCAGTACTGGATCACTCCAAGGAGGTTGCGCTCGTGGACACGACCTTCTGGCGGAAGAGTGCCACTTTGGTGCACCCATCCGCTCTGGCTCCCAGCGAAACAGTCCAGGTGTGTTACCCTGCGTCTGCATCAACGTAGAATGAGCTGATAATCGCAGGTATGGCAGGAACAGCTGCACGCTGCGTCGGTGCACCCATCCAGCCGCACGTTCACCCGCGCCATGCACGAGCTCACCTTGCCACCGCCACCCGCTGACAGCAAGACACCCCCAGAGCTAAGAACAGGCTGTGGCCTTGCGTGCTTTGATGCCTCATCCAACCTAATCGCAACCAGAATGGAATCTTCGCCAAGCACCGTCTGGATATGGGACCTGGCAGCCTCAGAGCTGCGCGCGGTCCTCATCTTCCATTCCCCCGTCTCGTTCTCCTGGCATCCCGTAGTGCAAGAGCTACTCCTCATTACATGCAGAGTCGACGAGAAACGGACTTTGCTGGCCGTGTGGGATCCGCTCATGGATGGCCCCAGGAGTGTGCCCTCTGAGCAGGCCCTGTCCTCGCAGGGCAAGATGGAGGCGCATTGGGTGGACTGGGAGAACGAACAGCCTATCCTGTTGCTGAACGATTCGCAGAGTTACTGTTTCGTCTCCGTCGGCGAGGGCGAGGGCGAGGGCGAGGCGCCAGGAGCCTGGGGGAGTGCAGAGTCAACATTACTCGGCGGATCGGTCGGCAGTGCAGGGATTGTACAGGGCATCGAGGGGGACGATTCGACCATGATCGATGACACCTTTTTATTCAAGCGTGGGTGAAGTCTCCAGATTGGCTCCAGAATTATCATTCAGCTTTATGCACAGAAAAAGTAAAGAAATCTGAGGACGGGGTGTTGTGCACCTTGGGAGCCTATGTATTGCCATGCGGACTGTTGTAACATCTTGCGATTATCTGTATATAGCGTGTAAGCGTAATGACCAGCACGCTAAGGTGTATGCGTCGCTGCTGATACCGAAAAAAAAAAACCTCAGTTCCCAAAGTCCATCTTCAAGGCGATTGAGGGCTGTCCCGAGTCACCATCGCTAGCCTCTCTCACGGTGGTACGCGATGCCAGTTGCCCCGATCGGATGACCTCTTCCAGGAACGACCGTTGCCCTGCACTCATGCCCCCGACGACGGCCCTGAACACCTCCTGATCAGTGGCAGCCAGCTCGAGCAGGCGCGAGCTAGTCTCGCTGTAAAGCCCCTCGCCTTCAATCGTGGTGCGGGCCAGGAGCGTGGGTATCAGCAGCGCCATCGCTGGTGATACCCGGCTCTTGTCGACGGTGGTGACAAACTGGCACAGGGACGTGGATACGAGCGATCGAGCGCGCTCGGGGTCTTCCGACTCGGCGTCTGTGACGAACGCGATCAGTCGAGGGAAAAGGTACCGAGCGATGCTCTCGTCGGCCGCCGTGCGGGTCGGCTGTACAAGCAAAGACCTGATGCAGTTTGCCGCGATTTTCGCTGTCTACACGTGTGTGTCAGTAGGGATTGTGCCCGTCGTCTCAGTGAGGTACGTACCATGCGATCGGTGAGGCAATCAAGGACCTCATCTAGATAGCGGGCAACGAGAGGATCAGTGGCAGGCATGTGATTCTCGCCGCTCGTGAACAGAATCGTCGAGGCTAGTAGGCAATTGCGCACGCAGAGAAGCGAATTGTGCGCTTCTCGTTTCTGCGCATTTAGGTATATCGACAGGAACCGGCGCAGACAGCCCTGCAACTGCACATCCGTCTGCGAAGGCCCTTCGTCTGACGGCTTCCTGGAGGCTGACATGCTGCGAACGAATCGCTTGAGCGTGGGCAAGGACTGCGGGACAATCATCTCTTGGCAGCCCGATGTCGCCAGTGTCGTCGCGAAGATGTGTATGATACAGGCGTGCAGGTCCGTTTTAATGATGGATGGGAAGACCTCGGCGGCGTTGACCAGTGCATCCAGTGATGAGCGCACAAGTAGAATGGCCTCCTCGTTCATCTGGTGCCGTACGGGCTGATTGCCCTCGGATAGATTGGGGAGCAGCCCAGTCAGTGTTAGCACAATGATCCTCGTAAGCTCAAAAAGCTGATCGATATCTTCCGAGAGGTCGCCTTCTTCGCTACCGTGGCGTCGCGCCGAGGGGTGCGCGACGCATAGCGCACTGGATATCTCAACAATGGCGCCTTGCACATCTAGGCCCTCGGTCAGGACCAGCCGGTCGAGTAAGTCCATGGTCTCGGCGAAGACATCCGGCCTGTAAATCGCGTGGCCAGAAACACTGGGGTGTAGGATCTTCTTGAGGGCTTGCAGAATGGCCAGTGTTTGCTCTTGCGTGGCGAGCGAATAGCCGTGGCTGGGGCGTACAGCTAGAGCCTCGAATGCGAGGCCAAACAGTACAAAGAAGAAGGCAACTGGCTCATCGCGGTAATTGATGCCAGGCCTCTTCCCTTGATCGTTGCCAGCGGATTCGATAGTCCCTTTGCCGTCGAGAGCATCGAAGACAAAGTTACTGTCTTGCTCGATCAGACTGGCGATCGCATCTACAAGCTTCAGCCAAGCGTCTTGGTAGAATCGGAGTAGAGTCTCGCGGTTCAGGGCCGCGTAGATGGTATCTAAGCTGCCGGAAAGCGAAGGGGGTCCCAGAGTCATGGAGATGTCTGGCTCGAAGCGCAGCTGAGCGAACTCCCGTAGAGCCTCCAACCATAGTGGTGTCAAAGTACCGACGTGAGGCTTCAGAACGTCCAACAGATACTTCTGTTCGGTGCTTGCCACCTGTAGTTCAGCCCAGGCGGAGAACACAGATAGCTTGACCATGACCTGCGCGTTCGAGCTCAGGCCCTTGAGGTCACCAATACAAGCGTTCTCTCCATCCTTGGCAAAGCTCTCTAGGGCGTTCACAAGTGTCTTCAGAATACGTCCCATGCGGTCAATATCGGTGACAATGCCAGTGGAGATGAAGCTAGCGCAAATGTTGACGGCCTCTGAGGCCAGCTCCGGCGATGAGTCGGCTGCAAAAGCCGGCGTCAAGGCAGAGCTGATTTGCGCCTGGTACTGCTCGAGAAGCATGGCCTCCTCAAAGTCTGGATCAGGGGCCTTTCCAAACATTCTCAGAACAGCGCCGATGATCTTCAAGCCCCAGACGCGCAGCTCTGATACGCTGGAAGTGGACGCCGAGAAAGCCATGCGAACGACATCTGCCACTCTGGCTTGCAGTGCGGCCTGAGCTTGGCTTTCTCCATTAGCCATTACATCCTTAGCAACAAGCACGAACATGGCGTGGATACAACTGACGGCGAACGTCGTGACCTGCCATCGGAGCGGTTCGACTTCAGACGTCGCCGGGTTGTCCTTGTCTTGCTTGACATCTCCCGATGCCGCAGCAAAACCTGCGACTTCTTCATCGTCTAAATCAGGCATGCCACCTTTCCCCGAGCCTACTGCTTCTTCACGGCCTTGTGACTTTGCCCTTGTCATTTTGAGGACCGATTGAAATCGCTGCAACCAATCCTCCGTCTCGGCAAGACAGGTTTGAAGCATCCAGTTGCGGATCAGATTTCTGATGCCGTCATGCGAAGGTTCGGTATCAAGTACTCTCCATATTTGCTCCTCAAAACCATCATTCGCTTCCCTGAGCACGTCGCGTGGTTCTCTCTTCATGATGTTGTACAATCCATCTACCGCAATGTCACGCAAAGTGACATTTTCGTAGTGAAGGTACTTCTGTAGGAGTCGGACGTATTCCCCAAACTGCATATATCCTGGCGCGTATAATGAAAGGTGCTCCAGACAACCCAGAGCAGCCTTTTGCACTAGCAGATCTGATTCACGTTGGAATTGGCCCACAAGCACGAAGATGAGCTCGCGTGACTTCAGAGAATCCTGCAAATCAGGACCCAAGACGTTGATAAGCGAATCGACTCCCTTCGCAATCGCCGCTGTCGTGGGAAGCTCCATTTCCATGTTCATGGTGACCACAGTGGAAACCTCGCAATGGTGAGTTTCCGATACGTAGAGCTGCGCAAGCATGCCCAGACTGCTCGGGACGTAGCCTGCGAAGCTGAGACCAGCAGCATCAGACGCTAACGACAGCGCCTCCAAGGCCCAGTAGTGGACAGTCGAGTGAGGATCGTTGCAGAGAGACATGAGGATGCCGAGAATTGTCTTCAAGTGGTAACCCGCAGCCATGCCTCCGACCTTCGTCTGGATGGAACCAAGAGCCATGGCGCAACCGGCTCGTGCGCTTGGCTCTCTGTTGCTTACTATGGTGTCGACCAGGAACTTGACCTCCTGGTTGGTGAATGCATTGCCGTAGACATTGCAAAGGCGTGCAACGGCAGCATACCCCAAGCTACGCACGTACTGATCAGGATCGAGCACAAAGTCGCGCACGATATCCTGCAACAACCGCTCAACTGCCATGTTTTCGACACTGCCTGATGTTGACGTCGTCTCTTTCATTGCTACGCGCATTGTTGACAAAATGGCCGTGGCTGTGTTGACGTTGATAGCGGCTTTGCGACCAGGATCGCGCTGGAGGGGTCCTGCCGATGCAAATGTGCGTATCTGCTCCAATATGCTTTCCTGGACTTTTGCCGGCGTCAAGGGGAATGCAAAGGCGAACAGTTGGATGGCTGCATCGATTACTTCGGTGGCTGGCGGATGCGGTGTAAGACCAGCGCCGTAGTCGCCAATGTAGAGGACGGACGCATCGTGTTCCAAGCTTCCGCAGACGGGAGATCGCAACAGGGCATCGATGGCACTTTCCGGGGTTTCGTTATCTGTGACTGCTTCAACTGAGCTTTGCTGCTGCCCAGGCAGCTTGCGTACGTTGAAGCCAGATACCAAACCCGTGATGCCGAACCCAGTGTTGTCGCCTACATCCCAAATCGACTCGAAATTGCCCGCCGCGTTGGCAATCGATGCGCTCAGCGAACTGGGGGCGTAATTTTCTGGATCAGCAAAGAGAGCAATCGCAAGTGTCAATAGATTTGACTGGAGAAGAGCCTCGCTGCTGCCGGCTGGGCTCAAGTTGATCAGCTTGATGTAGCATTGCAGGACGCGCCGTTGTACCATCAGATCGAGATCCTGCAGCTGCAGTGCTGGCGTCAGTCTTTGTGAGATATCCTCAGTCGTTTTCTTCGACGGCAGTGTTCGCAGAAAAGCCGTTGTACTTTGCAGCATTGTGGCTATGCGTTTCGAGACGTCGACAGTCAACAAGCGGCTATTAAACTGCAAGAAGGCGAGTATCGATCCCAAGGCACACTCTCTCACATGCGTCAGGAAGGATGATTCGAGCAGACTCCGGGCTGAGGTATTGTCCTTAGCTAGAGGCTTAGGCAGAGCATTCTTCCACAGCAACAACAGCTGCGAAAGATGGATCTTGACAAAGTTGGGACCCAAAGCCATCAACCCACCTATCAGAATCCATGCGACTTGGATCTGAGTACTCGATACACGTAACTCTGATTGACTACTCGACTTGAGTAAATTTGTAGCCATAGTCAACACGCGACTGTTCACATCCAAGGACCCGTGTAGAGGTCTTGATGGACTGGCGCTGAGGGTAGCCGCAAGGCCATGTGCAAATCCTACGCAACGTCTTTGCGAGTTGCGACCCCCTCCAAGGAGTGAGAGCTCCCTTGTCAAGCTATTCATGCATACAGACAGGCAAGGGAGGAGCTGCTGCGGACATGCCACCACGTAAACCTTCATGCAGTGTGAAGCATAGACTTGGACTGAATAGCTGGGATGTTGTAGGACCTGAAGCAAGCCGTCTCGGCAAGTCTCCGCGAAGCTATTTGACGCGGGCCCGAGTGAAGTCATCAGAGATGACACGGCACTGAGAACCGTGATAAGGGTGTGCTTCGAAGGCTCCGGCTTTTCGGCCATAGCCTGCGGGTAGTTCTTGAGAACATCGTTGATGAGTTGCTTCGCTGCCGAAATCTGGCCCGATTCTCCCAAGATCCGCCGTCCAATGACATCCTGAATGATTGTGTCAATCATCTTGCGCGAGATGAGCAGGCGGTATCTGTGGTTATAGATGGCCGGTTGCCCGAGTATGTCCGTTGTAAGACTTTCGACAATCCTGAGGTAATTGGCTTCAATCAACTTCTCGCCCAGCCTACGAAACAACTGACAATAACAGACGCCCAACGCTGCGCGTGTCCTATTCGAGGACGAGGATTTGACAAAGTGAGCCGCGAGCTGTTTCAACATATCGGTGAGCGACAAGGCGAGATCCGAACTCCGCTTACCGCCAGGCGCAGGACTATTCGTGCGAGCTGGTAGCTCCTCGTCATCTGCTGGGATGCCAGGGTGCGTAGAGGCACGCTTCAATTTTGGCTTCGTTTTCTTGCCCTTGCCGTCCGTTGTAGCAAGCTCCGAGTAGCCCTGGACCATGGCCTCTGCGAAGCAATCCGCAGCTGCATGCCTGACTTGCCCAACGGGGGAGTCGAACGCCTTGAGTAGTGCGCTCTCGAGCTTGTCAAAGTCGTTTGAGTTGCGGAAGTACCCAGTGTGCCGTGCTAGAGCTTTGAGGCAACGACATGCTGAAGCGACCACCAGCGCTCCCTTGTCGCTGGATGCATGATTTCGCCCTTGCTTCCAGATATCACGCGCAATGTATTCGTCGAGGGCTGTCTGAACCATGCCCGTGATCCTCTCGAGCGCCGTGAATATGGCAGCGCGGATTCCAGCATGGCTAGAGGCGGCTTTCAGGAACTTCAAGAGGGTCGAGCACGAGAGCTGATGCAGGCCAACTGCACTGTCGCCCGCGGCGGCGAAGACCTCTCCCAAACAAGTGACTGCGGCATGCTTGGTTCGTAGTTCGGCTTCTGATTTCGATTTGCCTCCCGAAATGATACCCACGAGATCATTGACAGTCTCAAACAGCAGCTTCCTGTCGCCCTTGCCGAAGATATGCGCCAGACATCTTCCTAGATTGGATCGAATGACTCTTGAAGGCGACGGTGTGGAGAGGTTTAGGATTTGAAAGATTTCCTTCTTCAAATAAAATTGTTGAGCTGTGCAATCATCGGCGTCGAGCTCCAGAACATGCTTCGCAAGTCCCGAGACGAAGGTAAGGAGATATAGGTCCTGCTGCTCGGAAGGCTGTGCTTTGAGTTTGCTCAAGTCAAGCTCGGGCGTCGCTGTCGTGGACTCATCGGCGGCGGTACCTGACGCAGCTGCAGTCGCTGTCGTGGTTGCTATCGAAGCTGTCGGCTGGTTGGGACGAGCTGGGGATTGCGGTTGGGATTGGGGCGGGCTGCTGGCTGGGCCGTTGTCATCGGTGGATGCCATCGCGGGTGTATGTAGACCCCTACAGCCAGTCGCAGCCGTGATGATCGTCGGGGTGATATGGGTGAAAGGGTTGTGAGGTCGACTTGGGTTGGTCCCTTGACAGCATGAGCATCAAGTGGGATAGATGTAGCTGCCAAATGGGGAATGGAAAGCACCACCCACCCCTGGGATCGTGCAACCACGGTGCCGGGGTCCGCCAATCATCGCGTGACTACCAGCGAACAATTATCTTCAAATCATGCCTCGACTCGACAGTGAAATCAGTTGTCTATTCAATTACTCTGTCTAGCTCATATCTGGGTCAAGATTATCCACCCTGCAAGAGGGTCCTCGACGAGAATGCGAAGCCAGCTGAAACCTCTTCTATCTCAACTCAAGCCCGCAACGGTTGCGCCGAAATGCCAGCCATGTCTACGACAGTTTGCGACTACGGCCATTGCACGAGCGGGTCACAACAAATGGTCGAAAACAAAGCATATAAAGGCTGTCACGGACAAGAAGAAGATGGATGAGCGCAATTCCTTCACCAAAGCCATCGAGGTTTACTCCAGATGTTCGTCAGCCTGCCACCAACCTGTACAAGGCCACAAATAACACGCGCAAATAGTATACGGTGATAATCTTGCTTTCAACCCCCAGTTGGCGAGTGCTGTCTCCGCAGCGAGCAAAGGTAGAACCTGAGGCTGGCTTGACAATTGGCGCAGCTGACCCAGATGTTGTAGCTAGCATACCCAAAAGTCTTATCGAGGGAGCTATTGCTCGCGGCCAGGGGCGTTCTGCTACTGGAGCGAAACTCGAGCCCATGACGATCGAAGCCCTGATACCTCCAAACATCGCTATATTAGTCGAGGCCGAGACGGACAACAAAGCGCGAAGCATCCCGAATCTCAAATTAGTCGTCAAGGAAGGGGGGGCTCTACACAGTGCAAGCGCCTTCTACTTTACAAGACGAGGACGGGCCATATTTAAGAGCAAATCACAAAAGCCCGATCTATCAGAGCTGATGGAAGAGGCTATCGAGCACGAGGGTCTTGAGGATATCGAGGAAATGTCTAATGGGAACATCCTGGCCTGGGTAGAACCAGCCATGCTCATGTCCGTAACCCAAACGTTTTCCAAGAAGCTTGATCTCGACATTGTCGAATCCGAGTTAATATTCGCCCCCAACGAGGAGACAATAGTCACCGTGGACTCGACCGAAACGGCCGAGATTCTTGACAACTTGTTCACCAAATTCAAGGAATATCCCGAGGTCAAGGGTATCTACGCCAATGTTCGCCGAGGCGATCTCGCCGAAGGAGACTGGGGACGAGTAGAAAGACATTTGGACATATAGTAGAGAGTCCTGTAACATTTTTTGTACAACATGACAAACAATGGTCGACCTTTGCTCAACACCAGCCAGAACGCCACCCATGCATGGTATTGTCCCCAGCGTGGTTTCTCGATACCCCACACATAATGTACATATTTCTTTTTGGATCTCATATTCTTATCGTATACGTTCGCGGTCTCAAGAGTCCGATCCGTTATTCGGTGGTTGCGATCCCCTAAGCTTCTCCTCTTCAAGCTTCTTAGCCTGCCTCAACTTTTGTCGCGCAACGATACGGTCGTACTCGGCGCGAATCTCTTCGCGATCGTGGGGAATGCGGTTGCACTCCTCAGGCTTGGGCCAGAAGTTGGGAACGGAGAAGCGGTCATCGAGGTTGGTGCCGAAATAGTACATGATTCCTATCGGAAACATGACATACATGCCAAACTAGGACACTGTTAGCTGGCGCACGATAGGACAACGCGGAGGACATGCCTTGAAAACTTCTAGATTGAGACCGCCCATCTTGTTGGTTTCTGTGGTTGGTGTGATGAATGACGTTCGGGTGTTGGTGGTGGTGTCATGGATGTTTGAGAACTAAGTGTTGGAGTAGCCGAATTCTGAGTGGTCAAAGCTTTGCGATAGTATTCCACCTTGTGACACTTTCCGAGTACCTACACACACCATCATTGCCATCTTCACAAAGGATGAGTTGCATTGCTGGCTGTTCCCAGCTGTTTGAAGGATATTTTACTTCACGTGGGCTTCCAGCACACAATGCAGACCATCCCATGCCATGTCTATAATTTCCCTTCAACGTTAACCGCCTCCATGTGAACCAAACAACCCAACCCAGTTTCCTAGTTTCCGCATTCACACGTGTACCAACCAACGCCAGTTTGATATGCTTGCAAGGAGGACCCGGTGCCCGTCAAACCTATGCTCCCATGACCCAGACAACCTCCAAGACCCAAATTAAGAATAATCAATAGTGAGCCAAAACCATCTACGAACTTTGTCCTGTCCCTTCTCGCGCATCTTCCACCATCATTCGCTCTGATAAGCTGCGAGGCTCTCCGGTAAACGTGCTTTGAACCAGACTGGCGCGGTAGCTGTATAGTTGGCCTTCTTCCACGCCACCAACAAATGTGTCGAACTCGCCCAGTGTTTCAGCTTGGGCATGCAGCTCGGGGTTCTTGACAATCGGCATCACCACAGGCCGGCCTTTGTACGATCCCAGAGATCCAACCTGGAAGCGCGAGGTGGTCGGCGTAGCCGGCCCCGAGCCCGCTGATCTCGCAATGGGGACACCTGGCGAAGCCACTTGTGGGGTGCGCACAGGTTCATTGTCGCGCTCTGGTGACGACGGTTCGGGTTCATCGTTTTGGAGAGGAGGTGGACGACGCCGAGGTCGAGGAGGGGCACTGAGGCCACGTCCACCCTCGAAATAGAACATGTCATCTTCCTCTTCGGCTTCGTAATCTTCCGATGATGTGTGGTCCTTCTCGTCTCTTTCTTCTTCGGAAAATTTGGGCGCCTCCTGACCAGCCGATGGTTCTGGCGTCGGGACCGCTGCCCTTCTGGAGGGAGACGCCGGTATGGACGTCTTCATCTGCTTCACTGGCCTCTTCCCCTCAAATGACCTAGACTTTCCAATGGACAAGAAATCCTCGTCAGAGGAGTCATCGCTCTGAGGCTCGACCCTGAAGCCCTCTTCGGTAGCATTGGCGTCGGGAGCAGAGGAAACGCTATGGACCCCGGTGTCTGGCGGATCGACAGATGACGTCTTGGCCTCCATTGTCCCTGCCGCAGATACATTGAGCGTCTGGTCGATTATTTCGTCGCCCCGATTATCGGAATCTGAATTCACCAATGTCCAAACCGTACCTTCGTCCAGCGGCGTCCTGGACATTGCTCGGAGGGCCTCTGAAGACGATATCTTGCGGGGCGGCACCGGCTTTGTGGGCTCTTCTTGCTCGCCAGTAGCGTTGTCTCCCACAATCTCATCAAAGGAGCGTGGCTGGTCTGCATTGACAGGTGAGGATGGTCCGGGGGTAAGGTAGTCGGAAGGCTGCGGCGAAGCGGTCGGGAGGATCTCCACGCCCTTGAACTCGAAGCGCACACGTCGTGGACTTTGGTGATTGTGCTTGGAAACACTCGAAGATCGGCGCAGTGCGCTTCGCCGTGCGGTCGTGCTGTCACTCCTGTCTGAGAGGGCCGATGATAATGTCGAGGATATTGTGTCGTCGGTAGCTGAACGCCCGTGGATAGGTCGGGTAAGAGGCGGCGACGACGACGAGCTCAGCCTTGCTTCTGGCTGTAAGTCCGACAAGGCTCGCCTGATACCCCCGGTATCGCTTGGCCCCTCCATGTCTTGACCCTGCAGGCGATGGGCCGTTACTTCATTGGCCTTCTTGACGCTTATCGATAAATCGTTACTTATGCCATTGGCAGCATCGTCTGTCTGGCTGAGAGAAGGACTGGTAGCGATTGTCGGCAGTGATGATGTAAGTGGCTGTAGGTGGTTGTTGATGGGGCCTGAACTGTCAAGCAATGGCAGGAAAAACGGAGTGAAGAGGCCTTGGAATTCCTTTTCACGCTCATGAGGATCGCCCGACGACAGAGTTGCGCCCGTTGGCGTTAGAGCAGCGCCGAAGGCCGCGCTCGGAGACAGCGGGGATCCTGCGCTCACTAGCTGGTGCCTGTCCTGATCCAGGTCCAGGTCACTCAATGGCGGGTGCGACGAGCTCGTATTAACAAGCTCAGGCCGCGTGGAGGCTATGTCAGCATCAGAATCGAGCGGCTGCTCGCGGCTGGCACCTTGCTGAATGAGCCAGGTCTTGAGGTCGGGCGCCAAACCGGGATAGTCGGCGTCGACACTGAGCGCAAGAGACTGGTTGACCTCGCGTGCGAGAGAAGGCTCAACGTCGCCCAGTGTTTGCTGATATCGATGCCCAAAATCAGCCACAAGGCCCTTGCGGTATACCTCCAATTTGCGATCAAGATCGTCCAGTACTTCTCGAAGTTCCGAGACAAAGGGCAGACCTTGTCGCTGCATCTGTGTAGGCGTCTCCATGGTGTTCGCTTAAAGCGATGATCCCGCAAGCGGCCTGGACTGTCTCAGCAGCGTCGGGGTCGGAATTGGCATGACGCAGATCTCTGGTCTCACAGTCCGGGGAGGGTGGAGGCCAGCAGCAGAGGAGAGCAGAGCAATTGGCCGATATGGGTCATTCGGACCGTGGCGAAGCTGGCGAGTGTAAATGGATGTCGGTGAGGGTTTTGAACTGGGTGAGCTTGTTTTGCAATTTGGACCCGCGACTCGGTCCTCGCTCGACACCCCCACCAAACACCACATCACCCTGACCTCAGTCATATAAGTGCATCATCCATGTACCTGGGTTCTTCATGGCACTGCCTTACCAATCATGAGTAAATGGGCTGCATGCTAAGGTGGTTGGCTACGTGCCGCACATGATGCACCATACTCGTGCGTAGGTTTCACGGTTCATGTCATTATCCTCAACCAGGCCAACGCTATCATCATGCTGTGTAATTTCTGGTCGTTGCTATACTCTCACTGGGGGCAAGCAACCCTGAACGAGTTCATAGCTGGTGACAAAGAACACAAGTCTCGTTCCTGTAGCCGTTGAATACCGCACTCACTGTGCTCACACATGGTGCTTACTCACATCAGCACAGCGTGGGGTTAGCCATAAGGTGAGGGAGTTTGTTCCTCCGAAAATACTATCCAGAAATCAACACGATTAGCACGCCCAATCGATCATAAAGTTGCGTGCTTCCTATGAGTATTCATAGTCCAGATACTACAGGTGCTTGTCAATGTTTTAAGCCCTGGTGCTGACCCGAGCAGTGAACCAACCTCCCGCGATGACATGCCTGACCGCCTACCATATCAAGACCCCTTTCGGATTTTGCCGCTCCCAGTTCCGATAGCTTCATCTTCAATTCAATGCCAAGGCAATAACCACCTAGCAGCGTTGAGCTCGACTTTCAAGCTCTCCAAGGTCGCGAGTGTGGACCGCATCTTGCGACATGTCAACCATCACCCTCACATCCATTCAATCGGGCAACCCGCCGACAATACCGCTGCCTTTCAACGCGAGGCAACCGCACAAGGTCACGCTCTACCCACTTTCCAACTACACGTTTGGCGTCAAGGAAACACAACCAGAGGAGGATCCGTCGGTCATCGCTCGATTGAAGCGCCTCGAAGAACACTACGCCGAGCATGGAATGCGCCGCACATGCGAGGGGATTCTCGTCTGCCATGAGCACAACCACCCACACATCCTGATGCTGCAGATCGCAAACGCCTTCTTCAAGCTGCCAGGCGATTATCTCAAGCCGGAAGATGATGAGGTGGAAGGCTTTAAGTCCAGGCTAGACGAGCGTCTGGCACCGGTCGGGCGCCTCGGCGAGGGCGAAGAAGCTGGGCAGTGGGAGATTGGCGAGTGCCTCGCGCAGTGGTGGAGGCCGAACTTTGAGACGTTCATGTACCCATTCATTCCTGCGCATGTTACGCGTCCCAAGGAATGCAAGAAGGCCTACTTCATTCACCTACCCAAGACTAGTGAGGTTTCCAATCTCTTGATCTGCATCGGAAGCTAACATGAACAAAGAAATCCTTAGCGTACCAAAGAACATGAAGCTCCTTGCCGTTCCCCTGTTCGAGCTCTACGACAACACCGCCAGATACGGCCCTCAGCTTTCAGCGATTCCTCATCTCCTTAGCCGCTACAATTTCGAATTTGTCGACGAAAACGGCAAGGTCGTCGCGGTAACGCCTGGCGAGGGGGCACCAGAGGGCTATGTGCCACAGACCAAGGTCCTCGCAGGAGACGACACCGACATGAAGGAAACGAAGGACGAAAACGAGACAGAGTCATGAACGGCGGATAGCATATTGAAATTTGGCATTGGCGTTAGGCGTTCACGTAGGCTGCGCATTGCATCGGTTGGAGATCATGCAGTGTTCTTTATTCGACTGAATTCTCCATAAAGGTCGTGAGCGACCTTAGGACTTTTCACCCTGAATGGTAGCCATCACGCGGCGCGAATGCTTCGAGGCCCTGAATTCAAGATACCAAATACCCTGCCAAGTGCCTGTCGCCTTGTCCACAGAGTCAGGACGTGCGTCTGCAGTTGAAGCCATGGGAACTTACCAGCTTTCCGTCCTTGATGGGAATCGTCACACTAGCTCCAACGAGGGCAGATTTGATGTGAGCCTTGTCCGGTCAGTTGGAAAAAATATCGAAGCGAGTCGCACCAGCTTACAGGCATGTCATCGAGACCTTCCGCGCTGCATACCATTAGTTGTGGACAGGCTACACCGTTCAGCATGTCTTACTCATGGCGGTAAAGCGCTTCGCCTTTAGGACCCTCTTCGGGAGCGATACGGTCGAGGGCATCGCTCATGTCCTCGCGAACATCGGTGTCGACTGTGATTTGGTCAGTGACGTTCGCAAACAAACACACAGGGCCACGCACAGTTCTCATTCAGACTCAAGGCGCAGCTTGTGTGCTGGATGAACAGGTTCAGAAGGCCGACTTTGTAGTTTCTGATCTCAGGAAGAGCCTGGACGACCTGATCTGTGATGAGATAGGAGCCCCTCGACTTGGGCTGCAGGGTAAATTGCTTCTGTGTCCAAGTCATGCTGTTGAAAGTGTCCGTTTCAGAGGGATAGTTTGCGAAGATAAGAGCAAGTGGTGCCGACCAAATCAAGTGAAAAAGGTTTGGGAAGAGTGCAAGAAGTAGGACCAGACAGATCACTATGGTAGAGGAAGCCGAAATTTGGGTTGCGGACTGCATTGCGGTCCGAAAGCTTGGAGGTTTTGCGTCGTTGAGGTATGATGTATTCAGGTGGGGCAATATCCCACCGTAGGGGCAGCTATTACTACGGTGCCGACTGGAGCCACAAGCGAATGATAAGGACCCGATTACAGTTGAGCGAAGGGGGTCATTTGGAGAAATCGCCAGCAAGCCAACCGAAGTGCCCCAATGGCTGCGCACCCTAAGCTGCGTCGGGGTGTTGATATTGACTCTTACTCATTTGTCGATATTATATTCGTATATCACTCGGGCCCACGAAACCACGACGGTTACGTAGATGTCGCTGGTTGACGTAAAATGACCTCGACGTCAGCCAGGGTGATTAGTCGTGTGGAAACATAGAATATGTTGCAGATTTTGAATACAAGGAACTGGATATTCCCAACATCACTACATCATTCCCTACTCTATAGAGCGTCCTCCCATCGCCGGCTACAATTGCCATTCTCATGCGAGAGGGTACGAGGTCTGGGGTAGAGATTCGAGGTGCTTCCGGTTGTGTTCGTGTGCCTGTGACCAAAGTTAGACGTCTCGAGGGGTGAGAGCCGCCGTGTCGACTTACGAATGGCAGGCCACAGTAGCCGCAAATGGCAATCTCTGGCTTGTCTGTGTTGATGAACACCTTGGGGTGGCCGGCTGGGCCACCACCCCCTTCACACGCGACGATCCGGTCGTGCGTCCACCTCACGGGCTCTCTGTGAAGCATCTCCATCGCCGACTTGGGCTGCGGCTATCCAAGGTGTGAACATGGAAGGGCTCGAGTGAAATTGGCGGCTGCTAATCATACCTGGAGATCAAAGTCCGTCTGCTCAAATCGCGGACCAGTCATGGCCTCAGAGCGCGGCCTCTGGTTCCTCGACCACACTCCCAGCCTGTTGGGGGCTTGGTTCACCTCGAGAGGCTTCGACTCGTCGACCGGGGCAGGAGTCGCATCGTTCTTGGAGGCCGAGGGAACGGAAGCCTCGAGACTCCGGGCGGAAGCGGTGAAAGCACGGTGCGAGACGCGCAAACTGCGTGTCAGCGTGCTGACAGCTCTGAAGTGTGAAGTCGCCATAGTTCGCAAGCTGCGGCAGAGGAACGTGGTGCCAATTGATCTGCTGGGCTGATCGCGAGTTCGCTCAGTCGACGTTGCAAGGTGCGTTCTCGAGGCGGAACATTGGTTGGCCCGTACGATTACTGTACGCAAACCCCACAATTAAGTTTCTGGCAACTTTTGAGGAGCTGCCTCATTACTGCATAAATCAACAATACCTCACAAGCAACTCTCGCGCCCGCCAAGTTCCTAGTAGCCGACGAAAGCAGGGGATATCATCGCCAAGCCGCCCATCATGGCCCCAGAAACACCCAAAACCGCCTCCTCGAGGCTCCTGAACATGAAGTTCATGCAGAGAGCTGCAGCCAACAGCGCAGCCTCAACGCCAGGATCAGACAGCGACGCGCATTCAGCCAAGAAGCGCAAACATGGGCACATGTCAAAAAACGATGCAATCGACTTCAAAATTGACCAGGCATCTATTAAGGCTGCAGTCGACGAGCGCGAGGCGAAACGGCAAGCCGCAATTGCGCAGCACGGCGGTAACGACACACAATGGGTGCTTGATACAAGCATTGCCCAACCCGCACAGAAATCCTCCGCGCTACCTCGGAAAATTGTCTATGTCGGCTACGGAGACATTGATACTTCAGATGACGAGGACCAGGATACTGCATTAGCAGGTAGGACTTCGACGTACAAGAAGAGAGCGAATGCGGTAAGTTCAGCAGACATTTGCGCGGGCTGTTCTCAGCCGGAAAGGGACTGAGCTCATTTTCCTCACAGAATAAAAAAGACGAATCACAGTCGAACGATCAGTATACAGACGACGACGAGGAAGAGGAGGAGGAGAACGGGGACGATAAAGACGATGATGGCTCAAATCGTCGCGGCCGCGCTCAACGCGATGGATCTCACGGCAAACGCGCCCGTTCAAAATCGAGCGCGAGACCAAGTGCAGAAGCTGCAAAAGCCAAAGAGCTGCGCGACAAGCGGAGGAAGAAAGAGGTGAACATTAATAAGTTGACCTCGATATCGTCTGGGGGCGGCGTTGGAGGCGGCTCGGGTTCCAAGTCGGCCATGACTTGCTACAAATGCCAAAAGACGGGCCACAAGGCTGTGGACTGTTCGCAAAGTCAGTCGAAGGGGTCAAAAGGCAGCTCGAAACGTAGTTAGGCCCAAGAGTGCGGCTGCAGGTCGTCTCGGAGAGTGTCTTAAGCTTTCGAGATAGAGCTGAACGACCCCTCGCGACCAACTATCCGTAAGGCAGTCCTGCATGGCGGTAAGTACCACGCCGATCGCCCTCGGCTGGCTGCCTCTGCGCAATGTGGAATATGATCGCCTTGGAAACGGGGCACAATTCATGCGAGACGCAACGCCTGAAAGACCGGGGCGAATATGGCAATGTTTAGCCATGGATCACAATGCATTGTTGGTAAGCATGAGACATTGACACCCAAGTCGCAATATGAGCGAGGAGCATATGCGGACGGCCTATGATAAGCTGCTTGCCTGCCTGCCGCATATATGTCTGCAGCTAGCCCGCGCAGGACGATAGACAAAAAAACAAAAAAACAAAAAAAAGCAAGGGGTTAGTTGGGCCTCGTTGCGGGTGCAGACCGCCTCGTATGGGCTATCTGAGTCCAGTCGTAGCGTTTATCAAGGGTGCCCTGCACAACGACCTTGTAGTATTTCACAACCCGCGGCTGTCGCTCTGTGAATACATGAGGTTCTGTATTAATACGGATGAATCACTTCATCAATGTGACTGGGACAGGGGAATCTACAGAACACATTTAATTTAACAGCCACGGCACGAAAATCATGTAGAGGTCCAGTCTAGTCTTGTCCGACGTGATGCGAGTAGAGCTAAACTGTTGAGGAGTTGAGAATTAATCCTGAATCTTTTCCCATTGTCGTGGTTTATCATCCCCTACAACAAGGGTCGTCTTGAGCCAGCATGTGATTTTGAACTAACACGGAATACCGGTCAACTAGTAGCGAGTAATTCGCAGCAAGTGTGGCAGGCTTGTTCCATCAATAACGGCGGGAACGATTCAGGCCGTGAAGAGTCTGTCGGTATTGGTGAACTTGAGCTATCGTCTGTGCTAGCGAAATCGGAGGAGGGACTGGACGCCACATGGGTGGATTTTCACCACAGTCTCCCGGCTTCATCGATCGCCGCGCTAAAAGCTGGTTCCATCTTCGCCAGGTTTTCTGCCATCATCTCCGAGGCTCTTCTGACGTTCCGTCGCTCATCCAAGACCTCGAGGAAGATCCTGCTCCTTGTGCACTTATCCTGAACCACCTGAACCAAATTATACTGCAGTCTGGTCTAACTTACCGTTAGCTCCAGTGTCACCGCCCGTAGCACACGGCCATCAAGGTGTTTGGCGTATAACAGACACCTGGTACCGAGTACAACCCCAGCCGGTTGATTGCCTATCTGCGCCAGCGTCAAGACGATTGGGCGAGCGTGGGCGCATGTACTGGCCAGCTGCGAAAATTAGAAATCCGCCTCCCCCTATTGAGCCTATTTCCTGATCTCGTGCTGCTCGTTCACCGCATCAGAGGCGACAGACATCAACGACAACAACGCTCAGCAAGGGTCCACCACCCTTCCAACCCCAAACCCGCCAGTCTGGCTATCATCAAACGGTGGTGCTGTGTCACTAGCAAACTTCGTCGCCTTGGGTGGATCCCGAGCCACCAGCTCGCAGCTACCCCAGCAAACGTGCTAGTGAACCCCATCAGCAGCCGTCAAATACCAAGGTCGTCATTGTGTGCCAAACGCTTCATACCTCACTCGCCTCTGGTATCGACAAGACTCTCCTCCTCGACATCATCTCATTTGCGACACATCTCCGCAACAACACACAGCACCTTCACCATGCCCCCGTCAGAATTCCTAGCCTCGGCCAATGCGCCTTGTCACCACCCCCCGGCGACGCTGCTGACCGACACCTTGGAGAAGCCGTCGTTAGATAATCGCGATTATCGTGTAGTTCGCCTAGACAATGAGCTTGAGGCTCTGCTCGTTCATGACCCTGAGACGGATAAAGCCAGTGCTGCCCTGGATGTCCATGTTGGCAATTTCAGCGACGAGGAGGCCATGCCTGGCATGGCTCACGCTGTCGAGCACGTGAGTACCCCCCAGCGGCACTCGGCCCTTTTTGCGCAGACTGACATAGAAAAAAATACAGCTTCTCTTCATGGGCACCAAGAAATTTCCCGTGGAAAATGAGTACGGCTCATATCTTGCCGCCAACTCTGGTCACTCCAACGCTTACACCGCCTCCACATCTACCAACTACTACTTTGAGGTAGCGGCAAAGCCCTCAGACGACCAAGATCCAACAGAAGAGAATCCTTCACCTCTCAAAGGAGCTCTTGATCGCTTCTCGCAGTTCTTCATCGAGCCCCTCTTCCTGGAAGGAACGCTAGACAGAGAACTCCGGGCTGTTGACTCTGAAAACAAGAAGAACCTTCAGAGCGACACATGGAGGCTACATCAGCTTGAAAAGTCTCTCTCGAACCCCAATCATCCCTACTGTCACTTCTCTACGGGCAACTTTGAAATTCTCAAGACACTGCCCGAAGCACAGGGTATCAATGTCCGCGACAAGTTCATCGAATTCCACAGCAAGCACTACTCTGCCAACCAGATGAAGCTGGTCATCTTGGGTCGCGAGCCACTGGATGTCCTGCAGAAATGGACAGAGGAGTACTTCTCCGATGTTGTCAACAAGAAACTGCCGCAGCACAGGTGGGAGACTGAGGTGCCTTTCCGGGAGTCGGATCTCGCAACGCAGACCTTTGCAAAGCCTGTGATGAACTCGCGCGAGCTGAGCCTCACCTTTCCCTTCATTGATGAAGAGCACCTCTACGAGTCTCAACCCAGTCGGTACATAAGCCATCTGATTGGCCATGAGGGTCCTGGCAGCGTCATGGCGTACATCAAGAGCAAGGGATGGGCAGAGGGTCTCTCCGCCGGTGCCTACCCCATCTGTCCTGGCACTCCTGGTCTCTTTGATGTCTCCATCAGGCTGACTGAGGAGGGTCTCAAGAAGTATACGGAAATCATCAAGGTGCTGTTCCAATACGTCTCCATGCTGCGAGAGTCACCACCAGAACCGTGGATCCATGAGGAGCAAAAGGGTATGGCAGATGTCGACTTCAAGTTCAAGCAAAAGACGCCCGCCAGCAAGTTCACGAGTCGGACCAGCTCCATCATGCAGAAGCCGATTCCCCGCGAGTGGCTCCTGAGTGGCCACGGTCGTCTGCGTGTCTTTGACTCAAAGTCCATTGAAGCTGGTCTGGCCAAGATCACCCCGGAGAACATGAGACTCAGTGTAGTTTCGCAAACCTTCCCTGGAAACTGGGATCAGAGGGAAAAGTGGTACGGTACAGAGTACCGCCACGAGAAGATCCCCCAAGAGACCATGGACAGTTTCAGGCAAGCTTTCGACATGCCCAGGGAACAGCGCATCCCGGAGCTTCACCTGCCGCACAAGAATGCCTTTATCCCCAGTGAACTCGAAGTGGAGAAGAAAGAGGTGACCCAGGCTGCTGTCAGCCCTCGTTTGCTCCGCAACGACTCCATAGCCCGCACATGGTGGAAGAAGGACGATACATTCTGGGTGCCCAAGGCAAACGTCCTTGTCAGCCTCAAGAGTCCGCTCATCTATGCATCGGCTGAGAACATTGTCAAGGCGAGGCTATTTACCGAACTGGTGCGGGATGCCCTTGAGGAGTACGCATACGACGCCGAGCTTGCAGGTCTGCAGTACTCAGTCAGCTTGGGATCCAGGCATCTTGTGCTGGACATCTCCGGTTACAATGACAAGCTCCCCGTGCTGCTGCAGCACGTCACCACAACCATGCGCGACTTGGATGTCAAGCAGGATCGATTCGATCTTATCAAGGAGCGTGTCACTCGCGCATTCAGCAACTGGCAACTCAACTCGGCCTACCAACAGGTTGGCGACTACTTGAGCAACCTCAGCTCGGAGCGCAACCATCTGGTGGAGGAACTAGCCGACGAGCTTCCCAACGTCACCTGCGAAGGCGTACGACTCTTCCAGAAGCAAGTCCTCTCACAAATGTTCATCGAGACGTACGCACACGGCAACCTGCACAAGGAAGATGCGCTGAAAATCACCAATGTGATTCAGTCCACCTTCAAGCCCCGACAGCTGCCCAAGTCGCAGCTGCCCATTGTGAGATCACTGCTTCTTCCTCGTGGTTCTAATTTCGTTTTCAACAAGACGCTCAAGGATCCTGAGAACGTGAATCACTGTGTGGAGACGTGGCTGTACGTCGGCGACAAAGCAGACCGCACCCTGCGAGCAAAGACGCTCCTGTTCGACCAGATTGCTTCCGAGCCTGCCTTTGATCAGCTTAGGACCAAGGAGCAGCTCGGGTACATTGTGTTCACCAACGCCAGGACCTTTGCCACCACTTGCGGGCTACGCGTCTTGATTCAGAGCGAGCGTACCCCCGAGTACCTCGACTCTCGAATCGAATCATTCCTTGCCCAGGTGGGTGACATTTTGGAGAAGATGAGCGATGGCGACTTTGAGGGCCACAAGCGCAGCTTGATTCTCAAGCGACTTGAGAAGCCCAAGAATCTCGACCAGGAGTCTACGAGGCACTGGACACACATTTCGGGCGAATACTACGACTTTGAGCAGGGTGAGTCTCGAGCGCAAATGGCTTTGATGAACAGAAAAACTAACTAGATATAGCCCAGTTGGATGCTGCGTTTGTGAAGCCGATCAGCAAAGCCGACTTGATCGAGTTCTACAACACGTACTTCAGCCCCTCTTCACAAACTCGCGCAAGGATTTCCGTGCACCTCCATGCCCGCAACACCTCGGCATTGGACAAGGAGATTATCGAACTCCTCCAGAAAGCGAACCTCGAGGATGTCCCGCCCAAACAGAGGCAGAGCCTTGACTTCCTGGAGAAGTATCTCAAGGAGACTGTCCAGCTCGAAGACAGCAAGGTCGCAACCATCATCGCCAACGCCGAGAAGGCCGGCTTGAAGCCAGTCACGTCAGAAGACGATGCAAAGGCAGGCGATATCGCCAGTGGATCAGATGCCGTGAACAAGGCTACCGTCATCGAAGACATCCGGGCGTTCAAGTCTGGTCTCATGGCGAGCGCAGGAGCCCAGCCTGTCAAGGACCTCAGTGAGTTTGAGGACACGGATGCCAAACTGTAGACTATAGAAAGAAGAATCGTTGTTATTTGCTAGTTGGTTACAGATGGGCGGATTGGACTAGAGAAGGTGTTGGTGGAGCTGCTACAAGACGCTTCGCAGCTCTTGGATGCTGGCGTTAGATGGGGCAGTTTTACATGTATAGACGATGATTGCTTCGGAAAACAGGTGCATTAGCACCTTTTGATTCCATATGTGAGATGGCCATGCAGCTATAGTTCGACGATGCACGAGGTTGGGCGAGCCCGAGCATGACATGCGCTACGAGCTGTCCAGGATCTTTGTGGGCGAGCCAAAGTGATTCTTATGAAATCTTGACCGACATACCATGAAGAGAATGCTCTAATGATATATGTACGTATCCTGAATCAGGACGCTCGCCAATTGTGGGAAAGCAATGCATCAACAATGCAAGCGCTGATGAATGAATGCCGTGCGGTGGGCGGCTTGTGGAAATCAACACGTGAACAAACAGGGCCAGAAGTCAACCATGGCGCCTTCCCCATCCCCCACTAACTCCCGATTGGATATGGTATCAATCACCAACAGGCAAGCACATTGATTAATTAGGCAGTACACGTAGGGACCTTAGGTAATGAACAAGCACTGAATATAAGGCACGACTCCTTCTGGCCTGCAACATCAGCCTTCGACTGCGCATATTCGTCTCCCAGATTCGCTCATGATATTTAGTCGCTGTCGGCGAGGGCAATTTGAACTCAAAAGACCCCTTCAGCTAATCAGCCCTGACGGTTCTCAGCCGCTGATGAGGTGCCTCCAGACGATGTTAGTGATGTGAGGAGCACCCACTGCCCCTCCAAAAATCCTTCACCGCAGTGCCGAGGGAGCGTCCAAGTCAACAACGCCATCCAGACATAAGGCAAGGGTTTTCAGCTCGAGCTCTCCTGATGCCGATCGTCTGTCGTGCAAATCCTCGATAGGTAGCCTACGCCGTTCTAGGGTGCTTCTCACCACAGCCGGAGTTTTCATTCTCGAACCACTAGTCGTCGATGATTTCATCGTGGTAGCGAACATTGTTCAGCAACACATCCGCGCCCCTCCGATCCGACGACCGTTACCGCCTTTGATACACTCGCCCACGACCCTCAACGAAACCTCCACTTGCACAGGCAATAATCCAGAGCTGCTTCGTCGAAGCAGCTCACAGCCAAGACGTCTTCCTCAAAGAAAAGACGAGTTTCCACCCACCCGCTTGCCCAAGAACACACAGCAAGCCCTTCGCCGGACAGGCCTTTGTCTTCCAGTGAGGCAGGCGACGATCCCGCCTTCTCCTTCTCCGCCCCCGGGCCCGACGAAACGCCCTTCCGCCGACGAGACGAAAGGGAAAGTCCAGCTCCCGCATCGAGCTTGCCTCCACGACTACACACTAACGCACTGGTTCCCTCCGACTACGGCTCTTCCGCGCCCTCGAGCCCTTGCGCCTCCATCTCGAGCGACAGAGGAGGCGACGAGGCCTGGCAACAGCTCGCGCCTACCCATCCATCGAAACGATCCATCATGAATGGAGACGCCGGCTGCCCGCAACGATCATCCTCGCCGTTGAAGCGTCGAGCCTCTAGCATGGAACCAGACCAAGAGAACGGCGACCAAGTAAGCGCCGAGATCCAGGTGTCAGGAGGCTTTCCCCGAGCCATGAGCCTAGATCCCCAGGAAGGTGATGGGTCGAAGAGCGAAGTCCAGCGGGCACCTACTACCCCGCCGCCAATCCAGGAGCAAGTCAAGATCATCGAGACCCTGCTCCAGGCCGCCAAGGAAGCGCCGCCCAAGGAAGGTGACAAGGCCTATCTTGTGTCTCGCACATGGGTAGACCAAGCCCTTGCTCTACGCAAGCAGGCTGCTGACACCGACTGCACACTTCTGGGGCCCGTCGATAATGCGAGCATTATTGAGGATGTCATAATCGACTCCAGCGGCAAGGAGTTCACGCGCCTGAAGCCCGGAACGGGCGAGGAGTCCTTTGAGCTATTCCCAGAGGATGCATGGAACATGGTCGTTGACTGGTACGGGATCAAGGACAATCAAAAGCCCATTGTTCGAGAGGCCATAAATCGAGCGCCTGATTCCGAGTCGCCCGTCGATATTTGCTTTGAGCTACATCCGCCCATCTTCCGCATTCACAGGCTGTGGTCTGAGTTAAGCCCTCTGCCTATCGAGCAGTCTCTCAAAGCCAACAAGCCTCCCCCGGTCACCCTCGTTCGGAGTCGCAAGGCTCAGCTGCATGCGTTCCTCAAAGAAGCAAAGACCTTGGCCCATGTTCCCTTGGATCGAAAAATCCGCCTTCATGCGCTTGCAGCTGAACAGGCCCCAGGCCCAGAGCTGCCCAACCCGTCGGAAGGCTCCGCTCTGACGCCGCCCGATTCACCAAAGAGCAACGGCACTTCTACTCCCCAGGGCATCTGGTCACAATTGTTAGTCGGAGTTCCCGCCTTTTCCGAGGTCCGTGACTTGAGGATGGAATTGCGCATTAACGACACGACGATCAACCCCAAGTTCAATGGAAGGTCTGCCCTCCAAATCTATGACCTTGTCACTGATCAGACTCTCATCATCGATGAGTCGATTAACGGCAAGTCGTGGGTCAGCACATACACAGAGAAGGACGCTTCCAAACCGACTAAGAACCTCAAGACTCTGAACCCTGATCTGTCATCAGCGAACAGCAGCAGGCGTAGCAGTCCAGGTCCCGGTGTCATGACACGCGGTCGTGCGCAGCACGGCCGTAAGATCGGACGCAGCCTTGGTGCCGTCGGTCTCCATAACCTGGGCAATACCTGTTACATGAACTCAGCTTTGCAGTGTGTTCGAAGCGTGGAGGAGCTATCCAAGTACTTCCTGACGGACTCTAATGTGGACGAGATCAACAAGTCAAACCCACTAGGATATAACGGACGTGTGGCGTTGGCCTACTACGGTCTGCTGAAGGAAATCTATGAGCAAAATCGTGGGTCAGTGAGCCCCCGCGACTTCAAGTCGACAGTCGGTCGCTGCCGCAGCACATTCCAAGGCTGGGGCCAACAGGACACGCAAGAGTTCCTAGGATTTCTCCTCGACGGCCTGCAAGAGGACTTGAGCCGTATCAAGAAGAAGCCATACATCGAGAAGCCTGACTCGACTGATGATATGATTAATGATCCTGAGGCTATCCGCAAAATGGCCGACGACGTATGGGACATTACGAGGAGGCGCGACGATTCAGTCATTGCCGATCTCTTCACAGGCATGTACAAGTCTACGCTGAAATGCCCTGAGTGCGGCAAGATAAGCATCACCTTTGATCCATTCAATAATCTTACCTTACCGCTACCGATCAAGGAGGTCTGGTCTAGCCCGGTTATCTTCTACCCTTTGAACGACGTTCCCGTCAAGATCGAGGTGGAGCTACCCAAACACAGCGCCATGGACAGCCTCAAGCAATACATGTCCACGCGCACCGGCGTGCCTGTCGAGCGCCTTATGGGGGCGGAAGAGTTCAAAGGGAAGTTTTTCAAGATCTACAGCGACAATGAGGACGTCTCCGAGGAGATTGGCAATAGTGATATCCCCGTGGTCCACGAGTTGGAAACTGCGCCCTCCAACTGGCCATTGAAAAGCAAAAAAAAGAGCCGCTCAATGCTGGATCTCTCAGCCGAGCCTGCCGAATGGGACGATCCCGCCTATGAACAGCTGTTGGTTCCTGTTTTCCACCGGGCGCAGAACGCGTCTCGCATGGCTGATATGGTCCCGCCACACTTCATTGTCCTGAGCAAAGATGAAGCCTTCAACTACGAAGCGATACAGAGGAAGGTCTTGGAGAAACTAGCCACTTTCTCCAGCTTTCCCGCGTTGAGGGAGGGCATGGATGAGACCGCCGAGATTGATGGTGTCGTTGTGTCTGCGTCAGATGCAGAGTCTTCTAACGAAGCCAAGGTGACCGCGCAGTCTGTCAAGGATGAAGAAGATACGGTCGACATCACCATGAAAGATTCTGCAGATAGCGTGCAAGCTCGGCCGTTGCCTCACGAGCCACAGCTCCTGAAGCAATTCAACAAACGCCGACCTGCTTACGCTAAATCGGGTGCATTCCTGGATCCGTCCCTGCAAAACCTCTTCGAGCTCTGCTACTTTACTGATGGTACCGACTCTGTTCCCTCTGGCTGGTCCCAACTGCAAAGCTACCGGCAGCAGCTCCCCAAGGTCGCAGACCGCATGCCCCAGCCGTCAGGCGAGAGTGATCACAGCAGCCCTGGCAGCTGGGACAGCACCGCCTCGGGCAACGATGATAGCGGCGCCGAGGCGGACGTTAAGACGGAAGTTTCGCCCCCGTCGTCGCAGACTCGCATGGCTGAGGAGTCCAGTGAAGAAGACGGCCCCGCTCGCGTAAGTAGCACTGTATTGCCCTTGGCAGAGCATTTGCTAACAAATCCTAGTTTGAACGCAGATCACCCCCTCGGAAGATGAAGGGAGGCAAGAAGAAATTCAATAAGGAGCAAAAGACGTACGGAAAGAAGGCGCTGAGGCGAGAGAAGAAGTTGCGCAAAGAAGCGCAAAAGGCCGCATCTGCCGCCGTGCGGCCCCAGCCAACACCCCGTGCCCAAGCTGACGGTGGTCCGCTGCTTCGTCTTGGTGAAGGACTTGTCGTTGAGTGGAATGACGATGCGTGGGAACACATTTTTGGAAAGAGCATGGCAACATTCTCCAACATTGAGACTCTCCACGATACGGCTCTTAAGATCAGCAAGACTCGTCGCGAGAGTCGCCGCTCTAGAGGTATCACCCTGGAAGAATGTCTCGACGAGTTCGAGCGCGCCGAGATCCTTTCGGAGCAAGACATGTGGTACTGCCCACGATGCAAAGAGCACCGCCGGGCAAGCAAAAAGTTCGACCTGTGGAAGTCTCCCGACATCCTGGTGGCGCATCTGAAGCGCTTCAGCAGTGCTGGGTACCGCCGTGACAAATTGGATGTCCGCGTCGACTTCCCCATCGAAGGGCTGGACCTGACCTCGCGCGTGATCCAGAAGGAGGATGGCCAGAACGAGATCTACGACTTGATCGCGGTAGATGACCACTACGGCGGCCTCGGCGGTGGCCACTACACTGCGTACGCCAAGAACTTCATGGATGGCAAATGGTACAACTACAATGACTCGTCAGTCAGTCAAGTGTCAGATCCGCAGACGGTGGTCACCAACGCAGCCTACCTATTGTTTTACAGAAGGCGCTCGAGTCGGCCATTGGGTGGGCCCAGGTTTGCAGACATCTTTGATAAGTTCGACAATGGTGACGAGGCAGAGGAAGATTCGTCCACCGAGATGGAGAATGATTCCCAAGCCAATGGAGGTTATGGGCAGTCGCGGCCCGCGATTAGGAACCGGACCTCGACTACCACCACCGTCAGGCAGCTCAGTGGAGTCAACGGATCAGACGACGATGAGCCTCCTTCGTACACGTCCATTCAACAGAGTGTCGAAGACGAGGGCATCGAGATGGACGATTCGTACGCACAGCCGGCTCATGCTATGCAACAGGGATGGAGTTTTGACGACAGAAACAGCATCGATGGAGGTAGCGACATTGCTCAGATCTCGGGCGATGAAAGACGTCAACTATCGGAGGATACTGAGATGAGGTCCAACACATCTGACCTTGATCCTGACTCGGATGCTGAGCTTGACGCACGGGACGGCGTGATCTCGGTGCCGGCAACGACAGCAGGCCTGCGCGGGTCGGAGGAGGTTGCGGAGATCCATGTGGAAGAGGACAAGACCACTCGCCATGTGTAAAGGCGCAGATGCATTGATGATGAGATGATGACGGCGTAGACGATGGCGGAAGACTTGCATGGGGACAATTAACAAGCTGGAAGGCAGCATGGCATCTGTACAAGGATCGCCCGGTATAGACATATTTACATAGATGCTCGCGCGCATGACACATGTAGCAGTACCGCATGGCAGTACCGAACATAGTAGCTTATTGCAGCGATGACTCGATAGGATACATGGAGCGCGTCTGGTGTCTAACTATCGCTGCAAATTGTCTGTGACATTGCCCGGGGACCCCCTCGCTGTGGGGTGGTGGGCGGTCCAGCCTCAGGGTTCTGTGAGAACGGGCGACATCGAAGTTGCCGAATGAGATACCACACATCGACAACTGGTTGATGAGGTCTTTTCTCTTTACAGCAAGCAGCTACTCACTAGTTACTTAGTGCTGTCTACCGAGCGACAGACGCCTCCAGACGTCGAGTCCGGCTTCCGCGAGTCTATGCACGTGCCTAAAGGCTAGATTATACCGTGCTCTCTCGACGGAGTGGCTAGTGCTGGTAAACAAAATCTAGCTACCTGGTGTTTAGTGCCATAGATCACTTACTACGGTATCCCATCCAAAAGTTCATCCAGAGCCCTGTGCAGTCTTCACACCTTCTAGTGCCGGGCCTACAGGCCAATAACTACTTATGCCTGACATTTTCACTATCCATGACAGCGATATTGATCGGGCAAATGCACTAGCACGAAGCAGCAATGTTGTCGAGAGAGTAGGGCAATTTATTAGTAGCAAGGTGAGATATGGTGCATCATGAGGTCTCGGATGACTGTTGCTAATTACGGCAATTTACATCTTGATTGAAATAAGTTACGTATATCACATCTCCGAGAATCTTCCATCCTTCTTTCGCGTACGGGTATCGGGACATTGCTCACGGCAGGTACTTGATGGGTCTAGTTCCTTGAGGTAGGAGGCAGGCGCCATTTCAAGCTTCTTTTGCCTTACCTTCCCCGAGGCTATTGAGCGAAGGCAAGATTCAGGGACTGTCAGGCAGTCGGATATGGCCTACATGGCATTGGGCATTACAGATTCCATCTTCGGACAGGAGCCATCTTGATTCTTGGTTTGTTGGACAGGTCCAGCGTCAACATGAGCTATGGGAAGCAAATTTGAGCAAGGTCATCGCAAGGAATGCAATCTCGCCTTGGCGAGCAAAAGTTATGAATAGATAGTGGCACAGACGGTATCTACTCTTCCCATCTATCAGGTAAGTACCCAGCAATTGCTATATGTTTCCAAATCGAGGCCGGCAATCTGACAGTTGCATGCTCAGATCGCTTGTGCGGTCTGGGAGAAAAGCTACAGGTCCTGCTGGATCTGTAGTTGAGTGCTGAAGCCTTCCTTCTCCCGGCGCACGCAAATTCCCTAATGCGACCGGGTTCACTGGCATCAGCAAGTGCCGTTGCACCATGGGCGTACCTTCCGTCTGATGGACCACACTCAGTCATGGGCATGACCTACTTATCCGTGACTTCTTTCTCACTTTTCGGATTTCTTTCTCTTCCTTTCCTCTTCATGTCGAAACAAAAGCCCGCAGACCCCCATATTACTATGACTTACTCTCCGCCTCCCCTCGCCATTGGACTCGTCCTGGTATACACTTTGTTTCTGATGCCCTAGCTATGCTCTCAAGTTGACCCCTTCCTCACATGGCACTACCGCGAGTATAAGGTCTCTGACCTTCTGATGCGGCAACGTGTCATGGGGTGGACTCCCCGTTGGCTTGCCCTGACCTCACCAGTCTGGTGATCCTTGGGATGATCCTCCTAGCATAGGATGGTCTGGTCCTCTTGACATCTCGGGCTTGACATCCCGGGCCAAGCATCATGCCCGTTCCTCTGGGTGAGCATGAACGCGAACACCAATTTTGGGACCTTTTTCACTTCTTCGAAGTTTGATTGTTGTCCTAGTGGCAGCTGAAGCTGTCTTCATTTGAGACTAGCTACGTATGTCATTGCGCAGGCGATGGCATTCTCTGATGCATCTTGAACAGATCTGTCCAGTCCCGGTCTGAATCTAGTTCAGTGCTCCCCTTTCCATATACGTTGATATGCTCGGTCCTAATGTCCTGATGCCGCCTGTCAACCATCTCCGATCCGGTCAATTGAACCCCGGCCTGCCCAAATCTCGCATCGATAGATGGCAGCGGCGGTCCAGCTCCGGCAAAGAACGAGTCCCACCGAAGACTTCGAGATGGAATCTAGAGGGAAAGGCGAAGACAATGAAAAGAGGAAGACAGCGAAAAGGGGAGAACAGCGAAGAGAAGGAGACAACGAAAACCAGAAGACGACGAAAAGACAACCAAAGGGAGAGAGTCGATCATCTTCATGTCCACTGGTCGGCGTCGGGTCTAAGGAGCTACCTAGGCTTACAGGATACCTATGGAAGATCGTCTAGACTTTAAGGATTTACGTATGTTGTTGTCAATATTCGGTCGACTGGTGACTGGATTCCACAGCCTGCTCGCAATTCAATTACACTATTGAAAACTAAACCTCAGGATGTTTTAACTTTTGACTGAACCACTTGCTCAATAAGTTATTTCATTGTGAGTTTTCATGTTCACGTGCTATATCTAGTTGCCATTTCGTCAATCGATCCTCCCATTCCAACTTCTCGCGGGAGTCACGGCCTATGGTTGAACTTGAAGAATTCGGCTAAGTACCCTTGCACACTATATTGTCGCAAGACCCCGTCCACTGCTTTCTTGGTCCATCGATAATGTCTTTCCCGCCGCCATTGAACCTCAAGGTACCTACCATAACTGCAGCAACTCGGTTTTCTTCGTTCTCTCAACCTCGGCTATTCCTCTCCCTTTGAAAATTGGTCATGAACTCCTGTCTCAGCAGTCGAAGAGTCCGCTGTAATCCTGAGATAGTCACAATCTTTGCTGAAGCCTTCGATTTGCACGCAAGCTGTTCACGGGCTGTAGTTCCTCCGCACTAATACTTTCCGCTACAAATGCTCGTAGGCAATAATTTTGCACTGGCTGCACCACCACATGTATTTACGCGTTTTGTTTTCATAGGTGCTCTTCACCAGACGGCTGTGTCTTAAGGTATTTCGTCGCTCTATTAGTACCAATTGCCAGAAGTTTGCTTCAGGTGATCCTGATCCTGCCAGTCTCCCAGATAATCCTTTAAAAGAAGGTTGTGGTCGGGGTTTCTGCTTGTGGTAGCGCGTAACTTGAAGGACCTGTGTGGAATGTGTCTGCAGACACTTGTTCAAAATGATGCTCCGCGATGGTCCAAGATTTGCCTCTTAAAGAGAACAGGAATATTGATGCAGAAATGGTCGTGAGTTGAGAGTACGAGCAGCTCTAGGTACACATTGTGTGCTTGGTCCTTCCTGGCCACGCCTAACGAGAGGTTGGTGGCTGACTCAACTGACAGGGTAACATGCGGCTGACTCGAAGTATCGCAACTATAATGTATTAATCAGTATTCTAATGGCACTCTCTCAATCTGGAGCATTGGAGTGGAGTATTACTACAATCATCTGTGTCCATACTAGGACTGCGAACCCGATAGAAACCAGGTAGTACCTCCTCCTCTCGACGGGTCCCGGCCTCTTGCCGTTTATCCAATTGATTTCAAATGACGGATAAATGAGCAATCTCGAACCATGGACAACTGTCAGATATACGAGCTCAACCATTTGACAGAATGCTAGATCCGGCGGGCTGAAGAGGCCAACCGAGTCCGGGACACCTAGCCATGCTTGAAATGACCAGAGCAGAGCCGCGATGCGCAAGATTAGCTGGATGAGAGAGCCAAAATTGCTGACTTTGCCGCTTGCGCAGTCCATAATTGATGTTGAATCCGATTCGCGGGTCTCGGGAGGAATTAGGCGGTTTGTAAATTTCACGTCGGCAGTAATTAACAAAATAGCCTGTCACACTCACTTGAGATATTGCTGAGCTGTGGTTAAACTATGCGCGGGTAGAATATGTAAGCCATGCGCGCTCTATTGAAAGGCAAATTGACTGTTTAAGAATCGAAAACAGCCTCACAGGGTATGTGACCTAGATTCTGATCGCATTAGACACTGAGTCGCGCGCCCACGACTGGTTGATCTACTTATAGCGCATCTCGTACGGGCCACTAACAAAAGTATCTTAAAGTATTGCGGTGCTGAGTTGTGAGAAGACGGGGTGACCACATGCGCACTGCCACTACGTGGAGTATTAACATGAACCATGATGATCTCTGGCCGTGCAGTGCCGAGAGTCCGGAGGCCCAGTCTCGGGGGGCCCCAGCCCCGTCCTTTTAGTCAGCGGGCCCTCGGCGGAATACGTATCGCAAAAAGACCAAGGTGTTGGTTTTAACTTTTCGAGTAATAGACCAATCTATCAACGAGACAGTCCTGCAAGGCTGCAACGGATTCAACGGATGGATGGGGCTGCGTCGAAAATGCGTCCGGTTTCGGCCACCGGGCCATCTGTGGTACGGAGGTACGTATCATGTGCGTGCTGTGAATACAGGGGTGGTGTCCTGCAGGCCACAAAAGAAGCATCTTCTTCACCACTCCAGAGTCCACTCGCATATTGGCACGTGTTCGCACGATCAACCATTCTCGAAGACGACGAGAAGCTTTCCACGAAGCTTGTTGATGCTTGAAGCTTGATGGCAGCAATCGGTCCGGACTTCGACTAGCCAATTCTAGGTAGTGGTGGCCTCACCCCCACTACTAATTTGCACGCAGGCTTGACCCTCACAGGTCCATGTCCGCGACTATTATCATGGCAATGCCGATGAATACGAAATTCCGCGCAATCAATTGTCAATTTGTTGTCGCATTGCATTGTGAGCTAGTCTAGTCTGGTAGGTGAGAGAGCGCTCAGGCTCCAGTCGCCTGTAAGCCCGGGCTATAGCCGCATGAGGAACTCCAGTCCATGTCCATGTCCATGTCCCCGCTTTTGGCAGCTCTTGGGCTTGGCAACTAATACTGTGCTTGCATTACCACTTATCTCTACGCATAGGACAAGGACGAGGTTGTCGCAACCATCGGACCGGTACGATAGCTTATCGTTGAACGAGTTGTATCATGTAATTGGGCGACCAATTTCAGGGGTCCTGCCAGTCGCGTCTGCGCATGCTGGTGATAGCGGAAGGGGAGAGAGCTTCCTGTCAGCGCACTGGAAGAACCTGACTCGAGTTTAGTTTGGAGGTTTGCACGGAGTATGGGGTTCGATATTCGAGCCGCTCCCACATGTTTAAGTAAGGAATTACTGAACAAATTTCGCTGGGGCCGTGCATCAGCACCTCGTCATTCAGCACTGGGCTGTGATTCAATACGGAAGTAATGGCCAGACTGAGCATGTCCAAGTACGCGTGGTCTTGTCAGGTATTACAGCCCGCTGGGGAGCAAGAATTCACTCGAAGCCAGAGCGCACCGGATGGCATCCATTCGTTTCCTCGTCTTAATTAGAAGCTGTTTGAGCGCAGAGGGCAGGGCGCACAGGGTCCAGCGTACCGGTACATACACGCATGCATCATACCTGTCGCGCAGGCAACAACATGTACTAGTTACTCGGGGTTGCGGCCTCGACATGGCAATGTAGTTCTTTCGAATTGCCTCTCGTCTGGGCCTTTCCCTGGGGTCCAGTCATCTAGGGTTGATTGATTGCACGGGTTGGTGGGAGAGTGATTACAAGTAGCCTAATAAAGAAGCAGCCTGGGCGCCGCCTGCAGAGTGCCGCCTGCAGTGGCCTTGCAGTGGCCTCTTCCGAGGTACAGGCATCTGCATGGTTGCGGCCGCCTCAGCTCAAGTACCTGCCCGACCTGACCAGGGATGCCTGGCTTCCATCTGGACTCCAGTCGTCTTTCCTTCCATTTTCCTTCCACTGCAAGGTGGGCCAGACTTCTCCAGGCGCTCAGGCTCAGCTGCGACCGTGACTGGACTGGATTGGCCACAACGACAAGACGGGCGAGAGGGCCCAACTCAATCCCCCCCCCCCCCCCAATTTGTCCCAGCTTCTCTCCGGAACCTCCTTGCCTTCGACTTTCCCAAATCTCCTCTTCGCCATTCCCGACTGTCGTAACTCTTGCGTCTGGACCGCTGCCTCAACTCTGCACGATCTGCGACACTGATACGACTCTACCCAGTCTCTGAGGTGACCCGCTGCGGCCGTGCCTTGCTTGGCTTTCACGATACTACACCACCAACAGCAGCCGACCGCACTAGGCTTCAAGGGCGGACAACCACCACTTGTCGACACTGCCCGACCGGCGAGCGAACAGCGCAACCACCAATCTTGTAGAAGCGCAATGCCCGACATATAGTTTTCTCGAAACACAAAGGACTTGGCCTGCTCTTGTCACGATTCTGCACGTCGGCGCTGTGCTCACTAGCGAACCCATTGCGACAACAGACTCCGCGCCACATTACATCCGCTCCTCTATCCACCAGACGAGCATCATCGTCAATCCTTGTGCCGGGCCGCCTCTAAACCGGCTGAATTAGCGACAGGATTCAATAGAAGCTACGAGAAACTGTCGGCAGAGACTGCCACGATCCTCTGATCAAGCGTACCATTGCCTCCGCACCTCGATCCGCCACCACCAACCTCTGTAGTTGCACAAGTTACAGCGGCGATCCAGTCGCGGGGCTGGTAGCTACCCGTCGACACAATGGACCCTCCTACTTGCAATGTTATCTACGTCAACTGCAATGTTGGCCCCGGACGTCTTGTCCGTGCCACCGCGGAGACGGTGGGTAGCGATTGGCAGCCCGACCAGGTGCGCCGGGATATACAGCCGCTTCTGGAGGCTTTCGGTGATGGTGTGTATCAGTTTGGATAGTGCCGCAATGCTCCAGCTGACCCTGCTCCTAGTCCATGTTTGTAGCTCTGGTGTGGAATGCTTAGACCGGTTACTCCAGCTTCACGATCGACCGATGACCGAAATGCAGCCTACTTTGGTGCTACTCGACATCCCTCCCCACGATCGCCTCCGAGAGCAGCAACGGCCAAAATCGCGCTCGCGGTCACCGTCGCCAACTGGTTCGCTTCAACGTGAAGAGACACAAGCACCTGATGAAGAGCTCTACGGTCTCAACCTGCTGCAGAAACTGATCACGGAAGCACACCTCCGAAACATTGCAAAGCTCGTTGTTCCGATTCCCATTGTCAGCAACCACCTTTCTAATCACTCACCCACGGCGCAACAAATGACGGATGGCACACGCGAGCACCATCCTGGTACCTCATCTGGTCTGGCCGCTAACCGCGGCATGATACCAAAGTGCCTCGAGTTGGGGGCTGCCGATGTCATCATCAGTCCCTTGAGCGCGAACTGCATAGCGACGCTGGAGGTTTGCGCATACAGAGCGCAGCGCGATGCGACCAAGGAGCATCAGGCGATGCTCGACATCAAGCGGGGCCGACAGCGCTCCTGGGTTGGTGTGAATGAGGAAAGACCTTTTTCATACCTGCGTGAAGCGATGGTCTCCAACCTCATGAGAGGAATCTGTCGGCAGCAGTCGGAAGACGAGCTGCTCAGCAGCGTCCACGTTGCCGTGTCAAAATCGCGGCAAGCTGAGGTAGCCCAGGCCGTGGCCAGCTGGCACTTTTCAGCGCACGCCTTCACCGACGATGAGCTCGTGGTGGCAGCCATGACCATGTTCAAGCATGCTCTCAGCATGCCGGGGCTGGAGAAGTGGCGGATAACAACAGGTAAGTTTATGCACTCTGCTCTCTTGGGGGAGGCGAAAGGGGCTTGCCGCTGACTATCGGACCGTGCAGATCAGTTGATCAATTTTCTTACGGCCTGCCGAGGCGCTTACAATAACTTTGTACCGTATCACAACTTTCGCCATGTTGTCGACGTATTGCAGGCCACCTTTAACTTCCTGGTCCACATCGGGTCACTCGGGCCATATCCCGCGTCGCCTCAGCAGCCAAGCGCTTCGGACCCGTCAACGAGGTCGCCCATGGCCTCGCTGATCACGTCATTCGAGGCCTTGACGCTGCTCATCACCGCTATCGGCCACGATGTCGGCCATCCAGGTGTTAATAATGGTTTCCTGGTAACGCTGAATGCGCCACTCGCGCAGCTCTACAACGACCGTTCGGTCCTCGAGACCTTCCACTGCGCCGCGTACTCGCAGATTCTCCGTAGGTACTGGCCCGCTGCCTTTGAGGACGCCAAGATGCGGAATCTCATGATCAGCTCTATCCTGGCGACCGACATGGGCTTGCACTTCGACTACATGAAGAAGCTTGGCGACGCCCAGGAGAAGCTCCAGGAGAACAACACGACAGAAGGCTGGAACGGGAGGCAAATTGAGGACCACAAGGCTCTCGCGTGCTCTCTGCTAATCAAATGCGCCGATATCAGCAATGTGGTGAGTGGTGACGTGACAGGCATCGATGACACTGGGGCTGACAAAGGTGACAGGCTCGTCGACATGACGCTGCGCAGCAGTGGATGCACATCCTGGCAGAAGAGTTCTCGCGACAGGCGTCAATGGAGAGCGAGCTCAACATTCCATCCTCCCTCATGGCCCCGCCCAAGAAGGACATGGCATCCTTGGCGCGAGCGCAGCTCAGCTTCATGAACCTGTTTGCCATACCGCTGTTCCAAGGTGTAGCAGACATCATGCCCGGGATGGCCTACACGGTCCACGAGCTTGAGACGAACAAGACTCTTTTTGAGACGATTGTGGAGGAGGAAAGGACGAAGGAGCAGCAGGGTGAAGCGGCGCAGAGGCGGCTTCGCACAGAGGGGACATTGTCACCGAGGAGCATGAGCTATGCTGTCGGAATGGAAGAAGCCAGCGCGGAACCGTCGTCGCAGGCTGACCAGCGGCGTGACAGGATGATGGAGGGGATATCCGAGGTTCTCGCCGAGACGCCGCCAGCGCTGGTCGACGACGAGCAGCGGCCCGAGGAAGCCCTTGCCCTTGATCCATCGCCAAGCGTGCCAACACGGAAACCCGCGCACGTTCCGCAGTGCCAGGAGGGCTATAAGGAAGTCAACGGCAAGATCTCGACGTTTGACGCCATGCGGCAACTGGCACAGATCAACCCGCTGGCCGGCCAGGAGCAGGACACGATGGGTAGGACAGAGGAGCCGCAAGCTACGCACAGCCGACAGAGGGTGAGCGAGACGACCGAGGGCAGCAGTTCGGTCGCGGGCCTCGCAGGGGACGCAGCGTCGCAGAACACGATGGCCACGGGGAAATTGCCCATGTCGCCGAGCACCAAGGGCACGAGCATTGTCAGCAAGGAGTCGGCGGAGAGGCCGACGAGCGCTCTCGGGATGGAGGCGCGCAGGTCAGCCTCGGCGGGTGCTGGAACTGGAACTGGGGCTGGGGCTGGGGCGGGCCAGCTCTCCTACGGAAGGTTTGGACAGTCACCGTCGACGGGGAGCTTGGGCAAGGCGGAGGGCAAGGCCTTGAAGAAGAAGACAAGTCGATTCAGGATGAAGGACTTTGCCTTTTTCAAGCGAAGCAAGGGCTCGAGTCAGACGCATCGAGAATCCGACACATCGACGACCACTACGACGACTACTATGACGAACGACAACCAGGGCTAACTAGAGCCTGGTGTTGAAGGCGGGTGATTGATTATTCCGCGTGAACGACATGATGAACAGGCGTTTGTACAACATATCCCGGGGGGCGGCAGCAGACGGCGGGTGCCGACGTTATATCTGTGGTACGATGATTTGCGGAGGAAGAGGAAAGGCACATGCACATGCACATGCAAATGTCTATATAGATCTTGGTGCGAGCAGCCAGCCAGCCAGCCAGCTGCTGAGAGCGGGTGACATGAGCGTGCGCGGGCCAGGCAGGCAGGCAGGCAGGCAGGCGTTTCAATTGCTTTTGGTGGATAGGAGTTTGCGGATCCGACTGTGATTTCTGAACGGACAGCGAAAGGGAAGCAAGGACGGGAGGACGGACGTACGGACGTATAGGTGCGTGTGATTGGTAGCCATTAGGTCGCGGTGAAGGGTCGCGGTGAAGACAATGGGACAGAGAGTCCGTGTTGGACGAGACGAAGCAGCCAGCCAGTCAGTCGTGCGTGCAGTGCTGTGCTGTTACTACGTGAAGAGGCGTGTCTGGCCTGGCGAGCTGTGGCAAGCAAGCTCGCAAAGGCATTCTCAATTGGGCAACGCCCCTTGACCCTGTGGGATAGATACAGGGAGGGCGCGATATTGGCTTGAACCGTGAGCTGGCCAGCTGGATGGATAGATCCTTGGGTTGGACTAGGATTTGATGGATCGACCTCCGTACCGATCGCGAGTCCGTCCAGCCAGATGCTCAACGCTCATCTCCATGTCTCTCGCGCAATGAGTTGGATGCCCCAGGTTCTGGATCTCATGTTGTCTCTTCCCCGCATTGAGGCGTCCAATGCCAAAGCCAATGCCAATGCCAACCAATGCCCCCCGTCATAGATCGTGGAGCAGCACTGGCCACCCTCCCTCCCTCTCCATCCATCCTCCCTCCACGGTCCACCCAACTGGCAATCCATCCATTCATCGCCTCCGCCACCACATGCCGTGCATGAGCAGTTGCCGAGGTGCTGTCTTTTTTGGGAAGAAACGGCCCTGGCCGGCCACTCGCTCCAAACCTCCTCCCCACACGATGCGGGGACGACGAGCGGGTAGTAATGGGATGGGCTCCGCGGGCTTCTCGTCCCTGAGCAAGCTTGCGACGACCACTTGTCAAGCACGGACGTGGACCCCGGCATCTGGGCCTTGTTGATGAACCGACGCTGCTCATATTTGTCGTCGCACGGCACCAAACCCTTTCACCACCATCATCAGCATCATCAGCATCATCACCACCACCAATACGTCTCCTCTCCTCTTAACCCACCCCTACGGTGGAATCCTACATTGCTCCTTGGCCAATCCACCCGGCTGCTTCTCGTCTGAAGCTGGCGACCGCCAATTCCTCGCGTGACCTCTACCTGTCCCTCCACTCGTTCATCGTCCAGAGCAGCAGCAGCACCACCACCACCACCGGGCGCACCTACATGACCGCCATGGACACTCTCCCCGGCGCCAAGCCGGTCCTCACGCGGATGCCCGCGCTGCCGCCGAGCGACTTTCTCACGCCGGTGCAGTGGGACGTCCTCTATGCCTTGATGGACGGCGCCCTTCCTGGCTTCACCTCCAGGTCGAGGGCGCCCCAGCTTGGAGAGGCGCACCATGTCGCCCTGCCCGATGACGAGTTTGACAAGATCCTGGACGAGGCGTCCCAGTTCCTCCCCGCGAGCCAGACGCGCGAAGATCTCGCTGATTTCCTCGCGGCGAGGCCCGCCTCAGAACAGGCCTTGAGGGACGACTGTCTGAGGTCGCTGGACGTGAGCCCTGGCAAGCACAAACTCGGGCCTGTCATGGACATGCTCAAGTAAGATCAGACCTCTCGCTTCAGTTCCTCTCTCGCGCGCTATCAAGGCTAACCCGACTTGCCACAGCACACGCCTCGGTAGCCTCTTGCTCACAGGGTACTGGTCACCCGTGACGGCGCAGCCAGCCCATGTGCGTCACGCCATCATCAAGTCGTGGAGCGCATCCTCGTTCCCCGTGCTGCGGAGCCTGGCCAAGACGGTGGCCAGCCTCGCGTTGAAGGCGGTCACCATGGCAGACACCAAATTGTTCCAGCTGGCTGGATACATGGACGCACCGCGCGACTGGAAGAGCGTCGAGGGGTTTCCCTACGACTTTCTCCAGATCCAAGCCGGCAGCGAGACGCACGTCATCGAGACGGACGTGGTCGTCGTCGGCACGGGACCGGGCGGCGGCGTGGCCGCAAAGAACCTCGCCGAGGCCGGTCATCGCGTGCTCGTCGTCGAAAAGGGCTACTACTTTCCCCCGTCCCAGTTCCCCATGGACCAGACGTCGGGCCTCCACTACCTCTACGACAACGGCCAACCGTACCTGACCGAAGACAGCAACACCACCGTCCTGACGGGGAGCTCGTGGGGTGGGGGCGGCACCATCAACTGGAGCGTGTCCCTCCGGACGCAGGACTATGTCCGCAAGGAATGGGCCGACGACAAGGGTCTTCCCTTTTTCGCGACCAAGCAGTTTGACCAGTGCCTCGACCGCGTCTGGGACTTTGTCGGCGCCGGCACCGACGCCATCCGCCACAACTACAGGAACAATGTGCTTCTGCGCGGCTCCGAGAAGCTGGGCTGGCGTGCCCACCCCGTCGCCCAGAACACGGGCAACGCGGAGCACTACTGCGGCCGGTGCACGCTGGGCTGCGGATCCAACGAGAAGAGAGGGCCCGCCGCGTCCTGGCTGCCCGCGGCCGCCGAGCACGACGCGGAGTTTATGGAGGGTTTCAACGTGGAGAGGGTGACCTTTGCCGAGGACGGCACCACCGCGACGGGTGTTGTTGGCGAGTGGACGTCCCGCGGGCCCGACGGCGACGTGTCCGCGCCCGAGGGCGACAGGGTGCGGAGGCGCGTGCAGATCAAGGCCAAGCGGGTGATTGTGTCGTGCGGCACGCTGCAGAGCCCCCTGCTCCTCAAGCGCAGCGGCATCGAGGTGAGGGATAAGCCTTCTGGTACCAGAGGAACTAATCAACTGACTTACCTCAATAGAACGAACACGTCGGCAGGAACCTGCACCTGCACCCCGCCAACATGGTGACGGCCACGTTCGCCGAACCGCAGGAGGGCTGGGAGGGCGGCATCATCACGAGCTGCAACGACGAGTTTGAGAATTTGGACCTGCACGGCCACGGCGTCAAGATGGAGACGACGTGCATGGTCCCCTTTACCTGCCTGTCCTCGCTGCCCTGGACGAGCGGCCTCGACGCCAAGCTCCTGCTCGCCCGCTTCTCCCACCTGGCCTCCTTTGTCACCATTGTCCGCGACAGGGACACGGGCACCGTCTTTCCCGATCCGCGCACCGGTCTGCCCCGCATCGCGTACGCCGTGTCCGACTTTGACCGCGACCACGCCCTCCAGGGGATGGAGGGCATGGCCAAGATCTGCTACGTCCAGGGCGCCCTCGACATCATGCCCTACATACCCGGCCTCGCGCCCTTGCGGGTCGACGCGCAGGCGCGCGCCGCGTTTGAGGAGGGCATGGCGCGCGGCGAGGTCAAGGACCCCGAGTTCTCGGATCCAAAGCTCAAGGCGTGGCTCAAGGAGCTGTGGCGCCTCGGTCGCGCGCAGCCCCTCGCGCCCGTCGCGTCGGCGCATCAGATGGGCACGTGCCGCATGGCCAAGACCCCCGAGGAGGGCGTCGTCGACCCCCAGGGCATGGTCTGGGGTCGCGAGGGACTGTACGTCGCAGACGCCAGTGTCTTCCCCAGCGCGAGTGGTGTCAATCCCATGGTCACCAACATGGCCATTTCGGATATGATCTCGAGGGGTGTGAGCGAGGGTCTTCAAGCTCAGTTGGAGGGGGATCTGACAATGGCGTCGTGAGGCATGTTCATGGTGATTGGTTTTGAGTACCCTATACGCGCGTATGTTGAGGGATAGCGCAAGCGGCTGCGTTGTTATTTGGTTTTCTTGTGGCGTTCACTTTCCGAGCTTAATTTTTTTTCTTTTCTGTTTTTTCTGTGTTTATCTAGGTGTAGTGAGCCCATAGAGAACTCGTACAGATCTGCTCGACGGTGGTCACACAATGTGCTGGTCGTGCTCAGTTCCGAGGTACTTCCTCTGTATGTGCTTGGGGGCACAACCTCCCACTCGACTTTACTCACCGGCTGCCAGCTGTCCGTCCGTGCCGATCGACACAATGTCCAAGGCGCACTGATGTGAAATCATTCAAACCCAAGGCGTTTTCCAACGTGCGCACCCCGCAAAATGCCATCTCAAGACTCACCGACAGATTCATGCATCGTCATGTCATCCATCCTGTGCCGTCCGTGACATATCCATGTCCGGCCCCGGAGGCTCCACTCTTCATCGTGGCAGGCCTGCCGAGGCTAGCACAGCCACCCGGACTCGCCGTGCCTGCAGAACGGGCAACCGAAAATAGGGCCTGAAGCCACAGCAGACAAGCCACATGTCCTTGCATGCTTCGCCTGGGCATGATATGTACGTGGTGATCGATTAAGGAGTCACTGTGATTTTTACCCTAGCCTCACGCGTGATGGCACGCCTCAGCTGTGCAAGGGTCTTTCTTTGCATGCCAAATGCTGTTTGCTGGCCTAACGTGAAGGCAGAACGCCACAAGCCCGCACCGCCTGCCGAATTGCCCAGTGGAGCCTCCTGTGGCGTTCCGCGCCCGTATCGGCAAAGGGCACCGAAGTTTTTGCACTTTAGGCAGATAGATCTTGCAGAGCCGATTATTTTTGGAAACACAATTGGACCCGGAAGCATGGGCTTTCCATCTCCGCCAGATGGACATGTCGTGATGCAGCATTTCCAGCATTCGCCACTGCCGAGCACATCTCAGCTGCCACAGGGTCTCGGGAGCTGCTGGCTGACACGAAGTAAGCGACGGCAGCCGCACTGTCGCAATCCATTGTCTCGTGACCACGATGGGACCCCGGCCCTTGGCTCCAACAACAAGTTTCACAACGTCATCTAAGCGGCCCAAGCCTGCGCGCCGCATCTGGTGATAGGCTTGGTCTGTAAAGCCAAGTGAAAGCAGACCGAGCTGTCAGGGGAAGCTCGTGTGACTGACCTGGCCGATCAAGTGACTCTCTGGTGGCCATGCGGGAGGGCGGAGGAGGAGGCGAAAATCCAGGATCCCGAAATAGGAATCGCATAGTCCTCCCTTTCGAGCCCTCGTGCATGGCTCGCCGCAGGTAAATTCTTCATGCGTTGAATGCACCATCATTGCCGACTGGCAATGGCTGCATCTTGTCCAAAAAGCGGGCGAGTGCTGCAGGCGGACTCTGGTATCGCTATCCGTACCTGACTGACTGTTGCATGCGTACGTACCGATACTTGGGCGCTGTGGCTGGTGAACACTGCTCTGCGCTGCATTTAGTGTCTCTAACCACAGACTATGCAAAGTACGAGCTCACTGTAATATGTTAGAATGTCAGGCTGATCAAACAGGCCTAGACATTGCGTTTCTACCAAGATTCCGGTGACGAGATTGATTCGACTGGACGCCTAGTTGGGGCTACACAACAGTGGCAGCACAGTTGTTATACCTCGCGCAATGTGATATCGAGCCAGTTGAGCGCAACTGGCTGGCCCACGACGAATCTAGACCCTGTCTTTGCTGTGCCTTTGAACAATGATCAAACATCTCCGTTCATTAATTCTTGCCTCGATGATTGGCCTTTAATCACAAGGCCCTGGCGAATAGTAGTACGAGTCCGAGGCTTCCAAGTTCGGCCGCAATCCTGGTCAGAGACCCACCCAGCCACCCTTGGACATATGAGGCGGCTGGCCAATGACCGTACAAAAGTGCCCTTTTCAACCTCACCTCATCCAAGGCGCTACTCGGACACATGTCATCTATAGGCTCTCGTCGCTTCCAGTCCTGTGAACATCTCTTGGGGCTCCATGTCCTTCTCATCCCCATTGTCTCACCACCCTCGCGGGCGCCATCACACTTATCATTCAAATCCGTCTCTCTGGGTCCAGCGATTTCCCAATCAGCGTAGGAGACTTATACGTCGAGCTCGATCCCCAGACGGGTGTCAAGGACCGTCAACCGCGTCTGGAAGGCACCCACAGCATCATGTCCATATCAGGGACTCACTCAGGGGCAAGTGCCCGCTCCGAAAGGCGGGTTTGGCGGCTTTTCCCTTGGCCGGGAAAGGGGGGAGGGAAATCCTGGCGGCGACGAGGAGTCAGACGACACCCTCCAAAACCGAGCCGTAGGCCAGTGTGCGCGACCATCGGCAGCAGCACGCGCCTGTTTCACTTGTTCTGTACTGACGCTGGAAACTTGATATATGACGGCAATCAGTCTCCTTCACGGCCCTTTGAGACATGCACCACGCGTCCATTTGTGCGTGCAAGGACTCGTGGGTGGGCATCATGTGAATCAATGGCACCACCGTGTGTAGAACATGAGCTGCAGTCATGTGGTATCAAGGCTGCTTTCGGCTCGGCAGGCCTCAAAGGCCGTGGTAATCTCAGCGCCGACGAATTGGCGTTGTAGCCCGTCGTCAGCACAGAGCAGCGTTGGTCGCGATAAACCCACAGACTTCTCCATTCTACGGCGTGCATGATACCAAGTGGCCTTTCTTTGCGCAAGGTTCTCTTCTATACGCTGACGCCTCGTATGACAAGCATGTGGTCGTTTCCAGAAGTCTGCATGGTTGCAAGACAATATGATACGATAGTACCAGCCGGACAAAAGGCATGCAGATTCATCTGCAAGCTGTCTACCCCCTTGTGGCCCTGCCCATGACTCCCAGAGCCGCACACGAGTCGAAAGTTTGATGAGTGGTCGATTGCGTGGTGCTTTAGGATGGTGACACTGCGAATGTCTCGGCCGTAGGCAGTCAATCTGTACGCAGACACATCAAAGGCTACTAAATAAGCGCCAACGTCGGCTCGGTCCAGCCCTGGTTTGGCCAAGTTGTCAGTACCACGAGCCTCTATCAGGCTTTGGTTCTGCCGCCATGACGATGATGGTCTCGGCGGATTCAAAAGATGACGACCGTGTCAATCGCAATATTGATGCGCTTCCAATGTGAATGCGCCATTGACCCCAGATCCAGAAGCAAAGCAGCTGACTCACGTGGCCTTGCCTGAGCAGAGCAGACGGAGGCAGGCGCGTGTACCGGTACGAGCGCAGGTACTCCGAGCGGCTTGGTGCGGCAGCTGGAATCGGACAGTGTGGTGCCCGTACGTACGAGCTCTGCAGCTTTCAGCTGCGCAGGCCTTCTTCCTCGCATGCACAGAGCAGATCCCTCGATCATGCATGCAAGCACAGCCTCCAGAGTCCAGCAGCAGGAGAAGCGAGATGCGCTAAGACAGCCATTATGCATGATGCATCGGCCGACTATTAGCCCCTAGCCCAGAGCTGCCTGCTACAGCAAGTAGCGCGCTGTCGGAGCGGGCCTCTCTGGTTGTACTGTAGAAGGCTAGAAGCTCCAGTCCTCCACTCTTAGCGCTGGGCGGTGCCTGCTAGCGATCGAGGGTGCCTGTTGCACAGCGCTGTGTCAATCGGCCTCCACTGGAACCCGGGCCCAGCTAAGGTACGGAGCGCTCCGGCCAGCCCATCGCAGGTATATCTCGGAGCGCTCCCGCCTTCTATCCCCCTCTCCCTTTTTCGCTCCTCACCACGAGGTCCTCGTCCTTCTCTTCTCTCACGGGTTACGGCAGCTTAGCAGGCGATCCCATATCACGTCAAGAATTCCCCATCACTGCTCTGCTCCGTCATCTCGCCTTTTCCTTTCCGTTATCTCATATCTATATCTCGTCGTCTCTGATCAACCGACAACCCCAAACCCTTGCTTGTCCGACACCGAACGAACCCCGCCTTTGGATATACCCTCACGCTTTCACGCTTCAAGTTCTACGATACCGACACGATACGATACCCACCCACCATGCCCGTTCAATTACTGCCGGCTTCGGCTGCCGCTTTCGCACCCCGCGCCTCATCAGTCAATGTTGTCCTAGGATCCAAGGTTGAGCCCTGGTTGACGCAGACCCTCAAGCGCATCAACCGAGTCAAGCGCCCACTCAACAGCGTCCCTCAACATCAACGCTGCTTGACGGAGACCTTGTCGTCATCGAATGCCATCTGGACACTCACTTCCCTCATGCTGCCCAAGCTACCCGAGGCGGACATGCCTACCGATCCAGATGAGGCCATGTTCAGCCACCAGCTCATTCATGTCGAGGCCTACATTGTCCATGTCGACATGGTCTTGCGCAGCGAAGTCGCCTACAAGCTCACCAAGGACACTATCGAGGCGCTTGTGGAGTACCACAAGGAGATTCACTGCGTCGACACCAAAGCCAACACCCACGACTGGCCCGACAAGGACCAACAGTGCAAGAAGCTCCACGAGGACTTTGTTCAGGCTATCAACAAGTTTGTGTACCGAACCCATGTGTCTGCGCTCGAAGGTCTCGAGGAGGAAGGCGCTGGCGAGCTTCTTTGTGGAAAAAGCGATGAGGTTAAGATCCAGCTCGGAAATCTCATGAAGCCGCTTCTGCCACCGCCTTCTCGCGCCATCGACGTTGTCCGCCAGCCTCCCCTGCTGCCCAGCTCGCCGGCCGCCAACATGTGGCCCCAGTCTTCCGTCAACGGTGGTCTTCCTGCCGTGGATGCTTGGAGGATCTTGCCCTCGAGCCCAAGTGTGACCTCGACGTCTGCCGAGTCCAACACGAGCCCCATCTGGGCTAACATGGGAATGAGCGAGTGCCAGTTGCCGTCTCCCACGCACGCATACAGTCCGCCTCACACCACGGCTGGATTCTACTTCGGCTCACCACAAGTGACGGCTCCCATGCCCTCTCTACCTCTCCCCAGCATGTTTGCACCAGCTCAATGTGGTGTGAGCGTGGGCATGGGCATGGGCATGGGCATGAACATGGGCGGCTTTGGCTGGGATCGCTACAACGACTTCGCGGCCATCATTTGACAACGACAACCGCTAGGCACTGAGGGTCAACTTCCCGTCGTCACCACCTCGCCCACATGACATTGTGCGACGCACGTTTCCCGGAGCGAACAAGAACCAATCGACTTGTACAGCGGCATAGAACCAGCATCATCCCATCGGCATACGTATCGGCGTTTATATCCATTTGCATCGGACCGGAGTTCAAATGATTCGACAGATATCCACTCTTCGCGACATCTCCGTTCATCGTTTTTTCCTCTTTCTTTTATTTCTTTTATCGTTTTTTTCGGCCAGCAACACAGCGAGCGTCTTTGTTTTTCTGGGGAGCACTTCCTGTTTTTTCGCCTCCGGGAAACATCACTTGACTCCCCGTCGCACACCAGCCGCTAGTTCGGCCTCTGGACTGTTCCTCTTCACGGCACCGTCATCGGCGCTAGATCCGGGGCCGGCCTCCCGATGCACACGCAACACGGCAGCGACGACGATACTCACAACAAGACGGCTTCCGACACATCTTTCTTTTGCACGGTTTCACGGTTACATCATGGGTCAAAGATAAGAGGAATGCAGCAATGCGCACCGCTCGGCTAGTTCCGAGACAGAGTCCGTTCAGGATGTCGACTTCCCAATCGCTATTTTCCTTGTTTGTCTTTTTCCTTTTCCATTCATATAATACGGCAAGAGGCGGCTTTCTCTGAGGACTACCCCTTAATTGGGTGCTGGTTGCTCGAAACCACCACGCGACCATCACCTTTACGTCTTTCTTTGGCTTAATTTCCCGCTTACGGCTATTTGACGACGACTTTACGATTTGACGAACGAATAAGCACGACTAAGTTCGACATGAGATCACGTTGACGAGACACCGGCTTGATGTCGGACTTGCTTACTACCTACCTGCTCGACTTGTTGTCCTTATTCGATTCGACATGGGCACTTCCGCGGTTTGTTGGACTGGAATCCAACCACGCGTGATTCACTAGTCGTCGCCAGCTCGTATGCCCCATGATATCTGGAATACTTGGGCGCTATGGGTTGAATTTTCTGGGACACGCCACAGCAACTGGACCAGTTGCTGACGGAGAGATCAAGGTTCAGCCACTGAGCTGGGCATCATTACGCTTCTGCTGAGCAGAGCTGATGCAGAGCCTCTCTTGTTGCCAAGCCGGGTTGTCTGCTGGACAAACTCAGCCTCGCGCCATCTTTCCAGAGATCAGGTGCGGCATATTCTGCAACCATTTTTCACCCTCCATACTGCATCTGCTAGCCAGACAGTTTGAGTTGCGTGACATGGTTCATGGGTATTCCGCTTTTGACTCACGGGAGATGCCATCGGCGAGCAACCCTGGCCCCCTGTAGCTCATCTCACTACAAAACCCTCTTCGCCTCCCGCGCCGCGTCGTCACGGATAAATCTACCGACGGCGCGACCTGGTCATTGATGAAGGGGTGCCCGCTGGAGGGTGCGCTTCACTGCCACCCCTGGTCGCTCCCATGCGTCCTGCGAGGCCCTTGAGATGCTGGATATATACAAATGTGCGTGCGTGGGCGCAGGACTTGCCCTGGAGGCAGGCGCCCTCGCACGAGGACAAGCTTACTATGAAACTGAGTACAACTGCCCGTGTTGTCTTGCCGCCGCAGTACTAGTTAATTGAACATCATCTGTTCACCTTTGTATTCTCAGTCTGTGATCGAACAGTGATGTTTACTTGATTCACGCGAAGGAGTGGCCAATACTCCCAAGTGAAGAAGTGAAGGCCTCGATATCGTCCCGAGGTGTTATCATTAGAGCGTAGTATCACTTATCCCAACTGCGCTATCGTTCCCGTCTCGTTGTGTGTAAGGTTGAGTCCCAAGTGCATGGACTCGTCTCGGTGAGTAGTCTCATGCCTTAAATGTGCCTGGTCACGCCCCATTGGGCTCGAATGTTTCCTCCTCGCTTTGCCCCATGGCATAACGCAGGTGTACTTTGTATAGATGGAAAAACTGTCTCTCTGCGTGCGTGCGTGCGTGTGTGTTCATCATGTCATTCGTGTTGTACAAAAAAAAAGAAACAAAGAAAGAAATAATGCTCCGTGCTGATGGATCCGATGCCTTAGTCCTGGTTCACGGTTTGCTGAATAAAACGTTAGTATAACAGACCACCCAGTCAAAAAAGGGGGGGGGGGGGGGGTGTGACAAAACATACCACCAACCAGTCCATGCCTTCATTCACACCGCTCCCGTCCACCGCCGAGCAGGCCATAATACTCCAGTTGCGGTCCCGCAGCTCGCCGAGACGCAGCGCCTCGGAGATCTCCCCCGCACCCTTGGCGCCTGGCTGGTCCTGCTTGTTGGCGAAGACGAGCAGCGCCGCGTCTTTGAGCTCGTCCTCGTTCAGCATGGTGGCGAGCTCATCCGAGGCGGTCTGCAGGCGCTCGATATCGGTCGAGTCGACGACGAAGATGACGGCCGCCGTGTTGGCGTAGTAGCACCGCCAGTACGGGCGAATACTAGTCTGGCCACCGAGATCCTGTTGTTGGTGACCTTGTCAGTCTCTTGACCGCTGCGAGGGGGTAGTTCTCCTTGGTTCCGCAAGTGGTACGTACCCAGACATTGAAGTTGAGATTTTTGTATGTGACGGATTCCACGTTGAAGCCAATGGTGGGTATAGTTGTGACGACCTCTCCGACCTTCAACCTGTACAGCAGTGTCGTCTTGCCTGCATTGTCCTACTTTTGTCTCAGTCGTGATGCTCACGTTATGTGGGGTGAAGTGTGTTGCCCCTTACCAGTCCCAGAATCAGAATGCGAATCTCCTTCTTCGACCAGAGTAGGCCGCTCAACCATGACATTGACTGACCCATCCTGCCCACGGTCTAATGACAGCGCTTCTCAGTAGCGATTCGCTTTGCTGCCCTGGCGAGATATGGTCCTTTCTTGCTCCTCCGATTGGGGGGGGGGGGATCTTCGTCGTTGCTAGAGCACGTCGATGTCGATCTTCTCGCGATGCCTTGTCGTGGGTGGATGGCGCAAAGACAGAAAGGGGTATTCGAATCGCAGACGCAGAGACGCAAAGTCCAGTATCTTCGCGATAATGACTACTGTATTTCGGACTCGGGCGCGCTCGTCGTCGTGCTTCTTTGCCACTGGAGAAGATGAACCAGAGATTAGAAATCGCAGTCCCCTATTCTGGACCTACGGTATGATACCTCTCGCTGGGCGAGACCCATCATGCTTTTTAGGTGGACCTCCAGTCGGGAAAGACAAACGAGCACTGTTCTGGGGTTCTGGGGATGTGATTGGCTCCCGGATGGACTAATATGAATACACAGCTTATTTCACTTTCATGCCATAGAGAACTGTCACATGGCCAGGTAAAATGTTGGTGTCTGTAGGAGCAGCATGTCTCTCAATTGTTCTGCTGATCTGGTAGCAGCGTTCTTCATGAGGGACTCTCCTCTGGACTTCTCTGGAGCGGCGAGTGAATCGTGAGCAGCACGCTGTACTGAAGGTGTCATGCGACCACGATTGAGTGCACCTTGTTACACTAAAGTCAGCTCAGGCAACTGGGACGCATCGCTCGTTGTATCGAAGGGAATTCATGACGTCTGTATGCCTCTTGAATACCATGCAGTTATTCCTGGAAGGTTGTGGCATTGAGAAAGACGATTCTGTCCTTGGTCTATCGGGTGTAGCATTGCATGGTAATCTTGTCGCCGCATCCCAAGCCGCCAGCGCATTTCGATGACATAAGGTTTGTAAATTTCGTTGCACCCGCCACAACGCTCAGCCACAGATGGCCCCCTCCCCTTCCGCAACGACTAGGGCTCATCGCCCACACGATCCGCTTGGGCCAAAATTCTCATTAAGGTAACCTCGAATTCAAGACCATCATCACCAAACCACCGACTCGACACACATCGCCAACCAAGATGCCGGTACGCTCCCCTCCAGCCACGAGACTCGCAGTCAGAGTGCTTCTATTGAGGATTTAAATTCCTGATTCCACCGGAACCTGTTCGCCACGGATGATGGAGGTTCCTCGGAGGCCACTGCGACGCCTTGCCCCCCACGACGACAACGATGATGGCTGACGTTTTCTTCTCCCTCACAGAGCCACAAGTCTTTCCGTACCAAGCAGAAGCTTGCAAAGGCACAGAAGCAGAACCGCCCTGTGCCTCAGTGGATTCGCCTTCGCACAGGCAACACCATCCGGTGCGTTTGACCCTTCCCATGGCCGTTGCTCCACGACAATCATTCGGAGACCTCGCCACGGCCAAAACACTCAAGCATTTCGCGCGCAGCTACTAACATGACGACCAGCTACAATGCTAAGCGCAGGCACTGGCGCAAGACCCGCATCGGTATCTAAACGTCTCGCTCTACACCGAGTTTCCTCCAGTCTCCGATACGTCCTCGTACAAATTTTCACCACATCGGCAACGCGACTGTGACAACATTTCTCGCAACGCCTGCCGATCTGCGAAGGACCGCAAAGACATCGAGATGGTTGTTACGACGATGAGGGCTGGGTATTGAGAATTGACCGCTTGTGGATTTTGGGGATGCGCAGTGGATGAACAATGAAATGGTGTGGGCAGGGAAGCCCGGTTTTCTCAGGTTCTGCATGTCACGGTCCGGCTACTAGGGAATGGAAAGCAAAAGACTTTTGACGCCTTATCTCATTATGCTCGCATCTCAGGTGATGATTATGCTACCACTGCTCACCTCTGATGTTCACTTGCCACACACCCTGCGGTACTTCGCCCGCTGAAGCATTGCGGAGTTTGTGAGGATGCTATTATGGTCACCATCGCCGTGCCGTTGAAGCTGTTCCATTGTGCTCTATTCGTGTGAATTGAGGAGCACTGCGTACGCATACTTGATCCGACAGAGCATTGCGATGTCTCTGCCTCATGAGCACTCATGTGGCAGTCATTCAGCCATTGATGCCGTTGCGACTCTGAACTGATATCAAACTCATCCCCGATAACCTGAACGCCGAGAGCAAAGAACCATTAATTCATTCCCTAGCAGAGGCCGCAGTCATCGTCATTCAAGCAGCGTGATTTTACGAGCATTAGCGGTCCTCAGCCCACTCGTTCTCACGGCGGATCTGCTCCTCTTCTTCGGGGGTGAAGTCGTTTGTGATGTTGAAGGTCTTGCGAATCTCCTCAGGAGACTTGCCCTTGATCATGTTGGCGACAGTCTTGCAACCGACATCGAGTAGGGGCTTGATGTCCAGATAGTTGGCGGCCTATGTAATAATTAGCTGGATTCGCCACGAGCATGACCCGGGATCTACAACGCACAAGGATGATCTCAAAGAGCATCTCCTGGTCAACCTGCATGAACTTCTGGTCCCATTCCTCAATCTCGGTTGTCTTCTTACGGGCATCGGACTCGTCATCGGGGTTTTGCTGGGGGTCGTTGCGGTGGTGGTCACACCATTCGATAACTTTCCGAAGCACAGCCTCGTTCACCTGGAAGTCTGGTCAGCCTCTCTTGCCTTGGGGAAACGAACGGAATCGGTGGAAGAGGCGGGGCACGCGGCATACGTTCTGGATGGGAATCGCGTTGCTCTGAGAGATGCTATCGCTGCCCAGATCGTCCAGCAAGTTCTTGATAAGCATGGAGCGCTCGGCAACAGCCCTGTCTACGAAAGTTGTTAGATTAGAAGCAAGTGCGTAGTGTCCGGGATGCTGACGTACCAACTTCAATAGAGACGTTGTCGCTGGACTGAAGCCAGACCTTTGCGTCCGCGGCGGCCATGGTGAGAATAAGGGCTGATTCTATCTCGAGTGTTAGGACAGTGCTTTGTAGATCGACTGTGCGCGGTCGTGCGCAGGTGCTCATGCGAAGACCTGAGGAGCTTATGGCATGCAGGGGACGTACTGGAAGGCGATGGGAATGAGTGTGGCGTATAGAGTTATGTTGGCGAAAACGGATCCGCGAATACTGGATTTGATGTGAGTGGAACGTTTGTTGCGAGGTGGTGATTGCGCTCGGATGAGCAGGCACAGTCAAAGCGAGGAGGGCGGTCGGCGTTCAAATACTGCCCCACGGCGGAGGCTGGAGTGTCAGTGCAGGCACTCACTCCAGTGGCAGCCTGAACCGCACAGTACAGTAGCAATGACGGAGGCAGCACTGCGGGGCACATTAACCTTCACACCCATTAATAGCCACTTGGCTCGACCAGTGGAACAACAACAAAAGGAGACACAAAATATCCAGAAACACAAACTCTGGACTCAGGGCGCTTTGTCTATCCGCTTAATTTCCGGCGTTGGGGTTCTCGGAACTGCTCTTGACTTTTTTACGTCTGGTCTAGCGCGACTGGAGCTTCCAAATCATGAATCTGATTCTGGGGGCGGCAACATGACCAGTCAAGGGATGCGTGAGCCCCTGCTTCCAGGAGTGACACTTGCTTTGGTTCTGCAGTGATCCTTGCGTTGGAATCAGGCTCTGACAGTCTGACAATAGAAACACCGATCTAAAAATCAGGTTTGCCCTGCCGTTTTGACGTACATCTCTCGCCCTCGAAGCATGGCCGACATGGCCGGTGCTATGGCTGGAGCTCTGAAAGTCGATGATCTTCTTTTACAACACAACAAGAGACTGCAGCAATGCAGCGGATACCAGATAGCCTTCAGGTACCACGGGGCTAAATATTGTTGATGTAGGGAGGCAGTGCGAGAAGACTCTCATTGCATGGTGGCACCACGTGCTAATCCGAGCACTCTGACAACACGCTGTCTTGTTCGCTCCAATCGCAAGACGGCAAAGACCTATCTACGTGGAATCGTTTACAAAGCGCTGTGGCTGGAAGCCTTCAACCAAGACTTGCGCAGCAACCTGCAAACGTTCTCAGAGCTCGTTGCCAGTCCTGTACCATCGATCCCCATTCCAGCTGCGGTCTTGGCCAAGGATGGTCTCAGCACCCCTGACCGACGGCTTCATACCCAAGGTAGCAAATGCCTTGGGTAACACAGCTACCTCTGCTCACCGTCTGCTACCAAGCGCGCACTGGCAGGAGCAGTGTTTCTGAAGCTCTGAAATATTGCCAGCCGTGTCTGTGGCCCTGGTTAAAGTCCATCGCAGATGTCTTACACACGCGTGCGCCGACTCGGTGACGAAATTGCAATGGGACAATGGCTTTTAGACCAGCGAATAGACTCTAGGCGCTGATGATAGCTTTCGGGTTGTATCCTACCTGTAAGATAAGATGCTCTGTTGCCGTTCAAAATAAAGTCTCGGGATACTGGACACGAGAGATGACTCTCAAGTCGGTTTGTCGTCGTCGTCTGAGGCTGCAGTCTGCACATGTTGACGATCCGCAGGTTCTGTAGTGTCTGCCGTTACTAAGGCGTGGTCCGTGGATATTGCCTGCCCAGACTGTCGGGAGCAACCGAGTGGGGGCCCCGAAAACGCCTGAAGCCCAAGGCATAGGTACCATGAGTATTCAGTAATAAGCGGCCCCTGAGACTAGTTCCAAGCCAGTCTGCACATTGAAGCGCGCTCAAAAACGAGTACGTATGGTTGCGCATGCGTGACTGGGAAATCCCTGGAAAACTACATTCGAGATACGACGTGACCAGTAAAGTCGAGATTCGTCGACTTCACATTTCGCTCGGCACGTGCAAGAACGGGAGACTAGAGTCGTGCTTTGCCGGAAGCAGATGTCGTCACGCTGCGGCTCTATTAGAGTGCTTGCAGGAGCCGCGTGCGAGACTTGCGGTTGCCCACCTGAGCTGTCTTGCGGCTTGCCTGACGTCCAGTCCATGCGCTCGATTCTTGGCTGTTAAGTCGCATGAATTCTTCACCCAACCCCAATCTGGGAAGCAAAACAATCGTTTCCGATGGCCTTGGGGAGAGTTCGATTAAACATTTTGTGAATGTCGATCTTGGGCGGAAAAATTCAAGCTGAGCTACGGGGTACGTAGCAATCACAACAAGAATGTACATATCCGTAGTATCCGTAAAATATCCACCACGGCTCTGACCATCATCTCAGGGGACCTCGCGCTAAGACCTGCCGGACTCGGGACGTCCAGTCGCGCCCGCGCCCTCGGACCGCGACCAGCGCAATGTGTTCCATTCTCGATCCCACCATCAACTTTCTGGAATTAATTGTCAACACGAATCCTGTTGTTTCTCCTTCTTTTCCCTCTATTCATTTTCACCTTGTATTGATTTCAGAAAACCGTCCCTTCATTAATCTGCTAGTAATCACCTTCCATTCTTCTTGCAAGCTTCCTACCTCCGGCTTTGTTTTCAACGTACCCCCTGGTACCCTACAAAGCCCCTTCCGATCGCATCCCACGTCCCACGCGCGCTCAGCAACAGAATCGCGACAGCTCGAAACGAACCCAGGTCTATATACGGAAGCTGGCGCTGGTGCGCAAGGCACCTGTACAACCAGGCATTGGGCCCGCCAATATCAGTCGACGACAATAGCTCCAACTTTGTTTGACACCTCACCTGCGATCGCCTCGGGTGAACCACGATTGACTTTGGGTCGTCGCCTTCTCGAATACGACGGCATCTGGTCTGTGGAATAGGAAAAGCATGTGGCGGCGCACATACTTGCTATTGGTGCTGGTGCGGTTATGGTTCGCCCTCTCTCCAAGCTACCTACACCCGGACGAGAATTTCCAAGGTCCAGAGGTCATTGCAGGTTAGTTCAGCATCGGCGGGGTCACGGCTCTTGGTTCTAGCGCCTTGCAGGCCACCATTCTCTCAGCGTGGGCTAACGTCGTGTGCGACAGGAGAGATCTTCAGCTACCCAGTGCGTCGTACGTGGGAGTTCACAAGCGACAACCCCATCCGCAGCGTCTTTCCGCTATGGCCTGTATACGGACTACCGATGCTGTTGCTGCGATGGCTGTGGATCGGCAACGGTCAAGACGGCGAGATTCCTCCGATCGCAGTGTTCTGGACGCTGAGGGTCCTCATGTTCTTGATAAGCTTCGTTCTCGAGGACTGGGCGCTTCATGAGTTGATCCCTTCGCCCAGACATCGCCGTGTTGCAGTATTGCTTGTGGCCTCATCCTATGTCACATGGACGTATCAAACTCACACATTCTCCAACTCTGTCGAAACCCTGGTTGTGGCTTGGAGCATGGTCCTCATTCAAAGGATCGTGGATGACCAGGTAAGCTTGTCCACCAGTCACCCTATCTATACTCACGCAGCTCACAAACAACAGCAACAATCGTCATTCATGGCCTCCTTTGTGCTAGGCGTCGTCAGTATCTTCGGCCTCTTTAATCGGATCACCTTCCCGGCTTTCTTGGTGATCCCAGGCTTCCGCCTGGTTGCCCATTTCTGGAGAAAGTAGGTAGACCCATTATACATGGGTTGCGCTTCCACTAACTGGTACAGGCCTCTATCGCTAGTAGCGGTATCTTTGGCGGCAATGCTGACGACAACGATCGCGATTGCACTTGACACCGCGTTCTATACCGCCGAGCCAATAACATGGTCTGACCTGATCAGTCGCCCTGTGATCACGCCGTGGAACAACCTGAGGTACAACTCAGACCTCGATAACCTCGCTCAGCATGGCCTTCATCCATGGTACCAGCACCTTCTCGCCAATCTGCCAATGCTTATAGGACCTGCTTCCTTTCTCCTCTTCCTCCGGCCGCACTTCTCACTGCGACTTTACTCGGCCGTCTCAGGGATCTTTGTACTTTCTGTTTTCCAGCATCAAGAAGCTCGTTTTCTCTTGCCGACGGTACCCTTGATCTTGTCATCGGTGCGGCTTCCTAAGAACCAGGTTACTCTACGGATCTGGGCTGGCGCGTGGATTATCTTCAACCTCTTCTTCGGGGTTCTTATGGGCATCTATCACCAAGGCGGAATCGTGCCCGGCCAAGTGTTTATGAGCGGGCAGCCCGATGCCACCACAGCCGTTTGGTGGAAGACTTACACGCCTCCCATCTGGCTTCTGAATGGCAAGAACGAGGTCCTTCAAACGAAAGACGTGATGGGCATGCAAGGCGATGACCTATATGAGCAACTCACGGCACTCGCAACATGCGACGTACCCGCTGATCGTCGCAACCAGGAGTACCTCAAGGAGAAGAACGGCACATACCTCATAGCCCCTGCATCGGCCATATGGTTGGATCCATATCTGCCAAACAAAGGGCTGGATGGGTTGAGGTTCAGAGAGGTGTGGCGACACAAGAAGCACTTGAACTTGGACGACCTCGATTGGGGCGAGGACGGTGTTTGGAAAACCCTCAAAAGGGTCATTGGGAGAAGGGGCCTGGTGGCCTGGAGGGTCACCAAAAGTTGCTAGAAATGAATGATACCCACACAGCGATTTATCAATGTTATGTCGCAAGGAACAGCAACGTAGTTCCATGCGGTGCACTGTCGGCATGATCTGATACATCAACTTCATCACATGGTCTTGGATGATGAAGCGCAAGTCGTGTCATTTCATCCTATCTAAGACTACTACGACCCGACTGATATGCACCCCAATTGTTACCACACTCCAGCGAGAAACGCTTAGTAGAGGCGATGAGGAGGAGACATGGAAGCCTTGATGACAAGGCTGCCAACGTTCTGCCAGCCCTTCTTGAGCAGGGAGACGAGGTAGTTGATGGACAACATGATGTTGGCAATCAGCTGCTCCTGCTCCATGTCGACGTTGCCGACGGCGACACCCATGCAGAGAACCTTCTTCAGCTGGAACTTGATGGTGGACTTGACCTCGGTGATCTTGCCAGAGAGATCGTCGGCGTGGGAGACGGGGGTGGGGAACTTGCCAGCTGGAGGATTGTTAGTACTGAGTCTCTCCCAATTTTGTGACAAGAGTTCTGCTTACCCTTGGACAGACCGGGACCCAAGAGACGGGGGATCTGCTTGATGAGAGCCTCGGAAGCGATGAAGGCATCGTACTTGCGAGCAAGCTTCTTGATGAGCTTCTTGTTCTTGTTCAGCTTCTTGAGGTCGTCGGCGGACATGGCGTCAACACCGCCGTGCTTGGCACGGTCGAGATCGTGCTGGTCACCGAGGATGCAGATGGCCATGTTGGGGCGGGGGACAGCGGGCAGCTTAATGGTGCCAGAGAAACGCTTGTCACGCTGGGGGTCGTAGTTCTTCAGGCCGATCTGGAGCTCGACGGTCTCGAGGAAGTTGCGCTTCTTGGTCTCCTGGGAGTACTCCAGGAGCTCCTGGACTTGCGTCCGGACATTAGCTGCAATGGGGCGTTAGCAATGCGCAGTTCGAGTATTATGCAGTGTTCTTGCGGGAGAACTAACCGACTGTGATCTTTGACATGATGGCGACAGTCTCCCAATAGTGTACTAATGGTGGTCAGGACGGCGTTTAGATGGGAAAAACGAGGCGCTGGTGAGATGGTGGATTTTGACGATTCCAACGTGGGCCGCCTAGTGCGTAGTGGGGTGGAAGGGCAAAATTTTCTCACGTGATGGTCCACGTGATGACTTTGACAACGACCTGTGTTCTTCAGAAAACCATGCCATCTCGCTTTGGATGATGAAGCCGATGTAACAATGGGTTTGAAAAAAATCAGGGGAAATAGAGAATCTTGTCAAAGATCGAGTGACAAACTTAAGCGTGAAAATTGCTCTGGTGCTGTCTGGCATTCACAAGAGCTTTACTCTTGTCAGTCTTGCCTCAGGCTCTACATTGATCTACTGAATTAAAAAGTGCCAATGTTATGGCCAATCTGAGACTGGTGAATCGTGAAAGAAAGTCACATACTAAGTTGAACCTTGACGTTCATATTGCTCACATGTATGGAGTCATGAACTCAAGATCACAGATCCCTTCGCAGCCAGGGCCCCACTTCAAAGTTTACGACTAGCAACACATTTCCAAAGAAGGGCTTCACGGCAGCATGCAGAAGAAGGAGGCTCTGGCTCCGGCCAATCTGCTAGAGAGGCAAGATGAAGTGCTGAAATGGCTTGAAGAGCAGCCAGACCAGGACCAAGCTGAGTGAGTCACGGCTGTAATCAAGCCCAAGTTCACCATGTTAACTGAGGTGAGGTACGCCTCGTGTGCTTTAGACGTCCTTCTCAAAGAGGCAGGTCAGACGAAATCTGCTTCTGGAAATGCGTGTTTGCGGTTGTGTAGCTTTGTTGAGCAATGCTCCAAATCGCACGCACCGTCCTTGCAGCAATGGGCCTTCTCTGGGGATGTGAGCAAGAAGGCCTTTACCTTCTACATTGAGTGGAACGAAACAGACCAGCATAGGTCCATGAAGCTGGTTCTGGACCTCCTTGCCCAACTTGACAAGAGAAACCCAGACACTCAAGCGGCCAGAGCGACTAGAGATGATCTGTTGAACTGTCTCATCTCCATTTTAACAGGGAAATCCACAAAGCCCGTCGTCAAATCCGCCATCAAGACAATCGATCACTTTCTTGCCAAGAACGTTTTCACCTTGGAGGACCTCCGCGACACCCATGTCAAGTGTCGTTCTCTGCCTGGTTCTACTGACGAGGCGGAGACGTGGCGTCGGCTCTTTGCAGACATCATATACTGGGCTCGCATGCGTACCACTTCTCCCGTCACCGGAAAGCTCATCGTCAACTTGTATCGTGTCTTGCGAACTCGAGAGGGCCAATGGGTCATCGAACCTAGTCGCTTCCATCAGTGGTTGCTAGACTTCATCCAGGATGATCTCAGTGCGCTCGAGGATGTCAAAAACTACATCTTCCTGCCAATGTTCAAGGTGGACCGCGCAGAATCATTGAGATACCTGAAGGCTGTCAGCGACGTCGACAACGCAGCATGGGATCTGAACCAGCAAGTGAGCATGCCGACTCTCTTGCAGCTTGCTGCTTTGGAGACCGGTAAGCGCGTCGGGTTTGTTGAAGAGCCAGGTAATGCCCTCGCAATGTCGATCATCACTTCACTAACACGAAGTTAGCTGCAAGCTCAGAACGTGATGTTGCCGATGAGAAAGCTCCTGTGATTCTCCGTGAAGAAATCTTGAGCAACGTGCTGTCCCATCCAGCACAGGAAGTTCGCTCTTTGGCGTATTCTTTGTTGACAGTTTCACCGTCCACGACCAAACCCTACTCTACGACTGCCCTCGGGCTTTTGCGACAGCACTTAGGCACATACTTCGCTGACTCAGATCCCAAGTTTCGAGTCAATGTTATGGCTCGCGCCAGAGACATGTACCGGAGGGTCAGGGGCGCCATCGCTACACTTAAGCGCAGCATACCACGGGCTCGAGCCAAGGCGAAGAAACTACAAGAGGCCGCCAATGCCACGTCTGAAAGTAATGAACGGAACACAATCGTTCAGCCCATCATGTACCATACGAACCTCATATACTTGCCGGAAAGCCAACTGGTGCAGTGTTTGGAAGAGCATGTGCAGTTCCTGCGTTGGTACAATGACTTTCTCCGCACAGAGCTCGCTCCCACTTCTTCATACCAAAGGCACTATGGGTCACTGAAGGCTCTGTCGTTTATTTTGCGAATGGAGGCCGATCCCAACAAGGGATGGGAGACAGAAGAAGACCAGGAGCTAATATACGATATGTTTGGATCGTCGTGGGCTCGCGCGCTATTTGATCTGGTCATGGATCCTTTCGACGATGTACGCGAGTACGCAGCAGCAGCCATCAAGTCGCTTCACGGCAACGACAAGTATCGCAAGTTCCGACTCACGACATCCCAGTCCCGAACGGACGATTTGCGCGTGCAGCTGAAGCGCTCACTCGAAGTGGCGCATCGTACGTCCAGGGCTGATCATTCCGACGGTGCAGCCAGAGCCAGTCAACTTCTGTACAAGTTTTCCAGCAGCGGCGATGAACGGGTGGCCGTGCTTTCACGCCTCCTCGCGGAGCTGGAGGACCGTCTCTTGGCTGCTGAAGCTGATCTCGGACAGGCCGTCTTAGGTGCGCCGGCCCACAGTCACTTTGCTTCACTATGTTGCGTTTGGCAAATAGTCAGCGAGACAACATTCGACCCAAAGGAGCTCGAAGCTGTCAAATCCCTCCAGAGCCAGGCAGTCCAATGCTGCTCACGGATATGGCAAGCTGTCCGTAGCATTCTCTGCGACGACTCGCCCGAAGGCTACTTGCCCGAGGAAATGGAGGCTTTAGAAGGATTGGACACCAAGGATGTACTCAGCTACAGTTTCCGTGCAGTTCACGAGGCGAGGTGAGTGTTTTCTTTTCCTGCGACTAGTCCGTGCTTGCTGACTCTGTGATAGCAATCTCTTGAAAACGATCATTTTAACAACCAAGAATCATGCCAACAGCCAGCTCATTAGTCCATCCGTTGAGATCTTTGAACGGATTGGGGACCTTACTTTTGAGCAGCTGGCAACACTGAGACACCGTGGCGCATTCTCCACGGTAGCCAACACCTTCACCTCCTGCTGTCAGCAAATCAAATTTGTTGAAGCCATGTCGAAATCCAAAGGGGAACAGCTCCTGTGCCAATGGTACAAGGTATGAGCTCACTGACAAGTCTGCTGCATGCTGAACAGCGCTGACCACGTTAAAGGGCACATTAGAATCGATTTATGGCCAAGTCTCAACGACTCGCAGATCAGCCGGTATTCCCTCGCTCATCACTGGCATTCTCTCCGCCAACGCCGCCAGCCCTTCGTTCGAGCAAGTCATTGAAAAACTCTTTGATATAGCTAGCGTGGAGGCTAGAGTACGCGAGACTGATGCGTCAAATTTGCCGCAAGTGCACGCCTACAACTCCATCAAGGACATTTTCCGAAACTCTCTCCTGACTGCGCTCGGCAACAAATCAGAGAAATACCTCACCCCGGCGCTTCAGCTGGCAGCCAACGGTCTCCGTTCCGAAGTATGGGCCATTCGCAATTGCGGCTTGATCCTGCTGAGAAGTCTGCTCAATATGCTCTTCGGTCACCACGAGAGCAAGTCCATGATTGAGGCTGGATGGGACGGCAAAGCGAACCGGATCCCCTACCACAAATACCCAGCTTTGGTGGATGTTCTTGTGGACCTTCTCGAGTCGGGCGAGAAGAACGCAGAGGCACCCGCAACGTTGGACACATCAGGAGCCGAGGCTGTCTTTCCGGCTCTTGACATTATTCGACGAGCCGGACCGCCAGAGGCCCTCCGAGAGAAGCTACAAGACCTTGTCGCCAAGTATCTTGCCGATCCGGTATGGCACGTGCGAGAGATGGCCGCTCGTACGCTCTGCTCGTGTTACTTGCACGATGGGTGGCTTCGAGCTTTGAGGACCTTGCTGAAGGTCGCCCTCGCAGACCCTAGCTCACACGTCCAGAACCACGTTCACGGCGTGCTTTTAACCTTGAAGTTTGTGTTTGAGAGACTCAGCAAGGTTGCGCCGGAGCATATTAATGGTAAGACAACTAGATTCAGGCCAATTAATCAAGGCTAATCGTGCTTCCAGCCCACCTATCTGAGCTCGTCGGGTTACTGGAGCATGATAGACTGGAAGATCGTTTCCAATCTTCCCCCGAAGTGATAGCAGCGTACTTGGAGCTGTTCAACCAAATGCAGTCTTTCAGTCTGATCAGGTCGATACCGCTTGGCTTCCGTCCCTCGCTGCCGAAAGACCTCAAAGGCAGCGCGCTTCTCAAGATCCAAAAATCCGTATTCGATACGTATGCCGCGTACCAGAGCCCAGAACCAGTACAGCAGCTTCGAAAAATCTTGGTCGTCGAATCGCCAGGTTCAGACGGCGTCATTGCCTCCATTGAGCTGATCCCCAAGCTCTGGAAGACTTCGTCGCTGGCTGACGACACATACTCAGCTCTTTGCGTGCTATATATCGACCTTTGTCTTAGTACAACGGTCAGCGAACAGCAAGCTGCTGCGTTGGACAATCTTGCAGATGCTCTTAGCGAGAGGCCGATATATGAGAGCAACGTCAGTGAACGACTCGTGGAGATGTGGACAGCGTTGCCCAATGCACCGACAAGCCCGTTATTGTCGAACGCTGTTTTGCGAGCCAGTGGCTGTATCATCCCCATATTGTCACGCAACGGTGTTGTTCAGTCCGAGGGGCTTTGGCAATGGGGCAGAATGGTCGCTGATGCTGGTCTTGAGGACAAGGTGAGTGAGCCCGCAACATAGTGCAGGTCGAAAGCTAATGGTCAATAGAGTTTCGACGTTCGATACGCTGCGACGGAGGGACTTTTCTTCTTCTTCAAGTCTGCCGCTGCCCATTGCACGTCTGAGGAGCATCTACCAGCTTTTCTTGCCGTCTACGACGCGCTCAATGACGACGACAATGAGATACGTGAGCTTGCAGCGGCCGCCGCGCAATTCGTATATGGACAGGCCCTTGTGCCCCTCGAGGCTGCCACGCGTCTCCTAGACTGGCTCGCGCAGACGTTCAACAACACTGCCAGGTTTGAGGAGATTGTTGCGACAAGGTTGACTGGATCCAAGGGGCACGGCACCGCGTGGCGGCCAGCAGAGGACATGATCAACCACGCCCTCAAGCTTGATGACGCTCTCTTTGCCATTGAGGAGCAGAATCTGTTCTTTGATGAGGTCAGAGAAGTGAAGAGATGGAGCAGCACTTTCACCACCTTGAGCTGGGCCGGTACGGAGACTTCATTCACACAGCTCGACCGTTGGCTGGTAGGCGGTATGCGCCGCCTGCATCTGCTCTTCGAACAGGGTGATGAGCCATTGGGATGGGGCTCAGCGCCTCATGTTTTTGCCATATGCTCTACCATTCTAGTTGGATCCTCCGTACTTGTTGCGTCTGGCAAGGCTAGCGCAGAGCTGCAGGATGCATTCCGTCAGTCCGCGATCATCAATACTGACGATCAGAGGAGTGGGATCAATGGGTTACTGAAGGCTTACTTTACGTCTAATAGATTCACTGGATAGAAATAGAGATACTCACCATGCTCAGAGAGGGAGCTCAAGATCATAAACATCCTTTCCTTGGAGATTGTGAACCCGATTTTATTGTCAAAATTGCAAACACTCCCAGAAACATGATAAACTGACATATTTGAACGATTCCCAATCCTAAGCGCCATACAAAATGCTGCAAAGTGCGGCTGTCTGTGCGTATATGTCCAACATCATTCCGAGCAGCAAACCAACAACTCATCCTCCTTTAAACCGCGGGTGGCGTGTTGGCCCGTCCCACGGTACCCGATGAAATAGGGGCTGAATCGCTCCTGTTCAGAGTCGACGCCCTGCTTCTTTGGGCTACCAGCGCCGTATTCTGCCTTTGCAGTTCGCCGACCTGCGCGGTGAGGATCTCAATCTGCTTCAACGCAATATCCCTTTCGGCCTTGACTCTTTCCAGCTCAAGGCTGATATTCGAGCGCTCTTCCTTCTCCATAGCTTTGCGCCTGCGCTCCTCGGCCTTGCGCTCCTCCTGCTCCCGCTTCTCTTCAATCTTTCGTAGCTCTCGCTGGTACTTGGCTTCCTGCTTGGCTACTTCCTTCTCATGCTTCTCTCGAATTTTGGCCAGGGCTGCCGCGTCCTTCTCTTTGTCGCCAGTCCGCCGGCTTTCGACCCGCTCAGTCATCTTGTTGGCCTTCTCATCTAATTTGCGCCTACGCTCATCAAGACGACGGAGCTCCTTCTGCTGCGGCAGTGTACTCGATGATCTATCCTCGGATGGGTTGAGGCTCTCGGTATCCCTGGCTACATTGTTCTCCTGATTAGTCGACCTCTTCTCCAGAGCTGAGGAAAAGCTGACAATGGACGACGCATCATCATCCAGGGATGATTTTTCTTCAACGTCGTCCGATTCGACTAGACGTTCCGGCTCCTTCTCGCTGTTATCGGTACCATTCCAAGCCTTGAGACTCCCCGACACGACGTTGGACGCGACACCGAAAGCGCCGGTTATCATACTGTAGAGACCGTGCCCATACGTTGGGTCCCCGTTCTCCTCACCGCCACCTAAAGTTGTTTGCGTGCTGCCGGCGGGAAGCCTGGCAGGGGGCTGCGCAGCAGGGTTTTGAATATTTGCTGTCGCTGCCGTACTGGGAGCAGAAACCTTCTCTTGCTCTGCCGACTCGCTCGTTTCGATCACTCGGCTTCCCAGGGACTCTCGGGTGACCCAGTCAAGGAATTTCTTCGCGTCGTTGACGATACCTGGCGGCGTCCCCTTCTCAATCATAAATCGTGGGACAGAGCCGCCGGGGTCGCTTCGCGTAACCATCAGCCATTCGATAGCTACAGGAGCAGCGCCGCCCTCCTCTGAGTTCAGCGAGTGAGCCTTGGTGTTTGGCGATGCATTCCGGCCGCTCGGGAGGTCTAGGGCAGACTGAGACCGCGCAGCAAGGGGTGTCTCGACCTGAACCTCTCTAATGATTTCCACCGACTCATAGTGACCTCGAATCACTCCGGAACGTGGTGCGCACTCGGGATGAGTGACGGGTTTCGAAACCACCATGAATTGTCTCAGTGGTTGGCCTTGCTCGGATGCCGTGTGGGGGAAGGTGGTTGTGAGAAGCAATGTGATGAAGTCTCTAGGCGATGTAGGCCCGGGGAATTGTGCCGACAATTGGAAAACTAGTGATCGTCAGAAACAAGACAGAAGTGATCCTCGGGTCCTCAGAGTAGACATACCTTGCATTTGTGTGTCGCCGTCGATCTCGTGGTTCTCGACTCGTTGATCTGCGCCCAGACCTCTGATGGCACCACTGCCATGGCCCTCGTCCACCTTCATTGACTCTAGGAACTCTCGCTGCATCCCTGCCACCCACTGGTCAAAGGTCAACCCCTCGTGCACGCTTCTCCGCGCGAACCATGCACCCTTTCCATCCTTGGCACTGAGCTTGTACACCTGAATCCCCAAGGGATTCTCGCGTGGATTGACCTTGACATCCTTCCACTCGTCCTTCAACTTGAGCGCTTGCTCGACTGTAGCAGGATCGGGGCGGAAGCCTGGTCCGCTGGTGGCTACAGGCAGGGTCGCACCGTTTTCGAGGACGGCTGAGTCGGTCTTGGAGCGTGCGCGTCCCTTCTTGGAGCTGCCAGAGCTGCTGCTCGCCTTCGAGGTCGGGGAGGGAATGGATTCGACAACGGTGCTAGCTTCGGCGAACACGGAGTTCAGGTAAGGCTTGAGATTGTCCTTGGGTACGTCGGCCCAGTCCACAGGGCACAGAGAGGTGAAAGCCTCGTGGTGGGTGCCACCCATGGTGTTGCGTGGCAATACGGCAGGGCGTATGGGCAGGAACACGCGGCCTCTGGGTTGCTACTTCCTGAGCAGTTAGGTTGTCGGTCTCTGGAAAGAAACAAGACGGGTCGATGTGCAATCGCATGCGACAGCTACACCACTGTACGTCAGTATTAATAATGCAGCCAGTGAGGGCGGAACAGAGTGGAAAGCAAGCGAAACGGTGGAGTCTCCTTAAGTTACCTTTTGTACCTTAGGATGCAATCATCATTATTATATCCGCAGGGACTGGGTAGCTCAGAGCCTAATCTGGAGAAACCGGCGCTCCAGTCGTCCAAAAGCAAGCTGACGTCAACGGGTTGCAAGGGGTCGAGGGCCCAGTGATCATCATCGCGACGGCACTTGCCTTGTCTTGACAGAATGACAGATTGACAGCCGACGCCTGGAGAAGATGCTCCGCATCGCATAGCGCCCCGCTCGTTCTGCGCGGCTGGCGGCGGGCGCCGCGGCATGCGCCACATGAGCCACCTCAGATCGCACATCACGCCTTGTCTGGATGCTTCGTGGAGTGGTGATTTGGTACAAAGAGGCAGACAAACGATCAAAAAATTCTTGCTACATAGAATGTGATACGGGAAGCCTACAGTCCAGCGGCCATCCGATCCGCCATCACCTCATTGTAATCCAATTGGCAACTCCCACAATGCTTGTCGCGCCACTCGATAAGTGCCTCCCGCCTGGTAGACGGCATAGCTGCCAAGACCTTCTGCATAGACTCATCTCGCGCCTTGCCGGCCTTCTCCTCGTCCTTGCTGAGCACGACTGTCAGGTCCTCACACAGTGAGACTTCGTTAGCCAGCCAGTTTTCCCATTCGGACTGCAGCATCTCCTTCTCGATGCTGTTGACAACGCGCATCGCTACGACAAGGTCGTGGCGGTATGTACCTAGCCGTTGCCTCGAGCGTCGGAGGCGATTTGCAGTCGATCGGGAGGCCGGCGATGCAAAGACAGAGCCTGCGTCTTGCCAAGGGGCGTCCATGTCCGTGGCTGCCACAATGTCCTGGAAGCTGCCGAAGCAGGTGCTGTTCTGCGGGAAAGCATGGGTGTGACTACTCTCCGACGCCTCACCGAGATCCGAGATGTAAATGGCCTTGCTCATCACTGTGTTTGGTCCCACACCCAGATTACGCATCAGGCCTGCAGCACGCCTCTCCTTCCACCACGTCGAGGTCTCGGTGGCCGTGAGGAGCATGTTGGTCAGGGTGCTCAACGCAAGCAGTGCTAACAGTAGCCGCTGCGCCGTCATCACCTTGAACAGCTTCCTGAGGCCTGCAAATGCCCACATGATCAGCGAGGACACGGCACTCTCGCCAAAGGAGCGCACTGTCTCCCAGACCAGGGCGGTCAGGGTTCGCGTTTTGGTCGTCTGCTTCCTGCTCGCATCAGACGCTGCTGGCGAGAAAATTACCATTTGCGTCTGATGCCCGACGTGGCCGTACACCTGGATGGCCCTGTTGGTTCGGCTTCGCGCACCCAGCTTGCGGACCTGGTCCGTGACCAATTCTGCCAACTCCATGGCGTCACTCGAAACGTCGTGGAGCGCCTGTCGCTCAATGAGATTCTTCGACAGCGCAGGTGTCTTGGACCAATCGATCCGAACATAGACGGCGAGTCTACATTTTGACTTGGCCACAAACGTGATAACAATCTTGGTAATCAGCTTGAAGTGCTGGTGGTGAGGAAGATGCCACGCCGTCTTGACGTGCGTCACGACGTAAGTAACATGCTCGCTGTGCATGTCAATGGTCTGGTGGTCTGTGACCTCCACTGTCTTCGTTCTGCCCAAGAGATCTGTGTGATCAACCTTGAACTGGAACTCACGTCGCATCCGCCCCTGGTCCACCAGAATCCAGGGTCCTTGCGCGATCTGCTGGGCGCGGTGTTCAAAGTATAGCTTCGGGAAGACAAAGCTCTTGTCTCCGAACAGAACGTGGAAGCACGACTTTGCGCTGATCTCAAAGTGTCGCTCGGCCGCCATTTCGTGCATGTCTTCTGGTTCGTATACGATGGCATGCGTCGGCAATTGTACTTTGGAAGGTATGGCCAAGCGAGACCCGGAAGGCTGAAGCCGTGGGCTACCTTCAAAAGACCTGCTCATCGCATTGCTGCCCCCTGGGGTACCATCATCGTACGGTGTATTCGACGGAATCTCCTCCCAGCTCTCTGCCGATGGGCTTGGCCTCTCCTGTCCTTCTCTTTCCACATTGATGAGTGCAGTGATGATGGCCTCCGTGTCCATTGGCTCCTCAGCCTGCAAGTCGTCGATGAGCATGTTGAGGCGTGTGTGGAGCACACGCAAGTCATCCAAGAAGATCTTGAGCGTGATCTTGGCGTACCCAGTGTCATTGGTATCTTGACCAAAGTGTAGGAAGATGAAGTCAACCTCTTTGCCAGGTGAGGCTGTCACTTCGGATATCATATCAAGGGGCAGGGTGTATGCCGTGACCAGACCTATCTGCTGGCCGTAAAAGTACATGTGATCGGGCGTAACAAAGATCCGTCCATCGCCCGCTAGGGAGTGGCCCAGTGACTCGGCCGATGACGCTGTGCTGGACCATGCGGCTCTAAAGACCAGCACGAGCTTTTCCTCCGGAGGCGCAGTCGGGAACAGGAGACGGAACTGAGCATGCTGAGCTCGCAACTCGGGCGGATAGTTATGAGGTAGTGAGTCTTGCGTCTGCTTCTTCTGCATGGACTCAATCAGGGGCGTTTGCACATTGTCTGGTGAAACCACCACCCCCACAGGATCATCATCGCTGAACCGGTGCAGCACTGGCTCTGGCGGCGGCGTATTCACCACGCCCCAGGCGTTGGTGCCCCAATAATTGGCTAGCACAGAAGGGGGCAGCTTGTCGGTTACCTGCCTTGCGTCGCGCTGAGCGGCTGTGAGCACGGCAGTGCGACTCAGGTTGGTGATGGCCGGAGGCTTGGCGAGTGTGAGTGGCGCGAGTGTTCCGGGATTGCTGTCTAGCGACGGGAGCAAGCTGTTCTTCGACTTGGAGCCAAGGGCCGAGTTGGGGTGACCCGGCAGCAGGTTATGGCTTGCCGCGATCACGCTGGCAAGACCACCAGCAGCCCCTGAAGATCCGGCCAGAGCAGCCTCTGCCCCTGCACCAAAGGTGGCCTTGCGGTGCAGATCAAGCTTCGAGATGATCCGCACCGCATGTTCTCTTCCGCTCTCTCCCTCCTCGCGGGCTAGATCCCTGCCGAGGGCCGTGATGGATCGGCGGGACAAGCTACCGTTCACATCGAAGCTTGACCTTGATGCCGAAGCGTCAGCGCCTGGCACCGGGAGGGTGCCTGCCCTCTCTATAGCAGCAGACTCTTCGCTCGCTAGAGCCATCGGGGTGTCCAGTATGCGCGCCGAGAACTCTGGCACCGTTGGTGGTGAGATGAAAAACGCGGGATCGGTGGTTCCAAACGGGCTGATGGAGTCCCGATCCATTGTGGCCTCAAACGCCTTCTTCTTGGTGACCTCAAATACCTCGAGCCATTCTGTCAGCTCGCCCTGCGTCTCTGCTTGCAACATCATTGTCTGGCTCTTTGTCTTGACCTCGAAACAGAAACGCCTGTCCTCGCCGGGGGCGGGTTTAGCATTGCACAGAAGGACACCAATTTCGTCGCCCTGTAGGACGCCCTGGGGCCCCGGGATGAGCCAACCAAAGACCCGATCGCGGCAGTAATACCATCTGCGAACCCAGTTGTGTCTCGCAGGCTTTCCGGATAGGGTGCGCAGGTACAGCCAGCCCTGCTTCTCGGAGATGACAGCACCATCCCCTTTCATCTCTAGGTTCATTGGGCCCCTGGACCCCAAGAATGGGACCGTCGATGTGCTGTAGTCTTCGAGCTCGCGAGATGGCTTACATCCAATAAGTGCTTGGTCGCCCAGGTCGCGCCGAGCGATCTGCAGCTCTCTCCTGAACACGCTCTCCGATATCTCCATTTCCCGAGCCCAACCTCGCACGCGGTCCATGTCCCGCTCATGTCGTGTAGCGCCCGTTGCCGCCTCTCGGCCACGTTTCAACTCTTTCCAGATCTCCCCGGACACCTTGACGAGAACCTTGTCCATCGTGAACCGAACCTGGGGGGCCAGCTGGCAAAAGTCCATGGAGGCCTGCAGGTACGCCTTGCGGGCTTCGTAGACGGAGAAGGCATCCTCACGCAGGTGCGAAGCCTCCTTTGTCTTGGGCTGCGCCACGTACCGCGCGAGGGCCATGTCGAACGTTCGCTGAGCTTGCTCCAGGACCTTTTTGATCTCCTTGAAGTTGCGCATGTCACCAACGAGGAATGAGCGAACGGGCTCCACGACGGTGGTCTCCATCCTCTTCATGCTGCCCAGCAACTGCATCCAACACTCGCGCGAGCCGTCCCCCACGCGCTTCAAGGCTAGGAATGTATAGTCATTGTCTATCACGCCGTCGGTGGCGGACGGTATGGTCTTTGTCAGGTACGAGTTGATCGTGTCTTCCACGGCGATGATATCGTGCAGGAGCTTGGAGGTAGAGTTGACGTAGCCATTGAGCCACTTTTCGACGGCTTCGATCTGCTCGGAGAAATGGGCCGCTGTCGCGCGAAACGTTGGCGAGTCGAGAGCAGCTTCATGAAGCCCTACGGCAAGTGCTCGCTGGGTCGGCTTCGAAGCCGCAGCTGGCGTAGCCAGAGGCGCCTCAGCCATTATGCCCTGCGGGCTGTGGAGCTAGGTTACTCGAGATGCGGGCAGCATCAGTGTAGGTGGGCAAACAAAAGCAAAGACGCATCAATAATTGAAGTATGTGCAACGTGGAAAGGGTGCGTCGCGGAGTGGGAAGTTAGGCTAAGGTACTGTATATGCAGACACCAAGACACGGGCGGGTCTGTGGGGAAGTTGAGCACTGCCCGACAATGACGATCAGCCGAGACGCGATGCGAAGGGGTCCGACAGAATCCGAGTGCGAATCACCAACCCTGCACAACGATGATGGCAACGTTCAACATCGACCGACGCATGACATGTCACGCCTGAGCTCGAGTTGGGAGGCACGCGATTCAAATAATTCATCTCTTCATTGGCTACGCAGCGAGCCTACTCCAAAGCAATCCAAGCACCTCTACAAGATGTTCTCCAACACGAATCCTGCCCGTGGAGGTATCAAACGTTGGAGCCTGCCTCGCTGAAATTTGACAGATAGCCAGAAGACTCCCTAGCATTTGCGCATGTTGCATGTTGACAATTGTTGCAATATGCGTTCTGGCCACTCCTGTTAGCTTAGCCTTCAGCAGCAAGACGGCAGGGAGTCCTCACCATCGTTTCCACCGATCATCAACTCAAGTGGCCGTCATCGTAGTGCGGAGTGGGCTCGGTCGCGAGACTTTGGCATCTGGCTGAAGGGCAGCTCCTGGACTGCCCTTATCTTCCATTCGCCTCTGGGCGAACGACTTTGGTGCAGCGTCGCTCGACTTTAGCGCAGCGGGGGGCGCAGCTTCGGAAGCTTGCGCGGACGGTCGATCTTGAGTCTGTCCCTCGTGGGCCACGAGGGAGTCCAGAGGTCAATCTGATCCTACGTCAGCTTCCTCGTGAATCCAACAAGCCGCAACATCACTCACCGTCATAGTAGTCGTCATCGTCACTCATGTCAGCCAACTGCTCAAAGTTGACCTTGTAACGGAGGATACCGCCAATACCACCAAATCCCTTGACGAACTGGTTGCCTTCAGTAGACCTGTCCGAGACGAACTCAAGGTTCGTGCCGAACTGGCGGTAGTTCTCGGCAATCCACTCAAGGAAAGACTCCTGTGCGAGAATCTCCATCTCTTGTCCAGTGGCCTTGTCCAAGAATTTATCTCGGTTCGTGGCCTCCTGGGCCTTGGTGAGGTGGAGCTGATGCTCGGAGCCCTCGCTGTCCCGAAGGACCCAGCGGGTGATCTCAAGATTCTCAAAGATGATCAGTGTCTCCACGGCACCAAGCTCAAGCGCCTTGAGTGTATCCTCGATGCCGTAGCAAACCTTGCCGGTGTCCTGGCTGATCTCTTGGAAATATTGGCCAATGAGCTTCTTCTCTTGGATGAACTTGACATTGCCGAGAGTCTCCGAGGACAGCTCGATGGCCTGGTTGAATCCGTTCTCACCACCATACGAGACATCAACGACCTTGATGACTTTGGTAGCCAGGCGGTTGTCGAACATGTCAGAGCCGTTGAGGTCGTTCTTGAAATCGGCAGAACCAGCAAGAATCAGCCCAGCGACGTTGACCTTGTCGTTGGTGATGAAGTTCTGTACGGCCAACTCGGCAACCTTGCGCACGTAGTTGTGACGCTTCTCCTCACGGAGACGAGCAAAACGCAGCGCGGACTGACCACCACGGCCGTGCTTCTTGGGAAGATCGACCGAGAATTTGTGAACAATCTCACGTGTGTTGCCGCTCAGTGTACCAAACAGGGCGCCGTTACCATCCATGATGATAAAGCCAAACTTCTGATCAGACTCGAGTAGCTCGGCGAGGGCTTCCGTGTGGAATTTGTTGTCGCAGAGATATAGCGAAGTGTTGATGGGTTTAAACGGCTCAAAGTCGATGTTGACCTTTCGCTCCTTGCCCTCCTGGGTCAAGATTTCACCACAGTACACGACAAGACCATTGGGGGGGACCTTGTTGTACAGCTTCAGGCGCTGCTGGGTGGACGTAATGGCGGAAAGGACAGACTGTCGGTTGACTCGTGACTTGATGTTTGAGGCAGTACCCTGGACAACGGATTAGCCTACGAGCTGCAGTAAATCGTTCGAGAGCGCGTACGTATTCTTCAGCCAGCATCTTCGCAATACGGGAGACCTGATCCTTGGGGGCTGCACGCATTACCGTCAGTAGCTGTGAACCAGGATGGGACGTTCCGCCGACGCCAGGGTTTCCTTACGGATGATCAGGGAAATCATGGATGTGCCATTGCCCCTGGCGGCTTCAAGACGCTTGATCAGCTTCTTGACCTTCCAGATCTCAATCTATTTCGACATAATGTTAGCTGATTCCACCTCTTAGAGTAGATGGTCTCAAAAGCGATTTTGAGCAGCATCGCGGGGCAGTCCAGGGTGGACGGGCTGGGTCGCAGACGAGGAGGGGTAGTGCAGTCGCATTCTTACGTTCTTCTCGGCCTCGTTCGCCTGCGCGTCGCTCATTTTGACGGCGTTTGTGAATGTGTCGCAAACAAAATCGATGCCGGGCCTCGATGTTGAGGAACTTGGAACGCAGGCCGTGTAGACTGGGGCGGGTGGATAGAAAGTCGAAAGGGTGAAACAGAGTCAGGCGTCGTGGCGGTGGTTGATGTTGGGGCTGGCTGGTGCCTGAATTTTTATTTGTGGCATACTGCAACCCCGTTGCTGGATTTTACCAAGCCACCTCGGAACTGGAGGCGTGCTGCTTTTAGGTCTAACTACTGTAAACCAACATACATACGTATCAACGCAAGCACTTGATGGCATGACGATATACATTAGACAAGCAGATGCATTCACACACGCCGTATCTCTTCATCGTGCAATCGCTGGCCTATTTTTGGTTGCCTGCTGACAATGACGCTCTTTCTCTTCAGAGCCCAAAGGCCAGTGCGTCATAACCCAAGTACGGATAGACACCCAGTCTGAAGCAGAACCACGGGCCCTCACCGCCCAGCTGGCAGAACGACACCTAAAGTAAGGTTGGGCCCACTAATTACCTACCACCTACCAGGCACACGTAGTGTCGGCGCGCCACGGTGCGACTCCAGAGTACTATCCCGTGCTGTTCAAGTAATCATTAATGCTAGCCCAACACCAAGCGACCGAATCCTCTGGTTCATCAAATTCCTTCCGGCCAAACTCAAGTCACAATGGCTTCTTCTTCGATACCAACGCAAATAGCGGAGGCTGTTCAATTCGGACACATAGATCGTCACCCAGACCCAATACGCGACAATGCGCCCGCGACAGCAGCCGAGAAGAGAGAGGTTGCGACCGTGGCACCCGAGCGACGTGAATACGACGATGTGGAAAGCGACGAGGACGAGGACGAGATTCCCGTGAGCGTGCTGCGGCCTGCTACAACATCACACAAGCTCCCGCCTCTCCCAGATCTGCGGTTCGAGCAGAGCTATCTAAACAGCATCGCATCAGCGGATACGTGGTGGAAAGTAATGCTGATAACAGCGCGAGACCAGGTATGTGGCAATTTCAGGAAACGGCATGGTTCTCTTGGGCTAATTTGAGACTAGGTTATGATGCCACTGGTACAAGGCCTGCTGTACAACTTGGCGCTTTGCGGGTGGCAGCATTGGAACCGCAACGCCAGATTACATGGCAACACCATTGGAGCTCGAGCGCGGAGATGGTGGTGGGGAGTCAATAACTGGAACATCCCGGACCAGAGAAGGTCATATCGCTGAAAGTCGAAACGAAGCTGTATTACCATGTTCCACGCTGCCACGAAGATTGGGTGGCAGCATTTGCAATATTTTGTGGAAGCGATGTCTGTACAATTTTCATGTCGTGGAAAATATTCGATATGCTATGATCTCTATGCTGTTACGTTGTGATGCAGCGGATGTCTCGTCCTAGCCGTCTCCCTGATACGGCTCACGCCAGCTCATACTGGGGTGTATCCCACAAGGTTCCGAGAGCTCTTTGTGTAGTAAATTTTTGAAATTCCGGCCTTTTCCGCGTTGAACTCCTAACACCAGCTAATCAACAGTTGCTTCGTACAAGTGCTCTTAATCCCATGCATGACCATTTGGAACGTTCGCCCCTGACGGGTGCGGCTTCTCTGGGCTGCCTCTAAAAGCCAAGGAAGTCGCCAAACGTGTTGCTTCATCCGTCAGCATTTGCTGCTTCGCCCCTTCAGAGAGCTGAGGGAATTGCTGTTGAGCCGATGTAGGCTTGGCCGAGGTTTCACCCATCGCCATCGAGGGCCGTACTGACTCAACGCGCTCGCCCTCAAGTGCTCCTACACTCTTCGTCTCTGCAGGCGTTGGGTTAGAGGCGAGCTTCTCTTGGGCGGCTGTTGCTCCATCTTGAACGCCAGGACCCGAGTCAGGTCCATTTTGTAGGCTTGGTCTGCTAACGTCCGTGGTCTGATGATGAGCTTGCTCTGCTGATGTAAGAGCGCGCCTCAACTTGGGCGGGGTGACAGAAAGCTTGACTACCAGACTCCTCGGCTGGTCGTCCAAGTCTTCGTCCTCCATGACAATGTCTTCGTCAAAATCGTCCTCCGCATCAGAGCCCTCCGGCACGTGTTCATCCTCATCGTCGCCAAATTCCGCTTCAGTCTCCTCTTCGTCGCTATCCGCGGATGCGTCTCGGCGCGACCGCGATTCCCTTCCAGCCCAGTCGTTTGAGGTTTGGTGAGCTGCGGCTGACCTTCGTGGCCGACCTGTAGGTCCAAGTGAATCACCTTCTTGCTCCGAATCCCCTTTGACACTGTTCGGTGCGCTCTCGCCAGTGGCCACGTTTAGCCGGCTAGGGGCCTTGATTTGTCGACCGCTTGCGGTGATGGTAGGTCCTTGTTCTGCAGGCGTATGGGCACCAGTATTGCGCGCGGATCGTCGGTTGGTTGAGTCTGAGAATCCCATGTCCTCGTCGTCAGAATATGTATATCGCATTTTCTTACCACGTGTGCGACCCTCGTACATAGAGAACCCCGGATCTGGTCGTTTGAAGCGCTCCTTCTGGGCCTGTCGGTAATCTCGACGTCTCCGTTTCTTTGAGAACATTGTTAGCCTTCGCTTTCAATAAGCGTTAGAGATTTCTAACCTCTTCTCCAGCCTCGAATCGCGGCAAGGCGGCTATGATTTTAGAGGCAAACCTCTTCGCCTTCGGACCTCCATCTTTCGTTTCCAGCTTATCAGCAAGAGCTGCGAGCTCCTCAATCGAGCCTGCGACGCTAAACCATGTTCGTTGGGAGCCCGCTGGATTGCTTTCACGATACACCCGAAAAGCGGTATCGTCTTGCCCTTCAATCAGAAAGTATCTCCTCTTGTCCCCATCGGTTCCCCATGGCTGCACTGATCGCGGCTGGTTGAGATCGTCCTCGTGGCGGTTTTGTTTGTAGGATTGTGTTATTAGGCCTTTGACTGTTTCCGAAGATGACAGCGACCAGAGTATCAGGGTTCGCAGCAAAGTCAGCTGTTTTCATGTTAGTTGATCCTTTTAATTGCTTTGAGAAATGCGCACCCTCTCTGTTGGATCCATGCTGTTGAAGTTGCGACTGCCTGAAAGGGGGTTCTTGTTCTCCCATTGAGGCGCCCACTGACTCTTGTGTGTGGAAATTGCATCTTCAAGTGCTCGTCCGTAGTGACCAGGCCTGTCGCATGTTAGTCTGCTGAGCCAAGATCGCAACTAAGCTTGTGAACGTACTTCACATCTTGCTTGCGGTTCAGGAGGAGGCCAAGGATGGCACATAGAAAACTCTCGACCCGATCGCCAGGAATCGTCTGCACAACGTCGCGCTCGAGTTCTTGAGGGCCGAAATGGGTCAATGATTTCGGAAATGCGTCGTTAAATCGGCTTCGAAACATCACAATGAACTATAGTGCCGGTCAGTGAAGGTTCTTGCTGGTAATGACCGTATGACGTTGGCGACGCGAACTTTCGCGTCGGTTCCGCTCATCAACGCGACACTGGGTGTTTAGGGCACCAACAACCCCAAACAAGCCTCCGAAAATAAATATCGAATGTAGTAAAACATACAGCAATGTCTGGGTTATCGGCGAGAACATATTCGTGTGGTGGTGACGGTGATCGCTTTCGAGGCGGCGGCGAGGGTTCTTTTGGAGCTTGCTCAGACACCTTAGAGAAGTAGCCCAAGATGCCCTTCTTGGACGTTGATTTGTCGATATCCTCGGGGATATCAATCTCATCATCTGAGGGCGCCGGCGATAAGGATGAAAGCGACGACAGATCTGACGAGTCTTGGTCGCCGGGCATGGTGTAGTGGTTGGCGCGTACGCGAACGTGTCGGCTTGGATTGTCTGCGGCGGCGGGACAAGGAGGTGGACGAGGGAGGTTCAACGTCGAGTGGAGACGAACGAAGTGAAGAGCCCAAGGCCGCGTTTGGCGTCCAGGGCCTAACAGATGTTACAGTAAATTGATATCACAAGGTAATAGTACCATTAGAACATGCACTAGCACGCACGTCTGATTTGTTTCGAATCCCCATGTCCACAAACGTGCCTCTCGAATACTCGGCAGACACCAAGTCCTCGCTTGCAGTTCCAATCATTGTTCATGCAGCAGTTGTCCTCTGCGTGCTTCTCGCTTGGATCCAGCTAGAACCTCCTTTGGTCCAGGATCCTTCACGATGTGTCCTGATAGAGCATTTCCAGAGCCCAATGATGTCTTGTCGACCATAGTAACGCAACGCCGCACTGGCCCTCTATCGTACTCAAACAGTCGACCGAGCAGTCGTGAATTTCACTCGAGGTGACATCGCTTGCCTTCGAAATGGTATGTGTCTGGACACCGCCTCGGCAGGGCAACAGCGCAAGAATACCACCAAAAGCCCACAGTGTTGCGAATACCGTAGGCATCGTCCCGTTTCTCACTAACATTCCAAGGCGCCTTTTCGAAGATTCTCAGTCCTACTTCCACCAATTCGCCTGCGCAGTAATGCGGAAAGTGATGATCACTCGTACGTGCCGTGGAGTGAGTTCGAAGCGCGTGCTCTTGCAGTGCCAAAACCCCCTCCAGCCTTGTCCATCGCATCCGCAATCATTGACCGCGCTTCTCGTCGCGCTTTTCAGGCTTGATGGCCATAATGAGGAAAATCAAGACTCGATAGGTCGAATGGTTTTGAAACGGCTCATAGCTCTTGTTGCGCGTACGCTTCATTATCCCCTGCAGAGAGAGACTGTTAAATAAGCAGTATCAAAATCATAGGCGCCACGCATATCAGGTCTATACCATGATCCTCATCGTCAACAGGCATTTTCAAGGAGGATCACAGACCTGCCTAGCGTTGCCGACTAGTCGGGCCAAGACGTGCGGCATACTTCCAAAGGATACAGCATCTCCACGTGATCAATGGAAACATCACCGGGTGGCTTGACTCTAAGTGCAAGAATTCAATGAATGACCACAAATGCGGATGGCATCCGCAACATACGGCGGCCAAAACTGAAGATCGATGTACTTCCACAGATGATGTAAATCAGCGCGGCTTACAAAAGTGGGGATCGAAAGTTTGACAAAGGCTCAAAGGTCACACTCAGACTCGACCTTTTGCGGGTCCACCTGTGTGGCGCAGATGTACATAGTCCTGGTGGCTGAAAACATGGACAAAATAACGATCATCTCTGTGGCCCGTATTGTCCGTATTCTACGGATAGATACGTAGCAAGAACCTCAAGCTGCATCTAACAAATCGATTCAGGAGTCTGTGACCTTGCACGTTCTGGTAAAGCACGTACCCTACGCTTTTGACGAACGTGCAGGTTAACCTTCGGCGCCACGTTGTGTTTCTATCAAAGACCTTCGCTCAAACCATGTGTACCTAGCCTCCACTGAGCTCTCCCCAAAATAATCCCGTGTGCCTGTAGCAAAGGTTTGAGAAATAGCCGATTGCTGCAAATCCAGCTCTCCGAACGGGTACTAATGGGTGGGCGAGGCCCAATGATGTCCCAGGGTACGTGCTGATTATTGTGTCACCCCGCAAATGCTCGGATCGTAGGTCCAGGACTGGTCACGTGGTCAGGGCTCCTCCCGCCGTGCGAGCGGTTCCGCACACAAAAATTTATCGGGCGTGCATGCCGCAGCCATCTTGACAAAACATCAAGCGGCAGCTGCCAGGTAAATCCCACCCAACCTCCACGGCCGGTCGCCAATCTAACCCTTCTCTTCACACAGTAACATCACGAGTGAAGACTAGCCGCCATGGGTCGTGTCATTCGCAACCAGCGCAAAGGGCGTGGATCTATTTTCAGTCAGTCTTTTCCAACCTCGAAACCGAATCTCGAAATCGACCACGTCAACATCGCCATCGAGACTTTCGAGAGCCCTCTCACTCGCGCTCACAGTCGCTAACCTGGAATGCAGCTGCCAACACGCGCCTGAACAAAGCCCCCGCCAAGTTCCGCAACCTCGATTACTCCGAGCGCCATGGCTACATCCGTGGTGTAGTCCGTGAGATCGTCCACGACGCCGGCAAGTCTACCCCGATTCGATCACAATGGTTTCTCGAGTCGGCAACAGAGATGGAGAAGCAGCATTGGGAACATTGGGCTAACATTTGGGATTTTACAGGCCGTGGTGCTCCTCTCGCCAAGGTCGTCTTCCGCCACCCCTACAGGTTCAAGCAGGTGACCGAGACCTTCATCGCCAACGAAGGCATGTACACTGGCCAGTTCATCTACGTCGGCAAGCGCGCTGCCCTTACTGTCGGCAACGTCCTTCCCGTCGGTGAGATGCCCGAAGGTACCGTCGTTACCAACGTCGAGGAGAAGATCGGCGACCGTGGTACCCTTGGCCGCACCTCCGGCAACTACATCACCATTGTCGGCCACAACCCTGATGAGGGCAAGACCCGCATCAAGCTCCCCTCTGGTGCCAAGAAGGTTGTCGCCTCCGGCTCGCGCGGTATGATTGGTATCGTCGCTGGAGGTGGCCGTACCGACAAGCCTCTCCTGAGTAAGTCTACTTGAAATGCATGTTCATTGTGATTCACACGCTAACAAAATTACAGAGGCCTCGCGCGCCAAGCACAAGTTCGCTGTCAAGCGCAACAGCTGGCCCAAGACCCGTGGTGTTGCCATGAACCCCGTCGACCATCCTCACGGTGGTGGTAACCACCAGCATATTGGTAAGGCCTCTACCATCTCGCGGTACGCAGTCCAGGGTCAAAAGGCCGGTCTCATTGCCGCGAGGAGGACGGGTCTCCTCCGTGGTACGCAAAAGACGAAGGAGTAAGGAAGGCTATTGGTTTCATGGTCTCATTGGGATGGTGTTACAATTGGCTGGTTTATGGCTACTGAGGGTACTTCTAAGAGAGAAGTCTGGTAGCTAGGATGGCTAGCACTTTGATATTTGGCGCAATAAAACCGTCACGACCATTCATGAATGAACCCCAGCGACAATTCCTGATGAGGCGATGCTAGCCCAACAATACATGAACATTGATCTATTCCACTTAAAACAACGGAAGGAAATTGTAGCTCCTTATCGCTGAACGTCATCTTTTAACGCTCACGCCATGCCTCAATGTTCTTCACAGAAGCAACCACAGGAGACAGGCCAAAATGGGGGCAGTGCTAGCTTTCAATCAGTCCATGTAACAGTCTGAGCTTTCTCCCCCGGATAATTCCTCATGTTCTTCAGATCACTGAAGGACCATTTTGAAATCGAACATTTCTACGATGCGCCACCCAGCCGTCCATTCGTTGGCGGGTGGGGAACGAGCAAGACCCCTCCCCCACTAGCAGCATCATTGTCCTCACTGTACATCTGTAGCCAATTGCCCCTCCATCCGCCACCAAATTGTCTCGTTTTCTCGACTGTCCCAACTTAAACCCGTAAACATTCAAAGAATCACTGTCACTGAAAGAAGTATGGCTGCTACTAAGGAATTCGGTCTTTTCTGCCTGGAGAACCCTCTCCTCGGTAAGTCGATTGGATCCAGTCTATCCAACAACCTTGCTGAGCTTCGTTCCAGACATCCAGGCCCATGGAGACCAGGCCCTGCTCGACAAGTACGGCCTCAAGGCCAACGACGCCATTCTCGCCGAGGACAAGCACAAGCCCCTCTACGAGGATCTCCTCAACAACTACGACGCCAAGCTTATCGCTGGCGGAGCTGCCCAGAACACGGCGCGTGGCGCCCAGTACATCCTGCCCCCCAACAGCGTCGTCTACGTTGGTGGCGCAGGTGACGACAAGTACTCTGCTATCCTGCACGATGCTGTCAAGGCTGCTGGCCTGCGTGTAGAGTACCGCGTCGAGAAGTCCGTCGAGACTGGCCGCTGTGGTGTTGTCATCACCGGCCACAACCGCAGCCTCTGCACTGACCTCGGCGCTGCCAACCACTATGATCTCGAGCACCTGAAGAAGCCAGAGATCTGGAGCCTCGTGGAGAACGCTCAGATGTACTACATTGGTGGCTTCCACTTCACTGGTATCTCATCACCTCGTAGCTCCTGCATGTGAAGCAATTACTGACCACTGCAGTCTGCCCACCGGCGATCATGGAGCTTGCCAAGCAGGCCGCCCAGAGCAACAAGCCCTTCATTCTCTCCCTTTCCGCCCCTTTCATTCCTCAGTTCTTCAAGGAGGTTGTGGACGCTAGCGCTCCCTACTGGGACTACATCATCGGGAACGAGACCGAGGCCGCCGCCTACGCCGAGTCGCACGACCTGCCTTCCAAGGAGCCCAAGGATGTCGTGGTCCACCTAGCCAACCTGCCCAAGGAGAACAAGCAGCGCAAGCGTATCGCCATTGTCACGCAGGGTACCGACCCTACTCTTGTCGCCATTCAGGGCGAGGAGGGTGTCAAGGAGTTCTCCGTTCATGCCATTGAGGCTGAGAAGATCAACGACACCAACGGTGCTGGTGATGCTTTCGCCGGTGGTTTCCTCGCCGGTCTCATGGAGGGCAAGCCTCTCGAGACTGCTATTGACATGGGTCAATGGCTCGCGCGTTTGAGCATTCAGGAGCTTGGTCCATCGTAAGTCTTCCATTCAACGCTACCAAAGATCATTTCTGGTGATCCAGCTGACCACCGGCCCACGATTATCTCTCTGCCCCCACTATCTGCGAACTGGTTTCAAAAACTGACTCTTCTTGCTAGGTACCCATCTCCCAAACAAGCGTACCAGGGTTAAAGCCCATGGTTCAACGAAATAAGGATGAGAAGGCGTGATGTCTGTCGCTGCATGATCCCAGTAATGATGGGCAGCAGGCAACAGAACGTTTTGGGAGGTTAAAACTGGGTAAATGGTTTCAACAACGGGCGTTATGCTTCCTAGGGTGACTCGCATCGCATAGCGACCAAGCATCCTCCACGATGCTGTGGATTTGATCAAAGCAAAATGAAAACATTCTGATACGACATGACCGCTGAGCGATCGTCCTTTCTTCCCTGACTGGCAAACAACAGGGTGTCCCACGGACGCAGCAATGCCCGAGAGCAAGTTTCTTGTAACACCCATATGTAGCCATCCCATATAGCTCACAACGCCGATAATCTGAGCATCAGGTCTGCAATTGTCTCTAAACGATGGCAGCGCGCTCTGGCAATCTGGCTGTGCCGCCCTTGGAAGCGTACTCAAGATACCAAGAGATGGAGCCAGGCAAGATGCAAGTCTGAAATGCAGAGATTCTTGACGCACGTAAGATGTCCTTTATAGAACGTTTCTGCCGCAACAAGACATGGCGGTAATATCGTAGTAGCCGCTGGGTCTTCACTTCTTGCCTTGCATGGCCGCTTCAAAAATCCTAGAATCGTATGTCGATGCCGAGGTCTGCGTGCGGTCCTGCCGAGTCTGTTGTCGAGCCACACCGGGAGATGTTGCCTTCTGTCCATTGGGACCACTGGCAAACTGGGTCCCATTCTGAGCGGCAGGGCGATAGCTATCCGTATAGCCAGTGCCGAACGCGGGGGTGCCCTGGTAGACGCTGCTCATATTCGTGAAGGCCGAGTAGCCGGACGAAAGAGGGTACGCAGGTGAGGCTTGTTCAGGCGGGTCAAAGTGTTGCGCCGAATGCAGAGGCGAACGAGGCCAGTCATAGGAACCGGATGGTCCGATGCCACCGCGGGAACCAACAGCAGTAGCCGCGCGCCCTGGTGTACCGTATGCATTCGCATTGGTGTACATGGTGTTCGACGCGGCGGCGCTGGGTGCGTTGGTGTATTGATGCTGAAGGTTCTTGATTGAATCCTCGTCTGCACCTTCGAGGTAGGATCCTCGAGGAGACAATGCAGAGGGCACATTCACTGATGCGGACCTTTGCCCTGGGCCTGCTTTGCTTTGAGCCCCTGGCGAGGCACTTGAGATGTACTGGCCCCATGGCGAGGAATGGTACGTACCAGGCGACAGAGACTGGTAGTAGGGAGTTGGTCCGTCCTTGGCGGGCTGGAAAAGGTTCAGGAGCTGCTGCGCGACGTCGCTGGCCGACGCCGTGTGCATACCGTACGACGACGACTCCTGGCGCTCAGCTCTCGAGCCTGGACTATCCATGAATGGTGACAGCATATCGGCCACGGTCTTGTCCATTTGTTCCATATGCTTATCCTCAAGCGACGACTGCTGCTCTGCTGAATCCTGTGCCATTGACGCAGCGGGGGGTGCAACGGTGTGCTGGACAGTGACCGTATCCTTCAAAGAGTGCGAAGGGGGCGCTGAGACAGTCTCTACATCACTGCCAGCTGTTGTCTGCGTAGTCACAGGCTGCCGCAACGGCTCATCAGCCTGCGAATCGGGCTCATATATGAAGACAAGGTGGCCATTGATATATGGATGAGCCAGCGGAACATCGGCTTCCTTCGCCAAAATGTAGCCACAACGGAGAATGTCGAACAGCCGACAACGAGACTCTTTCACAGGGTCTAGGCGTTGGTCTGTCGACTCAAGGTGGGGCTTGATAACTCCTTGCCGCTTGTAGTAACTCAGACATCCAAGGGGTACTTTGTCAGCATCAAGAGGTCGAAGCCCGCGAATTTCGATGTCTTCCTGGAGGAGATACGGGCATGTATCCAGGTCCTGGGTGTTGGAGTCCACCTCTCGGCAGAAGAAGGTGAGAATCTTTGCCAGACTTCGCATAAGAGGCGGTAGAACGTTGCGAGGTGCGAGAGGTGACCGGAATAGCTCAGGGATATGTCCGGCGATCCACATCCCATAGACCCGGAGGACGGGCAAGACAGCCATGATTGCAGCTTGGTGCTCGCCGGCCTGTTTAGCCGCGGTAGGGTCGTCCGACTGAAGTGCGTGCATTGATTCGAACGCACCCTCGATGACTTCGCAAATCTTGAGAATGAAACGAGCGTTGAAATGAAGCGTGTACTGGAAGAAGGACGACTGCGTGGTCTTGTTTGCGGCTGCGAGTGTTAGGGATGGTTGACATTCGGCAGCAACGACAATCGTACCTGTTGCACAGGTAGAAGATGCAGTGTGACAAGCAGACATGTTCACGAGCGCCATCTTCAGAATAGACAAGGAGAAGCTGGAGTCCTTGATAGCTGAGTTGAGCCGGTGAATAACCTCTCGCTCTAGCTCGTTATACTGAGTGCTGACAGGCTCTCCTTTATAAAACAGCGCATGGAGTTTGAAGAACCAAAGGATAAGGGCATCGTGTGCCGAAGAAGGTGCTTTGCCGCGAGGACTGGCGTGCTGCCCTTTGATTGCCTTGAACTTGCCCTCTAGGTGTTCCCGTGCCTTTGGGTGCGGGTCCTTCACAGCCAGCGCGCGGTAGATATGGTACAGTAGGTCAAGACGGTTGTTCTCGTCTTGACTCACTATACCCATTTGATGATATGCATGTCCAGATTCGGGCATGAGGTCGTGCGCAACACTGTAGAAGGCTTGCGCCGTGTCGTACGTCTTCTTTTGTCTGGCCTCGACCCGGTAGCGCGACAGATCTCCCAGGTGAATCAAGGTCTGGTAGCAAGACACGAGTACCTTATGGCCAAGATCGCCGTCGGGGAGGATCACGTCCTTGGCTGGGATATCCTCAGCTTGGATACTCTTGACCACACGCTTGAGCTCCTTGATCTCGTATCGAGCCGATAAGTGTTGAATGTAGCCTTTGTAGAACTTCTGGGCGATGCGCAGGAAATGGCCATACTTGGCCTCGACCTTGCGCTGCTCCACGACACGCTTGTCAGTGCGCAGCGCGTTTACCAAGCGCCGATATTCGGCTCTTATGCTCACATGGAGACCCCAAAGGACGTCGTCGATGTGTTCAGTCGCTGCGTATTCGAAGTCGAGGAAAATAGTAGTAACACAAGCTAAGCGACACCTGTTGCTGGTCAGCAAAGCGATACGATGCAACGATCGGTCCAGTGCTCGTTACTGCTCAAGGGATTGATCGACCGCGTCGAGATGCGCTGTATCCAGGCCGTTTCGCGACTTCTCCTTCGATTGCTCCAGTAGCTTGAGCAACTGCTTGCGGTACTTGTGACCTTGGCTGTAGGGTGTGTGAGCTTGCAGCCCGACGTCGGTAAACAATTTGCAACCTACTGCCACGCTGCGCGCGCCTCCTCGGCTCCCTGATCCTTCGAATCCATGGCCATGTACGTTGCAGAGAACCGCCTCACTCCCGTAGCTGGCGTAGTTCGTATGCTCTCGGTGGTGCGCTGCTACAGCGGCGTATGCGCGGTGATTGATTCAGTGTCCACAGGGCCTCTTAATCATGACCTATGTATGGATCGAGCGATACTAGATGAGCGGTGCAGTCCATCACTTGTTCGTCCTAGAGGATGGCTGGCAACGGGCACGGGGCGGGTTCAGCAGCGATAGCAACATTGGTATCGGTTGGGCGTCGAGATGAAAAGTACGTGAGGAAGGCCAAATGCCAGGGCATGTGCGCTTCTCAAGGTTTCCGTTTGCGATGCTGCGTCTGTCGCGTCGGACCGAAGCGGGGGGCTTGGGCGCACTGGAAACTCGAGGCTGGGGACTGGAGGCTTCTCACCGTTCGTCTGCTTTTTGATGCCCCTCAAGGTGTCCAAATGGCTGACAGTCCAGGAGGGCCCTGCGAATGCGTGACGCTGGATCGCGGGACGCCAGTGACTGGATTATTGGAATTTCCTCGGCTGAATCGCTAATCCTACAGGCTACCTGGTAACGGACCTTACCAGAGGGGGTCCGTGCGCCAACCACTACCTAGCGCCCGTCCCACGCTTGAAGTTTGATGATCTGCAGTCAGGATTCCTTGGCTTCCACGAGCCAACCCAGCGCAAATCACACTGGTAAAACATTTCGAGCTCTGGCTTATGTAAGAGCTCTCTGTGACGCAGAGCTGGTGAAAGTGAATAAAGTGCTGCCATGGGGCCGAGGATGCACGACTTGCCGTCGGGCCCACGCAGCAAGCGTCGAGTTCCAACACTCCTTGGTGACGAGGATACAGTACCAGTGTCTGTCGGGGTTCACGTATGCCCCGCCTGCATGTACTCCGTACCCAACACAGCGTGCGTATTTCAAACAATCTTCCTATCGAATACATCCGACCGCACAGCCATCTTCGTGTCAACGAGTCAACAAGGGAAGAGACAGCGAACAAGCGACGACTGCGCCTTTTGGTCAAACGTCGAACAAGCGAGTACTTGTAGGAGGAGATTTGAACAGTTGCAGAGGTTCCTAAAGTAATAGCTACCCCACTAAGCTCTCTCTCACCTTCACCGCAAAAAGATGAAACGCTCACGAGAGCGGGAAGAAGTTATAGAACACAGCAGCGACGACTCTGCAGACAACATCGATATCCGGCATATCAGCAAGATCTCCGAGCTCGATCCTGAATCGCCTGGTCCAGCCCACGATAACACAACGCCCATCATGAGATGCACTTTGCCGCCGCACAAGGAGCCCATGTCCTTCAGGAGCTACGGCGAATACGAGTCACATTATAACAATGCCCACACAAATCGGTGTCTGGAATGCCGGAAGAACTTCCCGTCGGAGCATCTCCTCACTGTCCACATCGAGGAGTTCCACGACCCTCTGGTAGTAGTGAGGAGGGACAGGGGGGAACACACTGTATGTGATGCGTCTGCCATTGATGCGCCGGTCCGCTAACAGGTTTTATGGTAGTACACATGCTTTGTCGAAGGTTGTGAGCGGAAATGCTTAACATATCAGAAACGTCGCATGCACATGATCGACAAGCACATGTTTCCGAAAAACTACTTTTTCGCAGTCACCAAAGAAGGCATCGACGGCCGCCGGTCTCTCCTCATAGAGGGAGGGCACCATCGGAGACAGTCCTCCAATGCGGCGCAGTCGAAGGAGACCAAGCGCAGGGAGAGCCTACAGGGACTAACGGAGAACAAGGGGCCAGCGGACAGGAGCGCGGAGGACCCAGGCTGTCCGAAATCAGGGACGCAGCAGAGGTCCCTCAAAGCCGGCACGGAGAGTCGAGAGACACCAGACGAGGAGATGGACGATCTGACGGGAGCTATGTCCTCTCTGCAGTTCGTTCCGTCCAGTATCAGGTTTGGGAGGGGCCGGGCAGGGTTTGCAAGACGATAAAACAACTGACTTGGTCAGTGGAAAGCTGGAACGATATGATCAGCAACTGCGATAAGTTGTCAAGTTTTATGTCAATAAAAAGGAAGGTCTACCTTCTAATTCCACAATTCAGCTTCCAAATCCTCATGTGATGTTGAGGGGGGAACAAGCCGTTTCCTTTCGCCGAACGCCTTTGCTTTCCATCGAAATAATCAGAATGCAAAAATCGCCCGACGTCTAGTCACTGGATGCGCAACCCCGGCAGCCGCAGCTGAAGCACTGTATATCTTGGCCTTCCTTCATCTGCGCTCGAGGGATGCGGCAAATGCAGGTGCTGTTGAAGTTGGTTTCTTTTGTTTGAATGCATCGGAGGCAGCATAGCTATCTTTATCAGCGATATGATCCAGGCGCGCTTGCTTGGAGGACCGCAAACCTTCTCGTAGCCTTGTTTCTTCCACTTGGCAATCAACATTGCGTCGGCGTATCCGTTCTTAAGCAGCCAGTCGTACAGTTGCTTGCTAATACCCTCCTTCTTGTAGTACAGATCGTACACGTAGCGGCTCCTTTGGTGCGCAATCTGGAAGACCTCCCACTGCGCCTGGTGCTTCGGGCCCGCTGGCGAAGGTTTGTTCTGCGCGTCCTTCATCTTGTTGGCAAATATGAGGAGGTCGTCTTCAATGTCACTGAAACCCTCCGGGGGTGGCTTGCGCTTCGAGGCATGACGGATGGCGGGCATGGTGTTCTGTGATCAGATTGCAACGGCCTTGAATACAACCCCCGAAGAGTATTGATGCGCAAAGAAAGCAATGATGCTAATCTGACTGTTCCCAGCCTCAAATGCGGGTAGGTTGAGTGTGGCGCAGCGCCAGGTCTAGCTTTGGAGTGCCTTGAAATTGTGGCGCACTGATCCACGTGACGAGCCAAAGCTCATCAATCGACCTCCAACGTCAATGCCCTGGGTTGCGAACAAGCTAACCACAGACGCGCAGCCATTGAACGCCCAACATGGCCATTACGCCGACACAATTTGCCAAGAAGACGACGCAGTGTAGGTTTTGTTCCTTGGCTGGATCAGATCATTGCTAACCGACCTTGACAGCCGCCAACTGGGGGGACGCGAAACGTCGAGTGATCTCTTCCTACCGAGAATGGATGCGCGCTGTATGTCACCATATGCCGGATCCCAAGAAATTCTTCCAAAGACTATATTGGTCTCGAGCTTTTGGACTTGGGTGAACGGGCTGCTGAACAACTACAGGCTCCTGAGATGCAGACCATGTACAACCTTCCGATGCCCATCTCTACCATCCGCACGCGGATACGACAAGAATTCGAACGCCACCGATATGTCAACAAGCTCCCCGTAGCGGACGTTCTTCTATTCAAGTCACACGCCGAATATCAGGTCGGGATCTCTGCAGAAACCTGGGGGCGCGAGCATGGCTAATACACGATGTAGGAGATGATGAACTTCTGGAAGCAGACCACCCACGTCATGTCATATTTCAAGGAGGAAAACTTCAGGGGAGACAAGAGACTTCCTTCGGACTTCATGTCCGGATTCCTTGAGGTGAGGAAGATTGGGAATGAACGCGAACACCGTTTACTGACAAGGTATAGGGTCGAAACTAAGCAATTGATGTCCTTTTGTACATAAGATGTCTACACCGTTGCTTCCAAAGAAGAAATTCCCAAACGATCCTCAAACGCCCAAAATGATGTCCGATTCTTCATATGTGTCCCTTGCTGCCGTGCTCGTACTTTGACTACCGGGCGATCCCATGCTCAGCATTGTACTCTTCCCGTTTTGTCCAGAACTTCTCCGCTACGACATCACACACATCTTGTAAGTCAGCAAGCCCCTTCTTCAGTGCGTCGACCGCATAGCAATCTGATGCCGCGTTAGTGGTGTGCGTGCAAAGGACGATAACATGCAGACTAACCGTAAGTCTGGATGCGAATGTTCATCTTAGGTTCTGAAGGGTGCGGGATAGAGTATGCGCAGAACTCGACGTCAGGGCTTGATGTAGTTAGCATGTATCCTCAACGATGGCCGTGGGTCTCACTTCTTCATAATCACATAGCGCAATGCATTGCCCAGAGTATGACCTTCGTCGATGAACTCGAATGAGGCGGCAGTGTCTGTCGAGCCGGGAAGCTGCGATGTTTTAGATGCGCCCAGTGGTTTCGGCGGTAGAGTGCACATACGATGCGAACTCTTTGCGGCTCGACTTCTTCCTCCTGGTCCTCCTCAATCTCATCCTCGACCTGCGCTTCGCCAACCTGAGCAGATGTAGGCGCGTCCTCCATTTGGGCGTCCTGGGGCGTATCTTCCTTCGTGGTCCGGCCAGGCATTGTGAGAAATCGAGATGCTCTTTGAGAAATAGTGCTTCAAATTGAGTGAAATCGTTGTTGATATGAGCGTGAGGTATCGTCCTGAGGCATGTGGATTCTGATGTGCACTGCTCTTAAATTTTTGAGTGGCGCCCTCTGGTCGCTTTACCGCAGTAATGGACGCGCTTGTCACATTAACCGCGATTTGGCGCGAGTGACTGCTTACCCTAGAGTGTAACAACCACCACGACTTTGCTCGGTTAATTACCTGTTCGGGTATCGACCTCGTGCCTTGGCTTTGTTTCGCAATCATCAGTTGATACACTGTCGCTTGCGTCTGATTTTTGGGGCGTCAGGAAGGGTTGCTTTCAGGCAATCAAGAAGGCTGGCTGGTGAGGAACTGCGTGCTGTGTTACTGTCGCAGGTATAATAGACAACGTTTGTGATATCTACGTGTACTGACGAATGATGCGGGGCGTCCACATGGAAAAAGAAAGAAAAAAAAAAAAAAAGCGAGCGTGTCCTTCAGCAGCACTTGCAAGCACAATTGATTCTCGAGTATACACTCTAATAATTAATATCCCGTATGCTCAGTCAAGAATCATTTGCTTGAGCAACTAAAGACACAACTAAAGTACAAGTAGACTGACTAGGGGCATTTTCAGAAACAGAAACGTCCGTTTTTTACGACTGGAGTGGTCTTGGCATCTTGAAACGGAAGGGCGTGTTCCAGCATCGCTACTGACACACTCACGCCTTTTGTCCAATCAGATATCCTCCTGTACTGCAGCCCCTGCGACGCCTGAGACGACGTCTCAGGTGGCCGCGCCGCTCTGCCACTTTTTCGCTAGAGGTGTGGCATCTGATTCTCTTAGTGATCTGTCAGTGACATTCGGAGGCTCGGCGCGCAAGGTACGAGGTTGGCAACAGTCGAATGGGCGAACGGCCGGGCAGTCTTCGGACCGTACTTGTACGAGTCGAAGTGCGTACGCTCATGTGATTGGGAAAAAGGTGCGAACGACTTGCTCACCAGCCGACTGCATGCGAGCTGGATACTATACTATCCATGTGCTGATAGGCCACCGTTTTCACTGATGGCGTCTTCATGCCCGTTGGCTTGAGGACGTGTTTGCTGCATGCTGGCAGGTGAACTGCACGCACTATTATATTGATCAGAAGAGGGGTTTAGAAGCCATGGGCGGGTGTAATGTTCCCCAACGGCGGGCTATACATACGTACCAAATCTTCTTACGTATTATGCCGTGACCACAGGCTACGTATTGCCATACCATGAGAACCGCAATGTTGAAAAAGAAAAAGCACTGATGGCGCGCTGGCGACCCTTTCACCAAATAAACGAATGCTACACTCTGTGTACATTTGTCAGACGGCGAGACATCTGATTCTTGAACGACAATAAATTACTCTGTACGCAAATCTTGATCAAGAGCTATTGTTAACAGAAGAATATGTATCATATACGCACATAGTAATTAATTTGTTGTGTGTATCGTCTCGCTGCAGATGCAAACTCCAGGTCCTGGGGGCACGCCCGGCCGTGGATGCATGCTGCCAGTGTTCGAGTCAGACCCCTCCTCAACCCCTGGCTCATGATGATCAAGGGCTCTGAAGCATCTGGTTCGCTGTGGACTGTAGTTTGGGGGATTGGCAGAAAGCAAGCACCGCTTCAAACAGAATTGTGAAGCATCCGTTGCCTGGGCTGCTGCTCTAATGCCCCAAGCTGGGAGGAGTTGTGCCACGTCCCCGTATTGGTGTCCCCCCTGGGATAATTTGGTGTAGCCTTAAGGTTACTGGGGACCTGAAGGTCTGATGCAGCTACCGCGACAGACTATACCTGACACACGCTGGCAGATGTACCATGATCAGCCTGCATGTACCTCCTCCCCCTGCTGATGCTGGCTGCGACGACCGAAACACCAGTCGAGGCACAGGGGAATCAGAGGAATCGAAGCGGACAGAGCAGGTCACCAGACCGACCGGCTGGTGAGCGACTGTACGCTGGAGGCGGGCAGTCATATTATAAAGCTACCAACCCCTCTCGTGGATGCCGTGTTACTTGTCCTGTTCCCATTTCTGCCATTTTCGCATCCGTCGCCATCCCGTGCAGCCGCCAGTCGCACGCGAGGCGGGTTTCCGAGTCCAGTGCCCCTCATCTCAACTGCCACCCGACTAGAGTCAAGACAGAAGGACCTCAGTCCACCCGCGCCTTACCTCATAAAGTTGCCTTACCTGAGCGCACTGCGTCTTCATCACACCTGCCCGGCGCTTGCCTGCACTGCTTGCGCAACCCACCCGGATCGGATCTCCCAATCCAGTCATCTCGACATAGTAATACCCGGTACTTTCTCAGTAGTACATATTGCTGTTGCCTCCAGTCACCCCGACTTTGAAGACTGGAAGAAGCGCAGACGATCCCTGTCTGGATAAAACGATACTTTTCGCGACTTGAAACGGCTGATCAGAGTTTCACAATTTGGCGTCGATCGGGCCTATCTGCCAATCACCTACAAACCCCTGTCTGAGCGAGCGCGCGCGCTGCAGCACCACAGTGAGCCCGTGTCAGTGCCATTCTTCGCGAAACGCTCCGTCAGTCCAAGGAGACTGACAACTCAGGCCGGCACAACGTCCTCGGATTCCAGACCAGGCGCAGAACACTTGGAAAACCAGCGGTTGATCAAGCCGCAGCCTCGAGATATCAGAACAGAACGTTGCGCTCGTTGTTCCCCATTAGCGCACAGGTCCTCGAAGCGGTTGCATTCCTCCAGCCCAATTAGGGGCGGCGCGCGCCAAGTCGACTACGGCCCAGCCTCGCCAATCCGATCCACCATCAATCACCCTCCGACTGAAGTGCCAGACAGACAGCAGCCCTGCAAGTTTGCCATTTCCCAACTCCGGCTCCTGCGACGGCATTCTCGTCCTTCCCACAACTATGAGTGCCGCAATCGCCATGGCTCCCTCACCAGCACCCCATGAGAGGGCTGTTGCATCTGCATCTTCAGACATGCCGGCCCCTGCACCCAAAACGGCCTCTGCGCAAGTCCAGGCGCAAGCCGCTCCCACATCCGCGCCCAATGGCTCATCCCCCTATGGCCAGAGGACCGCACATAGGAATGGCAGCAAAAGCCCCAACGGACCTTCAGCTTCACAAAGCTCACCATTATCGTACGTCCACAGCATTCTCTTGGATTTAAATATATGGCACTGACATTTCACGCAAATAGCTCGCTAGGCGCCAACGCCCCCCCGAAGATCATCGTCAAAAAGGAGCCTGGCTCGCCCACTATGCCCAGCTCGAGACCGCGCCCTTCGCGTCTCGACTTGTCAAAAAATACCATCAGCAACAACTCAAATAACCCTGCATCTGCGCGCCCATTGACAGCCCGGGATCCGCTCAGCATCCAGGACATGGGCATCCACTGTCTGTCACCAGGTTTCGTTACCGACGACCCTCACAGGAAGGACCACATCCAGCGAAGCCTGTCAGTGCGGGAGCAGCAGCGTCACATCATCGAGGCTCGGTTACATCAACAATCTGCCAAGGGCGACGGCCCATCAGACAAGGACAAGGAACCTGGTTCAGCCTTTGCAGCCAGGACACCTGGTATATCCTCTCGTCGCAACAAGGTGCCGCCAGGCTTGTCAATCGTTGCGCCCTCCCACAAACAGTTCGCAAACGAGAGAGTGATCCAGTCTGCGCCACTCGGCCACAGCTTCACTGGCCGCCAGGACATGGCGCCCTCGAGCAGGCATTTCAACCAACAGCCGTCTCATCTGTCCAGCAGCTCACACATACATCACGTTCCTGCACATCAAACCGAGAACCGCCTGCCCCCGATTAGTGATGTCTTTGGTCAAGGGTTGTCTGCGAACCCCGAAAATGCAGCCGCGTCAGGGTTCCCAACGGCCGGAAGCGCGCGCGCTGTTCCACAATCGCCCAGTTACCCCCCGCCCCCTCCAGGGCCGACGCCGACGGGGCGATCGAGGGAATACAAGTCCGCTGAAGAAGCCCAGCAAGACATGGCTGGAGGTCGACCAGAACTACTGCCACGTCTAGTCCATTATGGTGGACACCAGCCACCCACGCCCCCATCTCCTGCTCCTGGCCATCGCCCATCTGACGGCAGCCGGAGTGCCACTAAGAGGAGGACCAGGGCTGAGTACGAGGAGGGCGCTACCCCGCCATTGGGACATGGTCCGACCACCTTTCGCCGTGGTCCTTTCGGCGCCGGTCGCGATAGCCCCGAGACACAACGCCAGAAGCGCGAGGAATTCTTGGGTCTATGTGAGCGGGCCTGGGATCTGTTCCACTCGTAACACGGAGCTCGCTTGCTCCGAAAGCACCTCCAGCCCAGGCTGTCACTGGTGCTCTGGATAGCCATTATATCGACGTCATGCGGGAGTTGGGATGAACGCGCGTCACTTGATGACTTATTATATATACTCGGGGCTGCGTGCTTTGCGCCTTTCACGATTCGACCAAGAGCAGGTGTCGGCTCTCTATTTTTTCCCCTCCACTCTCACAAGGGTAATTTCTGGCTGGGCTTTCGGGCAGGCGCCGGTTTTCTTTTTTTGGTGGGCATAATACCAACGGACGTGTTCGGGATGTGTTTACGCGGCCCTCATTGTTTTGTGAGGGCGGATGGGCATGGCTTGGGTTTCATGACAACGACGACATATCTTTGTAGACCTATGGGGTGTGTTCATACGTGAACAAGGTGGATGAATGCTGGCTCGATGAGCGCAATGCTACAGGGCATTGCATGCTCCGACGTCGTGGATGACTGATTGTCACGGTGGCTTGGGAGAGTAGAGGATGAATTGATATCGGCCCTTTGGGATCGATCGTATTACTCAATCCTGCAACACGATCAGGCCAGGTTCCTCTTATAACGTGTGAATGTACATGGTCCGGGGCTTACCTCCCCCCGCCGCTTCATACTATCATTTCCCAAACATGCACGGCGTCGAGGGGCAGAGAGACCCACGACCACGCCTTGGTTTGGGACATCCGTACGCTTTGTATTCTATGGCGCTGAAATCATCATACAGAGTCATGTCCCTTTCTTCATAAACCGTAAAACTCCAATGCTGTGCAGGAAAAAGGAGAAAGAAAAAAGAAGAAAAAAAGACATTTGCTGCTGAAGGAACGTTACGTCGTCAAGTGTGGCCGCCGCACGTACAGCGTGCGTGGCACATGGTCTTTGCCCCCTCGTTTACAGGCCTTCCTCACCAGCCTTGCAGAGTGTGATTTCTCGCACCCATTCCGACTTGAGGACCTGGCCAGCGGTGAGACGTCTGGTGGGGTGGGGGTCGAGGACCGAGTAGATGACGTTACGACAACGAGCCTGTAAGTCGGTGTTAGACACGACGAAAGCCCCGTGTGAGGAGAGGGGCTGGGGAATGCGTACTCTCGACAGTGATTCAATGGGGCCGTAACCTTCCTCGTCACGGCGCCCTTCGAGGTAGCGAGCGTAGAACTCGTCCTCGTCCTTCTTTGCTACGCGCCACAGGTGACGACCGGTGCGCATTGCCATGTAAATAACACCGCAAGCCCACACGTCGACGGCGCGCGCGTCAAACTCCCTGTCCACGTACTCCTCGGGGGAGATGTACGGGGCGGAGCCACAGAGGCCCGAGACCATATGTGCGTCTGTTTCCCAGGCCATACGGAAACACTCGCCATTGCCAAAGTCAGTAATCTTCAGACTGCCCCTGGTGGTCAAGAGTAGGTTCTCGGGTTTCAAGTCCCGGTGCGCCACGCCCATCTCGTGCAGATACTGAACGCCTCTCATCATCTGCTTGAAGAAGCAGTCGGCCTCTTGGACCTCGAGTTTGCCGCTGGAGAGCACGAGGGAGTATAGGTCACCACCAGCGCAGAACTCCATGACCTCGCAGTAGTCGCCTTTGGCGTCCTTTAACAGGTCGAGCGTATGGATGACGTTGGGGTGTCGCAACGAGGACGAGATGCAGAATTCGGCTGTGAGGCGCTTGCTGTACTTCTTCTCCGTCTCCTCGGGGCGCCGGCGGAACTCCTTGACGGCGAACAGTCGTTCGCCGTTGGGGCCGATCTTCTTGTGTGAAATGCGCACGATGCCAAATGCACCCCGGCCCACGATCTCCTGACACTTTCCGTACTTCTCGACGAGCGTGGGCGATGCGTTGGGGCCACCATGCTTCTTGTCCAGCGCGGCGGCCTCCCTCTCCTGCTTGAGTGTGTCGACCCAGCTCGAAACGAGCGAGAGGTCGTTTTCCGGCGTTTCGTGTTTCTTGCCAATAAGGCTGCGCCAGAGGTCGCTGAGCTTTTCTTGCCGACGACTGGACTTTAAGTGATGCTCATGACCACCGGGGGCACTTGGGTTGAGCATGAACCGCTGCGTGGGCTCCTTCTTCGCAGCGGCGGGTGTGGCCACTGCCGCTTTGCCCTGATCAGAAGCGGACTCTTTGCGCGACATGGGCTGCGACGCCGTGGGGGGCCCGTTCAAGGACGACCCTCTAGGCCGCCCAGCGGAATCGCTGGTGACGCTGCTCGCGGCACTGCTGGTCTTGGACACCTCCTTGCTGGAGAACATGCGCGTAAGTCTCTCCTTCAACGGGGCCTTCTCTTGGGGCGGCTTGAGCGCCGAGTCGGCGTCTGGGGGCGAGAAGGGCGAGCCGTTGGGGGCACGACCCGAGTGGTCAGGCGTCGTCACGTTGGATTTGGCTGCATCGTGGGATTTGATGGAGGAGGGTTTGGAGCTCGGTGTCGATGCGGGCTTCGAGTCGTTGTGGAGATGACCATTGGTGGTGGTCGACATGGCGGGCGTCGTGTTTGCGTTGGTGGTCGCGCAGGGCTCTGGGAGGGGCACCTGGCTGGCTGTTATGTCGCACAGCACAACTCTGATTTGCAGCGTGTCCGAAGCCCGGTGCAGCGCTCCGACCCGCGGCGCAAGCGCTGAGGTTGAACTGGTGGTCGTCGCACTGGCACCACCAGCAAGATGAGGGCGTGATGACAGAGTGTTGAGGGAGGAGGAGTATGGGTGCAGGGCAGACGAACTGCACACTGCGGGCAGTGGCGGCGTGAGTGACTGGAGGCCGAAAGCTGCCTTGCCTCGACTGAGAGTGACGGGCTGAGGAACTGACTGAACTGAACCGGGCTGTCAATCGAGGACTGGACTTTTCGAACCCTCTCACCCACTGGAAGGGCTGGGTGCTTATAGGTAACTTAGGTAGGTGCGAGCCCTGCAGGGGCGGGGCGAACGGTTGCGTGGGGCAAATCGAGCAAGCCCGTTCGTGCGTGCGTCCCAGTGTTGCTGTTGATGAGGGACTTGCAAGGTGAAGTCAGAGTGACTGGAGGCTCCAGTCGGCTTTATCAGAGTGGCAGATTCTGTTGGTTCAACGGGAGGAAGCGGACGTGCAAGGGGGATTCGCGTTGTAGGATCTTTGAGGTCCCCAAGGAACTAGGATTGAGGCGAAGAGATAGTTAAGTTTTCGGATCTGAAATGGGTCCGATCAAACGTCTTCAGTCAAGACTGGAGGCGGCGACAACTGGACGCGACCTGGCGGGCGGTACTTGTCCGTACTTGGGTACGACTTTACAAGGCAGTGCATTTATTTGTAAGGGAAGGGCGAGCAGCACCCGCTGCCGTGATTGTGGTGGTGGGTGGTGGTGGGGTTGAAGAGGCAGCCCGCCGAGAAAAAAAACCCCAATACAACAAGCCCGCAGGATCAAGAAGGCCGGGCGTGGGTACCGTGTCAATTTGAAAGTACTTACCACTACTAGATACCAATAAGAGTACTAATGGCAGTGTGATCCCGTTCCGGACGCAAGCTTCAGGGTTCGTGGGCAAAGTAAGGTACCTGTTCAGCAGGGCAGCAGATGTCAAGTACCGGTACTAGTGGACTCGTATGTGCAAGTACTTACTCGGGCTGAGTAGAACTCTCTCTGGCAGTTGCTATAGGTGGTGCTGACAAACAAAGAGATCCGAGGGTAAGCCCTTTTTGAAGGATGGTACCCGCAGACAACCGAAAACAGTGTTAGTTCTGAATGGTGATTACCTTGTCCGTATCGAAGAGTCAAGACTAATTTAATAGCAACCGGCAGTCTTTTCTAGGCTGGGTCCACGTCTTCCTCCTTCTTCCCGGACACACATCACTCGTCAGCTGCAGCCTGGTAGCCGCTATAGTACTAGTGGATTGTGGAGATGCGACTGGAGACTTGCCGTCGGAAGGGCACTATTATCATATGTACACGTACTCATTTCCTGCTACAGACATTTTTTTGCTGCACGTTTATATCAAATCACATGTACTTGTGAGCCACGATAGCTACGTACGACGAAGCTTCTGCGAGCGGGCGACAAACTGGTCAGTGCTGGCTATTACATTCCTTGCTCTGCAAGTGGTCAATGAACTACACGTAGGACTGGACGACCTTGCTGCACGCAAAAGCCAAGCGCAGAGCGAGATCGTGCGCCCACCACTTCTGCACACCGTAAGATTGTCTGCTGCAAATCATCCATCCCCCATGCGGGACAAGCAATCTCACTAACGTTTCCGGCTGGCAATCCTTGTGAGACTATCTACTAGTAGACTAGGACGGAAGGGTATTCTCGGAGTCGGAAAGACACGAGGGACGGGAATGGACTCGCAGTCGGTGGCTGAGACAGCTGATGGAGGGGGACTCAAAGCGATGACGCAGGGCCATCAGCAACCTCCAGCAACCAAGGACTATCTGGTGGCTGTCAACGTCACTCTGCTGTTTACTTTAGATCCCATGATGAGAACAGCGGATGCCAAGCAATGTACTTACGTGTCTTCTGCTTCCTGCCTGCCTCCTACCTAAGTGCGTACGTAGGTCCTCGGTAGACAGCATCTGGCAGATGTTCAGCCAAGCCTTCACCCCGCGTTCAGTACGTACGTTCATGGGCATCCAGGAATATCTGCAACGTTATCTGCACACAATCTACAGGAATGCGCCGGCGACTGTAGCTTCTGCGCGCACAATCTTAAAGCACCTCAGACGCTAACGAGGCACAGACCGACGTCGTCAGACAGGTGCGCTCGGAAGCATACCCTGCAAGTCGAAGCTACGTGAGGTAGGGGCAGACATTGCAAGGTATTGAGAATCTCCTAGAAGTCTCCTCAAAGCCCCCTTGGTGAAACGCGCCGGCCAAATCGCCAAACCAAGCTTCCGCTGCAACTCGGATAGCCGTGCCGTCCCCAGGTCGGGCGGCCTGGCGAGTCGGCGACGCAGCACGCTGTTGGTTGCGTCTAATAAGTCATCCATCCGTATGATTGGGGTAACGAGGTGGGCTGGACCGAGGTGTTGCCCTTTGAACCACAACGTAAACACTTTCCAAGGTGCGCCATTTATCACTGCCCGCTTCGGAAACGCCTAGCAGTCCAAGTTAGTCAGGTACGTATTGGATAAAGGCCTGGTCGTGTGCAGCATGCACCAAGTGTATCCGCCAAGCAAGCACACCCCTCGGCGAGTTATTCAATGCGCGAAGCTCTCGGCTCGGTGTGCTGCAGGAACCAGCTGTGGTTGGACCATATCACCAGCTGTTTCAAGGAGACCGGGTGATAAGACAAATCGTATATAAACAGCCCAGGTTTCACCGCTCTGTGAATGCTGCACAGAATGCATAGAGCGGTGGCACAGCTCCAGCCAAACAGACGGTGAACGAAGCCACCCTACGAGGAGACGGCATCCAACCCACGTTGCGCCGGCAAAAGCACCACTGGCTTTCCTAATCTAGGGGCGAGACCTTGATAGCAGAAAGCATGCGCTTTGTTGATTCGAGAGGCGTAGTCTCGCTGCATTGCAACGCACAGCATGTAGGGTGGCGTCACTGATAGACAAGGATCTGATGTTTCCAATACTTGTTTGCATTAGCTGCCGTGATACGTTTCCGTACAGAATCCCTATTGCCTGGCCCTGTTCACCCCTAATCACATTAGGCTATGATTTGTCCTTGCGCCAATCGCTGAGCAAGGGGATTCAAGTCCAGCCCTTGGCTGGCCCTCCTCCGTCCCTGTGTCTCGCGCTGTGCCAACGTACCTGCGTTCAAGCACTGGAGCTTGGGTTCGCTTCGGACTTGACACCCGAGCTCGAAACACCCATTTTCGATACCAGATCGGCAAGTTTGGAAGTGGACGGTGTGGGCAAACCCGTACCGTCAATCAAGGCCCCCAATTTTTGGACGTTCTCCTTGTTTCTGACGAAGCGTGTCAAGTATAGAGTTGGCTTGCCCTGCGTTGTGGCATTGAGCCTCTCCTGAACGGCGTTCAGGTAGGCTTGGTCGTACACGTCAAAGTCCACGGCCGTGGGCGAGTCGGCCACAATGTTGGGTGTCGCCTCATCCATGGCAAAATCATCCCGGGACCCGGTGCCAATGCCCAGAAAGAGCGGCTCCTGATCGCCCACATCGTGCGCTTGTGGCTTGTCCGCGTCGCTGGCACCTGCCCTCTCCTCCGCCGCGTCCTTTTCTGTTGCTTGCACACGCCGCCGCTTTTCCATCAGTGCCTCAATCTCTTCCGCCCTTTCCTTCTCTGCAGCGGCGTCAAAGCTTTCCCCGTCTGACTGCATCCTCACTGCCGAGCTTGAGCTGATGCCGTGGACTCTAGCTCGCCGCCTAGCACTGAGGGCTTTGAAGCGTTGGAGCACCTTCATCACGCACATGAGGTGATTCATCTTGCGCGTGAATGCGTGGTTGAGCTCGAGCTCGTTTGGGGGGTCGACATGATGCGCGCAGTTTTCCTCAGCCGACAGAAGAGGGTCAGCGCCCTCCTTGGTGACCCAAGGATGTGCCTACGGGGTCAGCGTATTTCCGACGACTCGACAAGGGAGACACACTTACCCGCAGTTCTGGCATTGCAATGCGCTTCTCAGGATCCTTCTCCAAGATTCTGCGGAACAAGTCTATCAGAAGCGGTGATTCGTCTTCTGGTATCCGCGGCTCGTCACTCTTGATCGCCTCGTACATCGCCAGCATGCCATCCCTGTTGAACGGTATGCGGCCGTACTTGAGGCAGAATAGTGAAACACCCATTGACCAAATATCGGCTGCCTTTCCGGATACTTCAGAATGCTTACCACACAGCTCTGGCGGCAGGAAGGCGGGCGAGCCTGCGGATTTGGCGGTCCGCATCTCGCTCGACCTTTCAAACATTTGGGAGACGCCAAAGTCCACCACCTTGAGCACGTCGTCTTCCGAGAGGAGAAGGTTATCTGGCTTGATGTCCCTGTGAATGACGCCTTGTGCGTGTACTACCGGTCGTCAGCACTGGGGGATGGTCTGCATCGTCATGTGGCCACCTACAGTATTCGATTCCCAAGACAAGGTCACGGAACATATGCCGGCAAGCTTCCTCATCATAAGGCGTCGCATCTTTATCGAGACCGACCTTCATCACCACGCCCTTTTTGCACATTTCCATAACCATATAAAGCGAGTCCTCCTCAGGGTCGTCCAGTACCTCGATGAGCTGCACGAGGTTGGGATGGTTCAGCTTCTTCATGATGGCAATCTCCTCCCGGATGAGATACAAAGCGTCGTCCTTTTCGCCAGCACGAGCGCTGCCGCCACTCGACCATGGCGTGAGAGGGGCATCGAGCCCAGAGCGCCTCAGTGGCCGATGGGGTCCTTGCTTGAGTATATTGGACTGTGCTCGCTTGCGTAAGCGGACTTTCGAGAATTCCTTGATAGCCTAATAAATCAAACTCTGTCAATATTCGTCGAGAGTATGGCAGTAGTGAAGACCTACGTATTCAGTGCCGAACTGATCAGTCCCCAAGTGAACACTGCCAAAGGAGCCTCGGCCGATTTCGTCTTGAATCACATATTGGTTGATGCGGTGATGCGTCCTTCCATCCGTTTCATCACTCATAAATTCCACATGTGCATCCAGGGTTTCCTGCAGACGGAGTCAGTCTATGCTTAGCCTGGGCAGTGACCCATGTCTCACCTTGACTTCGTGATGGGTGCTCGGTTTACGCTTGTGATGGCGCAAGGGGCTGGCGAAATGCTGAACACCGGGGGGGTCCGATCTAGACATTTTCATCAGCTAAAGGGGCTGTGATGCGCTGTTGCGGACTCGTACACGTGAGGCGCAATGGCTGGACGGGTGGCCGTGATAGGGTCGTCATGGTTGTCGATGCTGACCATGGGTGAAGGGGTGGGTGTCGTAGCTGCAGACATATCCTGCTCAGCAGGAGAAGAAACTGGCTCCGACATGGCTGCCTATGAGCAGATGGGCTATGGCGATTCGGGTAGATGCTACAATCTAGGCCCGTGAAGCATGAGCGCGCGTGTCGGGTTTCGATGAATGGAGCTGCAGAGCTTAAGCCTTAGAGGAGAGATGGTCCGTGATTCATCGTACGGCCACGGTAGCACCGAAATGTCTAGACTTGCCGTGCGGACACCTTAACAAGCTTAGGGGCGCAACGGGCATGTGAATTCAGGTATTTGAAGGGGAGATAAGAGCCGTGGACGACTGGATGAGGGTCAGATCTCCATCAGCGATGTTTTTGTCCAATACGCCCCCACCACAGCAGTAACTAATAAAAGGGAGACTGACTGGGAGTGTGATGGACCCCTGTCGTCAGCTGGAGCTGCTGCAAATGCGGGGCACTCAGCGCACGAGGAGTTGGGGACAGGCCACTGGACCTGAGCCTCATCCTCTTCCAGTCCCAATTGGAGATGCGCCACAGAGGCTCAGTTACTAGTCCCTTAAGCTGAGAACCTCCATCTTCGCCAACCTCACGCACCACACCCAATGCGCCCAAACGCGACGGCAGACGGATACGAGACCACGACATGACGAGCCCATGATTCGACGACTGCACTTCCCGCCCAGCTACGCGCCCGTCAAGAGCCTCCCCTGAGGCTCATCCGACCTCCCAACCCGCCATCATGGTGGTCTACTCCTTTTACATCTTCGACCGGCACAGTACATACCACCACAACCTCCCCTCGACCCCTGCGGACGGGAGACTCTGACAATGCCGCAGCTGAATGCATCTATGCCCGGTCATGGCTGCCCCAGTCCCTCAGCCAGCACCACTCCTCCGCCCCCTTACAGCCGTCCACCGCCTCGGACGACGCCAAGCTCATCTTCGGCACCGTCTTCTCCCTGCGCAACATGGTGCGCAAGCTCGGGGGCGAGGACGACGCCTTCATCAGCTACCGCACCGGCAACTACAAGATGCACTTTTACGAGACCCCGGCGAATCTGCGCTTCGTCATGTTGACCGACACAGGCACGATGAGCATGCGGAATGTCCTGCATCAAATCTACATTAATCTCTGGGTCGAGTATGGTACGTCTTAACTTTTGCTTTTGGGGTGTGCTGCTGGACTTGGCCTAACCGCTCGACAGTCGTGAAGAACCCGTTGGCACCCGTGGAGCACAAGAACGGCGCGGGTGTCAAGAATGAGTTATTCGAGCTCGGACTGGACCAGTTCATCAGGGGACTCATGTGACGACGGGCCGAGTTCACACTCTTGAACTACAAATCAATCCCGTCATGCGAGCCAAGGTATCTTATGGAGGACATGGCCAGCACCCACTCACGACGAATGACACGATGCCGTGCTATACCCAGTCAGCCACTGGACGAGGTTCTGGCCGAGACGAGCGCCTCTGAATCCGCCAGGTTAGGCCAGACCAGACCTCACGCACATCACTATAGCGGCGTCCGAGGACAACTCCCTTTCACCGCTGTGGGAGACACCGAGCGAATTGGAACCAGACCTCTTTGTATGTTTGGCTCGTGCCAGTTATCAAAGGCCCACGTTAGACACCCGCATGAGGACATGCCAATACCCAAACCACAAACCTGCCCACGCCCCCGTTTACTCGTGATCAAGAGGGACTCGATGCAATGTACACCACAGCCCAAAAGGCCTTACCGAGTATCCCAGGTCCTACTAATCATACATCAACAGCGTGCCCTACGCCTGTTTGTCCATGGCCCGCTCCCAAGCACACTCCAAACCACTCTGCTGGCTATCCGCCAGCGCAACGCTTGGGTCGTCCTGTGTTGACTTGTCCAAAGTCGTCTCCGAGGGCTTCTCCACGTAGACCGCACTATCCATGAGCCCCTCCTCACGAACCTCGTTTTGCCAGTTGCTCGAATAAACAACGGCCGCAAAGGCCTCTAGATCCCGCACCTTCTCCATGTCCTGGAGATACTCGTTCGGCACACCATTCCCGATGACGTGCGCTTGGCGTGTCAAGACGGAGAGGATCTTGGGCAGCAAGATGTGCTGTGTGTGTTTGAGCTCACTGTTGTCCGTGACAAGAATGCCGCCCTCGTTGGGGGCAGGGAACTCAAAGGCCTCGTTCGCCAGCTTCTTGTCCACCAATGACGAAAAGCCCGCGTCGAGGAGAAGAGTCAGAACGTGTGAGAAGGCAGGCGACTCGATCAGATCGGCCGTCTCATCGAGCAACCTCCGCAGTGAGGCAGACGAGGCTTGCGAGCCCTGCGACTGCTGGGCGGGGTTCTCCTCCAGGACCCCGGACTCCCTGATCACCTCATCTTCCTTGTCTCGCGGGGGCAGCAAGAACTTCAGCCAGTCCGCTTCCTGTCTTTGCTGCGGCGTGGCACCCTCGACGAGCTTGCGCACCTGCATGGTCAGCTCCGAGAACCGATCAAAGCTGACGAGATCTCTGGGGCTGAGACTGCCAAACACCGTGCGCACGGCACTCTCGACCCGCGCCACGATGTCGGCGTACCCACGATGGAGCAGCCACCAGCTGAAGGTAAGGTACTTCCGGTTCGTGTCAAAGTCGTTGCCGTATGCCTGGTCGGCATTGTCGTCATCATGATTCTCAAGGCTGATCGTCGCTTGCTGTGTGCTGGTGGCCAAGGCCACGACGCTCGACAGATAGCTCCGTCTACCCAGAAGGTTCAACTGAACTCGAGTGAACATGGCCAGCAGGGCAAGTGTGTATATGAGAGAAAACGACCTCGTGATGGCTGCAAAGCATCAGTATCCTGCCAGGGAATGGTCTGCGCTGCGGTCCTACCGCTGATGGTGAGGTCATCCCATAGCTGCCTCTTGGATTTCTTCTTTGTCGCAGTCTCTGGCTGCTGCTGCGCTCCCTCGCTTATACTTGGCGCACTCGTCGTGGAAGGTGTGGCGACGACCTGGCTCGCGTGCACGCCGCTGTCACTCTGAAAGCTGGCCATGCTCCTCCCTTCCTCTTCGGTCAACGTTGTGTCGGCGATACTCGGCGGCGGCCCGTTTGACTCCCCACTCCGCACGCCCTTTGTGCTCTTCATCTGCTGAATCTCGAGGGTGATGCTCTCCGTGTTCATGGCCTCGAGGATGTTCGTGGTCGCAGTTGGTAGTAGTGCAAGGACCGTAAACGTGCAATCCTCCTGGTTCTGCTCGAATCGTCGCCGTAAGCTATCGGTCCCCGACCGCGTCAGCCTCAGCGTGTCCATGTCGAGGGGGGGGAGGATGGGGGCATTACTTCTCCTTGGAGATGCGCTCACTGCTCATGCGCTCGCGCGCGTCGTTGATCTTGTTGAGGACATACTGCGTGACGACGTAGCCGGCGCCGACGACGCCCACGCCAATGGCAATGGGCGTCTTGTTCCGGCGCAGCCAGCGACGCGCCGTGGAGAACATGATGGGCTCTGGGGGCGCGTATCGTCAACGCATTGAACAGAATGCCCGGATCTAGAGGGCCGCGAACTATCGAGCTGGTGTTCGAAGAGGGAAGATAAGTATGGGGAAAGAGAGTGGGTGGAAAGTCTGGGGAAGCAAAGGAGAGCTTGGGCCGATGGCGCTGGGAGTTATTATCCACAATCTCAAAGGTAAGGCTCCATGTCCGTGTCAACTGTCCGTCGTTCAACCTCGGCTTTCGCATGCAATGACGGATGGACTGGAGAAGTAGGGGCCGGCCCAGCTGCGCCACACTGCCTTGAGGGCTGTCTCTCCGGTAGCCAGACTCGAAGCCACATCAGCCCCACCTCAACCCAGACGGACAACTTGATGCCCCTCATTGTCCCTCATTGCCAGTGACGTTGATTTGATTGATCGAGGGTTGCGACGTATTACACCTCAAGTTGGTGCTAAGCTTCCGGATGCGTGCGTGTTGAAACTCCCACTCCTCGACTGGACCCCAAAGGTCGCCCGCCCATTCCGTCCAATCCTCGTCCATCGCAAATGCATCCCGACGTAGGTTTCCCGGCCACTTCAGCTGCAGGCGACGGCAACATGGAGGCCCAGAAGCCCACCGAGTTCCATCTCGAAGTCTTTGCTGACCCGCGCTCCGTCCTCGATGTCGTCAAAGGTACGGTTTGACCACCCCGCTACATCATAGCAACAATGAGACTGACCTGGCCAACAATAGGGGTTCTCCACGCCGTATTCTTCCACCGCTTCTTCCCCTCCATCGTGCCCCAGACCCACGAAGTCCTCGACCTCACCCTCCCCTACGTCCGGGACCCCGAGCTCGAGACCCTCATAGACCAGCGCGCCGCGGCGCTCGAGCGACACATTGACGCCCAGCGCCCCCCATCGCAACCGACCGGCGCGAGCACGACCTCGAACCCGGCGAACAAGGGCGGCAGGGGCCAGTTGACCGTCCAGTTCTTCGAGAAGAAGAGACGCAAGGGCACGTGGCTGTCCCGCGGGGACGAGGAGGTCTGCTGGGAGTCGTGGACCGTCAAGGTCACCGTCTCCGAGCCTCGGACAGAGAGTGGTACGCCAAACCATGTTGATGGTTCCAACCCTCACCCTTCTAACCAGCTTTGTAGAACGCGCCAAGGTGCGCCGCGCCATGGAGCAGACTCTGCAAAAGGCCGCCTTCAACATCATCACCTACGTCAACCAGCACAAGGATCACATCCCCCCCATCACGACGCAGACTTCCAACCCCTTCCCCTACAAGATCAACGTCGATCAGCAAGAGACGGGCTGGGCCTCGAGGATGCGTATATACTAGAACGGCGCACTCTACTAATTACAGTGCCATTACTGGGTATTTTCAGCGTCGGGTATATGGGACACTCCACTGGGTGCGGTGCTACTACTTGTTGTCGTTGGCGTCAGGCGAATAATGGGATAAACGGGGGGCTAATGGCGTTTCGAGCGCAAGTGAGCTCACCAGACCTCGGAGTTGCGGGTGCTTTTGACTCTGTTATTGGGCTTTAGTTTTTGCGTGGGGTTACTTAATAGACACGACGATACCCATGTCTCGCTGACAGCGAAATTCCCTTCACTGCTGGGTCACATGAGGTGAAGTGGCGACGTCGCGGGAAGAATCAATAATAATCCTGTAGCAAAACAATAAAGCATGTGTAAAAATTCCAGTGGTGCCTCAAAGATGACATGGTCGAATCTTCCTGGCCAAAGACAATCAGGTGTTAAGCAAACGCCAAGCTTGCCAAACCATACTACGCAGCTCAAAACAATGCCGAAAAATAAGATACAGGCGCAATGGACACGCCGGTCCAAGTCCAAGTCCCGACGCTCGCGTCCACCCAACCAAGAGCAAGAACGATACGATCCAACCCCAGCGGATTGAGCTAAGCAGCACTTGCAATGCTCAGATCCGACGTGCGTCCAGCTAGACGCCCTAATATCCCAATGTTGCGAGTGCGTGTGTGCACGCGCGCGCGTGTGTAAGTTGTCCGTAGAAAAGTGTGCATTATGTCGTGTTCATCGTGTCGCTCACACCGTGAGCCATTCCTTGGCCGCGAAGCCTTATTGTTCTGTGTCTTGTAGACCGATAATGGGAAAACCCATAGTCCGAAAGCTCATTATTCGTCGATTCATCGTCAAGTGTTCTTCTTTGAAAGAAAGATGTTGTCAAAAGGCGCCGTGATCATCCGATCTGCGCAAACCCCTGGGTAATGTCGAAGTCAGACCCTTCTTCCTCGGGGAAGCCCGTTGCGACTTGTTGATGACCCAGTCCGTCCCAGTTCTCAGCGTCGTCATCAGCCTTGGGCGCGGGCAGCTGAGGCTGGGCGAGCTTTGACTTGCAGGGGGAGGCATCCTGAGGGCTTGTTTCATCGAAAGCCTCCAGCAGAGACCCCCCGAGGTATTTGAATGGCGAGCTCATTCCCTCAAAGGCTTTGCTGGGGGTATCGAAGAAGTCAAATGCTTGTTCGTTCAACTGAAGAGCAGGTGCTGAGGTGCAGCCCCGCGGTGTGCTGTCAGACAATTTCAGGACAGATGCAGGCATCGGAGGCAGCAAGTCGGATTGCTTTAGCGGCGATCTCTTGAGTGGTGACCTTTTGATGGGTGACCCGCTGCCGCGCACATGGAAGAACGTGGAGTAGGGGTCTAGAGTGTTGAGAAAATCATCATTGACAATGGCATCTCTCGTGAAATCGAAAGCGTGAGCGGTGGTGCCTTCCAGGCTGAACTCGGGGCTGTATGGCACCTCCTCAAGGCCGTTGTTAGCCCTGCCTGGTGAGGCAGTATATGCAGCGATCTGCTTGCGATGCTTGAGCAAGTTGGCGCGGGGCGAGACGGACTTGGTGATTGGCAGCATCTGAGCCAGCTTGCTTACAGGTGTCTTCGGCCCCATCATGTTCATATTTTGCTTGTAAGGCGAGGAGAGCAAAGATTGGTTGACAGACTTTGATCGGCTCCTCGTTGGACTGTGCGGTGATGATAAGGGGTTGCGAATTTGGCGGATCGCATCCTCAGCACGACCACTGCCACCCAAAGCGCGAGCGCGCCTCCGAGGTCTGCCGCTTTCAGCTGTCCACTGAGAGTTCCATTTGCTGGGCCTATGAGCTGAGGAATCAAGAGAGGAAATATACCCGCTGTCTTCAGGAGCACCGCGCTTGCTTGGTCTAGTCACGGAAGATTGACCAGGGACAGAAGTAGCAGAGTGCGTGCGGTTGTGCCTTGCGACAGGGGGGGATGAATGGAGGCCATGGGGAGCAGGGGACTGAGCAGGTCGTCGGAAGCTAGAGTTGGGGACTGACGGTCTCTCGCTCAGCTCTTCGGGGGTAGGGCCATCGCTTTCGGGAATGGTAGCGTCAGATGAAGGCAAGCGAGGCTCCTCTGTCGCGCGGGCGGGCTGGCGGGCTTGAGGTACCGGGGGAGGAAGGGACGGCTCGAGAGCTGGCGCTGTGGCTGGCCTCGAGGGTTCTAGTCGGGTTGACATGACAGGTAGGTTCTCTGCGCTCTGTGTGCCCTTTCGAGCCGGTTTCCTCCTCAAGAACTCTGATTCGCATCCCGGTACGATCATCCAGTAATGGCCCTTGCCCGGATCCTCCTTGGGCCTCTCAACCTTCTCGAAGCCTTTGTGCAAGCTAAGGTTGTGGCGAATACTGTTTTGCCAGCCCGTCTCTTTGATGTTGTAGAAGGTGTACGTGTCGGAGATCCACGTGTAAATTTGGTTGAGGGTTAGTCTCCGGTTGGGTGAGCGAAGAATTGCAGTGCCGATGAGCTGGGCATAGCTCAGTGGAGGTTTCTGGCCGTCATCGACAATGACGGGAAACGAACTGGGAGGTGGTAGGACGTCGAAGCTACTGGATGGGGCTGGAGAAGTTGCCAGTTCGCTGTCTGCCTTCTTCGACCATTTGGCTGGTCGGCTGTCCATGATGGGCGCGGCGTCAAGGAGCTTCCGTTTTCCATTTGACGAAGATGACGGCCGGGGAGTTGGCGCAGACGACGTAGCTGAGGAGGGGAAAACACCATATGGCATCGAGTTCTCATCTGTCACTCCAGGAAGGTTCTCTGAGTGCGGCGGCGCCTTGAACTCGTAGAGGAAAGGCTTCTTCCAGATTGTGTCGGTCTGCCGTCGCTGCCCTGGCGGAGGCATGGAAACATTGTTGAGTTTCTTGGCATTCGCCGTCTTGAGAGGGGACCTTCGTGCCGCGTTGCCCATCTTGTGTGGTGACATGGCTTTCTGTTGAGACTGGGTGGGCTTCAGGACGGCGTTTGAGTCAATGGCACCAAGTGCTCGTCGGGATGGTTTTGCGATTGTCGTCGGCATGGGCGCGTGACTCGTCATGGCGTTGTGAATATTGCTGAATGCGTTTAGGCCGTGGGTGGCGTTGAAGTTGTCCAGGCCATCGGTGTGGCTATACGTGTTCTCGACTGCGTCAAACGAGTCGAAGCTGTCAAAATCCTGGAAGATCTTTGGCGGCTCGTCAGCGCCGCGAAACAGCGGGCGGTTGGCCATTGTGGCCTTTGTCTTAGAGCCGAGTCGTGAGAGCTATGCGAAAAGAGTGTCGAGGGCGACCACTATTGGGGCACGTGAAATCGCGATGTGTTCACGCGCAACAAGAAAAGAACGCGCTGCAAACAATGCGGGAATGCAATGTGCAGCAGGGCCTGACTTTGTGGTGCGAAGCGCGTATCGGTGAGCAAGAAGCGGTGTCGTCGTTGGCGAGCCAAGGCGAAAAGGTGAGATAGGTTGCGCGTATTGCGAAAGTCGAAAAAAGTCGGTAATCGGGGCGCCTGTTCTGTTTGTTCAAGGTGTTTTCAGATCGGATTGGGGCGATCAAGGCGGCGACGGTGAGCGTGTGTGCGGGTGTGGAAGGTTGAAGATGTAAGACGGAGTGTTCAAGGTTGAAGATGGGCGGCATGAAGGTACCAAAGTATCTTGGGGGCCCAGTGCACTTCCCGTACCAGCCCAACTGCACAATGTCAAGGGCGGGTGGGCACGAACGAGCAGGTGCCGGCAGGGGTTGGTTGGAGCGAATGGCGCAAGGCCTGGACAAGCCAGCACACAGTACCGCAGGCCGTGAACAAGGTCTCTGTCAGAGGTCGAGGCGCGCGAGGGAGGGCTCGATCCGAGGCGTGGATTGGGCAGGCAGCGTCTGGGCTGACACAGAAAGCTTGCAGGGGTCTGCCACTCATGCGAGGGAGGGCGCGGGGATGTCTCTGGCGCGATTCCCATCAGTCGATGGGCGGGATTAGGCCACGCACGCCACGTACCTTGCTTGCCTTTGCTTTTTGGCGGCGCGATGATTCTTTCCGAGTGCAAGATCATGCGGTGGAAATTATCGGCATCGATGTGACCTGCAGACAAACGTCGATGTAATTAGGTTCGATAATGTTATTGGAGATGAATTAGCAGATGGAAGGGGGTATGGAAGAGCATTTGCGCACGTAGAGCCAGATTTCGGGTCCTGTGGATGCGCAGCACGCACACACACACACGCACGAGTCTCAGCTGGTGTCGCGTTGGACGAGGCCAGGTCGAGGCAGAGGAACGCGATAACTCCGTACAGCGCGTGCAAAGTCCATCTCAACGCTTCCACAAGTTCCAGTCCTGCCCCTCCTTAGCGCCGGTGTTCCTCGGTGCGCTTAGAGGTACGTGCTGGGGCTATTATGTCACTGGGCACGGAAATAGACACACTACGGCTTTCAGTCGAGGATCACAGCGCGGTCTAACGTCCGCATCACAATTAAATGCCGAACGCAAAGAGAAAGAAAAAAAAAAAAAGGGGACTTTGAATAGTGCCAGAATTCAGGCAACATGCGGACGAGAAAGAGGGGTTCTACAATGCACGCACGTGTGATCCTGATATGGTTGGCCAGATGGTGCAAGATGGTGTGAGCTGAGATGTAAAGAAGCCTGGTCCAGGTCGCATGGAAGTTGGCCGTGACGCGTCGCACGACGCGCCGGGATTGTTTTGAATTGACGCGTCCTCGGCCAATCAAAACGCCCAGACGACTGCATTTTGATGCACCTCCAGGCACCGGCTGGACCTCACCCGCTGGCTTCCATTACAAGCCACTGAAAGCCATTGGACTCTGCAGTACCTTTCCTTGACAGTTGATCCTACTGAATCACGTCGTCATTGAACCCGTGCTTGATATTCAACAGGAATGGCGCATGCAGGTAATTTCATTCATTACAATATCAGGTTAAGACATGCACGATCGTGGCCTTGTGCACAAACTTCAAAGAAAGACATTCGGACAGAACAGGCAGGGGCTGGCCTCTCGGAAGACCCGTCCGTACCTTGGCCAGATCAGAGACCCATCTTTGTTTGAGCTTGACTTTTCAAATTTGATGAAATCCTGACATCATTGTGTAGGGATCTAAAGTGTTGCGAGCCTGCTTAGCCCCGTTTGTCTGTCATGCCGTTTTCCAACTTTCTTGCTTTTTGGGACACACTGAACATACCTCCGTAGACGATCGTGATCGTTCCCGGACGCATCCGGTTTCCCGATCCATAGCACCAAAAGTTCCGAAGACGGACATGGGAAAATTGTACGTACCATGATCTCCCCAATATAACTCGTCACATTGCGCTTCAATGTCCAGGCAAACCTTATCGTAGTCATCATGGAAGATTCATTCCTCCATGGATATCCAGGGAAATCTAGGAACTCCGATCCAAAACTTCCAAAGTGAGTCAGTGACCCTCCCGGTCCCGACATGGACATGGTTCTCTCCGGCATTGGATCGTTAGCTCCAGCGGTCTAAAGAGCTTGCATTTTCACAACACCCGATCTCGTCATTAAACAATGCATAAAAGTCTCATTCCTTTATTTGCCAATGTGAACAACGCATCCCATCAATACGACTACCACGTAGCTCAGCGCGCTAAGGCGACCTCATCCAAGGCCATCCTTCCTCCTCAATGTAGCCTTCTGGGCAGTGCATAGTGCTGGTAGCCGGGCCATGGGCTATCGGTCCACGGCTCCATTGTCGGCAAGTGTGCCGAAAAGGTTCCCATCACACACAGCGCGAACGATCTGCTGTTGAAGTCCTCCCACAATGGCAACATGACGTGTCTCAAAGGCACAAGGAACAACAGATCACTATCCAAAAGGAGAAGCATTGTAGACTATGTAAATCGCGATTCTATCGCAACGAAACGAACAAACTGAATCTGGTACATACTCTCCCCGTGCGTCGTCCTACAGGACGCGGCCAGCAACAGCAGCGGCGCTGGTGTCCTTTGTCTTGGTCTTCTTCAGGGATTTGCCTGTCTGAATCTCACCGAGGAAGCCAGCTGGCCGGCCACCACCGGCCGCAGGTGGTGGAGGCGCGCCTCCCGGAGGAGGGGGAGGCGGCCCAGGAGGACCGCCAGGGGGAGGTGGCGGTGGAGGGCCACCAGGAGAGGCCATGCCAGGCATAGGAGGGGGGGGAGGGGGAGGAGCGCTGGGAGCGTCTGATCCGGGCATGGGAGGAGGCGGTGGTGGTGGCCCAGAAGGCGCATCGTCCGCAGGCATCGGAGGTGGTGGTGCAGCGGGAGCATCACCAGCAGGAGGTGGTGGTGGTGGTCCAGCAATCGGCGCATCCTGACCAGGTGTGGCGGGCGAAGAGTCCCTGCCAGGAGCAGACAATGGTCGCGGGGGGGCCATTGTGCCGAACAGGATGGATGCGAGTTGAGCAGCGTTGCCGCCTCCGGGACGATCGTCCTCATCGTCGGAGCTGTCTTCTTCCTTGTCAGAGCCCCAGTCATCGGAATCAGCACGCTTCCTAGACACAGGAGTGGGTGCTGGTTGAGGCTCTTGCTTCATGCGGTGGAACGGATTTGTAGAAGCGTCTGGAGCAGGAGCCGCTGGTGCTGAAGGAGCCGCTGGCGCCGAGGGAGCGGCGGCAGGAGATGTCGTCTCGGGTGCCTGGGACATCATCTTGAAGTAGGGATTCTTGCTCTCCGTCTCAGTCGGAGGCGATGTCACGACCGAGGGGACAGCGGGAGCAGCATCGGCAGCGGTCGTAGGCGGCGACGCGGCCTTGCGCTCAAGCTCCTGGCTGGCAGCTTGACTGCCACCCATGGTCGGAGTCGAGGCCTGAGGGGTGATCTGCTGGGGGCCTTCATCGTCGGACGAGGAGTCCGAGTCGTCGTTCATGGCTTCCAGCTGTCGCTGCAGCTCGAGCTCGCGCTGCCTGGCTGCCTCAATCTCAGCACGACGGGCTGCCAGCTTGGCTTCCTTGTCCTTGGCCTCGGCCATGGCGGCCTTCTTCCTCTTCTTCTCCTCTTCTTTGCGCAGTTTGCCTTGCTTGACCTGCTCCTCGAGTGCCTTGAGGCGAGCATCGGCCTCTCTCTGCTCCTTGGCGAATTCGTCCTCTTCATCCTTGACGTCGTCCCTGTTAAGGTTAGCTCAGAATGCCGCAGATTTTACAACGAGAAATGGTCAGACTCACTCCAATTGCTGGGTCTCGCGCTGTTGGTCTTCTTGTGCTTGAGCAAGGCGCTGCTCTTCAGCGGCTTTGTTCGCCGCGTCGTCCTCCTCGGCCTTGGGCGCCGCCCCTCCCTTGCGAGTAGGAGGTGGAGGGGGCTTCTTCGCAGAGGCCTTGGCGGCTTCAGGCTCCGTGGCAGGGGGCGGAATGCCCTGCTCCTCAGCGAGACGAGCCTGGCGCTCCTGCTCACGGCGTGCATCCTCTTCTTCAGCAGCGCGCATCTTCGCAGCCCGCTCAGCCCGCTCTCGCTCAGCGCGTTGCGCAGCGCTCTCGCCGGGCTTTGATGGCGCCTTGATGCCGAGGGCCGCCAGACGCTCAGCCATACGCTGCTCGGCTTGCTGTTTGATAAAGGCGGCGCGCTCCTCAGGCGTCTTGTAAGCCGCATATGAGCCACCCGAAGCGGCGGGGCTGCCGGTGCGAGACGTCGAGACTGGGCTGTCCACACGAGGACTGGCCACACGCTCAGGTCGAGTCTCCTCAACAGGGGCTGAAGGGCGAGCAGTGCGCTTATCCTGTGCACGGACGCGGGCAGAGCGACTTTCCCGCTGGAGATCAAAAATGAAGTCGCGCACATCATCCTCAACACCAAGGGCATCCTCCCAGCGGCGCTTTTCGTGCTGGCTGGACTCATCCTGAGACCCTTCCTTGAGGCTGTCCTCAATACCGCGGGCAAAGTCACGAACACTCTCCTCAACGTCACGGACCATGCTCTCATTAGCCTCGCGCTCGTTCTTGGCCTTGATCGATTCCTCCTCGAGGCGCTTCGAGGCAGCGTCGTCACTTTCGACGGGATTATCAATCTTCTTTCCCGTCAAAGCCGCAGTGCGCTGCTGCATCATGGCCTTAGCGCGGGCCTTGAGGCGGTCGGATTCGGTGACAACACCGCCAGGGCCCGTGCCAACAATAGAGGCTGCGCTGCCGGGGTTGGCCTTGGCATCCTGAAGGCGGAACAGCTCCAATTTGGTCTCTTGAATTGCCTTCTCAGTCCTGCGAACCTGGGACGCCAACTCGGGGATCTTGTCCGTCAGATTCTGGAGCTGACGCTTCATAGCACGCCTCTCGGCCTCGGAATCACCGGAGGACGGCGAAGCATCGGGATGGGCGTCAATGTCTCCTTGGATTCGGCGGATCCTGCGGTATAGCTCCTCCGCTTCGGCACGATCGCGCCGATCGAGGATGTCATCTTCCTCGGCGTGCTTTTCGTCCTTGAAGTCCATCGCGTCGAGCAGCACCTGCTTCTCGCGTATCTTCTTCCTTAGCTGGTCCAGAGTCAGATCGTCGCTGGAGTCAACAGAGCCAGGTGAGCTTGGTCGCGGCGAATCGTTGCCGACCCTGCGACGTGCGCTTGACTTGTATCCAAACTCCTCATCGCTGTTGCGGAAGACAGTGGCATCCTTGCGACCAGCAGCGCCCACATTGGCACCTCCACGGAACGACCGATTCTTCATGTAGCTTACACCAGTCTTCTGGGGCAAGAGGGCCGCTCCAGAGTTCTTGCGGTCATCCGACTCCCGGCTGAGCATAGACTTGACAGTGCCGATGGACTGGCTGAAGTTGCGCGTAGAGGGTGGCACAAGCTCGGGAGGGAGCGAGTTGGGCAGTGGGTATCCATTGAGCTTGCGGTAGATCAAATGCATGGCCACCGCAAACTCGTCGAGATTCAAGCGACCCTTGTTGCCGTGATCAGCCAGGGTCCACACGCGCTCCAGGTCAGGCTTCTCGAGTCCACTCTGGCCCATGATCTCAATGGCTTGATCGCCACCAATGTAGCCCTTGCCCAACCCGTCCCAAGCTCGGAATAAAGAGTCGTAGCGGGTCTTCTCTTCCTTGGTGATGGCCCAGGGAATCACTGCATTGCCCTGCAAGCCTTGAGTAGTAAAATTGCCTGCTTCCCGTCCCTGCTGAGGCATCATGCGTGCCTGCAAGGCGTCAATGTTCGGCAGACCACTGTCGGGCGCGTTGACAAGACCCCACTGACCAGGTCGACCCGTTGGCTGGGCGTTCAGAGGGGCAGCGGGCTGGTTATAACCAGTCGGCATAGGAGGCATAGGAGGGCGAGGCCCGGAATATCCAGTAGCCTGGGGGTTCTGGGCGCCAGGAAAGCCAGTCTGATGAGCCTGCAGGCCCTGTTGGCCAGGGAAGCCTGTCTGCTGAGGCTGAAGACCCTGGCTCGGCTGCTGTGGGAAACCTGTCATTTGCGATGACAAGATTTGAGAGTTGGACGGCTGCGCTGGCTGCTGCTGCTGAGCGCTGGGCGTCGGTGCGCTTGGCGCAGAAGATGGCGCGTCCTCTGCAACGCTGAAGCTGATAATGTCTACCATGCTCGAAACCTCGTTCTTGATGTTTTCGGGTAGGGTTGGAGGCAGGGACTTGCCCGTAAGTTTCAGGTTGCAAAGATACATTGCGAGTGCGAATTCGGGAAAGTAGAGCTGACCGGCCCTGGTGGTATCGGCGAGGGTCCTAGGTTAGATATGTTAGCGAACCACACTCCCGTCATCTCTTTGCTTTGTACGACGTACCAGATATGCGAGAGAGAATCTCCATCCAGACGCGATCGCATCAGGAGATCACGCGCCTTCTCCCCCGACATGGTCATTGTCGATTCGCCAACGGCGGACCCGAACAAGGTCTCGAACTTGGCCTGATCAGGCGCCGTAATGAACGACAACCTGATGTTCGGGATCTTGTTTGGCTTCGGCTTGGTTTCGCCTCTGCGCCCCGCTGGCTTGGGCGTGCCGCCGGTCTGGAACGAAGCCGCCATTTCATTGAAGCCAGTAGCCTGAGGCTTCATTGGCGGCGGGGGAGGCTGCGAAGGCCCGCTCGCCGGCTGAGGCGAGGTCGAGTAGCCAGTTCGCTGCGGCGGTTGGCTTTGGAAAGGGGAACTCTGCTGCTGAGGCTGTTGACCCTGCTGCTGTTGCTGGAACTGCGACTGGAACTGCGGAGGGATCGAGGGCATGGGAGGCGCGCCAGTCTGGAAGCTCTGTTGAGGCTGAGGCTGCTGGCCCGGGAAGCCAGTGTACTGCTGTTGAAGCGGCTGCTGCTGAGGCAAGCCAGTCTGCTGCGCTTGCATAGGGAATCCGGTGTACTGCTGCTGCAGCGGCTGTTGCTGGCCAAAGCCAGTGGGCTGCGGCGCAAAGGGGCTCGGTTGCTGCCCGGGCTGCTGTGCGGCCCCAAAGGCGCCGCCATACTGTTGCTGCTGGGCACCAGGACGCTGGCCGCCGCCTCCGAGGAAGGCGTTCGAGTTCGAATACATGGCGCCTTGGCGGTAAGCGAATGGCTCGCGGACGGGCAATGTCAGGGACGTCGGAGCCCTTGGTCGCGATGGAACCGCGGGAGTCCGTCCAGCGACTGAATTGGGGATCGATCGAAGGTCGATTCCAATCAGCCGTCGTTCTCCCGATGCAAGACAAGTCTGCAGGAATACGAATGGGTTGGTTGGGCTGTCGGGCTGTATGAGGGTGGCCCAGTACGGAGGTGCAAGTCGACGTTGCCAGATGACGATAGCTTTCACTGGGGCAGAGGCCAGAGCAGGTCAGGCAACGCAATCGAACCGTGACTTTGAACGGGTGGGCCTTCTTGGCCTTGCCTTGCATCGTTCCGTGGCTGGTGCCTGCCGCCCGTGCTGCAGAATCAGGCGGGGTCCGCAAAGCCTGTGGCGCAGCGACTCCATCACATCAACAACCGCAACCCCTTTTCCCTTCACACTAACGTTACATAGCACGCGGAGAAGCAGAAAGCATCGTCGAGACCACAAATGTATAATCAGATCACTTTAACTCTAATTGAGAAAACGAAGGGTATCAAGTCCGTACAGCTGTGTCGCGACTCCAAACAAACGCCGATACTCTCTCTCGTATGATATCATAGAACCCATACGCCCTGCTGTCCCCTACCAGTTAACGACAACGAATGTGATCGATCCCCAACTATAGACTCCGTCTGAATGCAGGCCTCGAAAAGATCAAAACATAAAAGGTATGGGGTGATATACGAAGGAAAGTTCTTGGCACACGCAAGGACGGACATCAATCCTCCTCTTTAATGCACCCTACCGTCTCCTTCCACGCCCGTCTGTGTCCCTTCATCTGCAAGCCCTGGTCTGCGGCCTGCGCGTCGAAGTACGTGTAATTGCCATCAGAATCGTGAAAGGGCGCTTCTGGATTCGAGGCAACTGAGCCTCCGCGAGGGCTTTCCGCCTCGGGTGGTGTCTGGTCAGGCGTGCTGAAACTGCCATCACCAATGCTGGTTGGACTTACGGCTGCGCTCGAGGCAGCAGAGTCGGAGCGCCGTAGTGCCCCAGAACCGTGTGCGCCACGGGGGCTCTCGGGGGCGTATTTGGGACTCGGCGACCCTTGTTTGGATAGACTGTTGCTTCGTCGCGACTCGAGTTCCCTGATGGCGAGCCCTCCGAACGAGGCCCAGAAAGTTCCGTCCGTGGCAGCAGCGTTCTGGGACTCCACCTCATCATCTGAATATTTGCTTTCTTCGTGCAGTCGATTGTTTCTCTGGAGGATCTGTTCCAGCTCTGCGATCACCGTTTCCCACTGGTCTTTGAGCTGTTGGACGAGAGCCTTATCTCCAGATGGAGCCGGTGCCTTGTCATGCCTGAACCTCGAGACCACAGATGAGCGCCTTTTCGGCGTGGCGATGCTCACGCTAGAGGCAACCTTGCGCATGGATCGGTCGAGCTCCTGAGGCGAAAACGCCGAGAAATGTCGAATGGCTGTATTCGACTCTAGGTATTTCACAAGGTGGCGGAAGTTGGAGAGGTTGAAGTCGTTGTCTTCACAATCCAGGGTGTGAAGCGTGTCATTTCCCCCAACAGCCTCGGCGAGATCGCCAATGTTGACGTTGAGCATCTGGCTGCGCACACGCAGGTGCTCGATCCGCCTGTTGGAACGCATGCCAATCAAGGCACGTGAGAACTCCTTGCCCAGTCTCCCTTCGTCAAGCTTGGCATCGTAGCCAGATATGTCAAGAAAGCGTACAGTGTCATTGTTGACGAAGAAGTCGGATACTGCCTGGCACGCCTCAGCGCTGGCTGCGTCCGGCGTCGATGACCCCGCCAGGCTGAGGCACTCGATGGTCTTATTGACTGTCAGGGCCTTCCAGAGCTTTGTGTAGTTGATTTCATGGTTGAACTCCACCATTTGCAAGAACAAGCTCCAGGGGGCAAAGCCGCATGCGATGGCCCCGCACAAGTCATCAATCCCTTCATCGAGGCGGTTGCCGTTGGCATGAACGGTCACCTTGCGGGCCTGGCCCATCGACCGTAGAATTCTCGCGAGCTGCCGTCCAGTGAGTCCGCATTTGTTCAGACGCAAAGTCTGCATTGAGTGAGACTTGCCCATCTGCAGATAGCCTGCCAAGACATCCACTGTAGCCTCATTGAGCGCTATGCATGACAGGTCCAGTTCGTTCAAGGACCAGTTGTGAATAGCCGCCTCATCGACAACGGGGCAACGGCTGTCAAGGCGTGTGCTGCTCGCAATATTCAGCTTCCTGAGTACTCGAAGTTGGTTGAGGCTATGTCGAAGAACATCCGACTTGACAACGCCCTGATTGTCGGAAATATCCAGAACCTGAAGTGAGTCCATCTGTCCCGCTAATCCAACCGCGAGCTTTGACAGACCTGCGTCTCCAAGACTGCATCCCGCGAGCTCTAGTTTCCTGAAGTGGACGTGATCGAGGACGAGCAGACTGGCAAGCTCGTCAACATCACTCGACAACAATGGGTTGCCTGACATGGTAATGCTGTGGCACGTGCAAAGCTCTGCACGCGCCAGTGCCAGGATAGGACGCACGATCTCGGAGCTAGTCCGTCGGCAGCTTGCATAATCTACGGATACGCGCGCCTGGGACGATCGTTTGTCTCGGATCCCAAGACAGTTGGTAAGGTCGATGCAGCGGATCGACTCAGATGCAAACAGCAGCGCATGGAATTCTTGAGTCAACGCGGGTGATTCGATCAGATCATCATAGTGGTCTTTCGTTATCTTGCAGCCTGATATTGTCAGCGTGGCGCGCAGGCCGGAGGTCCAGAGCACTTACCGTTGAGAGAGGTGTAGACAACCCCTTCACCATACGGCGAATAGTCCTTCCTGGCGGCAAGAGGCGACAAGTCTACATTGCGAAAGGAGATGCCCTTGAAAAAGCTGTTGTATCGCAGTGCCCGAAAGACAGCCATGAGTTGCGCTGGGGAGTACGGTGAACTTTCCGACTGCATCAGCCGGAAGACAGGCTGCGAGGATGTGCACCATTCAACTGTCCAATGTGGCATGCTTGTGTGGAACGCAGCACAGTAGGCCTGGAGACTGCGCTCGATCCCTCCAAGGTCGTTGCCCGATGTCAATTGCAGAGGTGGCGGTAGCCCCTTGATATCGAAGATACTCTGCTGGAAGTGCTGAGGCCACATGGGCTTGAGAATGCGATCGACGCGGAGCAGTGCCTCGATGATTCGCCTGTAATGAACACTCGCAAGGTCAAGACGTGCCTCCCGCCCGAATGGTGATCTGAAAGTTGTAAGCAACTAGCTCTGTAGGGCTCGTGCCAGCAAATAGCTCACCGAAAGCTCATCAAGAACCTCTGTTCGTGCGAGGCCACAGAGGCCCGGAATCCAACCATGGTAACCGTGCCGAAATGGCTAGATTTGACGCGGAGCTCTCCAGCAGGCGTGCCATATTCAGCTTTCAATACCTCGATAAGATAACACATGTAGGGCCCAATAACGAAGTAGAACGATGATCCGTCTACGTGTTGCTGGCTGTCCTCGGTAGCGTGGGGCTTCTGGGCGATGCCGACGATTCGCTTCGCGACGGGGAAAATCAGATTCTTTGATGGCCCATCGGCGAATGGTGTCTCATGATTAGCCACAATGTGATCAATGCGAATCCTCAAGTTGTCTGAGACCACGGCATGAGCATTCGATTGACGATGCCGCACCCTGCACATGCTGTGAATCGATCCAAGCCAGTCGTTTCTTTCCTTGGGCGTGGAGAAAAACAGATGAGCCTTGCAATAAGCCAAGCGCGGGCAAGGCGAGAACCACCACAGCTCGAGGCCAAAACGTGGGCTCGCTCCCTCCTCCACGAAAACCGCGACGAGCGAGTGTAGAGGTACCTCGAATCGAATCTCCGATACTGCTGATTTGGCAGTCAAGGCGGACCGAGCATCCGGCTGCGACTCATAGGCCTCGGAGACTGCTAACTGAGGGAAAACGCCTCGCGCAGCCTCGACGCTGCCGACTTTGACCAGGCAGTGGTCTGTCAGGACGAGGTATTCTGTGCGCGCCTTCAGCAAGGAAACGTCGGTTTTGAGCGGCCCGCACTTGATGATCTCCATGGCCGAGAAGGAGAGGTCTATCGGACTTCCAGGCATGTCCGCAGGCGAGGGCGGTATGGATGAGTCTCTCGACACCCGGCGATGTAGCCTATCCAACATAGTACTGGAGCTGGAAGGTACTTTCTGGAGCCGGCGCATCGAGCTTGATCGCCTTGGCCCGCCATTGTTGATGGAATCGAGCGATGAGCTGCTTAAGGACCGCAATGCCCTGGTGAGAGTTCTGGGGGCCTTGGCCTCGACCGGGTCGGCTTGTTCCACCAGCGGCTCGTACTGCTGTACCGGGGGCTGCGCCGTCTTGAGTGACGGCAGAGTCTTCTTCCTCCATATGTCTGCAGTCATTGTGGCGATATAGACGGCAAACCCGGCGACGACCTCAAGGGCACAGCTCGCGATGCTGGTAACTGACACTCGAAACTTGTGTTGATAACTTGCGGGCCTCTGTTCCTTCGCGCCGCTTGCTTTGTCCAGGTCTCAGAGAAATGTCGACTGGAAGTCAGCGGATGACCTGGAGTTGCACGAATGTCTCAGCCACGGCTTTTGTCCCACTGCAGCAAGCAGGATGAGACGCCCTCCGCATCCGTTCACTCGGTAACGGCCGACACAGTTGGATGACGAGCGTTCGTCCGTGTTGGGTGTTTCGGTGTAAGCCAAATCGATGACTGTTCCACCAACGTAGGACAAATTGCTACACACCCGAGCGAATGTCTGTGACGACTTGCGTAGGGTAGAGTACCAGAGACAATGGTGAGAGCCCGATTCTGAACGATTGAAGCCCAAAGTTCGTGCGAGGCAGGGTGCTTAAGGCCCGCGATCCACTGTGAAGCAATTGGCTGTGGAACTGAAGTATGGCGGGACGGATACGGTTCCGGAAAGCAATTGGAAGCTTGCGACGCCGAAGGTTTAGTAGCTGGAATGCGCGCCAGCGCTCGGGAATGCGATCAAAGGTAAACCTCCTATGTGACAGGTGCGGGCACCAGCTTCTGCCGCGTATAGTGGGCCGGCCGGCCTTCCCAAGTCGAGGATTAGTTACCTGCCACTGAGATGGGACAGTAGACGGGGTGACAAGAAGAGAGAGGACCGGAGGGATAAGCAAGTAATTATCTCTGATGCGGAGGTTGAGGCAGCGGGAGGCGCGGACAAACCAATTGGAGAAGGTCCAGTCCCTTGCAAGGAAGGCGCCTGCCTGCGTATTTCGCCTGCCTGCCTGTTTGCTTGGTTGCTGCTATCGGAAACGACAGTTGCACCAGACGGAAGTAGCGACAGATGTATGGCGGCAACCCATTTAAGTTAATTATCACCCTCTTCCCAGTGTCACGGCAATACGCCAAGGTGAAAGCTATACGACCCGTTCGGGGCTAAGCGATGGGACGCGATGAACGAGGAAGGGAGGGAGGGAGGCGAAGCTGCTATCAACAACGACCTGTGGCGGTGCGTGCGTAATCGTTTGTCGCTGTCTTGCAGGCTGATCACTCGCTCATTCACGCTCACGCCTGCGTACTGGGCAAGGTGGGAAAGACTGAAAGACAGTTAAGACGTACGTATGGGTCGAATAAGAAGTACAGGATAAAGGAGCCCAGGTCAGCGAGACAGCGAAGGGTTTCGTTGGTTGCGAAGGCCAAGTTCACGGCATAGGAAAGACGACGAGCGCGTTCCGGATCGCACATGGTGATGTCGATATCGATCTAATTGCCTGCCAAGGGTAGGGAATAATTCGTTGGCTCGGCGGCATTGACCATCGACGTCAGTGGTAGCGCAAGCTGCAACAATAGCCCCGAGCTAGGCTAGCAGGGACTGGAGCCTGACTGGACTCTCGACTATCCACGTTCTTCTGGGGCGTCCCGTACTCGCGTTGTACGACTGCTTATACGAAGATCACCAGATGCCACAGTCACCGCTTCTAGCTACTCGCGGGGCATAGAGATGAGCGTTGAGTATTGATCCAACGATCGGAGTGCGTCGCGCAAGTCTGCTTGTGATTCTGCGTTGTCTTACAACAGGCAGCACAACGCAGGCCGACTGCCCACCTCCAGGCTCCGGCCCCTCCATCTTGCATCATCAAACCCTGGCAAATATGGGCTAGCCTCCTTGGCCCATGAATAATATGTTTGGGGGTCCAAGTTTCAATCGCATCCACGGACCCAATCACGCCCGCGAACCGTGCCAAGGGGCGCCGGTGGTGGATGGTTGGGCCAGGGCCCAAGCTGGGCAGCGAGCCCGCGAGCTGCGATACTGGCGGACAATTGACGTCGCTGGTACGGAGTACGTATATTCTCGAGCATCAGTTCATCACTACATACCGGTATGCGACTGTCCCTAGATGCCTCATATGCCTCAAGCGACGAGGTAACAAGCGTCGAGGTCAATTTGGGTAGGTAGCTATCACCCTCCGTGCAGGTCGGGCTGTAACCACTATCCAACGCCATGGATCGCGATTACACAAATGTCGATCATCCGGGTCGCAATTCGCAAGACGTGTCAGGAAGAGGGCCTCTGCAGCTGTGGACTGATCTGAAATGCTGATCTTGGCCCCGATATTTAGTGTGAACCTCCCACGACCAGAGTCACTAATAGTACTGGTCCTTGGATCAACAAAGTACCAAACGCCAAAGCTGGCAGGACCTTAAACCTCTTAATTACATCATGTGCTATCGAGCTTCACCATCCTAGGTATCTAAGTTAGCATGGCACGACGGGGCACGGTCAGTTCATTAGCAAGAGGCAGCAGCATCAGCTTTTAAATGCGCTCACTGCTCGCCGCAACGTGCATGCTGAGTTTCCTCTAATATTTGTTAGTTGATCCACCTACCTAGTTGTTGACCCCGATCCTGCAAACCACCCGGCAAGCATTCGAAGCCAATGCTCCATATCGCGCCGTACATGAGCTGTAGAGATCGGTCTGCCTCACATGGCTGCTGCTGGCCGACGGACAGACGGTGTCTCGTCGTATCCGTACTGAAATGTGCCAAACAGCCGTATCCATCACACCCGAACGTACATACGACATGGAGCAAGATTAACGCCATCATGGGATGCAATATCGACGGATCACTTTCTACACAACGGGTTCTTGTTGCTACTATCCGGATATGACACAAGCCATCGTCGTGCAGCAACATCCACTTTCATCATCTGTCCAATTGCCGGGCCAACAATACTGACTATCTCGACTGCTGTTTTTACATGGATATGCTTATCCAGAGCACAGCGTAAATCCAACTCTACCCAAACGCTATGGATATCTCAAGTGCAGGGGAATCTAAAGTTAGCGTCTTTCGGCTTGCTTGTATGCGGCGTGACCTGTCTTATCAAAAGCATCAGTCGTCGTATAGGGTAGGCCGCTAGAAATTCGCCGGCGAACGACCAGAATTACCAGACGCGGACCGAAGGGTTCAAACTTGACGCGAGTGAGTCGAGGCACTGCGACATTCTTCAAGAGTTTGCCGACTGTATTCTTCTGGTGCACAATTCTACGACATGGACAATTTGACGCGGTGAATAGAGGCTGCACATTGGGCGACGTGACCAACTTCAGGGCTCGTCGATTGGTGACCTACCTAACTTAGACTAAAAGGCAGACCTCACCTCAACAGTTACGGCCACCGAATGTCGCCGAGGCTACACGTAGGTTACTCGCGTCACGGGGAGTCTAGTTGAACGCTCGAAAACCAAAATCGTAGCAAGAGTCGTCCTGCAATTATCACACGCTCAGCAGCGAATAGTCTCGCTCGCTGTGCTGCTGCTCACCCGTGCGACGACTCGCTCGAGCCTTTACCGCCCAAACTGTCTAGCCCCCCCCCTCCCCAACCCTTCGGCTCTTGGTGGGGAAATTTCACAGAACATCCGGTCTGGTCCCTTTCTCACTCTTCAGTCGTCTCCTGAACCAGGAGAACCCCTCGAATCCCCTCAATCGTCGAGTCGCGTGCCCCTCGAAAGCCCGATACACGGTCGATAGCGCCAGCCAATTCCATAACCGAACCGTCAAGATGAGTGCCGCGGACGGCGACGCCTTCAACCTCAAGCGGGACTATGTCTACATCCCAGCTTTCATGCTCGTCGCGGGCACCCTTGTCGTCAAGAGGGAGTGGACGATCTACGCGATGCTGGTTGCCATCGCCTTTGGTGCCTGGAATATATGGACTCTCCGTGAGTGATGGCACACGACCATGTGCGGGCGGCGCAGAAAAGAGCTGACGTGCGGTGACCGCAGAGATTCGGCCTGTCCTGAAGCCCAACGTTTTCCAGGAGTTCGAGCTCCAAGAAAAAACCATCATATCCCACAACGTCGCCATGTGAGTAGTACCAGCCACGCGGACCAGCTTCCAGATCCCCAGATCCTAACAGCGTACAGCTACCGTTTCAAGCTCCCTCGTGCCGCCGACATCCTCGGCCTGCCCATCGGGCAGCACATCTCCATTGGCGCCCAGCTGCCCCAGCCTGATGGCACTACCAAGGAGATTGTCCGCTCGTACACGCCAATCTCCGGCGATCACCAGCCCGGCTTCTTTGACCTGCTCATCAAGTCCTACCCCCAGGGCAACATCTCGAAGCACATGGCCTCCCTCATGGTCGGCCAGCCCATCCGCGTCCGCGGCCCCAAGGGCGCCTTTGTCTACGAGCAGAACATGTGCAAGCACTTTGGCATGATCGCCGGCGGCACTGGCATCACCCCCATGCTCCAGATCATCCGCGCCATTGTCCGCGGCCGCCCCGAGGGCGATACCACCCAGGTCGACCTGATCTTCGCCAACGTCACCGAGCAGGACATTCTGCTCCAGGAGGACCTGGACGCGCTCGTCAAGGAGGACTCGGGCATCCGTGTGCACTACGTCTTGGACAAGCCCCCCGAGGGCTGGACTGGAGGTGTTGGCTATGTCACGGCTGAGATGATCCAGGTAAGCTGGCCTGGAATGACAGTGCTCGTGTGAACCAGCTCGCTGACTCCTTTCCCCCCACCCCCAGAAATGGCTCCCCAAGCCCGCCGACAAGGTCAAGATCCTCCTCTGTGGCCCGCCCCCCATGGTCAGTGGCCTCAAGAAGACCACCGAGAGCCTCGGCTACAAGAAGGCCCGCCCCGTCAGCAAGCTCGAGGACCAGGTCTTTGCCTTCTAGACGAGACTAGTATATCTCCACTTGGCAACATTTTCACCGAGAAAACGGATCGACAGTGGTGTCTGACGAAATCTTATGAGAAGGTACGAGTGCCTGATGAATATAATAACGCGGGTAGACAGGCGAGGAGGGAGAGGCGGCGGAGTATATGACCGACAGGTAGGCGACGGTGGAACGAGGACAAGAAAGCATGGTTCTCAACGTTATTGTTGTTTAAAGACTAAAGAGTAAATCATGAAGCCCCATTTTCAAATGATCGCTATGTGGCCAAAAAGTGCGCCTTCTACCGTCTTAGAAACCGCCATACTGTACATGGAATGCATCAGCCTTGAGCTGGCCCCTCACTCCTCGTCCTCGTCCTCTGCCTCTTTCATACTAGTGTCAGCGGCCGCAGCAGGCGATCCGGCCTCGTCTCCCGATTCAGCAGCGGCGGAGCTCTTCCTCACCGGCTCGTCATCTGCGTCGGCTTCCTCGTCGCTGTCGACGACCCGAGCGCGCCTTGTCCTCTTACTCTGCTGCTGCGGGGCGTCATCCTCGTCTTCATCTCCAGCGTCTCCACCCTTGATCCTGTTGGCGGTATCGTCCACGTCCATCTTATCACCAGCTTCATTCTCGTCCAACTCTGAGAGTGGCGAGTCCTCCCTCTCCTCGAGGTTCTTCTCCGCCGCCTCGAGGGCGTCGTCGTCGTCTTCCTCATCGCTGTCCACTATGATCTCCGACGACTTGAACTTGGGGTTGTCCTTCTTTTGCGTGAGGCGTCTCTTCTTCTTTGCCGGGCTTGCCTCGTCGTCCTCATCGTCATCATCGACGTTCTTCTTCTTGCGCGACCTTGGCTGCTTGGACTTGCCTTCGCCTCGGGGAGCAGCCGGCTTGCGCTTGCGCTTCACCTTTTGACCAGTCTCTTCGTCGGTAGTCATCTCAGCTTGCTTGCGCTCCTCTTCCTCCTGTCTCTCCCTGTCTCGCGCCGCGGCGAGCTCGCGATCTCGTGCCTGGATTCTCTCGCGTTCCTTGCGCAGGTTGTCAAGACGCTCCTTCTCCTTCGCCTCGGCAGCTGCACGAGCCTCGTCCCGCTTCTTCTTCTCAGCCTCGCGTAGACGTCGTGCCTCCTCAATCTTGTCCTTGTTTGCCTCCTCCCATTCCTTCTGCTTGCCAATGGCACGCTCCAGTTGCTTGCGCAAAGTGTTGCGAGCCATGCTGGCGCGTTGCTCAATATCGTGCTTGGGATAGGGGAACTGTGTGCCAGCGGCGATCTCGTCGAGCGAGGTGATGGCCTCCTCCAAGCCTTTTGCTGCCGCCTCCAGTTGCTCGGTGGACTTTTGGTTTCCAGGCAAACCTTGCATGAACGTGACAAGCTGGATCTGCACGAAAGCGACGTTGAACTTGCAGTTGACCTGCGCAGGCTGCGCCTTGAGCGCCTTGCAAAAATCAGTTTCTCAGCGTATAGAGTGGACCAGGCTGAATGGACTTACCAACTGTGCACACTCTAGTGCCTTCTCATAAGCCTCGAGCTTGCGCTCAGCGCGGCCACGGTTCAGACAAGTGCGGCCAAGGCAAGCGAGAATTGTCGGATCGTTCGCTTTGCCATCCCGCAACAAGGCCATCTCGTAGTTCTCCACCGCCTTCGACCATTGCCGCAGCTCGGCGTAAACGTGACCAAGATTCATGAACAAGTTGGAGTCCTTGATGGTGTCGCGCACTTTGTGGAACACCTGTAGGCCATTCTTTGTATCCTTCTTGTCTTCGACGTTGGCGATGGCAATGCCTTGCGCAGCATAGGCATTCTTTGGATCCAGCGAGAGAGCCTTATCGAAGAACTCGACCGCCCTTGCATACTGCTGACTACGTTTTGCTTTGTCGTGGTCTGTCTCACGACGCATCTCTCGCGCTTGCTGCAGGTTGAGGTTACCCATGGCGGTGAGGGCATACCTGTCATGCTTGTCGTAGTGCTGTAGCGTGTGCTTGTAGTGGCGGTACTCGTGGTCCTCCTGGATGTTGGCGGGTCGCTTCCTGCTGTGCACCTTGCCCAGGAACCAACCGTAGAGGGCACGCACATCGAGGTTGGCATTGTTGTCTTGGTAGAGCTTGGCGACCGCGTCTGGGCCTTCCTTGTTGGGGTTCTTCCGGAGCTTGATGTAAGCGAGGCGGATCCTAGCATCAATGTAATCGTCGTGACGCTTCAGCAATCCCTCGTACACCTCGACAGCCTTGTCAGTGAGCCCTTGGGCTTCATAGCTGCGACCCAAGTTGTAGCTGATGGAGGACACTAAGGCATCTGTATCGGCATCGGGATCCGCGTCGCTGATGCGAATACACGAGCCCAAAGCCGCCTGGAACATATCGCTCGACTGATCGTATTTCTCCGCTTGAAAGTGGAAACAACCAATGTTGTTCAGCAGTTGCGGCGAAAGGTGCTTCCGAAGAGCAGTCTTTATCTCTGCCTCGTCAGTGACTCCCTCTGGGTAGTGCGAGGCCGGCAAGTGATCGAGCTCCAATTGCTCAGCTTGTTGAAGGCACTGCAACGCCTTCTCAGGGTTGTCTAGTTCATAGAGACGCGCCAAGTTGAGCAGGACCGAGCCGTCCCTCGCGTGACTTTTCTTGGGATCTTTCCATGAAGCTCGCACATTCTCCAAAAACGAGATTGCCTTTTTCATTTCCGCGGACTTGTCCTCGTTGGAGTCGCTGCTTTGGCTCTCGAAGACCTCCTCAGCGTAGATGGTGCCCAAGAGAACCATAGCCTCATAGGTACGAGTCTGCTGTATCATCTTTTCCAGTCGTAGCTTGGCCTCGCCGAGATCGTTTCTCAGGACAGAAAGCTGCGCGCCACCGAATTTGGCTGGCAGATAGCCCCTATCTGTGCCTCCACGAGCATCATCGGCACGTCGGTAGTAATCAGCGGCCTTGTCGACGTTTCCCAGAGAATGTTCCTTCCTGGCTAGAATGTACCAACCATCACTGGCCACTGCATTGACGTCGGTGTAGTCGATAGCCTTGTGGGCCAGCTTGTCCACATTGTCCCAGTTTCTGCGAGACAAGAAGAAGCTGGAAAAGGTCGCGCAGGTCAACGGCATGTTCTTGTCAATCTTGAAAGCAGAGTGAGTGAGTTCAGTCATGGCTTTCTTGTAGAGCGACAAGAAATCATCAGTGTCCACAGGAAGATGACTACTGGCGTCCAGGTAGAACTGACCAAGGAGAATGATGGCCACTTTGGACTGGGGGTTGAGCTCCAGGCTGCGCTCCCAGGCCGTCCTGGCATCGTCCTTGTAGCCCAACTGCCACAAGCAGCAGCCGATGCCGATGCGGGGGTCTGGATCCGTCAGATCGGGCATCTTGGTAAGGACATCTTGATAAGAGGCCATTGCCTCTGGGTATTTTTGCATAGAATACAAGGTACGAGCCTTGCCCATCAGCGCCAACATATTCTGGCCATGCGAAACGCGGAGTGCATCCTCGAAGGCCTTCGCTGCTGTCTTCAGGAGGCCATGCTTCTCTGAGCCAGCTACTGAGCCCGTCTTGGAAGGAGCATGTAAGGAAGCCTTGAGGAGTAGCAACACACCTCGCGCAAGGTACATGGGCGAGAACGAGGGGTTCAAGCGCGCGACGTCGTTGAGCGAAGACGTTGCCATCTGGAGGTACTGCTCTTTCGTCTTGACCTCTGAGGCCGAAACGCCTTCAGGTACAAGGCGAGGGGCCTCACGGCTCTTGTAGAGATATAGCCAACATAAACAGCATAGCATGCTGACCCTGTCCCTCTGGCCCGTGCTGCTGCCAGAACTGTTAGCCTGGACAGCATTGGAGCCTCGGATCAAGATGTCAATGGCTTGGTCGACGCTGCCCTTCTTGGCGTAGGCCAGGGCGCTGGTCATCCAGAACGTCTTGGCTGCTTGTTCATTCTCGAGAAGCGTGCACAGATCTTCGGGATCGTCGTCGAGGTTCTCTAGACCAATTTCCACACCGGCCAGGTCCTCATCTTGCTCGCCATGTGTTGGGATCAGGAGAGAGTTGGGGATGTCGCGGAACCTCGTGAACTCGGAGTCATCCTGGCCATTGATGCCACCATTGGTGACAGTGCTGTTTTGCGTCGTCGCCATGGCTCAAGATACAATGTTTGGGTCGGCAGAGCGCAGTCGGACAGTGGGTGATGCTGAACTACGTGTCGGTGGGAGACGATGCGCAACTGGCTCTAGGCCGCTGCAACTCGTGATGCGCACTTCTTTCGTCGCTTTCACAGGGACTTGTGCATATTCGATGTTCCGTCGCGTGGAGATTCGGCACAGATGATCGCAAAATTCCGGGTGTGGCGCTGAGCAGCGATGGTAACGCAGACAAAAGTGAAAGCTTCGAATTCTGGCGACAATGCGCCGCGTCGAAAAAGGCCCGTGCGCAGCTGAGCGTAGCCTCCTACCGAAGCAGCGAAGCCTGAGGTAGTTTTTGTGGGGCGCCAATTAACTCACTTCAGATCATCCTTCGAGTCCCTGGACGCGTAACAGCTGTGAGAATATCCAGTCCTGGCCAACACAGCTAAGACTGTGACGTCGAGGGAAACCTTAAGTTAAAGACGTCCTTGGGCCAAGGCAGAACGCAGCGTTCTGAGAAGCTGCATGTCATCGGACACGATGCAATTTACTCAAGTGCTAGCGACGCCCTACTAAGCGTCTCTCGTTGCGAGATTCGAGAATATGCCTTTTCTATATATTATAGAGCAACGGACGTGGAGATTTAAACGTGAGGCATTCTAATATCGCCATTGACGATTAAAGTGAGATGTGAGGCCCTCAAGCGAGCTTCAGGTGAGAGGGAGCTGGCAACATGAAGGTAAATCAGACGAACTGAAGAGTACACTCACCCATCGTCGAGTCTAGCTCTTGAATAGAAAGGCAAACTTTTCTTCTTCACTCCTTTTTCATGAAAAGAATTCCCGAGTCGAGGTCACTTCCACCATGTCGGCCCTCCCAAGACGAAATGACCACTGCGTTGGGTGGCATTGCCTCACTGATGCGCAGAAATTCGGTATCATCTTCACTTGTGTTGTCGTCACGGTTGCTATCATAGTCCTCTGCCTGTTCTACATGGGGCACGCAGCAAGCGAACGCAAAGCCCGCGATATCATCAGGCTACCAGGGGGTCGCCAGGCACGCCGGCGGCCAGGCTTACCGTCGAACACAGCACTCGCGCCTTTGCCAGTAGCACACTACCGGCCGGGCTATGGTCACCAGGTGATATATCAATCGGCCATCTATCAGGAAGAACCTCACCAGTTGCGAGCATATCCATATACCATCGACGGACAGTGCCGTCTACAATATCCAGGCGTGACGATGCCGTGGACAGCCCGGCTCGTCACAAATGATCAACACCAGGCAGACGCCCCCTGCACGCCATATGTGCAGCCGCCACAATCGTATCAGTCATATCCGATGCTTGCAATGCCCAATCATGGACCGCCAGGGCGCCCGCATGCCTCTATGTATCACAGTCAGGATCAGCCTCGAGACCAACACGTGCGACAAAGCCGTCCCTCTCAAGTCCGCAGACCGTCGAATGATGATACCAATGACTACCACCGCTCGTCCTGGAGACAACGCCTCCTGCACCTGCTGAGGCTTCCCGTCGGCCGGGCCTCGACCATTGCCAGTTCAACTACCGCGAGACGAAGCACATTGCGATCGTCTTGCAGCAGCTTAGAGAACGATAGGCACCAAAGACGGCAAAATGCAAGCTGGCAACGTACATCGAACTCCCTACCAGGGTCTGCAGATCGACCGCTTGCGTCTGCATACTTAATGTCTGGCGGAAGAGGAGACCCCGAGACTGACTCCGCAGATACAGGAGTAGCAACTGTTCACAGCGATGATTACGATCCACCTGGTCGGCAGTTTCCAAGCCCATCGTATCGACCTTCTGAGCGAGAGGTAGAGACGAAGATCAAGGAGTACCGTTCAGAGACGCGAATGGTCAGCCCAATGGGTAGTCATGGCGAGACCAACGAAAGCCGAGCTGCTTCGCCCACAATACTTTCGGTGTCGTCTGTCTCGCCTGCAAGAGCATCAGGGTATACGCACCACGCATACAGTGTCCGACCGGGCGGAAGCAGATAAGACAAGACGGAGACACTGAATAGCAAAAGGCATCCTCGCGGAAATGTTGAGCGGGAGGCCGTGCGAAGAGCTATGGCCCAGAGGTAAACACATTGCTTGTATGGCCCAAGAACGATAACTGATCATGAGGCAGACGGTCCAGCACTGACGCGACCCATGAAGCCCACGTACCGGAGATTTCTGTTGCTATGTTCGTGATTGATGTCGTTCAGTCAAGAAGCCAGGCAGAAGTGATAGGGACGAAGAGTCCAGTATTGACCGTCAGAGATACCTAAGGACATGGACGCCGCGCGTTGAGCTTGGCGCAAAGGTTCACGCGCACTCGTCACACTAGGGGACCAACCACCCAGCTCGAAGGGGCTAGCAGTACGAGATTGGCTGGTAACGACTCTGAATAAAGAGTTAGCATTTATTCAGTATTGTACTGATATGGATGCGGTGCTCAGTGTGTGTTACGCAGCCCCCAATGAACAGGGGGATGCCTAGAAGCTAGCGTAGGTGGTCCGAGCGTCCGTCGTCATCAGTGAACGGGACATGGAAGCTCCAATGCGTCGACGTGCGTCCCTCTCCGTAGCTCCACTACTAAGCAACCCAGGTGCTACCATTCCCAGCCTCACCCCGACCTCAGCTACGTGCAATATACCACAGCCGACTGCGCTTTGCACTATCGAATTCAGACTATGGCATCAGATTCGCTCTCTTAAGTGAATCATCATCGCCGAAACTGCACAGACGCTTGGAGCTTCTCACGGCAAGTATGCGCCCCTCCCCCACACCGGCTCAATGCGAAACCGCAACCGGCAGAGCTGGGAACTGATTCCGAGGCCTTAGCCATTTGCCCTCGCCAAACTGCACTGCGAGTGCACGTCCGTGGAACAACTGTACCCGAGAAAAGCGTCTAGAGAGCCATCATGTGGAACGACGAAGACAACAACCCGTACGGCACGAGCTTTGACCGCCGCGATTCGAACGCTTCGTCCTCAGTGAACCCAACCTCACCATCCGGAACACGCGCGTGTGAGTCGCACCTCTGCCGTCGCTCAGATGCCTGAGTGAAGGAACTTGAAGCTGATCCCTAGCGCGACCGCAGTCCGCGACGTTGAGCCCGCGCAAACACCCACTTCTGGTAGCGACGATGAAGGTGCGGAGCCGGCCTTTGGGCCTCGCGGGGACGACATGAACGACGACGACGACGATTCCCCAGCCGAGGAGACTATACCACAGCGAAAGCCCGGCGGCTATGACAGTCGCATCGAGCAGGTTCTCTACGAAAACCCAAAGCTGTCCATCGCCATTACGGACGCTGGCAAGAGTCTCGAGAGTGGAGGTCGATATATCGTCTATACGATCCGCACAGGCGTACGTAGTCGCAGCCGATCGACTGTCTGCCACCGGAACTGACGACTGTATAGGACCTAGAAGTTCGCCGTCGATATTCCGAGTTTGCGACACTGCGCGATGCCCTTACACGGCTTCACCCGACACTCATCATCCCACCTATTCCGGAGAAGCATACAATGGCGGACTATGCTGCCAAACCGACAAGCGCGAAGCAAGACCAACAGATCATCGATCTGCGCAAGCGCATGCTTGCCGTCTTCCTGAATCGCTGTCGACGAATGGACGCCGTGCGCACTGATGGCGTCTGGTGGAGATTCCTCGATCCCAACGCGAGCTGGGTGCGTTCAAATTACCCCAGGATGTGATATTGGCTAATGCGCGTGGCAGAGCGAGGTATTGCACTCGCATCCAGTGTCCTCGATTCCCAAATCTATCCTCAAGGCACCACCGCTGGATACGGCAAACCCGTCGGCTGCCCACAACTACTTGCCAGTCCCCTCGAGCTCGGCGAAGCTCAAGACAACTGGAGGCGCGTCGTATGATTTGGCCGCGTCGGCAGTCCAAGGAGCCCCTGGCGCCGAAGGCAAACACCCACCTGAGCCCAATGCTCTGAGCGAACAAGATCTCGACACTTATTTCATCTCCTACGAGGCGTCCATCAAGGAACTCGAAAGTCTTCTGACGGGACCGATGGAGAAGGTCAATCGTCGATCACTCAGCCACCTCTCGTCCCTCGCAGCCGATCTCTGTGAGCTTGGCTCACGCTTCAATGCCTTTGCTCTCTCTGAGCAGGCCCCTTCGCTGGGTCCGGCTATCGAGCGGGTGGGCCAAGCGGCCGACTTGTCGTACATTGCCACGGAAGAGCTATCTGGGTCACTGGGCGCCAGCTTCGCAGAGCCGATGAGGGAGAGCGCACAGTTCGCTGGTGTCGTGAGAAGTGTGCTGAGATACCGCGCTCTCAAGCGCATCCAGCAAGATCTGACCGCGGAGGAGCTGAACAAGAAAAGAGCGTTGCTGGACCAGCTTGAGAGGAGTGAGGCCGAGGCAAGGCGGATCGAGCAGTACCTCTCGAGCAGTCAGCAGGTTTCGCCGCCACCAAAGCGCTCGACCAGCCTTAAGGAGCCGTCGACGCAACAGCGGCGAGATGGAGAAGACACTGAGTCGATTGACTCGGATTTCAGAGGCGCGACACCCTCTGCCAGCCAAGGTCTCCCCGAGAGGAGCGCCAGCGTAACGCATAGAAAGCTGCCAAGCGGGAACTCTATTACGAATAAGATCTTTGGCCCCATCCGACATGCGGTACAGGGGGTGGTTGACGTGGATCCGGAGCGAACTCGGCGAGACACGATTGGCAAGACTAGGGAATCGATCGGTCAGCTCGAGCAAGCCCAGGTCGCGTCAGAGCGGGACGTCAAGGAGGCGAGCGCCAGCGTCTTACGTGATTTGAAGAGGTTTCAGCATGAGAAAGAGGATGATTTGCGGAGATACATGGTGAGTTGCTCTCTTATCTCGTATTGCAGCACAAGCTAACATGTCTCGACAGCTTGCGTATGCACGCAGTCAAATTGAATGGGCAAAGAAGAGCAAGCAGCAGTGGGAGGAAGCACGAGCAGAGGTCGACAAGATAGACGAGAGCTAGTCTCGGTCTAGCTGGCTTCGATTGTCACGACGCTGACGGCGTTTTTAGTCTCATACCTTGTTCTATTAGTAGAAATGGAAACTGGGCTGCTCATGACCCGTATGAAATATCAATATCTTTTGTAAAAACCTCCTTGATGATCAGAAAGCCTCTGTAGGGTGTCATAGCTGGGGTAATTTAAGTCGCGTTTACATATCATCCTTCGAGTCTATCTCTTGACGTTCACGTATTCCAATCTCTGCTCTGAGCGTACTGGCGACCACTCCATTGAGGAGAGGCTCGCACTGAACACCCCGAGGGCGAAGACTGAGAAGATTTTCATTAATTAATACAAGAACATCAATAATCAGAACATGGGAAATGCATGTTGTCTGTCATTTTTATCATGGCCAGTCTCCCAACAACTACCCCGCTTTTTACGCTAACTGGTCTCCATGGCCTTTGATGGCGACTCTGTTAGTGACTAAGCTAACTGGACGGCGAATTCTGGCGAATTCTCACCTTCACTATCCTCATCCGCTCACCATGAGGACGGTCGACTCATCTCATGCCGCTCCCACCGTGACGAATATTGAATCACATCTGATGCCCATGGGAGGCGAATTCCGATTCCACGAACCTCATGTCGACCAAAACGGAACGTGTCTTCTTGAAACTTCGTTGGTCTGACAAACTGGGCTTGGTGCGACAAGGAATCTTGTCTGACAAGTGCGAGAGATAGCCACCATCACTCCCTAGAGTTTAGAACCAAGTATTGCAACACACGGACACCGCGCTTTTCTCACGCGAGAAACCTCAACATAGAGGCAGAGCAAATACAATGGATCATAATCAGCTGCCGCCTGGGGCAGAAGGGCCCTTGCGGACGATAGAGGAGCCAGGTATCAAAGCCGACGGGGATTTGCTGCAGACGCTGCGCAGGGAGGTTGCCGAATTGCTTGGTCGCAACGCACTCGGGTTCCCAGGGGCGCAGCCCGTGAGCTTCGGGGCGCGGCATATAGAGGAGCTTTCAAAGCAAGAGTATGTCCTTTTCCCACCGCGCAGAGACGAGGCTGGATGGCATTGATGCTAATGAACCGTGTTCAGCTACTATGTTTGCGAAAAGTCTGATGGCATTCGATATCTCCTCTACCTCACACATGACGGTGCAGGCAACGGCGCGAACTACTTCATCGACAGGAAGAACGACTTTTGGTTCATACCAAACCAGTATCTTCGCTTCCCTCTGAGCGAGAATCCCACTGGCTTTCACCAAGATTCCATTCTCGATGGGGAGTTGGTGATCGATACCTTACCAGACGGTCGCCAAGAGCCTCGCTATCTAGTCTTTGACTGCCTCATCATTGACAAGAAGCTTCTCGTCGAGCGCACCCTTGACAAGCGGATTGCCTACGTCAAGCAAAACATTTACGATCCCTACAAAAAGGCCCTCGCCTCGCGACCGGACATGCGTCCGCTGCAGCCGTTCATCCTGCAGATGAAGGATTTCCAGTTCTCCTACGCCATCGACATGCTGTTCGCCACTGTGCTGCCGAACCTGCCCCATGGGAATGACGGGCTGATCTTCACATGCCGGAACACTTCATACAAGCATGGCACGGACGAGCACATTCTGAAGTGGAAACCGCCCGAGGAAAACACCCTCGACTGCCGAATAAAGCTTCACTTTCCCACCGTGGAGCCCACCGCGGATGAGATGGCCGAGGGCATCACTGAGCCCTTTGTCGACTATGACTCCGTGCCCTCCGCAGACCTGCTCGTCTTTGCGGGCCGCGAGCGAGGCGCGGATCAGTATGATTACTTTAACCCGCTGTACATCACTGAGGAGGAATGGGACACACTCAAGTCGCTCGGGGATCCGCTCGACGACCGTATCGTGGAGTGCAACTTGGACGACCAGGGCCGCTGGCGGATCGTTCGATTGCGCGATGACAAGAAGGAGGCGAACCATCGAAGTACGATGGCTAGCGTGCTCAGCAGTATACACGATCGCGTGACGGATAAGGATCTGCAAAAGGCGGCGCCGGAGTGGAAAGTGCAGTACAAGGCACGCGCGGAGGAGGCGAAGAGAGCCGCCAAGAGGTGATTCCATGTTTCTCCGGCGTTGGAGTAGGCATGGCGTTCATTCAGGGCGCTCGCTGTGTGGACCAGTGAACAAACATGGGATACACTTTTATCTAGGTCATTCGCAATATTTGGACATGTTGATGTGATTGTGACTCCTAAGATTCACTCCAAATGATCTTACCAAACAGTCCTTTTCGCACGCAAGTTTCCCTATATGGTTCGTTGCAATGTATCAACACTTGTCTCCCTCCTTCTTACGGTGACCAGCCCCTTTATCCATGCGGCATCGAAAGTACAATATACCTTGCCGAGTACCATCATGGCACAGGCTGGGGGCCCGCGCGGCATCCATTACAGCATGTACATGACGGCGGCAGCAAGCATCAGCGCACCGCCGACATTGTTGAAAGCCTTGCCCTGCCCAGTGCCGGAGCCAAGGCCCGGCGAGATCGTGGAGACAGGAACATTGGTCATTGCCTCCGAGGGTATGACAATGACAGTGGCGTTGGTAGGATAGAGAGGCCCGTCTGTGACGATTGCGCCATCGCCCTTGGCCGCCGAGGTGTTCTGAGGCTCATTAGGGGGCAGGAGTGGAGAGAACAAGTCAGACACCGTGATAGTGGTGAAGATGGAGATGGGCGTGACGGTCGTGGTCATGGTCATGGGCCCGGCGGAGACGGTCACGTCGGGGTAGCCGGTGATCTCTGTTTGGAAGTCCGTGACAGTCGAGGGGTCGCCAGAGACAGTGGCATCACAGGGATCAGACGTGTGGGCAGTCTGCATGTTGATGTCCGTGACAGTGGAAGCGTCACCGGACACAGTCTGGTCCGCGCTTGGCAGAGTAGGCCACAGTGTCACTGTGATCACGTTGGTCCTCGTCTGCGTTTGGGTGACTACCTCAACAGCGCAGGCATCCTCTTCCATGGAGGACGAGGTAGTCGAGGGCTCAGGCATGCTGATGGAATAGAAGGTCTCGAGCTGCGTCTGAGTACTGCGTGTTGTCAGTGTCCATTGACAGTGTCTACCGACTGGGTGGACTCACGAGATTGGGACCATGATGCCTCCATCGATCAGAGTCGAGGTGACGTCGGACTCTGGCTCATCACGAGCAATCAGGGGTTCGAAGCGGTCATTGGCAGAACCCTCGAGGACCATAGACTCAGCAAGCGCCACTGTTCATCTGTTAGAATTGGACTCAAGTGCAAGTTCAATGTTTGACGCACAGCAAGGTAGGCTGCGGCAGAGCAGGGAGCCACCGACGGCACAGACAAAGGTTACGATGAGCATGGAGAACGCCATGCTGCAGCTCTTGGTGCTCGCAATGGTGCGTCGAGTTGCGCCGGCCTTTAGCTCGACATGGTCGTGGCCTCGCATGGATGACACTTGATCGACGCTTAGCATTGAAAGAGCGTGTGGCTTATAGTAAGACAGACATACTTTTGACCGTGTTCAAGTATGAAACAGCGTCTTTTTGAGAATGAAAGTTGGCTGTTGGGCACCCGTCAGAATCCGTTGACATTGAGTTGGGTGATGGCACGCGTCGCTGGGGAGGCAGATCGTGATTCACACGCGAAGCATGATATTGCACGTCTGGATCTGGAAACCACCAAAGGGAAAATGGCTACTTACAAAGCTGAAGAGCCCGTTGAAGATTTAATAGAAGCTCTGGTGAACACTGGTGCTGCGAACGAGCGGAAGTGGTGATGCAGAATGCCTGGAAGCGAGCGTAGAGGAGTGAGTGATGAGGAGAAAGAAGGAGAAGGGGAGGTGAGCAGCAAAATGCGAGTGATAAATAAAACGTTCGTCTGTTCTTTGGCTACGTAGTTTGCGTGATCCATCGCGTCGCGGTGGTTGATTGCCTGAGCTTGAGGGTCTCGTCGCCTGAGGATCACTTCAGACGGGCCACGACAGGGCAAGAAAGCGGCTGTTGACGTTGGACAGGCGCCTAAGAAGGCACTGGAGTCACTGTTGATGCGCTGTGATCTTTGGCTTTCGTTTATTTGTCAAGTCTCACTGGCCGCTCAGTTTTTTCTCAGTAGCATCCTAAAGACTGGCCGAGAGAGCAGCATCCGCTTTGAACTTTGTGGGGAACTAGAACTTGATCACACTCTCACAATGTCACAAGAGAATTAATAGGTTGAATCAAAAGATTGGCTTCGCGCTTTGTCTCGTCGTTTGTCTCAGAGGTGAGCCAGACCACTTCGTGTGACATGACCAAGATCATCAGGGGGGAATCACAACGTGAGGCACGCAAACAGCTCCCATAGCTTGTGTACCCTTTCAGAGGCAGAAAGACAGACACATTCACTGCTGGTCATGAGCTTGTATAGGTGCAGACACAATGCACGGAACTACTCTGCGGAGTCCATGTAGTACATAAAGCGCTGTAGTGTTGCTACAAGATGGACTGGCTAGACTAGTAGGGGACAACGGTGCGGGTTCCTAGCGAAGCCCTCGCAAGTTGCGGCACGTGGCAGCTTGCTCGACTGCTTCTAACCATAGAAGTACTCGGTGTCCCAGGCAGTGATGTCTGTCACGCAACGAAGGAACTTCTCGCCATAGTTGGCGTCGCCGGGGCCACACATGCAAGGGCCAAAGTCGTCGTCCGACTCAAGGAAGCACTGGCCCAGAAGGGGGCCTCCGTCGGCAGGAGTCATCATGTAGTCTTCCCACTCTGCAACGTTGTTAGATACTGCCCTGCCAACATCAAGGGGCGGTGGCCGAGATACTCACTGTAGAGTGTAAAGTGGATGTCGTTGAGGTGGACCTCAACCTCGTCGGGCTCGCCCTACCAAGGAGTGTCGTGTCAGCTGCGTCCGGTCGTTACGGAACATGGAGCCTGTCGATGGCTTGGCTCTCAAGACTTACTCCAGAACAACCGTCGCATCGGATCCCCTCGCGGCTGCCGCTCGCATCATCGACCGAGGGGATAAAGTAAGTGCTGCAAACGTTGTTGCAGTTGGGTTCGCCAGGGAAGAGTCTGTAACCGGTCTTTTGATGGAAAGAATCAAGTATCAGTATCATTTACGTGAGTCAGTGATTCAGCGACAGGATGGAACGCACCCAGCTGTTGTAGCCGCCAACACCCGAGTACGAGTCGGCTCCGTAGATGAGAAAGTCGGCCGCGGCGAGCTTGCCAAGGAAGGCAGCAGCGGAGGCGATGGCGGTGTAAGTCTTCATGGTTGACTGGGAGTTTCTTGTCTTTGGTACTGGCGTGGGCTTGGAGTAAGGTATGAAGGCGAGTGATGCTTTGACTCTTGAGTGTCTGTGAGTTCTTGTAGATGCAGATTTTGAGCAGACAACGGACCTCTATTTATACATGTTGCCTTGTCCTTGTTTCCTTCGTGAAATCAAGCAGTATTCGATCTCTCGACAGAGACCTCGATGGACGTGACGTCTATCTCGCACGAAGGAATGCTTCATTGATATCTGTAGCTCACAGCCAAGACATGCTATGATACTACACTCGACATCAGACTCGTCATGCCTAGATGGTAGGATCGCCAAGAGGTTGATCAATCCGAAGCACGGCCATTTCATACTGGGGACCAATGGAGGAGGCGAGGAGCTCAACGCAGCTTGACTGGGATCGTAATACCGCTGAAGGGTGCCAAGTCAGGCCAGAAGGAGAGCCGCTCTTCTTTGCTCCGCCCGGCGTGGTCCTCTGAAACACTGCGAGATAGTTGTGTGCAGACTCGTTCAAGTCTTCCGAGTCAAACTTCATCGACTGGCCCAGTCTCAAAGACACTTCAATGGTTGTACTCTGTACTGCACAAACCGACCATTTGTTTATGCCGAGACGGTGCTTCATGGACGAATCAACGTGTCACACTTGCGCACATACAGATAGGTACTAGAGATGGAAACAGGAAGGTAAGTGGTCACCCTGCCTCGGGAGGCATATCTCGTCGGTCCCGATGCACGATGTAGCTCCCGGCCCCCGGGTGTCGGCCCAAGAAGGTCTGCCGAGCATGACGCTTCCGAGATGAAAGGAAGACAGACGCGGGGCGTGTGGAGTCGGGAGTCGGTTACGACGTTCAATGCAGTCTAGTCTAGTACTTGGCAGTGGAAGAGTGTAAGTACTCCCGATGACTTGCTCGATCCGAGTGTATGCGCCGGAATAGACTGTGAGGTCACTGAGGTGCGGGAACCCGAACCAGCCAGCTCCTCAGGCGCATCTCTGTTCCTGGTCTGAGTGGACTAGTATCTGAGTAGATAGACGCAGTGTTGGATTCAAGGGAATGAACATGCTCGCCGTTTGGAAAAGAGCTTGACAAAGCTACCTGTAATATGCGAATCTGGGACGCACTGCTTTGGAAACATGAGTGTAGATTGCCAGCGTCATCAGACAGGGAGATTCGGGACGCCCCTGCCACAAACTCATGGGACTGACATGCGATTTATCCTGTCTTTGCACCCGAAAATACTTAATCAAAGCGGCATCGGCCGATAGCTTCTGCTCTGTGGCGGAGGAGCTGTTCTTTACAGGGTAGGCTTGGCAGCCCGGCATGTAACAACGTTACGTACCTCAAGACTCACTCCAATGGCGAGTCTCACCAGTCGAATAGGTAGGCAGGGACACTAAGAGTCTAGCTGTCTTTGGGTTCGATACAGAGCCCCATTGGTGATTGATTGACAGTGGCTCTGGTCTGGTGTCGCGGTGCATCGGTGTACTGTCCGAGAGGCGGGTGATGGAGAAAGCAAAGTGAGTGCAGTCAGTTGAAAGTAACTAGGGGCAGAATACTAGGTACCGGGTAAGCTAGTAGACCAACACTGCTGATGCGCGCCTCGACTGGAGCTCCTGTCGCGTCGCGTAACTATTATAGCATCACTTGATCTACCATTGCCAGCTTGGTCACCTCTGCCTAATAACCTGCTCGCCAAAGGCAACATTCCTCGCAATTCCTCAGTCAGCATTGGAGTCGCATTGAACGCCCATATTTGTTGCTCAGTTCCAGTGTACGAGGCCAGCCGCCTCTCGTCGCCCCCGGAGTACGTTCGAGCTCTCCACGCGTTGACCCTTCGCCCCGCCACTTGGTTGATCCAACCGCAACCTCGACCTCAACCGCGCCGCGGCCGCGACCAAAACCGTGATCTGCATCATCGGTATCCGCGCATCTTAGCAAAGTAAAGCGCACAGAGCCGGCGACGATGGCGCCGGGTCGTCGAACGCGAAACAAAAAGGCCCCAGAGCCAGTCGTGGAATCGCCCCCACAGCAAGAGGAAGATCAGGATTCATCAGAGTTGGAAGAGATCGCCTCCCCAGAACCCGAAAATGCGGACAGCGATGAAGACGCCCCATCTCTCAAGTTCGACGAGGAGCTCACATGGCGGCCCGCGAGGCCGATTGCAGTGGGAACCCTCATAAGTCGGCTGGAAAAGTTGTCGGAGGAGCTGGCCGATTACGACCAGGAAGGAGTCAACCTCGATTCACTGAGCGAAGTCTCCGCTGCATTGGCGCACCGGAACCTATTACAACACAAGGATAAGGGAGTCAGAGCATACACAGCGTGCTGTCTGGTGGACATCCTACGCCTCCATGTCCCAGAAGCCCCTTTTACAGCGGATCAACTCAAATTGATATTTACACTCTTCATCGGCAGCATTATCCCTGCGCTGTTCGACCCGAAAAACCCCTGGAAGACGCAGAACAAGCATGTGCTGACGTCCTTGACCGAAGTCAAGAGTCTTCTCTTGCTAAACGAAGTGCCGGGTGGCGATGACTTGACGGTACGGCTCTTCAACACAACATTCGATGGTGTCGAGAACAGCGCAAAGGCGAAAGCCGGTGAGCAGCTGCCCAAGGATGTCGTCACACATTTGACGGAGGCGCTCATTCTGCTCATCGATGAGGCCCCAGGCAGTGTTCCTCCGGCCATGATTGATTCCGTCTTGACGCAGTTCCTCCGAGCCCTTCCACCTGGCGGCTCTCGAAATAGAGAGCACAGCCAGAACCAGGCTACGCTACTGCCGAAATCCGAGCCACCTGCCTACACGATTGCCAAAAACATCTGCAATGGCTGCCCTGACAAGTTGGCTCGATACGTCAGTCAATATTTCGGCGACGTTATCCTGAGCGCCTCTCGATTCGCGACGGCACCAAACGGCCACAAACACGACGGCGATTCGGACGATGGCGAGCCTGCAGGAGATTCGGGCCCTTCAGACGACGACATCAAGAACCTGGAACGCGCACACATCCTGATTCGTGAACTGTGGCGTGCAGCGCCTTCCATCCTGTCAAACGTCGTGCAGCAGGTCGAGGCTGAGCTGAGCGCCGACAATCTGCACCTGCGGCAGGTCGCGACAGAAACCATCGGCGACATGATTGCAGGCGTTGGTGCTGCTGGACTCCACCCTTCACCCATACGGGACGCGGCAGTGTATCCTCCTGTGCGCTTGATGGATGAACCTACTACAACATATGCGCCGAACGCGTTGACCACTCCCCAGTCACCATTCTCATTCATCCAGACGCACCACAGCGCCTACCGCAGCTTTGTGGGTAGACGCTTTGACAAAAGTGCCAGCATCCGAGCCATCTGGGTTACGGCCGTGGGGCGCATCCTGTCGACCTCGGCAGGCGGTCTAGGCCTCAACCCCGTCGAAGAGAAGGAGCTTCTTCAGACCCTGCATGCCAAGCTCTCCGACAGCGAGGAAAAGGTCCGTCTAGCCGCTGTCAAAGCCGTCGAGCTCCTCGGATTCAGAGACATTGTCCTTAAACTAGGAGCGTTCGGCGGCGTCGATGGTGACGAAACCTCCATCCTGGCGACGCTGGCCGATAGGATACGTGACAAAAAGGTCGCAGTTCGTGTCGAAGCCACCATTCTCCTGGCAAAGCTCTGGGCGGTGGGCGCTGGCGAAATTGCGGATGGTCAGGAAGCCGTGACCGCATGCCTCGAAGGGGTTCCGAACAAGATTATCAGTGCTTTCTACGCGAATGACTTGGAAGTCAACTTGCTCCTAGACCGGGTTCTGTTCGAGTGTCTGATCCCTCTCAAGTACCCACAAGTGAAGAACAAGCATGGGTCTTCGGCATCCTCCGACAAGAAGGCGGCTCTTCTGACCACCGAGCAAGATGCACTGCGCGCTGAGAGGATCCTGCTCATGCTCAAGTCGCTCAATCCGAGTTCGATGAAAGCATTTTGGGCAATGCAAGTACGGCAGACCCAATTTGCGGTGGCTGTGGCGGCGTATATCAAGCACTGCGAGGCATACAATGGCGGTGTGTCCGAAGGGGATGCAAGCAACGTCAAGAAGCTCCTGGGCCAGGCTATTGACTGGATGGCTCAGCAGTTCCCGGACGCGGTCAAGGTTCGTGGCGACTTGCAAAAGTTTGCGAAAATGAACGACAGGCGGGCGTATCAGCTGCTCAAGTTTGCGGTAGAGTCGGAAAGCGACTTTCAGAAAGTCAGACGCTCCATACATGAGCTCATATCGAAGATTCAGGGGGGGTCGGCGGGAACCATTGCAGAGACGCTGCTTGCCATCCTATATCGCGCAAGCTCGCTCATGTTCAACCGGAGTCACCTCACCACAATCATGGACACTTCAAAGGACGAGAACAACAAACTGGCGGCCACAGCACACGCCGTGCTCAATGAGCTATCGGCGCGCAACCCAGCACTTTTCAAGGCCCATTCGGCCGAATTGCGCACGTCCATCGTCGACCAAGCGCCGTCCGCTACAAAGTCCAACGACCCCGGAGTCATGGACATGCTCAAAGCATACTCCTCCTACGCGAAGCAGTACCCCGAAGAAGTCGAGGTGGACAAGGCATTCACTCAAACCCTGATGAACTACGCTCTTTATGGGCGGCCACACAAATCTGCCAAGTATGCGGTCAACCTGATTTTGAGCAAAGATGACGACAAGGGCCGGGTCACAGCAACAAATTTGGTCAAGAAAGCGGCGAAAGGCCTCGAGTTTGGCACGCCCAATTTCCTCAACAAGCTACAAACTCTGTGTCACTTGCAGCGCTTGGTGCCAGAGGTCACGGCGGACGAGGATGAGAATATCGACAGAGTGGCAGTCAAGGACGTTCTTCGCCAAGTGAGAAAGCCTGCAGAAGAGGATGATGCAAGCTGGGTTAACGACCCCGACATGGATGAAGAAATACAAGCGAAGTCTCTCGCATTGAAACTCCTGGTCAACCGGGCCCTGGCAACCGCCGATGACGACAGTGCAGAAACGAGGGGAAAAGCTCTGCTCAAGCTCCTCATGGTCTTTGTAGTGGAAGAGGGCGAGTTCTGCAAATCGAAAAACACACCACTCCACCACAAGAAGCGCCTTCGCCTGCTTGCCGGCCAGTGCATACTCAAAATGTGCAGGGTCAAGAAATACGACGACCAGCTAGATCCCGCCAATTTCAACAAGCTCGCCGAGCTTGTACAAGACAGTGAGCTGCAAGTGAGGCGACGCTTCATGGAAAAACTACAGAAGCATCTCCAGGCTGACAGCTTGCGACCTCGCTTCTATACGATGCTGTTCATTGCGGCTTTTGAGCCCGTGTCCGAAGTCAGAATCAAAGTCGAAACGTGGCTTCGGGCTCGAGCTCTATACTACGCCGATAACAAGAGGACTGTCATGGAGGCCATGATTGGGAGGCTGATCCCTCTCTTGGCGCATCATCCCGACTACAGCCCTGCATTGGAGGATCTCCTCGACTTTTCAAAGTACATCATCTTCTACTTGGACACGGTCGCCCGTGAGGACAACATCTCGCACATTTACAAATATGCCGAGCGGGTCAAGCAGACTCGAGACATTCTCAGTCCTGATGATAGCGATAGCCTGTATACAATCAGCGATCTAGCACAGACATTGATTCGCAAGTTTCAGGAAAGACGCAACTGGAGCTTCCAAGCATGGCCGGACAAGGTTGGTCTGCCAGCAGGCCTTTACGTGCCTTTGCCGTCGAGCGAAGTCGCACACGAAATCGCCACGAAGCAATATGTTCCCGAGGAACTTGACGAGAGGCTCGATGACTTGTTGAAGTCTCTCGAGCGGAAGAAGGTTTGTCCAAGAATCATTGGCATGGCATGTGCGTACTCACGCTAACTGTTCCCAGAAACGCAAGTCAGCTACAGACTCGTCGGATCGGCCCAGTGGCAAGAAGGCAAAGAGCCAGATCAGCACTGTGATCCGCGAAAAGTCAAGCACAAAGGCCAAACCCAAGTCGTCGTCATCCAAGCCCAAGAGGAAGAGGACGACAAGCACGACCCCATCGAAAGCAGAGAAGCCAACGATCCCTCTGTCGGAGCGAAGGCGCAGTGGGCGTGCCGCTGCGCCAACAACCAGTTACAAAGAGGCTGACGAGGAGGACGACGACGCTGAGATGGAAGATGGATCAGCCGCTGGGTCAGACGAGGAGTCTGGGTCAGGCTCTGATGCGGAGGAGTCTGGCTTGGATTGAGGCAACCGAAAAGTATAGTCGTATGCACGCTAGGAACCCTCCCTTCAAGGTACGTACATAGCATCCATCATCGGCATGTGGGAGCAGTGATGGCTGCGTTGGATGACGATGTACTTTTTGTGTCTTGTTTTGGTTTTGAAAATACCCAAACATTTTGTGAATTTCGCAATGGTTTTTCCTGTCTCCTCGGACCTGCACAAGCTCACAGGCTCCGATGGATGAAAGAAATAGCAATGAACATATCTTCTTGTCCAGCTACGAAGCCGCCTCTATGCATGAAGTCTCGCGGTATACAAAAACACTTGGGAAAAAGAGAAAAAAAGCCAACTCGTAGCAAGTCAACACCCCAGCTAGCCACCGAAAACTCCTATAAGGAAATCCTGATATATACCTAGAGCCGGAACAGCCGCATACGTATCCATCCAATGGCGCGCCCCTTGCCGCCAAACGCACCTTTTTGTCATTGCAATTTACTTGACCCGTGGGCAGCGGAGAAGAAACTATCCCTCTATGCGTTGTTTGACCAGAGCTCTGTGGCTCGAAAACTTCAGATGCGCCTCGAACTTCTGCGCCGTCTGGTCCGGACCAGGCGTGTACAGCTTGCTCGGACAGTCCTTGCAACGGATGCGGGGAAGCCAGGCATACTTGACGCCTGGAGGGTGCGGTCCTGCCGGCAGAGGCACCTCGGTTATGGGATCTAGGTAGGAGTACTTCATGACAGCTTCAAAGAGGTCGTCTGGATAATCCTTTTGGAGGTCCTTTAGAGCTTTGACGAGCCACTCTGGCGGTGGCGGCTGGAGTGGTCTTGTCAGCATGCGTCGTTGCCGCGCGATACGTCACAGATGTCAGAACTTACCGCTGGTGGTTGAGGCTGGCCTTGCGCCACGGGCGGAGCGGGAATGCGGCCAATCTGACCTTGCGGGAAAGAGTACGCTGGCGTCGACGGTTGAGGCGTCGCCGAGGTGGGTGTTGAGGGTGGCGGCATGGATCTCGAGTTGCTCGACGTGCTGGGCGCTCTCGTATGCATCGGGGGCGGGACAGGTGTCTGGTGTTCTGACGGCGCCTTCAAGTCACGATAGTCGCCGCGCAGGACGCGCTGAAACCTCGGCCGGTTGTTGAACTTGACCGTGACCCACAAGTGTGCTGGCTCCTCCGTCTCCTCCCTGAAGCGGCGTGAGGTACGCGTCTCGTGATGGTGCGCAATGCTCCCGGCGTCCGGTGTTTCGGAACGACCCAGGTTGGCCATCCGCTGGGCGGCTGCAGAAGCAGCGCCGCGCATACCTCTGGTACGAGCCGTGCCCTGCGCCAGGAACGATGTCGGTGCTGGCGATTCAGGTGCCGAGTCGTCGCTTTCTTCCGAATCGGATATCTCTCCATCACGTGGATATCGTTTCTTTGTCCGTGCCGCTGACTTGTACAATCTGCTCTCCTCAACATTGGGGGCGCCGCCGGGTAATGTCTGCGAAACAACCATGGTGCGAATAGTCCTTTGTCTCTCCTTAAGATCTGGCAGTTGAGGGCCGCCTCGCCGGTTGATAGAGCGCTTTTGGCGCCTCTGTTCGCGGGAGAGAATCGTCTCGTTTCGGTCCAGGTCGGCGTCGGTAAGTTCGTAAAGGTACGGTGCATAGTCTTTGGCTTGTTGCATTGGGCGGAATATCTGTGGTAAAGGCGTTTGGAGGAAAGCGTTGACCAGGTCCGGATCTTCCACAGGCCTCCCATCAAAGGGATGCCCTACACTGTAGAGGCTCCGTACAAACAATTGGGATTGCTCGTGGATGCAGTGCGCAATGGCTGTGGTGAACTCACCACTCAGGGCGAGATCTCGGGTCATGGCAGCAGCGAATTCCTCTGGCGAGTTATGGGGGTTGTTGATGTCCCATTCAAATTGGTCCACGAGGGTATGCTGGCCGATCGTGATGTTCAGCTTGATGAGTATGCGCATCTCATCATTCTTGTAGGCCGAATACGGTAACTCCGGGTCAAGGGCGTCCTCCTCCGAGTACACAAGGGGGTAGAAGTCGTTGAGCTGCTCACGCATTTGCTGGACAACCTGCTCATAGACTGGTTGGAGCGCCGGCGGTTTGAGGCCCATGTCTTCCACCAACTGCGACGCAAACAGCTCCACGTGGATCAATCGGTCGTGCAGATTCCAGGTAAAGGTGTCTCGTAATCGCACCTTGTCCCACTCCACCTCCAACCGTATCGGAACAAGCTCCTCATGCTGCTCGGCCTGCTTCAGCATGTCCTTGCGCTTGTATTTTAGGGCTGGCGTCTGCTTCGCGCCACCTTTGCGGGGCTTCTGGCTTGGGTAGACAATTCTCGGATGCTGAAATTCGGTGTAGCCGTTGCCGTAGCCATTGTAGCCTTCTCCGAAAAGTTTTGCTGGCGGGAAGTAGGGTCGGTATTCGGTGCGAAGTGCTTTGTAGTCTTGTACGGTCAAGCGCAAATCATTCATGTATTCCTTGGTCTTCTCCAAATGATCGCTCAGTGCAGCAGCTGCCAGCTGATCACGTTGCGTGTAGCGCTCGATCATCAACTCGTTGAGCGACTCCTTGGTACGGACTGGTATCCCTATCTGCTTCGCTTCGTCTGGCGAGGATGATGAGGCCGCTTTCTGACTTCCACTGTCCTCGCCCAGCGATGCCTCGCCAGCTGCCTTGATGGGCTCTTCGGCCATTCTGCCGTGATCTTCGTGCCTGCCGGGATCGCGTTGCGACGTGGCTTGGTTGATGTCGAGACTTGGCTGATCACCTCGGTCGCGCGTCCTCGCCGCGACGGGTTAGCGCTTCGTGCGCAACAGTCAATGGGCGCGCTGAAGGGGTGTTTGCAATTATCGAGAGTCAGTACACGGCGTGAGTCCTCGGTTCGTGCGTATGGAGGAAATGTGGGTGTTCGGGGTCGTGATGGCTTGGCTGGATGCGGCTGTCGTGTTGCGCTTCGCGACTTTGATGCAGTCTGCTGCCGCTGAAGGAGAAGGAATACAAATCTGATAGTGCGGATGTAGGTCTACCTCACCCAAGCGGCTTTTGCTGCCGTAGATCGAGTAGCTGGACAGCCTGGTAATCTGGCCAATGAAAGCGTGTCAATATCTCCTAGTAATATGGGTCGTTCATTCGGGTTATCTAGAGCTTGTCGTTGGTCTAGGGTAGTTAGAAACATACGGTTCATATGGCCGCATGTGACGATTATGCGCTTTCTAGAGTAGAGGTTGTGACAAGAATCGAAAACTTATGAGTATCCGTTAACGCTGCATTCATACTCACTTCTCGGTTTTTGAGATGAATGACATGCCATTGCATAACTTGTAGTCATGGCCCTCCGTGTGCTGTTAGGTGGACAGGGATAGCTGAGGAAAACAATCGCGAGTGACTGGACTCTCGACCAGAGCTTGTCATCGCCGTGAGCTTAGCACAACCAGAGGTGTTGGTTTTGGGACAACCATCAAAACAGACATACAGAATATTCAGAAGTAGCTGGGCTCTGCCGGACTCAGCTCGCATAATATCTCTGCGCGTCTAAAAAGTGTGTTTTGACATTGCGGCAATGGAAACTCGTCGTCGTTGTGGTACATTTCTGCCCAACACAAGGCCGAGACCAACAACATGCTCTCCAACTGCTTAAAGACTACTTTGAATTTCCCGAGAATCATTGACCGTTGACGATACGCACACGACAATGCAAGCGCAGCAATGACGGCACAAGACAACCCAGGTCAAGGACCGGGTAGTAGCGTGGACCTCAAAAACCGGCCCCTCCACATTGCCTTGAGCCAGAGCTCCAGTCGAGTCCATTTTCGTCACTTCATTGCTCCCGCCTCATCCTCCCACCCCACAACTCCCTCCTAACCGCGAAAAAAACCCCAGCAGGGACACACGATAGCTCTACAACGTCCCCAATCACACAATCGCCATCATGTCCGAAGCTCAGGAGATTGGTAGGTTTCGCAGACCACAGACAACTTCTGCTTGGAGATTGCTCTGCCCCTCATCGCTGTGCCTGAACTACCCCGCCAAATCCCAACCTACGTACCACGGCTCCAGCGTCATGGACGACCAGCTGGAGAGAGGATGAAGAAGTTTGGGCTGACATTTGTACCTCGCTAGACTACACCCTCAAAAACCCCGATACTCTCACCAAGTACAAGACCGCCGGTCAGATCTCCGAGAAGGTCCTTGCAGAGGTTGCGAAGCTCTGCGTGCCGGGCGCCAAGTTTGCTGAGATCTGCCAAAAGGGCGATGACATTCTCGCAGAGGAGGTCGGCAAGGTCTACCGTGGAAAGAAGGTCACCAAGGGTATGCTTGCTCCACAGGACGGAGAACGGAACGATCTGTACTGACGACGCACGTGCTCAGGCTTTGCGCATCCCACGACTGTGTCCCCCTCGTCATATGTCACACCCTACACTCCCCTAAGCTCGGACGAGGCCGAGGCCGCGCGTGAGATCAAGGAGGGCGAGGCGATCAAGATCCAGCTCGGTGCGCAGATTGACGGCTTTGGCGTCATTGTCTGCGACACTGTGTTCGCGGGCAAAGAAGGGGCGATCACCGGCCGCGAAGCCGACCTGGCCCTCGCCACCCACTACGCTAACGAGCTGCTCCTCCGCTTGATGATTCCTCCCGGCACTCTCGCCCAGGGCACTGATGAGGAGAAGGCCAAGGCGGCCGCGCAAAAGGCTCCCACGCAAAGCAAGATCACGCAGCTGCTGGAGAAGGTGTGCGACGCCTACGAAGTCAAGCTCGTCGAGAGCACGACCTCATGGCTGTTTGACCGCAACGAAATCGAGGGTGCCAAGAAGATTGTGCTGGCCCCTGCCGAGGGCACCAAGGGCGACGGTGTCCCCGAGGCCCCCGAGGTTTGGGGTGTCGAGATGGGCGTGAGCTTGGGGTCGGGCAAGGTTAAGAAGCTCGATGACCGCGCGACGCTGCACCGCCGTACACTCCAGACCTACGGCCTGAAGCGTCCTACCTCGCGCAAGGTCCTGTCCGAGGTTCAGAAGAAGTTTGGTACCTTCCCCTTCTCCCTGCGCCAGCTCGAGGATGAGCGCGATGCCAAGGCCGGCGCCGTCGAGTGCGTGCGCGGCAACGTGTTCCGGCAGTACGAGCTCGTTGGCGACAAGGAGGATGCGCCTGTCGCTCGTCTGTTGACCACTGTCTGTAAGTGAAAACCCGAGCTCATCCCTTTGCGACGGTGTGGAGGCTACAGGACTGACGAAGAACACAGCCATCAGCAAGAACGGTCTGACCAAGCTCGGCGGCCCCGCTTCCTTTGATGAGAGCAAGTACCAGTCTGACAAGAAGATCACCGACGAGGAAGTGCTCAAGATCCTTGAGCAGCCCCTTGCCCGCAACACGGGCAAGAAGAACAAGAAGAAGGCGGCTAAGACGGAGGCTTAGACGGTCAAATGAGGAGCTGGAATATTCACCTGTTTGTGCGTGCTGAGGGAGCTCGAAAGGGTCGATACCAGCTGTTTGAGTCGTCTGCTGAGCTGCTCGACCTGCGGTCAACTAGCTGGCCCGGCTCGAATGCAGAGATGGCACCGCGATGGAAATGCCTCGTTGTGAAGGTGCGTCGGTCTCGCGATCCACAATCGATCCGCGGTCGAAGCGGGGCCGTGAGGACCTCTCAACCCTTTAGCCAGCAGCGAGGACATGAATGAATATTTGACAGACTTTTGATCGCTATGAAAGAAGATTCCAGCCATGCGCGCTGTGATGATCAAGTCATGGCTAGAAACCATTAGCCTCACTGGGCGGCGTGCATAGGTGAGGCGTCAAGAGTCAGGACTGGGCGCTGGTGTGAAGACTGAAAACTTGAGATATTAAGAAAGCTCGCATCATCAATGCGTGCAAGGCCCCGCCGCCCGAGCATCCCAGCCCAAGCACAATGACAAAAGGCAGCATGCCTACGCTTATCCCACCGATACCACGCTCAAAATGCCAATCAAGACCTTCAAGGACCGTCGGTCATCGTTGGCAATGCGGATGGCTGGGGGAGCGCGCGCTAGGGGATAAAGGGGCAGCCAGTATTTTGAGAGCGAGTTAGTCAGCCAAGGCTCAGGTATCTGTGCTATTATCTGCATGACGTGAACGATGACTGAAGCGACCATCATCAGTCATTTGTTGACGGCTAGATGATTGTGACCTTGGCGGACATCTCGATACTTCCCGCCAAAACTTTACCTGTATTCGTGCGGCTCATAGCGTGCACTTTCGCATGTGCCTGCCTGCCTGCCTGTCTGCCTTGTCTTTCAGGAGCATTTGCAACCATCCGTGACTAAAGGGGGTCCGGAGACAGAGACTCGGTCTTGGGGTGGATCAGGAGGTCATGGGACACAAAGTCTGTTTGGAGGCGGTGGGATCTAACTTAGCAGCGTGTGAAGAGCTTGAGGAGTTTCATTTCTGCTGAGGAGGGCCTCGCCGCAGGTGTACATTGTTGGCCATGCGAGGCGAGGCGACTATGACGGTTATCTATTCCTTTGCGCCGTGCTCGATGCGTTGTTGTATGTAGCGGAACGTAGTAAGGTAAGGTAGGCGGCACATGCGCTCCAGCCCGCCCTCCTTATCTGCAAGGTTTCCGACCAAACTCTTGCCAGCCTCACAGCGTGAGGTAGTGGCACGGGGCTTACAGTACGGCGTCGTCTGCCTTGAATTCGGGGCAGTGTCCGTACGCGCATTCATACGATGCACTCAGATGACTGTCAGTCTCATCATGTCGTTGTGTCTCTCTCCTCGCAAGTATCGTGATTCCTCTTGGGTCTCAAATCTCGGACCAGGTCGAGGTGCCGCGAGCTCCGGGACAGAGGAATACATGGCAGCTACAGTGGGCAAGTGCCCTGCAGCGCCCGCCGTACAGGGTACCTGGGGGCGGCTGCTCCAGCGGGCAACGCCTGACATCACCCACTAAGTTACCCGCAGCGTCCAGCTGTCCAGTTCCAGTCCTGGGCGGCCCAGCCAAAACTCTCTTCGCCGCTCCTCCAATTCTCCTCCTTTTTACCCTTTGCTGCCCCCAAGAAGGAGGAACACCGCGTCGAAGCACCCTCCTCCACGCGACGATCCGATTGTCGCGCATGCTGTAGCTCCGTTGAGCGGTACGTTACGAAGCCATCGAGTCACAGCTGCCCGTAGACGCGCCGTTGCTGACTTTTGCGTCTTGCGCGCGACGCCATAGACCCGAAAAGAGCGAGGGTGCTTGTAGCTTCCCCCGACCCAGCAAGGGGGAGACTCTCTGTTTTCGCTTTCGGCATACTTTACCCACCAGAACAACCGATGCTAGAAAACTCGTGTACGACCTGGAAACGGACACCAACCACCAGCTCGGTTCATCATCTCCGTCCGAGGGCGCTTTGTTGATCATTGCGGCGCCCCCTTTTTTTCTCAACGTCCAAGAGATCTTTGAAGGAAAAGAAAGGGAAGGAAGGAGTAGCGGGAGCATCAGTGTCGTGCTGTCGTCATGATCTCGGCCAACTTGAACCGGTCGATGCGCTCACGCTTCTCGAGTCCAGCCCAAGGGTCCGGGTCTCCGCAAGCCAGGGAATCGAGGAATGGAAGCGCAGAGGATTCGTCTACCGCGAGCAAGGGCAACTTGACAACCGAGGGATCTAGGAGTATCATGGACAAGTGGCTGGAACCGGCAGTCCAGAACAAGGCTAGCCACGAGGAGGCTGGGCTGGCCAGGCATGGGGTTCTCGAGGGCATGGTCCCGCTAGGCAGCCTGCCCAAGGCCCGGAAGGCGGAGCCTGGGAGCAGCGGAGGCGTTCGCAGGATCATCCTCAAACACTCAAATAGAGGTGCCAGGGAGGCGTCACGATCACAAGCAAAGGGCTCGCTGGATACGGATATTGAGAGGAAATCTGTCTCCGACTCAGCTCCAGCATCAGCGTCAGCATCCGCATCCGCAGCCGCAACACCAACACGGGCAACCCATGAGGCTGCTGCATCCGATGCAAGGTCAGAGGCCCCATCTGCATCAGAAACATCAACCGCTGCACCGGCGCATTCTCCTGTGGCGAGACCGGCGCTTCCGCCCCTGGTGGAATTTCTGCCGCCCTCCTCGAATCGCGCAACCACGCGCAAGTCGCTCCCCACACGCGATACACCAAAGGAAATAGAGGAAGACGACGAGTACGAGCCCAGAAGCTCGGGCAGACGACGATCCGTCGCGCGTCCAGCTCCCCCTAAGCGAGGCAGACCGCCGACAGCCACGCGCCGAAGCTCCATGCCTTCATCCAAAAATTCACCCGTGAAGCAACTCTCACCCACTCCACCTCCGCTGTCGGCTCAAGCGCCGGCGCGCCTTTCTCAGCGTCCTCCGTCAGCATCCAGCACCAAGATGATCTATCGTGGCACGGAATTTGTCGAGAAAGTCATCGAGGCTGCTGTGGACGAGGCGCTCAGCCACCATCGCTACCCCACCGCATGGGCCCTACGGACGTTTTACGACGACAGATCAGAGGACCCTGGTTTTGTGCGCATGGTCGAAGAGATCTTCAATCAGACAGCCGACGCGAGCACACGCAAATCATTCTTTGAGCAGCTGGCACGCAGGAAACACGATGGGCGCTACAGGAATCAAGGTCGCGATTACTTTGTCCCTCCCGCAGACAACGGTAGCTTTGAGCCTCACCTCCCCAAGAAGGCGCCTTACGCCCATCTCATCCTGCACAATGAGAACGAAGACGCTGATCATTTCGAGCCTCGCGAGGCTCGCGCCCCAAAGCGGGTCAAGGTCACTCAGCGGTGGACCGATATTTCACCTCGCAAAGCATCCTCGACAGGTTCAGGTCTTGCAGATGTAGCAGATTCAGCGGACACGACCGTGCCACTTGAGCAGCAAGCAGCAGCAGCAGCGGCAGTTGGAGCAGCTGAGGCGATGGCAGAGCCAGAGGCGAAAGAGCCAATGCACAGAGCATCCACACCCGCGCAAGCCGAAGTCGCACCAGCGCGGACGCCTGCTCGAACGTCGACGGTCAAGATCAAGACTCCCGGATCACGCAGGCGAGCCAGGAAGACGTCTCATTCGAGCGAGTCTTCGCTTTCGTCCGTGGAGCATCTCCCTTCACCCGAACTTCCGGATGACAGCGCACTGGTGACAACGGCCGCCGAGGAGGACGACGAGGGTGAGGACGAGGTGGCAGCAACGAGCCCCTCGCTGCGAGGAATGGCTCGCAAAGCAGCGGCGAAACCCAGGAAGACGCGAGCCAAGAGGGCGAGCACGGCTGTGGGAGGAGGCATGGCCGACGGGGGGAACTCCACGTCGCCAGCACCTCGGGGAGCTGGCGCGGCCCAGCCAATCAACACGCGCCGCAAAGCACTGGCAGCGTCCAAGCAGCACAAGGAGACTTTTGCCTCTGCCTCCGTCTCTGCCTCAAACTCACCCACCACCACCACCCTCCCCCAGTCACCCACGCAGGACTTTCCTCATCATTTCCCCAACGGTCGTTCATCAGGCGACGGCAATAGCATGCCAGGCCTCGTCGCTTCGAATCCACCTGGTCGAAGCCACGCAAAAGACAAGTCCCACTCCAAGGCGAGCCTCAAGATACACATCCCCCCAGCTGGCAGCCGCGACGACGCCTTTGAGAAGCGCAAGATCGCCAAGCAGGTCACCAACAGCTATCGCGGCCAGGAGAGCGCTGTCCGTGATGCCGACGATGAGCGGGAGATGACGCCTGTGCGGTCCACAAGGAAGACTAGGCAGTCTACCGGTGTCCCACCGTCCAGCGTCGCGGCCAGCGTCACCGCCAGTGCGCGAGCCACGCGCTCTGCAAAGCGAACCTTTCTCGATGAGCTCGACCAGACCGAATGGTCAAGCTCTTTCCCCACGGCCATCAACCTCGATGGGAGAAGTTCAACCGTTGGCTCGCGTGCTGCGACGCCTACCAACCTCAGACCTGCCAAGAAGCAGAAGAGCGGCCTGCGCATCAAGTCATCGTAAGTCAACTTTCATTTCTGTCATCGCCTGCTCGTTTGCTCGATTTCATCACTGCTTGACGGGGTGGGAGGACATGGCATGGATGAGCGACCGACTGGGTGAGGGCAAGCTGAATGCCTGGTCGCTTGCTGGCATTTGCTCGCTTGCGACGATGGTTCCTCTGCTCTGCCTTGTGTCTACTCTCTTGGTTGTTCCTCTTGTCATTTCACAGCATCTTCTCTCATTGCTTCTTGATCGGTGTGCTAACATGCTTGGACACAGCCCACAAAAGAAGAAGGGAGGCACAGCTGCTGGCGTTCCTCGAACGATTGGCGAAGCCCAGGCTGGCGCTTACGGAGCATCTCGTGAACAGGTAAGTCATCGGGTCCGCCCTTCAATTACACCCTGTTCAGAATCGAGGACACTCTCGATTCTACTGATCCCCATTCCATTTCATCTCACGTACAGTCCTATCCCTGCGCGGATGCATGCGACCTTGCAAGTGCATGGAACGCCGGCTGCTAGCGAAGGTAGGCTGGCTGGATGTCTCGGGATCGCGCGCTCATCCGCCTCCCACACATGGCGGCTTGTGGTGAAATTGGCGCACCAACACCGACATGGGCCCCCCTACCCCCAACCACAACGGGTCCACGCCCAGCATCACGAGCAAGCCACACCACGCCAAGCATGCAATGCAGCGCGGTCAGGATCCAGCGCTCCTTGTCCCACGGACCATTCGGGTTCAGGCCCATCGTCTGCAGTTGAAGAAAATGTCGACTAACTTCTGCTGTCCAGGCGGGCGAGAACGATGAGTATTGCTCAGCGTGCGGCAACGCTGGGGAGATGGTTTGCTGCGACGGTTGTCCTCGAGCATTTCACTTTGAATGCGTCGGTATCAACCCCGAGGAATCCCTGCCCGACGAATGGTACTGTAGTGAGTGCCTCGTCAAGGCCAATCCCACCCACGTCAAGGTGCACCGAGGCGCTTTTGGCCCGGCACTGAATCAGCTCGACAAGAGCATTCATCGGGCCTTCGCTCTGCCCAGGCGCATTCAGGAGCGCTTCGATGGTGTCAAGGCTGGCCCTGATGGAGAGTACGAGGAGGTTGTGGTCCCTGCCAAGCCTACCGTGACCACCAGGTAAGGGCATCTTGTGATGAACAGTAGTCTTCGCATCGCATGTCGCTGACTTTGTCCCAGGCGCAAGACCAATGGATACGAAGAGGCCCCGGACTACTACAAGCAGATCGAGTCGGGCGAGCCTGTGCTTTGTCATGACTGTCAACTGCCGGCTTCCGAGGGCAAGCCCATCTTGTCTTGTACCGCCTGCCCGCTGCACTGGCACATGGATTGCATGAATCCGCCATTGGCCGTCCCTCCTCTGCAAAAGACATGGAAATGCCCAGCGCATCTTGATGATGCCCTGCAAGAGAAGCCTCCGCTGGCGCCAGCCCATCGCTGGCGCAAGGTCAAAGGGGCGCCAGTCATCATTCCAGCTCTTTCACGAGGTCTTCGCAACAATGGCCACATTGAGCTTGACTGGGGTTCTGAGCCTGAAGCTGATGCCTATGATCGGTCTGGGTGGACTGATGACCAGTCCGGGTGGAAAGACGTGGCCTCCTTTGGGCGCACGTTCAAGGTTTCAGCCACAGGAGTTCGTCTCGATTTCATTGAGCAGTGAGTTCCAATCTTCCCTTGCGTCACTTCTGTTTACTGACGCCCTCGCAGGCTTCGTATACAAGGAGCTGGCTTTGCCCCTCCGAAGGATCAGCAGCCTGCAGGTCGCCAGCAGCCGTATCTAACTCCTCCTGTCGATGACACCGCTCACTCTCAGCCTAGTGCACGCAGCATCGAAGAAATGCAAGCTTCGCTGGTGTTGAGTAGCCTGAGCACCTCGGAATCGCGGACAGGAATGGAACAGCTTTTATCCGCTCTCGTGGTAAGTCATCATCATGACAAGCAGTGGGAAATGCCCAGCGCTGACGGTGGTACAGACCGAGGCTGACTCAAGCGTGCTGTCCTGTATTGCTGACGCCGATGCCGTGAACATCACGAACAAGAAGCTGCAGCATAAAGACAAGGCCAGCCTCCGTGCTCTTCTGGCGCACATGGAACGTATGGGCTCTCAAATCCGGGCCATGCTGGGTGAGGATGCTACACCCACCCTCCCTTCTCTTCCCGACCAGAGGCGCTCCATGAGCCACGACAAGGACGAAGAATTTCCCGAAATGAAGCATGATTCTCTGGTCACAGAACCCACACCGCCATCAACTATTGATCACGAGGGTGGCATGGATCTGGACTAGAGACCATGTCCCCCACACCAAATTGATCAGCGATCTCACACATGAGCAGTACCACGCACAAGAAAGCGATGCTCGCCGAATCATCAACTACCCATCATACCTATGTAGCAGCGCCTACCATTACAGCCTTTAAGATCACACCCCATCACATGCCCGAATCTCCCAATGAACGGGCTTCTTGCTCGGGCCACCCATTTCTTATCTTTCCCTCTTTCCTTCTTGCTCTCTCAGACCCGACGATACCTTTCGGACATTAGGGGCGTTCAGGCGTTGGTCGCACGACCTGGCACTTTGCTTTTATAGACGAGGAATATACTTCCTCCGGTGGCGTTATCTGGTTCATTTCAACTCTTTGCTATCGTTCGGCTACAAAGGCGGTTTGCCGCCCTGTGCCTCAATGTCACATTACACATCGCAGCGCACAACCGAGCGTATACCCGTACCACATAATACTTTCGCCCCAACCACTGCCGTTTGGCGCACGGCTTGCATGGAATTCGTCAGTTTCGGAGAGCGGATATGAAGGAAGCGGGAGCAGGCTTTCATGGAGAGTGAGACCACGAGGGAAGAAAAACCTTGGTGGCTTCTCCATGACGAGGAGACGGGAATTTGTGTGTTGTACCATATGGACCTGGCCAAAACCAAAGCACCATGATTCGTCTCTCTTGCATCTTTCGTTGTTTGACCTTAAGGTGGTGTGAGTGACTGGAGCAGGGGACGAGGAGAAGTGACCTCTTAGTGCAGAACAGAGATTATGCGTAACAAAAATTGACGCATCCCCATCTGATCCTATTTTTTTGACAGTGCTGATGATAAGGCCGGCCTTACGTAGCATTTATGCTAGTCAAGGAGTATGTTCAGTCACAGACTATGCAGTGGACAATACATGTCCAAACCTCTCTACACATCCTCTGCACAACAGTCACAACATACATATGGACAGAGTATGATCACAAGACATTTCATCCTGCTGGACCCCAAGCTATCCATGAATCCTCCTCTACTATACAAAGTTTTGTCACGCTTGCCACGCCTCGCTACCCGCGCTACAGGATGATGATGCCAATCCTAAAGCCAGGCCTTCTTTTCTTCCCTCTTCCGTGGACATGATACGCATGACCAGAGACATACAATGTGAGACGAATGACAAGTTCCCCTGATCACACGGCCACGTCAGGTCCTCTCCCGTAAGCAATGTTCGAACAGTAAAAATTGAAAACAGTTGAAGCACACGTCAGAAGACCAGCAAGGTAGGCCTCTGCTGTGATAAAGGCGCAGCCAGAGTTGTAGCCCGACTCGGCCAAGTAACAGCAGGAAGTTTCGTTCAGTCGTAAGAGGGCAAGAGCCAAGAGGAAGTGAAAATTCTAACTATAATTCAGTCGTAATGATTTTGCTGAGACCTTTTCGTCTCATCGCTGCACTTGTCGTTAGTCAAAAGAATGAAGGAGAGGGAGAGCTGCTTCAGCGGGCACTGAGGGACGTACCTGGTGCCGTCTGCCGCCCTGGCCCGGCTGGCCATAACCTCCCACATTCGGCATGCCGCCGGTATTGCCGTATCCGTAGCCAGCGCCCATGGACATCCCAAACCCAGGAGGGGGAGTCGCGTAATTGCCGGCTGCCGGACCTTGTGGGATCTGAGGCACAGACTGATTCATAGGACCACCCGGAGACACTGCCATGGGGCCATTGGCGTAGACACCATAGCCGCCGGGTGTCGTTTGATACCCATAGTTCATCGCTGGGCCGCCGCGGCCTAGCATGTTCTGCTGATATGGCATCATGCCTGGGGGTATTCCACCGTTCCCAGTCGACATCATGGACTGATTCATCTGAGAGTAGCCGGCCATTGGCTCGCCCATATCACTGCGCTGAGACCCAAAGCTCCCGTCATAGCTACCGTGTGGGCCTTGTCCACCATAGTACTGACCCTTGCCACCGCCCTGAGCCGCATGATGTCCGTTGGAGTTGGTATGCCTCGAATTGGGACGCTGTCGTTGTTCAGGATGGGCGCTAGAATCCCTACTTCCTGGTCCGGTCCGCGTTGAAAGGCCAACCTCGTCCATAAGACGCTTGTAACCCTGGTTGGGCTGCGCCTTGATGCGAATCAAAGTTGTCTTAATAGACTCGGTACACTGGACGCGATACTCTTCATTAAAGAATGGCGTGGTGAGGACTTTGAAAATGAGGGTCGCCCCATAGTTGGAATCGCGGAGGATAGCTTCGAGAACCGGCTCGTTAAAGAAGATGGCCTCCAGCATGGTGTCGCGAGCTTGAGGCTCGGCCTTTTGGTTGACGACCTTGAGCACGGTCAAGTAAGCCACCTTGTGCGTACAAAGGTGAACCAGATACGGCACTAGGCGGGGAGCTAGAACTGTGCGGCGCTGTGGCAGCGTGCATGTATCGAGATACCACGTGAGGAGAAGGGCACCGTTCTGGTCGGTCGCAAGATGAACACTGTGAATCGCAATTTGGGCCGCCAGCAGTCGCTGCTGATCCTTGGTGGCGTGGTGGCTTTCGAGACAGGCTCGCATAGCACGGGCGCCAAAGCGAGCGGACGACAGTTCCGCCATGCGAGCCATCATCGTTTCAAAGATGAAATCGGTGTACGGAGTGCCAAATTTGAGGCAGCCCTGAACAACGTAGTTGCCGAACTGGTCCAGGAATAAGGGCAAGGTGTAGGGATGGATGTTCTCAGTAATGGTTGCCATTTGGTGCGCAGACTTGCAAACGTCGATAATCTTCTGAGCAGCCCATGTACCGTTTTTGTGACAACCAACAACCGCTAGATGAGGAGCAATCCGGGCCAGCATCTGATCTTTGACATTGTCGGAGCAGTGATCAAACAGCTTCTGAACAACAGTGTTGCCCAAGTAATCAGATGACAGCTCGGCAATCTCGGGAAGCATGTCGATGGCGGCTTCTTCTATCTCGGATACCGTCAGGCTTTGGTTGTCGATGCGCTTGCGAAGCTCTCGCAGCTTGGGCGCATCATGGACCCGAGCTTGAGTCGCCTCCCGCACAGGGGGGATTTCGTCAATGTAGTCGTTGTAGGCCATGGCCTTCTCCAGCACCTCCGAGCTACGTGCAACATCCTCATTGCTGGCTCCAAGACCTTTGATCATTTCGAGAATGTCGTTGGCGATGGTTTGAAGCGCCGGAGGTGTGGGCGCCTCGTCGGATGGGAGAGCAAGCGAGGACGCCTCAGCGGTGGGGCCGGCATTGGCCTGGCTAGCCGTGCGGCCTTGCAACGGGTCTGGGCTGGGGGATGGGTAGACGCCATCATGGCCGGGAGTGGCAGAGGGCGATGGAGGCTTCGCAAAGTTAATACGGACGGGACTGGCCCCGGGGAATATCTCTTTCCCGTTCATGGCAGCCTTGGCCGCAATGGCGCTCTCGACGTTCTCGAAATTGACGAACCCGCAATTTTTGTTTGTCAACACTCTTGCTGACTTTACCGGACCATGTATCTTGAACATCTCGGCCAAAGTTGTGTTTGTCGTAGAGAGAGGAACGTTGCCAAGCCACAGAGCATTGGTCGGACCCTCGAGCCCACCCTCGTTGACGCCGAGTAAGCCATTATTGTGGCTGTTGGAGCGGTGAAGGCTCATGTTGGCGACAGCCTGCGGGAGTTCATTGTGTTCCTCCTGCATTCTCAAGCTGCTACCCCCGAGTGAGGGTATAGTGGGCATCTCGTTGGCAAAGTAGTGGGTCATCAAGTGAGCCCCGGGCCCGTCAAGAACGTTCGTAGTGTGGGCGCGGCGACGAGTGGCGGACCGCTGGTCGTTCAATGCCTGGACCTGTGCGTTGTGATAGCGAATGGCCGCGTTGTTGGCAGCGACTTCCTGCGCTAGCTTGTCGTGCATCTGCGACACGTACTGAGGGCCGTCCATACCCAAAGTATCTGTCTCGTACCCATCCTCCGGGTATTCGTCGGCATGGACATCTTTGTTGTTAACAGAATAAGAGCGGATGCGGTTGGCTTGCTTTAAGAAGTTGAGGCTAGGTTGGGCCATTGTTGCCATAGTCGCCCGTGGAGGCTGTGGTGTTCCGGCGAGTCCAAGATAGTCCAGCGTTCGCATGTGAACGTCAGACTCGTTTCCGCCCTCTCGGGAAAACTGAGACTGTGATGGCGAGCTTGGTCCGTTGGAGGGCACACTGGCGATACTGGCAAGAGTCGAGCCTCTCTCGCGACCTACGTGCGAAGGATTCCAGCTGCTGAAGATTGAAGGCCCAAATGGGGAGGAGCCAGCCGGTACAGGAGCGAACTGGGATCGCTGTGGCATAGACCCTGCGCGCAGTCTAGATAGCAAGGCTGAGCCACCCGATGGCGCGTCGTTCAGTTCGAGCCCTGGTGATGGCGATTTGTTGTAGGGAGTTTGTGATGGTGTGTTGCGCGCTGATTGTGCACCGAGTCCAGGAGGAGCCAAGTGACCAGTTCCAGGACCACCACCTGGAAATCGAGAAGGTACAGTGCCAGCACGTGCTCGCCGAGGTTGCAAAAGGCTTTCCGGAGTAGGGAGATGTCCATAATCTGGGAAGCCATCCGTTGGGGATTCGGGAATGTTCTCACGCAGAGGCGTCGAGTTTCCGCTCGTTGGGGGGCCGCCCCAGGGGTTCAGCGGCATCCCAGAGACACCTTCCTGCGCTTGAATTTCTCGAGCCCTAAGCAGAGGGAAAGAATGTCAGTGTGAGTTCTAGGGTGAGTCCGAGCCAGTCGCGCCAACGACAGCAGCGTGCAGGCCGGTCTGAAGTTTGCTTCTGGTGACACTTACCGCTTCGAAAAGAGCCTGCTCGACCCGCCGAGGTCGTGCGACGGAGAACCAGCTCCAGAGCGCGGGTTCCCTGACATGATGCTGGATGATGATAAACCTCCAACAATTCCGAAAGATGGTCGGGAGCTGCCATTCGGGGGATGCTCGATGGGCGAATTATTGGCTGATGGCGACGTGGACCGCGGCTGACCGGGGGGATGCGAGACGTACCCGAGCGAGTAGTCTCCAGGTCGCGCGCTTGACATTATAGATTAACTAGCCGGTCTCGTGCGACGGCAAGCGTATTGTGTCTTTGCTGAGGTCAATTATTGATATTTGGCGAATGCCGTTGGGCCCGTATCGAACGAGGCTCGTTTATTGTCCGACTCCACACGTGGTGTGCAATTCGAGCGCCTCGAGGCAGGTATATTCGGGCCCTATGACAAATATCAGGCTGTTCGACTGCTGTCCCCTTTGACGAGCTATCGTCGAGTGAAGAGGATGTCACACTGAAGGAAACAACAGCGAATGTCGTTGGGATAGCGACCGACGAAAAGTCTCGGCTCTGTGCCTCTGCCGAAACGTGCCGGTCGTTCAGGACAGATTGGCTGTACACGAGGCTCGTTTATTGTCCCACTCCACACGCGGTATGTACTTCAAAAGTGCCCCGAGGCAGTTATATCAAGGTGTCCAGCTCGTCGCAGGCTGTATCGGGGAGCAGGCTGGCGCAGTCTCGGCAAGTGAAGCTACGAAGCTAGCTGTGGAAAGTGCGGCGGCCGCAGGGTCAGATTGATGCAGGATCTGGCGAGTTCCTGAGGGTGCTGGCCATCGAAGGTCTGCTGGCGTAATGGGCTGGACGATCAGTCGCTCGTTCGCTCGTTCGCTCGGTCTCGTTGTGTCGATTTGCCGGGGCAATGCCAAAGGAAGGGAAATGAACCGGGGAAGAAACGATGAGGCGCAAGCACAAGGAGTTGAATTGTTAATAAACAGGCCTCATTGAATATACTGGACGGCCTGGAGAAGAAGAGGACTGTGGTGGAAGGGGAGTCGGAGGGGAAAAGATGGAGCCGGCGTGGAGGAGGCGGGTGTGGAGGGAAAGTGAGGTCGGTCCTGCTGCGTGAGCTGGGTCGAGCGAAATAGATGTGGGAGAAACGACGTCTGTCGATATTATTATCCCACGAGCAAGCTGGATCCAGTCACGTCTGCCAAGCCAGGCCACTTGAGGCCAGCCAGGCACAGCCTGAGGGCAGGGCAGCAGCAAATGGGGTGGAGGGATGCGCCTGTTGTAACTGCAAACGGAGCCCCAGCCCAGTCGGTCCTCCTCCACCCGAACATACTTGGGTAGAAGTTTGGATAGAAGGAGGCACCTACAATGCCAGGCACTTGATTATTTGGTACTTAATACTCTACCTGACATTCAAAGCTCCAGTCTATTAGATGTCCTGCCAGTGCGACTGGACGCCGACTAAAAAGTAGTACCGTACTCACTCGACAAAGTCGCTAGCGCTAGTGTGTCTGGCTAGGTGATAACCCTGTTGGGAGTGGTGCTAATATTTGCTGTCCCGTCAGGTACGGCACGGGGCCATCCATGGTCGCTGAGGGTAGTAACACTAACAGGTACTACTTGACAGTTTGTATCAGTGCTTCATCGCCTGCCTCTGCTCCTTTCCACCAGTCAACGAGATTTCTAGTAAATTGGTACTAGCTAGTATAATAGGGCTTGCAGACTTGTTCCTACATACTAATTGTACTCACATCGTCCCATATCATGGCGCAAGACGTTTGTGGCCTAAGGAAGATCGGCTGGCAGCATCCGGTGGGGCGCCCGACTGGGGCAAGGAATCCCTTCATCAGCAGCCCTAGGCAACGGATAAGGTAGCGCCTCCAGGCGATATTATTCAATCCGACTTCTTGCGAAAAAACGTAGGAAACCATTATGAAGCCGCCAAGGTAGGGATAGTCGAACCTCCAAGTCCCTAACATGCCAGCTCCTGACTCGGGTCACCACGAGGGCACAACCTGGGGTTCAGGGGCACCATCCAATTCCTCCCTCCCTCACATCCCACCCAACCAACTGGCACGACAAAAGCCTATGCGAACACATATCGTATCATTCGCAGTTCCCAACGCTTGCGCTTGACTCGTTGGAAAGCCCGTACGCGTCACCATTTGCTTGCCGTGACCCGTATTACCCCCCATCGAGAGCAGATTGCTTCATCCCTCGGCAGAAGTAAACCGCTGCCGTCACTTGTGAAGAGTGCCATTGCCCAAGCTTGCTACTCGATTCGCTACAGACAAATGGTTTTCGAAACAAGCCCATCACACTCTTCCCGTCCCCTGCGCGTCGATTTGCACGGCCGCGATGCCAGCCATGTGAGGGATGGCAAGGATCTTGTCACAGACATGCGTACCCCTGATAACAACGTGAAACATGGCAGCGGCCTATTACTGCCTAGCCCGCTCTGTTGAACTGTTCGACTGGGACAGCACAAAATTCGGCCGTTATTGTCTATGAGCCTGCGGTGACTGGGTGAAAAGTATATATTAATTATGTCCAGAGTGTGAAGCAAAACGACTTAATCACATTGACTCCTTTGTCTATTCCCTCTGTATGGGTGATCGCCCGGTATTGCCAGCCTCCGACCACCTGAGTTCATATGCAAGCATCAGTTCTCGAAATAGATAATGCCTGCCAACCAAAGCATACACCAGCGCTTGCTGCTTTCAGAAAATTCGTCATCGCTCCCGCTTCGTTGAGTTGCGCTGCTCATGTCGCGCAACTCGTCCTCATGCCACTTCTACATCAGGCCGAAACCCAGGTAGGATGGATAACTTCAACGCTAACTGCACATTCGGGGCCACATCGCACGCAGGCAGAAGACAAGGCCAGTGATCTGGCGATGTATCTGACACCGGCTCGAACACAGGAATCAAAGGTTGGCAAAAGTCGACGAGCAATGTTCAGAAAGTGCACAAAAAAGTTGCTTATTTCGGGTGCTTCTTGAAAGCCAGCAGATCAGCCAAGCTGTTCAAAGCACAGCCGTGCTTAAGGAAGTCATGCGCGAGGAGCTCGTCCGCCGACGCTCGGCTCTTGATGTCGACACAGAGGCAGACAGAGAGGAACGCCTTGAGCTCCTTGCTCAGCTTTTCTGGTTTCTTGAGCCTAGGCGTGCCGTTGGTAGCAATCAGGTACAGGGCCTTGAGGGGCTCCTCGTTGAGATAAGGGGGCTCTGATTCGATCATCTCAATGGCCATGATGCCCAAAGACCAGATGTCGACCTTGGGTCCGTATTCTTTCTGTTTCACGACTTCAGGCGCCATCCAGTAAGGCGTGCCGACCATTGTGGCTCGCTTGGACTTGGTTTCGGTCAGTTTCGCGCAGAACCCGAAATCAGCTGCAATACAGTTAGTACAAGATCAATCTGTAGGGAATGCCAGCCTCACTGATTTTGACGTTGCCACGAGCATCGAGCAAGACATTATCGCTCTTGATATCTCGGTGAATAATGCTTTGGGAATGAAGGTGGTGCAGCCCAGAGCAAGTCTAAGGGCCTCTGGTTAGCATGCAAAGCCACACGGGTTAGCGGTTACTACATACCTCGTGGCAAATTGTCGAAATCTGATCCTCCGAGATGGAGGGATTGTTGTCAATGACATCGGTCAACGCACCACCCTCCATGTACTCCAAGACCAGCCACAGCTCCGCATTGTTGTTCCGCAGAAACACGTCAATGTAGTTGACAATGTTCCTGTGCCTGCTGTCTTTCATAACCATGATCTCATTCACGATCAACTCCTTGCGGGGCTGGTGCGCGAGGTCCATCTGCTTGATAGCCACTTGGGCCCTGCTACCCTGTTGACGAAGGATTTCGCGAGCGACGCCCTGGGCAGTGTCCTTGATCTTGGCGACGTAGACGGAGCCAGATGCACCCTGGCCAATCTTCTTCTGCTTGGAATACGACATGTTGGGGTCGTCTTTGGACACCGCTTCCTTGAGCTTGGCCATGACCTCGCCCTCGGACATGGTTGACATGCGGACATCCTGCTTGCGCTCGCTCGGCGAAGGCTTGGCGGTCAATGCAGCTTCGGCAGCTTTGATGCCGTCGGCAGGTGGATCCTTGTGACCATGACCGTGACTGGGCTTCGGCGCCACATTGAGTGGTTTCGGCGCAGCCGCTGGCACCCTCTGTGATGCCTGGGAATGTTGTTGAGATGGCTTGTACTGTGGTGCGCCATGCCCGTTCTGGGGGCGCGGAGCTCCTGGAGAGCCCGAGGGCGGGTTGTCGTTGCGAGGTGCTCGGGGTGCCTCCCTGGGGGTTGAGCTGCTGGACTGTGGCTGCATCGGGGGCCGTTGGCCTCCCGAAGTCGAGGGCGCTGGTGGTGCAGGTCGCTGGGCGCGCAGGGAGCCCTGCTGTTGTGCCGATGACTTGGGTGCTGGGGGAGGTGCTCTAGATGGGTTGAACCGCTCGTTCTGTGACGGGCTGGAACTTCCGTAGCCGCCTCCGACTTCTTGTTTGGCTATGGGCACCTTGTGTTTGGGTAGGGAGGCGTTGTAAGCCTCCAGCTCCCGACGCTCCTGTTCTTCTGCTTCCCGACGCTTTTGCAGCTCAAGCTGCTTCCTCCGTTGCTCCTCGCGCAGCGAATCCTGCGACCCGTGACCACCTTGCACTTGCTGCCGCTGTTGGTCCTGAGGGTATTGGTCAGGGCGTCGCTGACCATTTTGGCTCGATGGCGTTGGGGGTGTGTTGTAGCTCGGCTGACGCTGGCCGGCCCCGGGAGGCGGGGGCCGAGGGGGGGCAACTCCGCTGTTCCCTGGATAGCCGAGCTGTTTGTTGCCAAGTGAGGACGCGGGAGGCGTTGGTGTGAGGCTTGGGTATTGGTTAGGGTTCTCTGCTCTCTTGGCCAAGTCCGTGGTGTAGAAGTCCAAGACTTCAAAGACCGCCTGGGGATTGCGCTCATAGTCTTCCTTGGTGATTGCAGATGAGTTCAACAGACGAGACCACTCAGGGGGCAACCCAATGAATTCACCCGTCGTAGCATCAAATCCAACATGGACGGCGTGGGAGAAGTTGGTGGGGTTGCTGACGCCGCCCATCCCTGGGCAGGCGCCGTATATGAAGTCGATCCATTCGTACAGTTCGTCGTCGCCTTTGACGCGGATCTGTAGTGTCTTTGTTTGTCCATCGTCTTCGCCTGGAGCCGTGGAGGTCCCGTCGGGCTTTCGCTTGACCTCGAAGATGGTGCCAGCCGACTCAGCTCGAGCCACATTGACCACATCTTTGAGCAGAATTGTGTATGCGACTTTGCTATCCGGCTGCTTGTGGAAATCCAGGGACTCCTTGCGAAGGATCAAGTACTTGTTCTTCCACGTTTGGATGAAGCTCTTTTCTTTGACCGACGCCCATCCCTCCTTCTTCACCGCAACTCCGCCCATGCCGTCTGTACTGTTAGATTGCTGACGAGCGATCGGGAGGGACACTGTGGACCCAGTGTAGGTTGAGGTGGCCGTACTGCGGATGGGAGAAATGGCCATGTTGGCCATGCTCCCGGGAAGATTGGCATTTGGGGTCAGAGCGAGACGAGGACGGTCCGATGGAGGCTTAGGTGCTGGGCCAGGGTTCATGAATTGACCCGTTGAGTACATGCTATGCCAACCATTAGCAAAAAGAGTCAAAGTTTCGCCTAGCGATATCGCGTTGCGATCTAGCGGCTGCAAGAGCAAGCTCGAGATCCCCCGCAAAATGTACGTACTTGTCTTGAGACATTTCGCCAGATTGCAATGCTGAGGGTATCCCAAAAGAAATGCGACGATTACAGATGCGCCGCAGCAACCAGGCGCGGTGAAAACAGAAAAGGCTATTGATCAGGGATTGTAGATCCAGGTGCCATGGAGCGGCTTCGGTCCGGCGAAGAGTATAGTCGCTGGCGAGAGGGCGGTCGAATCGAGCTTGACAGGAGCGCCCAAGCAAGCGGTCGGGTCGAGTGTGGAGCGGCTGTTCGAGGGGTATTCAAGCCGGTTCTGGCAATCACAAGTGAATGTGGCAGTCCTGCAAGCTTCGCTGTAGTAGCGAGAGGTCGCCGACACTCGAGAGGTCCGAATTGTCGGCGGTGCAGTCGTGCAGAGGCCTGATATTGGAAAAGTCCAAGGTCCAGCCACCGTTGCCCCTGACTAATGAAAGGTCGCGGCTGCAAGCTGGCGCGATGCTGGCGCAGAAAAGTCCGCTCCAGCTAAGGTATTATGGTGGCAGGTTCAGAACAAGGACAGAACAAGGACAAGCAAACACCACGGGAGACGACGATGGGAAGGGGCGGCAGATAGGGAGGGGTGAGGAGAAAGGAGGGCGCTGCAGGAGTAATGGACAATCCAAGATCCGGGATACCTTCGCTCAGGGATCTGTCTGGATCAGCGCCCAGTCCAGCAGTGGAAGGTCCAGTCCAGTCCTCAGTTGCTCCAGTCCTGTAACTGCGGGCAGCAGCAGGCCCGGGACGCTTGGCGCTTAATTTATTGATCGTTTCTGTCATCCATCTCGAGCTATGTTCAGCCTGAGGCGGGCAGAGGGGCCTTGCCCGCCTGGCGTCTGAGCAGCTCAGCAGACTGAGCTCACTCTTCAGGTGGCGGCAGCGCAGCTTGCTCAGCGCTGAGCACTTGCAAGTTGAGCGCTAATTAACAACAAGTGTTATTTAAAGACTTCTTTTGCTATCCATATCTGTAACAGGGCGCTCTAAGTTGGCATTTCACTTGCTGTTCGAGTGTAGAAGCTAACGTAGTCCGCGACAATGAAGCAGTGTGACTAGGCCAGAATCCTACCTTAGTCTCACGAACATTGCAGTGAGGAGTACAGTGTTGATGTAAGTACTACTAAAGTAAGTAATATAAGTGCCTTGACAATAAAGCAGCTGATGTCAAACAATACGTATACCAGATATCTCAACTGCGCGTGCTGCTGCGCCCAATTATTTTCATCGCCGGTCGGCGCAAAGGTGTATCCGTACGGTGGATCTTATTAGTGAACTTCAGGTGTAGCGAGCTCAGGCAGTCGGTGTTTCAATCCCAAGGAAACACAAGTTATGCAATTCAACTGTTACGAAACAACAACTTCTCTACCAGTACTCGGCTGCGGCGAATATCGCCAGGAGCAGATTGACCATCCCACCTGATTCAAATGAGCTCAATCTATACGCGCGCTTCTTGAGATGTCACGTAAGGTGGTCAAGTACCTATGCAATCCTCAACCACATTTAAGTAAGTAGTGCTCATTCATGACAATAAGGGCGACAAATGAGTCTCACCTTTCGCGGTCACACGCCCGAAAATATTGACTTGATACCGCTCAAACGCCATCCGACTGTAGAGCCTCCAGTCGCTTTCCCCTTATCAACGCAGTACCAGGCCACTAACAAGAGCGAGTACCTGGCAAATGGCGTGGAATAGCCGGCCCTCTCTGTCCAGACGACGACTACCTAGGTACGGGTGGGTGTGACGGCTTCCCCTCAGACCGTGCGCCTCAGTCATTGCGCGTTTCGTGACTTCGCCACCCGAAGCATCCATTCCCTTTAGACTTTTGGTGCCCTTGCGCATTCCCATCCCATTCATCATCGCCAAACCATCTTCCTTTTACTTGATTTGACTTCTTCCCTCTCATTATCCATCAGAACCATCGAATCTACGGCCTTTCCAACAACTTGCACATTCACATACAACAAAGCAGCGACTGTACGGCCAACACGCCCGCTGTCCGCTATGTTTCTGCACCAAATACTCATGGCGGCCTCGGCTGCCGCCTTCCTCGTCGTTCCCGAGACGGTCGATCACGGCGAGGATTCTTTCAGCGCGCTCCCGTTCGACGCCTATACCGCCGATATTCCCGCCCACGCCATGAGCCAGACTGTGGATGTACCATGCAGCGGCTGCGAGGGCGACCAAACCCACCTCAGCATGGAGCTTGCCGTGGAGGATGGCACCCGGCTGACCATGAACGGCTTTGAGCTCTATCCCAGCACCGACCCGTGGCGCGGCGACTTGATGGCGACGGTAGTCGAGGGCGAACAGCAGCAGGACCAAAAGCTTGGCTATGCCATGGCTGTTACTCCCATGGGGTATGATGAGGATCAAGCCCTGGAGGTCATTAAGGTTTCCTTGCACATTATCGAGGTCGGGTTCGAATTCATCGACGACATCCCCAAGGTCGACATCACGCTCATCAAGGCCCACACCAATGAGATCCTACTGGGCGATGTTCGCATGGAGGAGCAGAGTCGACCCGCTTGCGAGAGCATGTTCTGTCAGGTCAAGCAGGGTATCGACAAGGCGTGGAAGGGTCTCAAGGCTGGCTGCAACAAGCACCACGGCCACCATGGCCACCACGGACACCACAGACACCAGGGCAAGCCTCACGCCCAGGCTGATGGAGAGCGTCTCCAACCTGGACGTCATGGTCACCATGCCCACGCCCACAACTGGCTTGGTCTGCTCAAGTTCATTGCGATCGACATCGCACTTCCCGTCCTGACGTTGGTCGTGGCAGGCGTCGGTTTTGCACTGTACGTTTACATCGCTTACTTGCCTGCGTTCACTGCTAACATCATTTAGTCTCTTCATCGGCTTTTGCTGCTTCATTGCGGTTGTCGCAAATTTCCGCCGAATCATCTGCAAGTCTTCTAGCTCCAAGGCTCGCCCTACTGAACCGGCTGCCGAGGAAGAGAAGACAGGTCTCATGGAGACCGAGGCCGACGACCAGGAGCCCCCGCCTCAGTACGAGGGCCGCCAAGGCCACGTTCAGCTGTAATTCGTGTCGTGTGACAGTATCAGCTGTGACGCCAGTGTAGGCGAGGGTCGACCCGTTTCTCTTTTCCGTTTGCTGCGGCTCCAATAACCCAAGTCTACAATTGCTGGGGACTCATTTGTTTCGGGTTGCCGCAAGAACCAGCGTTCAGTAATGTCGGGCGTTTTGCTAGATTGCCTTGGTGCACACTCTCCCTGAATATCGCAGTTTTCTTTCTTATGTGTAACGTTTCTATGCAAATAGCACGAAAGTTGCATTCTCGTTGACATCCCACTGAGAATGGCGCACCACAATGTTGTCAAGTACAGATTTACACTCGCTGATGACACTTGGTATGAAATACAAACGCTTCATCGCTGTGAATGAAATACCCATCCCATCAAAACAACTGACGTGGCATACTTCAAGTACCGAGAGAGCACTTCAGTCAGTGTCTTGCCTTCTGTTTTCCTTTCGCACGCATCTTCATGTTCGCAAGCATCTTCGCTCGGCTTGGCTTCTTTGGAGACGAAGGATCCATCACGCTCGCCGGCTCCCTAACCCGAGGCCCAGCCTTCTTCCTTTCGTCATTGAGTGCTTTCAAGGCGGCGTTTGCGAGTTGGTACTTTGTCGTCCGCCTGGCTTTGCACTCGAGGCGTGGGCACTATCCGTCAAGCTCTGCCTCAAGTTCGAGCTTCTGTTCCATGTGAACAGAAACAGCATGGGTAAACGTAACGTTATCAAAGTCGTACTACTCCCTCAACTTGCGCCACTTGGGACGGCAGCGCGCGATCTCTGCCTTGGAGTATGACAAAACAAATACACCTGCGCCTCCGAACTTTGCAAAATTACGCGACCGCAACTCCAACATCTCCATTTTCCGGCGGATGAGCTCGTACTCCCTTGTGAATGTGTCCAACCACCTTTCATGCCGGTCTGCGAAGGTCTCCAAGACATGGTCAACGTCCCGTGTTAGCAGCGATACCACGACAGCATACTTGTAGTTTCTCAACAGACGGAGGGTAGCGCCATCTGAGTCTACTGAGGAAAGATACCCTAGCATAATGTTTATTTCGTCGACCTTGAAGGGGAAACTTTTCTTCATATACCGGAGCTTCTCTCTGTAACCAGGTACAGCTTCTCTCCATGGGTTCATCTGCTCGAAAGCGCTTGAACAGAGTCTCGCCATCCGCTGAACTGTCGGGTGCCTTAAATCTAGACCGTCCTGGACGGGACGTTTGCAGCTTTCCTCCGTGGGCAAGCCCAACGCAAGCTCGAAGCCAGCACAGTCTGACAGTCCAAATTGCATTGGTATTCCTGAGAGCAAGGCTTGGTCGGTGGGTGAAATCCCTGCGAGAAAGCCCATCTTGACGAAGCACGAGTAGACGAGCGGTTCAATAAGGCCTAACACCACCGAGCATTGCGTGTGCGTCATCTTGCTCAGCTGCCCATGAATACGACACAGGGGCAACGCCCTGAGTGTGACGGGGTATGTTCTGAGGTCGATTCCAGAATCTGGGAGGTTGTCTAGCCATATAATGGTTTTGATCATCATTTTTGAGGCAAACATGTGTTGCGTCGAGTGGTAATGACAAGCCGCGGAGCACCATCGGAATCCATCATAATGCTGGGGCCGTTGATGACACCCAAAACAGTCGACAAGCTCATTGAGGCGTACGAAGTGGCTTTGGAAGGGACTCTGTTGTAGGCAATGCAGGAATGCATTCTTTTGGCTTGGCGACAGTGATTGCACCAGCTTCTGGAGTCGGGACTCAAATCGATATATGGAGAGGCAACGTTGCAGCACGGGGCCTGGTGTGGAAGACGGAAATAATTGAGTCTCTGGCAGCCATTTGGCGTCGTCCCCGATTGTAGGAAACAGGTCGACGGCAGGTGCGTGAGCGTTGACCCCGAATTTCTCTCGCAGTCGTTCAACAAGCATATAAAACGCCGGTCTGTGTGGTGATGCCATTGTGATTGCCGGGCGAGATGATGATGTCGAGAATAAAGGGGAAAACATATAATTGCCTAAGAGGCGTTGATGGAAGAATAGTCCTAGCGAAGGGGGAGTGATGGGGGATAACAAGAATAGACCGTGAGAAGACTGGACCTCGCCATCAGCGTGCTACCAAGGAAGTGGTGATACGATACCTTCCAGGTTTGAAGTAAGGTATGGGGTACCTTCTGTAATGGCGGGCTGGAGATCCTTCCTGGTCCAGCCGCCGGTGACAGAAGGCCACAAGGGCTACAGTTTCTTTACCTAGTGCCTAGTAGGTACTAGCAGTTGTAATTACCTTAGCACACGCTCAGAAGCAGCTGGTGGCACGTTCGTGATAGCCACAGGTACTGATTGTTGCTTTCTTTGCGCGAGATGCTGCATCCTGAGTCACAGCAAGGATAGAATCGCGTCAATATGCGCTCGAATACCAGGGCATCGGTCGCACAATGGTTGTCAACGGGCTGTCACACACTGTTTCTATGTCTTCAGATTCATTGGACAATGCCAGGTCTTGGATACCGGGCCCTGTGCCCATGCCGCTAAATATGCACACATGATCCGTTCCTCTTTCTACTTCTCCCTCACAGCAACGTCAACCTCCTGACCCTCGAATGCGGGAAGCTCCTTCTGGATATCCGCCCAGGTCTTGCTCGAGTCCACCAGTGACTTGATGGCCTCGACGATCTTATCTTCCTCAGCGCGCACCTGGCTCGTCGAGTCACGGTCACGCAGAGTAAACGTGTTGTCTTGAAGGGTCTGGAAATCAATGGTGATGCCCAGGGGAGTACCAAGCTCGTCGTTACGGCTGTAACGCTTGCCAATGCTCGCCGACGAGTCATCCACACGGCTGGAGATGCCGATGCTGCGCAGGCGTTGCGAGAGCTTTTTGAGGTGAGGCTTGAACGACTGGTTGGACGACAAAGGCACAATCAGAACCTTTGTGGGAGCAACCGGGGGTGGGAAAGACAAGACCTAGTATTGGATTAGCACTGTTCCTTCGAAATGTTACGTAGGCCAACTTACACCACGGGCCTCGTCGGTCCCCTCGCTGCCACGAGTCCAGAAGTTGTGCTCAATGAGCGCATACAGGATGCGGCCAATGCCGAAAGACGGCTCGATGACGTTGGGGGTAAACTCGCGAGTATGCTCTACACGCTTGCGGAACTCGATCCGGATGGCATCGCTAGGAATCTCCGCCTTGCCGTCGCCGTAGCCTTCCACCGTGATCGTGGCCTTGCCATTGTCCTTCAGCTCATTGGCAAGCTTCTCACGGTCCGCCTGCGAAGAGGCCATGAGGGCGGCCTCGACGGTCTTTGCGTCCTTCTTGAACAGGGGACCGAACTTCTTCTTCTCGACGTCAACCTCCCACTCCTCAATGGTGATGGGCTCGTCCAAGCGAGATCGCACAACAAGAGCAGCGCCAGTCTTCTTCGCGTGGACATTCAAGTCGTATGCGCTGCGGTCGGCACAGCCAACACACTCAATCCAGCCGGATGTAGTCAACAGCTCAGCATCCCAGCAGTCCACAGCGTAATGGGCCATCTCATTCTGCATGTGCTGACGGAAACGCAGCTTCGACTGGTCAACACCAATCTTGGCGAGAAAAAGATGAATACGAGCGAGGAAGTAGCCCAGAGTCTCGTTATCGACTAGGCAGGACTTGACAGCCTCCCCAACAGCCACCTTTCTCGTCTCTGTCTTTCCAGCCAGCTGGGTCTCACGGTCGAGGAAGACGAGCTCGACATCCTCCACGTCAGGGAAACGGTGGTGTTTCTTGCCGCCCTGAGGGTCGACGAAATGCTCAATCTCAGCCATCAAGAATTCGCGAACACGCAAAAGACCGGCACGGGGCGAAATCTCGTTGCGGTACGATTTGCCAATGGATGCAGAGGCAAAGGGCATACCACCCTGGTTAAACTCGAGCAGCTTGGCAAAGTTGAGAAACTGACCCTGAGCAGTCTCGGGGCGCAGGTAGCCGGGCGAGTTGCTGCTTGGGCCGATGGTAGTCTGGAACATTAGGTTGAAGGAGACGGGGTCCGAGGGCATCTCGCCCGTTTCGGGATTCCGCAAGTCGTACTTTTTGATTAGCTCACCGAGCTCGGGGCCGCCATAGTTGTCGATCCTGGCAAGAACCTCTTCGTACTCCTGCACAAGTGCGTCGTCCAACTTGATGGCCTCCGACTTGGCCTTCTTCTTCTTCTTCTTGGGGTCATCCTTCTCTTCCACCTTGACGCCACGGGCTTCCTTGTCACCCTTGAGCCTTGCCTCCAGTACAGCCTCGACAAAGTGGTCGGCTCTCAGAATCTCGCCGTTTTTGGGGTCCTTGCACATCCAGTCGGCGAATTTGTCTACATGGCCAGAGGTCTTGAGGACTTCGTGAGGGGTCAGCACGGTGCAGTCCACCTCGAGCATGTCCTCCTCGAGGATGAAGTGCTTGCGCCAGATGTCTGTGATGTTGGTGAGGAGAGAGCAGCCTGGGGGGCCAAAGTCGTAGAGACCGCCGACGCCACCATAAATCTCGAAAGAGGGAGTGTAGAACATGCGCCGCCTCAACATGGCGTCAAGGACGGCCTTGTCGAGGGGCTGGCCCTTCAATGTGGTTGCAGACATGTTGGCTTGCGTGACGTCTTTCCGTCTGTTGACTTGTATCCGTGAGAGGTGCCTCGTCGAGGAGAGGTGACGGCGGCACGCGTTCGTCAATGTCGATGTCGACGAGGGCAGCGAGTGGAATGGACGGGGGGTTGTTGCTGAAGGTCGTTGACGTGTCAGGAACGCGAGACAGGGACCGGTCAGTCGTCGAGGCGGCGTCATTCACTGTAATATGGGCTTGACGAGGAAGTGCGCGTGAGTCACGAAAACTCAAAGCGCAACGCTTCCTCTGGAGGTGTCCAACAAGTGGGGGAGGGGTACCAGTTGCGGTGCTGGCAATCGTCGGGACGACCCTAATTGCTGGATCTTTCGTGATTGGGCTACGTACTGGTGGCTCGCGTGCAGCTGCTCCAGTCCTTCCGTCCAGGAAACGGCCGAAGCTTTTACAAAGCCGGGAGCAAGTTTTTCCGAGAAGCTTTTCCGGCCCGCAAACTTTTACCCCTCTACCCCTCCAGATCTACGTAGTGCCTACCCCTGGGCAGGCTTGAGGGTGTGAAACACCCCTCATTCGCACGCCTTGGGTGCCAAATCGAGTTTGGATGTTCATGAACCCTGACGGACATCGGGTTGAGAATCCGTAACTTGTCTAGAATCAGCCAGCCGAATTGGAAGAGACAAGTATTGGTCGCTGTAGGAGCAAGGGAAGGTGTAAAGGTTTTTTTTTAAGAGTAAATCAGTCTGTTTGAATTCAATTGGATTGAAGCCTCAAAAATCCTTCATCTTAAAAGTGCTGTACTTGATCAGTGTATCTAGCTTTTGTGGGAGCATGACACACTTGCGTGGTCATGCCCAAAATCAATATGAAAATCAGGAGATAGATCCATACACCAAACTCCGACAAGTGGGCAACATATTCGAGTACCATCTCACTTATGCAAATGCATCGCTGCGCTGATGAAATCAATCAAGCTCCAGGAGTCTGGAGGGGGGTCTGCCCAGGGGTAATGGCAGGCGTCTGCGCAGGTGTCTGCACAGGCGTGGGTGGTCTGCTGTCTTTGCGGAAGAAGACAACATGTTGCCTGTTTGCAACGTACTCGCTGTCGGCATAGCCAAGACACTCCTCGATGTCATGACTCTGATGACCCATGATTCGAGTGATCTCAGCGGAGGCATAGTTGACAATGGCACGGCCAACCTCTTCCTCAAGCTCACCGCGCATCTTGCCGTCAGGTCCGGGTGTAGGCAATCTGTTGACCACCACAATGCGAACGGGCTCATGGGATGCAAAGTTGCCCTCAACGTCGACGACACCGACGGGGAGAAGACCAGCCTTGTTGACCAAGGCGCGGTAGGCGCCTTGGTCAATGTAGATGGTGCCATGAGGGTTGAGCGTGTGTAGCAACCAGAAGTGACGATCGCGGATGGGCTCTGATGAGGGAAGGAAGCGTGTGTGAAGGGGCGGCCCGTCAGATGCGCCGGACGGTGCCATGAGGTTCAGGGACGTAGAGCTGGCGATGAGAGACAGCTCATCGACCTCATCGTCTGGTGTGCCGGCTCGCGACTGGATGGTAAGATAGTTGACAATGTTGAGAATGTTGCCGGGGTTGGAGGACCTGGTAATGATGACGGTCACGCCGGCCGACGTTCCGAGCCTGGCAGCAATGAGCTTGGTGCCCATACCACCAGTGCCTACTGACGAGCCAGCACTGGACACATCGGCGACGACGTCGGCAATGTCCTCGACAACCTCAATGGGCTTGGCATCAGGGTTCGAGCGAGGGTTCTTGTCGTAAAGGCAGTCGACATCAGTCATGAGGAAGAGGTGGTCGGCGTGAATCATCGCCGCGGTGATGGCCGACAGGGTGTCGTTGTCACCGAACTTGATTTCAGACACAGCCAGGGTGTCGTTCTCGTTGACAATGGGAATGACGCCCATGTCGAGAAGCGAGTTGAAGGTGTTCTGAGCATTGAGATACCTCGTGCGCTATGTGTTGTGTTAGTGTGTGGAAGTAGTTGCGGGTCAACAAGGCACGTACGTCGGCGATATCATTCTTTGTCAGAAGAATCTGAGCAATTGGCTGCTCTAGATGTTGGAAGAGGCCATCCCACAAGCTCATCAGACGACATTGTCCAATTGCGGCTAGGGCCTGGTTGCGTATTAGTCTTCGTGCCAGTGACAGTTGGCTTGGAGCAAGATCATGCTTACCTGCAGTTGAGAGAGATGCTTAGGCCTGTGATCGACGTCCATACGGCGCAAGCCGACGCCAATGGCACCCGAGGACACCAGCACGACTCGGTGTCCGCTCTTGCGGAGCTTGACTGCCGTGTCGACAATCAGGGTCAAGATGGGCAAAAGGGGTTCATGTGTCTTCTCGTCCACAATAGAGCTTGTGCCTGGGAAGCATGAGAGTCGTATCTTTTAGTGGGGAGGTGTGGAATAACATACCAAGCTTGATGACAACAGTCATCGCGTGAGGAGACCTTTTCGTCATGGCTGGAGGTGAAGGGGGTATCGTCAGTCTAAGTGAGGACAGGAGGTGGAACAGAGTTGACGTGGTATGGAAGCTGAACCTAAAGCATAACAGGCAGGAAAGCAGATGGGTTGAAGATGGAGAAGAAACGAGGAAGAAAAAGAACAAGGCTACAACGGGGCACGCCGAGTATAAGTAAAAAACAGTCGAGAGAGCGTCACTGACGACTCTCAGGTCGGATTCTCCTGGCGTTCATTGAAGCGTAGCAAGGTACATGAGTACATGACCCTCGACTGTGGATGAGAGTGGAGTGGAACCCTGACATATGATGCTTTGCAGCTGAAGGCTCTGCAGGTGCACTGGCATCAGGGCTCTCAGGCTGAGGGAGACCCCTATGTCTATCCCCCAGGGACTTCGGGGTGTGGACTCACCATCCATCTCATTCGTCATCAAGCACGCCAAGCAGTGGCGCGGTATTAACCTGGTTCGTGAATTGAGCCTGCGGCGGTACGGAGTATTGTCTCGCTGGTGGAACTCTTGGCCAGAGAATATGTATGCGAGCGGGTGCAATTCTGGGGGAGAAGGGGTATGGTTCGCGGGTTGCTGTCGATGCGAGGTGAAAACTTGCATGGGATGTCTGACGTTGCGTCCGAGCCTCTCTTGTGCCCAGGGCCGCTGTTGGCGCTGCGACGCTGTTTGGCTGCTGGGTGCGGCGTAGCGTGGGCTGATGCTGTGGGACCCACTCTCGACCTCCGCTCCTAGTCTTGACGTAGCGTGCGGTTTAAACATTCTCTAGGCGACGTGGGCACTGTAGCCAGGCTGGGCCAGGCTGTAGCCTGCCTAGAGCTAGGTAGCCGTGCATATTGCTGGACAGAGGGAAGGGTACATGCTTTGCGCTGCACTGTACGTACCGCACTGTACGAGCTCATGTCATCCACTGGCCAGAATCCGTCCCGCGCGGCAGGTACAAAGGCGCGCCCTGAATGGTCACTCTGGGGACCCCAGCGTCATTGCTCGCCAACGGGCCCGCTCTTCCTGCGCACTGCTCGGCGTTGGTTCGCTCACCGCCCAGCATGATGCGCGCCACGCATGGGCCTGCCACGGACATTGTCCTGGCAGAATTTTTGACTTCACCTGGATATTCAGCGAAACTGTACTCCGTACCCGTGTCGACATTTGCGGTCGAGCCGAACGCGAGCGCTCCCGCAAGCACGAAAAACTCGTCAAATTCGCGCCCATTTTGCGTTTTCAGCGCCCTAGCCGTCCCTCTGCCCGATCCCAGCCACTCCTCGGCGCATGTGACGAAGCGATTGGGTCCATCCCCGACATTCACACAGACACGCAGACCAAAGAGAGTCGACTCCGTCCACGCCCGCGTCTCTCTTTTCATCAGCCTGCAGGCTCGGCATTCACGTCATCTCCAGGGTCTTTCTTGCCAAGTTGCCCCTCCGACTTGAGACCCTTCCGCGATCCTTTCTGCCGCTATTCCGTCCCAGGGCAGCCCACGGGTCCATCGCATCGTCAACAAGCTTGGCCCCGTTTCCGAGGGTCCTACCCGTACCGCACAACAGACTATCGACGAGAATACGCTGGTTGAAGACAACAGCGACATCTTACCTCCTAACCTCTGTCTTCTGCATAGCCTTGCATATTGCCTCTCGGCTCAAATCACCAGCATGGCGACCACTGAACCGTCGTCATCCTCCTCATCATCGTCACCCTCCTCATCGACGTCAGCACCACCGGCCACCATTCCTACCGGCCAAAATGTCAACGTCCCCACCCCCGCAATCTCGTCTTCCCCAGGTCCTGCGCCAAGGGAGATGGTCAACGATCCTGCCCGAACGGGGTTTGACCCGCAGATGAAGTGGTGGATGAACTACTTTAACGTCCTCACAGGCAAGATGACCAAGGAGGGCATGTTCCATTTCCGCGAGTCACGGTACAGAGTGCACGAGGAGAGGGACTGTAAGCGGTGTGATGAGTACCGTGACTGGCTATTCAACTATTCTCCCATCATCCGCTTCTTGTCCGAGAAGACGGGTGATCTCAATGGACGACTTGACAAGAGCAATGTCGTCTGTAGAAGATGCCCCGCTAGACTAGACGAGGATGGGAATGTGCACAGACAGTCGGGCGGCTTCAGCCCTGACCATGGTATCTTGCTTTGTGCCAACGAGGTGAGAGACCGCAAGCACCTGGAGGACACGCTGGCCCATGAGATGATCCATGCGTGGGATCACCTCCGCTGGAAAGTCGACTGGGTCGGCGACAAAGATCTGAAGCACGCGGCTTGCACAGAGGTAACTTGCCCTGGATGACATCAAATCATAACGGCGGTATGCTAACATGTCGACAGATACGAGCTTCCATGCTCAGCGGCGAGTGTCGCTGGACAAAGGAATTCTTCACCCGGGGACAGTGGGGCGTCACACAGCAATTCCAAGATTGTGTGAGACGCAGAGCTGTACAGTCCGTCATGGCCAGGCCTCGTTGTAAGGATGAGGAACATGCCACCAAGGTCATCAACTCTGTGTGGGACTCTTGCTTCGCCGACACCCGTCCGTTTGATGATGTATATAGATAGCGAACGGTCCGATGCACATTTATATGTATCATGTAACATGTCGTTAGCGAGCTCTTGTTGTTACTGTTGGCAACACCACTCTGGCTGAATTTCAAAAGATACCCATGATTCCCTATCCGCCCAGACTATGGTTTGAAGGTCTTCATTCGCTTTGTTGATCAATGACTATCAAGTTTCATAACGCCGCATCCTATGCTGACTCCCATCAGGTGCCCAACCTGTCTTGTTACCGTGGAACTCCAAATTCATTCCTATGCTTCAATCGACTGACTACCGGTACACGGCACTTCTTCCTGTCTTTACGCTACTGCATCACCGCCTGCTGCCCCGGCTGCTGTCGCAGTGCTTTGTGATCCAGGGGTGTTTCTGAACTTGATCCAGTGGAAGACGCTTCGAGGGGTCCAACACGAGAAGCTGGTGAGTCAGTACAGGGGTCTCGTAGAAGAGTCGGCATGCAGGAAGACTTACCTTCTTGATCAAATCCGTAGCCTCGGGGCTCACGAACTTTGGCACCGTCATCTCGGCCCTTGCAATTCTCCTCTGGGTCATGACAGGCGTATCCTCGAATGGCGCCTCGCCGACGAGGAACTCGTACGTCAGCACACCTAGACTCCAGAGATCGATCTTCTCGTCGTAGTAGTTGTCTGAGCTGCCCGGCTTGACCATCTCGGGGGGCAGGTAGTCCAGTGTTCCGCACATGGTCTTGCGGCGGCTGTTGGGTGCATGCACGCTCCATCCAAAGTCAGAGATTTTGATCTCGCCGTGGATGCCCACGAGAATGTTCTCGGGCTTAATATCACGGTGGATAACATGTTTCCTGTGAAGGTAATGGAGGGCAGAAGCCATCTGAGAAATGTACTGCGCACCCTTCCACTCAGGGAACCGATGCTCCTTGCGCAGGTGCTTGTAGAGCTCACCCTTGGCGGCGTATTCGAGGATCAGGAAGATACGCTTGCTGTCGTGGAAGTGGCCGTACAGCTTGAGGATGTTGGGGTGGCGCAGGTTACTCTGGATCTCAATCTCGCGACGGACCTGCTTCTCGACACCGCCGCCGGCCTGGAGCTCGTTCTTGTGCAGCACCTTGAGACCGCAGATGTAGCCGCTCGATCGCTCTCTGGCGAGATAGACGCGTCCAAACTTCCCCTTGCCGAGAGGACGGCCAATCTCGAACATGCCGAGGTGCCACTGCTTGATGGTGGGCTGGTCTACGAGCTGGGGGTTGCGCTGCAGCTGCTGCTCGTCGATGTCGGCGGAGGGACGGGAGCTGCTGGGAAGTGCCTTGCGGGCGGGGGGCGGCGATGCTGGGACTGCGGACTTGGTGCGCTGGATGGCGGCTTGGGAGGGCAGGGTAACCGAGGCGCTGGACGAGGGCTGTAGGGCGACTTTGAAGAGCGGCTGACGCGCTGTTTGAGCAGAGGCCTTCTTGGAATCAGTACACATTAAGCGTGAATGAAGCAGGACAGTGTACCTTGCTCTTAGAGGGGACCTTGGGAGCATCGAGCTGGTCATAGTCATCGGAGACGGTGAGCGTCTCGAGACGAGCTTCTAAGGTCTGGCTGGCCATTGTTGCGGCAGGCAGTTCTCTAGTCGCTGTAGTGAATTGAAACGACTATGGAGAAGGAGAAAGAATGATGAACCTAGGCAAGTGAAAGGTTGCAGGTCGTGCTCGTGGTATGATGTTCAAGTATTGAATCCCCAGTGCGCTAGTGCGGGCGGCTTGTTTAGACTGCAAGGGGGGGTTTCCCTGGTAACGGCCAGTGATGAGCCACCTCTTGTGTCTGGTGGCTGAGTCAAGTTCCCTTCGTGGCTGAGGTGGGCTTGTTCCCGGTGTTCTCGGTGAGCGGCGGGGCTGTCGTTGCACAGCGTCACTAGGCTATCACTTAGCTGGGAGCTGGAGCTCCCCACTACAAACTCATCATACGAACTTGTCAGCCATTGTAAAGCGCCGAGATCATACAGAACAAGACAAGACCCTATTGTACTGAATTCTTCGTCCAATTTGGGCGCAGCTCCAATCCCAATCAGTCCGCTGGCTGGCATGCTCTGAGCTACCCTACAAGAGCTAGCACAGATTCAGTTGCGAGTACTCAAACACATCAGGATGGCATCTTCCGACACAGCCAGTCGGCTTCATCAAGCCCCTCGAATGAATCACATTTCCTCGCCCAATGAGCCCTTCCCTTCGCCTCAGGCCCTCTCCGCAGCCACATCATCCCACACCCAAGGGAGCTTCACGGTCTCCACGCGCAAGTTGCCCATCTCAAAATCCGGGCCTATAGACGCCATGACGGAGCGTCTCGGCATTCCCATCCCTGAGATGATCTTTGGCGACAACATGGTCTCCATTGCGCACAAGACTGGGTGGTGTCTAGGTTTCGACGCCGAGGGGGCGCTCGATGCCGTGGACAAGACGGGAGGCAACATGCTCAAGGTGGCCTACGCCCGCGACTGGGAGAGCACGCGCGAGGGGACGACGCAGAAGATCAAGGAGGTGGTCAAGCCGTACGACTGGTCGTACTCGACGACGTATGACGGGTCGCTTCAGCCGGGCAGTGCACCCTTTGCCCCCACTGACAAGACCATTCCGATTGAGCTTCTCAAGAGGCGCGATCCGATCTTGTTCTTTGACGAGGTGGTCCTGTACGAGAGCGAGCTCGACGACAATGGCATCTCTGTGTACAGCGCCAAGCTCCGCGTCATGGAGAAGAGGATGTTGCTGCTCTGTCGACTATTCATGCGCCTGGACAATGTGCTTGTGCGCATCCGAGACACGAGAGTGTACGTGGACTTTGACACGCAGGAGGTGATCAGAGAATACACAGCGAAAGAATCCCCCTTTGAAGATGTGAAGAGAGTATGTGTTCCGCGGTTCCGCTTTGATACCAGCACCCTAATGCTAACGGGTACAGGGCTTGATGATGTCCGGCCGCTTGCCGGACGACGTGACTATAGGGCTACGAGATCCAAATGTGCTGGACCCCTTGCTCAAAGTTGTCGAGCATCGTACAGAGGCAGTGGACCTATCTTCCTGATCTTGTCCCGGGCCAAGTGGGGGATCCGCGTGCCTTCACTAGTATAGGTTGAATGGCATCAATGGTCAAAGAGATCATGTTGATGGAAACCGTCCAATCGGAGACTATCGCTCCCAACCACCCAAAGGTATACTGAACAGAAGCACCATGCACCGCCAACTCCTCATTGTCCCGCGTGAATCTCCCGGCCAGCTATCGCGCCTCCAGATCTGCAGCGTCCTCCTCGTCGGCGCTCTCAAACTCCATCTGCCATTGATCCACGCGCTGGAACTTGGCTGCGGCAGCCTTGAGCTCCGGGTATTCCCTGACGTGATCGGCCCCGTCAAATGTCTCATCCGGCACCGGGTCGTATCTGCTCTCGTCCACCTCCTCGTCCTCATTCTCTTTGTCTGGTTCCATGTCACGGCGAGAATATGTCTTGGTCTGTCTGCGTGAAGTGCCCCGTTTGCGGCTGCCACCTTTTGACTTGTTCCTGGCGTTTGTGTTGCGAGAGGCTGATCGTGCCGTTGATCGATTCTGCCTTCTTCGCGAATCGACAAACGAGAGCTCATCCTCACCGTGCCTGATGCCTGTGGTGTCATACTCGTCGTTGTCCTCTTCCCCCGCCAGTCTTTGTTGCCGTCTCTTGGGCATGAGGTTCGCCAGAACCGCTGTCGTCAGGGGTGGAGGCGAGCGCCTTGTCCTCGATCGCCCACGCGCCACTCTGGGCTGATGGTTTGGAGAGTGGGTCAGGGATGGGGGCGACGACACGTTCGACAGTTTGTCGTCTGCGTTGGCCTGGCGCGCGCGGCGCTTGGCTAGGTCGTGGATGTCGGGCCACAGCTCGTCAGAGACTTCAGAGGCGCTAGACAAAGGCGGCGCGGCGTAGTCTCCATCGGGCGTGGCAGGACGGGCGACGAGGCGCGCGGGGATAGTGATCGGTGAAGGCAGTTCCGAGAGGGACGAGTCGGTGTCAGAGGATGAGTCGGGGTCGCTCTCAACTGTCAAGACGGGTGCGGCTCGAGCCCCAGACTCGAGCTCCGGCGCATCTTCTGACTCCGAGCACTCAGAAGAGGACTCCGCGGCCACATCTATTTCAGGGGCTGGTGCCGGAGAAGACTGCGTGCGGGGAATGACTTCTTCTTCTTCAACGTCCACCTGCCGCGTGGGCTCCTCGGTGCGTGAAATCTTCTCGGGACGATCGCTACCACCGACCGCCTCATCACTCTTACTTTTCCGCTTCCTCGATCTGACAGAAGCTTTGCTCAAGTCAGGCAGCTCCGGGGACGCCTCCTTGGCCTGCCGCAGCGAAGCCCTCGTCCTCCGCCTATGACTGATAGGTGTGCTCTCCGCTTCTGGCTCCTCGAATCCCTCCAGTTCCAGTGTCAATCCTAGATCCTCCTCGTCGTCGCTCTCCTCCTGGCCGCGCGCAAAAGTAGAGGTGGTATTGGAGGCCGTGGTACCCGTAGTATCACCAACCGCCTTCCTGCTTGCGCCCAGAATACTCGGCTCCCTGGGCCGTCGTTTGAAGTTGCCAAAGTTCAATGTCGAGCTCATGAGCGGCGTCGCGCCACCGCGGCTGCTTGGCCGGATGGGAGGGTCGTTTCTCCCGATGATGCTGGAGGCGCGTGAGCGGGGCTTAATGACCGAGCTGCCGCCTATTCCTCCGGCCAGAGAAGAGTGATCCAGATCGCGTGGCAGATCAAAGGACTCGTCCAGGTCACCAAACATGGAGTCGCCCAGATCAAGGCCCGTGGTGTCGCGTCGCGAGGGGGTCGCCGCACGCCGGCCGACCTCGATGGACGTGTCATGCTCGGTGGATGTGGGATCTTCTGTCGCCAGCGCGCGGAGTGCCTGGTCCCGCGTCTTCTCAGCATCCTGCATCGTGCTGGTACTTCTGCGTGTGGCACGGGACCGTCCTCGTGGTTCTTGGTCGTCTGGGGCCGCGACGGGCTGGCGCGTTCGCTTGGGGCGAGGCATTGTCGCGACTCCCGCGGGGAGAGAGACTGCGTGAGGTGAACTGGAAATGTGGTTGCAAGTTTTTCTAAAGCTTTCCCCGTGGATCGAGACTCAATCAAAATATGAATGCTTGCTGGTGAAGATGTGGGCGGTACTGATTCTTAGAGGTTGTGCATGACCGGGGGGGAGGGGAAACAATTAATCATATGATCCGACGCGTCGAGACGCGATGGGCGCGCCCCACCTCAAAACACTGAGTGAGACACGATTGTCTTCAATAGTAAGGTAAGGTAAGGTAATGTACTCACTCCTACACTTAATATCACAACACGCCTTGACTACCTGATACTTGGAAACTAGTTTTCTACTTGATGGGAATGTCTATGATGCCAGAACGCCTCTGAGATCAGTGTGTCCTGATACGCTGCCCACCAACAACGCCAGCCGTGCTGCCACTCTATCCATACAATATTGTACACCCCAAAATTAATTACAGTCTGATCCATGATGATACCGCGCAAGATCAGATCAGAGCCTGTCCCATGAACATACTCCTCTTGACCTCAGCAATCACGTCCTTGCGGTCATCGTTGCCCGCCAGGACAATACCCCTTCCTCGCCTGCCCATCCTCCCCGCCCTTCCCAGGCGGTGGATAAAGTCAATCGACGTGTGCGGCACATCGTACAAGATCACATGCCGGACGGCGAGCGTGTCGATACCCCGCGACGCCAGGTCCGTCACCACCAGCGCCTTGACGTTGGGCAGCTTCATGGCGCTCGGCTTGGTCGGCGCCGGGATGGTGAGGGCCTCGTTGCTCGTAAACGTCTCCAGGATCTCGCCGTGCCGCGTCTCCGGCGTGTCCCTGTGCAGAGCCTCGGCCTGAATGTTCTTGCTCCGCAGGTACTTGGCCACCTCCTCCGTCTTCTCCCGCTCGTTGACAAAGACAATGACGCGGCGGACGTCAATCTCGTTCTTGTTGAGACCCTCGTGCTGCGCCGCCTCGCGGCCAATGGTGAAGAGCGCCTCGGCGCAGGCAACGTCCTTGTTGTTGTGGTACGGCGCCTTGCTGACGTCCATGACACCTAGCTGCACGCGGCGGGGGATGGCGTGCAGGTTGGGCGTCGTGATGCGGTGCATCTTGGGATAGTTGGTCGCCAGGTAGTTGTTGAGCTTGCGCGGGATCGTGGCCGACACGCAGATCAGCTGCTGCAGCGAGGGGCCGGCGCGCTCGATGATGCTGGTCGTGACCGGGGAGAAGCTTCGGTCGAGGAGAGAGTCGGCCTCGTCGATGATCAGGTGGTTCACCCTGGACAGGACGTTGGGGTCCGAGTCGGCGATGGAGGCGAGGAGGTGGGGTGTTGCGATGATCATGTCCACGCCCTTGGCCCCGTACACGTTGCGCTGGATCTGCTGGGGCTTGAGGTCCGAGGAAATCATCTCCGCCTTGTACTTGATGACGTGCGACAAGGACTTGGACACCCGGAGAACCTGCTGCGCCAGCTCGGACGTCGGTACCAGCACAATCACCTTGGGCCTCGCCATGGTAGGGTGTGGCTCGTCAAAGGGCCTCGCCTTGCGCTTGACCTGACCAGACGCCTGGAGCTCCATTTCCGTCCTGCGTCGCTCCTCCCAGGCCTTGACGTCCTCGTCCTTGGCCTCCGTCTTCTTCATCGCGTTGATCGCCGGGAGCAGGTACGCCAGCGTCTTGCCCGATCCCGTCTCGGCGGCAAGCAGATAGGAATCAGGGCCCGTCTCGCTGCCGCATGCCGACTTTGTCTTGTTGTCCTGTCCCAGGAGTGCCGGCAGCGCGAGTCGCTGTACAGGCGTCGGCTTCAGATCCGTCATGCCCTTGAATACCTCCCCCATCAACGCTTCCTTCACTACCGGCAAGAGATCAAACTGGTCAAAGTCCTCATACCCCGCCATCTTGTCCTTGATGACCTGGCGCTTTGTGTGTGGGACGCCTGCCAATATACGCTGCATCTTCATCGCCTTGCGGTCGTCTCTTGGCTCGTCTTTGCGCGGCGCGCCCCTTGAGGGCCTGCGGTCGACAGCTTCCCGCTCGTTGGCTAGGCGTCGTGGATCGACATTCGCAGTTCTTCTATTCAGATTACCGAAAGGACCCTCGCGGCGGGTTCGTGAACCAGAACGACCGCGCCCGACGTTTTCAGCAAGAACCATGCGGGACGGGCGCTCTGTGCTGGCTCGAGCGGCGGCATGCGCATGGCGGATTTGCGGGAGCCATGGCTGGGCGATGCGCGGTATGGAATTTCGACTGGCCGACAAGCTCGCCAAACAAGACGAGCAAGCTGGGCTGGAGGCTGCACGTCGCATCATGGACGGCTTTGGGATGTGGTCGGTGGTGTTTGCTGAGATGAAGTTAAGTTGGTCAACGGGGTTAAACGCGACGATCCACGTCGACGGCGACTTTTTTTTGGGTGGGGCTGAAACGGTACGTACCGCCAGGGGACGAAAATCGCGACTGACGAGTCTCGGACTCTTGGCCCTATTCAGACATTGCCACGCTATTATTGTGACCTGGATCAAAGCAAGCAATCATCAATCGTTTGTAAGTATGTACTACTAATTATGCTGGTAAGCCCGTTTCCAGTCTTTGCGAGGCGCCTTTCCTTAACCAAACACGCGCGATAGTTGCCACCAGGCAACGCCTATAACTACAACCACGAGGCCCATCTTTGAAATGCTAGGAAAAGTCAGCCGACAGCTCAGTGGGAGTTGGCCACAGCCTACTTCACGACTCCAAGGCACGCTCGTGTCCCGCCAACTGGGCTTTCCCCCTCTGCTCTGCCCGTGCCTCCCCTCGCTGAAGGCGGAGGTCTCAGTGTGCGGCCCTATCCGGTGACCCCGAACCACTTCTTAGCTTGATGGCTACTCTCGTCGGTCCGAGCCTGTGAGGTGTCAGCCATGACGGGGCTCATATCAATATGCGCGGGCATGGCTGGGGTGGGTATTACCTTTGCATTCTTGAGAACGACACCCTTGTCCTCATCGCTTGGTCCGGAATCAAGGCCCTCAAAGACGGTCTTACGTGGCTTACTGGCATCTTTCCCCCCCTTTTCCGAAGTGCGCGTGCCCGATCTTGGCTCCTTGGAATCCTCCTCGGCAATGGAACCTAAAGATGCGGTGGACTTTGTCTTGAGTAGACCTGAGTGTGCGGGTATCATATTTTGCTTCTTCATTGTGGAATTGTTCGTCGGGCTAAGCGATTCGGTCGATACAACGTCATCGCTTGCAGAGTCAAGGCTTTCGCGTCTTGGAGCCATGAAAGTCGACATTGATGCCTTGATTGCTTGCAAGTAATCATCGCTCGAGCTGGACTGGAGCTTGCGCAAGGCATCCATGACAGGTCCGCGCTCACAGGGGAAACTTTCGATCATTGGATCATTCGGGTCGGCCTCATTGGCAACGAAATCCTTTGACGCTGTTTTGGATAGCCTCGGTATCATGGCTACAGACTCGTCTTGTTCATTGCCGTCATTGGCAAACTCGTATGCGCCAAAGGACTCATGCGCGAACAGCGGCGACTGCACTGGGTTACAGTCCTGGTGTGAATACTCACTGTCTGCATTGCCCGACGACGTATCCATCGGCTTGGTCAAAGGACTATTCCCAATGTTGACGATCCCTTTATCGTTCAGGACCTTGCCCGGCATGCTCTTGTGAGCTGGCTGTGTGGACTCCGGCTCGACTTTGAGCAAATTGTTTTGCTTCCCGCCATCGTCAAAGGCTGCTTGGTCAGATGATTTCGATAAAGGCGACACATATTATACTACACTCACTTGTCGGATAACGATGACTGACCACCCAAATGTCCATATTGCCCAGCCGGAATTTGAATTGATATTCGCGGCCTGGGACTAAGCGGACGTCTCGGGTGAAGACATACTCGCCGTCCATATCGAGAGCATATTCCATCCTCAGTGGAGTCCATGGTGGCTCGCTGAAAGACCCAGCAACGAAAACGGGAGGCAAGATGTCGGGTCTGCGGTAGATGATCGTCTGTGTGACTAGAGGACGAGACATTGTTGTTCACAGAGATGCGTGGACCGATAGGAGATAGATTATGTCGCGAGTGACTGACGGCTTAGTTTAGGCCAGGCGGAGGGAGCGGACCACGGAGAGATTGATGCTGCGCGTTCGTGCAGACAAAGGCTGGTGAGTGCTGATGAGTGGAACCAACTGTTTCGTTTGACTGGAAACAGCACGAGACAAATGTATATTGATGATGGATGTGAGGGAGAGCGAGATTGGTGCCTCGCGTGCTTGATTGTAGGAAAAGGTCAAGATGCAAGAGGAGGACGGATATCCATGGCCCAAGGTCAATTGGGCGTCGTGGAAGGGGTGCTTGGTCAATTCGCCCACAAGGTACTTGCCTAGGTAGGTATTCAACCGGATGACGACAACTTCCCGCCGGAAGGGAAGGTCCGTACGTATTACGATCGGGGTCGTAGCTGCCTTCTGTACCGGTGATCAGGCACGCATTCTTCATGATCACCAGTAATACGCCTCGGAGTATGTGTTCTTTGAACCTAATCTCCCTTCGATTTTCCTTGTTCTGCAGCGGCACCTGAACGCGCAGCTGGCTGGCTGGCCCTTGCATCGCGATATCGTACCACCACCCGACATGATTCAGATCGATCCAGCCCAGCCAGCGGCTTCGAAAACGCATGTGATGCGATCAGGCATCACATCTCAACGAGGGGCAGCGGCTGCCTGGTCTAGCCGACCGAGACAGCTGCTCAACCCGCCATGGGCCAGTCTGGAATTCGGTTGAGGAACAGGATGGCGCACCTCCAGCTGACCGAGTACCCCAACAAGAAGGGTTCAGATTGCCGCTCAAAGCCCTGTTCGCTCAGGGACAGTTTCGCGGGGTAAGATGGGGTAGGATTTTGGGTTCAGCGCTAGCCGGGCCAGCCAAACTATCAAGTCTCGTGGCTGGACTGGACTGGGATCAACTCACTCACCAGAGAGGACAATCGCGTGTCAAACTTCAGGCGATGATTGTGTCAGAAGAACGCACGAACCATCCCGTGGTCCACATTTGCGAACGGCCTCCTCCGTACGAATAGAATCGAAAGCTTCCCGGCCGTTCACCGGATGGCCGGCCCCACTACGGACCACCTCACAGCTAACTACCTACTTAGCTGTCGGAGGACTCGGATCTCGTCACTGTTTACTATTGCGAGTTTGATGAGGAAACTCAGTGGAAAATACGACGGCTGATTATTGACTTATTGAGCTGTTTTATGATACTCGAGAAAGGACATGTCTTGGTCGCAGCTCAATGTCGACGCTATGCTTAAGCCAGGGCATTGTTGCCTGGGACATAAGCTGTGCCTCACCTCAAGACTCGCCAGATCACGGGTATGGTAAGAAAAGAAAAAGAAAAAAAAGGAGTGAAAAAAGGTTTGCTTGCTACTCTCCTCGTCGGCCAGCTGATTATACAGAGAAGTGCTTCGGAACCTAACATGAAAGCTTGTTCAATGCACAACTCTGTTGAGAGTAAGGCACAGGTGTTGCTTTACCAGGGCCCCACCAAAAAGCGATCTAATGAACATCCACCCAAAAACATCTAGACATGACGATGCTCACTCCCTTGATCAACCACCACCGTTCACATCAACGTCTGATCACTGTCGTCGACTGCCACATCGCGCAGAAGAAACGACATACAATTGACCATCACAGACGCCGAGATGTCTCTCCCGCCATCGACGATTCGCATCAAGCGCAAGCGCGACGACAGCGAAGCGCCCGTAACCTTTCTACGTAAGAAGCCCTTGCTCGTCCCTCCCTGCTCGGCGCAACAGACAGTTCTCCTGGCTTTTCTAACATATATCTATCACAGAACTCGACGAGACTGTGAAGCGTGCGAGGAATGGCAGTGGTTACATTTACCAGCGCAAGCAACCTACACTCCCAGCATCCGTCGACGCCCCAGCGACACCGCGACAAGATGCCAAACCAACCATCCACGTGTCCCCATCGCCCATCCCACTGCGCAAAACCCTCTCGCCGAAACCGAGCTTGTCGAGACTTCGATCGGAGACACAAAGACGGTTTCATCTGAGCAAATCCAATTTGTCCGCACAGGGGAGCGGCGTGCTTAAGAAGCGCCCAGCTGGACCGGCCGTCTTTGTCGAGAGGAACCGCAAAAGGGTGGCGCAACGACTCGAAGAGCAGCGAGGAGAGTCTGACTTTGCCGACGCGAAGACGGAGGACGTTTCGGTGAATGAGGCCGCGCCGTCGCGCAAGCTGAAGCGGCCGGGCACAAAGACCGTTGCCGCGCAAAAGCCAGCTGCCAGTGCCGCGCCGCTGCCAGTTTCCGCTGCGAGACCGCACGCGGAGAATATGGACCGCATCACGGCAGACATGAATTCGTGGGTCATGGCGGAAATTGGCGCTACTTTGCAAGAGATGGACCAGGAGAAGCAGAGGACAGCAGCGCGGGCGCGACCGAAAGCACCAGCCCTACGCTATGCGGACCGCCATCCAGAGTCGAGGACACACGCACCCGGGAACAAGGAGGATGATGATGCCATGGCGATTGACTCTAGCGACGAGGATGATGGCGACTGGGTGATTGAGGAGTACGTCCGGATCCCTCTGCAGAGCATGACTGTCGACGTCAACCCCGGCGACGTGGGCGTTCTGGTTCTCGAGGGCGAGGAGGAGGATGTCTTCTTCTTTGGGCCGGCACATGATGAGGATGACGACTACCTCGAGGACGATGAGGACGAAAACGGTACGTCGAATCCATGTTCATCTCAACTCATGCGGAAGACAGAAGCTAACAACAGGAAAGCCGAGAATCATTATACAGCCGACTACCCCGAGGACGAGGTCGACTCTGATGATGAATACAATCGTCACGCTTACTTTTACCGCAACCAGAATGCGTCAGATGACGAGGAATACGACAATGAACGGTTCGAATACCGTAGCGACGATGGAGAGGACGGTTTTGTCATGGAGGGTGACGATCACGAGGAAGTCACAATGGCACGAATCAAGAGGTTCATGGAGAGGTCGCGCGAAGCTGGGTACCGCTAGGATAGCTACCCGACAATGAGAACGACTGTTTTGGTGATGGCACATCATTTTCTATGCACACTTGTGTGAGCGACTTGACCACGGTGTGCTGTTGATAAATTTGGGGAGTACACAATCATTACAGTGTTCAATTAACGTTCGTATAGAATAAGGCGCCTGGTGAAAGGCGCCCCCATTCATCCAGAGTCATTTTCCGTCCGCCCGTGAAAATGAAGTATACAGCAATAAGGGGAATAGAAGAGGATAAAAGCACGACCTTTTAGCGTCCAGTGAGCCGCTCCCCAGTGGTATATCAACACCATCCTAGTCTCAGGCAACCGCCCATAGTCATCCAGATAGGCTCCAAAGAAAAGTAAAACAAAGGGGAATATCCGCGCGGCAAAGGAGAAGAACAGACAGAACAAAGAAAACGTTGTACGTTAGTGTCGTGTCGTGTGATCGTGAGATCATAGGTAGTTGGTATCGTAAGGCATGAGGAATCTGGAATATGACGCGTGGGGAAACCAGTTCATAGCTTTGATCGAGCGTTGGGATGGCCAACGTAGGGATGGCGGTCTTGCCTCGACTGCTCCCTTTCGCGCCGCCTCGCCTGGCGGTCATCGAGCTGCTGCTTGCGCTTGGCGGCTGCACAAAGTCAGTTTGACAGGTTCGAAAGAGAGACAGTAAAGGAGAACAGCTCACCCCACTCGGAAGCTTGCTCCCGATGAGCTGGATCGACCCAGTGATATGTCACGGCGCGCTCAGGATAGCGTTGGCACAGGGTGGGAAGGGCGTCGCGTTCGCGGCACTTGATCTGGCGCACCTGCGGCGCGATATCGTCCTCTTTGTCAAAGACGAGCCAGCCATCATCATCCCAGACCGGAATGTTCAGATTCGCGCGGTAGTACCACGCTTGAAGGCCTTGGGTTGAGCGGAGGGGGCCACCAAATCGGCGTCCGAACTCCTTGCAGACATCCTCCCACTTGAGTCCCTTGTCTGTCCACATGTAGATGATAAAGTCGCCTTCCTCATTGGTGTACTTTTTATTGCAATGCTTGCCCTTCTCGGAGGAAGGCGATGGATAGCGTGAGGCATCATGCCGGCTGGTATATCCTGAGGTGGGGTAAGGGCTGTGGTAGTAATGATGAGATTTTGATGACGGAGTGTTCACGTAGACTGGCTGGTCATATAGGGCCCTCGGTGGCGGCAACGGCTCGTTTGCCACGACAGGCGTCCTTTGCAATGGCCGCACTGGGAAGGGGGGTCCAGATGACTGGATGAGGGACTCGACGCCGCGGTCAAACTCAGCGAGACTGGGAAGCTGAACTGGTGAATTGGCCGGTGGACTCGAGCGAGCCGTGGTGTAGCTTGAGGAGAAGCTTCCTTGTGTCAAAGTAGGTGATCCTTGATGGTCGTGTTAGTGTCGCTCTTACATACGGGAAGTTGGCTCAACTCACCTTCGATCTTGATATGGGGGCTCCCAAAGTCCGAGGCTGGTGGCGTATGCGGTAATCGAGGGATCTTGTCCACATCTTCGGTCTTCATGGAGGACAGGAGGTCCTGGAATCTGCGTGCTGATGGCCTTGCGGGCAGCATCAGTCTAGGCACATTGTCTAAGCGTCGTCGAATAGCTGGCCGATCTGCTGAGTCGGCTGTGCTCTCCATGTCCGTTTTCCTCTTCAACCCCCTAGATGGACTCAAGATCGCGTATTGATCTTGGGTTATCGACATGATTCAGACCCTTGGAGGCTGGTCCTCCCTAGCTGTGGTGGACGGCTGTATGTAGTTGGCGGGGCGGAGGGGCTCTTCAGCCAGACACTTGAGGTCTGTGATTATTCAAGCTTGAGCGGAGGGCAGCTGTGGACAGTAGATTGGGAGGGGAGCGTCGTGGTATAATAATGAAATGCGGCGGGGCTGAGTACGGACGACCAAGAACGGCAGACGTCGCGATGATGTTGACTATGCTTGGTTGCTTTTTCTGGCAGACACCGGGTACCTGAATCAATGGTAAATGAAGAAGTGGTCAGAAAAGTGGGAGGAGATGTGCAAGAGAAAAGGAAGCGTCGCTATTCATATCTCCAGAGTGAATGATTGTCTCGAGTCCTGATGTCTAGGTCCGAGCTGTGTGGCACCGCAGCTTGGGATGTGACGGAACCAACATACAGCTGGACACACACCCCATCGTCTGGGTCCCATGCTGTGTGCTTGAGCGGATGGACCAGGAGAATGTACCGGCACTCCCTAGCAGCAAGGGACCGAGCGCGCATTTCTACACGTAGAAGGGTACCTTGCGGCAACCCAAGACAGGGGCGAGTTCCCAAGCTTCTTGGTCGATACATGTCGATGCATGTCTCCGAGAGAGCGAGAGACACATCCCCATGAATGACCTATAATGGACAGCACTAGCTGCGCCGTCCCGCAAACGACATAGTAATAAGTCGTGCATCCAATCCATAGCGCGCCGCTCATGTACGTACTTAGTTGAGCACTAGCAGCCAGCTGGTACAACAACATGGACGCGGGTCGAGCAAACGAGTGCGAGGTTGGGGAGACTCGCATTAGGATCGCAGTACGTCCATGTCTAGGGAATCAGGGCTCCGTGGTGGGAAAGGCTCGGTGCAGAGTGTGCGCAGGGGAGGCGAGGCAAAGCAAAGCAGATCTAAGCAGGGGCAGCCTAATCGAGGGGAGGTGAGTGGCTCGGGGGAGATTCGGGGCCGATGCTGCAGAAGTCGAGGCGATCGTCAACGACAAGAGGTGCCCCGGTATAATAGTAGCATATTCGGATTTGAGTTGGCAGGTCCAGCAAGGTACGTACGTACTACTATTACTGCGGCTCTGGTGGCTTTGGCATGGGCCATTCATTGACCATGAATTGATTGAATGATGGGTTGAATAGAAAACACGCGGCTTAGCAAGCACTGTCGGAGCATCCAGAACGGCCGTTGCGAACACTACGCCCTGCTATTGGCTAGACCTGCAATTGTGTGCCATTGATGCCCAGGTCCATCCAGGCTCGAACCTCCAGCAATTACGGCGAACCAGAGATTTGGAACGAGATGATTTCACGAGGATGGCGCGCCAATCAGAAGGCATCCGTCAGCTGTTGGTCGTGCAGCTCGGTCCAATGTTAAGAATCCTCCACATCCTGGCCAGAACAATTCACCCGAGTACATAATTACTGCTTCCAGTTTTTTGGGTCGCTCGGTTGCGGCTTGGAAAGGTGGTGATTCCGGCGAGCGCCCAACCAACACCCACGAGCTGACGCAGCAGAAGTTCACCAGCCAACCGTTTGTAGACCCGCGAGAACCTTGGCTCGTCCAGTGGGCTAGCATGCGTACGGGGTACTGCGATAACAGAAATCCGAGACTCTCTGATACGGACAGTTCCTTAATCTATGCAGTAGGCGCAGTAGGCAGAGGTCTGAGCACGCGGGACGACGGCCTTGCCCTGCGCGACAACGCGGGACGGTCACGGGGAATGTCTTGACAGCAGCGGCGGCCAATGCCAGCACCTCGATTGGCTCTAGTCATCAGAAAAGCTGCGCACCTAGTCCCTGTGACTCTTGCGGGGGGGCAGCCAGCCGGCTCTCTGGCCGTCGTGAGCAACGAAAAGAGGTGGACCTGGACTTTTGAAGGGTGCACAGCAAAAAGCAAACATGCATCGAGACTGCACTGCTAAGCCACCATCCTCACCATGAGCTGGCACAAGACCTCGCTACTGCAAAAAAATTACCTGAATGCATCGTTTGGCTCTTGGGAAACGCGCTCGCGGGCTCAATGGTGATTGTCCAGGATGGCCGGGTCCGTGGGTGTGTCAGAGAAGGCACTCGGGTGTTACTGAAGCTGTGATAGGACCGGGGATCACCTCCGAGGACAGGATAGCCAACACGTCGAAGAAATCATGTGTTGGATGCATGGGTGCCAGAATTGCCCGGCTTGACTTGCGGCGTCCGGGAATGTTCGCACCACCCGGGATCAATGCTTGTTGCCGTCGTGGCTGGCAGCTGGCAGATCAGACTCAGATCACCAGTCGTGGAGAACCCTGTTCAACAAGGCTTAGCGCATCGTCCATTGTTCAAGTCTGAAGCGGGGTGGGTCGGAAAGATCGTCGTACGTGCGTACTTACTCCCAAGTAGGTAGGGCACGATTAGCTGCAGCTTGAGGGTAGTTTCCGGTAGTAAAAAGCATCGGCAAGGTTTGCGGATGCCCTGCTTCGTCCGTGGGACGAGGTGACGCGAGGGATTGTGATGAAGGTGAGGATTGATAGATGGGTGGTGGAGAAGCGCACTGCTATGTGCTTTGGTCGACAGGGGAGTCCGCCTGCCTTATCAGGAAGCCTTGAAGCACGAAGTTCGAACGTAGGTACCATACCAGGTACCTTGAGGCGTCCGGAGTACCTCTGCTGTATTGATTGATATCCAGATCAAATTCCAATATTTATTGTTCCATGAGCTAAGTAAGGTAGCACCTGCTGTGCGCACGTACCTGCTGACCGGGGCACGGATGAACGCAGAGATGAACGCACGGATGGACGGAAAAGCGTATTGTTCTTCATCCTTCCAGTTGGCCGCCTGTTATCACGTGGTCTATATCACAAGTTTGTCACACTGTGATAGCCCAGGATTAGCAACAGGGATGCAAGCCCAGTCTAACTGGTCACTTGGACTTGACATCTCACTTGTCCATCGATTATCATTGCAGCAACTCGACTCATGCAGCACAGAGCTTGCCCACGATACTAGTCAACAATATCCCTCGTGCCCACGAGTGCATGCTCTTGCTGCTTTTTTTCTTCCTTTTCTTTACGCGTCCGTCCGTCTATTTACGCGTCCATCCGTTTACCACTCTGGGCAAAGCCATGCAACACACACGCCCCTCACTACGATTTTGCTCGAGTAATTAGACATGACTTTGCTGCACAGTCTCGCTCAGCGTGTGGAGAACCCGGCCTTCGCTGCCGTGCTAGACTAGCTAGGCAGATCGGGTGGATCATGCATAGTGAAGTGGGCATCAAGATGGCATCGGTGGTGGCGAGCGATCTGAGTGCTAGCCGCTGCGATATAACCTGGGGCGACGACCCGGATGTTTCAGCGTGGCCGAGAGATGCTTCAATTACGTGTGCATGAGTTCAGCTGCCCCGTCATCTTGGCTCCTTGCCCAAGTCGTCAAGCCCAAGCGCACCCTTTGCCTGCCTAGTCCAGCTCCAGTCTCCTTGTCTTCCAGTTGCAGTGGCTATCGTCTGCGAGGGGGTCGTCAAGCGTTGCCGTCGGCACGGGCCCCTGATTCAGTCTCCCGCAGCTATCGTCTGGTTCCGTTCCGCCTCTCCCAAACGTCTGGCACGGCAGTCCTCGACGTTCGCTTAATGAAGAAATGGCCATTGCCAGCGACGACATGACTGCCTCCGTCTCTGGGCCCGACACGGATACACAGGGCCTCGCCCAGAATCCCCTCTTGGCTCAGCTCGACGCAAGGGGGCTTCGTACCTTGCAGCCAGGAACATCAGGGTCCGAGACCATGTCGACGTCACTGTGCCGCTCGTGTGTATGCCGTCCGCGTGTTCGCATGCACTGCCTTCACAATTTGGAGTCGTCCTGGGACATGGAGCCTGTGCCTGGAAAGGATTCGTCCCCTGAGAAGTTCCTGCGGCACCCAATGACCCAATGTTAGCTCACACCCCCTTTCCGTGAGACAAGACAGTCGCTTGTGGAAGGAAAAAGACAGTCAACGTACCATCCGCGCTCCTCTCCGTGCGTCAGAAAGCTGCAGTCGCTGTTCAGCTCGCAGTCCCACGCGTCGTCATCGCCTCCCCTCCTTCGATACGTGCTCAGCCCACATGTGAAGGCCTTGAAGTCGACCCGGTCTGGCTCGTCAGGTATATCGCGTGTGAGTATCCTGCCCAGCGCAATCACGACGGCAGCATGCGAGCACAGCACGATGGCGCGGTGGCCCTTGGCATCTGCCTTTGCGATCAAGGCTTGCACGGTGGCCGCCACTCTCTTATACAGCTGCGGCAGCGTTTCGCCACGGCGTGACGCCTGACGCGTCGACACGTAGTCCATGTCATATGCTGGGAACATGCCCTTCAGGGTCTCGGCGTCCGCTGGCTGAGGATGATCAAACGGCGCGGCTCCGAACCATTCTGCTATGCCGTGCTCTGGGCGGATCAGTGTGTCGCGGCCGGCAAGCTCAGCATATGGTGTGATGGTTTGGAGACATCGGTAATAGGGGCTAGAGTAGACCGCGTCAATAGCTGGCCGCAGTGTGATGAGGTGGCTCGCAAGCTCGGCAGCCTGCTGAGTGCCGTGAGACGTGAGAGGGGGGTCGGCAGCAATGCCGGTGGGTGAGCGAACACTTGATGAGTAGACACCTGTCTTGTGGTCGACGGACCAGGCCGTGCGGAACTATTAATGGTCAGTCCCACACCTGGGTTGAATCTCAGTGAGGGACTTACACCGTGGCGAACCACGTAGATGACTTCCAGAGGCATGGTTGGGACAGCGGAGCCGTAATCGTTGCTGGTGGCGGATCCAAGAGCAGAGGTTCAGGGGATTGTGTTCAGCAGTGTTCATGAGGCAGGAAACCAACGAGGTGGAGCCGCGAGACCATCGAAAAAATGTGACCCACATTGGTCTGGTCACGGTTAAGGACTCTCGGTTATCGCAGTGCCTGGCATCGATTCAAGTTCCAGACAGCATGAGTTTCTCGTCGAGATATTCACTGAAAGTATTGGGCATCGGTGTGAGTCGTTAGTATGTTCAAAAGCACATGTGGACAACCAAGCGCTGTGCCATTTCCACGGACCCGGCAATTGGACAAAGTGGGCTGCGAATAGACTGATTCTAAACGAACATGAATGAATACAACAAACGAATGTAAAGCAACCGCATCAGCAAAAAATAGAGTACAAGCAAAATAACAATTTCACATAATCTCGAGCTGTTTTACTGTAACCTCTCATTAGTGATATTGAGGGTCCTTCAGACGTTTGACGCGAGTGCAAGAACCAACCTCGGCACATCCAAAACCTGTAGGGTAGTCAATTCGCTACACGGAGGAGGGTGGAGCGAAAGACATGGTAAATGATAATGATAGCAGTTGGAACATTAATGCGTACGTGTACGGAGTACATTCTCAAGAAATCGCTTACATATAACGAAAGAAGTCGCCAGAGAAGCCTAAGAAACGCCTGCCCAACCCTTTTCCAAGTGTCAATAATCCAAAACCAGTTGCGCCCCTTATTCCACATGTCGAATTCCAAAACAACCGCTTCACATCATAAAACAAGATCCCATTGTCCGAGCGCGGCGACGAGCATTGGGCGCCAACCCGTCTTCCTCATTGAGATGAAGAGCCTGCGCCTCCCTAGCACGACGGCGTCGACGACGGCGCCCAGAGCCTCCAACACCTGCTTCCTCCACAGCTTGCATGTAGTCGGCCCATTTCCTCTCCAATTTGTTTGCCGCAGCAAAGTCGCCTTGGAGCACGCGCTTCTGGTGCTCATCGATCGTTTGCTGGAATCCATAGAAGCACTTGAGCGCTACCGTCTCAGTCGGCCATGAGATCTGCGCGGGCGAACCACGAACCGCCCGGATTTCCGCATTGCGGAAGAGAACTTCTCGGATGCCTGTCCAAGTCACATTTTGGCAGTCATACGCAACCAGTTTCAGAGTAACCTGAGGCTTCGCCCCGGCCACGGTAGTTCTTTGAGACCTTGTAGTGACCAGTAGTGCTGCCTCAGTGAGAGTCAAATCACTGATGCGGGTGTTGTCAAGATCCACGCTTCGTAGGCTCACGCAGTTCTGGAGAAGAGGGATCAGTCCTGTGTCACTGAGATGCTCGCAGTAGCTCAGCGAAAGATGCTCAATGGTACGTGCGCAAGGAGCCTTGGCCAAGTGCTCAGAGAGGAGAGCATTGGTAATATGCTCCAAATCCTCCAATTCGAGATGCGTCAGGCGAGGTGTCGACGCAAGAACGGGCTCCAATCCCGCATCACCAACCAATCTGCAGCGAGAAAGTTGCAAGCCTTCAAGATCAGGCGTGAGATGCCCCATGGAGCTGATGCCGGCGTTTGTCAGACGAGCGCAACGGCTGACGTCCAGATGGCGGAGTTTCCTTGCCGGCACAACCGGCCTGTCCGTCAGCACGTCGATCTCTGGATCTACACCGTGCATCATCGTGCGCAAGGCCCCGTCATCCAACTCGGCGCAACCGCTGAGAATGAGTCTCTCCAACTTGTTAGTCTTGAAGATCGCCTCGGCTAGATCAAGGTTGTCGAACCCGCGGACTTCGCCGGCCCGTAGATCTCGCAACCTAGAACAGCCCTCAACGACGGCCTTGATTCCTCGCGAATCCACTTTTCCACACCAAGAGACGTTGAGTGATTCGAGCTGCGGACAAGACTCAGCAATGATTCTGCACGATCGATTCGAAACCGCCGTCAAGCCTGTCAAATTCAACGCCACGAGTCTCTCGTTGCTTTCGAGCAGGCTGTGCAGAGTTGTCTTCTGAAAGTTCCGACAACCCTCCAATGTAGCGTTCATTAGATTCTTGCAAGCCTTGACAATGACCTCGGCTCGCTTGTAATGCTCAACTTGGACACAACCCCTTAGATTGAGGTCCTTGATGAAAGGCCCCGCAGACGAAATAATCCGCGCAAGCGAGTCTGCAGGAATCTCCTGGTAGAACTTGGAAGCATCCAGAGACATCCAGAGCTGGCCGTCGAAGCAAAAGCTGTGGAAAGATCTGCTAACACGAGATGCCTGGACAAGCTGCTTTGGTTGCAAAAAGGAGAAAATGTAGATTCGAATTTCGTGAGGAACCGCATCCCAGAATTTAAAAGGAGGCTTGTACACAGCGAGAGGGGAGGTCTTGGCCTTGCTCGAAAGCCTGGGACGAGCCAGACGAGCGTCAAGCGGCAGTGGCGCGGTGCCCGGCGTTGACACTGCCTGTCCATGGCCAGCGGGCCGCGCAGCTTCTTCAATGTCGAAATCTCGGGGAAACGGGAACTCGTTGGCCGGTGTTGCCGGCCTCGTAGACGATGGCTGAACAACATTCGATAGGGGCGAGGAGTAGCCATTGCTCGGGGTTGACGGTCCAGTGGCCGCAAGACTCACGCACGATAGCGTGCCCCTCGCACTCGGTCGATACGGAGCGCTATGGGACCGACCGCGCGACAGACTATTGAGAGATGTGACAGACGAAACTCGTTGAAGGCCTCGGAGCAATCTTTGTCGGTTACGTCCTTTTCCGATGGGCAGCTCCCGAGGTTGCTGGGCTGGATCCTCCTCGAGAATAGGGAACGGGGTTGAAGAGCCCGACGAGGACTCACGTACGTGGGACATGGCGAACTGAACCGGAACTGAGGAAGCGGAAACCGAGAAAGAAGATGGCTTGGAACTTCTGGCTAGGCAATCAAGTCGTCGACTCGTCGGTCAAAGGGGCTGGTACTGAAGCGGCGGTGGTTTGGTGGGGTTGAGTGAGGCGCTGCGGGTGACTGGAACCATCAATGCATTCTCAGTTCTCACCGAGGAAAGAATCGTTGATGTGCCGTTGATTGAGCCAAGACAGACAGTCCCCCTCGCTGCTTCGAGCCGGCTCGGATCTCGCGAGAAGTGCTGCCGTCGATCGAGTTCGACCAAGCCAGTCCAATGCACAACGGCGGGTGGTCGACAGGACCTACTGGAGTGCGTAGCGACTAGCGAACCAGGGTCCCAAGGCGCCGTTGCAACTTGGAGCCGCTGGAGCACGACACTTGTGAGCAGTCGAGAATAAGGGCAAGTGCCGGTCGAAGCTGGATTCACATCGACACGAGAGCGATGGTTAAACGAGGAGTCTGGAGAGCAAGGGAGAGACCGGAGGCCATTGAAGGAAGAGGAAGGATGGGTTGAGAGATCATTCTGCCCCTCCATCCATGTTCACATCCGTGTCGGTGGTCGGGCAAGCCAGCCGGTAGGACTGGAGGCTGCAGGGCCATGCGGGCGGCGGGGGGCTCCTGCAGTGGTCCCCAGCAGCCTGCGGACCTTATCGCTAGCACCCGCTAGAACAAGCCCCACCCTTTGTGTTCTGGGCCTCATGTCCTGTGCTGGCTGCTTCGCTCCAAAGAAGCACTGACGTTACACACGTAGTTCCAAGAGCCACGCATATCTGGCCATCTCAAGTGTCCAATGTTGTTCCTCGGACGGCCCGCACAGCGAGTCACGCCTCCAGATGGTCTCAAGTACGCGCTCAGGAGGACCGGTCATCCAGCATTTGCAGCTGACGTTTCCCCGCAAACACTTGTGAGGAAGGCTCCCCCGTCGTGGCACATTACCCCTGTTCTATCGATAAGCTAGTAGCCCCTCACTCCTCCACGCCGCGTGGGCACTTGGCGCTTTGGAGCCGCAGCCCGAAACTCCCTGGCCAACAAGGTGATAGGACTTTTTGGAGTCACTGGACCCTTGTTTTGCGCTCCAGTCCTCAGTCCTGCCTTGTGCTACAACAAGGCTCACGAGCCACCCCATGTTGTGGTCATCTGAGCTGGATCTGTGTCTTGCCTCTGTAAGCGTAGTGTCAATCTGCCCTGCTGGACCTTCACGACAAGTGACTTGGCGTGACCGTGCAGCCGGCCTTTGCAACTCGTGAAAGTGCCTCATGCTGAGGATCCGGCAAAAGGCCTAGCTTCTCGCGAGTCGCGTCTTCTCGAACGGTGACATGGAACGCGCTGCCAGTGGACCGACCCGTTTTGGGGCCACCCACAGGGACTGCGAGGCGTGATTCTGAAGCAGTGGTGGTTGTTTAGGCCCGCATTCTGACTCGGGCATTGCCCGGTCTAAACACATATACAGTACGTGTGTATAGCACATTAGTACCTCAATTGATTATGAGGGGTTCTCTGACCTGTTTTGCCACCAACAACACTAGTGGACTGTCGGGACTCCCGAGAACCACCAAATGCCCCCTTGATTGATCAAGTATGGACGTTTTGCCTGTCCCAGTCAAGTTGAATCTTTAACTCCTTAACAGCTATAAGGTACGTTCACGACTGAGCACGTAGTAAGTATTATAACACACGTCGACACTTAATTAATCACTTGCCTTGCTCTGCATCACATTCCACAGCTCATGAAAACAGACGCGATGACCAGGGTAGGAATCACTTCAGCCAAGGACGATTATCTCTGAAGATTGCGGTAGGTTGTCCATCCATCATTGAAATGTAGGCCACCGCAAGGAACTACCACACTGCGTTGGCGATCCGAGATCAAGTCACACCAACCCCAACTTATATACGGATATTGCGTCCCCAATCTGGCGAGAACGAGCGATCAGTTTTTGAGGAAGAATGTCGTCTCGACAGCGTTGACAAGTACCGTACTCTATTAATAATAATGCAGTAGTGGGACAAAACCACCTACTACTAATTAGTCTAGTGCAATGAGCCAACGCAGGTTCAGGCGCAGATCATCGTGAACCCTTTGTAGCTAGGAAGTTATTTAGTCGACACGTGCCGCGAACCCTGACAGCCAGCAATAGTCGAAGTCTGTCTTCACCAGGTGAAATAAGGATCAATGAGGACTGTGACTCAACAAGAATGAAGCCTTGAACTTCTACTTAGCTTGGGCACATTACTTCTCGTCACACTCAGACTCGAACTGCTTGTACTTGGTCATCCAGACGAAGAAGCCACGACAGTCCGCGCCCAAATCGCCTGTAGTGTATTAAGTTACATCTATTTGTTTCGAGCAGGGCCTCGGCCAGAACTTCAACATCGACCTGCCATCACCACTGCTTCTCATTTGCTGAGCTATTACACCTACTACGTTGGCATTACCCCTCTGCCACTGCCACCAGACCGCTCGCTGCGCTTCCTGCGCTTCACTCTCTCCAGTCACTGGCTGCCCCGCACGCCGAAAAAGCTTCACATCCTGCGAATTCCTCGTCGCCGTCATTGAGTCTCAACCCCAGCCGTCCTTGCGATTTTTCGCGACCAAGTCAGACACCGACTCATACACACGAAAACGGAGACCACCACAGCCTGGTACCAATACGAACCACCATCCAGCTCAGATTGAATCCACTACCGTGCCCAACGGCGTCGATAACCCCTCACTCATTGGTCCGTCTTTGTCGTCAAGCGTTTTGGCTTGTGTCAACCTACGAAAGGCCACAGTCTCGAGGTCGACATTCACCAGTCATCCACTCTGCGACTGGGAGACAAAAAGGCGCCTATTTTTCCGCCTTTTTTTCCGCCTCTTTTGCTTTTCGATTTTCCTTCGCCCTCTTCAAGGCTGGAACGACTGGAGCCAGGCATCAGCAGCACCCGGCACGGTTGGCTGATCCCAAGACCAACAACCTGACGAATCCCACGATTGGGGGCCCTGTGATCCTGCCCACCACTTCCACAGTAGCCGACCCGTCAGCGCCTTCCCGGCGGCGCCTGTCGCGACGCATCCGCCTCAATTATGCCCGAGACGCATGGCGGACCTCACGACCACCAATATGGTACCCCCTTCCCCGTGCCCCCAGCTGAACAGGTAGTACTCAGCATGCGTGCGATACGATACGCTGACACCGACCCTACACAGGCGCCGACAATACATCAGAAGGAGAGGAGCGTGGGCGAGGCAAGCTGTTGCAACCGCTCTCGTTGCCCAAGAACCGCAGCACTGGCAACTTGCCCATCTCAGCTGACCCTTCCGACAGAAGCCGTCTCAGAATGTCCCTCGACGCATCGGCTGCCCTCCTAGACCATGACGTCCTCACGAGGTTGGTTCCCCGGCCACCTGTCGCCTTCCCGTGGACGCCCTTGCTAATCGACCTCTACCACACAGATCTTCTTCCCTCCTGACCGACCACGAGCACGGCCTAGGCCTGTCTGGCCTTCATCGTATACGGCAACAGCAGCCTCCATCGCGAAAGCCCACCATCCCTGGCTCGAATGCTTCTTCCCGAAGCCCCTCCGTCGTCGCACTCTCCCGAACGCCTTCCTTGAGCGTACTATCCCATGCCAACAGTATGCCTCTCTCTGCAGGACCGACTTCTCCTAGCTTCGCCGAAGATCTGTCGAGATTCCCATCCGAGTCGCTACATTCCTTCTCCTTCGCTCACCAATCCGAGGATTTCATCCACAGCAGGCAGAATGTTCTCAAAAGATCGCTCGAGTTTATGAAGGACCGCATGGGTTGGCCTATGAATTCGGCCCAGGCTGGCCTTGCCAGTGCGCAGGCACGCGTGACCGGAGACGTGGACGCGCAAAACATGTTGGAGCTTCTCGCACGAGCACAAATCATCGGTGCCGGCAATCTTCCAAATCCTGATTCCACGATTGATCCAGGCCCGTTGACCGGCCCGGCGATCGTTTCCAACCAGAATGTATTCGACCAGCATTTTGTTCCGAGGTCTTCGAGTCCCGAGCCCATATCTCCGATTCCGAAATCAATGTCAAACGTTTCTGCGGCGAAATCCCACGATGTATCAATAGGCAATGCTCAGGCTGCGGTGGGGGCGCCGGCCGATGTGTCCGTGAACAAGACCATATCGGAGGACTCGAGCAGAAGCACCCCTGACGAGAGTGTATCCTCGAGGAAGAGATCCCCCCCCCGAGCTCTGAGACCTACAACGCTGAAGCGAACAATGACCGATACAATGCACATGAGCATGGAAAACCGGCTCATGGATACCATGTCACAGCCCTTCTATTCCGAGACAGTCGCTTCACCAGCCCTGACTCCTTCCACTACGGCGTCAGCGAATTTCCCAAGTGCCCTGGGCTCTTCTGTTCACGGACACACAAACAGATGGGTGCCCGCTGCCCAAGCGATATTTACAACCGAAGCGAAACCGCCGTGGACCATCATCGCCGCGAATGACCTAGCGTGTCTCGTTTTCGGTGTCACTAAAGCTGAAGTGCGCAAGACTGGTATACTAGAGGTTGTACAAGAAGAGAGGCGGGCATGGCTCGAGCGGAAACTACTGAGCAACGGCGACGATGATGCCGAAGAGGAGAGACCGGAAAGCCGCAAGGCAAGTCCTGCCTCCTCAGCAGCATCGGCCCTCCTGGGCGGCAAGTCTGGCATCACAGCGCAATTGCTCAACAAGCCGAACTCGCGCGCGCAACCCCCGAAGTACAAGGAACGAAGATCACAGACGGTCCACAGTGGCGACCCCAACCCTCCCAAAACAAGGGGAAGCGAGCGTCACCGCAGCACGCTTTCGAGAGGCGTTCTTTTGTGTGGTGATGTGGTCCCCATCCAGAAGCGTAACGGCGCGACAGGCTCTGCCAGTATTTGGGTGAAAGAAAAGAGGGTTGGTCTTATTTGGGTACTGGAGGAGATCCACGAGGACACAGCCTACATCACCATTGATGAAGAAGGTGTAGTCCAGCAGACTACCGGCGCGACGCGGGCGATTTGGGGCGTCGAGTCGCCGCAGCGAGGGTGCGACGTTGGCTCACTCATCCCGCGCATCCCTCGCCAAGGCATCGACCCGAACACGGGCGAGATTGACTTTGCTCAGATTAGAAGACGCAAGTTTTTCACCTGCCCAAATCTGAAGAAGGTCAACGTGCCCTGCACCATTGAGCAGGTCCGCGGCAAGCTGGAGCTGCGTGTCTCATCCTACCCTCACATTGCGGGCATGATTGTCCTCGACCCGCGCACACTGCATATCCGCAGTTCCAACTCGGTCTTTTGTGGTGCCCTTTTTGGTTTCGAAAAACCCGATGGCATGTCCATCAATGCTCTAGTGCCCGGCTTTGACAAGATTCTGGAAATGCTCACTGAAGAGGAGGGCCTGGAACTGCTCGAGGGCATGGTCATACCTGAGGATAGGTTCCGAAGAGCATCTGGTTTGCTGGCTGTCCGTGAGCATAGACCCGACGCGTCTGATGTCTTTTTGAAACCGGACGGGCTTCCCGCGAGACATCGGGACGGGTCAGATCTCAAGATTGACGTACAAATGCGGGTGGTCAAGAGCGAGAAGCAGGGCAACGTCCTCGAGGAGACCGTCATTGAGGGCAGCGACGAGGAAAATGACTCCAAGAAGGACGACGCGTCCCTAGTGGTGCATCAGTCCGAGATGGTGTACGCTCTGTGGATCACATACTCCAGGCATCTCCATGGCGAAAAGCCATCGGTCGACGTCGGTACCACTGCTGAAGCCGAGGCAGCTTCACCGTTGCATCAACCGTCGCCGGGGCAGACACCACCAGCGCTCTCGCCGACCGAGATGGAGTCGGATGACAGCAATGCCAAGGCGGAACCGACAACATCCAAAGGCGGTCTCTTCTCCAAGAACTTCAAGGACGTTGCCAAAAACGCTGCTGCTAAACTTACAGGACACAGTCAGTCTGCGCCCAAGACGAGCGACAAACCAACGCCGCCCCGAGCTGTGGAGCCTGCAGCCAAGCCCAAGATTGAGGACTACACCATCCTTGAGGACATGGGGCAGGGAGCATACGGCCAGGTCAAGCTTGTCCGTCATAAGGTGACGGGCAAGAAGGCTGTGCTCAAGTATGTGACCAAGCGACGCATTCTTGTTGACACTTGGACGCGCGATCGAAAACTCGGCACCGTGCCCTTGGAGATCCATGTCCTCGACTATCTTCGCCGCCCAGAGTTCCGACACCCCAACATTGTAGAGATGGAGGGCTTCTTCGAAGACAGCGTCAACTACTACATCGAAATGAAGCCACATGGTCTCCCTGGCATGGACCTCTTTGACTACATCGAATTACGAGCGAACATGGAGGAATCAGAGTGTCGGAGTATTTTCAAGCAGGTCGCCCAGTCCATCCACTTCCTCCACACCAAGGCGATGGTTGTCCATCGCGATATCAAAGACGAGAACGTCGTTATGGATGGCGAAGGGAACATCAAGCTCATCGACTTTGGGAGCGCGGCGTACATCAAGAGCGGGCCCTTTGATGTGTTTGTGGGCACAATTGGTTCGTTACAGACTGCCAGGCGGAGTGCGTGAGACGAACAACGGCTGACTATGTTAGATTACGCAGCACCCGAGGTCCTCGCCGGCAAGCCCTACGGCGGCAAGGAGCAAGATGTGTGGGCACTCGGCATCCTCCTCTATACCATCATATACAAGGAGAATCCGTTCTACAGCATCGATGAGATTATGGACCGCGACCTGCGCATACCGTACGTCATGAGCGAGGAGAGCATTGATCTCATCCGCTGCATGCTCGACCGGGATGTGCCACAGCGCTACGATATAGAAAAGGTCCTCGCCCACCCCTGGCTGGCATGATGCATACGCACACGGATATGAAATGACTTTTAAATAAAAATGTGACAATGGGTAGACGAAGCATTTGAGACGCGGAGTTTTTACAGACGTTGGGGACTGGGGCGTCTGAAGAGGAGGGAGACAACGACACAGTACGGATATTTTTACCATGCCTGCGTCGAGCAGAGTACCAGAAGCAATGAGCGCTCTTGTCATTACCAGCAGCCGCAGCCGCAGCAGCAGCAGAATAGCCCTCCTTTAATAATTGAGCGTTTGTACTTACAGGAGCGCACATGAATCAGGAAAAGAATAGAATTCTTCACCAGTCCCGCCCCCCTCTAATGATAGCTTAGTTCCGGATTGGCCCTAAAGTTGCAGCGGCAGCGACACTCGGGAACCGGACACTCCGTATGCCGCGCGAACCATTGCCGTGCGTGATCCAAGTGCAGGACGTGGTCGCAGCGCAGGCAGAATGTAGGGAAGCGGCCGGCCATCTTGGTGTCGGGGTGCTCCTCGGGACGATCGCTGCGCGGCACGCCGACGACCTCCAGACACACGATGCAGCGCGGCAGGTGACGTCCGCAGTTGGGACAGCTGACGCCCGCGTTGATGCTCGTGGTCAGCATGGGGTTGCGCGCCTCGCCGCCGGAGGACGTGCGCTGGTGATGGTGAGAATGGTGGTGATGATTCGCCAGGGACGTCTCGGCGTCGCAGTACACGCAGCGCAGGGCGATCTGTCGCGACGGCGGCTTCAGCGTCGGGACGCCCTCGCGCTTGGAGCGCTTGGTCGACTCGACCTCGAACTTTGTGCGGTGATGGAAGAGCTTGTGGCGCTGGAGGTGTTCCCTGTACGCGCGCCGCCAGGCCCGGCAGCGGATGTCGTCAATGTACTTTGGGTAGCCTATCGATAGAACGAGCGTGGCGGTCTGCACGTCGCCAAATTTCTGGATGTAGCGGGCGAAGATGTCGACCGTGGCGTCCGTGATGCCGGTGAGGACGATGCCTTCGACGTCGCCCTCGTGCACGGCGCGCGCCACCTGCTCGTGGAGCCAGGCCGTCAGCTGGTCGTCTGGGAAGTTGCGTACGGCGACAAAGGCCCTGTCGGATAGGGGGAGAGAGAGCTGGTTGGCGATGGACGTCCAGTCGCCCGTGGCGATGAGGGAGGACATGGCCTGCAGGTATGGGTCCGTGTTGGAGGCCACTGTCGGGTCAAAGTCCAGCTGTTCTTTGGCAAGACGCTTGTCGCCGCGGCCCATGAGCTGGAGGGCAAGGGACACGAAGAGGAGCGCTGGGTGTGCCTTGCTCGCCCGCTTGAGAATCTGGACCGCTTGGGGTGTGTCGCCCCTGAACAAGGCTCTCGACGCGGCCATGGTATGGATCGTCGCTGGGTATTCTGGGTCGACATCGGCGGTGGGATCGTGACGTTGCAAATCTCCCCATCCGCAGATCTCAAGACACAGTTGTCTGTGGTGAGGGCGCTTTGTCGTGACACCGTCAAACTTGGGCAGATGCCGCTTCTTGTTGCAGTAGACGCCGAGGGCACGTTCCCAGTGGGAAGGTTCCGGGACCGAGGGTGCGCCTCCAGTCAAGCGTGAAGTTGGATTGCGGCCAAGGTCGTTGGTCCAGACGGAAGCGATGCCCAGGTAGCTAAGGTCCATGGTGGAGATGAGCATGCCGCCATCGTCAGCGGCATGTTCAGCGTCGGCAATCCAGTCCCAGGCAAATTTCACCCACGGGTCGTCATTGACGACATGATGATTGGCTGCCGCGTCGAATAGATACCGCTCCTTGGCGCGTAGGACCATGCTGTGATCGATGACGGACTGTGCTTCTCGTGGCAAGCCGGGCGCGTGGTTCAGTGTCCTGAGAAGGGCTTCGTGGAACTCCCGACACGACCCCACGGCGCCTGTCGCCATAGAAATTCCGCTCTCATTGCTTTTAGCAATGTTGAGGTTTCCCAGCTGCGGCTGTAGATTGGCCAGGTTCTCGTCGTCACCGAATTTCTCGCGTACAAACGCGCGAAGGGCACGCAACTTGCCCGACACGGTCTCCGCCGCGCAGAACGAGTCGGGTAGCTTATCCTGGATCCCGTTGACGAGGTCAGCGCCGACAGTGGCACAGGCACCCGGACGCAAGGTGTGCTCGATTGTCGCCTCGATGTCGGCCTCCTCTGGCCCAAATATGGGTACGTTGGCCAGTGTTTTCTCTATCAAGAGAGGGCCCATCATGCTAGGGGCCTGCGATGGCTCAAAGTGCATCATGTCCATATAGGGCGTTCCCGCTGGATTGCGTCAGTACCACACGTCGACCCGAACACTCACGGTGGCTCCCACTCACCTTCGAGGCCACGATGGGGCGCGCTCCATGGCACCATCTTGTAGACATGATCTGCCGTTTGCGAGGGTTGTTCCACGATTTCAAAGTTTCCGTTGGCCCGGAGCACCAGCATCCGGGGTCGTAGGACCGGCGAGCCGAGCGTCACCCAGTCGAACGACACGATGCTGTTGTTCCTTCTGGACGACTCGGCATACAAGGGGTCCATCTCGTGTGACCGTCCCACCTGCAGTAGTTCCGGGTTCTCGGACACTCCTGCGCTCGATGAATCCCTCTCTCTCTTGGTGTCCAGTATGCGCAACTGTCCCGTTCGGGAGAGCACGGCTAGTAGACCGCGATGGTCGCGGCAGTATCGTAACGACCTGACCATGGAGTATTTGCCTTCGGAGGAGAACGGGTCAAAGTCGGCGTCGATCACTTTGTCGAGCCTGAGCGCGCCGCCCCATGGCAGTCCGTCTTCCTCCGTAGCCTGAACGTATGAATGCTGAGCAACTGCGCGCGTGGTCACGCGTTTGTCCCAGACCATGACCCCAGGATGATCCAATGCTGAGGAGGCAAAGTAGTTCGGATCCGCATAGTCAATGGTTAAGTTATTGTTGCACTTTGTGTGGAACAGTTGGAGTCCACTATTTCGATCTGACTGGAATTAGTTTCGCGTGCGGAAGGGAAACCACTCGCTCAGGAGCCGTTCAACATACCCCTGAGATCATGCAGACGCAGGCCTTGGGCCTTGATCCCAGCCACCAGTGTCTGGGGACTATCCTCAAAGAACTTGATGCTCGAGACGGAAACACTATGCTCGACCCGGTCCCTCGGTTCTGACAGGCCAGGGACATCTTTTGGCAACCCTCTCGTCTGTTTCTTAGCCAGCGAAGAAAGACGATTGACGTCCCAGATGTGCAGACTAGAGTCTACCCGAACGCGGTCAAGACCCACGGCGAGGAGACCTGTGGTGTTGAAGGCCACAGCCTGACAGGTCCGCGTGGTCTTTAGGCCGAGCTCGAGGTAGGCATTGGAGCCATCGTCAATGCGGAGAAGGTTGACGAGGCCTGTGCCTGTTCCGACAGCGAGCAGACCAGGGTTTGTGGGAGACCAGTCGTACGTCGTAAGTGGAGGGAAGTCATCGTGTCGGGTGAGCTTGTCGTAGTCGAAGCGCCCATTGCGCGCGTGACCCGTGGGTTCGTATAACTGAACAACCCTGTGCTGCAGGTTGATGTGTACAAAGCTATCCAAAGAGGAGCTCGGCGACCATTTGACGAGGCCAGGCTCCGGGCGATCCATCTTCCCGGCCGTTGCGTGTCTGGCTCACTGACGATGATGAGGTTGGTGGTGAGTGAGAGGCAGGGGTTTGCGTCTCAAGTATCAGGTCGCGGCGCCATCCGTCTGATCAATTGCAGTCGCATAGCTTTGGGAAGATAGATCCAGGGTGTGTCTGCCTTGACGGGGTCATTAACTCATGTGAAAGACCATTGATACATGGCAATGAGTACGCTGCTGTTCTCATGCATCATCCATCCATCGACGTCGCGACGAAGTCAAAGTGGATAACCCGAGACCACAGTAGAGCCTCGTCATTGGCTGTAGCCTCGAGCGATGCACTAAGCCTAAATGGAGTGAACCCCAGGCCACCCCCACTGAAAAAGTTACCAGCGCCTGCCCAGATACTAACTAAATAATTAATGGGCGAGCATCGCGACCAGATTCACTTTCTCTCCCACCTTGAGCCTCATCACCACCCACAATACCGACGCATCGAGCTACGGGCATAATGGCGACCAAGCGCTCTCACACCGAGGCAGAATTTGACCACATCCACCCTGATCGTGTTCGTGGCGATCTTGCCAACGCCAAGAAGCGCAAACCGAACCTTGCACCGACTGCAAAGTCCCACAAGCACAAGGCCAAAGAAGGCAGCATAGAGTACGCGAAGAAGCGCAAACGCACAATCGAGAGGCTGTTCCAAAGGGATACCGAGCTGCCACAGGATGTGAGGAACGATATGGAAAGAGAATTGGCGGCGCACAAGGCTACGATCGAGGACAAGACATTCCACAGGAGGAGAAGTGCCATGATCTCGAAATATCACATGGTTCGATTCTTTGGTAGGTCTTATTCGGCTCGGCATCCTGTACCGTGTTGTGAATTTCGGGCTGACGTGAGGACAGAGCGTAAGAAGGCCATGCGACTAGCCAAGCAGATCCGGAAGAAGATTGCCCAGGCAGAAAACCAGGATGACCTGGCCCAACTGCAAAAAGAACTACACGTCGCCGAGGTCGACGAGGCGTATACACAGTATCATCCGCATGCGGAGCCGTACACCGGCTTATATGGCAGGACCAAAAGCAGTGACGATGAAGAGACGTTGGCGTTGGCGGACAAGGTGACCTTGGATGCAGAACGGCCGCCCATGTGGAAGACTGTCGAGGCCGCCATGGCAGAAGGAACCAATGCGCTGGTGAAACTCAGGGAGCGACGGTCAGCAGACGGATCCGACGTCAAGCCAGGCTTCAAGCCAGGCAAGAAGCAGTCGAGCAGGACCGATGCGCCAAAGCTTGCAGCACAGAAGCAGAAGCGCGAGGAGCATGGGGCTAGAGCGCAGAATGGCGCTGCGACGCCGATGAACCGTCGCGAGAGGAGGAAACTCATGCACCAGCAGAAGGCGACGGCGGGCCCTCAGAGTGACGACGAGGATGGTGGGTTCTTTGAATAGTAGAGGTAGATGCGTGAGGGTGGTGGTAGGAAGACGGGTGCGCATGGCGCGTAGCAAAACACATGGAAGCCTGCATATAGCCTTTTGGTACCTTCCAAAACCAATAAACAAAACGCTTGTCACCTGCCTCTGTTGCTTCCTGCAGAAATGGTCGAATAGCTCACGTGCATGTGGTTGACTTGCAAGCTTTAACGACCAACTCAACAACCGTGACACCCATCCTGGGGAGCCGCGTGAATTGACCAGGTTCAAGAAGTACCAGACAAACCCAGATGCCACTGCTTTCCTTTTGATTCCGTGTATATTGCCTTAGAAGAAAGAGCAGACACCGCGCATCCATCGGCGCCCAACGCTCACTTGGTTCTCACACAGCCTTCTTCCCCACATTGCTCACCACTGCACTGGCAGAACACAACCACAATCATGTCCTTTGCACCGGCCGCTCCGTGGGACCGACTGCGCGCTTGGATCGACGACAAAGAGAGAGAGGAGCGGACATTCGACAGGCCGGCGAGGCTGACACAGCGCGAGCTCACGGCCATCAGCAACCTGGTCCCCTTGATTGAAGAGCCGGACATTAGCGGCAAGGACCATGTCAGCGCCTTGCACTGTACGTACCTGGCAGAGAAAGGCAGTCGTGGCTCTTGTCTGCTCTAGCTGACGCTCGTGTGCAGATGCCGCGCAGACTAAGCAATGCTCCATGCCGACGTTTGAGGATGAGTCGGTTACCGTCAGTATGAATGGGATCGTCGAAGCGAAATGGCGATGTTACTGCACCATCGGACCGCAGGGCACCTTTCCAAGCCAAGGATTCGGTCTGGACGAAACGGACGAGGCGCCCATCTTTGCGACAAAGAAGAACGCAAAGCAATTCGCCGCTCAGCAGGCGCTGGCCTTCTTGTCCAACAGAGCTCCCATCACCTCCACGGCCACTGCTGCTGCTGCTGCGTCCTTGCCCAAACGCGCAGAGCTATCGCAAGCAGCATCTCCAAGCCTGCCACAAGCCAAGAAGAGCAGGACGGACGCAGGGCCGGCCGAAGCAGCGCAAGCCGTGACGGCGCCGGCGGACGAGACGACTGCCTCATCCGTCCACGAGAGAGTGGTCTATCTGTCGAAAAGACTCGGTCTCCAGCCGCCCGTCTACGAAACGCCTCCCTTGATCGGCATGCCCAACTTCTTCTCGGGCAGGACCGTCTTCCCACCCGGCGCGGACGGCCGCATCCCCGACAATGTCCTCGTCGTCAACGGCGTGCTGGGCAAGCAGCAGGCCAAGGACCAGCTCGCACGGCAAGTGTGTGACTGGATGGAGAGGGAATTCCAGGTGCGACAGGAGATATCACAAAGACTCTGGCCAAAATGAGGGACACCACGCTGGTAGGGTAGTTAGTTGATATAGCAGACAGTCTCGTACTTAGGAGCCCCTATTGCCTCTGCCACCTCTCCCTCTCCCTCGCCCTCTACCCCTGTGGGCCCCTTTCCCCTGAGGTACACGCATCTTGAGGCCACTCGGTAGATCAGCCTGCCATTCCCCGTCGACCCATAGCACGCCAACATCCTCCTTTCTCCCCGTGGCCAGCTTGAACCACTTGGTGCTCACCTCGCCCCCGGTCAAAATGACCCCATTATCGCTCCTCCACCACGTCAAACCGCCCTCCTCCATGCTCCTCTTCACATCCACCTCAATGACCAGTTCCGCGTCCTTCCTCATACCACTCGCCACGCCCTCCTCCGGTGTACCCGTCGAGCAATGCACGTGATTCCGCCCCATGGGCTTCAACCCGCCCGACTCAACAATGGTACCCCAGAACGCAAAGTATGTCCCGTGGAGGACCTTGTCCGGCACCGTGTCGGGCGTAAGCGGTGCCAGATGACCCTCGTCCTCAATCTTGATACTGTGTCCCTGGTTCGCGCGGATCATCCACTCGCCCCTGTCGTTCTGGCGCGTGCTGAACCGCTGCTTCTCGTTGCTCTCGACCTCGCGGTGCACTTCTTCCTCGGTGGCCTGGAGCGACTTGATGGGTCCGTAGGCGAGCACGGCCTTGAGCGGGGCGTAACCCTCCGCGTCGAGCGTGATGCCGGCGTTGGTCGCCTGGTGGCGGAGCAGACGGGACAGGGCTTTGGAGATGAGAACCTGGCGTGACTGGCCGCTTCCGCCTTTGCCATTATTGTTATTCTTGCGGGTGCGATTGTTATTGTTGGGGCGGGCTGTTGACTCTAGTGAGTCCTGGGTTGAATCTGCCTCCATGGTTGTTGTGGGTGCGCCGTAGCTGATCCGTATGGAGGAGATGAAGTTGTGTGCGAGGAGAGACGCCAGTGGACGGCTCCGTGTGTTCGAGGCAAGTCTGAATACACTTTAGACCACTTTGTTTGGCCCTGCGAAGTACTATGTTGTGAACTTGATGTTTCAAAAGAAGAGAAGTGGAGCGAGGTAACGAGGATAGGGTAGGCACGACGATCCCCGATGTGACTCCGCCAGCCCCATCACAACGCCACCACTACCTTACCTTACAGATGCTTCTTGTAAAGATCACACTTAAAGAAGGGACGACACCGTTAGACGATTATGACTGGAATACCGGAAGTATACATTATCTCAAGACAGTGTCAAGGTACCTCTACTATCTCCTCTTCAGCTCGCTCGACCCAACGATCTCCCTCACTGTACAAGGACAATACAGCAGACGGCCATATTCTCACCCTCTTAGGACAACAAGAAGAGAAGAAAGCAATAAAACAGAGAGCGCCGCCTCATGATTCGTGAAATCGAACTAATGCAAGTGCACCCAGACAGTCCAGTTCTATCCATCAGAACCGTGTTGGCCGCAGAAGAAAAAACGATATGGGGGGAAACAAAATGCAGCGCCTGCAATTGGCAAAATCGAGTAAAGATGTTTATACAGTCGTTTGCGGTCGTTCAGGACCGGTATCCTCCCGCAGTGGCTGTACTCGACACATTCGTAATTGTGCTGTCACGGTTCTGTCGCCTTGCGCTGAGACTACCAGAACGATTGAGCGACACATTCTGCCCGAGCGAGTAATAGCGTTGTCGTGTGCGCTCCTCGCCGCCTCTCTGATGTGACTCTGCGGTCTCACCCTCTGGCGCCTGCACCTGGGGTGACCTCTCCAAGTACTTCCGCGAAGGTAGGGCCGTGGGCAGCGCGCTAATGGATCCTGGCGCTGCTAGACGGGATGTGGGAGTAGTGCTCGTCGATCCAAACCGGCGCCTAGGCAGGGCCGACTGCTGCTGTGGTTGTGGGACATTGTCTCTTGTTGACGCATGGGTTTGAGGCGCGAACTCGCGTGTCGGGCCTCTAGAGGTTGTGGCCACCTCGGTATACTCGCGATTGCTACCTCGCGTGGCATTGACCTCGGTGTAAGCTCTTGACGGGGCGGCCAGGCGAGACGCTTGCTCGCCTTCATCCACGGTCCCACGTCGGCTGCGGACGTGCAGCATCGACGTCTGGCGGCCCTCTTCAGGCTCTTCGGTGTCGCCGCGACGAGAACGCAGCAGCATCGACGATCTCCGACCCGCGACGGGGGCTGACTCTTCAGGCTCCTCGGTGGCAGCTCTGCGGGTACGCGAGATGAGCAGAGAAGACCTGCGCTGATGGGCAGGTTCCTGCGGCGTTGTGGGAGTAGAGCCTACGACGCGGGGACTCGGCAATGCGCTGCTTGCCAGTATGGTGTGTCTCCGCTCCTCAAACTTGGACAAGGCCCGGCCGGGACTGACGTTTTCGGACTTTTGCAACGTCCGCTCGGAAACAATGCTTGGCCGCCGAGTGTGTATGCTGCTAAAGGATTTGGCAACCGTGGGTGTTGATGGCCCATCCATTTGCGTGGACGAAGATGAGGGGTGATACTGGGTCGGCGCGGGAGCTCGGGATGCCTTTGGTGGCTGGCTCGACTCTCTCGTACGCTGGGCGTGAGCGACATCCTCTCCAAGTGCAACGCATAACTCGGTCAGACTGCGGCAAACACTGTCCGCCTTGCGTCGCAACTGACGATCCGTCAGATTCGTGCCGACCCCAATCGTACTCCCACTGCTCGAGACTGGCCCTGGCTGGCCCGGTTGGCCCATCATTGTTGCCAGAGCCATCGCGTCGTTGGCGGCAGCCTCGAGAGTCTTGAAAATATCAGGGCTCAAGAAAGGTTTCGACTTGGACAGGGCTGAGTGCAGTATAGGATAGGCCTCTTTTTGGGTCGAAGCGTTGCTCAGTGATTCCAGGTTCTGTGACTGCTGGTTGGCACCCGTGCCCTGGCGTTTAGGAGAAGACGACATTGTTGTCACGGTGGTGGTGGCTGTGGGTGGTCGGTCTTCGGCAAGCCTCGAAACGGCAGCGGCCGATGTCGACGGTAGCTTTCCGGTCAGCTCAAGTCGATGCAACCGGGACTTGAGGTCATCGAGCTCATCCCAAACGGTCGATGGGGCTGTCAAGGAGGCGGTGGATTCAGTGCCCTCCCTGCCACCGGCGGCCTCGGTGGGTTGATGCTGATGAGCAGTTTGGTCAAAGGATCGGACCAGAGGTGAAGAATTGTACGATTTTGAATAGTGATTAGCAGCCCCGGATTTGAACACGGGCGTCCGCCCTGGCGATGTTGGGTTTTGCTCTGTGACAGAAGAGCGTCGTCGCGCGTGGTACGGATTCTCCGATCCCACATCCTGCTGCGCTTGGGAGCGTGGTGCCAATGGTGAGGCCCGTAGACCGACGCCTCCCGGTCGCGACGAGCGATAGACATCTTCGGATGGGTGTGTAGAGGCCGCCTTGTGGTCCCTCGAGTGAAGTCTCTGGGTCAATGACCTCGTGATTTCGCTTGCGCGGTCGTCGATGTATCTCGTGACACGGCCACCGTCCTGGTCGTCGGACATTCGTCGAGCAATTGACGGCGGCGACCTGGGGTTGTATGAAGCGACATTCGTTGAGAGTGGCCGGCGATGTGTTCGATAGACACGAGACTGGACATGGTTAGCACTCGGAAACGCTTGGCAAGCCTGTAATGTAGGGAGCTTTGTGTTGAGCAACGAGGTGAGACGTACCACAGAGTTTCTGGTCTCATCCTGAGAGTCACCATTACGGCGATCACCCTCTTCGCGGGCAATTCGAAGAAAGACATCCCCACCATCCTGGCCGTCATAGCCCTCGTGGCGAGCCGATGCGCGGGGGGCTCTTTGAAACATGTCTTGGGTTTTTCCTTCTAGAGCACGCAGCGTGCGGTCATGATCAGAATCGTCAGAATTGTCGCTCGCGTCAAAAGAACGAGCTCGCTGATTCATATTCAGCGTTAAGCTCTTGCGCGAGCCAGAGGAACGAAAGCCACGGATAGGAGGAACGCGAACGGGGGCTCCGTTGCCGTTGTTTTGTGTATTGGGTACGTTGGCAGGCGGTTTATAAGACACTGGGGGCCGGTTCGTTGAGGCGCGTCGTTCATCGGTGGCACTAGTGTTTGATAAAGTTTTGAGAAGGAGCAGCTCGCGCTGACCTCCCGAATCCCTCGGATCTCGTGGTGAGAGTGCGTCCGGGCTTGTGAGGTATGTATTGGCGGGCGCGACGACTTGATCAATGCTGTCGTGGGCAGGTCTCAGCGGCTGTGGGTAGGTGACGGCTCTTTTGAAGTGATCGTGGGGTAGGGTGGTTCGTGGTGAGGACGGTATGGTGTCGTTGTTGGAGGAACTTTGCTGTGGACTCGAGGGCACTGCAGCTGCAGTGGTCAATCTCGCCGATTGTCGCGGTGCTGGTGGTTGGCCCTCAGCTTGACGTTGGACAGAGTCGGATGCAGAATCATGCAGGACACCCGAATCTGCCTGAGAGGCGACGCGACGTTGTTCGTCCAGGTGCGACAGCGACTGTGGCTCGGTCGTCTGCTTTTGATGGCTCAATTGATCGGCGACGCGAAGGGCTGCGGTGGACGAGCTAGAAGCCAGCCGTCTCGAGGGTAGGGCTGAAGGCGAGTCCAAATGGTTGGTGGCGATCGGGGCCACTGATGATGTACTGGACTTTTTCGGTTCTGTCTGGGCTTGGCCGGACTCTGCGTCGTTGTTGTTGTTTGCGGTGCCGACGAATCTGATGGTGGAGGAAGACTTCTGGTGAGTGGGCAACGACAGACGCGAGTCCAAGGCGAGAGAGAGCGACGCCAGCTGGGCCCTGGCGCTGGATTCAAGGGGCGTCGTCTCACTCTGGTGTGAGACAATGCCTGTTGAACGACTGTTGCCATCAGTCTGCTGCGACTCGCCTTCATTGACACTCATTTTCGGCTGGTTATTGGCTTTGTCGCCCAAAACATAACAACTCTGATCCTCTCGGCCTGGACTTTGTTCGCTTTTCTCGTCGCTCACCTAGAGGTGCGTAACCTCTCAGACCGAAGGACAGACACCCCAGTGCCTCACGTGGGGCCGAGGGACAGCAGCAGTTAGGCAGACCAAATGCACCTGGCAACGTCCTGGGCGTATGAAGCCTGGCTGGGATGCTGAGTGCATGCAAACCGGACGAGTTTGAGCATTCGAAACAAGAAGGCACCCAGGGCGGTATCAGGTAGGGTATGCGATTGAGTGTGAGCGACTCTTTTGGAGGATAGAATGATGATGCTGAAGCGAGTTTCGCGAGCTATCAGCAAAGGAGGAGCGACCATGGATGAGATCGACCAAGGAGAAGCAACTGTTACGACAAGTCCGATGTTGTTCCGTCCTGACCTTGCGGGATAGACTTGTTGGAACCAGTATTATCAAGGCATTATGAGTTGTGAGTTGTGAGCTGTGAGTTACGAGCCAGGGGCCTCCACTGTCGTCTGCATCTCAAGCAGTCTAACAGACGCACGTTGCCGGATCTCAGCCATTGAATTCACCACCAGCCACCATCGTGTGCCGTCTGACTCGCGGCCTCTTTTTTGCTCCGGCCTCATGCACACGGATCGTGGGATACCAATCGTTCATTCCACTGCTCGTGGCAAGTCCCGCGCCTTTCACGTTGCTATTTGCACAAATGTACGTATCGTAGCGATAGATCTCATCCTTGATGACAAGGTCTGGTAACAGGAGCCTGCGCGATGGAATGTGGAGCTAGCAAAGCCAAGCTAGCACCAGCTAATAGCCGGCAAGACATCGCAGCGATACCACGCGTTAGCTCAAGAGTAGTGCCCGCCGTCTCCTGGTCTCAGTGGTCTGTGGTGATGCGCGGCGGCCAGGCAGTCTGCCATTGGCTGCGATGCATCACATTGGGCCTTACCGCTTCGCTTTGACTGCAGTTCCAGCGACATTTCCCAACCATGAGCAATGCACGTACGACTACGCTCCGTACGAAGATGAGGAACCGCAGCTGTTGTTCCCAGCCCTCAATTGACTGATTAATTGCAGGGTCTTCTGACGCATGCGTCTCACAGGAGAGCCAGGATGTGGGCTGGGGTTTGAAGTCTAGGGTTCCGAGATGTCGAGGGGCTGGTTGGTCGTGCGCTCCGTCGAAAGGGGCCTGCAGCGCGACTAGTCCTCTTTCATCATCTTGAAACAGAGGCTCCGGGTCGGCAAGTTGCGCACCATCTACGTGTACAGACTGCGTACGAAGAAGCAAGTGCAGTATTACAGGTAATTGCGCAAGAGATGGGATGAGCGTTGCTGTCATGTATTATTACGAACCAGAAAAACTGTAGTTGTAAGTCGAAAGTAGCCCAATGCGTCAACTGCCTGCCTTCTTATGTTCCAATATGTAAAGTACAAAACTACCGTCATCCGTCCTCCAGTCCGGGGCAGATGTCCGTCTTCGGGGTCGATTCGAGACGGAATCCTGTTGACACCAATCCTAGGTTACCCTATAAGCTACACAACAAACCAGGTTGTGCTCCATCGCAGCATCCTACATAATTTGCAAAGGCTTGGGTGATTAATTGCGAGGAGGCCGCAACATGAGGCGGGGCTTCGTACAAGTGTATGTATTCGCATTTGCTCGTGCTTATCCTGCTCTGGAAGCGCGATGAATGTGTTCGTTATCAACGTTAGTCCATACGCGATTGCAAATACATCACCACGGGGCCATGTGGAACGAAGAAACTTGCAGCCAATTAGGTCGAAATGACGCGACATTCGTGGGCAAGGCTATCCTGCAGGCAAAGAACCTCAAGTTGTCCTTAAGAGAACCCGGGCCGTGTTCGGTGGATGAGTTTCATGTTCTTGCCAATACCGAGATGTTAAGACCCCATTCCTCGCAAACCAGGGTCAAACCCATTCAGTATCGCCGAACACCAAGATTGAGTGTAACTATATGTCAACTGACATATTATTATAATAATTATAATAGCGCCGGTACGGAGTACCAAGACGGTAGAGACATCTTTAAACTTGTTGCCCGGTCAACATACCTCCACGGACAGTTACAAGAGTATTCTTGCGTAACAGCACAAGCAGCAATCCGGAATATGTTTCCGTGGCGGTCTCATGTTTAAGTTCGTGGCAGCTTCCTCTCATTTGAAGCTCGCTCAGCCCATTGTCGGTCGGGATGCGCGTGACAAGTGCGAACACGACAGTCTCCCCTCGCTTACCTTCCAGGCGCCTAGCACGATCAGAAGACAGGATATGCGAGTCGCTGGTGGGAAGGGGAATGCTTGGACCAAGGCTGTACGGCAGCCACTATTAGTCACATCTTCTTTGCAACTGGTCAGCCTTGCTTTGCTCGTGTGTCTGTCAATGTTGGCTTCAAATAGAAAGCAATATCGCAGCAGGTCGATTGTTCCCTGCCTGCTGGTCGGCGTCTGTTCCTACATGCGTACAGAGCTGCGCGCCTGTGACAGATATGCGGGTCTGCGTCTCGTGGCATGTGGCCTGGCCTGGCATGGTCTGGGCCAGTACCGGTCGAGACGGCCTTGGAAGAACAGAGTACCTGCAGAACACAAAGAGCAATTTGCGAGTACATTGCCAGTGATTCCAGAATACGGAGGTTCGTCTGTCAACACTTGGTGGACGTCGGCGACTGCGTGACCAGATCGTCAACAGGTACCACCAACGTCTTGAAAGTTGAACTTGTGGCTGCCGGAGTCAAAAATAGCCCAGGGGAGTGAGCGGCTAAGACTCTCATTGGCTAAGCCTTTGGCGCCGAGTGCGATTTGGCTGCAGCCTTCAGCTGCAGGTGCAAGCAAGTGTGGATTGGATCGAGCTATATTTAGGCTCAAGTTGGTTTGTCTCGTGAGGCGCATCCTCCACTCACGATGGACGAGTCACAGTCATTCGTTTCCAGTCGCTGGTCTGGTCGGTCGACCAGAGGTCCAGTGAGTTGGGGCGGCTGCTGACTGGCTATTAGCCTGGCGGGCGGCTGCTCCATGTCGGCCACCCGTTGACGATGTCGAGCATGTTTGCGGCAAAGGCTCGAGATCGATCGCGAGGCTGCTCTAATTAGGCTGGAAGAAGGACTAGCATGGTAACCAAGGGGACATGAAGGACCTTTTAGCGCCCAATGTTGCCGGGTTCAGGCAAAGAACGAGAAGGACCAAAGACTTGCATAGGAGCTGCAGGCTGCAAAAGCTTGCAACAGCGCGTCTCCATACTGGCCCCTCCCACCATCAGCACTCGCATTCTCCCCCAAGCCACTCCCCTCCATTCTCGACTTCGACGGTGCAGACATCCATTCACCCATGCGCCTGGCCAATCCGCATTGCCAATGCCTCGGCGGGCCGTACGTGTAGATTCGTCTTCCAGCTGATGCGTGATCGGACAGACTCTCTCTTCTGCCTTGTTCCTTCGACTTACTTGGTCGACCTGACCTGGCTTTGACTTCGCCTCTCTCACTCTCTCGTCGACCTTCATCTACGTGCGAGACGGCGAGACGCCACTGACGACGGAGATTTCACAGTCAAACAGACGGAAACTATCATTGTTAGGCGCTCCACGTCGTCCCGTCTTTGCTGCAAGCCTGCAAGCGCCTCAGTCACTGAGCTATCCGTACAGAACGGACGTGAGACCGCAGCCCACTACAGTAACTAAGACGAGGCTAGCCCTTGAGGTACGTCGATCAAGTGTTTCACATTTCTCCCCATGCATTTGTCTCTCACAAACTTGTCCTTCTCTGACACACTTCCGCCTTCCCGCCTTCTTCTTCTCCTTCGATTCCCTTCAGAACCTAAATTCGGCATCCTCGCCTCGCCTAATTACCCTATCCTTCCGGGGCTGTCTCGTCACAACGAAGAGGGCTAGTTAATCGCTAATGCCCCTGCTTTAGCTCCTCTCCTCTCCATCTCTCTCCTTTGAAACTCGACTAGCCGTTGTTGTTATTGATCGGTTCGACCGCCTGATCGGGACTTATCCACGTTCCCGCTTCGACCTCTACAACCGGCTCTTTTGCAATTATTTGCGCGCTCCGATTCTAATTCTTGTTATTTCCCTTGCGAACCGCAGGCTACAGGGTTCAGCAGCGCTGTCCAGCATCGCCAGCCTGGTTATGCAAAAGTCGCTCCTTCCCACACAGCGCAGTCACTCATTTCGAGCGTATTCCATTCTTCGGCAGGGGCTCGCGGCAACATAGCAAGAGATAGGAAAGATGCCCTCGACAGCTGCTCGCCGATATCACGAGGACCAAATACCACCGTTCATGTCCGTTTTCGATCTGGACGCCGAGACCATGGCAGACCGCGACACAGTCACCGTCGTTGACCCTCGCGCTATGGATGGGTACTCGAAACAGCCCCTTCTACACGCGCCGCAACAACTAGGCCACGGCCTTGTCCCTACCGATCGCTCTCACAAGCATAACGACAGCTCGTCGACGCAAATGTCCGAATCGGCAGACTCGTCACCAACAACGACGCTTTCCACTACAGACTCGTCGCCATTGTCCGACCCGTCGCCGTCCTCATCGCCCGACTCCCCTGTGACGCTGGTGCCCCTCAACAACTATCCGGCGACGTCATTTGGAGCGCCTGCTGCTCGCCTGGAGCCTGCAACTACGCTCAAGCCGCCAGAGCCTAATACCCTGGTGCGGCCCATGACCTCGCCGTCTCCTCGGAGGGCTCGCAACATGAAGGGCCTGTCAATACAGCCGCCGTCGCTGGGGAATGCAGCAGGGCCCGTTGCGACCGCAGCGACGAACAACACTATGGGGGCCGAACCCCCGTCACCGTCCTTCATCAAGCCCAAGATTCCGGGCATGAAGCGCAAGCCGAGTATGCTCAGTCTTAAAACCAACACGTCCGACCTCATGGGCCGGCCTATACCAGAGGTGCCTCCCTCTCCCGGCATGGGCCCGATACTACAGCGACGAGCGCTGAAGCACTCAACGTCATCGCCACACATGCTCACAACCATCAAATCTGCTTCGTTTGGACCAGCTGGTGGCATGACTCTACCAAACATGCTGTGCCGGAATGAGAATGGACTTTCCGAGGTTCTGCGTCCCATGAAGACCAGCATGCAGACTACGTTTGACACGACCATCAAGGAGGAATCATCACCGATCAAGTCACAGGTTGCCCATCGCATGGACGCAGAGCCTTATCACGAGAAGGTGAACAACGAAGACCAAAAGACGCCAGGATATCCCAACGGACCAATTGCCATCTATGGCGACGACGTGTATTTGTACTTGGAACCGACGGCGGAGGAGGCAGCGCGCTTCGACGTGGTTTTCAACGTAGCGAAGGAGGTCCCGAACCCGTTCGAGGCTGAGGCAGCCAAAAAGAGGCAGTCGTTTGTCCAGAGCTCAGCCGTGGAGAGCCCGGTGCCTGACACGGCCTTGACGAATGCTAGCTTCGCAACCGCTTTCGAGTTCCAGCCTGTGAACGACGGATCCCACGACACCCCCACAACACCCAAAGCTAACCCGTGGAAGATGCCGGAATATGTTCACATGCCGTGGGATCACAACACAGATATTGCGCCTGATCTGATGCAACTTTGCAAGAAGATTGAGGACCGGACCCGGGAAGGTAAAAAGGTGCTCATACACTGCCAACAGGGCGCCAGTCGTTCCGCAAGTCTCATCATCGCCTATGGTCTCTACCGCCAGCCCAATCTCACCGTCAACGACGCATATTACGCAGCTCAGAAGAAGAGTCAATGGATCAGCCCGAACATGAAGCTCATGTACTCGCTGCAGGACTTCCACAAGGAAGTATCCAAGAAGCTCCCACTGGGGCCCACCAGGGCTGGGAAAGGGCGCAGCCCGACCAAACACAGACTAACACTGTCAGCCGATGCCATCGGCCTACCGATGAAAGAGCCTCGCACTGCTCCTTTGCCTAGGGAGAAGGACAGGGAAGCAAGATGTCAACATCTGAGCCCCATTGACACGCGCCGTCGTGGGAACTCCATGCCCGGCACTCAGGACGTGTCCCCTGGTCCCGCTTCAGCGCCGCCCAACTACTCCTGGCCAGACGACATGGTGCCCACGCCGGTGGAGGAAGCAGCTTTCCCTGTTCCTGCTCTGCAGGTGTCAGAGCTGCCACAGCGGCCGAAGCAGCTGGAGCTTGCCGCACCGCCAAAGGTATCGTTTGAGCCGCCGCCCACGCCCGGTTTCGGTGCGCCTGGCGGCTTTGCCTTCCAGAACAAGACGTTCCCCAGGTTCTCCAACATGGCTCGCTTGTCGCAGCAGCCCGCAGAGATGGACTGGCAAGAGCCATGTGCCCCCCCGACGAGGGCGCCCCCTGCTCCTCCACCACCAGCTACATACGGCTCCATCGATCAGACAATGACATCGCCGCCTGACCTCCCCGTCGACGACGCCATTCTCTCCCCACGCGCGGAGACGATGACCAAAAACCCCTTACATGATTTCCCGGCTTCGGCCTCGGGGATGCAGTTTGTCGAGACCCCTCCCACACCGAAAGAGGGCCTGTTCTCACCGCGGGTCACTTGTTTCCCGAGGGACCCCATGGTCCCGTTCGGTCGTCCGCCGCAGGTGGCAGACCCAAGGAGTCCCCCCACCGTGGGGGAGGCACCCATTGTCCGATCCATCGACGACATATTATAAGCATGGCGAGTCGCGCATCGCATTTTCGCGACGACCACATTGCATCATCGATCATTTTAATCTCGTTTCGAACTCACCGCATTTCGAGTTCCTCGTTTCCTCTAGCCTTTCGCTTTCGAGACGCACAGCGGGCGGCGTCACATGTTATATTCACCAGAGTGGCTTTGGGCATTTCAACAACACACCTGCGGAATTGTGTAATTCATCTAGACCTACCTCTTTACTACCTCCTCCGTCTTTTTAAGACGCTCGCAACACCGCCATTCGCTTATCAAAACCTCCCTTTACTGTCAAAATGGGGATCTTTATGTTTTGCCCTTGAGGGGCCTTTTTTTTTTTTTTTTGTGTGTGTCGGGATGACTTGGGGTCACTTCTCAGGAGTTAATTGGGTGTTGGGCGTCATATCAGAGGCCGCCATACATACACATAGTGTGAGTGGTGGTATGAGCCGGCGGAACGAAGAGATACCATGGCGAGGAATCTGCGTAGACGAGGTAAATACAAGAATCCTGACCAGCAATGCTGGGCATGCAAAAATAACCCTCACGATACTGTAGCATGTGATGATAGTTGGTGGGATGTGCTTAATTTAGCAGTATATATACGCCTGAAACCGCAATTTTTGTGAGTATCTCCAAAACTCAAAGTCTATGCGCCATTCTATATATTATCTATTGCTTCTTCTTTGCGGCTTCTTTGGCCGCCTTCTCGCTCCTCGCAATCGCCGCCTCGACGCCGATGCCGCCAAACACCAGTCCAACGCCCAGCCACTGCATCTGCGTCAAGCGATGGCCAAACGCCACGACCGACAAGATCATGGTAAACATTTTCCTTGTCACGGTGACGGTAACGAGCAGAACCGACGAGAAAGTCGCCAAGGTGTAGACTGCAGCAGCATGTTAGTCGACCACCGATATTACAGCAGAGAAGGGAGGAGAGGGAGGGAAGCACGTACATATAAAGACCTGGCCCACGGCACCACAGACCGCGAAACCAAGAACGTCACGCCACACAGCAGGGTGACGTCCCATGAACGCCAGCGCCTCGGAAAGCTCGCCGCCTTCCACGCCACCAGCCATGCCGAACCACTCGCCCACTCCAGTTCCCGCGACGTACGGGCTCACCACAAGGTACAGACCCGTCACGAGGGTGCTCATGAGATTGTTAGCGCACATCATCTGCGGGCCCGTGTACGGCTTGAACGACGTGAAGATGTGGTCTTGGGTGCTGTTGGTGAGGCCGTCAAAGAGCAGGTTGATGCTCAGCAGCAGCAGGCCCCACGAGGCGTTGGCCTCATCCGAGAGCCTGGACGCCTTCTTCTTGGACCCCGAGTGCAGGGTGAAGACGGCGACACCGGCCGTCACGGCCGCCACGACGAGGTACTTGTACAGCGGGTAGCGCTTGCGGAAGACGGTGATGTGCAGGAACATGACGGGCAGAAGCTTGCAGCTCTTGGCGAGGAGGAAGGTGATGTAGTCAATGTGCGCGAGGCTGGCGTAGCCAAAGGGGCTGGCGAGGGAGCTGGTGATGGCTACCAGTGCGAGAGGCCCCAGGATGCGCGCCGAGGGGATGACGGGCGGCGTGGGCTGGCCACGGGGTGTCGAGAAGAGGAGGTAGACGATGCCGACGGTGGCGGCAAAGAGCGACTGGATCGTGTTGAGGAAGACGGGAAAGTGCCAGACTTCGTTCCGTAGACCGTGTGGTGTCGTCGTGAGCTTCTCCTGGAGGTACGCCCATGTCAAGCTGCAAGCATGATCGGTTAGCCCCCTGCAATGTCCTGCTCCCCCCCAAAGACGTACAAAGATGCGTAGATACCAGACACCGCGATCACGAGCTGTACGATTCCGGCGCCCTTGTCCTCTGTAATCGCATTGTCCTCCAGTCTCCCATTGGCCTTGGCCACACCGTTGGTCGCTTTTTTCGAGGCGACTGCCCCCTGTCCGCTGGCAGAGTCTTCCCACGTCGACGTCTTCTTGTTGAAATACTCGGAAGAAGATTCGCGCTTCATGGCGGGCTGCTTGGAGCGTGCCATCGCTGCCGTAGTATTGGGGCAGTCGGGCTGGTGGCTGTCGCAAGAGATCAGGGATGGACGGCCTGGAAGGGAACGGACCGGACAGGCGTTAATGACGGCAATCTACTACGGAACAGGGCGATAAAGAAGATCAAAGGAATGGAACCGCGAAATTGTCACGTTGTACACGTAAAGTTCAATGAGGATGATGATGACAGGTTGGCTTCAAAGGGTCCAACCCTGTCGATCGGTCCCTGACGTGCCGCCTGCCTATTACGTCGTGTGGCGGCGCAAAGATGGAGACTTGCGTCTTCCGCCTCTGTGGACGTCGGGGAAGCAAGCCACTGCCGCCACATCCTCCAACAAGGTAACTTCACGGGGATTACTGTGATATTAAGCAGTAGTACAACTACTAGCAATAGTAGAAATTATGGGTGCTTCACCCGGGGAATAGACAAGTTCTGTGCATTATCATGTCCATTGCGCTCAAACGTTGAAGCTCCTCGTGAAAGGCTACCAAATAGGCTCCAAGGTATCTAGACATCACGCCCAAATCCACCCGAAACACCCGGGCTATACGAAACGTAAGTATACCCCTTTGCCTGACAAATAGCAAACCATGTACGCCCCGATGCAGACGGTCAAGAGCAACGTGAGTTTGGTGGTGAAATAAGAAGTCGTATCGTCGGAATGATGCATGATGGAATGATGATGGGTTCGTTTAAGGTGAGAGAGACGTGCACACGCTCAAGACTGAGAGACGAGGACTGAAGCTTGCTGCTGAAGCCCAATAATGAAGCAGTGCAGGCTCCGGAGTCACCTCCACACAGGAACTGAAAAGATTCGGTGACTGCTCTCCAGCAATCAGCGCGGCAAAGTCGAGGATAAGAGAGTGGCGATTGGAATGACGGTCTCGCCGAGACTGTTGGCCGTGATCGGATACAAGTGTGAATGAGCGAGGATAAGAAGTGAAGGCCGTCGTGAAGGGTTGATGAGGCCAGTGGCCAGGCGACAAACTAGCCCGAGGAGCGTGCGTGCAGACGAGGAGCAGCCTTGCGGCCAGTCCATGTCGGCGCCCCAAGAATAAGCCGCCATTGTACAAAGACGCGATGGAACAAAGGAGGAAATCGTGAGGGACTCCTGCGAGATTACTCCGACTCTTGCTGCACCTGGCTGCGGCGCATCTTCTCGGCCTCTAGATTCTCGTACAGCAAGAACAATGCAGTCTCGTTGGCCTTGGAAGTCCCCATGATGGTAAACATTCGCTCGCCGGTCTCATCGTGAGGGGCCTGTGGACACATTCTGTTAGATAGCTGACGGCGAAGACGGGTTGACTAGAAGCCTACCTTGGCGATTGAGATGCGGGCACCCGACTGCTTGCGGATCTCACTGATCTTGCTACCAGCACGGCCGATGATGCACCCAACCATGTCGGCTGGGATGCTGATGTTCTGCGTGAGAATCTCCTCGCCATTCTCATCGTGAGTAGGTGGACCCCGACCAGCGGCATCCGAGTCGGAGCGTCGACCAAAGGAGCGCGGCGCGCCGTCACTGAAGTCTGCGCCGTCACCGGTCCTCATGAGACGCGAGGCGTTGTAGTCAGACCGTCCGGGGGGAGAGCCGTAGGTGCCAGTGCTCTGGGAAGCGCTGCCTCCGGGCTGCGTACGGACAACGGGGTTGTAGAGAACAGTGCCAGTGCCACGCTGCCAATCATCCACGAGGCACTTGCAAATCTCCCAGATCGCGCGCTGGATGCCCTCAGGCGTGCCTTGGACCTCAACAATGCGCTCAGTTGACTGCGGCAGCATTTCCTTCTGCGCAACCATGCGCACACCAGACGAGTCCTGGATGTGCTTGATCTTGAGGCCCTGCCGACCGATGATGGTGCCCATCTGGTTGTGCGAGATGAGGAGCTTGATGGCTTGATGGGATTAGTACAGCATTCGAGGTATAGTAGGTGGTATGTACGTACGGTGAGTCCCGTTGCTTGAGACAAGCCCTCCCATTCCCATGGCAGGAGCACCTTCCAGTAGAGCGCGAGCAACGATAGCGTATGCTTGAGAAATGGCTTCGCAGCCTCCGGTGATGGTGAGGACACGGTCGTGAACCCCTTGGACCACCTTGCTGACACCAGCTTTGACGCCAGTTTCGTCCCGAAGGTCCGCAACGTTCTTGCCACCCTTGCCGATGATCACACCGGCCTCCTTGGAGGAGACGATAGCACGGAGAGTCAGCTGAGCCTGAGCATACTCCTCATCGGTGCGAGGTGCGGGCTCGCCATCGGGTCCCAAGCGTTCGTCCATCTTGAGGTTATCCATCTGTTCGTGGATGTCGCTGCCGTTGGAAGGCTGGATATCCTGGGGGGCGGACATGATGGCGAGGGTCAAATGAAGGAAGGTTGGGGTTTCGTAGGGGAATGAGCTTCGTGAAGCAGGGGAGGAAGCTCGAGAGGAGAGCAGAGTATGGGCTTGGCGGATCGCGGAGTTGTCAGACGGCCTGTTGATGCATCTGTTAGCTCAAGTGTAGGTGGTCGAGGTTATGGAAGCTCGTGTGGTCGAGGGCCTAGGTTTCCGAAAAGGCCACCAGACGCGGCAGGCGCAAGCTAACTGACGTTGACCAATGCGCGATAGGAAGTTGCGAAACGGGGCGCGGCGCTCTTGGTGCCTTACCGAAATGGGCGGCGGCAGTGTTTGCCGTGGAAAGCGCAAACAACTACGTGCGAAGGAAAGGGCAACGGCGCCGATGGCAAGGCGTGAGTACGTACGTACCTGGTAACGTAGAGTCCAGTCGCGTTCAGGGAAGGCGGGGCGGGGTATCGAGGGGGTCGTTCAGGTCGCGAGAGTGGCGCGTAATCACTGACGATCACTGTGACGGTGCGCTGTGCGAGTTACTTGACGAACAGGCCAGAAGGTTCAGCTTGTAGGAGGCGCGAGAGTCGGAGAGAAAGCAATCGCAAGCGACTATGCGATGGGCGGCGCGCGCGCGACAGCTTATGATTTAATGGCGGGGTTCGCGTGCAAGGGTGTGTGCTGCTGGCAGCTGCTGCTGGTCGGCAGAGCGGCGGGCGGTGGGTGGAACGGGGATTGATGTCTGGAGCGATCTAATGGTAGTGCGCAGAAGGCACAGTGAAGTCGACTGGACTGGGCTGGAGAGGCGGGACGAAGCGGGTAGAGAGGAACAGGGGCTGTAGAGAGAGAGGGAATGGAGTTGGATGCGAGAAGAGGGAGAAGGTGAGGGAAAGGTGAAGTGAGGGAGCATGGGCGACTGGAGGGCGAGACACAAATGACTGATCTGATGCGATGGTGGCCGTGGCTCGGATCTCCTGATGCTCGTCCTGAATGGCCGGCAGCCGGCTGGCACTGTGGGCACAAGCAAGGTGCGTTTACTAGTCGAGGGGTTCCGTGGTGCCTACTCGTTGAAGCTATCACAGCTAGACTGAATGAGGGTATTTTTTACAGGTGCTCTAGAACATCAACACCGCCTGTCAATGTTCCGCCAGTCACCGGCAAAGTCTCGTTACATGCTCCATGTCTGCCTGCATGGTCTGAGTCTCAAAGACCACCATTAGACTATCACCTCACCGCTGCTACTCCATATGGACTTTGGGGTGATTCTCTGTCTCATGCGGCAGCTCCACCATTGCGCATCAGTCAGCCGCCACTGTCCAGTCCCCCAGCCGGCGATGCGACCCCAGCCTTTAATAACACCCGGTAGATGGTGCTACTACCCGTACTGCGGAGTGCATATTACAACACAACCTAGAAGTCTAGATAGGCACCGGCCTGGGAATCACCGGGGCTAATTGCCTGCATAATCACACTCTTGGGGACTGCGGATGCTCATGTGGCGCTTCCACCGTGACGGGAGGAGAGTACGTACATGTCGCATCGCTACTTGCGCTGTTTGCATTGAACACTTGGGGGTGTATCAGGTATGGAGGACTTGTCCGTCACCAGCCATGGCCAGTTGCTCTGTGCGGCACCCTGAACACGACGACTGGCGTTGCAAGTGCCACCAAATCACACGGCATCGCGGCGCGTCCCTTAAGCAACCGCACGCTGGGGTGCCGTTGGGCTGATTATCACCAAGCACAACCATGCCGTGATAACTCACAGGAGCCAAGGTCACCTCTGCCGCAGGGCCTGCTCGTGTTCTACCCAGAAGTTCTTGCACACGCGGTGACCCCAGTGCTCCACCCACCACTCGCCAAAGCTGTCCTCGACATCATAGTCCACCTTGGCGACCCGTTCATCCCTCTTGAGGCCGCAGATGACGCATGGCTTGGACGCCGTGGGCACGAGCTTGGCTGTCTGGACCTGCATGTTCTCGCTGATCTCGGGGACCCTGAGCGACGACGTCTTGCCCGCGCTGTTGGTGGCCGCCACGGCCGATCGTAGCCTCCCCACATACTCGCGCCATGCGGCCGCCACGTCGGCCGCGTCGCGGTCTTCCCTGATGCTCTGCGTCTTGTCGACGCCGGCGAGCTTCATGCCCTTGCTCCCCGCGACGGAGATGGACATGCTCTTGGCCAAGATCTTGTCCCTGTGCCATCGGTGCTTCCGCCCCGCAATCACACGTCCGGCTGTCGTGGCGATCATGATGTACCCACGCAGGAAGTCTGCTGCCTTGGGATCCGAGAGAACACGGTCCTTGATGGACGCTGTCTGTCCTGCCGTAGGTTTGAACAGAGCATCGCCGGCTCTGAAGAGGCCAGGGAAGGCCGCCAGAAGGACCGAAGGAGGCGGCACGTTCGTCGGCGGTGGTTGGTTGTCGTCTACTGCTGCTGGCTGAGATGGCTGTGGCGACGGTTTGGAGTCCCATTCCCAGGTGTCAGTGGCAGGCGCGGCTGTCGGTTTCACACTGCTAGGAGCTGGTTTGGATTCAAAGTCGTCCCACGCGTTCCACTGGTCATCGTCATCATCAACAAACGTTGCCTCTTTCAGTCTGCTTGGCTTATTCGCTGCCAATGGTTTCTGTGATTTCGCCTTCTCTTGTGTCTGAGCTTTTGCTGTTGCACCGAAACCATGTGGCGTAGATGGCTTTACTGGCGTCGCCTCTGCGTACGACGGTGGATCGTCCAGCGATAATAGATCCATCGAGGCTGGCTGTGAGACCTGCGGCGCAGGAGCCTTGGGCCTCGACTCGACGAGAACTGGCGCCGTCTTGGGCTGCGTGGTCGGGACAGTCTCGAAATCGCCAAAGTCGTCGTCCTCATCAAAATCATCCTCATCGTCATCCTCGTCGCCACCTTCCAGCTCAAAGTCCTCGGCATCGAACATGACATTCGGGTTAGAGGGCTGTTTGAGCTTCGGTTTCGTATCCTTGGCTTTTCCATGCTTGCCAACGTCAACAAGGCTGTTGTTGATAATGTCCAGGGTGTCGGCGCGGATAAGTCGAGGCCCGCCAATGCTTTTCAAGGGGGCTCTATTGGGTGCATTTTCTAATGTACGGTGTTGCGTACTTTGACTTGTCGAATGGGACGGCTCCTCAAATGCTTCCCAAGGATCTGCTTGTGAAGTCGTCGGGACAGCCTGCGCCCGAGTTCTCGATCCGCTGAACTGTGACGATACCGGTGAGGCCCCCAACCCGGCAAGCTGCGTTGCTGAAGACTGATCCACGCTGCTGTCTGCCGTCTCAAAGTCACCCCAACCATCATCGTCGTCTTCTGCAGCTGCAGGCTGGGCGCTCGACTGCGCAGCCGGAGCGGCCCCCCATCCGGTGCCTCTCTGGGTAGGAAGATTGCCCCAAGCCTGCGTCTGATGCAAGAAGTGGGAGCTATTGTCTGGGTTCTGTTTCTGCTGCTCCGACTGCTCCTGACCGCTCGTAGGGCTGTTGAACTCAGCAAACAGGTCTGCGGACATTTTCTCGCAAGGGATGATGCATGATCTTGAAGACTTCCAAGATGACGGTATGGCAAAGACAAGGATGATGTGAGTAATTTGTTTGGACGAGCGTCGATTGCTAAAACGAGGTCGGAGTCGGGCGTGTACTGAGCTGGGCTGGACGGACTTATGTACGATGGGTGGGGCGACGTGGTTTCACGTGGACCAGGACCAATAAATACTGATGACTTCACTGCAATGTCGTACCTTACTCTACATGACCTTAACAGAAACCAGAACAACAACCATGCGCAGTCTAATCAATTACAGCCCCCCAAACCAGCCGCGCCCTTGCGCGAGAAGATTTGAGATGAGGTCTGCACCCAAGGAGCCTTGGCGTATCCTCCCGACATCGGACAGCTCCTCGTCGCCAAAGAAGGCCCAAATGTCCTCTGCCAACGCCTCTGGGCTCTCCCACGACGCGAAGTGGCCGCCGTTGTCATGGTGATAGCGGGCCTTGACATTCCCCGTGCGCTGCGCCCACTCGAGGGGCTGTGGAAGGAAATCGTCAGCAGAAGCGGAGACCAGGGTACGCGATTCAACTCACAGTGCGGTAAAAGATGTCCTTGGGAAACTCCGAAATTCCAATGGGCTGCTTCACGTAAGGCAGGCTTTGGAAACCGGTGGCATTGAAGGCGCCCGTCGCAGCGCCCTCCTTGTAGATTCTCAGGGCGCCGTACGGGCCCTGTATCCAGTGCATCATGGTCCACGTGATGATCTCTTGGGGTGTCCAGACCTCGACATTCTCGACTGCCGGCCGCATGGTATCATACATCCACATGGCGAGACCGATGGGGCTATCGGTGATTGCAAAGCCCAGACGAAGTGGCCTGGTCTGCTGGATCTGACCATATCCCCAATGCTCACCGATGAACCAGTCATGCAACCTGATGAACGAAGCCTCGTCCTCCGAGGTTTCACCAAGCTCGTGACGTTGTCGATCCTCCTCGGAGGGGGATACCGTCCAAAAGCTGTTGAGCCCCGACACGACTGATTCGGAATACAGATTGGCCTGGTAACGCATGATGATGCCTCCAGCATCACCGCCCTGCATAACGTACCTCCGGTACCCCAGCTGTCGCATGAGCTGTTCAAAAGCATGAGCAGCCTCGACGTAGCCAAAATCCGGGTGGGTGGGCGCTGGGGAAAAGGCAAAGCCAGGGATCGAGGGCGCGACCACGTGGAAAGCTGGCAAATCATCGCGGGGAGGGTGAGTCAGGTAGTTGATCAGAGGGCCAACTTCGAGAAAGGACCCTGGCCATCCGTGAATGAAGAGCAAGGGGATCGCATCCTGGCGAGGCGATACATGGTGAACAAAGTGCAAAGGCACAGACTCCTTGTACTGCGAGACCTTGGCAATGTCGACAGTAGTTGTATACTGCTCAAACCTAGCGGCAGTCAGGCTCATCTATGCATCGTCATCATGGGTCAGGTTAGGTGAGGTACTGCTCGTTCAGGGCCCGCTGTACTTGGAACCAGTCGTAGCTGTTGACCCAGTGGTCACGCACAGATATGGCATCCTCCAGTGCAGGTCCTTCTGTGTGATCGGGCTGATCAATGGGCATGGGCAGGCGTGTCAAGCCCACGCGTAATTTGGTCTGTGCGATGAATTCCTCATCGACGTCAATCTGAAATGGGGCTGGCGTCTTGCCAAAGGTCGCCTTGAAGTTCAAGTCGCTGTCCTGTGCTGCGCGAGCAACGGCCGCAAAGGGGCTCAGGAGGAGAATAGAGACACCTTGGATGCGCATGGTGAGCAAAGGGTGTATGGTCGAGGAATTTACAGCAAGAGAAGAAAAAACGTCTACAGATTCATGGTGGATGAAATTAAAAGGGGAAAACGAAACAAGGGAGTCCATTCACGCCTGACTTGCTGATATAATGTTAATCACACAACGACAAGGCACAAGTACCGGTGACCAATCACGAGGTCAGAATTGGCGGGAGAGGTGCCCCACACTAGGCAGAATTATGGACACAAATAGTCGACAGCGAGAAAAGCAGATGATGGCTCATAAGGCAAGGCTCTGATACGGTCTTCCCATGAGAAGCTGAACAAGATGTTCAAATGCACTATAAAATGCATCAGAAGTCTCGAGAGATCAGAGAACCTTATTTTGCTGGCAAAAGATGTCATCTCTAGCTCGGATCCCCAAGGTCCAGTCCTGCAATTTTTCTGTCACTAAGAGTGGTTCAATTCCGCCGTCAACCTTGTTGCTCATCGCGCACGAGAGGATCCAATGACGAACCTCCCAATCAGGGCCAAGCTGAACTCCCGACCCTCAACCAACAACATCGAACATCTTGTGCATAACACCGTATGACCTCTACATTGATCCACAGACATTTCCCGTGCACATGGACCTCTGATGCCAAAGAGTGAGCCGTCATCTCAGCGCTCCTGCTCCGAATCACAATGCGCCCTGTGGACGAGATCCGGTGAGTCCTCTCCTCGACCCGCGTGGCATGGCGCGCCTGTCTGACTCCATGCCAAGGCTACGATGGCGCGCAACACAAACCCACGGCGCAAGTCGCGATGACATGCAACGTGCCGTGCGGTACACTGGCACCGCCAGCCCGTGCATCTCCGGTCTGAGGTCTGTCTGCTGGAAGGTATGCGCCACTCCGGCTCGATTCCTTGTGAGAGCTCACCTTCTCATGACGCCAGCTCCTCCTCTTGTCCAAGACGAACGATACAGACTGGATCAGTGTCTTGTCCGAGGCGCGCGACGAATATCAGAAACGCAGAGATGCGCTGCTGCAGTACATCAAGCACCCAGGCGCCCTAGCCGAGCTCAAGGTTGATCCGCTGGCGGATGATCCCACCGTAAGGATTTGAGTGACATGGCAAGAGCTGTATGTGATTGCTGACTGGAGTCTCTAGTCTCCTTGGAACACCATTCGGCAAGACGAGCTCATCCGCTCAGAGATTCAACAGGATGTGCAAAGGCTGCCCGACGAGGCCAACTACCATGATGAGCGCATACAGACCATGATTCTGGATGTGCTCTTTGTCTACTGCAAGATGTATCCCGACAGGGGCGGATACCGCCAGGGCATGCACGAGTTGCTCGCACCCATCGTCCACGTACTCGAGGCAGACGCCGTCGACAGGGGCGCACTTGCTGATGAGCATGGCCTGGACGAGACCTTACTTGATCTTACCAGCTCGGAATTTGTTGAGCACGATGCCTACGCCCTGTTCTGCAAAGTCATGGACGGCGCTCAGTCCTTCTATGCTCTTAACGATGAGGCGACATCGCGGAGCCAGGCCCAGTCATCCACGATTGTGGAGCGCAGCAAGTTCATACACGAAGTCTGCCTCCAAAAGGTCGACCCTGAGCTGGCAGCACACCTCATCAGCGTGGAGATCCTTCCTCAAATATTCCTCATGTAAGCTCTTTGTACATGGGGACGAGCCGGCCTAACAAGATACAGACGTTGGGTCCGGCTGCTCTTTAGCCGCGAATTTCCCTTTGACCAGTTCTTGATGCTGTGGGACACAATCTTCGCAGTCGACCCATCCTTGGATTTGATAGACCTCATCTGTGTGTCGATGCTGATACGGATACGCTGGCAGCGTGAGTGACGTGGACCTAGGTCTGGCTGGGTTCTTGGCTGACAGCAAAAAACAGTGCTCAAAGCTGATTATTCTGTCTGCCTACAGCTTTTGCTGCGATATCCGCCGCCAGACGAAGCTAAGGGGCCGCGCACCTTTGTCGACGATGCCTTGCATCTTCGAGGTCACCTCGACGGCGCCGGTGGCTCCACGCTCATCATGAAGTACACAGGCAAGATGCCCGCCAACGTCAAATCGCCCGATATCTCAGCGCCCTCGACCCCTAGCTTCCGCCCTTTCAACGCCCTCCGCCAGCGCAGCCTTGCCATGCGCTCACCCTTGAACTCACCGCCCGCCTTCATGGCCCAGCAAGCTGGCGTCGAAGCCATTCTCTCCAACGCCGCCAAGGGTGCCAAGGGTGTGCTCGACCGCGGCGAGAAGCTGGGCATCAATCAAGCGGTCCGCGACGCCATGGGTGAGATTCGCCGAAACATGCAGAACTTTAACGAGGCACGCTACCAGCCGGGGCCGACCAAGGAGATCCTTAGCGAGGAGGGCGCCGCTGCCGCGTTGGCGGCGATGGAGAAGCGGAACCTGCAGTTGGCGTGCATGCTGGACGACACGATTACGAGTCTCAAGTTGGTGTCGGCAGGGAACTTAGCGGGCGACGAGGAGAAGACTAAGAGTCTGGAGATGATTGAGGTGGCGGCCGCCAAGATTCAGTTTGTCAAAATCTACCTCGAGGACTCGGCCATGGAGATGCCGGCTACTGATCTGCCCGCGCCAGAGAAAGACGTTGACGCCCCGGGCACGGATGCAAAAGAAGCCGCCGCTGGCACCACCGTAGTGGATGTCGACGACGTCAACAATATCTCGAACCTCAGCCTGGCGCGGGATGCACCCACCATCGAAGACGGCCGAGCTGCAGAGCTAGCCGAGAAAAGGGACACTGAGTCACCGAAACCTGCGCCCAAGCTGGAGCCACCAATGTCCGCGGCCTCGCGTGCTGTTCGCCCAGCAGCCGTGCCGACGCGGTCGACACTGGCGCAGTCGTCGTTCTCTTGGATGCTCGAACCGGACGAGTCCAAGAAGAGCTCGGGCGAGGCCGAGGCCAAGGCCAAGTCGCCGCCGCCGTCAGGCTACAAGAAGCGGTCGTCGAACAGTGCGAGCCGCGAGAGAAATGCGTTCCTCTTTGGTGAGCCAACGGCCGATCCCCAAGGTCGCGACCCGCTACGCGATGATATCTTTGGCCTGGAGCCACTACGCAAGACATGAAGGGACGAAGACAGCACAGGACAAGGCGTCCTTGATCATCAACACTACGTGTACATACATCATATATATATAGACGGCGCGCACACAGCACAAGACCTCTTGTCACTTCTTCAACGGCCTCTCCCTGACCCAGAACGAGATCGTGAAGCCCGTGACCAGGAAGCTGACGGTGGGGCCGCTTCTTCCCAACGTCCCCAGCTTGTAGTCCTTCTTGGCCTGCGCGGTCTGCCGTGGACACAGCTTGTAGATGAATGGCAAGAGTTCCACGGGGCTCCCAAATGGCATGAGGCAGCGTCACACCAATGCCCACCGCTGGCATGAAGAGGCGCATGTCCGCCCTTGGCTATTGCACTGTGGGCGTTCCCTGCGTCGTTGCGAAGGGATTGTTGGTCCAAAAGGAGGGGAGGTTTCGTCTTGAGTCGGTCGCTAAGACGCCAATGCTGTGGGTTGATGTGGCTGGATCCCAAAGGGCCCAAAGGGACCGAAACAGGTGTAATTGACTTAAGAACGCTGCCACGGAGATGTAAAAATGAACACTTGATCTGAGTGAGCCATGTTGGATGCTGATTCCGCCGTCAGCAGGTTGATCGACACACAAAACAGATCATAGTGCAGCATGGCCAGCGACCCAAAAGCAAGCAGCCCTGCGAGCCCAGCCAGGGTGTCTTTGGCTTAGATATTTTTATCAATCAACTTGGAACTGCTGTACGGAGTCATTAGCATTCAGGAATACTATAGCGACCGCAATGTGAGTTCTTCAGTATCAACCAGTACCACAGACACCGACGGACTGGGTACGATGGTAGAGTCCAGAGACGCTGCCGTATCCATGTGCGAAAAGAGCATGATCCTAATTTGCATGCAGCATAGCACCAAAAATGCACACTACCCAATAGACTCAAAGGAGCTTGGTCTTTCATGTCTACGGTGTCAGTCTTAAGATGCCTGCCCACGAGGTCATGGACCGGTCGACGCCAGACACAAGTTACAACAGCTGACCTTCTCGAAGCTCGCTTCCAGAGACACGCAGCCAATTACTCACGAGCCAGGGCTTCATTAATGATCATGCAATTTTCAGTACGTGATCCAAACTCTAACGGACCGCCGGCAGCAGGTGAGACAGACATTTGATGGCAACTCACGGAACCTGCATCTGCGTTCTCTGGCGTGGCTGCACGTGGCTGGAGAAAAAAGGTGGCTGTGGCCGTGGCTGTGCTCAAAGCAGAGCGGCCATTACCGATGCCCATGCACTCAGGTTGCCCATTCGACATTGGCATAAGGATTGCAATAGGAAGATCGTCCGAACCGAACGAGGACCAGCTCGACAAGAAGCAGAAAGAAGTCATGTTCGCTATGCAATGTCTGTATTGTGGTGCTCGTGATAAATGAAGGACCCTCTGCCAAGTTAGCCTAGGCTGCTCAGCTCAGCTTTGGTTCCCTGGAGAAGCCCCTTGGATACGCGACTGGAGCCCTGGAACCCCGCCAACCACGCCGGGCCGCATTCCAATGGCAGAGCCCAGTCCTTGGCTCCAGTCCTTGCAGTCCATGTCGCTGCCCTGGACATCCGTGTCCCCAGGGTTGTGTCCTTGAATGGAGTGCTGGCTTCAAAGTTAAACGTGCGCATCGATCGATGGCAATCGTGTCGAGGCAGCCTTTGGAGATGCCTTCACGCGGAGTTTGGACCTGTTCTCGTAAGTTTCTTAGTTTAATGACAAGGACGGGCGGGAATAAGTAGCTGGACGACGCTTGGCCCGGTACCTGCGCTAGACTGACTGTAGCTGTTTCAGACGGCGCTCGCTGCCCACACGCGTAGGTACGTACAAGTGCGTCCGCCGACACGAGCGCTGGAAAAGCCTCGTCGTCGACGCTCGGACAGCCGGGACCGTTAATCATTACGTAGGTGGTGCTGCAAGGGTCTGCGGGTGGCAGGCTGCTGCTGACTGGAGTCTGTCAGCTGTCGGTTCTGTTGTCGTGGATCGGATTCTCAGATCCACCAGTGTCCGCACCCACGAATGCATCTCAGAACTCTGATGGAATCCAATCCACATCCCTTGGCCTAACCCAAGCTATACTTGTAGTCATCCTTTCCCTGTCGTGCAGGCCTCGTCCCGAGTCTGCCCTGAATCGAAACGGATCATCCTACCCAAAACCCACAGCGCACAGGCAGGCAGCCAGGCAGCCACGCCTGGACGTCGCATGAACATCGACTATCCGCCCATGTTTCGTCGTCGCGCAGCGCCCTGATATCGTGACACAGCCAACGCGCCAGGACGCACCAAGCCGTCGCCGCAGAAGAAGAAGCAGCGTTGAGTGCTGCACGAAAAGCAGTTCTCGGCCGCCGCATTATGTCTCTACAGGTACCAGCAAAGGCCGGCGGCGCTGGCAGGTCGCGCTTCTCCAAGGCACTTCCCTCCATCCCGCCCCCCGAGGCGACGAGTCCGACCGCGAGCCTGTTTCCCATGCCGCCAACCTGGGCCACAGCCACGAACACGAACACGTCCACAGCCGCAGACAACAGGAGCAAGCCATTGCCCGCCCCTCGAGCGTCGGACGACCTGCCATCACCTCCACCACCCCCGCCACGCCGCGACCGCGACAACCACGACCCGACGACGCCAGCTCCATTCTCGCCGCTGCCCCCGTTGCCCGGCCGGAAGCCTGTTGGGTCACCACCGACAGTCTCGACATCTCCTTCGCTGCCTGCCCTCCCCAAGCCTCCTGCAGCGGATGCGCCGCCAAAGATGACGATCCGACGTCGACCTGTGGGCAGCAAGCAGCAGTCGCAATCGAATGAGGGGTCGGTGCCAGCGTCACAGCCTCCTCCACAGCTTGCAACCGCAGGATCCAGCACGCAGGTCGCTCAGCCCTCGACGTCGCAAGAAAACAAAGAAAAGGAAGACACCATCTCACCAGTGGCCAGCGCCCAAGAGGAGGCTCTTCCACAAGAGCGAGCGTTGCCAGAGACAGGTGCGCAGGAATCGCCAAAGCAGACAGAGAAGGAGCAGTCGCTGCCACCCTTGGAGCTTGCATCCTCACTTTCAACATCCTTCTCACCCTTGAAATTGGATTTCTCAGTCTCTTTGGACACGACTGCCGTCTCGACGTCGACGACGCCTGCGCATGCAGGCGCAACTGGGTCATCGTCAACAGTGTCCTCGACCTCCCTCGTCTCTTCCCAGGAGGCGGCTCCCACGGACGATCAATGTTCAACACACATACTATCGCCTCCTCATTACTCGGACACTTTTGACCTCTCTCAGTATCAGTTCCCACAGAAGTCGCCATCAGAGTCGCTCTCCAGCATCTTATCCGCGTATTCTCGCAGCGACACAGCTTCCATCATCCGGTCATCGGACGGCACCGCCTATAGCACAGTCGACTCAACCACCACAGACTCACCTGACCACGACGCCCCATCCGCGTACCTGGCCCCGTCTCTCGGCAAACACCTTGCTAGGCCGTCCCTCTCCACAATCACATCGGTGGGTACGCAGAAGACTCTCGTTCTTGCCCCGCCGCCTGCTCCTCTGAAGGACGACACCACCACACAGCGAACCGAGTCTCCTGTGCGCGGTGCGGGTCACGAATTCGGGACCCCTTCGCCTCCGCGACAGCAGATTTGGCAGCGCCGCCGCTCCCTCAAGGGCAGCCGCGATCTCCCAGATCTCCGCCTGGACAAGAGCCACGGTTCGACCGCATCTTGTTCCTCCATCTCGACCATTCGCGCCTCGCAGAAGCCTCTCCCGCCCCTCAAGGCCTCGCCGACATCTCCTGATCCTCCTGCGGAAGCATCAGACTTGACTGAACGCGAGGTGGCGCCTGCGCTTCCAGCGAAGGACTCCGAAGCAATGGGTCATGGAAACTCAAAAATCAACAAACTGAAGAAGGTTCTCCGTAAACCTCACACCTCTGAGGACATGGCCAAAAGCGTCAGCGGCTGCTCGGTGACGACGAATACGCAACTCATCAGCCCCCCAACACCCGAATACCAGCATCAGGACGTGCAGACGCCTGTCATGAGTAGCTTCAAGGCGCCAGAGTCGCCCGCAACGTCCCCCGAGCGACACGTACCGCACCCGACTATCACCGCCAACCTGTCCAAGGAGCTGCCGCAGCCTCGGGAATCGCCTGTAAAGGAGACAAAGGCCATCACTAGGAAGGCTGTGCCGGTCTTGACGCCAAAGGCGGAGCCAGCCGTACTGCACCCGGCCAAGAGCCTGCCCAGCCTCCAGACCAACCTTCCCCCAACACCGAGCCAGCAGTCGTTGCCGCCAGCTTCGGCACGTCCTCACTCAGGACGTGCCTCGCCAGCCCCTGAACAAGCCAGCCGAGGACGCCAGCGTACGCCCCGCGGCCCTCCTGGCGGCCCACTCCCAGGCCCCTTTCCAGGTCAACCTGGGCCACCCGGATCTTATGGAGGCTTCCCGCAGCCCCCAGGGAAGAGCTCGCGCCCGACGTCAGTATCCTCAGCCCGGCCTACTTCGCGAGGCTCAGTGCGACCCAACGGGCCTCCACGAAGACCCGACGCGGAACAGCGGATGGTCAGGTCCGCCAATGGAGATCTCTGCTACCGAGGTCGACATGGCACCCTGTATCCGGAGATGAAGCCGAAGGAAGGGCCGTATCCTGATCCCATGCCGTTTCCGCCGACAACAAAGGAGCCATCTGCTCCTGGCACAATCTTCAAGGCTGTGCCGGTGAGAGAGCGTCACATGAACTGCTTCCAGAACCATCGGTACATGTCAAAACGGCCGAACAAGATCTATCCCTTGGCGTGCCAGACATGCGAGAAGGCGGACACCGAGGACAGATGGGGCTGCGCATTCTGCAGCTTGCGGGTGTGCGAATCCTGCTACAAGATCTTGAACGAAAGTAAAAGAGATCTTGGCACGCTCATGGACAGTCTCCCTCTGCCGTTGACTCTCAGCCTCTCGTCCCCCCAACGACCCGGCTCCGCTTTAGGATTGCAGAGCAGCTCACAATGAGAACTTGGGGCCATTCTTCCACCTCTCTTATTTCTCTCTGTTTCACGCACACTACTTTTTCATTTGTCACGCATAGAATGGACTTTGGGATACCAGGTAGACACGGCGCCACCGTGCGGGCACATCACACGATACCAGCGAGCATGCATGGCGCAATAGGCTGTGGACTGGATGAAGACACGCGCACGAATCCCCGGGATTGACGAAGCAGGTAATAACTGCGTGAGCAGCGAGCTCAGAGGCTGGGCATGATAATGGGTTTCATCTTTGTACGTCCACAAGAGGTTTCACAGCGAGCATCTACATATGTAAAGTGTAGGCAATCCAAGCGACCATATAATTTCGAGCCACCTCGACGAGCGCCGCATTCTCTGTGTTTGGGAGTTGCATAGCAGTGGCCGTGAGACAACTTAGTTTCCCGAAGGGGGGCACGGAGCATCGTCCCCTGGTCCTCCGTTATCCCGAACATCAGCCCGTGATCGAAGGGGGAACCTCACTAACCCAATGATTTTCCATCCAGTGACGAGAAGCCTGCGACCGACTGAGTGCCCTATACGCAGAAAGGGACCCCCCATCTGGAGCGGACCTATTCTGATTCGAGGGATTACTCACCTGTAGCACCGGCACATTGTCTGGGGTGCATGCATAGTCTGTTCGGGACTGCCATCGATCTACTTCGGGGATGGAATAAACTCTAGATTGGCGGCGAGGGAGTCAAGTTAAAGGCGGAAGCTCTGGTCATCAACTCTGGACATTTTCCATGCCGATCACTCTCATCACTTCCAGCTGCAATCTACACCATTGGGATTCTTATCTTACAGAACCGTCACGATGAAGTTTGTCTCCAGCATCCTCTCCCTCGCTCTCGTGGCACTGGCCCTCGCGTCGCCTCTTGAGAAGCGTGCCTCTGCCACCGATCCTTGCAACATTGGCTACTGCACGCAGAACGGCGGGTGGGTTGTACCGTACGCTCTGTGGGCTTGACGAAGGGCTGACGAGTGGCCAGTACGACGGGCGGTGCTGGTGGCTCGACGACGACCGTTCGCAGCGTCTCTGAGCTTCAGGCTGCGGCGGGTGCGTCCGGTCCGCGCATCATCTTTGTCGAGGGCTCGATCAGGGGGGGCGCCAAGGTTGATGTCGGCTCCGACAAGACCATCATCGGCCGCCCTGGCAGCAGTAGGCCTCCCTTCTCGTTCATGACAGAACATGCTTACTAAGTGTGATGCGCAGGTCTTGAGGGCGTCGGCCTCGAGGTGTACGGCCAGTCCAACGTGATCATCCGCAACATGAAGATTGGCAAGGTGCCCGCCGACTACGGCGACGCCATCCGCCTCGTTGAGTCGACCAACGTCTGGGTCGACCACTGTGATCTGTACGGCGACCGTAGCGTGGGCAAGGACACCTATGATGGCCTCGTGGACCTGTCTCACGCCGCCGACTGGGTGACCATTTCCCACACATACTTCCACGACCACGTGCGTTTCCCCCGTTTTGTGCAGCCCGACACCAGAGTACTGACGAGTCCATTGTAGTCCAAGGGCACTCTCGTTGGTCACTCGGACAAGAATGCCGCCGAGGATCAGGGCAAGTTGAGGGTAACCTATGCCAACAACCACTTTTACAACCTCGGCAGCCGCGCGCCCCTCCTGCGCTTCGGGACCGCCCACATTTTCAAGTGAGTATTTGTTTCTTTGCGCGTCGGCAAGGGACAGAGATTGACATACTGGCTGCCAGCAACCTCTACGACGCCGTCGATACGGGCGTCAACACGCGCATGGGCGCGCAGGCGCTGGTGCAGTCGAGCGTCTTCCAGAACTCAGGCAAGAAGGCCATCTTCAGCGCGTCCAGCAAGGAGGTCGGCTACGCCGTGGCCATAGATGTCGTACTGGGCGGGCAGAGCGCCAACACGGCGCCACAGGGCTCGCTGGGGGCCGGCAGCTTCCCGTACCAGTACAGCCTGCTCGGCTCGGGAAGTGTTGCGAGCACGGTCCCGGGACAGGCTGGCCAACGCTTGAACTTGTAGTTCGATTGTGGACGAAGCATGTCGAAGTTGGAGAATGTGTGTTGACTTGCTAAAGAGTTATTGCGGAACTCTCACTGAGAGACAAGGCTTATTTATCCAAAATATAGGCTGCTCACTCTATCCGCGCCTCGCTACATCGGTTGCTCACAGCCGACCATCTTCCGTAGTATAGTGGTCAGTATGCAAGCTTGTCACGCTTGAGACCCGGGTTCAATTCCCGGCGGGAGAGATCCGCCAGCTGCTCAGCAGTTTTTTCTTTTTGTCTTTTGTTTTGCTTTTAGGAGCAATGCCAATAGTCGTTCGTTGATTGACTGGCGCACCTATGCATACCGCTTTTTCGCTGTTGCTGCGCAGGAGACGCGACGTGCTTTTGTAAGGTACTTGGTGAAGCAGGGTATGGCAGAGATTCATTGACTCGGGAGTCGAGCATGCTGCCCCTGGATTAGCGCACGCACCAAGGACTGGACTGGACTCACCTCACCAGCCGAAGCAAACCCAACCCCAGCTCTATTGTCACCATCCCTCTTGTCCTCTCGGACAACAATGTCATCATCCACAATCGCACGATCTCGATCGCTACGAAAACCAAATCCGCCCGCAGAAAGCTCCTCTGCCGTCCCTAGATCATCCAGGCCAGCCGCACCGTCCGACGTGGACCATCATAGCTCACCGAGTCGGCTGCCTACCAAACCCCCCACGCGCGTGCCGTCGACATCATCCAATGGTGGTGCCGCCGCGAAACCAGCACCGCGCCCGCTAGGACGAACACTATCGTCAAGACAACCAGCCGACGCTCCCAGAACGAACTCGACTCGATGCCCGCCCACGACCGGCAGCACGAGAAATGCACCACCATCCGGGACGCTGCGGCCAACGTCCGCGAGCAGCAGCAGCAATAACAATAACAACTCGGCGTCATCGACACAGATCAAGCGAGTAGCGTCCCATGTGCGTGCTAAAAGCACTGCCTCCGCGAATGGCGCGACGGGCCTGACACCAGCGACGACCTTGAAGCCTCCTCTCCAGGGTACGAACTCGCGCGCGGCCGCCCACGCAAAAACCGCGTCGACGGATCGAACAACCACTACTCGAACGGCAACCACATCGTCAACGACCACCACCTCTCGCGGGGCAACAGCAGCAGCAGCAGCACCTGCACCCGCACAGGCCCAGTCACGTCTCCGACCAAACTTCTCGACCCTACAGCAGCACTACTCCCCAGCCAAGTCGCGCGATCCGAAGCCTTTGACCGCAGCATACCTCGCGCCCCCCTCCCCCTCCAAACTACCGGCCAACGTTGCTGCCTCGGCGGAAACCAGCAGGCTTCAGACAGAGTTACTACAGCTGCACCTCGTACATCGCGACGCAGGCACCGTCGAAACACAGTGGCGCGCGAGTGCAAAGCAGAAACTTGGTACTCGATTTGAGAAGCTGTGCGTCACAGCCCAGCAAGTCGCCGAGCAGGAGAAGGCAGGTCTCGAGAGAGCCAATGTCCTCGCACTGCACGCGTGGGGGAGCGAGGGCGGTCTCGAGGAGAAGATACAGGGTCTCGACACGGTCTTTAATGGCATATGGTCACTCAGCGAGCCAGGCGGCCGCTACGCGCGGATGACCCGGAGATTCGAGCGCTGGATGGACCAGGTCAGCGAGGTGGAGCAGGCGCGGCGAGACGGGACGTATCTCGAGCAGGGCGACCAGAGCCTCTTCATCAGCGACCTCGAGACCCCATGGAAAGAAGACTGCGCCGGCACGTTGCGCCGGCTGGACGGCTGGAGTCACCAACTGCGAGCCCTTGGGGAGCCACCTGCAGACGAGGACGGAACTTCAAGCTTGGCCAAGATGCTGCAGGGCGCGCGATCCCTGGTGCAGGACATGTTGGCCGAGGTGCAGATGATGGAGGAGATGGGAGGGGAGGCGCTGGCCAGGGAAGCCGAGTGGATCGAGAAGATGAATCGGATGGACGACGATGATACCCCTCAAGCCGGAGCGATCTGGCGGACTGTATAGAAAGAACTGCGAACGAATGACACATTGGGCACTAATCGCCGTGCAGACGGTTGAGACACACAAGTTGGACATGATAGTGATGGATTGATCGAATACTGCTGTGTGGAATAATCGCCAGTCTGTCTAATCAACGCAACGCGCACGAATCGTCAATCCAGCATCTGACCCATGTTTGTGGCTTCCTGTCAAAGCTTCATTTTCATCCCGTCCTCCGAGGTATCATGTCACAGGAATGCCCTCCGAGGGAAGGCCACGCCTTCCACAGCAGGCTCGTCCACGAACCAGCTTGCCCTGTCGCCGGCGGTCTCATTGACGAGTGTGCAGGGGAGACCATCCGAGGTATCGAAGATCTGCTTCATAATCTCCTTCTTGCCTCCACCGGTAGCCACAAACGCGATGCGTACGGCGTGTGTGACAACGGGAAGCGTCAATGTGATGCGCCTAGCAGGCGGCTTGGGGGAGTCCTCGATGGGAGCAACCCACGCATCATTCTCGCGCAGCAGCGCATGGCCCGGGAACAGCGAGCAGGTGTGGCCGTCAGGTCCGCAGCCCAGCAGGAGGAGGTCGAAGATGGGCAGGCGGACCGAGTCGCGCGACGCAAAACTCCCCACCAAAGTCTTCTCGTACTGATCCGCCAGCTCTTGGGTATCCTCCAGGTGAGTGACGTCAATAGGGCGCACGGCGGGCTTCTGGCCCTCGGGAAGCTTGTCCAGCAGCTCCTTCTTCAGAAGGGCATAGTTGGAGTCCTCGTGGTCGAGGGGGACGGCGCGCTCGTCAGCAAAGAAAATTTCCCACTTGCTCCACTCAACAACGTCGTTCGGGCCGGACGAGGGGGCGAGCAGGGCGGTGGCGAGGGTCTTGGGGAGCGAGCCGCCCGACACGGCAACCTTGAAGCTGTCGTGACGGGCGATGCCCGCAGCTTGGGACTGGATAATGTACGAGCGAAGGGCGGGCGCGAGGGCGTCGACGCCGGGAAAGGCAAAGAGGTTTGGCTGCGTCTTGGGCATACTGGCGCTGCGTTGCGATCGCATTGTTTGGTTAAGAGTGGTGTTGGAAAATGTAATCCAATGTGGGAGTTTGTTGTTGCTGCGTTGGAGGGCTTCGAGGTCGGTGGGTTGGTTGGGTTGGGAATGGAGGGGTAAGTTAATTAGTTACCTGAGGAAAGAGGATGTCGTGGCTCGCCGATTCGCGCAGCGGGAAGGAAATGCCCAGGTACGTGCTGAGGTCGACAAATTCCTTCATGCGTTATTACCTAAGGCAACTGCTGCCGCAATTCAGATCAAATAAATCTCTCTCTCTCTGTCTGCTGCTGTCCATTCTCTCTGCAGCACTGCAGTGACGAAACGACGTCAGTGGGCCGATGCGCCCGTCAAGCTGGCGGTGGGCCTATGAAAGAAACGCTCGCTCCCAGAGAGCATGCTGTCGTCCCCATGTCTATCGACTCCTGGGTACGTACGTACGTGTGTGCGTACTTATGGTACAATGATAACAAGTGGCTTCGTTGTCGATTGATAGGTGTCGATGACGGAATCGCGACCGCACATCCACATTGCCATGGCACTTTATGCGCAAAGAGAAGACAGACATGTCGAATAGCTGAGACACGTCTTTTTAGCTGTAAACTTTGTCCCAATGCAGCCTCCCGGTCACGCCACTGCCACGCCCGAGGTGGAATGCATGCTTCCACGTCACGTCACAGGCCGCGCTGATTTAATTAGCCCTCAATGGGGACTGAATTACTGGTTGCCGCCCATGCGCTTCAGCCTTGATGGAAGGGAAAAAAAGTAGGAGGAAATGAAAATCCGGTCCCCGCATGCACGCACGTTTTCATCCTCGACATGCACAAGTCCCATTCCTTTCATGGTAAATGGCAATTGCAAACCGGTTGTACGGAGCCTCATTGGCGATGGGGAAAAGGATGGAGTAAGGGAAGTGACAGATGGCATTCAATGATTTGGCTGGTCTGGGTACTCTGTACATGTAGTATTGATTAAACAACCACTCCAAAGACTGATCGATCTTTTTCACACGCAAACAACCAGACAGAGTGGCTCTGTCCAACGTCCATGTCGTTCCTGAAGCGGGCGTGTCACAAAGCCTCGCGATGACGTCATTAGTTATATCGCAAACTCGCAGAGGCTGTATTTGCTCCAAAACCCCTCCAACAACAAGTCCCTCCAACAATGACTGGAGCTCCGCTCAAGGCAGCGACTGGACTTCTCAAGTCTTGCACTCGGACCCACCGCTCAGACAGAGCTCCGGGCGGAACGAGCAGCACTCTGGTAGACACTGCAGGGCAGCGACCAGGGTGGAGCGGGAGGGGTCGTTGGACCCTCGATTAGTGCCCTGGATGGACCCTAGCAGGAACTGCGCAGCCCCCGTCTCATTCAGGGTCCATCCAACCAATATTATCAAGTCATGCAACCGCGTACTCTGGTTCCCCTGCCCAATCTGGAACTTCCTGCCTGCCATGGCCCTCCTCCAGGCACTGCTTGCTTACCTTTTTCCATTAATCTGCCCACATCCCTCATGTTCCTCCTCGTTCCCATCGATTCCACTGCCTTCTCTGCCCTGGGCTCACCACTGCCGTACACCGTCTCCGTAAGATACACTGTTCCAGTCCTCTTCGACTCAATTGGGCGAGATCTACCGGCCTACCCTTGCTCTGTGCCTGAGCCTCCAGTCATTCTCCACGCAAAGACGCTATCTCCGATCCCGAAAATACTGCACTCAGTCTCTCCTCTCACCAAGGGCCTCTCACCAAGGAAGCTCCAGTTGGAACGCGACAACGCTTGACATTGTGGCTGTGACTGCCGATCGCAACCTGCACGAGGCGTCCACAGCAGGAACCGCGTGGCACTTGACACGCATCCGAGTTGCCTCTTTTCACACTTCGGTCTTTGTATCGATAGGCCGCTCCGAACGTCAGCAACTGTCATTGGAGAGCACCCTCTAGTCTAAGTAGTGAATTGTGGCCACTGCCTCACTACACCCTCGTCCAAGAGCTTCATTGGCCACCCTCTTTGGCAACCGGCATTGAAAATCCCAACGGCCTGGCTCCTGAGTAATCTTGGAACGGCCCGGCCAACAGCTTCACCAGACTTAGTCCCAGAGTCTCAAGCTATTCAGTCGTTCGCTGTGTGCCCTCGCCCAAGCACATTGGGAGAAGCCTTCATCAACGACACTGGTGGGGACAAAAGGGCCTTTCTGCCGTCACTCATTGTCTTTTGATCTTGACGTCGACTTCATCTTACTGCTCTCGCCCAGGGTTCGTCAGAGTCATCATGACTGAACCGGAGCTCCGAGAATATCTTTTGGGGAGGCGACGACACCTGACGGATGACCTGGAGAAACAACCTTACGACGCAATCACGTATCTTCGACGCGCCCTAGCCTACTCCGAACTGGGCTATCCTGACCTTGCCGCTGGCGATGCGTACCGTGCCCTGCTCCTGACTGATGAAGCTCGCGATGAAGGTTTCGAATATCACGAGCAGGCCTCGGATGCGCTCCGAAGTCATGTCGGCCAGTCTGTGCCAGACATCCTGAACTTTGGTGAATTGTCCGCAGGTTGGGCAGAGTTCAACGCCAAGGCAACCTCTGATGAAGAGAAACTAGATCGTCTCGCAGTCCTTGCTTCTGGCCGTGCCTTTCAGATCTTGTCTTTGAGTCTCCTCCTGTGCGGCTGCCTTAGGAGCTCGGCTACCTTCTGCCAGCGAGGTCTCAGCGTGGCGCCAGGCAACCGGGAGTTACTAAACTGCAAAGGTCATATCGAAACGTTTGCGCGACGGAGACTTGGGAGAGACGAGTTTGACATTGACGACCTACCTGAAGACGGCCTCGTGCGGCGCGAGGTCTACCCCTGGAATGACCACGAGCCCGACCGGTTCGATCCCCAGTCACTCAATGCGATCAACGCCGACCTGGCGCACATGGCACCAAAGTGCGAAGTCCGTGCAGCAACCTTGCCTGTTCTGCTGGAAGGCGAGAGTGAAACTGATCAATACGATGTGATCCCGACTTGCCAACAACTCGGTGTCTTTGCCAAGGAGGACATTGAACCTGGCGAGGCGGTGCTCAGAGAGTATTCGCTGCTGACTGCGAACAACAGGCTGAAGGATTCGTTGTGCGATGCCTGCGGCTCCGATCTTCCGCCTCTCGGGAGCGAAGATGAACCAGTGGACTGCATTGAGTGTCAGGACACCGTGTTCTGCAGTCAATACTGCCACGACCAGGCGCAGGAGCGGTACCACCCATCTGTCTGCGATCAAGATGTTGATGCAATCGCCAAGGATCCCGAAGCACAAGAGACGGGTGACACCCTCTACCTCCTCCTTCTCTCGCGTGTTCTTGCTCTCGCCGCCCACGAGGACGTCAACCCGCTCGACGTGCGCGAAGTAAAGTTTATCTGGGGCGACTTTGTGCCCAGCCGAAGCAACGACATTGACCCTTCGCCCAATGCTGGACCGCCACCCGAGTGGACACTGCCATTCTCGTTCAAATACAATATTGAGACGCCTCTCCACGTACTCGAAAAGATGGACATTGACATTTACAAGACCTTGCCGCGCCACGACCTGTGGCTCGTCAACACGCTGTACGCCAAATTCAGGGGCACTGCCTCGGCGAGAAAGACATATGCAGACGGCCGGCCTGACGTCGCGGCCGTTCATCCATACTGGTGTCTTGCGAACCACGACTGCGATCCCAATGTCACATGGGAATGGGGCGGCCGCATGGTTTTGTGGGCCAAGAAGGAGAGGGTTGATGGACGGTCCGGGGGCATCAAGAAAGGGGAAGAGATCCTCAATCACTACAATGATATCACCATGCCCGTCAAGGAACGTCGAGAATGGGCACTAGGAAGTCTCGGGGGGTGGTGTATGTGTCAACGTTGTCGGACAGAGGCTGCCGCCGCGGCATGACTGCGAGAGCGAGAGTGTAAGGTCACTGTTAACAGCGGAAACGAATGGGTTTGTGGCATATTGGAAAATCAAGCAAAGAAAATCCACCATATATATATAACAATCTTGCGGAGGACAGGGACAGGTAGTTCCGGGATGCGCTCCAGTTCTCAGGCCGACTGAAGGTGTTTATGAGAACAACGGGTCAGTTGCAGGCGATGATTACACGTACATAGCGAAGGTGTTGGTGCTGTCACAGGCATCTGTCAAGATGGTTATTATTCTAATGTTTCTCCTTTTGTGTTTTTATTTTCGAAACATCGGAGGACACTTCACTGAGTATTTGTCCAAGCTCCCTGTCCCATGGCAATAGTAACTAAAAGTTCCATCAGATTCACATCGTCTTATTCATGGCTTGGGGCCAGGTAACGGCCGGGGACCGACTATTTGCCTTCGCCCAGCACCGATGCCCTGGGTGCCCTTGTTCTGCCCATCACCACCCGTGAACCCACTCCACTGACTGACGTCCCATTTCCCGCCGATGCCGCCGCCAATGCCGTCGACACCATCCGAGTTCCTGGCGGCGGCGGCTGTCTCCTTCTGCGCCTCTTCCCATTCCCGCTGCCTCTCACGTTCGCGCTCCATCTCCCGCTCGAGCAGAGACTTGCTCGCCCATCCGCCGGCTTTCGTCTGCTGCTGGCTCCGGACGCGGCGGCGGTCCTCGCCGTCCTGCTCTGCTGTGGCGCCGAGTTCGCGCGCGTACGTCTGCTGCGGGCCCGAAGGTGAAGGCGCCGGGTTGGATGAGAGGTAACGGTCTGTGCGGCTGGCGTGTGCGGAAGGGGGTGACGAGTACGTCTTGGGGTCCGGGAGGGGTCGTCCCCCGCCGCCGCTAGCGCTGGGGCTCGTCACTGGAGACGACCTAGCCGTGGGCTCGGGCAGAGGGCGAGGCGAGCGAGCAGCGTTGAACGGAGAGGACGAGGACGAGGACGAGGACGAGGCAGCCTCTGGGGTCACAGCTGGCTTGGGCAGAGGACGCGGGGCACTTGGCGTGGTGTGCGCCGGTGGTGGAGAGACGTGCTCAGGTTCGACTGTAGGCTTCGGAAGGGGCCGAGGAGATCGCGCTGGCGGAGACGAGATCTTTGATTCAGGGATGTCCTCGTAGTCGGCGCCGTTCTGATGTCGATTCCACGCCGTGCTCAGAACCTCTCGCTCACCACGGACGTACGAGTCCTGACGACCGGGTTCGCCCAATCCTCTGCTCTTGGACCTAGCTCTGGCCTTTGCATCCTTGTCTCCCCTGCTCTTGGACCTGGCCCTGTCTTTGGCGTCTTTGTCTCCCGTGCTGATGGCACGACTCGAGCCGCCACTCCTTACTTGTCGCTCGCGCTCATACTCGGCCTCTCGTTGGCGAGCCTCTTCCAGCTCCTTCTCGAGCTGCTTGATCCTGTCGCCGTATCTTGTGTCGCCACTGCCAGTGTCCTGCCCCGCTCGGTGCTGACTGCTGAGTGAGCCCTTGGGTGTGCTGCCCCCCTGACTTCGGATTTGCCGGCGCTCAGCTTCTAGACGCTCCTCGGCCTCCTTCTCCTCACGCCTTCGCTTTTCCTCGGTGATCCTCCACTCGCGCTCCTCTTCCTCCCACCGTCGTTTCTCCTCTTCCGCTCTACGACGCTCCTCTTCACGGGCGCGGTTGGTCTCCTCTTCCCACCTGCGCTCTTCGTCCAGCCTGGCGCGTTCTTCCTCCGCCTCTAGCTTCCGCCGCTCGTCCTCTTCCGCCGCGAGCCTCTCCCTCTCTTCTTCTGCCTCCTTCTCCTTGCGCATGCGTTCCTTGTCAGCGAGGCTTGGCACTTTAGGACCACTCGTGGTGATTTGCCTCCGTGCTCCAAAGGCGATGCCCAGATTTCCTTGACTCGCACCACCCATGTATCCATACTGTGCAATGTTCCACGCGGGCGATGTGGCGCCCTCGTGCTCCCTCTTACTCCAGCTACTAACAGGACCAGGTGAGCTGGCGCCATTGTTGGGACTCTTAGTCGGGCTATACCGCCCCGAGGCTGAATCACCCGTCCGATGTGGGAGCACAGGCTTCGAGCCGTAGGCCGAGGACGTGTTGCTCGTCACAGAGATACCCCTGTTGCGGATCGGCGTCGAGGGCGCCGAGTTCCGTGGCTCGGCGACGTTCATCTTGTTCCTAGGTCCTATGGCCGTGGGGAATCGGCTCGGGTTCGCCGCGTGGGCGGCTCGGCAGAAAGCGCCCAGGCACTGGAGGACCTGGGCAGGGTCCTTTTGCTCGTACAGGTCGACAGTGAGGAAAGTGTCATGTTGGTGGAGGTTGAGTGGCGGTTCTTGGCATGCGCGCAGGAAGATGGAGATGTTCTCCATTTGCACAAAAGGCATAGCGGACTGCTTGAACTTGACGCCTGGGGGCGGGACGGCGAGGTTGACCAGCCTGCGCGATTGTTAGTTGGCGGACAATTCGTCTCGATGATGACAGCAGCTCGGGGGAAAGCACCCACTTGCAGAGCGCAACACCATCTTTGAGTCCTTCGAGGATGTCGGGCGACGGCAGGGTCTCGCCCAAGGTGTCTTCGATCCATGAGCGCACCTCGTTCGCCGCCGCTGGCGTGTACTTGTCGAGGCGCACCCTGCGCAAGTCCTTGTCCAATGATGAAACGGAAGCCATGGTGCAATTGTGCTCGATATCACTCGCCGTTGTTGGATAGAGAAGGAATCGAACTCGCGACTTCCTGTCGTCACCTTGTTGAGCAGTTGGGCAGCAGCGGGTCTCTCTCTCTGACTGGTGCGGAATGCGATAGCGGGGGTGCGACACCTGGTAGCTACGTGTAGACTGGCATGCGGCGCATAGCAGTGCCTCTGAGGAAGGGGGCGCCGCGTCTCAGTCGACGTCGAAAGAACTTTGTCGCAAACAGGGTCGAGTCGTGGAAGCATAGGTACCTTACCCAGATACGTGGGCAAAACGGCCAAGGTGTTGTCGAGTGCAAAGGGCCGTGGCGCAGTCGCGGGGCGGAACGCAGCTAAGCTACACGTGCAATACCTTGTGTGCTAGCTTCAATAACGTACGTACTTGGTACGTACTTACCTGGAGAATGTGGCTGAGGCAATCCCTGTCCGATCGGGATTCGATGCATCGATGCATAATTCAGCATTGATTATTAGTGCACGTTTGATTGACCTCATCATCGCGAAAAGGTGCGCCAGCGCCAGCCGTCGGTGAGCCACACACAACACACACTCACACTCACACACACACACAGCCATGCCGCCCTCAAGACGCATCGGTATCCTGGCGCAGTCCTGGTACAGATGGAAGGCTCTCCGTCTGCCCTGGCGGCGGAAGTTCCTCGTCGGTACGACTGTCTGCCCTTCCCCAAGGCCCTTGCATGCTAACCCACAGCCAGGCTTTGACCTCAACGGCTTCACATACTGGGAGTTCCGCCTCGCCGGCGTCGACAAGGCGACCCGCTGGCGCCGCATCGTCAAGTACCCGCGCTCGACACACCTCTCGGACGTGCACATTTCGCCGCAGTGGCACCAGTGGCTACGCTACACGCGCGACGACCCGCCCACCGTGGGCGAGCAAAAGGACGACGTCGCGCGCCAGGCGAGGATGCGCGTGCTCGCGGCCGAGGCGGACGCCCGGTGGGCGGCCAAGCCGCGGGTGATGGATGCGCCCGGCCAGCAGACGGGTCAGCCGTCGCCGGCGCTGCAGAGTCCTGGGTCCAAGGGTCCCTTGAAGCAGGACGAGCGGCAGGAGGAGAAGACGACACAGCAACAGCAGCAGCAGCAGAACACAAAGGCGAAAGAGAAGGATGATCCGTGGGCAGCGCACAGGTCTAGTGGACCGAGCGAGAATTGGCAGCCAGAGGCCTGGACGCCCGGGAGCGGCAAGCAACGATGAAGAAGAAGAAGGGAAAAAAGATGCTGGGTATCCTCATGTAATTACTATCTGTATCATTGTGCATAAGGAGAGGAATTCAAGTCGAAACGCCAGACCATGTCCGAACAATGTGGTATCCTTGTAAAAATCTCTCCAGACAAACGCCGCTCATTCATGCCATCGTGTGTGTCGTCAGTCACTTCGACCAGTCAGCAGCCCAAGCACAGACATCATGCCGCCGCCCCATGTGTAGCTTGTATCACGTCCAACAACATCCGCAGCCGCTCTGAGGAGTTGCTCAACATATCCTGAGCCATCGCCTCGGCCGCACCAGCCGTGTTTTTGCCGCTCTTCCTCTTCACCTTGACTTTGTTCTCGCGTGCCGCGATCCCCGTCTCGACAGCCGCCACCAGTTCTCTCAGTTCCCTGTTGTTGCCAACCTTGTTGCTCATCCAGATCAGCTGCAGCGCGCTCTCGATCGCAATGGACAGCTTCGCATTGTCCTCGGCGGACGTGCTGTTGGCTGCGTGCAGGGCGTAGCACCTCGCGAGCATGATGCTTGACAGGGCCGCTGCTTGCTCCGCCTCTGGATCCACCAAGGCCGGCTGTTTGTACCGCGACAACAGGTGGTGGAACAGCGCCTTGAGGACGGTGGTGTGCGTCTCGGGGATGAGTGCGTTCTGCCGCTGCGTCACAACGAGCGCAAAGGCTGGCAGCGAAAGCAACCGAAGCCCGGCAGCAAACTCAATGTACAGGTCGTCCATCTCATCCAACTTGCGAAACTGCCAGAGCGCCAGGGAGAGCAGCTTGAACAGGCGCAGCCGGATGTCGATGGACTCGACGAACCCGGCGTGCTGCTCCCCAAACGTAGTCTCCCGCGGCGGCCGTCCCGACGACCGAGCCTTCTGTGGCGTCGGTGGTTCGGAGCCCCCCGAGGAGATGGCGTCGTCGTCCAGATAGTCGCCAAAGTTGCCGCTCTCAATGTTGATGCTCTCCCTTTTGCGTTTTCTCGACTCCTTCTTGCGTCCCCGTGGCTCCTTCTCAAACACCTCGGGGAACGCGGCGGACGACAGATCGCTGCCGTCCGCCAGGATGGCCTTGACAAAGAGCTTGGGCGACCCGCGCCGCCCGCCCTGCGGCTCGTCCATGTACATGGCGATCATGGAGTCGTGCCGTAGGGTTAGGGGCACCTCGCCGACACTGCCATCCGCCTCGTACGCGTCGAGGTCCTGCCGCTCCCGCTCGCGCCAGTCCGCCTCGAGCACGTCGGCCATGAACTCCAGCCATGGCTTCCAGTACCGCCATCGCTGCGGATACAGGGAGCTGCAGTTGAGCGCCCATCCCAGGACGGACCAAAGGTCCCGGCCCCGGTGCCAGAGCGAGCTCTCGTTGGCGAGTTTACCCCTCAGTCGGTCGGCGGCGTCGGATTCAGCTTCACAGTCGGACAAGTCACTATTGTTGCCGTGGCTATTGTAGCCTGATCTGCGCCCCGGCCTGCCGAGGTGGAGGAATTGGAACGCATCTCGAAAGTCGGCATGGAGCGGCCCGACGATGCGAAGGAGGCTGCAGAGGTAGTCGAGGGCATGCGACGAGACGACCGTCTGGCTGCCCTTTTCGGCGCGCGTGGTCTGCTCGGGGTGCACGGCTAGTGTCGCGATGAGGGCCAGATGCCTGGGCGGCGGGATGGGGACGGGCCTTGGTTTTGCGTGGTTCTTCCGTTTCGAGGCGCCAGCCGCGAGCGCGCTGCGGCAGAGGTTGAGGCCGGACAGGTCTGGACAGGATCAGCCATTGTTCATCCTACTCGGGGTTGCCCGAGGCCCGCGTTCTGCCTACATGTCTTCTCCTCCAGCGATATCTTGATGGCCTGCTTCAGGGTGTACCCAAACTGTCGCGCCTCGCGGTAGGGGCTAGGGTCGCTGTTGAGCGGGCTGCTCGCGGTCGTCGAGTTGCCTTCGGGCACGGAGTAGAATGACGTCGAGTCGCCTGGAGAGCTGTGCTCTGACGAGAGGGCAGCCATCGCAGGCTTGCCCCGGCTTGGCTGTGGAGCGACGCTGTCTGTTGGAGGTGTCGTGTGGTCAGAATGGGAGCGGATCGTTTGGACAGGTGCAAGACTGGATGGATGGATGGACTGGATGAGCGTCGGATAATTTACGCGTCCAGGATGGCGCGCGATGGAAAAGGTGGTGCCAGACGCGACAACCTTGAACTGATGGCGGGACGGATGGGGGAGGCTGCGCTAGTCTACATACAACGTTAGGTGTACTAATGGCTTAGTCTGTGGTGGTTCAGGGTAGGCTGAGTCAGCGCTTTACCTAGGCGCGGACTATGAACCATAGCGGCTGATCTTAAGCACTTGATGAGAACTCTATAGCGGATAGTATCGATGAATGTGAACTATATTGCGCATAGTTTCCACTGATGAGAACTTTATTATGTGTAGTATCGACTGAATGTCGCTTGAGCTTTCTGTGTCCAGTCCACAGCAAGCTCGGGATCTCAAGGTCTAGTATCGAAAACGCCTCCCATGCACAATGTCTGATGTCCAGCCAGCCGCCCAAACGCCGTTGAATGAGTTTCCCCCTTTTCTTCTTCTCTTGCCTCCCCTCAGTTGGGAATCGCGTTACTCCTCGTCCGCTCCATCTGCATCTGCTCGCCCACGGTGTCGCCGCTATCCTCGGTCTTGGTGCGCATGCGCTGCAGCACGGCTGCCGCCTCGGAGGCGTACTTGCCGTTGGCGCGGATGCGGTGGCCGTAGTAGTAGAACATGAAGGGGAAGGGCACGCAGGCGACGGCGAGGAAGGCCGGAATCGACGAGGCCCAGTGGATGCCGAGGTCCTCGTACATGTACGAGGTGAACAGGGGGAAGGCGGCGCCAAAGAGGGAGCGGAGCACCGAGTTGGCCGCCAGCACGGAGGCGGCGAAGATGACGTCTGTTTCCTGGTCAGTCACGCGATCGATTATCAGAGGCAATGCAGGGAACACTTACAAGAGTCGATGAGGTAGGTCATCAGCGAGAGGAAGATGAGGACAATGCCGGCGCCGAAGACGCCAGATCCGATGATGGAGACGGACCAGTGGACGTCGGGGCCGTTGGTCCAGGCGAACCAGAACATGCCCACGGGGATGAGGATGGAGCCCACCATGCCCGGCGGCAGACGGGCCTCGGGGGGCGCCGCGCCGTTGTGCTTGGCCGCGGTGCGGGCATAGCGCTTGTTGTCGAAAATGGTGCCGACGACGGCAATGGTCATGCCGACGGCCAGACCGATAAAGGCCAGGCCACCGATGCCAGGGCTCCAGCCTCGGCCCTGCTGGTAGACGATGGGGAAGGCGGCGAAGCACAGGTACAGGGTGCCGTAGATGATGGCCATGTAGATGGAGGTGATGAGGACAATGGGCTCGACAAAGAGCAGGATCCAGGGGCGGAGCAGCGCGCCCTTGAGGCGGGCGGCGACGCTCAGCTTGGGCTGGCCGACGTCGAGCTTGGAGATGTAGACCTTGCCCGTCTTCTTGGACAGCGCCTTGGCGCGCTCCTGCAGCAGGACTGGGGTGTAGGTCTCCGGGTAGGTGACGGTGCTCAAGATCCACAGGATGCCGTTGAAGATGGTGATCATGCCCTGCACCCAGCGCCACCCGTGTGCCTGGCCGAGGAAGCCGCCAGCGATGGGGCCGAGCGCGGGGCCCAGGAAGGGGGCCATGGCGAAGATGCTGGTCGCGATGCCGCGCTCGTTGGCCACAAACATGTCGGCGATGACACCGCCAGCGTTCGTCAGGGGCGACGATCCAAAGGCACCGGCGAAGAAGCGGAGGATGATGAGCGTCTCGATATTGGGCGCGCCGGCGGCACCGGCCTCAAAGGCCGTCATGGCCATGTAGGTGATGAAGAAGAGCTTCTGGCGGCCGTACATCTCGGAGAGGGGCGCCCAGAAGAGGGGTCCAATGGCGAAGCCGAGGACAAACATGGAGACGCCAAGGATGGCGACCTCCTGCGAGACACGAAAGTCGTAGAGGACGGTGGCGAGGCCGCCCGAGAAGGCCGAGCTGGCAAAGGAGACGGACAGGGTCGCAAAGGCCTGGACAATGGTGATCAACCACTTGCGCGACCGCTTGAAACCCATGGGGTTGTAGGGGTCGTTGGGCAGGAACTCGACGAGGTAGGGCGACTCATCCGTGCCCTCGCCGGCGTAGTGGTGGTTGAGGACCGCGTCCGTGACACCGGCCTGGTCGATGAGGCCTCGGACATAGTTCACCTTTTGGTTGCCCTTGGGCTGCTGGCTCTCCGGGTCGCGTTCGGTCATAGTCGCAGAAGTGGACGAGGCTGACGACGAAGAGGCGGAGTGATGTGAGGACGGGGCCATCTTGGCCAGAGTCTGTTGTTGCGTGGGCGAGTGATTACGGAGTGTCCACGATGTCTGTTCACTGTTTCAAAGGAAGAGGTGAGTGAGTGAGTGACAGGGTGAGCACGTAGTGTGTAGTATGGTGGCGCGCCCAGGATTGTTATATGCCGTGGACCGTATTTCTTTCTGTCTTTCCGATCCGTCGGACGCGAACAAGGACCCGCTGCGCTTGCTTGCTTGTATAATCCCTAATTACTGGGTACGTATGAGGAAGAGAAAAAAAAGAATGTTAGCCCGTCTGCCCTTTATTCAGCGGGCTGTACGGATATCTGTATTATTAAAAGGGCATGCCAGGCTCCAGCTGCCAGGGAACCTGGTAAACGAGGGACGGGGGGCCCACGCGGGAGTCATGAGCGAACGGGTTTCGGCTGCTTCTGACGGCGCGAGGCGGCGGACTTGAATGCCACCCATCTTTCCCTCCTCTGGCTTGCTGGCTGTTGCGCCGTGACCCGGCCGTGGTGTGGAGCCACCCGTCGGCGTAGCGAGGCAGATGAACGATAATAGATGGAAAGGTGGGCCGTACCAGGCAGGCCACTAGCCTGGCAGGGCGACGCGAAAGAACCTCGGTCGATGCGTAGCTGTCTGTCGACAATGATGCTTGCTTGTGAAATATTGACCATCATCCAGGCCTGCTTGCTGCTCCTGCTCCTCTTGCTCTTGTCTGCTTGTCTACTCGTCTGCTCTGTCGTGTCGTGGTGTCAGCATTGCGTCGCTGGCAAGCTCGCAACCATCAAGAAAGGGGAAGACCAATTGCAAGGCCCTGGTCGACGTCATTGTTCGAGAAGACAGACAGACTGCTGCTCGATGATTGAATGATCCGTTAGAGACAGCAAGCCAGCCGCTAGCCATTATCATGCATGTAGCCGGCCAGCCAGCCGCACGCGATGGCACCCACCACGAGATCCATCCATCCTTGGTCCCTCCCCCTTAACGCCGTTCCGGCCCCGAATCCCGGATCAAAGATTTGTAACCCTCGCGCACCGACGAGGTACGTACGGAGATCGATACTGGCATGTGGGAAGCTGGATTGTGCGCAGCTGGATGGTCCCCCAGATCCAACATGACGGTCGGCGCCAGAAGATTTACTATAGATCACCATCTATCGTCGACGCCACTTTTGCTTCGAAAGGTAGACACTCGCTTGTCCCACTGTCCGTCTGTCTGCCGCCGCAGAGACCCGTAAAAACCGGTGCGGCCGGCATTCAAATAAAAAAAAAGGAACCCAGTTGGTCGCTCGGCACGCCATTGCCGAGCAGCAATCTGCAGTTCTGCGTGCACAACAGCTCCTTTCGGCCACCCTCCGTCCCGAGGCATTGCACAACGACGCAAGCAACCTACCGGTGGATACGATTCTTCTCCCCTTGTTAATCGAAAAGAGTTAAGAAGTTTGCTCGTCTCAAACACTCTAATCTCCGAAACCAGCCCACTCGTCTTCACCACAGTCGTCGTCGTCGTCGTCGTCGTCGCTGCCGCTGTTGCTGCTGTCCGTGCTGGCTGATTCAATGTCGTCGTCGCCGTCGTCAACAAAGTCCTCCTCTTCGGCGTCCCTGGACCGCAAAGTGACTGGCTCGCCCGTAGACTTGAGCACCGGCATGCCTTGCCCATCACGGACAATGACGCCGTCCTCATCCCGTATATACGGCCCCTCCTCCTCCAGTAGATCTTCGCCGGGGGCTCTCACGAACCCCGCGACGAAGAATCCCATGACACCACGCCCATCGCCTTTATAAGACCGTATACAACCCTCCGCGATGTCCTTGTCGCCGTCGCACGCCTCACTCAGGCCACGGACGTCCCAGTCCCGTAGACCGCTAACTTGATCCTCTCGCTTGAGGATCTTCCATCCCCGCCGCCGAGCCACGTCGGATTGGAGGGCTTTCATGACAACAGACTCATTTTCCTCTGCGTGGATGGAGCATGTCGAATACGTGACCTTTGTCGCACGCGGGAACTTGAGCGCGTGCAAGACGAGCGTGAGCTGGAAAGAAGCCAGGGCCTCCAGACGAGACTGGAGGTCCTTCTCCGACTTGACAATGGTCTCGTTGCCGTCGTCGTCCCGCAGTATGTTTTCTTCTGGCGCTGCCGCCTCCGCGTGCTTCCTTTTGAGCGTCTTGCCAGGCTCTGCTGCTTTCTTCTTGCTGGCGCCTATCGCTTCAGGGAGATGCAACTCGGGCATCGAGTCTCTGCCGACGATCCCACTGCCCGAGCAGCTGGGATCGAGTAACAGCGCGCCCACGTTGGCATATCGCTGATCATGGGGGTTGACCCTCAGGAAATCCTGCCCCGGACCAATCTTTGTCGTCTTCCTCGACCCGGCAATGGTGACCATCTTTTCCAGGGTCTTGGCCCGGCCCGGATCCTTCTCGAATGCATACACCGTCTGTGGCGGGCTGTCGAACTCGGGTCGGTGGCTGCGGAGGACCGCGGCCAGGTGTGTCGTCTTGTTGCCCGGCGCAGCACAGGCATCAATCACATCACCATCCTCCGCGCGGGGGTCGAGCAGGTACGCGGGGAAGCAGGACGCCTTGTCCTGAAGGATGATCTTGCCCGACGTGTACGCCTCCGTCTTGAACAGCGCCGTGCCCTGGGTGACAGCGAGCAAGTTTGGTACGTGGGGGTCGATCCACATAGCCTGTCGAGCCTTGGTGGTAATGACCTCCTTCAGGGCGCTGGCCCTCTCGTAGTTCATAAAAGTAGTCTCCAGCTGCTCCTCCACCGTCGTCTTCAGCGCGTTCACTCGCACCCAGCGGGGATAGCCCTCGGCATCACCAGCAGCCTCAGCCTCCACCTGCTCTCTCAGTGCGTCGACGGTTGGTGCTTTCCGTCGTAGTCTGGCACGTGTGAACTCGGAGCTGAGTCTTCCCTTGTGCTTCGCGACGCTCTGACTCAGCCCATGGCTCTGCGGGAGGGCAAGGCCCTTTTTTGATAGCAGCAGATCATGCACCAGGAGTAGTGCCAGTGCGGGCGTGAGCTGCATCGTCTCAGTGAGTGCACGTCCTTTCATGAGGGTTGGGGTGGTATAGATACCTTTCTCTCGAGCCTGAGCAATTCGCTCTTCTCGACAATGTCCTTCAGCACGGCACTCCATTTGCACGTCTCCAGCACGAGGGCATACAGCTGGGCTGGTGGGGACTTGAGGTCCTTGCGGCGAAAGACGCGGGCTTTGAGGCTACGACCCTCGTTCGGCGAGGTGAGTAGGAGCTCGGCCGCCTCGTGATAGAGGGACATGGAGATGGCGAGGGTGACGAGGGTGCAGTCATGGAGGACTCTTGATGTTCACAGTTGAACTTGGGGCCGCAGGTAGAGTTTTGGACAGTGTGTGTACAGTGTGATATGCTATAAATACTGTGCATTGGGTCTAATGCAGGAACAACGTCTATGTGAGGCAGGAGCGACGCGACGGGGCAGCAGTCTTTGGTAGGGACCTTTAAACACTACCTGTACATGCCACATACCATGTTACTATTACAAGGTTCCTGTTCATGGATCCTACATGTACTGAGTGAAGATGTTGACTCTTGCACGACATGAAGCAAAGCTCCCGAGATAGGTCACAGCAGTACAGACCAGGAAATGACATTGATCCAATTGCTCCTCTATCCAGCCCGTGAAGGCACTTCATGGGTATCCAACAGCTGTAAGTAGACACGAAAAAAAAAGAAAAAGGCCGAATGACAAAACAGCCAGATGGCAAAAGAGAGAAAAAAAGTCACCCGACCAACCGCAACGGGCAGGTCAGGCGGGAAGATGGAAGAGAAGTATGTAGTCTCGCAATGCACCACTCCATTTTGTCCCACGTCACTTGCTGTCCCCCACTCCACCCCATATGTCCGGATGCCCAATGTACATGAATCGACTTGCATGGTCCACCTTAGTGGAAGCGGCGGCGGCCATGGAGGTGGCTGTGGTTGTGGCCATGCGAGTCACGGCGGGCCTTGGCCGAGCCAGTGGGTTCAGCATAGACCTTCTCCGTCTCGGTGACGGTCTCCCAGACGGTGTGGATCTTCTTCTCGCAGCTGGTGGTGGCGATGGTGGGCTCGGGCGCGACGGGCTCGGCCACGACAGGAGCGGCGGACGAAACGGGCGCGACGGGCTCAGCGACGGGCTCCTCCTCGGCCTCGACTTCGACAGACTCCTCGGGTACGAAGGGATTCTCCACGACATTGGTGGGGGCGTGGGACACCTCGGGGAGACCCTGCGAGGCGGCGGCGGGCTCGGAGCTCGCAGCCTCAGACGTGTTGGACTCGGGCTGGTCGATTTCGTCGACGACGTCGTCGACGGTGTCGCTGACATTGTCCACCATGCCGTCGAGGCCGTAGCGCCATCCGGTCAGGGGGCAGTTGCCGGCCAGCGTGGACATGGTGCCAATGACCTTGTCGTCGAACTCGGCGGGGATGGTGCAGTCTTCGTCGTTGACGGTCACGCCAGGGCAGTTGTTCATGCCCGAGGTGCCGGCGTCACAGGTGTCGATAATGTTCTGGAGGACATCCTCGTCCCAGCCGGCCATAAAGTCAAAGTGAGAGGAGAAGCCGGTGGCGTCGCCGCTGGACAACACAAACGGCTGCTTCTTCTGGCCGGGCGTCCAGCGGTCCTTGAAGTCGGGCGTGTCCCAGTAGACCTCGAGGAAGAGGTGAGGCACGTGGATGGTGCCCTCGGGGCAGTTGAGCTTGCCGTTGCCATTGTCCTCGGGCCAGGCCATGTTGTTCTTGTGGTCGTCCAGGCCCTTCTCGGGATCGTAGCACGAGGGCATGTGCACGTCGGCACGCAGAGGCGAGTACAGGCCATCGCAGTTCTGGTCGGGGAACCCGACACCCTCGCCCTTGTTGATGGGGTCGCCGACACCGCATTCGGTGCCGTCCGAGTCCTCGTGCCACGAGGGAGGGTTGTACTCGTTGTTCATACGGGGGCAGGTCCACTTGACATTCTGAATGGGCCCCTTGTTGGGGTCCAGGTTGGTCGCGGAGCCAAAGGCGGGCATCTCGCGGGCGTTGGGGTCGCCACCGAGGATCTTGAGGCCCGGGGGGAAGGCGACGATCTCGTCGTCGGTGGCCTCGAAGAAGTAGTAGACGTTGACATAGTTGACGCTGACCGACTCAAACTCGCCGCTGTCCTCGTCGTGGAAGTACAGCTGGGGGAACCAGTAGGCACTGTTGTCGCCGACAATCTGGGCGTTGGTGCACTGCGAGTTCATGAGGTCCTCGCCAGTGGCCGTGGAGCTGAAGCCGCTGCCGCCCATGACAATGTGGGAGTGGGTGGCACGCTTGCCGGGAGAGACGATGGGGTCGACAGGGCCTTGGGTGAGCTGCTTGTTGGTGAAGCGAAGGACGGCAAAGGTACGGTCGTCCTTTGCACTGGCGCCAGTGGCAGCCAGGGCCGCGAGGGCGGCTCCGTAGTAGAAACCCTTCATGATGGTCGAAGCTGAAGGTTTACTGTTTTGAAGTGGGTTGATAGTCCTTGGATTGGCTGATACTTTTGAGCACTTAAAATCAAGTGCGTGTTTCTTGGTTGTTTGTTCTGCTGTCGAGGTCGGGCTAGCCGAGTCAAAGATGGAAGCGAGTAAAAGGAGAGTAAAGAACAGGGTTTGTCTGTTCAGATTGCTGTGTATGTGTGTAAAGGAGAGGACGTGCTCAGCAGGTAGTCTCCAGCAATTGAAAAGGAATGGATGGACAGATAGAGGTCAAAAGGAAAGAGGTTGAAGACGAACAGAGGAAGAGAGCAGAGGGTCGGTGGACAATGAGGGCGTGGCGAAGGGGGTGGGCAGTTTTAATACAGGCAGGGGGGCTTGGAGGGCTCCCCTGCTCCTTGTTCTTATTACCCAGGATTACTCCGTACTCAAAGAACAATTAATAGACGCCAGCGATCAAACTGGGCCGCAGTCTGGGCGTGGCCTCCCGCCATTCGCAGGTATCGAGGCGACATGGAGGCCCGGCATCGACTGGGGTACCCGGCATGGACGCGCTTGTACCTTGCATGCCGGCGCGCTTTGTTACGATCAGTGCCTCAGAGGCGGCAGGGGTCCTTTCGGAGCCCCCTCAGCAACCTTTGAAAAGCCTTTCGTTGACTCGCTGAGCGCCAATTCACGTCGTGTGTTTCGATCCATCATCTCGAGCTTGGACGCCCCCGGATCCACGGATCAACGCTCATCGAGAGATCAGCCTCGTAATTGACGCTCATGTGCGGCCGATTGCCAAGCACAATTCGACTCCGTGAGCGAGCCATCCTTCTGAGCCCAGTCGTCATTGTCCACGATATGTACTTGGCCTTGCGTACGTACAGCATGGTGGCTTGGTGCAAGCTCGTGCCAGCAGCCGGCGGTGAAGTGGATCGTGTCTCTCATGCCACATCACCCACGCGGCCACGCCTTGGTCTTTGGGCGACCGAGTGAGATGTGCCCACGTTTCGCATGAAGGCCTCATCTTCCCGAGCTGGTCGCGCATGCATTAGGTTTGTTTGCCCACTCGAAACACGGTGCAATGTGCAAACACACCAGTAATGCAGTGCTGTGTAGCCTGCGGGCCCCCGAGAAGTTAGGAGTTAGATCACGGAACTTTAACGCTTATTCGTACCTGCAGACCTTGAAACGCGCTACCACGACAGGCCCCTCTAAGCCACCCGATTGGCGCAGACCCGCCTGGCGCTTCCCGACTAGTGCCCCCTTTACCCCTGAGCGCTACCTACAACCGCCAGCCTTCAGTGGCCAGCCTCCGGCATGTACAGCGGGGCTACCCATTTTAAAGTTGGACCAGTGGAGTCCAGTCTAGTCTGGAAGCTCAAGCTTAAGGATGAAGCTTCATCGAACCCAATCTTGATCGCACGTCTTGAAAATCGCAGCCAGTCTCACCTTTCACAATCGAGACCAGCAACGCAAAACAAGTCTCTGCCTCAACATCACTGCTTTCTCTCGATCTGGTCGGTCTTTTTCGCGTGTGCGCATTGCTCCCGCTGGCCTGCCCCGTTCCAGCTGGGGGCGCCAGTCATTCCCGATTTATCATGCACACGCTGGCTTCATGTTTTGTTTTGCAACAATCTACTGCCGTGGCCCGTGGGTCGCACTGGTCTGCCTCAGAATCAGCCTTCTAAACCTGTTCCAACCCACCCCTTTTTTATCCCCTTCCTTTTTTTTTTTTTCCCCCTCTCTGTCTCTCCATCCCTTGGGCGTGGAACAAATGACAAGGAGGCATGTCTGTGCTGCGAAGGAGCCAGCCAGGATGCACGCTGACTCAATTCGGCCCTCGGCTGGCGCCCTGTGCTGACTTTTGAAACAGCGCCACTTCTTGTTCCTGGCCCTTCGCGACAATGATCAACTCGCTAGCGTGAGGATACATGCCTCACCCACTCGACGTGGCAGGCCAGCCACGTCCACAGAGCGCCATCGTGATAATATCCGTGGACAAAGCTATGCACTGGTCCGTACAAGGACACTAGTGATGTCTGCCCAGCGGTCCGCGTCCAGATACCGTGGAGTGGCGGTCAAGGTCACCTGGCCGCCAGCCAGTCTCACCGAGAACGATATGCGCCCAACCGCGCGCCAGCTCCATTGTGTTCGTTCTCGTCTGTTGCAATATTAGTGTTGAGTACGGCGAGTCGATGTCGAGTATCAGCTTCGAATCTTCATAGCCTGTCGAGTTCGAGGTCATTTGCGACTCGTCCCGCAGGATCTGCACTGCATATCCTTACAGAAAGAACATGGCTACCCGAGCCAAGGGCAGTCATTTGATCGTTCTATTTACGGACATGTTTGACTCTGACTAGGGCGCGTCTACTACTGACGGCGCGAGGTAGCCCAGACGTGGTTTGCAGTCAATCACTCCTTGCATTCGATGGGCAGAGAGTGTGGCCAGTTCTTGACAGAGCGCTACTTTCCTTCTGACGCTCTATGGCAAGCTGCAGTCTGGGTTCGGAACAGAGGCAATCGTCGTGTCCTTGTTAGGAGCAGCTCATATGGAAAGCCAGCACTACCTTACCTGGTAGTGTATAGTCAATTGGGCATTAACAAGGCACCATGGGACGAACCTCTGCTAGTGCAGCTACTGGCAAGTGTGCAGGGTAAGTCCTCTGGCAGTTGAGAACGTGAGGAACCCCTATTCTGTCACGCCTGGTTGCGCGTTCATGTTCACTCCCTTCGAACCTCTCAAACCCTGTTAACTAATTGCCTCCGTAAGACTCTCCCTAATCATACTATACATCGCTGTTTCGGGCCGAGCTGAACAACCCTTGGCCTGCCAAAAGCCCATACAACCCTGTCCTGTTGAAAGACAAAGACAACACCAAAGTCAGCGTAGACAAGAGCAAGGGGGAAGGCAACGATTCTGCTAAAACCACCACGGAGTTCAAAGCACGCCGCTTGACGTCGTCCCTCGGCGCAGGTGGACAAGTACGAGTCGTAAGACTTCTCGTGTTTGTGAGCAATGTCTGCCGGTGACCTTCCCGATGAGGTCCCGTCTTCTGTGCCTGACATTCCCATCTAGTTTGCGAGCAGGTCGTAAACTGAAACGTGCACACACCTTATGAGCATAGCCATCGATTCATCATTGAATTTCCGCTCACAGCTTGGCCAATTTGCACACACGTGCCCTCGCCCATCCAAGACCTGGCCACGTGTGCAGTGAGCTTGGCGAGAAAGCAACACTTGGCCCTCGTGAGACCTGCAGTTTGCGGCGCAGAGAGTGGTGGAAAACCCGCTTCTCATGTCGGTATGAGCAAGGTTGATTTTTCAAGGTATGACTTTTCACGGTGGCAGGGCTATCCCTAACAGTTGACGTGCGGATCTTCCACGGACACGCATGGCTCGTCATATGTTCAGCACCCAAAAGAAACATTGCTCTCAAGTACAAAACTACGAACCCATGTCATTAGGTATATTGACGTGGTTATTCGCTGACCATGAAATGACGACTAGTTTTCCAAGATATGCAGATACGCTAAAAACATGGACCTAAAAGAACAGAGCGTAGCAGTGGCGCCTTCCCTCACCCTTCTCGCCTTCTCCGGTTGCTGGACGTACCCTCGTCATCATCCTCGCCGCCGCTCGGCTCTGCGCTGTCCCTGTAGGGCCTCTTCTTGTCGTGGCCCTTTTTGATGGAGATGATGCATCCCTGCTCCCTCAGCACCCTCACGAGCTTGGAGCTCGGCTCGATGCCCGGGAAACCCTTGGCGGCATAGCTCTGGAACGGCGAGCTGGTGATTTCGTCCAGACACGGGGCGCGACGTCGCGGGTCTTGCGGGTCGATCATGAACAACTTGAACTTGAGGGTGTACGTGCCCAGACTGCGGACAGAGAGGTCGCCAAAGGGAAAGAAGGTGCCCTCTCCGCCAAACTCGTCCTTGCCGAAAAATGGGTTGCCCACGAGAGAGCCGGTCATGCGGCGCTGGTGCTTGAACTCGGCAGGCATCTTTGCGCATTCATGGGTGCCGGTCTCGTCAAAGATCTCCGCCGTCATCACGTAGGGCTCGTGACGAAGGTAAACGGCAATTTCTTCCTGGGACAGCGCATGGCTCGAAATAAGTAGCTGCAGCACCGGCGGCGGATCAATGGTTCGTCGATCTCTCTCCCCAGCGCCGCAGGCTCGGGCGGCTTTGGGCTGCTGGCGCAGCACTAGCTCAAACTTGATGGTAGAGACCAGATGAGCTTTGTCTTCGCCCAGGAGGTTAGGTATGGCGGCCCCCATGTCAACGCACTGTCGCTCTTGCACAGCCGTCGGGTGCGGCCCCATGGACCCAGTAGCGTGCATGTGCGTGTCCATGTGATGTAGAGGGGGTCCTTCAGATAGTACATTCCCTTGCGCATATGGCGGAGCAGAAGGAGGATACCCGCGGGACTCGGCCACCTCGAAATGCTCGCCACTGTGCATATCCATGACACGGCCTCGGGGGTCCGGTGCTGTCGTGTAGTAGGTGGATTGTGGCATGGCGTATGTGGAGGCGCTTTGGTCTCCATGTCGCCTCGGGTCGTCGTACTGGCCGTTCATCTGGCGTTGGTGTTGGTATTGTTGTTGCGATGGCGGTGGCGGCGGCGGCGGCTGGTTGTGGTATGCTTGCACGTGAGGCGGCGGTCCGTCGACATACTGTGCTGGGGGAGGGCCTTGAAGAGGCACATGAGCATATCCGTGAGTGACCTCACGAGACGGTGCCTGCGGTGGTCCTGTTGGCGGGACAGAGTGGTGCCCATGCTGGTGGCCTTGCTGTTCAGCGTGCTCCGATCCAACGGGGGCAAGACTCGCCAGAGGAGGCAGTTTTATGCGTGGCTCCGCGCCTTGAGCAGGCGGCTGAGGGGGAGGAGGGCCAGATGCGTGCGGCGGTGGATGCCGCCCATTGTAAGCACCAGGCCCCCATAACGGGTAGTTCTGTGACATGGCGAAGGTTGCTCGGGAGCTCGACCCGTTGCTGCTAGTCGATGTCGCGGCACCGGCTCAGTGAGATATAGTCACGTTCACGTAGGACACCTAGAAGTGTCTTTTGCTCAGCAGGCACTGCGGGGACAGTGGGCCTCGCAGCGAAAGCTACCCCTTTGAGAAGCAGCGTTTAAAGAGGGTTGTATCAGAACCCAAGAGCAGAGGGACAGAGAGGGAGGCGAGAGAAGGGCTTTGATTTGAGGCGCAGACAACTGATTGCTTAGTCACGAGACGACGTTGTCGCACGTCTTGCTCTAGAGCTGATAGTCGCTGCAATCTCATGGATATCATCAGCGCTGATCCAGTCCTTTGTGAGCAACGCGGGTCGTCAGGGTTGTAAGAGGCGATATATGATCAGCGGGACTACCGTCTGCGCTGTTGATGGCGACACAGACTGTCACCAGAGGGCTTGACAGAGATCTAGCGTGGAAGTACCCAGGAGCCGGCTTGCGAATGGCCCCCGGCCGGGAAGGATGAGTGCACACGAGCGTTTGAGGACAAGGCGGGTGGCTTGGACGCCCTAATCGTTCGACAGCGTGGGCCTGAGACTTTGGCATGCAGCTGTTATCGTGCGTGTCCGTGTCCGTGGTAGGCCCTTCCACGAGGTTGATGTCTCAGTCTGGCTGCAAAGCGAGGTCGTGATGGCCAGGACTTGCCGTCGTTTGTGCAAGGAGGGTAGCAATGACTGTTTGTAGTAGAGCGAGAAAATGCGGTGCACTTGGCCTCGATGACACACAGTCCAGGGTCCAGGCGCTCAGCTGGTGTGCAACAAAGTCACTGCGCTGTGTCCTCGTAGAACCGGTGAAGATGGCAGTCTGAGGCGTAAAGGTGCTGCGCGGAGTCGCCCCAATCCGAGCAGGCCTTTATGACAGCTGGTAGGCGTACGTGACTGTGACGGAAGGACGAGCCAGGAGCCAAGGGATGGGCTATTATGGTGGGAAGGCGTCAGACCGACCCTTACTGAGACATGCACTCAATATAATCGGCGGTCTCTCAGAGCAGGTGGAGAGCGCACTGCAGGGAGTCCGGAAACAAGACGGCGCGCGCGGGGGCAGAGATGAATCGACGACGACGTGCCCTTGTCTAACGCTGGAGTCTGGGGCGGCGCGGTGGTGAAGAGCCGAGGAGATTTGCGGTTGGAGTTGTATTGAAAGGGCGAAAGAGACTGGATGCCGTGCGCGCCCACAATGAATTGACCAGATCGACTGACGACGAGTGTACGAGAGCCCGCCCGGTCGAACGCCGTCTGCGTAAGGTGGTAGGGCTTTCGGGCAAATGGAGGCGGGCCTGGAGCTGCGAGTGCTCGCCTTGAATGATTTGTAAATTGTAGTCGCGGAGACCTTGCTCAGATCCATCCAGAATCGCCTCTTTCCCGCGCACCACTCCACACCAGACAGAGACGCCGCCGCTTGCATACAGACTGCAGCATACCGTAGCGGTACCCAGCTGCCCAACCCGCCTTTTTGAAGGAGCGGCAGCGGGCCATCCCTGGCTCCAGTGGCGGCTGGGCCTGTGCGCGCTGCGGCTGCGCATGTCTTGTCACCCACCGGCTGGACTGGAGCCGGGACCGGGGTGCGACCGCTGTCAGGCCAGGCTGCTCAGGCCATGGGCCTTGGGGCTGATCTCCCGCTTCGCGACTGGGGCTGGAATCTGCAAAGTTGTTCGCCTTCAAACTTCACAAGTTCATGGTTGCATCCTGGTTCTTGTTCTCCACGCCGATGGCGATTCGTTGGCCATTAGCCAAACCTCTCATTCCACAAGGAGCAGCCAAGTCTCTGGCAGGTGGAGCGCCCTGCTCAAGATCGGTATTTGCGGCGTGCGCAATGGAAATTCGGCAGGCGCTTCATGGCTAACCGGACGAGGATCTATTCGGCACGACATGAGGCTGCTGTGTACCAAGAGACAGCTCAAGTAAAGTCACATGGAACCGTTCACTCAGCTCAAGTCTGGAAAGCATAGTACTGATTTTTTCGAGTCATAGTCTGCTCTGCCGCGCAGAAGGCATCCAGTCTCCGTGCTCCGTGACAGCGCGAAGTAACGGCAAGAGCAACCTGCAAACGTGAAGTCGGTTAAGGTAAGGTAGTCAGTCGGCTAGCCGGGCCACACAAGACGGACGGCAGGAGCAGCCAACCAACCAGCCAACCCAAGCATTCAGCCAACCAACAAGTTGCGGCGAATTCCTATTTCCAGGTAGCTGGCCTTGCAGGGATCCATCCATCCATCCACCATCCATGTCGGTGATGCAACAGGAGCAGGAAGCCAATGTCAAGTCGATACTGTGCGAGCCTCGTGCGGCATGGACTGTCATGCATAAGAGTGAACGAATGGAGTGTGTGCTGAGGTGCCTGCCGCGAGAACCTACCGTGTGCAGCACTGGCACTCGCCATCCTTCAACAAGAAACTACCCGAGCCACTTGATCTTCTCCATCTGCTGCGTGATGACTCTATCTCAGCCAGTTTACCCCAGTTGAGAGGATCATTCGTGCCTCGGTAATTACTCCGCAACATGTCTTCCCAGCCTTATTGAGTCAGCAGTATGCAGTACGCAAACTTGACCTCTGCATCTTGTCTCTCGATGTCTCGGGGATTCTGCCGCAGGTGGGACATGCGATGGCTGGGGAGACTGATGCCTCAGCCTTGGATATAGAGTAATCGCATGGAACTCTCAAGTATATGTAGCGTCCGGGCCAACTACTGCATATGCGCAGGCGTAACTAGGCTGGGCCTAGCGCAACGCATTGGCTCGGCCGTCTGGCGTCGAGCAGGGTTCATCTTGTGATGGGCAGCTGGCACTTGGCCAAGATGCGACAGGTAACGTGAAGTGGCCCGGTTTACGACTTTGGACTTGGACAGACTTGACTTTGGTCCTCGACCTCTGTTTGGCCGTATCATCAAATGGCAGTGCAGGTTCGACAACTTGGATACTTCCGCAGTTCCCAACAGTGTCCCCCATGGACCAACAGACCGTTTTCCCTCACAACCCCATCCATCCATCCATCCCTCCATTCATCATTCAGCCTTGGTCCCCCCTCCCAGGTCCTAGGGATAGTCGAGCTGCAATGCCCCGGTCTGTCATGCTGCATACGCTCAGGGGCGTGATGAGGGGGGACCAACAGCTGCGGACGTAGAGCGTTGGTGCGTGTCTAGCACGTGCATGGTGGCTTGCTGCCTCGAGCCCATTTTGGGGATATCGCATGGAGAAACGTCCCTTGGCCAGACCACCACGGCCACTCTGCGTTCCCGGGGCCCGGCGCTGGCTAGGCATTGCGAGGCAGGCTGGCCCTTGTGCGTATCCCCTTCTCTTCGGACATTCATGGCAGCCTTTCAAGGCATCGAACGATGGCGGGCTTGAGTTTCGAAGGCAACGGATCGCCATAGACAACTCCGCTATAGCCCATGTATGGCATCGCACACAGCATCCAACCTGCAACCCACACGTACCCCACGAGTCTCTCCACGAGGGCCGGCAGCGGGCGTCCGGAGCGCTTGTAGAGACTCTGGACCACATCCTCCGACATGACGGCAAATGCCTGGCTGGTGAAGAACAAGAACTGGCTGCGGTCTGGCTTGGCCACACCCGAGCAGACCTCTGCGCCCCAATGGATCACCCCCGACAGCGCAAACGCCAAGGTCAGTCTCACATAGCGTGAGAGCAATGTGCCACGCCGGATGCGCAGAATTTGGTCCACAAATGCGTCCGCGGGGCCGGTGATGGCCCTTCGCAGTCCTTGATGGTAAAAGTCACTGGCAGACATTTGGTCAGTACGTTACACAAAGTACCCAGGCTCCCACGGAGGCATGGTTGTTGGGTTGCTCACCCCCAATACCCGCGCACGGTGGAAGCATCCCGGAGCGACCCGAACATGGGTGGACAGTCTTGTGGTGAATTCAGCCCCAGAACGAGACCGACGAGCGTGACGCCCGCGTATCCCATGTAGACGCCCGTGACGGCACAGATAAAGTACCTGACGACAAACTCTGCTCGAAATAGCAGCTCGGGCATCGTGAGACGGTCGACACGCGCGAGGACCACGCCAGGCGTCATCATCTCCGAGTACTGTAGCACAGTCACCTCGCAGAGATCAATGGCCGCCCAGCAGAGGCACATGCATGCCACACGTTGAGCGATCAGATAGGCGCGTGGAGGCGTCTTGGCAGGACTACGCGGGGAAAAGGGGGGAATCCTGTCGATTTGCCATTGCGTTCCTATACGTCGCCAGTTGCAGAGCATCGACACGGGGGTCAGGACATACTGCCTCAGGAAAGTCGGCTGTGTGCCTTGTTGGCGGGCGACATGATCCCTGGACGAAGCTCGCAGGACCACGAGATAGTCGCAAGCGTGGAAGAGTACCATGAGGAGAGTAGTCGCTAGTCCGTAGAGCAGGTCGTGATTGTCGTTCAATTTGCTCACCTCTGTCAACGAGGTCCAGGCCAGCGCGACGAGGAGGCCACATGCTCCCAGGCGGGCCTGCAGGGAGGTTGTCCGCGTCGTGAGTGCCAACGCAAATACGGCCACAAAGAGCCCGAGGCTGAGGACTAGCGGAGGTAGCGGGCTTGCCATGTTGCGTGAGGTCTGGTGTAGTTTTGGTGTTGGCAAAGCGCGCTCAGTGCCACTGTAGGGTGGGCTTCAGGGTCAATGGCGGCGCCTGCGATGAGTTTCCTACACGAATGCCTTACAGCTGACTGGAACTGGGAGGCGTCTTGTCCTCGAGTAAAGCCCCTGAAAATCCACGTTGAGAGTTGAGATAAGCACTGACATACAAGTGGGGCCAACAACCAACGTGGCATGCGGCACTTGGTAAACTATACCTTATCTAAGTTCATGTATCAAACTTGAAGATCATCTCACCATTTCTCCGCGTGCTGTTTACGTGAGATGAGGATCTCCCCAAATTCCCGCCGACTCACGCGTATCGGCATGGCAGCGTGGTGCGTACCATCTTACCGCAGTCTGTAAATGTGCGCCTAAAGCTTCATGTCCTACTCCGAAAGTAGGTAAGAGACTGAGTCTAAGACCCTACCGAGCGTTGGCTCGTATTTGCTCGGCAGTATCAACAAACAAGCATGGCAGATGCTGAAATGTTTCACGGCCAAGTGCCGCTCACCTAGGGTTTTCGCAACGTTAGTCCTTTCCAGAAAAGGATCATGACCGGGTAGCAGCAGGCTGGACAGCTTCCTCAGTGCGTTCAAAATGGAAACTCCATCATGACATGCACTGCAAAAGATCGAGACACAGTCAAGAAGTGGTCGTTTGCTCGTGGTATTATTAAAGTTATGTGGTATTGTGTCCCTGCAATCATCCAAGAAAAGCAAGGGGTCTAGATCTGTGTTCTCCACCCATCCTTGATTCCCCGTCTTGTGAGACATTGTGACTCACTGCATGAACATGTGCATACATATACATGGCGAATTAAGACTCGTCATCATCACCATAGCACGTCTTCAACTCCTTTACAGAGCAAAGACGGCAGCAAAGGCGCCGACAATGGCGGCCGTCTTGGCGAAGAGGCCGGCAGCAGCACCCTCGCCGTCGGCACCCTCGCCGTCAGCCTCCTCGCCATCAGCGCCGGTCTCCTCAGCGTCGTCGGCGCCAGTGGTCTCGGTGGCAGACTCGTCGTCGCCAGACTCGGTGGCCGACATGGTGGCGGTGCCGGTCTCAGTCTCGGTCACGGTGGCGGTGCCAGTGGCGACAGTGGTCACGGCGGAGGGGTTGGCGGCATCGCTCGAGGAATCGTCCTCCTCGTCCTCCTCGTCGCTGCTACCGCCGCCAACGGCACCAGTGGGCTTGGGGGTGCCCTCGGTGGAGTTCCAGTAGTCGGCAGCGATGCAGAGGTCCTGGCACTGAGAGAAGGCTTCGATGCTCTCAGCGGTGCCCTCGTCGTGCTCGTCGTAGCACTTGCTGATGCATTCGTGGGTGGCCTCGACCTGGTCCTCGTTGGGGTTGGGGACAGGGCTGCAGCGCGCGATGCAGGCGAGGTCGTCGGCGTCACACTCCTCGATGCAGGCTACCTGCGAGGTTTGAGCGGGGCTCAGGCTTGCGGTGGTGGACTGGGCGCTGGCGGCAACAGCTAGGGAGCCGGCGACAATGGCGGACGTGAAACGCATGGTTGGACTGTCAGGTTTGTTAGCTCGCGGCGCTGGGGACAAAGAACAGGAGGGCCCAAGACGAACATTTGAGAGTCGAACGAGTGACTGGTATTAATAAAATTACTTGAGACAGACGGACAGCGACAGACTTGAGCAAGAGAGAGTTGTGTGGATGAAGGAAGAGTAGGAGAGGGAGGAGAGAATGATGCCTGGGGGCGGAGGCCCAGGGCGTCTTTAATAAGAGGAGCTGCTCAGCTGGAGCCAATACATGACTTGGTTTGCTTGCCATGCTTGCGGCCTGTGACCAGTACCCTGCCTCAAGCAAACAAAGCACCGTAATTACGTGGATAAACATGCACGGTTGGGGATGGCCAGCAGGATAATATCGGCCAGCAGCCGCCCGTATTGTGGGCCGCCAAGGATATGTCGATCGTGCAACTGGTGGTTTTGTCTGGGGAACCGGGACGGCCAATTTTACTTGCAAGCCACGGGACGGGATCAGCATGTCTGGCTTTTGATCAAGGAGTGAGTCTCCTGCATTCTTCTTGCATCTCGGAGGGAATCTCCATCCCCATGTTTATCGCGGTCGGTGAAGGCACAGTCTACGAACTAATAATTACTTGTACACGGTAGCCTTTATGTGCGTGTTATACGAGTTGTGGCGCCATCCGAACCTTATTAACCTAGTTGCCCCTGAACAGACCCAAAGTCCCAAAGGTAAAGCACGATTAGTAGCAGTGGCAGGTATTATAGCCAGTGCCGTTGATACTAATTAGCAGGCATCATGCCTTGCTTTTCCATTCCCAGTGGCCTTGTGATTGCAGAAGGTCGTATCGTTATGCGCAGCACGCCACGGCACTGCCGTTAGGATTGGAGGGGCGCGTCCCTTTTGTTTCAGGCACGCGCCATCGAACACGTCCAGGCCAGCCTAGAGACGTGTCTTCACCTGACGTTATTTCTTCTCCTTCTTCTTTCTTCTGTAAATTTATGATGTCGGAGGCGCCGATGGACGCGTTTTAACCATGTCGTACGGCCAAGTGCAAGCGTCCGAAGTGAGCAATGACCTGCCTGCCTCTGCATCAAGGTAAAGTGTCGTCGCCATCACCAGCATCCAGACTGACGCGCCGCGTCTCGTCGCCGGGCCAGCGAGGCCCGCCTTTCCCAAACTAGCCAAGCGAGGCGCCCTGAGCTGAGCCGACTGGACTCTGGAGCCTAGAGCTCGAGCCTGTCCTGGATTCCTCGGCGGCTGGGCCCCTGGCCTGAGCGCGTGTGAGTGGGTTACAGCCGCTTCCGATCTGTGCACGTACCAAGAATCGTGCAAGGAAAGCTACTGCTCAAAACGGCTAGCGCCAATATTCACTCACTCCAATTCAAACTCAAAGCTCGCTCCCTTGAATTTCTCCCACGGCGATGAACAAGATACGACCTAGATTCGAACCTGCAAGCCCGGAGGCAAGGGGGCGCTCCGACACACAGGAACTTTTCATTTGCAACCTGAGCAACGGACACTGCCTCCTTCACTGTTCTCGGCACACAATTGTGTCCAGTGGCACGGTCAACATGCACGAATACGAGCCCTCTAGTTGCGGATCCCATCATTAGACTGGTCTAGACACTGACCACGGTCCATGGTGCTGCACAGGCATAAAAATTATCGTCTTTGCCAGCATGAAGATCGTAACGTCATTCTCCACCTCAAAAGCTGGTCATTCTCCACCTCAAAAGCTGTAACTGCTTGTACGAACTCAACACACTCAATCTGGCTCGGCTCAATCCGTACATGTATGTACGTACGCTCCGACAAGTACCGACGGGCGTCTACCACGGCTGCGGCCCGCCGAGATACCTGGGCTCCCATCCTGGCAACTTGATGTCCAACAGCCTCCCATTTTTTCCCTGACTGATACCCTCAATGGCGTCCATGATAGCGGGAATAGCCTCAGACACCTCGAGGTCGGCTGCGTCGCCACTGAGATCCGTCTTGACGTACTGAGCATGACTGTCAGTCTCTGATGGAGATACATCTGATAGGGAGAAAGAGCTTACACCAGGCGACAAGCCGGCAATGACATAGCCTTTGGGACCATATTCTTGGGCCCATAGCAGGGTCAACATGTTGAGAGCGGCCTTGCTCACTTTGTACGCTGGGGTATTGACCTGCGCCAAGTACTCTTGGTACGCGAAGCAGCCCACCGTGGATGAACTGGCGCGCTCGGTTAGCCCTTCATGTTACCAACTCAAACGGTAGGGCTACGGTTGGTCCAGCTCACATGTTAATAATCTTCTTCACGGCGCTCTTCTCCAGGAACGGCATGAAGCTTTGCGTCACCCTCTGCACGCCCACGACATTGAGATCCAAAGTGGCAGTCAAATCATTCCTGCGAACTATCAATACCCGCTCGGGGTGCAAATAGGGCTCGGGATTCTACATGTTCACAATACCCCCGGGTGTGGTAGGCGCCGCGCCTGCATTGTTGATCAGGACGTCCAGAGGCTGGCCTTCCAGCGCCTTCTCGACTTGGGCCACAGCAGCCCTGATCTCGTCCGGGGAGGTGACATCCATCCTGACGGGAATGACCCTCCCGTTGTGGGACGAGGACAGCTGCGTAATGCCATCGGTCTTGGTTCGGTACGCTGCGAAGATCTTGGTGACCTGGGTTGCAGGCTGCGAGACGAGCGCTTGCAGCATGGCAAGTCCAAGACCGCGGCTTGCGCCCGTGATGAGGTAGGAAGGCATTGCAAAGAGCTTGAGATGGTGTGTGTCTAGAGTGATTTGAGTCCATCTCTTGCTACCTCATGTCGTCTTTGCTTTCTTTATGTAGCTTGAACGACCTGGTTCCATTTGTAAGACGTCGTGCCGTGGAGGACTTAAATCCGAGGTATTCACCAAACATTCCGGGGTTAAGCTTGCCGTAGGTCCTTACATGCAATGTACGTACAGTGAGGAGCGACGTCAGATGTCAGCATCGCAGGCTTTCCGGATGGTTCAATTACCCCCACACGCTCAGCATTGCCTGAGACCACTAGTGATGTGCTCTTGCGATAGAAAGCGCTTGATCGGTTACGCTTCATTCTGAGGTATCTTGGGCAAGGATCGTTGCCCATTCTCACTCGAGTGTTGAATCACATGGTTCTCCCTATAACAGCACCTGGCTACCCTATAGGACCTCTGTCCTCCCTTTTGCTGTGAGTAGCTTGCAAGGGAGACTGGCTGAATCGGGTAAAATCGCTTGTTGGGATGCTTTTAATTCCGTCTATACGTCAGTTGATCCCGTAAGTGTGCAATATAGCTCGCTCCATTGTCCGTCTGCACCAAGTAGCTTCGGGTCAGACATGTATCAAATCGACATTGCGACCCCACCACGAGGAAGTCATTTCACCCCACCATCCCTCATCATCAACAACAACCTCACTTTTTCTCTCCTACTTGGCATTGAGGGTCAACACTGTTTCAGGAAAACTTATGACTGCTCAAATGGCTTCAGGAGACGAGCTCGTGACCTCGTCCAGTCCGGACCACCCCGCCAACCTCATCCCATCTCTGTGCGCCAAATTCTGGACGCTGGGATGGGTCACAGGTACCGGCGGTGGATGCTCCATCCGCGAAGAGTGCGCTATCCCAGCCAGACCTCCTTCATGATTCCATTTTCACTAACATCTGTGGTAGTGACCTCGTCTACATTGCCCCCTCTGGTGTGCAAAAAGAGCTCATGAAGCCATCAGACATTTACGTCCTCTCCCTCGCGGCCCAGGACGCCTCCCTCAAGAACCGCGTGTACCTGCGGTCGCCGCCATGCTACAAGCCCAGCCAATGCACGCCTCTCTTCCTCGCCGCCTTTACCCTCCGCGGCGCAGGCTGTTGTATCCACACGCACTCTCACTGGGCCGTGCTCGTGACCCTCCTGCTGGAGAGCACCGACTCTCCCAAGATGTTTGAGATCAACAATATAGAGCAGATCAAGGGGTTCGGCAAGGGATACCAGAAGACGGGGAACTTGGGATACCACGACACCCTTCGGATTCCCGTCATTGAGAACACGCCCCACGAAGAGGACTTGACCGAGTTCTTGGAGGAGGCTATGCGTCAGAACCCAGACACATACGCCGTGCTCGTCAGGCGACATGGCGTGTACGTGTGGGGCGACAACGTGCACAAGGCCAAGACGCAATGCGAGAGTCTGGACTATCTCTTCCAGTTGGCCGTGGAGATGAAGAGGCTCAACTTGCCGTGGATCAGCGAAGTGGCGCCAGTTGGCCCGCAGCGATGAACACGGCAGTTTCCTTTGATATTGGAGCACACAGGCGCAAACTAGGCGGGGTTGGCATTCGGCAAGAACTGAGGTCGTAGAGTTGAGTCTTTCATCATAGATCTATAACTCATCTCGTGGACGTGCATCGTCGCCCGCCACAACAGGCTGTCCTTCCTCCACACTGACTTCTATCCGCTCCACTGGCTCAACAGCATCTTGTTCGTTCATCACGCCACCTACCCTATCCAGCAAAGCCTCGACATCCTCCTCCGGCTTGTGGTCGCCTGCTACTCTGGCTGTCGGCAGCTCGCTCCCCGGTATCCCCTCCACCTCCACGTTGGCCGCCTCATCGGTACCAATCTCCACCACCTTTCCATCATGCCCTTTGAGTGCCACCTTGCCGACCCCCTTGCCCACGCCAAATAGTATCCGCAGTGGGAACAGGACAAGCCACCAGAGCGGCCCAGAAAGCCATCTCCTGTACACCAGCCACGCTCCCACCACTGTCAACATGTAGAAGCTCGTCGTGAGGTACCACGTGTCGCTCTTTTGGCTCCGCAGCAATGTACCCAGCAGATCCCTTGAGCTCTTCAGCATCGTCTCCAAGCCCGAGTACGACTCATCCAGCTGCGCAAAGGCCGCGCTCGACTCGGCCATGGTCTGCTTGGCGTACTCGCTCCGCTCCAACTCCGACTGCAGCGAGGCATGCATCTGGCGCAGCGAGTCCGTCACCCGAGAGCTTGCGCCCACCGTCTGTCGATCCTTCTCTGACAGCACCGTCCCCGTCTCGTACTGCTTCTGCTTGCGGATCGGCTGCGGTATGTGGACGGACGCAGGTTGCTCGTCGTTGGTCTCGTCGGTCGAGGTGTGTTCCGGTATCGAGTACGATTTGACGAGAAGCTGCCGCTCCAGTCTCTGTGCGTCTAGCAGGCTTTTTCTGGCGGCGAGGCGGGCTTGCCGAAAAGAGGCCCGTAACCGCTCCAGCTCGTGGGCCTGGCGCTCGACACCCTCCCGCAACCTCGTCTTCTCTTTTTTGCGCAGGTATTCCACATCTTCGGATAGTAGCTCTCGCTCATCCTCGCACTCACGTAGAGAACTTGTGATTTCCGCGCTGAGCTCTCCGCTCACACTGCCCTCTTCACTTGTGTCGAGGGGTACCGAGCCAGGTTGAAACTTGAGTTCCGCAAGTCGAGAGATGAGGTCTTGGATTTGGGAGGTTGTCTCTTGCAGAGCCGACAAGCGCTCCTGTAGCCCTTGAAAGGACATTATGGTCGGGCTTTTCTTCTTCTTCGGGTTTTCAGTCGGGTGGATAAAGCTTTCGCGAGTACTAGCTTGTGCGTGGGTTGAGGTGCTGCGACGAAACAGCTGTTCCGAAAATCCATATCCATCAATCGGGGTGATGCATCAAGTGAAGCGCTGCCCCCCAAATTCTCAACCGCGAACTGCCCATGTCCCCGGAACGAAGTACACTCACTCTTTAATCAATTAAGCCGCGATCCGCGCACGCCATTACGATGATCACTAAATTCATGACCGAAGTCACTGCCAAGTTCAACCCCTTCTCGCCGTGCGCGAAGCCGGCACGCCTCTTCCTCACACAACTACCACCCAACGCGCGGGCAAATGGCATGAAGATCACCTCGACATTGTTGCCCAAGGGCGCCACGGAATCGAGCTCAGTATACATCAAATTCAGTCCGTTTGCGCAATCCAATGGAAACAAGCAAGGCTTTGGAAGCTAACAAAAGGCAGAGGACGGCCAGGAGATGAACTTTGCGTGCGACAAAACAAACATCATCGGCTTGACAAACGAATGCGACCGACACTCGCGAGCGCTGCAGAAGAAGGACGACTTGCAAGATTGAAGCTCATGTCCTGCTTACATTGCATTTCATGGCGTTACGGAAACATCACGAAGAGAAAACATCTTGTATAACATGTCATGTACCACTAGAAGCACGGTGAAACATTTCAGTATATTTTATGTCAAGTTATGCACAGCAGCCTTGAAATACGACATGCTATACGCATCCCATGACTTTTACTCCTTGTTGTAAAAACTTGCTTAAGCAGAGGCACCGCTGATGAAGAACCACTTGTCAATGGAGGAGTCGATCTTCTCAGGAGCGAGCTCCTGGTGGGGAGGAAGCTGGGGCAGCTCGTTGGGAGCGACGCGGCTAGGGGAGTGGGCAACCGCAGTGTTGGTCAGCGAGATGCCGCCGGGGTTGGTCTTGCCGGTGATCAGGCGCTCCCAGGCCTCAGCGCACTCGCGGACGACGTCCATGGCGTAACTGGAACTGTTAGCAAGCGCTCACTAAAAACTGCCAATGTAGGCTCGGCACGTACTCCTTGTTCTTGCACTCGCCGGTGAAGGCGAACTGATTCTCGGGCTTGCCATCGGGAATCTTGTAGATGCGGAACCATTCATTGGTGGCGCGAAGCAGGCCAGGCAGGTGGCGCTCGACGTCCTCGACGTCGTTGAGCTTCGGAGCCAGAGGGTCGTTGACGTCGATGACGATGACCTTCCAGTCAGTCTCCTCCTCATCGAGGAGGGCCATGACACCCAGAACCTTGACCTGCTTCACCTGACCAACGGTGCCGACCAGCTCACCAATCTCGCAGACATCGAGGGGGTCGTCGTCACCCTTGGCCTTGGTCTCGGGGTGGATAGAGTTGGGATCTTCCCAGGTCTGAGGGAAGCAACCGTAGTTCCACAGGTAACCCTTGTGGGGGAAGCAGTTGCGGACGAAGCGGAGCTTGCCCTTCTTCACATCCTGCTTGATGGGGTTGAGGAGTTCCTCCTTGGAGACCTAAATGCACCTGGTCAGCCCGTGAATCCAGCCTTTTCCCTTCTCATGGAATAACGTACCTCAAGCTTGCCATTGGTCCAGCGGGGTATCTCGACAATCATATTCAGGATGGTCTGCTCCTGGTTGGCATAGAGGGGGATATCGTGGAAAGACGAGACGGGCACGCCATTCTTCTCAATGTAGACGCGGTGCTCCAGGGTGTTGGGAGCCGCAACCTTGCGGACACTGTATTCGGAGGCCATGTTGTCGGTCGCTGGAGTACGGGCTGATTTTTGATGCGGTTCCTGCGACGGGCTCGACGTTGAAAAGTGACGAGCAATCTGGGCAGTTCTCTGAGAGGGAATTTGGGAGAAAGAAGGAGAAGAAGAGTGGAGGGGCTTGATCGTTGATGAGGTGGAAGCTGCAGAATGAGATGGAGGGGGCGGGGTCTTCTGTCCGCTGGCAGTGGCCCTGTTGCTCCTGCCAGCGGTGTCGCTTGCGTGACGGCGCTGCTGCGCGCCACTGTACTCGCCCGCCATGGCTGACCCTATGGCAGTAGGAAATCTACTAGCCACAGCTGCAGGTTGCTGGCCAGCAATGTCAATTCGGGAGTGATTGGCCAATGAACGTCTCACAGACAAGGAGCGTGGCCATCTCGCGACTGCCGCTGCCGTGCGTGAAAGGAGCATGAACGTCAGGGGATAATGGTCCCTCGTCTCCGCCTACCAAAGGCAGAGTCGAGTGGCCACGGCCGACGGGAACACGGTTGGGTAATAAAGTATCGATTGTGCTGCAGGTGACGCTGTACCCGAGGTACGTCGCACTGGCGCGCTCGGGAAAGGACTGGAGTTGGGCGAGAATGGTTGGTTGGTGAAAGGGGCAGGCTTTTTGGACTTGCCGAAATGTGGCTGAACCCAAGCGTGTCGGCCTGAGGCCTCGTGAGGGATCGCACGCCAAAGTGTCTACCTGAGCACGCAGTAATCACTTACTACTACATATATCAAGACCGGACACTACTTAACATTTGGGGAAGCCTCTCCTTGCTCAACGTGTGCCGACCACCGCACGCGACACCTATCCTCAGCAGGCTGAGCGCCACAACGTCGCATTGGCTTCTCGTGCTACAGCACCAAGTCGGTGAGACGGAGGTAAATGCAGTTGTACAATATTGCAGCACGTAAACGACAGGTATGATGACTATCACAAACTAATCTCAAAAGATACACGCCTGCCGTTGCATAGAAGAGCACAGGCGATAGCAAACATCAGAGTCCCAAACACTCGCTTTCACAGTTTGCCCAACTCAGATAGCTTGTCCAGCTGAGGTACCAGTGGTTGCGTTGCTTTCGTCAGCAGGTTGAGCTATGCCTCCAGCCTCAGCAGCCTTGAGCTCTGCGTAGGTAGCAGAGGGCTGGCCTACTGCCCCCTCAGCTTCGCTTTGGCCTGCTGATACTCCCTCATCCGTCCTGCGTGGCTGATTCGAATTCTCTTCAAGGGGAGCAGCAGAACTACCAGTGGCGACCTCGTACTGTTGTGTTTGTGACTCCGGGCGCCAGTCCCTTAGGTCGTCCTCCACATCGTTCAGAACCTGGCGTGCCTCGCCGGCATACTCGTACTCGGTGCGGGTGTCGCCTGGCACAACGGGGGTGTCATCCAGCAAGCTCAACAGGCGTCGCCCGTGCTTAGCCAGGATGATCTGCTTCTCTGCTCGTTCGATAGTCGCGGCAAACTCGTATTCGTAGGCCTCCTTGAGCTTCTGGCGGGTCTTTTGCTGTCAGCAGTGGGACCTGTGTCTCGGCGTCGTTACTCACGATATTGGTTAATTGTGCCTCAGCGACGAGGTTCTCAGCCTCAGCCCGGACGAGCTCCTGCTCTAGTACCACCAACTTGGCACTCTGCGGCTCCTTCATCTTGAGCTTGGCGATTTCGTCGGCGATCTTGCTCTTGTTGTCACGACTGGGTTGCACGCTCTTCTCCGTGTTGCGGATGGTTTTAAGCACGCCTCGTGAATCATCGAGCGCATGCGCATACGTGTCTTCCTGCTCCCCCATCTCGCTCAATATGACTCCAACCTTATCCGAGATGTCGCTGATCGCCTCATCGCCCGTCTGCTCACCCCATTCTGAGAGCTGGGTGGCGATACTGTTGCGCTCACGTCCGGCTGCCTCATGGGCGTTGATCAGGTTGTTCTCGGACTTGATGAGCTTGTAGAGCCTGCGGGAGAGCTCAGGCTGGACATTGCCACGAAGGGAGTTGAAGGACAAGCCAGGTTTGCCGGTTGTGCCTTGGGCCGGTCCACGTCCGGACTTTCCAGAGCGGAATGAGAGAGTGCGATGGCTACTCCTGAAGATCTGATTAGCGAATTGCAGACTGATTAGTGCATTGATCGGGCAGGGGCTCGTCACAGGGAGAACATTGTTGGCGCAGGCGAAACCTCGCAGCAATAGCGAGCCGCGACACTGGCGCTGCGTGGTGCTGCTGGATGGGCGTCGTTGATCTGACTTACATTTTGAAGGCGCTGCTTCGGCTCGTCACAGATGACGATTTTCTTGTTGTTACTGGATCACACTTGCCCTTGGATGAGTCTCGCAGGTGATCCTTCCTGAAGTGTGCGTTCTCTTGCCTGCCGTCAGAAAACGACGAATGTCATAAGAAACCGTCAAGTAAGGGTCTGGGAGGGCAATGACGCACGGAACACATTATATCACAGGCCTGTCATTTCATGCTACAGTACAGTACGTGTACGTCGCCGCTAGGCGCATCTTGGCTCGATAGTTCCGTGGCGTCCGGTCAGATGGTCTCATCGAGAGCTGTTGCGGCTTCACAACGATACACGAAGGACTGGACGCCGGAATGCGGTATGATGTCACCAGTGAGGTCCCGCCCCCGCTGACGACAAAGCATACCTTACCAGAGACGCTGGTCGCATTAAACATTAGCAGCTTGGAAGATGATTCTCTTGGGCTCTCGCAAGTGTTGTGATGAGGAAATCGATTGCCTGAAATTCCCAATGATAAGAACCGCTATAGATGTGCAAGACAACGCCTTGCTTCCCTCATGTTCCAAGTAATGACCACCCAACTCCCTTGGCTGCCATGGCTCGAATCCCGACTTTGTTGGTACTCCGCACCATCCCCCGATCAATACGCCCGGTGGCTGCTCGAACTGTGTCGCGGCCCATGGTGTGACCTCCTCACGCTGCTGTAGCTCGTCCGTGGAGATTGATGGTGGTGGTGGTGATGATGGCCGTGGTGGTGACCATGGTGATGGTGGCCTGACACGTAAGACACTCGTCGCGCAGGAATGATCTCCTCGCGATAGTAGTACTGCTTCCTCGGCGCGTCGCTGAAGCACATTGTGATGAGATGTTGTGATTGTCGCACTGATTCCACCTGAGGGCTGCAAGGGTGATAGCTGAGAATGGAGTGTCAGCTGGCTGCAGGCCACAGGCGCTACATGTCGGCTTTATATGCGCATTGTCCGTATCAGGCTGTATCCATAGCGCCGTAGGGAACGTAGAAATTGGGCGAGATTCAAATTAAGTTCCAAGGCACAGACAGCTCACGCGCCAGGGGCGGAGCCGGCGCCATCAATCGGCCCAACCCCTTGGCATGGCATCGTCATTAGTCGACCCAGTGTCAAATACGACCAAACTGCATAATTGACGCCATATAGGAGAGCTGCGTGAAAAAAACCAGATTACCATAATTCGTAGCTCGATTCGCAGCTACGCACCAACAAGGCAGAATTGAGAACGCTTCGGGACGGAGAAATTCGCAGTCACCTGGCATGTCGCATAGCTGCCACTACGTCGCATGTCCTGAAGACAATAAAGCGTTGTCATTGCAACTGGAAATCTATGGCTTCTTTGCATCAATTCACGCCTGCTTCGTCTTCGCGAACCCAACGTCGATCTTGCCGACCGCCCAAGCCAGTGTGAAAACCGCTAGCATGCTGGCGAACACGATGAATGGCTTCCTCAGAGTGATGCTGGACGAAACGTCATATGTGATGATGAGTTCGCGGTCACGGAACTCGTCCACGAGGTTCCGCGCCTTGATGTGCACAGCAGTCCGACCAATCGTGTCCAAGTAGGTCTTGTGTAGACCAACAGTGTGCTCGATGATGGAAGACTCGGGGATATCAGCGAGCAGCTTGACGTTCCTACGCATGTTAGCCTTGTTCGATACTCGAATCGGATAACTCACTGTGCACCCTCAGGCAGCAGGACGCGAAGGTCGATGTGCTCGTACTCGACACCCTCTGCTTGCTTGGGGCCCTCGAGGAACGGTGTTCGGAAAACGAAACCACCAGTTGCGGTCCTGCGCAGGTAGTTGGCGGCATTCGAGTTCCACCCGATAGTGAAGGGATACTTCCACCCTCCAAAGATGGGGTAGCGTGGCTTCAGCTCCAAGACAGCCTCGCGCTTATTGCTTCTGAAGTGAGATGTAGATACATTGCCAATAGTGTCGGTGAAGTAAGCGTCGTCACTTCCGACTTGCAGAGGCACACGCAACTCTTTCAGGGCATGCGAGTTGGGGTTCATGAACTGCGACTGAGCCCACTTCACGCGGTTGAACTGGGTCGACAGATTGGCGCCGAGGTGCTGAATCGTATAGCGCTCCTCAAAAGCAACGTTTCCGCCCCAGTGGCTGACCTCAATATCACGCTCCAAGGCCGAGATGTGAATGACTGGCTTGGTAAACTCGAATCGGATCGTGGCCGGTGAAAATGCGCCAGCCGGCTTCTCGTCAAACGGGCCGTATGTCAACTTTGTACCCTGCTTCTGGGGATATTCTGGGACGTCCCCTGTGCCGGCTAGTTTGGTATAGTCTGGGATCTTCGCGGATCCGGCCTTGACCTCAGTCTTCTGCTTCAGCGTCGGGTATGCGGAGGGGGCGTAGATGGAGAAGTCGTAAGACAGGTATTGTTCATCGGTCTGGTCAATCAAGGCGGGTAGGGCCTTGTAGGCTCTAAGGTAGTAAAACGAGATGCCGAGAGTCTGTTGGCCGCCAGCCTCGAGAGGCGTCGGCAGTCGGATGCGGTAATATTGGACATCGCTAAGGGGTGTCAGCAACAGTAAAGCCGGAACGAGAGATGAATGCGAACCTCAATGGATCATACTCTACAACATCCGCGACGAATTTCCCAGCGCTGGCGTCTTTACGATCCTTGACCTCGAATCCTCCAACTCGACTTAACTGATCCGCCGTGAATGGAACGTAATATTCGTACTGAGGCTCCGAGGACACGTTCTCAATGACAGCATTGATCTGCTCCTTGGCATAGTTCTTCTCCAATGAGACGATGTGTACCAAATTCGCGTTCTTGTAGACCTGCGGCGGCTTGAAGTCTTTGGGGAGGATATCCTTTGATTGGCGTGGCTCGGCCGCCAGAACAGCCGAAACGATGCCGGCAAGGGCCGTTGCGATCGATAACGGCTTCATGATGAGAACTGATCAATGCGGGCACTCATTGACTTCTTGCGCCCAGGTGCATGCGGTTGTTGGCGAGCTCGTGATGGGCTAAGGAGCTGCAGGACCAAGAGAAGCACACGTCGCTGCTTAGGTGCGAAGGCCCACCTGTAGCTCTGCTGCGGCCAATCGACTCGGAAGGTGATAAGTGGGGACCCTATGGTTGTTCCGCTCCGTCAACAGCACCCCGTCGAGGGACCCTGACGGGCCGACACTGAGAGCTCTCCAGCTGCCAGCTGCCACTAGGCTCAGTGTATGTAAGTAGGATCAGGCTGCGAAGCAGGTGGGGGAGCTGGAGTGGAAACCATGACGACTTATCAACAGACACCTCTTGAAGCTATGTGAGATCTTGCTTGCCTTGGAGAGGGTCATAGACTATGGTATCCCGGCTTGCGTGTGCATGTCAATTCTTTGGATTGGCCTGGCTCTTATTATAATTGTGAAAAGACATGACCCAGCGCTGTTTCGCCAGTCGCCCGCCAAAGCCGAAGGCGGTGGGCACTTGCTCAGCCGCCGTTGGTGAGGGTTGGCGGTACAGGCTAGCGTAGGCAGCAAATGTCTCTCTATCATCTTCTGCCTTGCCCAGAATCTCAACCACAGGATTTGACCTCTTTTGACCTCATACCTCCAACTTGCAAAGACGTCAAATCAATTGCATTCAGTTTTTTGTTGTTTGAGCTGCCACTCACGCACTGAATCTACCTGACCTGTTCTTCTCACATTCCAGCTACCCCGCCAAACCCCGCGATCCGTCAAGATGGTTGGCCTTGGACCACGTCCGCCTCCCCTGAGGCAGGGTATGTCAGATTTACTTCACCTTCATCTCGCCCAACTTTTATTTCATTCACTCTGGTCTCGCTACTGAGTCTGTCCACGGGTTGGAGCCCGAGGCTGAGTTGTGTAATGTGTACCGTGGCGCCTTGATGCTTCTCCATGGATGATTTCTTGGGAGCAGCGTTTCCAATGTCGTCAGGAGGTCCGGGGAGTCAAGAAGCAATACGCGCGTCAATCTCAGGCCGGGAGTTTTCTAAGCAGGATGAAGTCGCACAGTGGTCTGGCAAGTGCCCAGCTTCGTCCCGTCGTTTGCATGGGCTGGCTTATTGGCTCGAGGCACCTCTGTACGACAGCACGACGTTGAAACATTTGCACACTTCCGTCTACCCACCGAACTTTCTCCTGTTACTATTTGCAAATGCCGACGCATTGCCTCAGAAGTTATCTCTTGATCTCTAACAGAAATCATGGCAGGCTCCAAGACGGATTTGCCCCAAAATCTCATTGCCCAGATCCGATACCTGGAGGATCTGTTCACCGTTGACACACAGAAGCTCAAGGCAATCTCGGACCACTTTGTCTCCGAGCTTGATAAGGGCCTCAGCGTCGAGGGTGGAAGCATTGTGAGTACCCAAGGTTTATAAGCACAGGTTGGGGGACTATGTTAACATTGCAGCCCATGAACCCTACCTGGGTGATGGCCTTTCCCGATGGCCACGAAACCGGTACCTACCTTGCTCTGGATATGGGTGGCACAAATCTCCGCGTCTGCGAGATTACCCTAACCGACCAAAAGTCGGAGTTTGACATCATTCAATCCAAGTACCGGATGCCTGAGGAGCTCAAGACCACGAACAATAACGAGGAACTTTGGGACTATATTGCCGACTGCTTGCACCAATTCGTCGAGACTCACCATGGCGACTGTGCTAAGGTCGATGTCCTTCCGTTGGGCTTCACCTTTTCCTATCCTGCGACCCAGAACTACATCGATGAGGGCATTTTGCAGCGGTGGACCAAGGGTTTCGACATCAACGGTGTCGAGGGCAAGAACGTGGTGCCTATGCTTGACGCTGCCCTAGCAAAGCGCGGCGTCCCTATTCGCGTGACTGCGTTGATCAACGACACGACGGGTACCATGATCGCTTCGGCCTACACCGACACCAAGATGAAGATTGGTTGTATCTTTGGCACTGGCTGCAACGCAGCTTACATGGAGGAGGTTGGCCAGATCCCCAAGCTCGCTCAGCTCAACCTGCCGGCCGACACACCCATGGCCATCAACTGCGAGTGGGGTGCCTTTGACAACGAGCACAAGGTTCTTCCCCGTACGAGCTACGATGTGGCCATTGATCGCGACTCGCCCCGCCCCGGTCAGCAGGCTTTCGAGAAGATGATTGCTGGCCTCTACCTGGGAGAAATCTTCCGACTCGTGCTTGTTGACCTGCACGATAACGAAGAGGTCAACATCTTCAAGGGCCAAGACATTGCCATCCTCCGCAAGCCGTACAGCTTGGATTCTTCTTTCCTATCTGGCGTTGAGGAGTAGGTACTGCTGCAGAACAGTTTAACACGGCAGCTGACAGATGATAGGGATCCTTTCGAGAACCTCCAGGAGACTTACGATACCTTTGCTCAGAAGCTGAACATTGTCTGCACGCTACCCGAGCTCGAGCTGATCCGCCGACTGGCAGAGCTGATCGGCACCCGCGCAGCCCGTCTCTCCGCCTGCGGCGTCGCCGCCATCTGCAAGAAGAAGAACTACAAGTCATGCCATGTCGGCGCTGACGGGTCGGTCTTCAACAAATACCCTCACTTCAAGGCACGTGGTGCCCAGGCACTCAAGGAGATTCTGGACTGGCCCGAGAAAAGCAACCCGAAGGAGGAGGACCCCATTGAAGTGCTCGCTGCTGAGGATGGCAGTGGCGTGGGTGCCGCTTTGATTGCCGCTCTGACGCTCAAGCGTGTCAAGGGAGGCAACCTTGCCGGCATCCTCCACCCAGAACACTTCAAGTAATCAGATCTTGAGGAGACCAAGGTAGACCTGCTGGGGCACAGAGTCGACGTAGAAAATCAAAATAAGACAGTTCTTACTGCAAACGTCGTTCGCTCGCAATACAGCTGATTACAGCTTAAAAGGTCTTTTTGTCTCTCTTTTGCTACGGAATTCTCTCAGATCCTATCCCATATTCGTGAGCGTAGGCAGCCAGTACTTCTTGAGAGTCCAGTAGCGACGACGAACACCCTCCCAATCTCCTTTCCCAGCTGCGTCCAGTTGACCCATATCCACATCATGGACATTCCACTCAATGTCCAGCCCAGCCTCCTCTGTGTGCACCTCCAGCACGTGACGGTAGACATCGTAGCATACCTGTCTATCCGCACCCAGGCCGTTGAAGAAGCTGAAGCGACCTTCGAAGTCAAGGATGCCGGGTATCATGTCTGTGAAGAACCTCCGCAGTTCAGAGTAGTCCTCGCCAAACGTGTCAAAGTAGATGGCATCGTAAACTTCGCCTTCGTCCATCAGCGTGGGCACCACGTCTTGCCATCGCCCTTTGTGGACTTTGAAGGCCCCCGGCTCAGGTCCGGATTCTTCCCACTTTGCACCAAACTTTGACTCTGGCTTGGCGATGTGCTCCAGAACGGCAGGATGCGCTTCAATGATGTGGTGTTTTGCTGGATTGCGTGCCGCGAACATGCCGTCGATGATGCCCATGCCGAACCCAATGTTCAGTATCCTCTTTCCGGTTGCTTGCCCTGGGAGCAGCGCCTGTACGGACTTCTCCATAATGTCCGTTTCCCAGGCCATCATTACACCGTTCAGGTCGGCATCCAGTAGCTTGTCGCCGTCGTAGGTCAGATTCGATTTAAGGTAGTCTTGGCTCATGATGTTCTTTTCATCTGCATCGGGAGGAAAGAAGCGCGCATTTGCCGCTGCAGCCTCGACTTGCTCTGAGGCATGAGTCTCAACGCCGGCCAATTCTTCATCCTGGTCGTTGGCATCTGTCTTTTCCTCCTCTGCATCATCGTCCCCGGCATCTTCTTCCTCTGATGGCAACTCCTCGTACTCGTCAAGTACGGCTAGGAGAAGTTCTGCTCGAAACCCTGCATCTACGCAGAGTCTATACAACCCCTTTCTGCCCAACCGCAAAGCGACACAACCTGGTGTTTCGTTGTTGGAGTCCACGTCGTTCCAGATCGCACCGGCATTGAACAGTGCCTCCATAGTCTCTTTGGCTTCTCCCACTGGGCCATCGTCTTCGTCATCCTCGTCTTCAGAGGCCGCATTTTCGTCGTCTTTCCTGGTCGAAGGCTCCCTAACGCCACAAGCACGAATCGCCGCATGGAGCGGTGTCTCGCCCGTTGTGGGATCTTGTGCCTTGCTTGCATCGTCTCGTGTCTTGAGAATCTTTTTCAGATCACTTAGATCGTGGCTCCATGCGGTGTAAAGGACATCGCGTACGTCGTCAGGGCAGTCTTTTGGTATGCGCGCGGGCATGGAATCGTCAACAGTCGAAGCCATAATGAACGTTCAGCGGGACTCAAGTGGGAGTTATGAGACTACCGTCTTCCCAGTCTTCCAATTGTTTGCTCAGCTCACAACGACTCGCCTGCTCTCAGTCTCAGCATATTGAAATTTGTTAATTTTTGTATTACTGCCAAGCTAAGGTTAGGGACCCCGCCGTCGACGGCCTACATACCGTACTCACTCGACAAAGTCGCTAGCGCTGGTGAACAAAATCTAGCCGCCTGTGGTTTAGTGCTGTGGATATACGCTTACACGAAAGTACGAATTTCTCGAAGACTTTGTGTAGCCCTTGGTCATCATTGACGACATTTTGCTCGATATTGGCACCACTCCTAACAGAATTATTGCCTCGTTAAGACACACTATCGCTAGCGACTTTATCGAGTGAGTAGGGTAGTAGTAGCGTGCGGCCAGGACTCGGGAGTCCAGGACCGCCCCACGAAGATTCCAGCCTCCATGTCGCCAGAAGAAAGAGCGCTAATTATTCTGCTTCACGTGCGACAGGGCGACGATTGATTGGGCAATGGCATCTAAAATCCCCCCACTTCTTTCCGTCGGAGTGGGGAGCTGTGTTTGGTCGTTCTGGCTGCGCTGCTTTCGTCACTGGTTCACTGCCGATCCACGACTTTGTCGAAGGTAACAACCCTTTCCTGGCGGTTCCTACCTAGACTACTAATAGTAGCCAGACTTCACGGCCTCGAACAAAGTCTCTCTTGCGGTACGAGGGTGCGCAACGTCCATATCCCCTCTTCTTTTAATTGGTGAGCTTTGATCTTCTTCTAACGTCGACCATACGCCGTGACTCCAAAACACAGCCCACTGCTCTCGCACGGCTGCCCTTCAATGGCCCGATGCTAATACTGCAGGATCTCAAGACTCGTGAAAAGACTTGGTTCACTCCATCGAAGAACCAGTTCCGGGTCAAGCCTGGCATCGTCGTGATGAAGTTTGGAGAGCAGCTTCGGTCGAGCATCATTCGCGAGTACCAGTGGTACTACATCGACTACGATGACTTGAAGGCGGATCTGAAAAATGCCACCGGTCCTTTCGTCAACGGCAACGATGGAAAAAGTGAATGGACCGAGGCAGACGAGACTCGCTTCGTCGGCAAGCTCGAGACCGAGCTCGAGAAGGTGCATACGAAGCAGCAGGTCAAGGCTATGGAAATCAGCAGACGGATCGCGGTTAGCGAGCGCGAGGTCCGAGACGTTGTCAACCGCCTCAACGAACGAGGGCTTAACGAGACCGGACCCAGCGAGGAGGAATTCATGCTATTGGAAGAGGACCTCAGCGACATCATCGCCGACGTTCACGACCTCGCCAAATTCGTGCAACTCAACTACACGGGATTTTATAAGATAATCAAGAAGCACGACGTAAGTGGTTCTGCCATGTATCCCGACGATTTACTGACAATTTGATTGCAGAAAAGCACAAAGTGGTACCTCCGCCCAGCGTTCGAGACCCGACTCAAAGCAAAGCCCTTCTACAAGGAAAACTACGATGCTTCTGTTGTTCAGCTGTCCAAATTGTACGACCTCGTCCGGACGAGAGGAAACCCCGTCAAGGGCGACAGTGCCGCTGGAGGTGCGCAGGCCAGCTTTGTACGACAGACAACCAAATACTGGGTGCATCCGGACAACATTACCGAGTTGAAGCTCATCATCCTGAAACATCTGCCGGTCCTTGTCTTCAACGCTAACAAGGAGTTCGATCCCAAAGACTCGGCCATTACCTCAATTTACTATGATAACCCTGAGAAGTGGGATCTGTACGAGGGTCGTCTCAAGAAGACGGAAGGTGCTGAGGCTATCCGACTCCGGTGGTATGGCGGCATGGAGACCGAAACCATCTTTGTCGAACGCAAGACGCATCGCGAAGACTGGACTGGCGAGAGCTCCGTCAAGGCTCGTTTCAGCATGAAGGAGAAGAACGTCAATGCATACATGAGGGGCGAGCTTCTACCGCCTGCCATCTTCGAGAAGGCGCGCAAGGAAGGGAAAAAGTCTGAGAAAGCCATCGCTGAGGACGAGAGACTAGCGTCGGAGATTCAATACTCCTGCATCAAGAAGGGGTACAAGCCCGTCTGCCGCTCGTTCTACCACCGCACAGCATTTCAGCTTCCAGCTGACGCCCGTGTGCGTATCTCCCTGGACACCGAGTTGACCATGGTGCGAGAAGACAACCTGGATGGACGAAAACGCAGCGGTGATAACTGGCGGCGGATGGACATTGGCATCGACTATCCCTTCTCGCAACTGCCCCCCGAGGATGTTGTTCGCTTCCCATATGCCATTCTCGAAGTCAAGCTACAGACGCAAGCCGGCCAGGAACCCCCTGAGTGGGTCAGGCAGCTTATTGCATCTCACCTCGTCGAGGCTGTGCCCAAGTTCTCAAAGTTCATTCATGGCACAGCATGTCTGTTCCCTGATCGTATCAACCTGCTGCCCTTCTGGATGCCACAAATGGATGTGGACATTCGCAAGCCCGCGAGCCACGACTTTGGTATTCGCCGTCCTGGGTTGTCTGGCACCACTACAACCTCGGACGACGAGGACGATCTGGATTCGGACGACGAGGAGGATCGGGTTGCCGCTGCAAGCGGCCCGTCTGCGCCTTCGCGTCCCGCCGGCCAAAGTAATGGGCAGAGCCGTGACAGTCGCAGGGATGTCGAAGACCAGACAAGGGACCTTCCGGCTGCTGTTGATGAAGCGTTCCCCATCTATGATTCGGACGAAGAATACGACGACGACTACGAGCTCGAGGAGGCCAGGCGTGTTGGCGGCTGGCACTACTACCACACACTGATCTCCACAAAGGGGCGTGAGTTCGGCCACAAGACGCTTGATCTTCTGAAATTCGCCATCCCAGCGCCTCGGAGCACCCAGGTTGGTCGAAGCGCGCGCCAGCAAATGCTCTTTGGCGACCAGGACATCCAGACAAAGAAGTTCAAGGCGCCCAAGGGGAAGAAGATCTACGTCCCTGTGCGCGTCGAGCCCAAGGTCTACTTTGCGGCCGAGCGCACGTTCCTTGGCTGGGTACGTGAAATCTGCTGTCCTTTACTCATCGCGACGCATTACTGACCTTATGCAGCTCGAATTCTCCATATACATCGGCACTATCGCCGTCACACTCCTTAACTTTGGCAGCCACCCCACCAAGACGTCTTTCCTGGTGTCTGGCATCTTCACTCTGCTGGCCATCCTTAGCTTGATCTACTCAGTCGTCATCTACCTTTACCGCAGTCGCGCTATCCGCGAGAGGCGAGCAGCCAAGTACTTTGACAAATGGGGGCCCAGTATCCTTTGCGGAGCGTTGTTCATTGCGGTGGCTCTGAACTTTGGATTTGAGGGGCGTGAGCGCCAGGTTTGGTGATAGGGGCGTGCGAAGCAGTAGGCAGGCCAGCGGGATGGATACTAGTAGACTGTACGGCGCATGGTGTAACTATGTCACTCTAAGCATTGATTGATTCCACACTTTTTCATCGTTGACAACTAGAATGCGGTGAACTGATGCGTAAAGCGCTTGAAACCATTAATGAAATACATGACCAGATCTACAAACGCCAGACGCCCGCCGTCATTCATTCCCATGCCTCGTCAATCCATTCGCCCTTACAGATGTCTATACAACAGCCGTCACTCTCCTCACACTTCTCCGCGCACCTTCACCCGTAACCATGATAGCACTCTCTGCTTCCAGCGCACGCATCGCCTCGTTGAACTCTGCAGTCTCAATGGGTAAGCTTGCTCCCTCGGTCAACCTCCTAGCAACATCACCCCAGCGAACAGAGTTGCCGCCCGAGGTCATGTCATCTAGGAGCTTCAGCAAGGCGTCCTTGATCTCGCCCTGGCGCCTCCTGTCCGCAGCACTCGTGCCTTCTGTCAGGAGGCTCATGTCGATGCGTCCCTGAGAATCGGTTGCTGCTGTCTTGAGCGCGCTTTGGATGAGACGGTACGCCTCTCCAACGTCGTCCTTGGTCACAGTGTCGGACAGGCGCATCTTGGCGTGGGCTTCGGACAGTCGAATCATGCTCTCTAGTTGACGTGTTGTGGCAGTGATACGCTTATCCGCGGCACGAACATCTTGACCGAGGGCGCGCATCTCGAGGTAACTCTCCACAAGCTCCTCGGCTGCCTGCTTGGAGATCTTGGGTTGAATGTTGGATCGCGCGTAGGATATATACAGTGTCAAAAAGTCCACAGAGAGGATGTCATTGTTTGAAGGGGCGGAATCGGGTTTGTCTTCGAGGTAGAGCGAGAGCAAATGCTTGGCCAGGCGCTTGTCTGCCTTCTCATCAACACGGTCGAGAATGAGGTAGATCAGATCGAAACGGGAGAGAAGGGTGGGTGGGAGGTCAATGTTCTGAGGAACCGACATATCGGGGTTGTATCGACTGCCGATCGGGTTGGCCGAGGCAAGAATACTTGTGCGTGCGTTGAGGGTAGTGATGATACCTGCCTTGGCGACGGAGACGGTCTGCTGTTCCATGACTTCGTGAAGCACTGAGCGCGTGGAGTCGGACATTTTGTCAAACTCATCAATGCAGCAGACGCCGCCGTCGGACAGAACGAGCGCACCAGATTCGAGGACCAGCTGCCGGGTTTCTGGGTCACGGGTGACATATGCGGTCAGACCAACAGCGGAAGAACCCTTTCCACTGGTGTAAACACCGCGAGGCGCGATCTTATGAACGTAGGACAGCATCTGAGACTTGGACGTCGAAGGGTCGCCGCAAAGGAGAACGTTGATGTCGCCTCTATACTTGGGGCTGGCACCCTTCTCGAAGGTTTTGTTCGCGCCACCAAACAGCTGAAGCAAGATGCCCTTCTTCACGTCGTCCATTTCGTAGATTGATGGTGCCAATGAGCGAGACAGGAGGTCGTAGATGTCGGGTCTAGCGGCAGTAGCCTGGATCTCGGCCTCCTCTTCAGGAGTGACTTTGCGGGCCTGTTGCAGGCCTTCCTCTTGGCTGTTGTCCTCCATTTCATCAACGTCCAACGTTGTTGGGTCGGCATCCATGCGCTTACTGTCCACCTTTTTGCAGTGCACCATGTCAACAAATGTCTTGTGAACACTCTTGAGCGCTCTCTGGCGTGGGTTGACACGGATGCGGTTGACACGGAAGATACCGGTCACCACAATACGATCACCAGCTTTGCAAAAGTCCACCAGCTCGTTGTAAGCAACGACAGATACGGAGTGAGGTGTCTGACCGGGCGGGACGGCGTCTGGCGTTTCCTGCAACTTGATAACTTGCTTATCTGCGAACGCGCATCGATTATGGATGATTTGCATCGAGTTCTTGGAAGCGCAGGAGACTCGAGGACACACTGTAGGCTCACGAATTCTGCCGCGATCCAGGCCGACGTTGACCGAATGATTGCAGACGTTGCAGCGGAAGAAGGCGTCTTTCATGTCAGGGATGACGGGCGTGGCTCGGATAACCATGCCCTTGATGCACACCAACTTGTCGACATCTTGTACAATTAGCGGGATGTTCCACCTTGTAGAACGAATGACCTACCAGACGGGTTCAGATCGCGCAGATTGGTCGATGACTCCATGCCGTAAGGACGCACGTAAAAGTACATCCTGTTGACCTGATCCCTGAGGGTCTCCTGGGGTTCCACTGATGTTTGTGGTGCACGCGGCGTCTCGGGACCTTCTGGGTGATCTGAGCTAGGGAAAGCTGGCTCTGAGCTTTCACGAGTGTTGCCCGATATATGCCCCGCGCTGCTCTGAGATTGCGTATTCCTGCTGTCCTCCAGCGCTGCGAACTCCACTGCCGCATTCTTCACGGCCTGATCAAGAATGGGGATAATCTCGACTGGGTAGACCTGAGCTTGATGGTACAGCTTCTTCGTGGGCGGGTAAAAGTTGAGGTCCTGGAGGTTGAGGTAGAGACGATCCTGGCCCAAGGTGACCATGTTCTCGACAGCTTCTTGGTAAATTTTGGTATCAGAGTAGGGCGTTTCAGCGACCTCTTCATCGGTGAGGCCTTCGCGGTAGAGGCGGTACTTGAGACTGAAGTTTCGGATGAAATCTTCCATGGTGCGGATGCTGTCTGTCAGTGAGATTGTAGTACCCCAAACCAGCCCGTCGCCGGTGCCACCCATAATGTCCGCTTCTGATGTGTTGTAATCGCGGTTGGAGAAGGTGTGCGCATCTGATGTGGGCAGCTCCCCTTCGCGCAATGGCCTGCCGTCACCGTCTAGCAGCACACGTCGCAGTGCAGGCTGGCGAGGGGTCGAGTTGTAGTCTGTGCCAATGTCACCGCGGCTATACCTGGGTGTTCCGTGTTGCGAGCCAACAAAAAGGCCGCTCGTCTCGCTACGTAGGTCTGAATGCATATCTCTGACGGAACGTCCTGGGCTCGACGTGAAGTGAAGAGGCGAGGATTCTATGACCATTAGCAAAAATCACTAAGGATTTTTTTTCTAGTTCTAAGCACCTCGAATTGGGCCTCTAGCCCTCGGCGTCCTCTGCCCGTCCTGCGTCTCCTGAGAGGCCGTCATTTGCCCAAGAGGCGAGCTTAGTGCTGCCGCCATGATATTCTGGCTTTGTGTATCTTGGCTGTTACTCATTTGTCGCAGCGGCGAGGACACCATGTTGACATCATTGTCGTTCTGTGGCGCCGGCGAGGATTGGAAAAACAAGGGGCTCGAAGCCGATGGCCCTCCTGCTGCGGGCTGTCCACTCTGTGGTGTGCCATCCTGATCTGAGGGACGAGGTGTGCCTGATTGTGAGCGCCGATCACGACGATGGTTTGGTGACGACATTGTTGTTGTCGCGTGCGCGTAGATTTGACGTCGACTTTTGTGATGTTAACACCATGCAGATATCGATATCGAGTGAGGAGGGGAGGGTGAGAAAGGCGCGTAAAGTGGTGGAGACGCGTAAAGTGCTTGCTTGACGCGACGCGATTGTCCAGTGGCCCGTGCGCACGCAAGACCCCAGCGAGTGGCAGACGGAGAAACTCGGTCGCCGACTGAAGCGCATTCAATTGCCGTTGGAGTGTGGCGTTGTGGCGCCAGGGAGAGAGGACTGGAGGCTGAGCTCTGCCTGCCTGCGACGGTGGAGGGGCCACGGGCGTGTGCATCTGAACGGTCTGTGGTGAAGCGCTACTGCTTGCGACAAGAATAACACAGTCCCAAGCCATCATGTCTCCAGGAATGACCCTCTTCTCGGTGCAAGCCATCCTTATCCTCAGTTCCGAGGATGGCTCGCGCATTTTCGCGAAATACTACTCCTCACCCCACAGCGCTCCGGGCGGTAAGCTCCTCTGCTTCCATGGTTGCACCTCGAGATGCTGATTCAAGGTGTCCTCTTGTAGCTGGCAGCAGTTCGACCAACCCCTATCCCGACACCAAATCACAAAAGGCCTTTGAGAAGGGTCTCATTGAAAAGACGGGCAAACAAAATGGTGACATTATTCTCTACGACAATCGAATTGTCCTCTACAAGCTCGAGTCGGATGTCATGATCTACGTGATTGGCAGTGTGGACGAAAACGAGATTCTTCTGTACAACACCACCCTGGCGCTCAGGGACTCGCTACATCTCCTGTTCAAGTGTGTAGAGCTCTTTCGGGTTTGCGAGTTTTGGCTGACGGCGGCAGGCAATCCGTGGACAAGAGAACGATTATCGAGAACTACGACCTTGTCTCCCTCGCCATTGACGAGATTGTCGACGACGGCATCATCCTCGAGACCGACCCGACCATTATCGTGCAGAGAGTCAGCAAAGCGCCTACACAGGACGTGCCGCTCGGCCGCATCGATCTCAGCGAACAGGGCGTCAACAACTTGGCGCAACTCGGAAAGTCCAAGCTGGCGGACTGGTTGCGACAGGGTCTGTAAAAGGGAGTCAGAATCGGTTGAGGAGATTGGGTCGTTGTCTTCACATAGCGCCTGGCAGAGACGGTGAACCACTTAGAGTCAGGGGTGTTTTACGGGTATCATGAGTCTATTGATGAGTTTCTATACTCTGATTTCGGAGGCCGCCTTGCGGAGGCGGTTCATCACTGCGCCTGCAATGTCGAGCTCGTCGTCTATGCCATCCACGAATATCATGGAGGCCCCGAGCTGATCCAGCTCACGCAGCGCTGAAAATAGCCCCTGGGCAATGCCGCGCGTTTCCCTGCCCAAGTCGATGTCGAGCAGGCCTCCGCGCACCTCACCATTTGCGCTGACCAGTTCACCTTGGAGCACCTGATACGATGTGCCGGGCTGTTGATCGTCCCCATCCCGAGCATCTTCCTTCGAAACGGCCGGGGAAAGCTGGTTACTGTGCAAGCCAGCGACCTGTGTCCATCTTTTGGTCCTAATGACGCCAACCTTGCGCATCACGTTCGCATTGCAAGTATCTGCGGCACCGTCCTCAGGCGAGAGCGCCCGCTCTGCATCTGCTGCTGTAATCCCTCCCGAGCCATCTGCGCATGAAGCCTCGTAGAGAATCACCCTCGCCGTGGGGCTGTAGTGTTTGTACTTCATGCCAGGGGCCCTTGGTGCCGTCTTTCCATCGTGTCCTTGGTCTTTGTAGGCCTTGACCACATTCTCCCATCCGGGGCACTTCCTCAGCTCGTCGATGCCTATGCCGCCTGGCCGAAGCAACGCAGGGGGGTCGCAAAGCCCGTCGACGACTGTGCTCTCCACGCCGACCTCACAGGGACCTCCATCGAGTATGAGCTCTATCCTCCCGTCCAAGTCGTATTTGACGTGCTGCGCCATCGTTGGTGAAGGTTTCGTGGAGGCATTGGCTGACGGCGCAGCAAGTGGCCGCCCCGTCAGCTTGATCAGTGACAATGCCAGACTTGTGGATGGCATCCGCGCCCCAAACGACTTCAACCCTGCAGTCACTTCCGGGGCGAGTCTCGAGTCCTCCGGGTTGGGCATCAGCATGGTCAGTGGACCTGGCCAAAACCGCTCGATCAACGGTTGGTACTTTTTCGGTATGTCATCTCCACCAAGATAACTCTTCAGCATGTCCAGATCTGAGACATGAACTATGAGAGGATTGTCTGCAGGTCGGTTCTTGGCCGCGTATATCCCTCGAACACTCGCGCTTCTCGTGGCGTCAGCCCCCAGGCCATATACTGTCTCGGTAGGAAAGGCCACAGGTGTATCACGTTCACAGAGATGTGAAGCAGCTTCCTCGATGGCAGGGTATGCCTCGTGTGTCGTGTCGACTTGGAAGGTCTCAAGGCGTTCTGGCCCCTGGAGGACGGTGAAATGCCCCATAGGCTGACTGGTTGAGACCTTGACTATTCGAGTTTCCATTGTGCAGCTGTATCCTCGGCGAGCTTGCTGGCTGGATGGTATGGGGAAATAGCTGTTTCCGCAATGTTGGTGTCTTGGTGAAAATTTCAAGGTGTGTGGCTGGCGAAGTGACGAGCCTCCACGCAACGATGAGACTGATTGAGGAGTGAGTTGGCAAAGGTGGGTGAGGCGTCTAATCTGACTCATAAGAAATATTTTGCAGGATTATTAGAGTCAGATGCAGGGCCTGCGGCATGTGAGGACCTTGGTGATGGGGTAGTGGAGAGTGCATGATGTAGACTAGACTTTTGGTCCTGCGAGAGAAAATCGGCACTCTGTGCCAAAGTCAATAAAAGGTACTTTAAAGTCGACTTACGCCCAACACCATCGGGTCATATTACCTACTCCTCTATACCGGCCACATTTTGATCACTTCGCATTTTGCTCTGCAGATTGTTTTGCACAATGACATGACATCTATTGCTGATCTAGCTCGGATGACACGCATCGGGCGCTACAGTATCCTGACCAAACTCCGCGCCTTTTTCCTTTCGTCCTCTGTCAAGACCCAGTCAATGCCATCTTCATCGCCTAGCTCTTGGATTTCCTCCCACTCGTCGTCTTCCATGTTCGCCACCATGAGTAGCTGCGTCACTTTGGCAAACACCTCTCTGACCACATAGTCGCCTCCGGACACCGTGTTGACGATGGCTGTGAAATCCCGTTCCATGCGTATGGCTCCGTACGGGTTGGTCCTTGCTGAGGGGCTCAATATCCTCTTCTCCAGAACCTTGGAGAGATAGCGGGCTGTAGTGTCCAGCAGACTGCCGAAGGTGGCAGGCGTCATTAGACGGGCGATCGACTTCATAAGCAGATCCCATCCGTGCTCGAAGCGGCGGGGTACCTGTGCCAAATATTCATCCTCATCCTCGTCATTGTGGCGGGCCAGTTCAGCAATCTCGTCCTCCACGAGAGTGTAGTCCGCGTCACGGAATGTATCCGTTAGAACAGGCCGCAAGCGTAGCTTAACAACCTGGTTGAATAGTACCTGAATCCCCTCGTTGAGTAACTCGGTAGTTTTGGCAATAAAGGTCGTCTCAAGTGTGCTGAGCGCATTGGCGACAAATGCAACGTCCCTTTCGAATGGAAAGGCGTCTTTCAAGGGGCCTTGGGTCGGGACACCATCTACTGCGCCGTCATTGACACCTAGGCCACCTTGTATGATTCTCGACAAATATTCGTTGGCCATGTCCAGACTGTTGATCAACACAATGAACTGTATGATCTTGTCCTCTGGCGGGAATCCTCCCTGAACGATAGGCTTGGGGTACGACTCGTCTCGCATCTTGCGCTGGATCATACCGACAAAATCAGAACTGAGGACTCGCCCAATGGTAGGGACCACAGAGGCAATGATGTCTCTCTGGGACGTTGATATCGATTTTTGGATGACTGCATTGACAATGTACATGACATCGTCTACTGCCAGGATAATGAAAGGCGCATTGCCATCAATGGGTCTGTTGAGGCTGAGCGACAACCCATTGGGGTATTCGTCGAGCTGGAACGCCTTCTCGACTGATCGGCGGAAGAAGAATGTGGACATCACGTTGTACGGGCTGACGAGCTTGCCCGTGACTTTGCGGTATAGTGCCGACTTGATCAGGACCTCCGGCACGGTCAAAGTGGGATCTTCTGCTGTGTGTGAGGGCTGCGTGGCATCAGTGACGGAGATCAATCAACTTCTGGCTTGCCGACTTACGATGCATTTGCCTGCGAGGAATCTTGTGTACAATGACCATCGCCCAAGCATAATGGCAATCTCATTGAGCAATCCGTCTACCTCCTTCATACTGACACCTTCATCCTCGCTGCTTCGAACGTTCGCCCCTGCGCCCACGGCTGGTGAGTTCACTCTGGGCGTGGCGCCCTTGGGTGGTTGTGGTAGAAAGCTTTGGACAAGGAATGAGAAGGGATAACTTTTGACGTCGGTCAGCTTCCTGTCAATGTTCCTCTCATCACTCCAGGTGTCGAGGATGATACCGCCCTGGACATCGGCCTCCATCTGCAGACGCTCTATCACGCGCACCATCTTGCCGGAGCCGTAGTGACGCTCCACAAGGCCGCCGTGGCCCTCCACAATCTGCGCAATGTGCTCAAACAACTTGGTCAGCGCGTTTGCATAGAAGAAGCCTTCCTTCTGCACGCTGCCGCCAAAGCCGTCCTTGAGTGTCGCCCTCGCCGTCCCGGCAACGCCCTGGCAGACGTAGCGCCCATAGACATCCAAGCCAACGTCGGCACGCCCAATCAGAGGGAACAGCTTGAAGAACCTCGTCACCTTGGTTCCATCTCCCTCGCTTGCCGCCTTCTCAAACTCTCTGAGAAACAGCCCGCATAGGCTCTCCCTGCTGTCCTCGAGCGTCACCCAGGGCGCATCGGGAACCTCCACATTGGGTACGATGCTGGCCGCGAAGGCTCCCCGCGCAATCTCCTCGGGCACGCGTGACGCACGATCCAGGTAGCCGGCTGCTGCCTCCCAATCTTGCGGTGCGCCCATGGAGCCTACCACGCCATGCACACAGGCCTTGAGCTCGGCGACCTGCTCGACCACACGCAGGGTATCCTCCACCCGACTCTTCTCCAGGTCCAGCTCTTTGACGCGATTGCTGAGCCTGCCCGCCGTATCGGCAGCCGTTGAGAGCATGTCATTGCTGATGCTCCTCGCGGCAATGACCTGCGCACTCAGCCCAGCTCTGAGAAGGTCCAGCCGGCCCAGGTCCCGCGAGAGGTTCGCCTGCGATGATACCAAGCCATCGAGTCGTTTCGTGATCGTTGCTTCGCGGGCATGAAGGTCTGATAGGGCGGCGCGGAGCTCGACTTCAGAGGTGGCATTCGCTATAGCGGCGGGAGCTGCTGCTGGTGCTGGTGTGACAACGCCATTGTCGTGAGGGGCGGCGCCGTAGGAAAGGGCAGACATTGGCGCGAGGCAGACTGGACTGGGAAGAGCATATCTGCCTGGCTCAGCGCCGTAGTCTTCAGTAGTCGTGGTCGGATTCGTGAAAGCGTTAGGAATGGATTGTGGTCTGGCAGCTCGGGGCTCTGTCACTGTTGCTTGACCAGGTGGCATTGCGGTGGTGGGTTTAGATTACCCTGTGTCGAGGCTGAGCACTAGTCGAAAGGTACAAGCCACAACCGTCGTTCACAATATTTCAGAGTAAATGAATCGGCACCGAGTGCAATAGAAATAAAAAACGATGGCATAGTTGGTAAGTAGTGTCGGACGCTCTAGGTGATCTGTTTGTGTCATCTTGTGTGTGTTGGTGGCGTAATTGACAAGCCCCTTTTCCCACCAGACCAGCACCTGCTGAAAGTCAGGTATATGGCCATGATGTGTCTAGTGTTAAATAATTCAGATACACATAATGGCAAGTAAATATCGTTTATACATATCTATACTGCCTGACTATATCCGCCAGTAACCCGCGCCGCGCCGTATTTGAGATACTTGCGCAGTTCATCCGCCCAAAATACAGTGCTGCACAAGAACACTAGTCTCACCAGGTCGAAAAATCCAACACCCTCTGTCTGGAACGTGGACTGTAGCCATGGGAAATAAATGACCAGCAACTGACAAATGACGCTGAGCGACACTGCCCAGTTGAAAAGGTTGTTCGAGGTCAGACCAACCTCTCCGCGCAGTACTGATTTCGACTCTGATCGACATGCTAATGCATTGAACATGTCGAAGAAGACGAAACACGTAAAGGTCATGGTGGTATCACGTTTTGTTACCTCGCCGTCGCGCATTTCCCGAAGGTAGACAAGCATGGTTCCGAGCATGATAATCGTAGCGGAAGTCAGCACTCGTTTGATCAGGGCCTCGGTCAAGACAGGGTCATTGCGCTTGCGTGGCGGCTTGTTCATGACATCTGGGTCGACCCTTTCGACCCCCAGAGACTGAGCTGGAGGGCCATCCATGATGATATCTGGATTGAAGTTAGCACAATTCGGCATTAGCAGCCACATGTACTCACTGATCCACAGAATCTGCATGGCGTTGAGCGGATTCTTGAAACCAAAACATGTGCATAGGAAGACGAGCGACAGACTAGCTGCGCTTGTGCTCAACTGGAACGTCAAGAAGTTCTGGATGTTGTTGAAGATGCCTTTGCCCTCTTCAATGGCCCGCAGAATGGTCGAAAAGTCGTCATCTGTGAGGATCATGTCCGCAGCTTCCTTGGCAACATCAGTGCCGTTGCGTCCCATTGCTATGCCAATGTCTGCTTTTTTCAAAGCCGGAGCGTCGTTGACACCATCGCCAGTCATTGCGACAATATCGCCCCTTGACTGCAGAGCGCGGATGATCTTGAGCTTATGGTCTGGGTTCGTTCGCGCAAAGATGGTCGTGTGCTCCATGGCTTGAGCCAGGTCGAACTCGGACAACTCGTCAACCTCATCACCACTAATGACAGACCGCACAGTCGATTGCCCTTTGGAGTGGGCGCTCGGGGTGGCCACGTTCATGCCTAGCTGCTTGCCAATAGCAAGTGCTGTCGTCTCGGCATCGCCTGTGATCATGATGACCTTGACTCCTCCTCTCATCAGCCTCCTGATCGAGCGGCCCACGCCTGGGCGAGGCGGGTCCCTCATTCCCACAAGACCAGCAAACGTCAATCCTTTGTAGACATCTCCGCCACGCGGAATCGCGGCCTCTGCGCTAGGGGTACCGTTGCGGTTCGGCTTGGTTTTCGACCACCTAACATGGCCGCTCGCAAAGGCAATGACTCGGAGCCCCTTGACCGCCATGGCCTCTGCAGCCTGCATGGCATCATTACGCCGAGACGAGTCCAGAACAATCTCTCGCCCATCCTTGTCCAAGTACGTGTCGCAAGCAGTAATGACCTTTTCGATCGAGCCCTTCATGTATGCAAACTCCCTATCGTTCTTCGAGTCGCCGCCGATGACTACTCCCATGAACTTCCGCTCGGAGCTGAAAGGCGTCTCGAGCACGCGAGGGCCAATCGAGTCGCGTACATCGTGCTCCTTGAATCGGTCGAGGAGGTCGAGCATGGCTACATCCGTGGGCTGACCGACCCATCTCGTATGCATATTGGTATCGCCCCGACCCATAGTTGAAGAGAGAACAGCGTTCGTAGCTGCGCCGTTCTCCGTGAACTTCTGACCGAGTCGTGCATTGTTCGCAATGTTTCCAATGCGCATAATGCGCAGCGAGGCGGCTGTAGGCTCCTCTTCAGTGTCTTCGTTGTCTGAGTGGACATCGAGGGCATCCTGTGCGCCAAAGTACCAGACTTTGGCGGTCGTCATGTGATTCGTCGTCAACGTTCCAGTTTTATCAGTGCAAACAACGTTGACTGATCCTAGAGTCTCAACCTTGGGCATCCGGCGCACAATCGCATTGAGCTTAGCCATGCGATGAACACCCAGAGCCAGCGTGACTGTGACGATGATCGGCAAACCTTCAGGGATGGCAGCCACAGCCAGTGATATGGAAATGGTGAAGATTTCGAGCAGCTTCTTCCCCTGCAACCAGCCGACAAGGGAAATCAGACCAATGACCGCAAAAGAGGCTTTGCTCAACTGCGAACCCAGATCATCCATGGAAAGCTGCAGAGGCGACCGAGGGCTTTCTGTGCCCGATACACTCGCGGCAATTGTGCCAAAGTGCGTGTGGCCACCAGTCGCAAACACTATACCCTGACCGTGCCCCGACTTCACCAAAGTTCCCATGGCAACAACGTTCTGGTCAGGCTCCGAAGCAGCCGCACGAGAATCCCCGGGTGCAAGCGCTGCTTTATTTGGGGGTTGTGGTATGAGCCCGTAGGAGCTCACATTGCGGGTGCGAGCCTCTGAACCGATGCAGACCGGCTCAGTTTCGCCAGTCAGGTTGGACGCGTCGATGGAGAGATCCGAAGCCTTGGTAACACGTATATCGGCCGGAATGCGGTCACCCGTTGTGAACAACACCAAGTCCCCGGGCACCAGTTGCGAGGCCATGACCTTTGACGAGGCAGAATCGAGTACTGCCTCCACTGGCGTTGTGGTTCCCGGCGTAGGGGCGCGCTCTTCGCTTGGCGGAGGCCACGTTGGCGTTCGCGCCATGCTCGCTGACTTGCTGCCAGGTCCCCGAACAAGATGGGCGTGATTCGGTACGAGGTGATTGAGCGCCTCAATAGATTTCTCGGACCGATGTTCCTGAACAAATCCTACAGAGACCACAATGGTCACTGCTACCGCGATGCTGAGGGCATCGTCGGTGTTGCCTAACAAGAGCGACGTACCGGCAGACGCTAGGAGAAGTAGGATCAAAGGCTCTTGGAACTGCTTGACGAAGCGCAACCATATGGGTTCGGGGGGATCGTGAGGAATCTCGTTGGGACCGTATTCGCCAAGTCGCTTTAGAGCATCGTTCGGATGAAGTCCCTGTGAGAGGGAGGTTCGAAGCCGGGCAGCCGCCTCGCTAGGCGTCATGTAGGAGAATTCATCTGCTAGACTCTGCTCACACTGTCAGACTATACATCCATTGTTGTTTCAATATGTGGCAGGCCATACCCGAGCCTGCGTCGACGTAGTCCTAACGTGGCGAGGTCGCGTTGGAGGTTTCTCGGTATCGGAAGACTCGCCAGCCAGACCGCTTATGGTTGGGATACTGGCCGTAGGAAGGAGAGCTGCATGGTTGTCATGCCCTGCCCATGGCAGCTGCATGTTGGCAAGCTTCAAACGTGCGCCGCAGGTATAAGCATCGAACGGCGAGTGATACGTGGGTGTCGAGAGAGTGCCGTGTTCAATTACCGTTCGCGTTCCGTTTTTGTGGAAAAGCAGCGCTCAGGCTCCCGCGCTGCATGTAAAGAACGACAGCAATTGCTCGCCAAAGCACGCTTGATGAAGAAAAATGGTGTTGCAAAAGCCAAGCTGGCTTCCTGGCCCCAAGTACCAAATCCAGGGGACGGAATTCTGGGAAGTGGGAATACGCGCTATTCTGCGGGAGGCGACCCGCGCTTGTGGCGCAAATGTCCAGAGATGTCGTGGCTGAGGTGAGGTCCAGCCTTGTCGATCAACCGGGTTCCCAGAACGCGGGTTGTAGGTTGTATCAGAGATGAGGTTGATTCTTTATGGCCTATGTCTGTCTAGGAATCGCAATGTATTTCTCCTGCTTTGAGTTTTGAACTTTTCTTGAGGCTACCTTACTGTAGCTATGGAGCTCAAGAAAATCCACACAGTTGAGCGCCTTGTCTTTAAGGCAGCTGCCATTAAGGCTTGAAGCAAGAGACATTTTGATCTATACATCTGCGGAAATAAGATCGCCCGCCCCATGTCTCTAGGTATGGTAGCATGTGGACTGGTGGTGATCATTTGGAGGCCTACATGTAAGATCAACGGTGCTTAAGGTACCATTTTGGGACGTCTCTCAGAGAGATGACGGAAGCGGAGATAGCTCTGTTCCGAAGTCAGCCAGATCACTAACCGTAATCAGCTAGGTCGGTAGCCAAATTTCAACAGCCAGGAAGGCTGTAATTGGACAGCCTGATCCCGTTTCCCAGCCACAACATTTTGGCACAGGCCAGACGTGCCAAGCCGCGCCTTCGTCAACCAGGTCACGAAGGGCCCCTCCAGCTTCAGCTACGTCCATTCTTTCCATTTCTGCACGCTCCCCAATCCCAGCCCGAACCATCAACGCCACCCGTCACGTTCATTTTCCTCACAAATCGCGTTTTCGATAATCTTGAAAACAATCGCACTTCTCTGGACTAGCTTTAGCGCTACACTTTGCTGGTCGTGACACCCTGCGCAATTATTGATCAGACGAAGCGCGTCAACGCCTGCACTGTGTTCGACCCACTCCTCAGCACGCGCCTGTCTGTTTATCTCGACGACACCTATCACCTGCGCGTCGATACCGAGTGCAACCCCAATTCGACAAAACAGTCTTGCTTGAGCTTGCTTCCATCCATCGGCTATTTACCTCACGACACCGACAGTACCGACTTGACGCGTCGTAGCGTCACCCAGAGTCATCATGTTCTGGTCTGGGGATCTACTCAAAACCAACGGGTCCCTTGCCCGCGTGTGGACATCATACTCGACGGAGCGCAAGCTTTCCAAGAATGCTGTACTGCAATCCAATGTTAAACAGAGTGTGGAGGAGATCATGCGACCCTCACATGCGCCATTTGCTTTGCGCCTCAGCTCTCAGCTCATGATTGGCGTTGTCAGAATTCACCAGCGCAAAACGCGTTACCTGTTGGACGACTGTAACGAGGCGATGATGAAGATTAAACTGGTACGTGGATAGTGCGCGCAAACGGGACCACGCTGACACAGTCTAGGCTTTTCGTTCTACTGGCAACAACGATATGACGTCGAACATGCAGGCCGGGAACAAGGAGTCACTCTTGCTACCTGATCGCTTAACAACCTTCGATAACTTGGACCTCCCTCCTCCACCCGATGCATCATGGCTGATGGGTCCCACGGCCGAGCTCACCCCCGCGCCTGTGGGACGCAAAGGCCGTAGCAACAACAACAATCGCGACACCCTTATGCAAGAGGACTTTGACAACAGTCAGTTCTTGCAAGGCAATCCTCTCAACGAGCAGAATCTCGGCAACCTGGACGATCTGGACCTGGACCTGGATTTTGGACTTGATCCCGAAGGTCCTACAATGCAGAGTGTCGAAGTCGGTCGAGACGCGCCCGCACCACGCGCTGTGGAAGATGATCTCTTCAGCGACTTTGGCGGGCCACTGAAAGACAGGGACCAATCCATGGCTGCCGATTTCCCGTCGGATGGTGTGCGCATTGCTGATGCTGAGGGCGACATTGCCATGGGTGATGACGATTTCCGATTCAATGCGGATGATCAGTCTGCTCTTCCTGAGCTGAACGCTGTGCCCGAACTCGACCGTGCTCGCATTTCGGAGAGCCCACTCTCTGACATTGACGAGGACATGGCTCGAGACGCTGAAATCACGTTTACCAACCGCCAGACGGACCTATATGAGCCCGCGGACGAGACCGAAACTACACTCGTCCGCCGTCCCGCCAACCGCGCCAGAAAGCAACGGGTGCTGCTGCCAGATGACGAGACATCGCTTTCGAATGCTCACTTTAAGCAGCAACAGGTCGACCGCTCCAACATCACACGCGATACCTCGTTCTTGCCTAGTGATCCGTACTTGCTCGCTTTGATGGATATGCAGAAGTCTGGTGGATTTGTTTCATCTATTCTGCTTGATGGACGTAGCGACGGCTGGGCTCCGGAATTGCGCAGCCTGCTGTCGCTGGAGGCTCTCCAAGGCGCCCCCGAGCTCAAGCGCAAGCGCGACGGTGGCGTTGCAGACGTCGAGACCGAACAAGGCAACCCCAAGTCGCCACGCATCGAATTAGACGAAGATGAGGATACGATTGTCGCACCCAACGCTGTTGGCGACCAAAGCGTCGCTGAGGACGGCACTATGTTGCGCATCGCCGATGACGACGCCGACGACAACACAGCCTTGCCCAACTTTGACGACACCGTTGCCCCTGCTGTCCACCCCGCCGACAGTGGTCCCATCTCACTCGGCACCAAACACGCTGTGCACATTCTACGCGATCTGTTTGGTGATGAGGCAGCGGACAGTGAAGAGGCTAGGAAGAACAGCACCGTGGTCTTCCAGGAGTTGCTACCTGAGAAGCGCACAACCAAGGCCGAAGCTACCAAGATGTTCTTTGAGTGCCTGGTCTTGGCTACAAAGGATGCTATCAAGGTGGAGCAGGGAGAGGATATGGGGGCGCCCATCCGCGTGCGCGGGAAGCGCGGCCTCTGGGGGGAATGGGCTGAGCGGGAAGCTGGCGGCGAGATCGGCGCCCAAGAGGAGGAAGGGGACGCAATGGACCATGCTCCAATGGGTGCTTCCGCTGTGGCTGTCGGGGCATGAATCGTCCGTGTTTGCGTTTCGATACTGTTTCGTTGTCATGGTAGATATCGGCTTCTGGCTGGTGCTTGCGTTTTAACATGCCCCTCCTCTGGGTACGGCGCAGCGGGTATTGCACTTTGATTTGGATCGATCCATTGGCGTTCGAGGGATTACGATGATACCACTGGACTTTGTGCGACATGAAAGGTAAAGGGATGGGAAAAGGAACTTGCGTTGCGTGGTTTGTATGACTGAAGTTGTGGAGGCTTTTGGTTGTGGTAGTTGAGCGTGGTGTACTTATCACGATAGTTGGATGACCAAGTATCGGCGGATGCCTCATGATATTCTTTCCGAGCGTCAATGATGCACATTTTGGGTACTGATGATCTCCAAACCCTTCTCCTACATACTAGCTACTTAATTACCCCGTCACGCGAGCTTGACGCGTGAGAGCCACCCAGTGTGAATGGCGCCGGGCATGAGGTGACCCCACCAAAAATGCCAGTGATCTCATTTGTAGACTTCGGTGTGAGGGATCAGCAACTTCGCTTCTCCAGAGCACAACCAAGTAAATATCAAGCTTCACTTTCACCACACTCACCCTGCACAAGGTCGTCTCGAACAACAGCTGCCACGATGCCTGCCCCCTCGCAGCTCACCATTGCCACGAGCTCTGTTCTTCGCCTGTTGAAGGAGGAGATCACCTACCACAAAGAGCTCGTCGACCAGGAAGCCAAGATCAAGATCCTGGAGGAGAAGATCAACAGTGGAGCAGTCACATCTGACGACAACCAAGAATTCATGCTCAAGCAGGAAGTATGAGCCCGTGATGTACCTTCTTTGGTGTGGCGGCAATAGCTGACCGCCAACTAGCGAACTGCGGCCGAGCAGACCAAGGCTGTGTTTGTACCCCTGAAGCAGAAGATTGAGGATGCCGTGACAAAGTTGGAGGAGCAGATTGCGCTCAAAGAGGCAGAGGGGGGCCCCGAGGCGGAAATCGAGCAGGCGAAGGCAGTGCTTGGACAGGCTAAAGCGGCCATCAACTGATCGTACAACTACCACAGCTAGGGACGTGACACGCGACGAGATACCAAGAAACTTGTCCGCAAACTTGTCCGCCTGGGGTCACGGTCTCATGATTTATCATTGAATCGAGCAAAGGGTGCAATAACTATTACAACTGTACCGCCAAACGCCATCTTGTGCTATGCATCAGTCGACCTCCATCTTGTCGTTGGGAGGATCAGCAGCAACCCGCGGTGTTCCGACCTCAGTTGCGTTGCCGGATTCTTTGGGCTCGTCCATCTCTTCATCCTCGACTTCTTGCCGTAACGGCGTGGGCTCGCGACTAACGTGCCTACTGCCGTGCTGGAAAGATTGACCGTCCCCAGGGTGCAGGTGGCTGCTACTGTTGCCGGCCTCCACCGCAGGTGTAGGCGCGTTGGACGCCCCAGCTGGCATGGGCGTGTCGCCCCCCTCTTTGGCTTGACCGTCACTCTCAGGACCCGGTGTGCTGGTCCCGCCCTGTTCTGGTCGAGGTGTATTGGCGCCTTCATCATCTGCCCCTTCGTTCATGCCCTCGCGTCGATCGACCTCCTCCTTCTCGTCGCGGATCTGCCTTCTTAGCATCATGCCCTCGTCCATGATCCTGTTGAACTGGTCGCGACGCTCTCGCCATGTGACAGCATATGTTTCACTCTCCTTCTCCAGATCACGGCACTCTTCCTCTAGTTTCTGTAGATTCGCGAGCTGCTCCTCACGTGGTCGCAGGAGACGATTCGAGGTGATTTTCTCGGCCATCTCGTCAAATTTCTTTCTTTGTGCTAGTGTCGCGCGCGCGCCCTCCAACTGTTCCCTCAGAATGCCATTTGTCTCTCTCGCCTGGTCGCACTCCTTCTTGATCCTCTCTTCGTCCTCGGCATAGCGTCCTCTCTCCCGTACGTTCGCCTCGTGGAGGAATTGTAGTCGCAAGATGGAGCTGTCAAAGTGCGCAAAGTCTAGGGTGAAGTCTTCCTTGATTTGCTGCGCGGTTCGCGGCGACTGGAGACTGGGCTGAGGCGTGATCAACGAAGGCAGTTGTGAGATACATTTCGGTATCCGTTGGAACGGCCGTTGCTCGACGAGAAGAAGACGGTCTTTGTGTAATTCAGATTCGGCCTCGGGGTTGAGCGGCTCCCAGGAAGTCATGATGGCAAGGCGCGCCGGTCGCTGTTGAATATTCTTCGCTCGATTGTTGAGTAGAATGCAGCCTTGATGCACCAGGTGTGAAAAACGATACGTAATTGACGGTGAGGCGATTCGAAGCTGAGATTTGTTTGCACTTGAATGAATATGCTAGGCAAGCGATCTAGTGATCCGAGAAACCCTTTGTTGGCGTTACAATCCTCAGCCTTGTCGAGGAAACCAAGCTCATGAGCAGGTGAGCGCACCAATCAAAAGAATCAGATTGCGTTACTAAGCCATTTTCGTGACCTTCTCACACCCTGCTATTATGATGGCACGACCAACCCGTCACTGCAATTCTTGACTCACAGTTCTCTTTCCCTTTCAAATACTGCGCCAACCGGATAACACAACATGTCTAATGAGGACCAGGATCTCCTAGCTCGGATCGGGGAACTTGCGGGTATGCGCTTTTGAATTTACGAGAATGGCGCGCATTCAATGTAACTGACGTATCCAGGCCAAATCAATCGTCACAAGAACCGTCAAGCAGCGACACAGCACTCGACACCTCACGCGCCGACCCATCGACGTATGTTCACTTCTCCCTTATACACGCTATCACTAAGAATACGCACAGACAACACATACCGGCAATCAAGCGCACCATATCCATCGAGAGGCCGAGGAGGCTACCGCTCACAGCCACACCGCCACCGCACGCTTACCTTCAACAGGTCAGGCGATGATCAGGCTGGTGACAGTTCAGCGTCGAACTCCTCCGGTTGGGTGGCCAGGAATGATCGCCATCGACAGATTGTCAACCAGAACGTGTTTGAGAAGGATAAAGAGTCACGCGCCAAGGCTATCGAGGAGACACGGAGGAAAAAAGTCGACGGCAAACGCAGCGGGGAGAGGGCGCGGTTCAACAACTTCTACAAGCACCAGAAGGCGCTTACCGGGACGAAGAATGGGCACAACAACCCTACCGCTGCCCCGAACGAGCTTACTGTGGAAGGAATTCGGTTCCAAGTTCTGGATGGCGGCAAGAAATTAGCGCGAGTCCCAGATACGTCCAACCTCGCGCCAACCCCAAAGAGCACCACCATCGCAGGGGTCAAGTTTTTCAGGACAAAGACTGGCAATCTCGTTGCCAACAGGATCGTCCAGGACCACCGGTGCGTGTGCCCGGCTGGCACGCAGAACACACTAACGTTGAATAGCCGGTCCGGCAAGGTCAAGAAGACTGACACGCCGTGCAGGATCTTCTCTTCGTCTGGTAATTGCTTATCGCGCCCATGATCAGGGGACCCGCACGCCACAGGAGCGGTGAGTGGTTCATGTGCTGACTCGTCTCTAGGTTCATGCCCCAAAGGGCCTTTATGCCGATATACACATGACCCGAACAAGGTTGCACTCTGCAAGGAGTTTCTCCGTGAAGGGCGCTGCGCCAACGGAGACTTGTGTGATCTATCACACGAGATGTCTCCTGAGCGTGTACCGAACTGCGTGCATTACGCCAAAGGAAATTGCACCAAGGCTGAGTGTCCCTTTACGCATTCCCAAGCCACACCAAATGCCCCTGTTTGCAATGCTTTTGGTTTCTTCGGCTATTGCGACAAGGGAGCCGAGTGCACAGAGCGCCACGTCTTTGAGTGTCCCGACTTTAGCAACACAGGTCGTTGTAAACACAAGGGGTGTAAGCTTCCGCACCGGGAGCGAGCCAGCCTTATGCGAGGGCAACAAAAGCCCGACGACGAAATGGATGATGTATCCAGCGACGATGACGACGCCGGCTCGGATGATATTGACTCTGATGCCGTAGCCGAGTTTATTGACGCGGACTCTGATGCCTCGGAGATTGAAGATCGACAGGACTTTATTCGTCTGTGAGCTAACCTAGGAAATAACTCCAAGGCTTAGGGCTTTATTCAAGCACCTGAGACCGGGTCTATGTCTTTGCATTGCATCGCAACCACTTTGTTCAGCGTCGCGTCGTCGCCCTGATGTTTACTCTCTCCAAGATATCCACGCGCGAGGGGCAGAAGGGTGAAATGATAAGCAAGAAGATCAAGAAAGAAGAGCAGAGAAAAAACAGAAAGAAAATAGTTCAGTCTCAGTAGCATTGCGTACTTACGGAGAAAATATATCATGATTGCGAGAGTACCTTACAGTGCTGTACACGTACAAATCATCAAAGCCTGTGCTATTTTTGGATCCAGGATTAAGACCCCTCCTTCCAAGTTCCAACGTCATCAGTCCCCTCCCAAGATTACGCATGGACGACCTGGACGCAGCTCTGGTCGAATGATGGCCCGACGGACACGGAATTGGCGACATTGACACTGCATAGCAACAACTCGACTGGCGGCGCCGCTAGCCGATGATACGCACGGAGACGACCACTGGGCGCAAGAAACGGACTGGACCCTGAGGTGCTGAGCCTGGTCGATCAGCCTGGCCCCTCGCTGAGCGGCTACAGGCTGACGTTGCCACGTCTTTGTCCCTGGCATTCGTCGGGATAGTCACACATCAATACTCGCTTGCCAGTACGTTTATACAATCGTCGGCTCCATCATACCACTTCACTCCTCCCCGTAGCGTGCGACTCTATATCGGGCTGCGCGCATCGCCAAGATGGGGCTCCGCGACATACTCAAGAAAAAGGACGACATCAACGCCCACGAAGATCAGCAGCAGCAGCAGCAGCACCAGAATACCAACATCCCCGAGCTGAGATTAATGCGCACCGACACCGTTCCTCAAGATGTGGCCGAACCGTCAGCTGCCAATGCCAACCAGAGCCACCTCGCGGCCAAAGAACCCAACAAAGCCCGTAGGAGTCTCGACTTCTTTCGACCGCGCAGTCGTTCGCGCAGTGCATCCGCCTCGTCACAAGTTAGCAACAGTGAGAAACACGCACACAGAGACTCGGCAGGCCGTCGACTGTCGCAACGACTGCATCTCGGCGGCCGCGAGCATGATACGTCGGATAGTGTCCCAGAGGACCTGCCGGAGATACGCACTCCCCTGGGCGACGTTGATGAAACGGAGTGGGAGAGACGCGCGACGATGCTAGCGGGACAGAACGAGCTGGCTCGGAGTCGGCCACAAACACCTAGTGATAGTGGGAGGACCAGACGCAAGAGCAGCGTGACCCCTGGGCGGTCGGATGAACCGCAAGCGCAACAGCAGCGGTCGAGTCCTCGTAGTCGACCCCAAACATCGCAAGAAATTGACGCGGATATTCAAGAGGCCATTAGGTTGCACGAGGCTGGCGACCTAGCACAGTCGACGAGTATGTTTGGGCGACTGGCCGACCCCAACGGGGCAAATAATCCCCTCAGCCAGGTGCTGTACGGGCTCGCGTTGAGGTAGGAGGCTCATCGGTTCTGTGCCCCTCCAAGATCTGGGCTGACAGGTTGTAGGCATGGCTGGGGCTGTACGCCAGACCAGGCGGGTGCAGTTCGTCATCTGACGGCGGCTGCATCCAACGCCGCGTCTGTTGAGCAACTTGCTTTGCAGGCAGGCATGACGAAGGGTGGTGCCGCCAAGGGGGAGTTGGTCCTCGCCATCTTTGAGCTGGCCAACTGCTTCCGCCACGGCTGGGGCATTGAGAAGGACGCCGTTGCTGCGCAGCGATACTACGAAACTGCAGCCAATTTAGGCGACACAGGTATGTATTGTCAACCGGTGGCGAGCACTGTCATCTGAGCTATGAGCTGACCTGCGAAGACGCCATGAACGAGATTGCTTGGTGCTATCTGGAAGGGTATGGCTGCAAAAAGGACAAGGTAAGTGCATATACATCCGAATCACGGGGGAATTTCCGCATGCAGACCCTGATGTGCTCCTTCGCGCTGTCGCATACCTCTCCGCATGAATGATCGAGGTTGGGCATCAATGCGTCTGCGGGCGTGAGCCAGTCGTTGCTTGACTGTCAGATCGTGAGGCTGACATGCCGCTGCGCAGTTCAAGGCCGCGCAATATTACAGGCTCGCGGAGAATGCAGGCAACAAGACCCTGGGCAACTCATGGTACGTGAGCCAATTCGATGATGAACCGGTGGACGCAACAGGAGTGCACGCGTAGGCTGGGTACAACCTGCTAGCACGCAGCGTGCTCCTATAGGCCTGCCTCACGATATCAGTCACTTTTCGCTAACCTGCCGCCCGAATAGGATCTGGAAGGATAAGTACAACCCTGAGATCGCGCCTAAGAAGTAAAAGTCCAGCCTCTCACCGAGACTGTGCTGAGACCCCCTTTTTCGCAAGCACTGCTCCGCGGGGGGCCCCATAGATACCAGTTTGATGCAGCTCCTCAATCAACACTCAATGATCACAATAGGTATTGGGATTCATCCTTTCCTCATACGGTTGAACCTCAGTCAGAAGTCGCCAGCAATGATAGAGCAGTAAACCTGATCATGAATGCAAAGCCACCTAGATTTTGAGACACACTGCGACTCCTTTTTAGCACATACTACACTTCCACCGAATCAAATGCATCACCTGTGCTCAGCGAGGGCGTCGAAACCACGACATGCACGCCGCGGCTACGTCGCTCCCGAGCATTGAGTAAGGAAGAGTGTCCCAGCAAGGAGGAGGGTGACAGAAGCCGGATGACCTAGATCACACCGGCATCCTGCCCCAATCAAAACAACGCCACGCACGCCGCTTTTACGAAAGTAAACATCGACGTCCTCCCATGCGAGCCTCATGTGGACATGTTGACTTACGGGCGAACAAGGAAAAGCCAGCTGAGGAGATCAGTCTTGGGGAGAGAAAAGATAGTATGATTCACACGTCTGCAAAGCCAATGCTATCGGAATAATCCTACTCCTCCAAAGGGGAAAAAAAAAAAAAAAGCCAACTGCTCATAAAACCCCTATATCACAAGAAGATTTCCAGCCAGGTGTCGAGGCTTGCTCACCAAGCTCGTCCAACCATCCGCCCTGTGAAGGGCGGGAGCGAGGACAGACTCGCTCAAAGTGAGACTAACAAGTCCTCTCTTCACCGTCAAACGGCATACACAGAAGTGAAAAAAAAGTAGTTGGTTCGTCATCGTTCATGTCCATCGTGAGAGAGTTTCAATCTTTCCTCCGCAGAAATGTCCCCCGTAAACGGGAAGTATCAATGTTCGTTCGTCGTCATGATCCTCCGCTGTCGCCTCATGTCACCTGTCTCGCCTGATCCCATAAAAATGCAGAGTTTGAAAGGACAATAAAATCACAAATCGCTCGCTTGCTGAAGATCCAGAAAAAAAGCTGTCCGAAAAGACACGATCCCTTCGAGATACCACCGAGGGGGGGTTTTCTGCGAAGAAAGGGCTTCGGAGAAAGTATTTGAATGTAGTCCATTTCGTTGCGTGAGCAACAACAATTCTGGTGGTTTGCGCACACGTGTGGACCGCGAAAAGGCAGTCGTTCAGAAGCGTGTCGTATCGTATTGTCGAAAAGAGAGAGAAAACAGATAGGAAAAACATTAGAAAAAAAGGTTCTCAGCCGTTGACTGGTTTCGTAAAGTTCGTTTGTTCATGATATCTCCTGAGCAATAGGGTAGTGATGCTGATGCTGTTGCTGTTGGCCATCGTGTCGCTGACGCGACCCGGAGTTGCTGGCGACAACATATCTCGCAAAGTCCTGGACAACCTTGCGAGGAATCTGCTCCCAAAGCAGCGAGCGTGAGTACACGTCGGCTACAGCGTCCTTGGGCGCGTCACTGAGATCGACGGCGGCAAGAGCATCAGTCATGGCGTCAGCAAGGCTGCGGCGCGGCCGATGCTCCAAGCCACTGTTGTCAATGTAATCGTCGTCCTGCGCGTTGGCGTACTGAAGAGTGGACAAGGAAAAGATCTGCTCGTTGGTCTGCTCGACGGTCGGTTGCACGAGGTTGTCCAGCATGGACGGCGACACGGTATCGGCGCCCACCTCGGGGACGGGCATGCCAGAGAGAGGATCGTTCCAGGTGCCAGAAGCCTGAGGAGCAGCAGGGACCGCCTCGACGGTCTGCGTGCTGACGCCAGCATCCTTGAAGACATTGTCGAGCAGGTTAGCAGAAGCAGAGCGCACAGCGTCGGAGACGGGAGGGATAGCGGGGGCTGATTGCCTGGACAGAACGAAAGCGCCGACAAGGAAGAGCATGAAGAAGAAGTTGCCGTGTTGCGCAGTGCCCTTGTCGGACGTGACGACATTGTTGGCTGGGCGAGACTTGGGTGCCTCGGGCTTGACTTGGGGTTGCGATGGGTAGTTGTCCCCAAACGAGTTCACGTCATCCCACCCATGGACAAAGTCGTTCATGTGATCGAAGCCGCCGGTGGAAGGCTCGGGGATGGTCGATGTTGGAGGATCCCCCTCGATACGATGGACGTGCTCTGTAAGTACGGCAATCTTCTTCCTCAACTCTCCAGTCTCCAAGGTGTGCGCTGCGATGAGGTTGTCACGCTCCGCGGAGAGCTGGGCGATGTACTCGGTCGCATCCTGCTTCTCCTTCCACATGTATTCAACCTGCAAACGGAGCTTGCGGATCTCGTCATCTTGCTCGGTGACGTAGTCGGTCAGGTGCTTCCTGTCGTCCTCGAGTTGCGCCGTGTGGGCCTTCTTGCGGTTTCGCGAGTCGAGAGCGGCTTGACGGTTGCGGAGGAGGCGCTTGAGGTGGCGGTAGTACTTCTTGGTGTCGGGGTCCTTCTCGTTGTCGATGATGCCGTCAATGTTGTCCGTGGTGAAGTTGTCAGGGATGTCGACGCGCGCATTCTTTTTGCGGATGCCTCCGCTGGATGCCTGGACAGGCTTCATGGGAGGTGCCTTCTTGGGTCGGCCCGCACCTGACGAGCGAGACTGCGGGAGCACTTGGCCCGGTGTTCCGGAGGCGGCAGGGGCGATGTTGGGTCTTTGCTGGTTCTCCTGGCCTGCGAACACGTTGCCGTGAGGGTTGAATGCGATCGCGCCGTTCACGAATGGAAAGCCGTTATTGTCGAGCATGAACTGACCGGCTGGGAGCATCCAGGGATTCGACGCATCAAAGTCCGCGGCGTCGTTCTCGTCAATCGACATCAAGCCCTCTGCAAACTGTTGTTGTTGCTGCTGGGTGAAGAACGGGTTGTTGGAAGGCTGAGATTGCATGTCCACGGCAGACCAGTCATCTGCTTTGGAGGCAGGCGAGAACAGAGGCGTCCCAGAGACGCCAAAGTTGTCTGAAAGAGCCTCCCCCATTTGGGGCGAGTGTTCTAGCCCAGAGTCCATAGCGCTGCTGTCAGCAGCTGCCTGCTCAACATCGCCATCGTAGTAGCTGCGCGGCAACTTGGTGTCTACAGACAGTCGTGTGCTGTGAAAGGCCAATTGTTGCTGTTGAGACTGTCTTGAGTGATGGCTTTGCTGCGACAGTTGCTGCTGCATGGTGGGTGCATATGAGGTGGCCATGGCACGCGGTGAGCTGTGAACCAGGAAGTCAAAGTGCTTCAAGTGTCTAAAGCCGGTATTATGTTAGTCCGCCGGACGATGGACGATTGATGTGTGATGAAGCACGTAGGCAAGTGATATCTCTGAGAGCAGTGGATGTCGGAGCACCCACGAGGAACAGCAGGGGACGATGTGGTGATATACAGTCGCCCAAGAGTCTGTGAATCCTCATTGCTTGTTCAGTGCTGAGCAACACACGTGCGCTTCTCCGTGCAGCAGTCCCGAGCGCAAAGATGCAGTGGGTTGAAGTGAAGGTTGTAAGAGAAAGCTGGTTCTCAACTTACACAGCAGACGCGGACTCTTGATGCACAAGAGGTGTGTCGCTTAGATGACAGTACCTAGCGGAGAAGTACGGAAAGAGAGGCAGGCTACTCGCACAGGACGTAAGGCGAGCGCAAAGCAAGGTCGTAAGTCGTCGTTCAAAGTCGTTGGTTTCGTAGTCAACAAAAGAGACCGTTCAAATATTCGTCAAGGACAAAGAGGGGCGGGGGCAATGAAGACAAAGAGGTGATAAGTAACAAAGGCTGACGGCACGAACAACGGGGAACGAGACGAAAGCAAGAGAGAGCGTGCGGTGGTGATGGTGATCTGGCTGCGAGAAAAGCAGACAGAATCTCATACGAACTCGCACGGAGGGTGGTTTGTTGGGTGGTTATCTTTGGTGATAGAGGCGAGGCGGTAAGGCGAGGAGGTGGGCGAGGACGGTTAATGTAGGTGGCCGCGGCAGGGCTGCTCTCGCAGTCCAGTCTCCAGGTCTCTCCTCTAGACCCCATCGGGGACAAGCGGTGCAGCCTGGGCGGGTACCGCAGATACTGCTGGCCAAGGGTACATGGAGTACGCTGGTCTCCAGTCCGTCCGCCTCCCATTATGCGGTCAGTGGGCTCTGCTCAGGTATCTCCGAGTCTCTGACTCAATCTGTCTCCGTCTATCGCACCGGCCCGGTACGTAACTTGTTAGTGCTGCGCATAGATCGACTGTCAAATCCTGTCCGTAGACAACTTTTTTATGTTTTTTGTGGAAGATGGATCTTGTGCTTGGCCTGGGAGGCGCGTGCAGTCTACAGAGGTCGACAGGTAAACCATCAGGAACAGGTGCACAGCTGCTCCCTTCACCAGGTCGGGCGCCAATCCGGCGTCATCGTCATCTCATTATCCTCCTCTCAGGCTCTTGGAGGCCATTTCAGCCGGCCTCCAGTCTGGTCTGAGAGAAGTACGTAGTGATGGTGTGGGCGAGGCACGGCTGTCACTCTCCAGCAATGAGCTTAGCAGCAGGGACGATGAATGACACGGCATCGAGGCCGACCCGGCGGAGATCTGGGACAGCAGCCCATCATCGGTCGCACAGTCGACCCATTCCAGGATTTCCCTGAATAGTAGTAGCAGCCACACGCACCCTCCTGCTCGCAGTTTGCAACAGAGGACCAGAGGCACATGCGCACCTTGGCTAGCCCCCATTTGGATACATCGTCCCCCATGTGGTGCGCGGGTGGAGAATCAGGGCTCGTCATGCCCGATCTCTCGTATGAGCAGTGCTGCAACGACGCATCCCGCGTGGCTTTGCAAGTCCAGTCCATTTTCGTTTCCTCTGGACCAGTCACTCTCTCCATCAGTTGACCGCTTTTGGGGGTCCAGCTCCTGGCCGTATGGTCGGCTTGTTAGGCGCTGTATCAGATGCCTCCACCCCGGCTTAGCATCCCTATGGCTGTCGCCATCAATGTGCCAGTCCAGTCCACTGGCGTGTGCTTTGAGTCGAGAACCGTGGGAGCGCGAAACCCCACGTCCACAGGCAGCGAATTAGGGACGGTCGATGGGAGGTCTGCGTGACTGAAGTGCGATTAAACACGGATTGGCTGCCAATTTGGGCAGCCAGAGGACGAATGGGACGTCTGTCTGTTCAGTGTGCAGACTCCAGACTCCAGCGGCAGACCCTCCCGAGAGGGCCGGTCAAGACTGGGAAGTACAGCAGGGACGAAACGGAAGACTGAACGGGAGTTGGGTTGGGCACAAACGGCCCATCCATCATCGTCCGTCTGTGCCCAACGCTATTGCTGACTATCCGTACCTACCGTACCTTACCTTTCGATTAGCTTGAGGTAGAGCTACCGTAACAGAGGCTTTCGGAAATGGAGGACCGTACTAGGAGAGGCCCGTCGCGGGCCAGCCCGTGCGTGTCTTCCGACTACAGTAAATACCTTATAATTACTACAAGTACCGTACCCAAGTGCGTACTTGTACGTACAGTCACGAATGTATTTACAGGCACTACCCCATAGTTGACATGTAATATCTGCCGACAGCGAGCGCCGAGAAGTGACTGGAGGCCAGTGATGAAGAACGCGTGCCACTTTGTCGTCGTACAAGAGCCATCATTGCTTGTCACAGGAGCACTGGGCAGGCAGCTAGGCCACCATGTGGTCGCTCATGCTGGGACTGGAGCCGAGGGCACAGGGACCGTCTCCAGTGAGCGAGTTTGCGTGCAAGGAACCAGATACAGATGTCTCCAGTCTCCATCCACTGAGTCCAGTCGCAATGGCAGGTGCAGGTGCATGTGAGGCAGGACGGCGGATGGATGCAGCGGGAAGGGACCGCAGTGCTAGCGTCCAAGTATTCATCAGTGGTGTTGATGGCGGAAAGGCACGAGAATGTGTATCAGGCTACCTTACTGATTAGCGCATGCAAGCCCTTCGCACCTGATCTATTATGGAGGCCCCTCTTGAGAAGAGGGTCTCACAATGTTATTAATCCGTCTCACTGTCTCACATCAAACCACCTTTCAAGTTAACGACTGCTACTATTAGTGCCAATTAAGGTGCGACGGCAGCTTCTCCCCCTCAGACCTCTTCGACATGGCCACCGCCTGACCAATCCCTTCCCAACCTCAATGTCGTGATCCCTTTTCCCTCGGCGTTCAGAGCATCGCCCTTCGAAGTTTGACCCTCCGGTCCCTGTCGCCAGCAGGTCACTCGCTCCCTTCGAAGTAATACGCAGTACGCACCCCGAGGTAATACTCGCCCAACAACAACGCAAACAATGAGAGCCTGTTCACCAGGCCCAGTTCTCCTGCGCGTGCACGCGCGCTCCCAGGCCAAGAATGCGTCACCCAACCATAACGTCAGAGAGTCTCAGCCCTTCTCCACTGTGCTCAGAGGTCGCATAACGGCCGGCCGGCCACCCTCAGAAGTGTCGGTGTGTTTCGCCTTGGCTCTCTGTAATCGGCTTGAATCGATGTCTGCTCGCCCATTCAATCGTCGTCGAGTGCGGATACAGTAGTCGTGACGCGTTTCCTGCGCCTTTTCACGTTGGGCACCGATGCAACCTCCTGTTCAAGCTCGGCGGCCCTGTCGGCTCGACTACTCAACTCCGTCCCCGAGCCCGAGGCTGCGCTCTATGAGCCTCATCATCCTTCCTATCAGTGGCTCGATGGATAGTACAACATTGGCTTTGGCTGGGTGACCCTCGGGTGACGCTCACCATTGTGGGAGCTCAACAAGGCAGGGTTTTGCCCTTGAACTTGGCCCAATCAATATCCCAGGGCGATTTGTGGCACGTCATGGCTTCAAGACACTCAACAACCGCTAGATGGCTTTGATCTCACCCAGCAACAACACGCGCACAGTGGCAGAAACTAAGAAAATCCGGGCTCTAGCACTGAACGAGGATCCATATGCTGTTTCTAGAGGGCCCAGCCTCCTGACTTCTCTGGAAAACTCGATCCGTACTGGTCGGGATCAGAATTGCGGTCAACAGCTATCATCCACTTTACTGGGACCCTGATCTTGGATTGGCCGCGCAAAACAAGTGACGATCCGCGAGCAATCAAAACAATCGCGGGGAGAAAATATTTCAAGCCGGCGCCGTGTTTTGAACCATGCATTGACAAGTGTCATGCTGTCCCATGCGAGCGGGCAGGCTGCGTTCGGCGGTGGGTCTCGAGGTGACAAACACGCAGGAGAACATCGACACATCTTGTTAGCCAGGTGCTAAGGCTGACTCACAGGGCAACCATATTGCGATATCGCCTTCAACCTGCTGGATGGCTGGTTCCAGCTCGACGCGGTGAGGTCGTTGTCATGGCAGTGACAGCCAGAGTACGCTTGATTTCTTGACCGCCAGATACCAAAAAGGTGAGCTACACCCGTGGCACAAATATAGCGGATGACATTCTTTCTACTTGATTCCAGCTGTAGAGGCACGTCATGTTTGTACTTCAGACAGGATAGGGGGTCCCGTCTGCGAGGTCTCAAACGGCGACTACCTATGCCAGTGGTCATCCTCCAACGGGATGACCCTCTCGATCTTCGGTTTCTGTGCCACAAGGAGATTAAACTGCCGATGCAATGATGGCGCCACGCCTTTTCCACGTAATATCGTCAGCGCTCGTCGTCACAGCTCCGACGTCGAAGTTGAAACCTCGATATCGAAAGGCTGTCAGCGTTCTACTGGAGCACACGCTGGGCATGGTAATTTGACTCGCGCATGCTTTCTCAATGTCACTCACTTGACAACTTTCGGCCTCGGCCCGGTTCGGGGTTGCACGACATCAGTTCCCGTCGAGCTTCATCTATCTAGAACAGCCGTCGTATGTGAACGCCGATTGCGACACTTTGTCGCAAGCCTGGCCGTTCAGAAGCATTGCCATCATCAGGGTGCCATGCTCCTCTTAAATGATGTTCAAGTCTTTACACTTAGTAAGGAAGCAAGTCCTGACCCTCGCCCGCAAGAGATAGAAGTTCAAGTGATATCACACGGGACACTATTACCCCAATCATCACCACAAGTAGCAAGCTGTAGCATCGTAGTGCGGGCGCCATGTGGTGCCGCCCGCTCGCTTCTAAAGGCTACAGCTAGGTAGCACCCGGCAATTCGATGGACCTTCACTGATGCCGGGCTGCTGTGGAACAATTGCACCCGTATGTTCATGCATGACTGCATAGATGATACATGGCTGCGTAGAACGACGAATGCGGGTTTCCCCTTATCGTAGCTGACGAGGAGCACAGCCGTGCAGATTTCACCTCCAAACGGAGTCTGGCGGATTTTCCTTTCGGAGGGCAGGATGGGCGTCGGCTCCAGGCGCTTCGTTGTTGAGTACAAGGCCAGCGGTATAGCGGCTGTCAGGGGAAGACTACCCCACGGGCATCACCTTGTTGATGGTAATGCTGCCTCTTACCTGGAAAGCTATATTGTCATGGTCATGATATACCACCGTACACAAATGGCGACGAGGACCGTCCAGCGCCTTGGAGCACTCTCTCCGGAATCTGGAAATTTTTCGCCGTGCATCAATCTGCGACTGGATTGTATCCTGTTGATATGAACATGACCTATGGACCTTTGAGTCTATCCCCTGAATCATACCCCAAGCACCTTACGACTCCCTTTGTTTGACTATGTGAATCGAATGGAAATCACGCAGCCCCAAATATGGTACCTTTACATACAGCTTTTCACAGGGAACTCTGGCTACTCCCTCACTGTGTTGGGAATCCAGCCATCTCAAGCAGACGCTGGCCGGCCTTGATGTTGGCATACTCGTAAGCCTTGGACTCGGGTGGGAACGTCCCGTTGGCCGCCCACAGGTCGATCAGTGGCTGCATCGGTTCAAGCTCCGCCGGCTTGAGCATGTCGAGCGCCGTGGCCGTGAGTACAAAGTGCGAGAAGCAACTGTTCAGCTGCTTCTCCAGGTTCAGGTGGTAGAAGGGCTCCGCGAAATGCGCCCAGTACAGGTGTGCGTAGACCCGGAACATTTGCCGGAAGATCATCTGGCAGACGTCCATGAACTTCTCGGGGAAGCCTGAACGCTTGCCGGGCCACTCGGGCTCGCCGGGATTGGAGAGCTGAGACAGGGGTGTGGTGGTGATGGACGGGTTGTGGGCGTACGAGATTCCAGAGGGATCCGTGGGGAACATCTTGTCGTCGTCAATCTTGCCCGAGATCCAGCGCTGCATGAGCGTCATGTATTCATACGCTGGGAGCTCGACAGGCTCGCGGCGGCTGTTGAGCCACGTGAAGGAGTGGTTGCTACATTGCCGTGGTGAGTTGATGTGGTTGAGATGGACGGGGAGAAACGGGTTACAACTTACGACCCGGCAGACATGCGAGGGCATGTTGTCTGGTTGCAGATGGTGCTGCCGTCCTCTTCCTTCTCGTGGAGAACTCGGACAAAGTTCCACAGCAGACGGTAATGATCCACGACTAGGCAAGTTAGACTTGGTGTTGCTCAGACCATTGGTAGCATGTGTTCGATCCTCACTCACCTTGATGTGCGATCCATTCGCCAGGTTCCACCGTCTTGGGCCGCGCGCTCAACGTCATGAAATTGCCTTTGACAATGTGCTTGGCGTACTGGGGGTTCAACCATATGGGTAGCGGTCTGGGAAGGTGGTAAGAGGCGATAATCTCATCTCCAGACATGTTGCTTGTGTCCTCCACGCCAATGCTCTGGGCCAACGACGGTGAGTTGGGAAGCGGTGATAGCTTGGGCGCAAGGCTTGTGGAAGATTGGCTGGCTTGTGAGAGCGTTTCTGGAGAGTTGATCTGGCCCGCAGTTGAGGAAGCGGTTGGGCTCTTTGACTGCGATGGTGGCTTGGCCGAGCCTCCACCTCTGAAGCGAGCGTTGCTGTACGTTTTGTCAGTCGTTGCACCGGCTGATACTTGAGTAGCAGGCATGGTGGGTGATGGGTTTGGCATCTCCGCCCTCAGACGTGTTCCACTATCATAGTCTTGGTACAGACGTCGGTCTGGCCATCCTTGGCGGTATGATCACATGCGTCCCCATGATCGCCACTCTGCTGTCCCAGCATCCACGTGTAGGCTCCGAGGAGGTTAGTGATGTGATGAATACTCACATCCCGGAAAAGAGGTTCGACATGGTATCGGTTCAACCCTGAAAGACCTGGCAGAGAGGGGCAACGCGAATAGCCTCGTGAGGGCCGTGCTTTCGATCTATCGTTGAGCGTGCAGAACCAATCGTATTCCTTCAAAGCGAGGAGTGCTAGGGATGTAGTCGCAAAGTTGATGAGTGAGAGAGAGCAAACAGAAGTGAGTGAGCGGCCACTGGAGTCTGGAAGATCAGAGACGTATGCGCGCGGGTGGCCCCTCCTCTCTTTGGCAGCAACCCCCTGTGGCTCGCACGCGACGTCTCAGCGTCAGTCCAGTCCCCTGAACGGACAGCGTCTGTTGAATGGCGGTGGTTTCAGGACGTCCAGAAGCTCTCGATCACGCTAGTCATTTGGGGAAGTCTTTCGACCAATTAATTGCCTGCTTCCTGTGGCTAGTGAGCGCCGCGCGCGCCACATTTCAGCCTTTGGCCTCTTGTCGCGAAAGCGCGCCATCAAAGTTGCATCGCTCTCACAGCCAACCTCATCCAGAACTCGCAGCAGCCTTCATTGGAATTTCAATTCTAGGCAACGCATTGCCTCTAATTCTTCTCAGCATACGCGTCAACTTCCGTTCGAAACTAACAAAATGTCCGATTCCGACGAGCCCATTGATCCCATTGACGAGGGCGGCGATGATCTTTTTGGCGATGATTCCGATGCTGGCGACGCGGCACCTTCGCCGGCCAAGCAACAAGTTCTAAACGATGACGACCTTGCCTCTGACCCAGATGAAGATGCGCGACCAAGACAGCGTGGCTATTCACCAGAACAAGGCCAGGAGATGCGCGATGCGATCGTCTTGGATGTCACCACATATCGCCACCCCATACCGAAGCCGAGTGATGGAATCGTTGGTTTTCTCTACGCATCCTGGTCTCTTGAGAGCGCCACTGACCCGTCTCCAGCTTCGGACAATGAAGGTACCCGAGTTTATATCCTTCCAGCCCGAACAGTACAACTCGGAAACCTTTGAGCCCACAGAAGCCGACATTGCCAATGCCAAATCGGAACGGCCACAATACGACGTCCGCTTTCGAAGGGACGAGGCTTCAGGCAAACTCGTTAGCAACACCAATATTCTTCGCTGGAGCGACGGCTCGGTTACCATCTCGGTAGGGGGTGAGCAGTACGAGATTTACAGGAAGCCACTCGCTCCAGCGCCAGGGCAGCCATACAATGCGAAGCAGGATGCGCACCACTACGCTGCAGCTGCGGAGCTCAGCAGCAACCTATTGATGACGGTGGGCCACATCACGGAGCAGTACAGCGTCCGACCCAACAAGTCCATTGGTGATGAAGCTATGGCGTTGCTTACGAAGCGCTTGGCCGCCGAGAAGGGAGGAACTGCGGCCGATATGATCATCCGACAGACCGAAGACCCCGAACTGGCCAAGCGCAAGGCTGAGCAGCTGGAAAAGGAAAGGAACAAGGCACTCCGGAAACAAGAGAATGCGAACGCGAAACAGGAGTTCGGGTTGGGCCGCTCCGGCCGTGGCGGTCTGTCCATTGGTGCTCTCGAGGGCGCTGGCGGCGGCAGGAAGAGGGGTGCCCCTGGCGCGAAGCCCAAACGCCGTCGGCCTGAATATGACTCGGATGACGATCTGCCCCAAGGTGTAGGACGCCAGGAGAAGTATGATTTGGAAGATGGCTTCCTGGTCGACAGCGACGAGGAGGAGGAGGGTTACGACGATGGTGATGACATCTTGGACGATGTAGAGGAGAAGCCTAGAAAACGGCACAGGACGGAGGAGGCATCTGAGGCAGAGGAAGACGCCTCGGGCGACGAGATTGAGCCCGCGCCCGAGGCAGCATCACGGAGCAGGCGTCGGAATGTTGTTGACAGCGACGATGAATAAGATGGTTGGGATCTGGGTACATTTCTTGGCGTTTGAATCGTCCTCACGGAGCATCTGGTCAATGGTAGCTTTTAATAGTAGTGTACACTGGATAATCGTGTTGCTTGAGGTTGAGTCTCTTTAGGTGGGATATGCTCGGTGCTATCATACACAATGTGAGCTGAGCAACATGCCTGCTATTTGAGAGTCATCCTTTTCCAACGTTCTGTTCACAGGTGATGTATCTTGCTCAAGCGATACCCATGGCAATACGCAAAGGCTTCTTGGGGAGAAGCACTAACCGTCACGAACGGCAGAAATTGGGCACCCATTGATCTCAACTCTATCATAAAATTCAACGAAGTCCTCTTTAGCCCAGAATGATATAAACCAAGTCAGATTGTTCTCCGATGAGTGACAAACCCATGCTAAAGGTAACTATGTAGTATACTGGTACAGGGTAGCCAGAAGATGCCTGGACTCGGTCACGGGACCATGTTGGACCCACCTGCAAACCTCCGAGTCGAAGTCAACTTCTGTGCAGCGATCCCGAAAGAATTTCTTCCTCTTCAACAACGCAACACGGTCTCAGCAATGACGCCTTTCAGCGCATTGCACGCCTGGCAATTCGATCCACACGACGCTAGGCTAAAGGCTCGAACGTTGCTAGACCGAACTCATAGCCGCTCGTTTGAGGGAGGCCGTACTCACTTCTCAGTGACGGCTTCCTATGGTTTTATCGTGGCTACATGCACTCACCCTACGAAACAATGCCAAATCGACCACGTGACGTGATGCCCATGTATACTGCTACACCTGTTTTGATTGACACTACCAAATCTACCTGCTAATGATGCTGTGTAGCGCGCCTCATGGTCTCCTTCGCGTTCCTCAACCAAACTAGGCCCTGGGAGGCAGAACGGTGGGCACTGGGCCACGGGTGGTCGTCCTGGGCAGCTCGGGCACGGGCTCGGTAGGGAGGCAAGCGCAAGCGCTGCTGACTCTGGCGATGGGCTCGTTGCCCCTGTTCTCAGGGCAGGCCTTGGCGGCGTAGTCTGGCAGGAGGCCCTCGTCCGTGCGGAGGCGCTGGGTGAAGTTGCCGCAAAACTCCATGGACTCCTCGAGGCGCCCGTCAATGTGGCTGGCGCGCATGGCGCGGAGGCAGTTGTCGGCGTTGCACTTGGGAGCCTTGGGGCACTCCTTGCTCGAGAGCTTCACGATGAAGGAGCCACGCTCAATCGTGTGGACGAGGATGAAGCCGGACTTGAAGTAAGCGTAAGAGGACCACGAGCCCAGGAAGGCGACGGTGCCGCCACCCTCAAACTCGTCGTCCTCGGGGTGGATGTCGAAGAAGCCGACCTCGCAAACGCTGTCGCCAGTGGGGTCCTCGGTGACACTGGTAATGTCGTACACGTTGAGGCCGTTGCCGTAGTTGGACTGGTACAGCAGACCGTCAACGACGTACTGGTTGTGGTCAATGGAGCGAGTCTTGCCAGCGAACGAGCCAGTCCAGACAGGGTTCTCCAGGTCGCGGATGTCAATGATGTGGGTAGTGGGCAGACCCTGGCTAAGGGACTCGGGACCCTCACGGGCATCACGCTCGTCGAACTCGTCGTCGAGGAAGAGGTACTCTTGCCACTTCTCGCTGTTGACGACACCCTGGTGGGAATACTCGACACCGGGGTACTCGATTCGAGAGATGATGTTGGTGGTATTGCCCTTCTTGTCGGTCACATCGTAGATGGTGACAGAGTCTTCGTTGTAGCCGTAGCAGATGTCACGGCCGTAGTAGCGCTCGTCAGGCCCACGGTACACGAGACACTCGGCGTCGTGGACGTAGCCGTCGCCGGCGGCACAGCCAGGGGAGTGCACGTTGGCGGGGTCGTCAATGTCGAGGAAGATCAGACCACCACGGCAGGGGAGGTCGTCACGGACACGAATGGTCTCGTTGCCGCCAACAGAGCCAACAGCAATGGCATAGTTGAGCTCCTGGTTGACGACAACGTTGTGGGTGCGGCCGACGGGTAGGTAGTCCCAGAAGGGAACGGGCTCACCGGTGGCGTCCTCCTTGTCAAGACCCCAGTGGCCGTCAAGGTCCTCCTGGGTGAAGGTCTTGGGGCTGGCAGGGTCGAGATCAAGGACCTTCTTGAAGTCGAAGAGCTGGATACCGTGCTTGATGGCCTCGGAGCCAATGACGACCATGTCGCCAACGACACGGATCTCGCGCCAGTTGGAGCCGATGCTGTCGTACTGGGGGAGTCGGCCCAGGTAGACAAACTTGCCTTCCTTGCTGATCTCAGCGAATGCGGTGCCATCGTACTGGCCAATGGCAACAAACTCGCGCCCGTCAGCAGAGGTCCAACCCCAGGAGGATGATCCGCGGCTAGCTGAGCTGCCGAGCTCGGCGTGGGACAGGAAGTGGTAAAGATCGACCTGGGACGAGTCAGCGCATTTGAAAATGCTCATGTGGCGTTCAGACCTACATTGCTGCATCGGAAGGTGTTGCTGGGATCCCCGGGGATAGCCTCAGCAAAGCCATTGACACAGGGTGTGTAGCCAAGTTCGGGATACCGCGACGAGTCCATGAGACCAGCAGCCTCCTCCTCGGCCCATTGCGACTGCAACCGTCAATAAGAAGCACCGGGATGGGGTCAAATGGCCCTAGTTACCATCTTGATGTCCATAATCTTGTGGTGGACACGACCAGAGGCATAGTCCTCCTTTGAACCAGCACCGGCGGCGCTGCCCATGCCCACCAGGGCAGAGCCAACGAGGCTCACGGATGACAGACGGACCATGTTGACTTTGACGTTGCACCACAGCTCAAGGTCGCAGGAGCATATGTTGATGCAAAGGGGACCAACACATCGGGCCACAGCCTCGAGGTAGAGCTTGTTTTATATACACGTCCTTCCAGTATGTAAGTGCGACCTACGCAATCCTGCTGTTTTGTCTCGACCTTCCGCATCTAGGCGCCGTTCCCTCTCGGCATCTGCAGCTGTGCAAGTTATTACTTGCTTCAAAAGACTCTAGAACACGTCCCGTTGGGCCTTGGTCTTAGGAAGCTGGCGAAGCCGTGTCCATGGCGCCCACAATGGTCGAACGGCATTGGACCGGCAGCGAATGGCGAGATAGACTCAAGACTCCAGCTGGTGGAAGCGGAGATCTGCAAGGCTTGGCAATTCTGGGGTCAGCATGAGCTTGCAGAATTGGAAAGATTCCATTTGCTAGCCTCGGAGAGCTTGGTTGGTTTCCCCCTCGCACAGCCAACCACCTTCCTGAACCAGAAGGTGGTTAATTGCTTGGTTGTGATAAACTTGCATAAAAGGTGTGCCTTATTTCAACCACGGCTGGCTTCGGCGAGGGGTACCTTGGAGAATCTCACTGTTAATCAAGGTAATTGAGGGGACAGATGAGCAGGTCGTCCATGCTCTACGTACAGGCGGACATGAGTGATGAGTACTCCGTACGGATATTGGGGGCAGTTGCTTACAAGTGCCCAGCTGTGTCGTATGGGCTTTGTGTATCCGAGTGTCCTTCGCCTCGTATTTCATGAGGTATTGCTATTTTTATCAAGGCATAGTCGATGACATGGAGGAAGAAAACAGCGTCATGGTAGTCGAGCAGTTACCAAGTTGCCCTCCTCACATTACGCATTGCGGATTCTTCCCTATGGGCTGGACATATCGATCGAGAAGCTCACGCCAGTGCATTGGGAACTTTGTGCCCTGTCCTCGCGAAACCGCCGAGTTGCGTCTGACAATGGGAGAATGCGGTTCGACCAAACCTGCAAGTAACAATGGTATAGTATCCGTCGATTTTGAGAAACTCCAGGCTGCCAAGTATATCATAGAGTCGACACAAGAATATTTGGCAATGTCTGGCATGAGTTTATTCCTCCAGCTTCTTTCACCCTTCAGAGACCGCTTCGATTGCCGCATGCCTCTTGCTTCGATTATTGATCGAAAAAATGCCCACTCCGAATGCTAGGCAGTCGTCTTGTAGGATGAGTGGCAGAGTACGAGTTTGGTCTTTCCGACCGTCATCAGAAGGGATCCACGTGTAGAAGCTAACGAAAGGGAGCAGTGACCAAGACCGCGTGTGATGTTGTCTCGGGACGCCACGGTCAGCGTTGATCAAGAAAAGTGATTGATAGTATTCATATGCGGATTTAGTTTGCTTTGATAGTCTCGGAATACATAAACACAGACTAGTTTCATGATGTCTTTACCTAGGTTTTGATTTCAAGCAGATGCGCATACGACGACTAGGGAAGCCACGCATAATCACATTTAAATGAGATTTGGAGGACAAGTAGAAGTGCAGCCTGTTCACTTCAGAACTCACTGTATGTTACTCGATGAAGTATAATGACGTGTGTTCGGGGGGTGGGAGGCCATTCATCAACATTAGCTAACACATATGTTGGTTTGATGTCCGGCTCACGATTAGCAACGGAAAAGAATCTGGTCTTAAAAGTATATACGTGCAATCAATGTAACAACGAAGTAAATGTGCCTCCAATTTGCGTGGGTTGTTATTGTAGATGGTCTATGTATCGTAACGGCCCAGGGAGCCTGGCATTCATTCATGAGGACATGAAGCTTCAAACTATATGCACTTGGGCAGCCCACGGTCGTCAGCACACTTCACGATAGACGCGGTAAAGGCTGTGACGATGAGATGGAAATGCATGGCGTCAGAGTATTGATTAGCAACTGAATGGCCAAAATGCTTTTGCGAGAGCCTCCCCCTTATTTAATGTTCTTTTGCGAAAGTGCGAACTCAATTAGGGGCCAATCTTGAACTGTCACAATGACCGTTTTGTAAGTGGCTTGCTTCTTCATCTTCTTCATATTTATGATACTGGCTCATTATTGACAACATGGGGCCTATGGCTGGCATGTAGGCTCGATAATCAACCGTAGTGCGTATGAAATCGAAAGGAGCACAACTACTGCTCTGATGCTCGTGGGCCAACGTCACTGCCGCTGTGGAACACCCCATTTTGAAGGAGCAAAATTAAAATTGTCTAACATGGACTCCGATTGCTGATCTCTTTTTGGGCTTTGGTCGGCAGATAGAAGCCATCTTTGCCAGAGGCCGGGGCGAGCTCTTGCTTCTGGTCAATCGGATTCTTTGGTCAAGCCTAAACTTCTGACACATCGCTGAGGCGAGCCACCCCCAAAGATCCAGCCATCTTTGAGATTCTTCTGTGGCGCATACTTCAATTGACCACCGAACGAGATTCCTTCAGCGAGAGCAACCAAACGTGAGGCGGAATTTGAGGCGTCGAGGCATCTATAAGTTGTGGGCAAACGATATTGTCCACCATGTTCTCACTGCAGGTTTGATATCTGGGCAAATGTACAACCAGTTCGGCACTCGCAGCCTGCAGGGCCGGGGCGGGCGTGTGATCAGCTACGTAAGTCGGTATTCATGAATCCTTTGTCTCGACATTCTCATGGTCAACCCTGCACTGACTGACACTGAGGACAATCACCAAAGGTTTGACACTTCACGAGGGGCCATTTTGCGTACAGTTGGCTCACAAGTCCCACTGCTACGTATAATCCTCCTGAATCTAACCGTTCTACCATCTCAAGTTCTCGGCTTCGATCTCTTCCAATTTTCGTCAGGCGATCCCCACACATGATACTGCAGTGCACGGGAATGACAGTTCGGCAAGTGGAACCCTGCATCAGCTGGGCCAAACCCCACTAAAACCACCAACGACAAGACCGACGACTGCCGAAAACGGCAGCTTAGCGCTGCCGCTTGAAATCCAGCCTGAAGCAGCAGATTGGCAATCAAAGGAAGAACTTGGTGAGTTTCAACAAACATTAGAGAATTATCAAGTTCACGGAGAATATGCCCAGAGGAGGAGAAATCGTCGAACTACTGTGCAAGAGATTGGGCTCTCCTTAACGTAGCCTCCATCCCAACACCAGTGCCGAACGCCAGGTATCCACTCCTTAAAGCAGCAACGTCCCTGGTCCCTCCTTCCGCGTAACCTGCCACGCGCCAGAACGGTGACATTTATTTTCCTCTCCTGTGCTCCCCCCAGCAGTCCTTCGTTCTCCAATCTCTCAACTCACTTGTGTCTCGTACGAAAATGTCGGCACAGGACTACTATCAAGGCGGCGGCGGCCCGAATCATGGACCGCCCCAGGGCTATCCTCAGTCTCCTCAACCAGTGAGTCTTCTCAAAGGCCGCGCGGCCCCCGAGAATGCATCAAACTACCAAAACCCGTTACTGACCATACCAGGCGTACGGAGGCCCGCCTCCCCCGGGACAGTACAACCAGTATGGACCTCCTCCAGGTAACTACGCGCCTGGATATCCCCCGCCTGGCCAGTACCAGCACGGTGGACCACCTGGAGGGTATGGCGGTCAGCCGCCGATGCAGTACCAGCAGCAACCACCTCCATCCAGGGGTAGCGGTAATGCCAAGTCGCAGAGGAATTGTCTAGTCGCCTGTTTGGCAACCATCTGTTTCTGCTGCGCCGTGGAGGAATGCTGCGAGTGCTGGTGAGATCTCTACAACCGGTCCGGCGCGCTCAACTATGCTGACCAGTGATATAGCTGCTCGTGCTGCGAATGTTTCTGTTAAAGAGTGGAGGAAGCTTCGAGTTTAGAAGGCAGCATGATCCATATGCAATGTGGTTGGCTGTATTCTAATCGGGCGTATTGGGCGGTGCACAAGGGTAATAACGCCGACACGTCGATGCTAGACAGCACTTTCATTTACTCGTTACCAGAAGGAGAAGCGATTGATCTATTCGACATCATTTCAATATTCAAAGGTACGATAGGAGAACTTTGGGGATGCGACAGTCAAGACATGGGCCTTGGTAGTGGGAGGTATCTTACATTGTTGGGAGTCTGATGTAGCTGCTGGCTAGGCCAGAGATGGCTCTACATTGCCACGCGAATATACGCAGTCACATACGAGGAAGCACGCTGGATACCAATAGTGATGTCTTGTACCGCACCTCAAATGCAAAATGCAACCATTTACGCCCGCAGCTTCACCGAAGTGTTCACCAAGCATCTTGTGGGAGAATCATGTCTCATTCCTTGTTTTTGGTAGTTCGCATCCATCCTCATCTGACGACAGCCGCCAACCCCTTGTACGCAATCCCGGCGAGGTCGAACGAGCCCAGACAATGCCATCAATGATCACAACCAGCCTTCAAAGGGTATGTGGTGGACACCTGACGGCCGAGTCCACACTCGCCCTGCCCGATTAACAGCCGTGGTTTCGTATCGTGGGTTGGAATTTTGACGTCTTTGTTTTGAATTGAATGCCTCTTTGTCACAAAAGCAAGGCCATCTTCTTTACCCTCGCCTCGACCAATGCAGCCAAATGAATACCGTCCGCACTACCAACTCCAGCCCGGTTGGGGCTTTTGCAAAACCCATTGTTTATATCGAAGAGGGGTACAACATGACGCGGACCGAAGCACCGAAAGACTTAGAGGGAAGGGGGTTGGCGAAGCGGGCACGGACGACGCCAGAGTTGCCGTGCGGCCGGGTGACCTTGCCCCAGATGACACGGTGCTTGGAGCCGCGGACCTCCTTGTGAGCCTTGTAGATGTAGGCAATGCGCTTGCCGAGGTAGAAGCTGCAGAGCCTTGTTAGTCCCGTTTCGATTGCCCGGCTTTACATTGCTCGTCAGTGGTAACGTACTTGGCAGCCTCAGTGTTGTCAACACCCTCGATCTGGATCAGGCTGATGGCGGGCTTGGTGGTGTGACGCGAGCGCTTGTAGCTCAGGTGGCGTCCCCTGTTGATCATCGTCAGCCCTTGTTCATTGAGATCGTGCCCTTCTCGTGTCTTCCAAGCGGGTATCGTGAAATGTCCAGTCGTGCACCGTCGGGTCGGCCGGTGATGGTCGCATCCTGAGGGGGCAGAAAATGTAGCAGTGTATACTCACTTGACGTAGACTGCATCATGTTAGCACACTGTCCGAAATAATAATCGCCATTGAGGCATCACGACCAATGTCGCGATATCTCATGTTTCGCGATGGGCAGGGATAGACTCACGGCGGTGGCCGGCTTCGGAAGGCATCTTGTCGGTATTATGGCTCTTGACCCGGGCTGAGGAACAAAAGCTGTGATGTGGTAACGTCTTAGCGAAAAGACCTCCCTGTTGTGTTAATTTGCCGTGTCGTTGATTGTCGTGATGCGCAGCTGAGGACGAGTGGATGCGATTGTTGGTGTGCGGCGAGTAGCCCGAAAATTTGTGCCCTTACCGTCACGTGTGCGCCATTAGGGCAGATTGGGTGAGTAAGCTGAAATGCTGTGGCTGAGCTCGTCGCGCCAGCCACAGCTCAGGACCCCGCGGTCCCCACTCTACCGCTGGCGCCGCAGCGATGATGCTGCACTGCGTTCCCGACTTCGGGGAGAAATAATTTGGGGGACTACGTAAATCTATATTCAATGAGAACTTGACTGGCAAACCAGGTCCTTCTCAACCTCAATTAGCCTTCTGTTGGCTAATTTTTTTCCAATTGGAGACGTACAGTCAGTGCACCGACTTAATTCTGGATCAACAACCGGAACCAGAAGTATCACCCTCTTAGATCAAAGAGCGACAACAACTGGGCCACCTCCAAGATGACGACCGCGCCTCTCAAAATCGGTCTGTTGGGTGGTGGGCAGCTCGGACAGATGCTGTGTGAAGCCACCAATCCTGATGGCTTTGAAGTTGTCATTCTCGACGCGGAAGATGCACCTGCCAAGCGTATAAATGGCCACAAGGAGCATGTGACCGGCTCTTTCAAAGATGCCGCCAAGGTTCGGGAGCTGGCGGAAAAGTGCGATGTGTTGACGGTCGAGATAGAGCACGTCAACACTGATGTGCTCGAGGAGGTCGCGACAAAGGGTGTGCGAAGTGCCTCTACGGGCGAAATGAGGACAGTACCTGTCCACCCGTCTTGGCGCACTCTGCGACTCGTACAGGACAAATATCTGCAGAAAGAACATTTCCACCAAAGAGGTGTGCCTATCGCGAGGCAAATGGCTCTGGACGGTGATCTGGACTCACTCAAGGCGGCTTACGAGGCATTGGCGTTCCCCTTCATGGTCAAGGCTAGGACGGGGTCGTATGATGGTCGAGGCAACTTCAAGGTGAAGGGCCCTGAAGACTTTGCCGCTTCCATAGACGCACTCAAGGGATTGCCGCTCTATGCAGAGAAATGGGTACCCTTTGTAATGGAGCTGGCTGTCATGGTGATTCGGACTGAGGACAACGAGGGCAATCTTCAAGGCGTCCACTCCTACCCGGTGGTCGAGACAATCCACGAGGATGATGTCTGCAAGACAGTGATCATGCCCCCGCGCAAAGTAGGTGCAGATGTCTGTGCCAAGGCGCGTCGAGTCGCCGAGGAGGTCATATCAAGCTTGTGGGGCCGAGGCGTGTTTGCCGTAGAGATGTTCTTGTTGGAAGATGGTAAGTATTGTTCAGACGGCATATCTGCATACATGGCTAATCTCCCCAGGGACGATCATGGTGAACGAGGTTGCCCCCCGGCCACATAACTCTGGCCACTACACCATTGAGTCTGTTCCCAATCTTTCCCAGTACAAGGCGCAAGCGCATGCGATCATGGGCTACATCCCTCCTCAACTAAAGATTGAGCCTGCGGTTTCCAAGGCCATTATGCTGAATATTCTCGGGGGTGCCCTTCCGCACTCTCACGACCGGCTCGTCCATCTCGCACGAACAGCGTACATCGAGGGTGTGAACATTTACCTGCATCTGTATGGCAAAGCGTCCAAGCCAGGTCGTAAGATCGGTCACATCACATTCACTTCATCCGCCGGCGTGGACCTCGAGCAGACTATCGCGCCTTTCATCAACGAGGTCGACAAGATGCGCCTCGACCGCATCAACACGTCCCCAACGACCATGAGGCCCTCTGCCGGTCCTTCAGAGCCAAAGGAAGCCGAGGTCAAGTCGTCACGCAACCCCAAATCACCTCTTGTCGTTGTAACCATGGGTTCCGACTCTGATCTCGGAGTCTTGTCCGCAGGCTTGGACATCCTTGAGAAGTTTGGCGTGCCATACGACTGCACAATCACGTCGGCACACCGGACTCCGGCGCGGATGACTGAGTTGGCGCATGGCGCTGCTGGAAAGGGAGTCAAGGTTCTCATCGCAGCCGCTGGAGGTGCTGCTCACCTTCCTGGCATGCTGGCTTCTGAGACCACCGTGCCTGTCATTGGCGTGCCGATCAAAGCTACCCACCTCGACGGTAATGACAGTCTCCTGAGCATCGTTCAAATGCCTGTAAGTAGAGAGAACCATTTTTTGACCAACAGAAGCTGACACAGCACCACAGCGAGGCATCCCCGTTGCGACAGTCGGGATTAATAATTCCACCAATGCGGCTCTGCTTGCCGTCCGCATTCTGGGCTCGTACTACCCCGAGTACCAAGCGAAGATGGCCAAATATCAGGAGACGATGAAGGTGGAAGTTGAAGACAAGGCGGCCAAGCTTGAGAATGTTGGATATCAGACTTACTTGGCGGCGAAGGCGAAGAAATGAAGGATGATACCCTGCGTCATGAGGTAAATAGGCACAACAAAGAGATCGCTGTGGATTGTGCTTGCTTGGCCCCATGAGATCCGCGCCTACACAGACAGCTTATGTCTCATCGTGGTATTCGCATCTACTCGACTTCATTGTCTGACTTTGTCGAATTGACTGTAATAGGTATTTGAACCAACCTTGCCCAGTCGCCATGCACAAGATAATATTGTGACCCAGCCGATGAACCAGCGGGCGACCGATCTCATTGTAGTAATAGCGTGGGTGGACTGGGACCAGAGCATATCAAAATACCGCAGCAACAAGAGCGAAAGGTGGGCAGCAAGTTGGGGAGCTTTGCCGGTGCCTTGTCCATCATCCTGGGGACCTACAGGCTGCGAGCTTTATGACTGGACCGGCAAAATCGATGGCGACCCAAGGTAGGCTGACCCTTCGAAGTTCGGTGGGTGACTTTGTATTTCCAGTGGGAGGACGGAGGAGCATTAATTACAAAGCAGTTAGATAAGACCAGTATCTGCATACGCCAAGGACTGTCATTACATGACTTGGTGAATGAGGGGCACCTAACGTACGCACCTACGAGGAGAGGCAATGAGTGAAATCCGTTGCAGTATCCGCGATTCCGCTGCGTTATGTCACCAGTCCGCTCATTGCTCACCGAGACTTCCGGCTGTGAGGCAGGCGGTAACAAGTTAAATCTTACGGATAATTGACTCTAAAGTGACCACACGGTCTATGAATCGCTCTGATGAATCTGAGGCGCCAACGGGTCGTCATTCACCATTTCGAGGCGATCGGCTGGTTTGGTTGACTGAGCTGGATCGGCTCGGGGTTGAGGCGCCTCAGGTTTAACGCAAGAGAGAAAGCCGCTTGACCCACTGCGAAGCGGCGGGGAGCGGCTCTCGTTGGACAATGTCGCGACAGCGACGTAACTTGGGAGGTCGCAAGACGGACGGTACGCCGATTGCGGGCTTTACGCACGTAACTTTAGGCGAGAGGTATGAGGCGCGTGGAATAATGTGTGGAATGCACCTAGAGGCTCATGGATGTGGATGCTGCCAGGCAGCTGGGGCCACTAGCAACCGCTGGCTCCGTGTCGTGTCCAGAGACTGGACTCCAGGTGCCCTGCGCCCTGGGTCCTGGCGCAACTCCTTCGTCATAAAACTCAAAGTCATCATCCCGTCTCCAACAGCCACTCCTCCCAGAACTCCAGTAACCTCAACACCACCTTCGTCTGTCCCCCTTTTCTCACCAGCTCGACGCTTTCTCTCTCGAGTCTGCTAGACAACTTTTCTTCATACAGTTTCATTTCTGAACGGTTGTCGTCATGGAGCAGAGCCCAGCATCGTACGTGCCCTCCGCCCGCGAACCCCCACCATCCATCATCCATCCACCTTGCAGTGCTTTTGCGAGGGGCAACTGGCGACAGACAGATAGCTCCAACCTCACGTCATCCCCGCGAGCATCGCCAACAGCACCTTTCAGCGCAAACATGCTAACCACAGCCGTGCCAACAGGACCATGGAGCTCAAGGATAACACAGTTATTGTGGTCCTTGGTGCCTCCGGCGACTTGGCCAAGAAGAAGACTGTGAGTCTGCAGCACCACCCATCCGTCTGCTCAGTATGTCATCGTGCTAACCGTGCTGCAAATAGTACCCCGCGCTCTTCGGCCTTGTGAGTTGCTCCTGCCGCTGCGTTGCACAACGTTGTCCAGACCGAACGAAGAGGACTAATGCAATGTGCAGTACCGCAATCAATTCCTGCCCAAAGATGTCAAGATCGTTGGATATGCCCGCACCAAAATGGACCATGAGGAGTACCTGCGCCGGATCAAGTCGTACATGAAGACACCCACCAAGGAGATTGAGCAGCAATTGGAGGACTTCTGCGGCCTTTGCACCTATATCTCAGGCCAGTACGACAAGGATGAGTCTTTCCAGGCTCTAAACGATCACCTCGAGAAGCTCGAGGAGGGCCGCTCCGAGACCAACCGTGTCTTTTACATGGCGCTGCCTCCCAGTGTCTTCACAATCGTATCGCAGCACCTGAAGAAGAACTGCTATCCCACCAAGGGCATTGCTCGTGTCGTCGTATGTGGGGCCAGCGAGGGCTTGACTCGGAAGCACAAGTCACTGACGTGAATGTATAGGTCGAGAAGCCCTTTGGCAAGGATCTGGCTAGCTCGCGCGAACTCCAGAAATCGCTTGAGCCCGACTGGAAAGAGGACGAGCTATTCCGCATTGATCACTACCTTGGCAAGGAGATGGTGAAGAACATTCTCATCCTCCGCTTTGGCAACTCCTTCTTGGGCGCCACCTGGAACCGTCAGCACATCGACAACGTCCAGATCACGTTCAAGGAGCCCTTCGGCACCGAGGGTCGCGGTGGCTATTTCGACGAGTTTGGTATCATCCGAGACGTCATGCAGAACCACTTGCTGCAGGTGCTGACCCTCTTGACGATGGAGCGTCCCATCTCGTTCAACTCGGAGGATATTCGCGACGAGAAGGTTCGCGTTCTCCGCCACATGCCCGCCATCGAGCCTAAGAATGTCATTATCGGTCAGTACGGCAAATCGCTCGACGGGAGCAAGCCCTCGTACAAGGAGGACGACACTGTTCCCCAGGACTCGCGATGCCCGACCTTTTGCGCTCTCGTTGCCTACATTAAAAATGAGCGATGGGACGGCGTGCCTTTTATCATGAAGGCTGGCAAGGCCCTCAACGAGCAAAAGACAGAGATCCGGATCCAGTTCAAGGACGTCACATCGGGTATCTTCAAGGATATCCCCCGCAACGAGCTCGTCATGCGCATCCAGCCTAACGAGAGCGTCTACATCAAGATGAACTCGAAACTTCCCGGCCTCAGCATGCAGACCGTTGTCACCGAGCTGGACTTGACATATCGCCGCCGTTTCTCTGACCTGAAGATCCCCGAGGCTTACGAGTCGCTGGTCCTCGACTGTCTCAAGGGTGACCACTCCAACTTTGTCCGCGACGATGAGCTTGATGCCAGCTGGCGCATCTTCACACCCTTGCTGCACTACCTGGATGACAACAAGGAGATTGTCCCCATGGAGTACCCCTATGGTGAGTCTGTTGACAAGCGGCACAAGTCAAACGCTAACATGCGCAGGATCCCGTGGCCCTGCAGTGTTGGACGACTTCACTTCGTCCTACGGTTACAAGTTCAGTGATGCCAGTGGCTACCAATGGCCCACCTCGACTACTCAGCAGCAGAACAACAACAACAACGGCGGCGGCAACAAGCTGTAAGTCGTCACGTCGGTGCGCTGCTGAACAGTATGGCGCGTTCGTTGGCTTCGAATCGCATCGGTTGCCGACAGTCCCCCAGTTGAGCATCAAGCATGTGGAGAAGCGCGCGACGTTGGATCTTACCACAGGTGCCTGAGTATAAAAGAATTGCGGCTGGAATTGTTGTACGTGGGGAGGTCATATTACCATGATGCGCGAGCAAGTTGTCCGAGAACACGCTGTCCTGGGCTCGAATTCAGATAATGCGGTGCGAGTACGCTCGTGGTCAACCTCACATACTGAGCCATGGCAACCAGAGATGCAGTGTTAGCAAATCTACAAGTGAAACCCTCAACCAAACCGTTTCAATCACTGGCAAGGAGACATTTAAATCTTAAGACATCCTACATCCGTGCGGTCGCACCTAATCGATTGCCAAGATGCAGCTGTGGCTGACGGACCCACATACACCGCCCCAGCTTGAACCTGAGGCTCTGAGCCGAGTGTCTGAGCTTTAGCACCCGCCGTCTGTGGCTCAGGCGCAAGTGGCCGCTCTTTGTCGAGGCTAGTGAGGCAATCCCGCAGGTAGCAAGGGCAGTCAAGTCACTCCTGCAACTTTCGCTTCGACCATCTCATATTGGCCAACAACTGCAACCGCTGCTTTCACTTTCCTCCTTTGCTTATTCTTCTCCACACTGCCCATCACTCACCATCTATCACACAATCACTCACTACACCGCCAGCATCAAGCGCCTTTCCGCCTTCCCAACGGCCACCGAACCGAGGCCTGAACCGAGATATTCCCCGGTCGCGTCTTGCGGATCGCAATCGTCATTCTTCAAGGCAGCGGAGAAAGCGCTCTCTTGAGCCTGTCAACTAGACGCGAATCACACGAGGACAACACACCCAGCTTTTTGAATTACCGGATCCCACTGTCGAACGCAGGGGCTGGCAGATTTTTTTCTTTGCCTTCTTCCCTAGACCTTTGCGCGATAGCGACCTCTTGTCGCACTCGCGTCTGCCTTTCCACCGACTGTCGCCCAGTAGTCGACCCGACGAGAATACGCGCGGCCTTGATATCCGATCTACCGAAGCACGACCGCCCCTGTTCTTTCTCCATGATTGGCAGGGGTCAAGTCATAGCACGACGAGTTGCGCCGTAAGGTGCTGGAGAGGGCGTGAACGGGAACATCTCCGGCGGGCAGTTTTGTCCACCGCGTGATGCCAGCTGTCGTCGATATGGACAATGGCATTCAGAATGGCGCGCGCACCGACCATGATCGGAATTCGAGTGCGAACGGTGTCAACGGCATAGTGAAAGCGCCGGCAGGGCACAATGTCGCTACCGAGGAAGCAGGACAGGGCAAGGCGAAGGAACAAGGTTCAGAGGAGCCTGCAAATGATGCGCAACCAGCAAGGATGAACAACCTGCCCGAAGAGATTGCGCATGTTACCGAGGGGTTCATCCCTTTATCTGTGCTTTTGACACGCCTGGCGCAGCGATCGCACAACGAGCTGCAGCATGGCATCACAACTTTTGCCGATATGCCTCAGGAGAACTACATGAAACACAAGGCGATCTTGGAATTTGCGCAGGAGCAGCATGAGCGATGGGTCAAGGCACTCGTCATCACGGACTGGAGTAAAAAGGCTGAGGTGGTCAGCAAGCTGATCGATCTGCGTGCTCACATGAATCACCAGCAGTTTCTCTACGACTCTGCGTTGGATGAAGTTGTCAACCTGAAGAGGAATCTCGCCTTTGCTCGCATACCCAGCCCCGACTTGAAGACGGCACTCCAGGTTTTGTCCACGGGCTCGGCACCATGGATGCCCGACGTTGACTACATTGAGCCACCGCAACTCGGCCCCGAGGACCAGCTCAAGTGGCTCAACGAATTGAATACTCTCCTTTCACTGCGGCTGAACCTCGAAGAATTCGACCGGATCCCGCCACAGTTCAGAGATTACACCATCGCTTCGGGGAGGGTGACTTTTAAGGTGGAGGGGGAGTTCGAAGTGGATCTGACGGTTGCTGATGAGGATCCTGAGCGACAGTTCTGGTTCATCGATTTCCGATTCGCATATCAGCCAGCCCCGGCAATTGTGCCGGAAACCGTTCTGTCTCATCTAGAGGCCAATGTCAACATGGCGTTGAACCGGGATGGCTTGGCGGGGTGCTATCAATTCTTGCACGAATTCGTCTTGACCTGCAAGATCAATGAGCTTAAGCGACAGGCACTACTCTTGGAAAAGACAGCGTGGACCGGCACGCTCAAAGTCGAGCCACTACACAGGGCTTTGGCGATCCAGTACTGGGCAACGCGCTTACCGCCCAAGTGCTCAAAGAGTTGGCTTCTGATTGCAGTCCACAGCGACAAGAAGGGGAAAGCCGCACCCGCAGCGGCGTCCACGAGTCACTTGGAACTGAATTGGTACCGGGATAACGCGGAGGTAAAAAGCGCCAAGATCGAGGCGAACTTCAACAAACTGGAGGTTGAAACCCTTCTGAATTCGGTCATCAGAAGTCACATTGACTACATCCTCCAAGGTATCTACGACAAGGCGTCGTCACTTCCGCGATACGCCAACCAGGAATGCCGCCTTGTGCGCGAGACGTCGCTCGATGATCCTCTCAGGTGCTCCTTGACGGCTCAGCTCACAGGTTCCGTTGAGATGTCCCTGCACATTGAACCAAAGTCAGGCGTGGTCGCAATCAAGCCGCAGTCCAAGTACACCATAGCACAAGAGCACAAGCTCAACACGCCCACCGGCCCCGCGGAGTCGACGATCAACAACGGCAGCAGCGTCATTGCCAGCGGGTTTACTTGTCTTCAAGAAGTGCGTTGCAATGTCGTAGAAGATGAAATCGTCAGGCGATCGTCGCCTCTGGGTTGGCAGGCGATCCGACCTGCGCTGAAGGATGAAGAGATTCGTTCAATCGTCAGGATGCGTGAATGGTTACGCGCGATCTGGTTACGAAGAAGCGGTTGGCCCCAGCACTGGTACCTGGTAGCCGTCTTGAGCCAAGGCGGCGACGACTGGTGGCTGATTCGAGCGTGAGTCTATCGTCATACGCCATCTGATGAAAACTAACTGTGTTTAGGAACGCGGAGGTCAAGGACCGCGTGCAACACTACAAGATCAACATGCCCATGGGCAAAGGAGCGGCCAATTTCTCCGAGCTGTTCTGGAATCGTCTGACCCTGTTCACGACGGCACTAATATCGCAGTATATCGACATGCGGACGTTGCACGCTGCTGGCGTCAAGCATCACGCGAGTGATAGGTCCAGCTTACCGGCAACAGCTGCCAGGCTGCCAGCAATTGACTTGGCGCTGTCCGATATCTTCCCCGCAATGGTGTATAACTTGGCTGAAACATCGGAAGACAAGGCTTCCACGAGCGACGTCGAACAGGATGTCACCCGGCAAGTAACAACCATGGCTCTCACACCAAGGCAGCCGTGGGCGAAGGACGATGTGGTCATGAGGTTCATAACGGTTCAGGGACGCACATATGGGAGCAAACCAGACCCGGAGGACAACGAGCAGCACCTGACCTGCGTCTCGGAAGCCATTATCAAGGTACACCATGGAGGCAAGCTTGGTCGCCTGGAGGGTCGGATAGACCAAAGCACCTGGTACAGTCCCGCAAAAGGAGAATTTGCTCTGCAACTGAGATATCCTTTGGGCGAATCAGGACTGCAGCAGCTGAAGTCTCGCGTCACTGCTATTGACCGCTTCGTTTGCTTCCTAGAAGCACTCGGACAATGTACGAAAACCATTGAGAACGAGCGGGTGACCATGCGGGGCGTGTCCTTCTTCTACGCAAACCCGACTGATGGTCAACGCAGTCAGAAGTGGCGCGTTGTGATGGACTTGTCCAAGGACCAAGTTGAAATTGCGCTTGCCGCGGGCAATCCTCATCTGCGCGTGCTGAACTATCTCAGGAAGTTGGTCAATATTGAAGGGGGCATCAAGACTTTGATGATCTGGCTTCCGCAGTCCCTGCCAGTTTTCATGTCGCTCGAGAACATCAAGAACGCCTGGGACTCTATCGAGGGGAATGGCCAGGGCCGAGCTGCAATTTCTTGCAAGAACCTTGACTGGCTGTCCATCTCGTATTCCATCATGGGCACCGGCAGCGACGGCCAGCCGGTGAGCCGGCGACTGTCCTTTGAAGCAGTGGTCAAGCTGCGAAAGGACGGGCTCTGGTGGCACATTCACCGCACCGGCCATTATCGGGCTGAGGACAGATTTGGCAAGGCGTTGGAACCTGTGTTCGGTCAAAGCAACGGCGACTGGATAGGGATGGGCACTAGTGCTGCCGGCAAAGTCTCACCAGGAGCAGCCATGCTGTTCGACAAGATTGACGAGATTGTCAAGGGGCTTGTTGGCCAATTGCAAGGCGACGAAGGATTCGAGCCTCCGCCGCCTCCTCAGGTCCAGCAGCGACCGGTGCAAGAGCAGCGGCAACAACAACCACCACCGCCGCCGCAGCAGCAGCAGCAGCAACGGCAGAGCGGACAGCCAGTGCCACCGCAAGTGACGCCTGTGCCGATCCCGCAGGTGCCCCCCATGGGCAAGCCGCGCAAGCCGAGCCAGACGAAGACGGGGCGAGCTCCTGACCAGGCGATCGAAATAGGATGAGGTCACAGGGAATGGCAAGGCTCAGTACATACACGCATTTTGGACGTTACGACTCGCATCGAGAGGCGTTAAGGGGGGTAGAGGCCCAGCCGCTTGAAAAGGACTGGGCCGCTCTTGTGGATTAATAGTCATGATACCTTTGAATGCAAGCATGTTAACGATTCGTGCATTGGTACTACAATGGTCGGTGATACTCTAGCTTGGTCAGTGTTCCGTCTATCTGCCGCATGATGTGGTTTTCGAGCGCCCAAATTGAATATAGTACACGGTCAAACTCTCCTTCCCGAGGGCAGTTCCATCGCCGCATCTGGCCAGATTGTCTCTTGGCCGGGGGAGAATTCATATCCCCTTCGTAGACTCTCGGTGTTCTTCTTGTTGACAGACAGGTGGGCGTTGTACCGTAGCATAGGACTATTGTCGGGTACCTTGACAAAGGAGGGCGACATAGCATGCTCGGCGCCATACTCCTCCAGCCCGTTCATGTGGAAGGACTCGTAGGTGAGGTCAAAGGCCATGTCGTAGCCGGCCCGCAGGGCGCCGGCCACGCCCGGCTTGGTGAAGGAGCCGCCAATGGGGGCGAGGCGATTCTTGAACTTGGCCTGCAGCGCCTGGTCGAGCTTTGTGATGCGCTCGGCGTGGCCGACCGTGTGCTGCGGCAGGCAGTCCTTGGCGAGGTTGGCCACGGCGTGGCATGGTGTGTCCTTGGGAATGCCCAGCTGGCGCTCCAGCAGGTTCTTGGCTTGCTGGATCGCCTCCTCCTCGGTGGGGATAGGGTGGCCCTCGTCAAAGTAGTGACCGCCCATGAGGACGAAGAGTTTGGTCCCGCGCTCTGCGAGGCGCTCGCCGTTCACCTCAACGCGGCCGGCGCCGACACCAACGCCGGAATCGAAGAACACGCCCAGGGCGCGCTCGGGGTTCTCTTCTTGCGGGACAGTGTCGGGGATGAGATAACCCAGCCCCTTGGGAATAATGTCCTCGTATGGATACCAGACGTTGACGGTCATGACCGACACGGACTTGAAGTCCTCTAGAGGAAGGGTCTGTTTGGTCGCCTTGTGCAGCTGCTTAGCCGGGAGAGCGGATATGACCTTGTCGTAGGGCCTCGCATTCTCGCGGTTGATGACGACCTTGTCAAACCTCTCGCGGTAGGCAATGTCGGTGGCCGGGGTGCCGAGCCTGAGCTCGACATTAGGCATGGACTCGAGAGCATCGACCAACATGTGCGACAGCGTTTCCATGCCGTGCTGCTCAAAGGACACCATGCTGCTGTTGTCTACGGAGAACAGCTTCATAAAGGCCACGCCGTCAATCTCCGAGCCAATCCTCTGCCAGAGCCGGAATTCCTTGGTAGGGACAAACGTGAAATCGTCGTCGCGACTCATGGGCGCCGGCCAGCCAAGCATGTGTGGTGCCACACTCCACGCACTCAGGTCATGGACACTGCCCCCCCACACGCCGTGCACAATGGCGGACATGAGCGTCTCGCTGAGGACCTTGGAGCCATATGTGTTTTCGAGGAACTCGGCGATGGACATGTCCCTGCTGGGGTAGGGGGTGCGCCGGAAGAGATTCTTAAGGTAGCCGGTGATCAGCGGTAGAGCGACCTGGCGCAAGACGGGGTTCTTGAGCGCATCAATGATGGAGCAAGGCGGCGCCGCTGCCAGCTGATTTTCGTGCAGTATCCATCGCGGTTGCGTCCCATCCAGTGGCGTGAGCGGTAGACCAAAGTCGCAGAGCTACATCAGTCAGCCAACGATCCCGCGTGGTTTCTGGCAGGTATTATAGGTGGGCCACTGACTAGCTGGTACAAGATCAACCTGTCCATCCGCCCGCCCGTCTGGGCTGTCGACATGGAGCGCGGCCCTCGCTCAAAGAGCACCTGCGTCTTGACGCCGCCCACGTCGACGGGTGTCTTCTCGGAGCGGAGCCACCCTCCCCATCGCGAGGATGCTTCGTATACCGTGATCTGCGCCGGTTTCTCCAGTCGTTTCGCGAGAAAGTAGGCCGTCGTGAGACCAGTCAGCCCGCCGCCCACGACGGCAATGTTGGGCGCCTCTGGCACGTCCCGGGCCTTGTGCCCGGTGTTCCCCGAACGGCAAGCGACGCCGAGACAGTCCGCGTAGCTATAGAAATCACAGACACCGGGTGCCGACGAGTAGGATCGAGCGTGCGAGCGTGCGAGCGTGGGAAGACTTGCTGGAGTAATGGGTCGTCGTCGTATCGAGCGGACGTTGGAGTGGGCGCTGGCGTGGATCGCGAGACGACGACGCCCTGCGCGGTCGCATGCGCAGCGCGGGTTTCTCAAGGCATGGCTTGAGATCCGCAGTGCCTCGCAATCAGCTCCGGCACGTACCAGGCTCATGGCGCGGCGTCAATGCGTGGGATGGTATCGGTGGCGGCTGGGTTGTACGTAGAGTTGAGGATCAGGCGCGGAGTTGGGAGTTCGTTCCTCTATCGCGGTACGCACCGCCGCCATCCATGCCGATGTGGCCGTCATCGTTTTGATATCCGCTCATTTATGTCACATCAGTTCCTCATGTCTCACAGAATTCACAGACGAGCACCATTTTGTAGTAGCGGAGGAGTATATGTATTGTCCGCTTGGCAACTTTGGCCATTTATCTAAGTATACGCAGAAACCTCCCTCCCCCCGATAGACAGCGAATACATACGCCCAAAGCGCCGCTCAGTTTGCCCAATTTTCTTCATGGCTCCAATCTTGTACACCTCGCCGCCGGCTGGGCTCGCTGCACATGGCCGGCATTATACATTTCTTCTCATACACGTCGTTACGGCCGGACCACCTGACCTAGGTGATGACCTCGGCGTCCTTAGCCCCAGAATCATCCTCCATCGCGTTGCCCTCGGGCTTGACGAGCTCTGGGTTCCCACCATCCTCCACAAACTTGCGATCGCTGACGTCCTTGTCGCCCCCGGGCGTCCACACCATGTCCTTGAACCCGCCCTGCTGGCCCTCGTCGTGCTGAAAGGGGCACTTTGGGTTCTTGCAGGGGTTGAACTTGCACTTGGTCTTGACGTGTGTGAACTTGCAGTCGGCCGTCGTACAGTCGGCCCCGTTGCGGCACAGGGGCATGCTGGGGTGGCGGAACGGGCAGCGGTTGTTGCTGCAGTTGGGCCAGAACTTGCAGTCCTGCTCGCTCTGGTGGGCGAGCTTGGTGGCGGGCGAGGGGTGGCGGCCGACGCACTTGAAGTTCTTGCAGGCGGCCCCGAAGCTACACACGTCGGACACGTCGATCTGGGCACCGCGCGGCGCCGCCGGCGACTGGTGCGCAAACTTGCATTCTCGGTTCGTGCAGTTGAGGTTGTACTTGCAGACGGTCTCCTCCGGGTTGGGAGGTTCGCGCTTCTCGCCCGACATGTCGACGTCGCCGGCCTCGCCACCCTCGGCATTCGCCTGCTCGTGGGTACTGTGGTGGTGCTGTCCGTGACCACCTCGGCCGCGCCTGTTGCCGCGATCAAATTTGCCTCCGCGTCCACGATGCCCTCCGCTGCTGCTGTTGTTGCTCATGATTGTTTGTTGTAGCTGCATCATCATCTGGTTCTGCTGCTCGAGCAACGCGTAGACATCCATGCCAGGCGCAGCGCCCATCATCATGTTTGGGCCGCCCATGCCTGTCGCCATGCCGTGCTGGATGTTGTTCATGCGGTTGTTGCCCCTGCCTCCGCGCATCGCACCGCCCCGTAGGCCGTTGCGCGAGTGGGTGTCGATGCCGCCACGACCCCGTACCCGGTGCAGCGCCTGGTCGCCTGTGCGGTCCATGGCTTTCGATACGTGGCCGAGCATGCGCTTCTCCCGGCCGCCTCTGAGGTTCCCTTCTCGCAGGGCTCGCGGTCCAGTCGGACTAGGTCTTGTTAGCGACTTCGTTTTCACGCAAGCGGGACAACAGGGGGTAAACATACGCAGAGAAACCAGGGCCGTCGTGGGCTCCCATGTCCGTGTCCATTTCGTTCGACGGCGCGCCACCGTCAGCCGCGTCCGCACCGTTGCTGTCGGCGGCTTCGGGCTGCCCGTTGATTTGCGCATTCAGCTGTGCCAATTGCTCAAACAGCCAGCGCGCAAAGTCGTGCGACGTGGGATCTTCAGGTGGCAAATTGAGGAGCTCGCCTGATAGCTCAGCGGCAATCTGGTTCTGGTCCTTGCCGTTGACAAGCATGAGGATGATGTATTCGGCGAGAGCAGAGTCGTTGCTGTCGCCGGCCCAGCCGACCTCCATGAGTTTGGGCTGAACGGCGGCGGTCAGCGCGTCCGCCAGCGGTGTGTTGAGGGCTACCTCGACAGGCATGGTCGCGTTGTCGGGTGCGTGGTATGGATACAGTGTTCGGGTCGTGACACTGGGTGCCGTGGCGAGACTGGTTTGGTCGACCGCGTCTGGCACGAGGAGGGAGCGGTCGGTCGAGCAGATGGACGATACCGTGTAATAATCTAGGAAAAGTCGCGCGTGTGCAGAGGCGGTGGTCTGTTCAATCGAATCGCCGCGTGCACTTTTCGGGGTATCAAGGGCGCTGTGGCAGGATCGCGTGTTGAGGTTAAGGTTTAGGGTGGTTGGCGAGATTTCTTATCCACCTCAGGCTTTGGCTTTGTCAGTCTCGTCAATGGCGGTCCTATCTGAAGGTCACGTGACAGCCGTCATGCCTCCTTTGACGCGTGCTTTGTCTCTTCCTTCTGTCCATGCGATGACAAGGTGCTTCGCCCAGATTGTGACCAGCACACAATCGGCACCCTGCGTTCCTGGCCATGGAAAGCTCCCTGAATTCACAAGCAACTGTGTGGCCTTGTCTTTCATAGAGAAGGAGTCTGGAGGACCAAACGTCCGATGTCCGACGGTCACGTGCTTGACAGCGCCTCCTTGCCTTAGTCAGCAGCCATGCCTGTTCTAGCGGCTTCTCCACTCTAATACGTCTTTTGTTCTCCATCGAGCTGTGGGTAGTAATTAACTGATCACCAAGTTCACGCCGCCGGGTGACGCGGGGCTTCAATGCCGAATTAATCGTGCAGACGCCAGCGGCGGCAGTCCAATCGCAGGCCGACGCGGCCACGGCACCTGGCAATGGGGGTTGGACCGGGATGCCGACGACGACTGGACTGAACGTGGACGGACTGGACTCTGGACTCTGGAGACGACACTTCTCCGCATTCTCCACGCAGCTGGACGGCCACTTGTGGTATGAAGTGCCCGTGGCCGCTTTGCCTATTCTGGGTACCAAGTCGCCGTATGCTTGTCCGAACATGAGCACGTCTTGTTGTCGCTGATCACTTGTACGGTTGGGGAGTTGGGGACAGACAGCCAGTCGTGGGAGGATGAAGAGATTGTTCACTGATCATGCGTTCGTCCACGACGCTCAGTCACTCAGCATACCGCACAGTACCAAGCTGGCGCTCGTGTATGGCTCTCGTAGCATGGCAGGCAACCCCCGCGGAGCTACGCGAGTTTGGTGCTCCTCAGAAAATCAATAGTATCCCCAAGAAGACACCTTGGGAAACGACGTATGTATGAACGATGTACCCCGCATGTCAAACTCACCATCGCAGAATCTTACATGTAGATCCAGATCAATCAAGGCGCTTGGATTAGCGAACCACTCGCAAAGTCACCACCTTTGGACTACGGGGTACGTACCGCCACACCATCCCGTCAAGTCGTCCTGCATGAGGCTGCATCATCCTCGGTTCTTTGCTGAACTCACGACACTGTGACTGTGCATGGTGCACCCCTGGCTCTCACATGGGAACGGTAGCGCCGCCGCCCCTACGGTCGAGCAATTACTTGCATTGTCTACGTACGGTTGATTGATTGATGGATGCATGTTCCAAGTCCAACGGGACCCGTGGGTCAAATGGCTGCTCCGGCGGCCCGCATGCGGACTACTTTAATCAACCACAACCCACCAGACCGGACCCCAACATTGATGCTTCCGCGCCCATTCACTGTGGTCTCGTGTCGCGATTCAGACCACATTACAGTGCTACTTGATGCTCTAGTTCGAGGTCAATCTACACTCGGGCCTGATTCATCTTGCACACTACACAATCAACAAACACCAACCATTCGCAAGCTCACCTAGAGAATGGGCCTTATCGAGACGGTCCTCGACCACCTGACGGTCAAGTCCGTGGCCTTGCTGGTCGTTGGCTTCCTCGTCGTGAAATTTCTAGTGAACCGCCTCATCGAGCATGTTCGTCTCAGGCGCCTGCCAGGCGGTCGTGCGCGAAAAGTGCCCTCATGGGCCCCGTTTGGTGAGCACAGATCATCCTCACAGTGATCGAGTGGGAAGAAGCAGCTGACACCCAACCTCTGATTAGGCCTCGATCTCGTCAAGGGAGCGGTGGAGTCCACGCTGGCCCAGAACAACCTCGACTACTGGCGCAACGTGTACTTCAAGGACGGCACGCGGTGGACCGGCGAGGTGCGCGTTCTCAACCAGCGCATTGTCATGACCGCCGACCCAGAGAACATCAAGGCCATCCTCGCCCTGCAGTTCTCGGACTTCGGCAAGGGGGAGCCCTTCCACGACGAGTGGAAGGACTTTCTCGGCGACAGCATCTTCACCACGGATGGCCCCCAGTGGCACGCCAGCCGCCAGCTCATCCGCCCCCAGTTCACAAAGGATCGCGTGAGCGACCTCGAGTGCTTCGAGTCGCACATGCAGACCTTGTTCCGGGCCATGGACAACCTGGGTCCCCTGGACGGCGAGCACCAAAAGGTGACGCCGGGCAACGCCCATGGCAAGGTGCAGGACATTAGCGAGCTCTTCTTCCGGTACACACTCGATGTGACGACAGAGTTCCTGCTGGGAAAGGACACCAAGTCCCTGTGGTGAGTATTCCCTTGGAGCCTGTCATGAGCAAACCACGTGCTAAGCCAGACGCGCAGCTCCATCCGCAACGACTTTGCCGACTCGTTCAACGAGGTGCAGCGGATGCAGAACATTATCGTGCGCGCCTCCAAGGCCCGCCGCTGGATCCCCAAGTCGTCCTTCTGGAACGGACTCGACCTGTGCAACAAGTTTATCAACTTTTACATTGACCGCGTGCTCAAGCTGAGCCCGGCCGAGCTCGAGTCGCACAACAAGGGCGAGCGCGGGTACACCTTTGTCCACGCCCTCGCCGGCTTCACGCGCGACCCCAAGGTGCTCCGCGACCAGATCATCGCCGTCCTCCTCGCGGGCCGCGACACCACGGCCTCGACCCTCTCGTGGACACTTTACGAGCTCAGCCGCACCCCCCATGCCGTCGCCAAGCTGCGCCAGGAGATCCTGTCCACCGTGGGCCGCGACCGAACCCCAACGTACGAGCACCTCAAAAACATGCCCTACCTCAAGGCTATCCTCAACGAGATCCTTCGTCTGTACCCATCCGTCCCCTTCAACGTCCGTCTCGCACTCAAGGACTGCACGCTCCCGACCGGCGGCGGGCCCGATGGTACCGACCCCATCGCCGTCCTCAAGAACACCCCCATCGGCTACTCCACGCTCGTCATGCAGCGTCGCGCGGAGCTCTACCCGCCCGTCTCGGACAAGTTTGCCGACCCAGAGGTCTTCAGCCCCGAGCGGTGGTCCGTCTGGCACCCCAAGCCCCACGACTACATCCCATTCAACGCGGGCCCGCGCATCTGCATCGGCCAGCAGTTTGCCCTGACGGAGATGAGCTACGTCCTGGTGCGCATGTTCCAAAAGTATGACAGGGTCGAGAGCCACATGGGTCCCGTTGACGGCGGCAAGCCCATGCTCAAGGCCGACATTGTCCTCTCGCCCGGTCAGGGTGTCAAGGTCGCCTTCTTCGAGGCGCAGGATTGATGATGATGAGAGGTGTGGGACAAGATTAAGTGGGAAATGAGACACGGCTGCCGATAGCCAGTAATGAAAATCCATTTATTTTTCTATGCCTTTCTAAAGCTCTTGCGCACAGCGGCGGCGAACCGACTAGTGGCCTCGCTCATGCTCTCGGCGCTCGCCGATGCATATGTCGCACGGAAGTGCAGCCCTGACAGGGGCTTCTCTTTCTCTGCCTGGAACCACGACCCTCTGGCGATGAGTACGCCGTTCTGGATGCACGAGTCAAATATTTCCTCCTCTATAGCCTTGAGATCCCGCTTCCCGGCGTCCGGGTGCTGTGCGTGATCAACAGTAAACCACATCTAGCCTCGTCAGTATTGGCCTCCTCCCAAGAAAAAGAATGAAACTCACAAACATGCCGGCGACTGGCGGTGTCCAGCGCACCAGGTCCCTCGGCAGATGCTCCTCGCACGCCGCCAGGAGGGTGTTCCTCTTGGCCGTGTACTCCAGCCGCAGATTCATCAACCACTTCAGGTAGCCCTCGTGGCCCCACGTCTCATCCAGCAGCTTGTGCAGGATCACCTGGGAGAACCCGTTTGGCCCTTGGTTGGCCACCTCGGCGTGGCGCTGGAAGCGCTCGACAATCTGCGCCGAGGCCACGATCCAGCCGAGTCGGGAGCCGGGCACGAGCACCTTGGAGAAGGAGTCCATGCGCAGGACCCGACCGTCCGTGTCGAGGCTGACCAGCGTCGGGAGGAGAGACTCGACAAAGTCTTGGACAGACTCGGGCGGGGACGGGGCGACCGCAGCCTGCGCCTCCGGGGGGTAGGTCTTCATCTGCAGAAAATAGTACGGCTCGTCCTCGATGATGAACAGGTCGTGCTTCTGCGCCACGGCATAGACAGCCCTTCGACGCTCAGCGCTCTGGGTGGCACCCGTTGGATTCTGACCGGACGGCACGGTGTAGAGGACGTGAGGCTTCCTGGCCCCGTCCCTGGCCGACGCGTCCCATTTGGTGAGCATCTCGTCCATGGCCTCTGGCAGCAGCCCTTGATCGTCAATGGCCGCGCCAAAGACATGGACACCAAGGGGGTGGATCGTCTCCAAGGCCGTGGAGAAGCTGAAGTCCTCGGTCAAAACGGAGTCGTTCCTGTCCTTGTCGCAGAACATCCGCAGCGCCTGCTCCAGGGCGCCCGTACTGCCCACCGTCTGGCACACGCCCCAGTCCTTGTACGGCGGTTGGCAGATGATCTCGGTATGCTCGGTCAGGAACCGCATCATTTGCGCCGACCCGGTGCTCTGTCCATAGTTGAGGGCTATAGAGAGATCGTAGTCCGCCACCTCGTCGCGGACGTCATACTTTCCGATGCTGAGGGTTTGCCCACTGGTCAACGTGTCGGCCTCGTGGAAGTTGGGCACGGTGGGCACCGTCATGGACAAGGAGGCAAAGGGGAAGACCTGGCTGGAGGGGAGACCGCCGCCTAAGGAGATGATCCCAGGCTGCTTGAGATGCTTTGCTGCTTGTTTCAGGGTACAGGGTCCACGCGCACGGCTTTCGCGAGTGAGGTGGTCTGTAGATGTAGATGTCAGTGCCAGGTAGCAGTCTCAACTCAGGGGTGCAGGGCCCTTTACCGTCCCACCTCTTGGCCGAGGGCATGTCGTCCGTCTTGGCCATCAGCACGTCGTCCCTATAGAACCAATGGTGATACTCACAGAGCCTTTGAACATGTCACTGTTCGAGGCGGCCGCGATGCCGGCTACCAGCTTGCCCGCCTTGGCTCGTCGTGCCAGTATATCGTCTATCACCTTCAACCCGCCCCTTTTCTCATGATGAGCAAGGGCTGCCGCAGGGGCTGCCTCATTGTTGACCGGCGTGTTGCTCAAAGATCTCGTCTGGACAGTAGTAGAGGTGACCATCTTGGCGAATGCTCTTGTTGTTGATAGGCGTGGCGCTCTGTATACCACGGGCGTCGTTATCATCATGAAATCGGTGTTGGGCGTGTGGCCCAGACTTTATAGGTACTCTTGGTTTCGTCACGTAATAGCTCGTGTACACCGAGCCTTGTGTCATGTGCGCTTAGGACCGCAGTGTATAAGGTTCCCTTAGGTAATGAATGGGCTGAACTGGCGCGCCCTACAAGATGGGCTCTGACGGTCTGACAGATCCAGGGGTCTTATCGGTGCACGTGCAATCAGGCAATACCCCGGAAACAGCCCGCAATTCTTTCGAACGGAGGGCCAATGTCAGTGTAAACTTGCCAGGTTTCCCCATTTCGTAATTACCAGGAATCGCACTCATACGTAATAGCCTTCTAGATTGAAGGTTGTCGCCTGCGCCCTGTGAGCGTGATCATCGTGTGGAGGCGGAGAGTAGTGGAGTGGGTATCCACGGCTAAGCACGGTCAAGCACGGCCATGGCGGTTTGATCACGTGACATTCAAATCGAAGACCGGCATCATTCATTCGCCGTACATGTACGTACGTCCAACTCCTTTAGTGGTCCATGTCACGAGCACAAGCTAAATGGAATGTGTCTCCAAAGCGAGACGAGGCGACTCCCCGATCACCTCAAGAGGAGCCATCCATCCATCGAGCGCGGCCAGTTGATCACTCGCATTCTCTCCCTTGATGCCCTGCGCGGCGTTGATCAGATCAAGCACGGGAACGCCCAAGGATTGCGCAAGCTCGTTGGTGTCGAACATGCGAGCTTCCAACCCCCCGGCATTCAGCCACTTCTTGTTGGCGACCTCTGCGTAGGCGGCAGCCCTTTGCCCTGGCGTTCGCGGCTTCTCGACGACGCTGCGGTGACTTGTACAGCTGCTTTGCCATATCGCCCGCATGGCTGATGGCACGATCCGAGACCTTGGCGGTCAGAAAGGCCGATATGATCTGCAGCAAGCACCGCCAGGTGTCCTTTGTAACCTCATGGCTCAGCAGGGCGCGCAATAGGTGCGCGCCCGGGTGCCGTTTTCTGATTTCTTGGAATCTCGGTCACGTGCTGTGATTTCATCAAGCAGCTCTCTATTGTTTTCACTTCACTTCTCGATGACTCACATTGCACTCTTCCACTCGATCTCGGTCGCCGTTCACTCCAGCCATCAAGATCCCATCATGGCCCTTTGCTTTGGATCTGATACACCCTCGAGATCCAGCTCTCGTGCGGCGAGCTCATTATCGAGAACGACAGCGACAGGAGACATCTCGCCAGCACCGCCAGGTATATCATTATATCGCATGAAGAAAAGCTATCTAGTACTGATATCGAATAGAGATTCAATACTCTGGAATTAAAGATCTCTTTCAGTACATCAATAACGTTGACAGTGATATTTTGATAATACATAGTGTCTCCTTTGCCGATGTTTCTCGGATTCAAATAGAATAAAGGAACAAGGACGGAAATTCCGGCTTTCCCTGTGGTCAAGCGATGCGCAACTCCTTTTTATCACGATGACCAAAATTCCCCACGAAGTACTTCATCGTGTTATCGATGAGAAGATCTACGACCAGGTACATCGAATGAGCTTGAATGAAGAATGGGTCCCGGTGGGAGCTGCAGATTATACCCAGACAGACGACGCTGGCAACGTAAGGGCTTCAGGAGAAGGAGACTCTCGTCGACAGCCGGTATCACAACGTTTAGGAGACAAATTTTCCAACCCTAGTCATTGAAGCTAGGTACTCACAGAGTTGGAATTCGTTACATATTAAAGCCAGATGGTGGTTTGAAGCCTCTAACTACGATGTCAAGATTGTCCTCCTCGCAAAATTGGAAAAGCCAGCGCGACAACTTCGAATCGAACAGTGGAAGCGCATGTCCGACACATCTCCGCCCGGAGCCAGAACATCATGCTGTATCCAGACCATCATCATCGAGGGAACCGACGGACTCGACAGAGCTGATCCAGCATCATACGAGGTAACTGGAGGTCCTCTACGACTCGAGTTCAAAGACCTCTTCCTTCGAGAGGCCGATAACCACCAGAACGAGGGCGATGTCGTACTTGGTACAGACGTCTTACGGAAGTATGCAGTTGCTGTTTGGAGGTTTGTTTAGATATTCATTTCGCGAGAGAGAAGATGGTGGCTGGCGAGAGCCTATGTGTGTATTGTGGTTCCGCCTCAATGGCAATTAATTTTGGACCTGGTCTGGGCGTCTAATAACGGCACTATCATGGTATTACATGTAAAACTGATTGTCCACTACATCACCTGTAGTCATGACTGGTGAATGGTACAAATTTCAAAAGGACTCATCATCCTTACCTCGTAGAACATCAAATGCCATAGGGTAGGTCTGAACACAAGGTTACGTAAGGCGCCAAGCGCGAAGCTCCTGAGTACAAGCACGTACGGATACCACGCTGCGCATCGCGCTGTAGACCTCCAATGAACAGTGCTTCTAGTTCACACACACCATATTCGAGACGCCTTCAACGACAACCACCTACATGGCACGCCAAAGTTCCTAGCATGCAGGAAATTGGTTGGAGATGAACCACTGCACGGCTCACAGACCACCGTAATTGAACCGCGCGCACTGGCGACTGGAGCCTCGAACTTGGCCAGCTATTGCAATGTACTGGCCCTTTGGGACTCCGCGTATCTATGCCAGCAGCAGCAGCCGTACGCCATCCATCAAGCTTCTCCCATCCAGCGACGGGCTACCGTCCCCTTCAGACGTCCCCAATGCCTCTCCGGCGGAGTCGTATACCATCCCATCTCGAGGAGCGGCGTCCGAACACGACCAGGTCGAACTCGCCGTTCCTACCACCCCATTGACGCCTGTGACGCCCGCTGTTGCACCTGTCGACTATGAGGAGGGAGGCGAAAGCCATCAAGATGCCGCTTCAAGGGACTCGAAGGATATCCAAGCTACACCCATACCCATCAAGGACCCTGTACTAGCCCTCCGCACCTCGAGGACCGGCCATCTCTTCGCGACGATTACCACCACATTGATCACTGTTTGGCAGACCAAGGTATGGACACCTTCTCGACCGCGATGAGCTCTTGCTAAGTGAACCGGTAGCCGACCGTTGTCCTCGCCATCGTCGTCCGATCCGAGTCGTCTTTGCACCTGTACGGCGACAATGTCGACCTTTTCCTGCGCCCCGATTCGGCCATCCTCGTCGTCCGCACAGCAAACGGCTACCTTATTACGTACTCTCTCGCGACCGACGGCGAATCTCGCGTATACCGCCCGCATTTCCCCAACCACCACAACGTCCAGCGCCGGCGACAAGGACTTGTCGCTGGGCAGCAGGGCCTCGCCCCAGATGACTTTGTGTGGGGGGCTGGCGAGGGCGCAGGGATACGCGACATTAGTGTGCGGTTTCGCATGGTCATCAAGGTCGACGCTGGGATTGAGTCGGCACTTGCGTTGGACGACGAGCTCGTGGTCGCCACGCGCAAGCCCGCGGCGGTCCAGTGCATCAGGTGGAGTCCAGACAGCAGCGGCAGTCAGACCCGGACGGAGCTGATCAGCCGAATGGGCTGGACCGAGAAGAAGGCGTCCATTGTGGAAATGACACACGACCGACCGATGAACCTGTATACGTGGATCACCAGCGACGGAAGGGCCTACGCTGTCCAGAGGCACCGTCCTCGCCAAGGCGCCCCTGAAGATGATGCGGATGCTAAGAAATTGTTCAAAGGGCATTGCTTCCATAGCCCTTCCGACGCAGCGTCGCATGCCGTCAAAGCTGTGATCAACGCTCGATTCTCGCTCATAGCTGTTGGCTGTGTTGATGGCAGTATCCAAGTGTACTCCGTCAGAGACTACGAGGGCAACGTACCGCACTCCCACACGCACCGCATACCCGTGTCGATAGCAGCATCGGGGGCCTTCACCAACCTAACCTACTCACCAGACGGCTACAGCCTCTTTGCCGGTTTCGCCAATGGGTGGTCTACATGGTCCATGTTTGGAAAACTTGGAACGAACAGTTTCTCCTCCGAGGCCCAAATATCCCAGACAAACGGCGAAGACTGGCTGCAAGGTGTCAAGGCTGCTTCGTGGATTGGCGGTGGTGCCGAGATTCTCCTCATCGGCCAGCAGCATGAAGCTGTCTGGTCTCTCGAGATGGCAAAGAGTGCCGTCACAGGCTGCTATAACGATTCGAATGTCTTTCGCACGGTACTCCAGACACCGACCGGGATCATGGTATATCGCGGATATGATCTGCCCGATCTCACCAGTATCTCGGCGGAGCCATTCCTTTGGCATAGCGCCCGAATCCCAGCGACATACCTGTTGAGGCAGTGGCCAATCCGGCAGACCGTCATTTCGCCCGACGGCAGATATGTCGCAGTGGCCGGGAAGCGTGGCCTCGCGCATTATAGTGTGAACAGTGGTCGGTGGAAGACCTTTACTAGCGATGCCATGGAGAACGACTTTCAGGTTCGCGGCGGCATGTGCTGGCATCAGCACGTCCTCGTGGCCGCAGTCGAGAGCAACAAAACTTATGAGATGCGGCTGTATTCTCGCGAGGCGGCACTCGACTCAGCACAAGTTATCCATCGGGAGGCTCTGCCTGCACCGGCAGTTCTCATCACGACTTCGGGTGAAGACTCGCTGCTCGTCTACACATACGAAAACTTACTCTATCACTACATCTTTGTCCCTCATGCGGGCTCTGTGCGGTTGATCCAAGTCGGTCAAATTGCTTTCCACGGCATTGTGCGCTCACCAGCTCGCGTACGAGCCCTGAGCTGGGTCTTGCCGAACACTCAGCTGGTGGATGGTGATCCATCGCAAGATGTGGCTGTTGCGTCGGTGCTGTTCCTTGTGGATGGCAAACTTGTTCTGCTCCGTCCATCCCTAAACGACGAAGGGCAGCTGAAGTACGACATGCGTGTCATTGCACAGAATGTGGAGTTCTTTGCCAACATGAGGGATCAGCCAGCTCTCAATGCGAATCAGCGGATGGTTGGAGCCGCGGCATCACCGCCCTCAGCACTCAAGGAGTCCTTGTGGGTCTTTGATGGCGTCGAGCTCAAGGTCTGGCCTCAGTTCAGCGAGGTTCTGGAAGCAGCGTCGGGAGAGGCGCACAAGGACCTCCCACCATGCGTGTCGGTCCCCGTAGACTTTTACCCATTATCCATTTTACTGGAGAAGGGTGTTGTTCTAGGCGTCGAGTCGGATCTCGTCCAGCGAAGGGACGTGTCGTTCTCCTTCTTTCACTTTGCGATAAGGGTATAGTCACCCCTCGGTGCTCTGCAAACTTCTGGCTGACATTTTCTCAAGACACACCTACTCTTACCAGACATATTGCGTTTCTACCTACGAGAAAATCGCATCGACGAAGCAACAGCATTAGCGCAGCAGTATCAGCACCTAGAATATTTCGCCCACGGCCTGGAAATGCTGCTGCACAGAGTGCTTGACGAGGAGGCTGACACTTCGCCCAGCCCAGACGAGGCTGTTCTACCACGGGTCCTATCTCTACTATCCTCATTTAAAGAATACTTGGACGTTGTGCTGCAGTGCACGCGAAAGACCGAGGTGCGCCAGTGGAAGACGCTGTTTGCCTATCTTCCACCGGCGCAAGAATTATTCGAAGAGTCTCTCCAACGAGGCTCTCTCAAGACGGCCGGTGGCTATCTGATCGTGTTACACACGCTCGACGAACTCGACGCGGCCACGGAGCAACCCGTGCGCTTGCTGACCAGAGCCATGAGTGAAGGGGATTGGGACCTCTGCAAAGAGCTTGCGAGGTTCCTTGCCGCCATGGATGAGAAAGGCGAAGTGCTGCAGGAGGTCATGAAGATGGTCAACGCGACCACGCGACAGCCACAGAGCGACACCATAGCCGGCCGCCTGGCCATACCGTCGTCCAAGGGGTTGCGGAACGGATCGAGTCCTGCAGACAGTGCAGATGAGGACGGCACGCAGTCGAGCCAGCGGTCAGGCAGCGATGCTGGCAGTGTGGCCTCGACCATGAGTCCCATCGGCGGACTCAGCTGAGCTGTGTGTTGGATCGTGTGTAACTAGTAGACAAGCAGGCGTGTTCATGGGTAAGACGGCGTAATTTGTAGATAGCCATCATCTAAACCACCTTGGTAAATGACCTTGGCTGGGTGCCTGCACATTGTATTATCTCAGACTCTGATCATAAAAATGAAGTCAATAGATGACACAGTCAATCATGATGGATAGGGGCGGTTGTTGACGTGATGCCCGTTCCAGCCAACCAGGAATGCTGAGTAAGGCAACATGCCCGCGATGCCCCCCCCATAGACACCCCACCAACGGCTCACCACGATATCAACTGCCCTCAGTCCCAGGACCCAAGCCATCCCGCCCAACGCCTGTCGTACTACATACATCACGCTGCATCGGTATTCCGCATTTGACGACCACGAAAAGACGCCATAATCACTGCTACATACATATTTCTTGCGTTGCACGCTCCAAGAATTTCGTTCGAAGAAGACCACTAGCGCCCAATTGCATCCCTCCCTCGACACAGCCCACGCATCCGTGCCACGGATCTGGTCTCGATGACGGCCCTCACAAACATGGAGGACTACGTGAGCGAGTCGGATAGTGACTACACTAGTTACTGGCGGGATTGGGTACGTCTCCAAGCGCTCCCAGCGGCATGGCGGGACATTGCTACGCGGCGCGACATGTCCTTCCCTTGAAGAAAGAAGAACAGGCACTGACGAGGAAAACGTGTGAATAGTTCATCTCCTCGCGCGGCAACGAGTACTTTTGTGAAATCGACGAGGACTACCTCACCGACCGGTTCAACCTCACAGGCCTCAACACCGAGGTCCAGTACTATCAATATGCGCTGGACCTCGTCACGGACGTTTTCGATCTCGACTGCGAGGACGACATGCGGGAGACCATTGAAAAGTCCGCACGGCATCTGTACGGCCTCGTGCACGCCCGCTACATTGTGACCACGCGAGGTCTGAGCAAGATGGTAGGCCATTCTCCCCCCTGGCAAGTGGAGGATCAAGTGACTAACGTACTACCTTAGCTCGAGAAATATAAGAAGGCCGACTTTGGCAAATGCCCACGCGTCGCGTGTCACTCACACCCTCTTCTGCCCATGGGCCTGTCGGACGTGCCTAGCGTGAAGCCCGTCAAGCTGTACTGCGCCAAGTGCGAGGATGCGTACAACCCCAAGTCCTCCCGGCACGCCGCTATCGACGGCGCGTACTTTGGCTCGTCCTTTCACAACATCATCTTCCAGGTCTATCCGGCGCTGGTGCCGGCCAAGTCTGTGGAGAGGTACGTGCCGAGGGTGTACGGATTCAAGGTGCATGCGGCGGCGAGCCTGGTGCGGTGGCAGAGTGGACGACGGGAGGAGATGAGGCGGCGGCTGCGGAGGCTGGAGGTGGACACGGGGTTCCGGGATGGTGATGGGGAGGAAGGCGATGACGACGGTGATGTCGAGTTTGAGGGTGTGGATGGACGGCCTGCTGTTGTCGAGGGGGCCCCTGTGCGATGATGCAGACGGACGGCGCGTGCATGAGTTAGGTCAGGGTGGAGAGAGAGAGAGGCGGCATGATGCTCACTTTTTTGTCAGGGATGAATAGCGTTCGTTGTTGTGCATGCTTAAAGTTTCTGCTACCAGATTACTGCTTAACCGTACCTGAACCGAACTACGCCTTCGCTCCAAAGTCAATCGCGCGCTTAGCGTCTCGCTCTACTGATACATATCTATCCGTCCATAGTCTACCAGATCATTCTTAGTCTAGCGCTTATATCCTGTTCACGGTGCCATGATCCGTACTGTCCATCCTGTCCATCTCGACATCATCGAAGCGCTGCTGGCCGTTGCTATAGCCATAACCTGCGCCATTCTGCGCGTACTCATTGGCATAACCGCCGTTGCCAGGGCGCTGTGTCATGTGCGCACCAGCGGCAGAGCCTTGAGGCCGCCCGAGCTCAACGTCGTTTGACTCAGCGTTCCTTTTATGCAGCGCATCCACTGGAGAAGGTGTGTCCTCCTCATCAACACCAGAGTATCCCACACGTCCCACGCCAGCCCAAAAGGCTCGGTCACTGCTTCTTGGCCCCCAGGCCCATCCAGCCCCCTCCTGAATAGGGAGGTGATAATACCGGAAGGAGTAGACGGCTGTAAACAGTCCCATGAGGTATCCGAACAAGATGTCGAAGCCATGATGGCGGAAGTCCCACCACCTCGACGCAGAGATGAAGATGGACAGCGCAAACGGCGTGAGGGTCAGAGCCAAAAGGTAGATTGGCGGCGCGGCGGCTTGACGGCGAACGGAGTGCAGCTTGGCATTGTGGCGCGCGTTGAGCGCAGTATCCTTATCGTTGAGCGGCCACGACGCAGACGTATCATCCTGTTCCGACGGGTTACCGCGTTGTGGCAGGCGCGAGGGGAAGGCGGCGCGCGTGGCGACGCTGGACGAGGAGCTTGGGACGATGTAGGGGATGGTGACGGCGAACTTGGAGGCGAGGAAGAGGGTGAGGTACACCAGACCGGCGGCGGACGTCGAGGAGTGGCCGCTCGGGTAGCTTCGAAAGCCCTCGTCGAGCACGGCGAGGTTACTGGTCTGGCAGATGGACGCGGAATACAACACCCCGAGGGTGTTCTCGCCCTGGAATCCACCGACAACATAGTTGGCCGCATTCTGGAAGTCGGGGTCGCAGCGCGAGAGGAGGTCGGGTCGCGGCTTTCCAAAGAGGTTCTTCATGGCGGACGTGAAGAAGAAGGCCCAGATGACGCTGAGCGCCAGACCTAGCCAGCCGACATGCAACTCCCACAGCTTACGCTTCCAGATGAGCAGCTGTGGTGTGTTGCGCGGGACGGTGGCGCCGGGTATGAAGATGAGGCAGACGATGAAGATGAGGACGATGGGGACGACGCCCATCAAAATGGCGAGGAGCCATACGGGTACTGTTTCATCGGTGTGCGGAAAACTATCATCAGAGTTCAGTATGGTGCTGCAGAATGCCAAGGCAGCAGTTGAGTTTGGTGACTAAGGGAAACTCACGAGATCTCGGGGTCGTTCAGGGAGAAGGGTCGCTTGTTGGGCGAGATTTTCCCCAGAACGTACCCGACAACACCCAAGGCCACCAAGACGATCCAGTCGAGTGCATAGGACAGGAAGACCTTCCAGGAGAAACCACCAAGGCCCTGCCGCGCAGAGCTCATGACAGTTTTTGAGAATGAGCCGTTGGACATTCTGCGATATGTTTGTGTCATGCCCAAGACCAACTGTTGGAAATCCGGGGACGCGAAGGCAGACGGCGAAGAGGATCGGGGGGACGAGCGGACTGGACGTCACTGTAAGGTAGTTATTAGCGCGTAATGACGCACTAGTCAAAGGCTTCCAAAGTCCCAGCCACAGTGGAATGCAAGAATTCAATGAATTGGAAGGTGAGACCAGTGAAGTTCGGCGTGGCGGGGGTGCCGAAGGGCTAATGGTGAAATCAAAACGTATGTAGTATTTCAGACGAGGACTAGCTGGTGTGTAAGCGCTTGATCGAGGCTTTCGATTTCGAGAGATGAGTGGTGGAAGTATCGGGAGGATCTAAATAGTGCCATGACCGGAGTTATTATTAATTACCGATTCTTGCAATGCCAGGGGCCTCGTCAGCAGCTGTCGCGTCGATCATGTCCGTCAGACGGATCTGTGCTCAGGGATGCTGCAACGGCGTCGATGGGTCAAGCACCCGAGCGTGTCTTCAGGCACACAAGGCTCAAAGGGACGGTCCGTCATTCTTCTATATAGATATCCAGAGGACGGGTGGCGTAAAAGCATCTAAAAACGCGTATTCTTGATCGTCGCTGGCCACGCGTTGCCACTTCTAGACCAGCCTGAGGAAGCCCTCGTTCTCTTTCTGGATTTGTTGCACAGCCTTGTTAAGCACTTGTCGCAGAAACGACAAGTGGTCGCGTGCTCCTTACTTCCACAGCGCCGCGACGCAGAGCTTGTTTCCTCCCACCCCTGTCGGTTGTTTGGTTGGTTGGTGCAGTCACCACTCACTTACCAGTCCGCCGGTCACTGCGGTGGCCAACTTCCAAGGTCCGGCCTCCAGGGACCAGAGGTGACTGGGTTCTGGTGACAGGAAATCAAGTGACAGACTTTCTTTCATCAGTCGCGAGTAAATTAGTTTTGGTGCAACTCGTGTGGGCGGTCGCTGTTGGGTCAATGTCTGCATTGACTATCGATAACAGCTAACTCAATTAGGCGACAGGATGCCGATGTGACGTGGCTTGGCCAAGCGGCATTTGGTGGCTAATATCTGCCACTGCGGCTCATGCAGGCTCCAAATCCTCCTTGACAGAAAACGGCATGTGACATGAGTTGGCTGCAGGATACACGCCCCTGATAATGTACAATGCCATTGCTATTATTACAGCACAACAGCCTCGAGATGATACACACATACATACAACAATCGGTTTCACCCTCTAGGCCACGTGCTCCCTCTCATTGACAGACAGCTGTCTCTCTAAGCCTTGTTGGATCGTCTCTTGCCGTGGTTGCGAGGACGGGGAGTGACCACAAAGGCGTTGACGTTGTGCCTGCGGCGGGTCTTGTAGCCTGACTTGGTCTGTCGAAGGGTTAGATACTGAACGCGGGCATGTCAACGGAACAACTTACAGGACGACCCCAAGGAGTGACCGGATGGCGATTACTCTTCGACTTACCACGACCACCACCGTGGGGATGATCGACTGCAGCTTGTCAGCAAACTCATGTATCCAAACGAGGAACATCAGTGTCTCACCCTTGTTCATCGCCACACCACGAACCGTGGGACGGATACCAAGCCATCGGCTGCGACCAGCCTTGCCCAATTGGCGGTACCCATGATGGATGTTACTCGCAACACCAATAGTAGCACAGGCATCTTTGCTGACGCGGCGAACCTCGCCACTCTGCAGACGGACTTCCACATATTTGCCGGTCATGACTTTGCTGCCGTCATCCCGCGTCTCTTCGTTCTTGTTGACGACGACAGCGTGGGTCCCTGCGCTGCGGCAGAACACAGCGCCGCGAGAGGCAGAAGAGCCAACTGCAAACACCGTCGTGCCAACCGGCACCATGTGCAGCGGCAAGCAGTTGCCCTTGAAAGCTGTTTTGGACGCCAGGATACCGGGGTCGACAATGCCTCCCATGCTGGCCAGGAGCTTCGCCGGAATGCCGGCACGATAGCTGTGCACAACGTCGCCAGCCCTCAGTCCGTCTGCGGCAAGGATGTATGACTTTTTGCCAGTGGCCTTCTCGGTCAGCAACGCAATGTGCGCGCTGCGGCCTGGGTCGTATTCGATTCGGTCCACCAGATGAGGCCCAGGAACCTTGCGCTCAAAGTCGACATTGCGCAATCTCCGTTTCGCACCTCCTCCACGGTGGCGCACCGTTATCCTTCCCGTAGAGTTACGCCCACCTCTTGACTGTCCTTTTTTGGGGACCGTCAGTGGCAGGTAGGGCCGCCCCTTCCACAAGTGATCGTTAATGGGTCGTTTCAAGTGACGGACACCGGGTGTGCGAGGCTTATAGGTTCGCAGGAAAAGACCTCCCTTGGCCCTCCGGGAGGCTTCGTCGTTCCCGGCTGTTGGCTCCGTTTGCGCCTCTCTGTTGTTGGCCTGGCCAGAAGCAAAGCGAACAGCCGGCTTGTTGAATGAAAGAGCCTGCAGGCCTCTGCGAACTGCAGAGAGCTGCAGCCGCTGTTGTAGCATCGTAAGATTCAGTTCGAGCTGTCTCAAGGTTGGCGTAGGTTCGTGATTCGTCACGAGGGGTTGGAGAAAGGAGGTCGTCGAGGCGTCTCCAATTCAAATTTCGCGGGAGAGTGACAGTATTGCAGGTGGCCTGTTACCGACGCATTGCCCTGGACTGCACTGGGGCGGCAGCTGTTCTCAATTCGACGTCGACGTCCAGTCGTTGGCGCGCGTTATCGACGCAGTCGCAACCTCGCTGGAAATTTGCCCGGAGACATGGCGAAACCTCTACTCCGGATCTGTGGCGCAGGCTGCTTCTTCCGCCACACTTGGGCACCTCCTTTAACTCAGCCACGGACTGCTAGGGAGCGGGGCTTGATCTCACGCGTCGAGCTAATACCGGCCCGAGCACCATCGCGGTTGGGCGTGCTGTCCAATGATAGCCCCGTTGCTAAGCCGTTGCCATTGTTTGTATGGGGCTCGCTGACGAACTTTGTACCAATTTTTGACATGGATCACACTTCGCGCTGCCATCGTGTCACTTCGCGTCGAACTGACTGCTTACTCAAAAATCCCCATGTCACGGTGCAAAGGCCATCAACTACAAGGCAATTCATTACACTGGCCCGCCTTGAGCCGATTTACTCTTCATTCTCACAACCTTGACTAAATTCCATTCATCCCCAGATTTGTGTCTTGTCGCGTGTTCCCTGCCAAAAGATCGCGTCTCCAGCCAAATTACTGGTTTTATTCGGCGTCTGCAGGGCCAGCCGCGAACAAGACAGCTTCCCGTCCAATCCTCGCGTCCAAAGAGGTGGAACTCCAGCCCATCTGACGTAGCAACGCTGCGTTGAGCCAGTCAACCACCCCAGAGCAGCCGCGCTCTGGAACAGGTACGTACCTCCTCACCAGCCTCTCCGGCAGATCCACTTTTGGCTCTGCTGCGACTCCACCAGACTCGTCAAAACATGACTTGCACCTCGACTGCAGAGCTGCCCTCTACTGCTGCATTGTCCGACTTGACATCAAAACACCTCGCCAGCCACTGCAGGCCCTCTCATTTCCGACATCAACTCTATCGTCCTGCATGCAACTTGTTCATTTGGAAAACAATTTCGTCTAACACAGTATCGCGACACAGCACCAGCACAGCAACCTTCTGAGGTCAACCAATTCGCCTATCGACGCCCAACCCGCACGCACCCCAAGCCAGCAATCCAAGACGCGCCTGTTCTGGTGCCAACCTTTCATTACCTTGACCCAGAGGTTAGTCTCGGAAAATTCCAACTTCTTATTCGACTGTCTCACCGCGTCGGCAACCTTTTTTCTTGAGCTCCGCCGACGTGTTTTCTTGCTGCACATGCCGTCGTTTTCTCTCGATTACCCTCTTTCATTCGGGCTCGTCAAACTGACAGGACCAACAAACAGTAGCATTGACTCTCTATCATTGAACGCGATCTATCTACAGAGGCTCTATCAGCAACGTCGCGATGCCTGCAGTAAGTGACGATTTTTCGCAACGCGGCCTTTTGACGCGTCGTGTTGCTGACCCATATATCAGGGACGCCCGGCTACACGCCAGCGTGTTGTACAAAACGAGAACGATGAGAACACTGCCAACACGCGTTTGACGCGTGCCAAAGCCGCCGCTGGCGGTCCTGAAGACCTTGGGAAAACGGGCAAGACCGCGTTGCAAACCAAGAAATCAACCGCAAACGTTGCCGGTCAGAGGAAAAGAGCAGCTTTGGGAGATGTGAGCAACGTGAACAAGACAGAAGCCCAGAAGGCTGCTGGCGGCAAGAGTCTGAAGGCTGCTCAGCCCACTGGTGTGCAAAAGCCCGCCGCGCGCCCCGCGAGTCGGGCTGCTACAGCCGCCAAGGACCCTAAGAAGGTTGAGATCAAGAAGTCAGGCGCCGGCGCCATCAGTGCCGTGCAAAAACGCAAGGTCCTCAGCGCAACCACACACAGCCGGGAGCCATCAGTCACCGTCGATGAGGCAGAGCCCGTTCGTAAGAAGGCTCACACTATGGATGCCGAGAAGCGCATTCGGTCCGAGTCAAAGGCCGACAAGGAGAATGAGGCTGTTGCTAGTGCCAAGGCCGATGCCATTGCGGAGGCCAAGGAGACTGCTCTTCACCAACAGATTCGGAACTTGGATGATGAGGATCACGATGACCCGCTCATGGTGGCCGAGTACGCCAATGACATCTTCGACTACCTTCGTGAGCTCGAGGCTCCCTCCATGCCCAACCCCGACTACATGGCATCGCAAGACAACCTTGAATGGCAGACGCGTGGCATTCTCGTCGACTGGCTCATTGAGGTCCACGCGCGCTTCCATCTTCTGCCTGAGACGCTCTTTCTTGCCGTCAGCATCATTGACCGATTTCTCTCGGTGAAGATTGTCCAGCTCGACCGTTTCCAGCTGGTCGGTATCACTGCCATGTTCATCGCCTCCAAGTACGAAGAGGTCTTGTCGCCCATTGTCAGAGATTTCAGGCACGTTGCCGACGACGGCTACACCGAGGCCGAGATCCTCAGCGCTGAGCGTTCCATCTTGACCGCCCTCAACTACGATCTCAGCTACCCCAATCCCATGAACTTCCTTCGACGTGTCTCCAAGGCGGACAACTATGACATCCAGTCTCGGACCATTGGCAAGTACCTCATGGAGATCAGCCTTCTTGACCACCGCTTCATGGAGTTCTGCCCCAGCCACGTTTCTGCCGGCGCCATGTTCCTGTCACGCCTCATGCTGGACCGCGGAGAGTGGGATGCAACCATCGCCTACTATGCAGGCTACACGGAAGCTGAGGTCATGCCTGTCGTCATGCTGATGGTCGACTACCTCGCCCGCCCTGTCTGCCAAGAGGCCTTTTTCAAGAAGTATGCTAGCAAGAAGTTCCTCAAGGGTAATTTTCCACATGAATTCTCCTCGTCGATCGTGTCACTAACAAGCTGCAGCTTCCATTGTCGCCCGCCGTTGGGCAAAGGAGAATGCCGAAGCTTTCGGCCTCACCAACCTCAGGCAACAACCCCTTTACATCATGAACATTGATGACGCCGCGGACGCGGAGGGGTCATGAGTCTGAACACGGCATCTTTGGTCGCATGGTCGGCGACACTCACGACAGCTTATGACTTTGATTCAACTCGCATCACTCCGCAACGCAGCGATGCGCCATCATTCTGAGCCTGCGACCATCGTCTCTCAAACCATAGCCATCATCGACACACTTCATACCCGTCGAGATGGCTCTTTCTGCAATGGTAGCAGGAATAATGGGGCATTACTGACATTACGCTTTATCTCTGCGCACGTTTGCGCCGCATGGTTTGTTACTTGTTTAGGAAAGGCGAGCGGAGTCGTGGCGAACCAGGCGCAGGTTTGGATTTGGCGATCAAGTTGTTTGTTTTGCTTCATCTTTTAAAGGTTTGGCTTTTCTTCTCAGGACAGATGAGGAGTCGGCAACAGCAACGCATTGTTTGGGGGGAAAGGCACGGACGGTTTTGGGAGGGAGCTGGGCTTTCTAGCCAGCAGCTTCTTGCACTCTTGCTCTGCTCTGCTCTGCCCCATGGCATACAAGCTGTACATACACATGACTACTACTACGTGGTCTACGTCGACATTGCGAAGGGCGCGAATTGACTGCACTATTATGACTTAATAAGGCGTATCCATGCGGCTAGGTACTGAAACCATGACGTGAAACGGTCTGTTGTAGTTCCCGTGGCGGGTGTCACATTGAATCGACACGAGGCCACTACGGTGATGAAGCAACTCAGTAACCAACCAGAGCCTAGAGGCTGGCTGGTGTGAGGTTGAGAAAGCGCCGTCTGTCACGTCTCTCTGATCAACCACCGAGGGAATAGTGGGTCCCCGTTAGACCACAACTTTAAAGCTCAGTGTCATGTCAGGGTGTGTTTTGTGGTTGTCTGCAACAAATGCCTTGCCCAGCCGCGATCGCTCTTGAATCTTCTGCCATTTTATTTGCTTTGTACAGGCTTCGTGTGCTGCAGCGATAATACACGACAACCACTAACGCGGTTTGCGCTTCGCGACCCTCACACGCGGTTCCTCAACCACGCCATCTTCCACATCTTCAGTTCGACGGGGCTCTCAGACCGACCACCAGATACACCAAAGAGACGGCCCTTTTTGTGCGGGATATCGAGTAGCTCACTTCTTTCAACATGGCGCCCACACTGCGGCCCCGGCAGAGCCTGTCTGCGGAGAGGTTCCCGGTGTACTTTAGCAAGATGCAGCCTCAGAACTACCCCGATCTAAGCAGGGACTCACGGGCCCCATCCAGCTCCAACCAGTAAGTCATTAGAAAAGCAAGATTTGGCCACGGATGCGTGTTGACATCTGGGTACAGTGTACGGTGTCTCGCATGGAATTGCCTAGGGCAGCTGATCGCCACTGGGTCTTCAGACAAGACACTCCGAGTCTGTATGCGGACAGCGCATCTCTGGTTGCTACCACGGCTGTTGACTGGCATGTAGGGAATCCGGACAAACCACAGGGCAAGTTCTCGACCGAGCTCAAGGGCCATTCGGCGGCCATCGAGAAGGTGGCCTTCAACCCGGTCAAGGATGCTGAGCTGTGCAGCGTGAGCAGCGATGGCGTCGTCAAGTTCTGGGACGTCCGGACCAAGAACTGCTTCAATGAGGTCAAGGGGCTCGGCGACGCCTTCACGCTGGCATGGGCACCTGATGGGCAGACCCTGATTGTGGGGAACAAGGTATGTGCGCGCGCAAAACATCTCACGAGGCGGCTACAGCAGCAATGGGACTGACAAGAGACGACAAGGCGGATAACATATTCGTCCTCTCCCCTACGAGTGCCACGGTCATATCGTCTCACCAGCAAGCCACCCACACCAACCAAATCAGTTTCTGCTGGAGCGGCGACAAAGTGTTCGTCACCACAGCCGAAGGCAAGATCAGGATCCTGTCGTACCCTAACTTTGAGCCCATCCTCCGCGAACAGTACGACGACGAGAGGGAGGCGATGCTCAGCGGACACACGTCGAGCTGCCTGTCAGCTGAGCTCCAACCGATCGGGCGGTACCTCGCGACAGGCGGGTCAGACTCGATCATCGCGCTGTGGGACACGAAGGACTGGTTGTGCAAGCGGACCATCACCAGTATGACCGGACCCGTGCGAAGTCTAAGTCCGTTTCTTGTCCCGGCCTAACCGGCCCCTTCTCTTGGTTTCTTCCTGTGCTAACCGGGCGCCAGGCTGGACGTTTGATGGTAGCTTCATTGTCGGCGGCAGCGACGAGGGGAACGGGCTGGTGGTAACGCATGCCGAGACGGGGGACAAGGTGCACACTTTTAACACGGTGGGCCCGTGTCCGCTCGTGGCGTGGGCGCCGACGAGGTATTGGCTTGCCTACAATGACATGGGCTACTTGAAGATTGTGGGCGTCGACGTGGATAAGTTGGACAGGAGATAGTGAGGCTGGATGACGAGGAAGACAGCGTGGCAAGGAGGTGACCTTTTGAGAAGGGAATGGCCTAGAAAAATGGAAGCAAGACTGCCTGCTCAACCACGTGTAGAAGGCGCAAATACTACGCGAGCCTGCTTACACCTGGCTAAGTCGCGTCCATCGATGTTTTGCATACATAGGACAGCCAGCTGACGATAAGCCGAGTGCTACATTGCCTACGTATCATCAAATGCTCTGATCGTACTTGTAAAACTAAGCACAGTACTATTTAGGACAGGGCAAGCCTATAACAGCTCAGGTCCCCGGTTCGTCCACTGTGTATCCATTTGTAAGCGTCGTCACACGTGGAACCTAGAGTCAATACTCACTCGAAAGGAAGTCTTGCTACCTTCTCTACAGACATGGCTCCTGTTCACCTTAGTCTTGTCGAAATCGAGCGACAATCTGTGGCCATTGCCTTGTTCTTCTTTTTGTGTAATAAGGACACGCAAGTCCATCATTGAGGGACAGTCATTTGTGTAGGGTTGGTAGAAGCAGACGCGTCAATGCCAGATAAGCGGGGACCTGTAGCCTATCGCTGACCCGCACGAGAGACGCTGCGCCATGCTGGAGGGTCCAGTCCGTTGGGGAGGATTCATGGGAAGGACCGCTTTAATCATCACTGCCTCAATCCGCGAGCCCGTACACCAAATAGATCTCCCGTCTTCAACATGACTTGAGTCTTCTGGTCAAGTGCCACCCTGCCATCGAACTGCACTCACCAAATCCCCCCACCTCACCCAACGACGGGACGGCGTCCAGTCTATTGTACGCGTGGTCTGACTGACAGCCTTGCCATCACGCCCAGGCACCCGATATCTCGCCATCGAAACGAGCCGCGCCATGCAAACGGTGTTGCACAGGGAGCAGCCTCGATCACGCGCACCTTAACGTTAGACATCCAGCTTGAGCCTTGGCGCCACAATGGCCTCTTCGTCCGAAGGGTCGCAAGACCACCACAGCGTGCGCGCCGCTACCCTTGGTGCCGAGCCAGCCGGACGTACAACCACGACCGCGACCACGACCGTACCTGTCAGTGATGGCGTCAAGCCTCAGAAGCGTCTGGCTTGCACCGTCTGCCGCAAGCGTAAGCTCAAATGTGATGGCTCGCGACCGAGCTGTGGTACCTGTTCCCGACTTGGCCATGCGTGTGCATACGAGGAACAGAGGAGGAAGAGTGGCCCGAAAAGGGGCTACGTCAAGGCCCTGGAGGAGAGACTAAGTACACCGGCACCTCTAGCCACATATCGAGGCCGGGCTAATACTGCTGGATAGAACAAGTCGAGACAATGCTCCAGGGAGCCGAACCGAGTGCATCGCAAGGTCACCGGCCGCACGCTTCGGCGACTCTCCCCACACGAGATGCGCCCAGTCAGAGCAACAAGCGGACGGCTACAGAGGCAAGCATAGGTGCCACTTGGGAAGGGATAGATGCAATGGACAGCGATCAAAACAATACCTCGGCCGCACCGCCCATGGAGGACTTTACATTTGACCCCAACTTGAACCTGAATCTCAACGGCATGGGTGGTGATTTCTCGTGGGAGATGATTGGACTGGGACTGGAGGAGCCCTTACCGCCACACGACACCATCGACCAGTTGCACCAGGTGTACTTTGACACTGTGCATCCTTCGATCCCCATGATACACAAGTCGCGGTACCTGATGGCTATGAATCTGTACTTGTCACCGCTCGCGACGTCGCACGAAGAAGGACGCTGACTCTGGATAGGGCCCCGAACCAAAGACCGCCCGTTTGTTTGCGATATGCCATGTGGACCATGGCATGCTCGCATTCCGAGAAGCTCTATGACTTCAAGGATCTCTTCTACCAGCGCGCGCGCAAGTACATGGAGGCAGACTACATGAAGGGCTTTGGAGAGCAGGTCATCAGCGTGGCCCATTGTCAGGCGCACGTGCTGTTGACGTGCTACGAGATGAAGATGATGTACTTCCCCCGCGCCTGGGTCAGCACGGGCTCTGCGATACGCCTGTGCCAGATGATAGGACTGCATCGCGTGGATGGTGCAGGCCTTGATGTGAAGCAATGCCTGCCACCTCCCAAGGACTGGATAGAGAAGGAAGAGCGGAGGCGTACGTTCTGGATGGCGTACTGCCAAGACCGGTACACGAGCATCGGTACCGGATGGCCCATGGGTGTGGATGAGCGAGATGTCATGGCAAACCTGCCTGCGTCGGAAGAGGCCTTTGAAACCGGCAAGGCGGAGCAGACGTTGACTCTCGGGGAAGCGACGAGCCCGTCGGGGGCGTCGAGACTGTCGTCTTACGGCGCAGTCTGTCTCATGGCGTCTCTCTTTGGTCGCAACTTGGTGCATCTGCACCGCACGGACGGGGATGACCAGGAGGGCGACATCAACGGTCCTTTCTGGAAGCGGCATCGCCACCTGGACAACATCATACTCAACACGGCGCTGTGCCTACCTTCCCAGCTCAAACTGCCGGCTGGGCTTGGGAACCCCAACGTTGTGTTTGCCAGCATGGCCATCCACACGTCGACAATCTGCCTCCACCAGGCGGCGATCTTTAAAGCCGAGCAGAACAAGCTGCCAGGATCTGTCAGTAGCGAAAGCAAGGTACGGTGCATCACTGCGGCGAATGAGATTGCCAGCATCATGCGGACAGTATCACATGTAGACCTGGACACGGTAAGTCGAGCCACCTAGAGTCCCCCCCCGATGCCGTGCTGACGCAGGAAGATGAACCTCTGCATTTCATTCTGCCTGTACGTTTCCGCTCGCGTCTTCGTGCAGTACCTGAAGAGCAGACCGGACGACAGCCAGACGGCGGACTCTTTGCGATTCCTGCTGTCGGCCATGAACGCACTGAAGCAGCGGAACCCCTTGACGGAGAGCTTCCTCGCGCAGCTCGACGTTGACCTGGAGGCTTTGGTGGTGAGGATACCGAAACTGCGGAAAGACTTCGACAACATGCACGCAGTACGTCTCGATGGGATTGTGACACAGACACCATCCAAGCTGACTGAGTATGTCTAGGATTCACAGAGTCAAGACAAGACGAGAACCAACTGCGATTGGATGGGCGGCGCTCGAAGCAGTCCGTCCTATCGCAACGAGTGTCACTTTATGAAGACACTTGGTGACAACGGCAACCCGGCCGAAGGGCCCAACATTGTCGATCCAGGCCCTGATATGATCGATTTCCAGGATTTCGAGGGCGCGGACAAGATGACCGGCTTCAACGCTGACCCATGGTTGGCCTCTATGAACTCTGCGACGCCCCAATCGGGGCGGACGCAGGACAGGGGAAGTGCGAGCGCAGACAACGTTGGCGGCCTGGGCTCACCGGGTCACTCGAGTGGCGTGACGCCGAATTCGAGCACGAATGGCGGCAAGGACAGTGCATCGGACAGTCGTGGCCCGGCGAGCAACCTGCTGGGTCTGGGACAGACTCCGTTCCAGGCCAGTCCCATCTCGTCCCAGCGGAATGTGATGGGCGCTGGGGGTCTGGATCCTCACCAAGCCAACTTGTTTGCCACTGTGAACGACTACACAGTTATGGGTGGCAGCGGCGGCGGAGGAGGAGGAGGAGGAGGAGGAGGCCAGAGCGGATTTGGTCTTGAGCAGCAGAGTGTTTGGGGCATGGACTTGCTCGCTATGCCGCAACCGCAACCGCCACAGTCGCAGGGACCTCGACACGCCGGCGACGATGTCTTGCAGGCTTTGATGCACATGGGGCCGATGGACGCCATGGATCTGGGTGCGTGGGACCAGAGTAGTGAGCACCTGAGGCAATGAAGGGCGGGAGGACATGATGAACATCTGTTGGTTACTTCCAGGGCGTTTGGAGTGGGTTATGCTTGTACGTGGGATGTCTAATCAACGCTCCGCTCCCATAGCTGCATATGTCAACCGACAAGACATCCTAGTCGGAATTAGAGCTCCGTGTCATCTCTCGATTTGCCTGTTGTTGACTACATTGCCGCTGCTATGACTGTGAGGGCTTGTCTTGAGGTTCTCTGGACAAAGTGGTCCGTGCGCCGCCGTTACCCGTTTGGGCGACGACCTCAGCTCTGCTCACCTGTGACCTCGCGACTTGACTCCAAGACCTCATCACCATCCATCCATGTCCCCCCGCGCGAGAGGTCGTGGCCACACGTCGAATACTCTCGCTTGTTCCCTTGGCGATGGTCTCTAGGCAGCAGAGAGCCAGATCTCTCGTTCATCACCTCCTCTTGGATCTAGGAGTCCTATCTACTCGAGTAGAGGCACAGGCACCATCGGCATATCACGATTAGGAATCGCTGGCGATGGCAGCTTCGGGCGCCGCCCCGTTTGGCGGTGCTGATATGACGGAATCCTCTGTCTACCGTGACCCTCTGGGTCATCTGGGCCTCGACGAGTACGCGGCTGGGTTGGACGGGGGCGGCTTTGATCACCACCACCACCATCACCATGGGCACAATCCGCCACAGCAACACCACCATCACCACCACCACCATCATCACCCACAGACGCAACATCGGCCCATAGCTCCCATCTTACCGTCTCAGCAACCACCCGAGTTTGGCAGAACAGCCACGCAAGGACGGCTATCGCAGAACCACAGCGGCAACGGGAGTGGTCAGTTTGGTATCCTCAAGCCAACCAACGTCACGCCCGGCACCAATGTCGCCTTCGCCAACGAGAGCCTCGAGGCGACCACGCAGGAGGCCGACATGAGCAAGCTCAACGGGCCAGGCCATGACCCTCGCATCGTCGTCGACCCCCCCGATCTGGCCGCCTGGCGTGACAAGCTCTTTAATGTGGATGACCTCATCGTGCTCACCGATGACCAGTTCGAAACCTATTTCCCGCACATTGACAATGTCTACTCACACCGCTCGACACAGCGATACAAGCGCAAACCGTTCGTGTCACACTACTGGGACTGCCGAATGAAGGGACGCCCGCCAGGCACCCCCAAGAGCGACGACCCAAGCAAGAAGAAGCGGAAGCGCAACGCCAGGGAGCGCGACCTGTGCGACGTCAAGATCAAGATCACAGAGTACGCCCCCGGCGCTCAGATCCAACTGGAGGATGGCCTGGGCACGTTCTCCGCGCAGCCGCCGCCGGCCATGGACATGATCGGGCCCGGGCAGAAGTTCTGGACGGTCCAGCGTGTCAACGGCAACGGCGGCAACGGGAAGGGGGACGGCGTGGCCGGGCCGCATCGCCACTCGCTGCAGAAGAGCGATGAGATCAAGAAGAACAGCGTGCAGCGCTGGCTGGCCAAGCAGGACAAGGAGACCAAGAAGGGACAGGGCAAACTCATGCCACGAAAGGCTACGGGGCCAGCACTGACAACTGTCAAGAAACACAGCAGGGACAGTGATCTCAAGCTTTACTCGGCCTGTTTCTGGTACGCCTTTTATCCCTTCAAAGTGTAGGGACCGACCACCGACTAACAACTGGACTTAGCCCGTTTTCGCAGAGGGTTTGGATTGCCCTGGAAGCGAAAGGCATCGCGTATCAGTACTGCGAGATTGATCCGTACCGCAGACCCGTGCCCACGCCATTCCTGGAGGCGAACCCGCGGGGTCTGACGCCTGCCATTCGACAGGGTGACTGGGCGTGTGCCGAGAGCGCGGTCATTCTCGAATACGTAGGTAGAGGTATTTTCTTGCGGACGCGCGTCCAAGGCTGACGAGTACGTACAGCTCGAAGATTTGGACAAGGAGACGCCCCTTTTCCCCACGGATCCGCGGTTGAAGGCCAACTGCCGCCTATGGATTGATCATGTCAGTCGTCATCGTCGTTTCCACCGCACCTCCTCGAAGCACCAAGACTGACTGCCAGCGTAGATCAACGAGCGCATCGTACCGGCGTTTTATGGCATCTTGCAGGCTCGAGACATGGCCGGCCCGCACCCCGAGCTCGTCGACAAGCTGCAAGCCGCCATCACCAGGCTCGTGCTCGCGGCGGATGAGCAAGGTCCGTACTTTCTGGGCGGCAGCCTCAGCCTTGTCGATGTGCACTTTGCCCCCTTTGCCCTACGGCTGTCACGTGTACTCCAGCCCTCGCGCGGATGGTCTGAGCCCATCCCCGGAACCAGGTGGCACCAGTGGCTGGACGCGCTCGAGGGCAACGTCCATGTCAGGGCCACCACGAGCACCAAAGAGCTGTATGTGGAGACAACCGAGCTGCTGCTGATGAAGCCGGCTCTGCCAGGATGATGGAGATGTATCTCTGACGATCATCTCCCGGGATGCTATTTTCGAATCCTCTCCTAGGACCAATGTGTAGGAGATCGACCCGGCTGTGGCGCCCGGATCGACCCATTCCCATGTGAGGTGATATGATCCGTCTCGGCGTCTTCCCCATTCCCAATCCCAATCCCTGCCCGTCCCGGACCGCCAGCCCCACCAAAGACGTCAGTCAGATGTATGTCGCTGGACCTGGATCAGCGTCATCTACACGCTTTCTACACGAGCAACAAATCTCACAGTCTGCATCTACATGTACACGACTCGACTCACCTCGCCCCATCATGAAGGCCATACTCAGCATCAATGCCGGCTCCAGCTCGGTCAAGATCTCCGTCTACGCCGCCTCCCACCACAAGGCCACACCACGCGAAATCGCCGACGCCCAAGTGAGCGGACTGACGGCCCCTCCAGCCAAGCTCACGTACAACCGACAAGGCACCTCGGTCGAGAAGGACAAGGAGGTCGATGCGAACAGTCAAGATACCGCCTTCCGCCTCCTCCTGGACACCCTCATCAACGACGAGGCGCTTAAGGACATTGCCTCCAAGGACGACATTGCTATTGCCTGCCATCGCATCGTCCACGGCGGGGACTATGACGACGCCCAGCTCATCACCAAGGACACCTACCATCATATCGAGGCCCTCAGCGATCTCGCGCCGCTCCACAACGGCGCCGCCCTCGGCATAGTCGACGCCTGCATCAACCAGCTCCCCTCGACACACAACGTCGCCTGCTTTGACTCGCAGTACCACCAGTCCATCCCCGCCCACATTGCGACCTACCCCATCAACCAGGACATTGCCAAGAAAAACAAGCTGCGCAAGTACGGCTTCCACGGGCTCAGCTACGCCTTCATCGCCCGCTCCACCGCCGAGTTTCTGCACAAGGACGAGAGCAGTCTCAATATTATCGCCCTGCATCTCGGCAGCGGCGCGAGCGCCTGCGCCATTCATAATGGCCAGAGCCGAGACACGAGCATGGGTCTCACACCGCTCGCTGGCCTCCCCGGCGCAACACGTTCCGGCAGCGTCGATCCCAGGTAACAAAGCCCTCTCTCTCTCTCTCTCTTCTGCCATGCTTACACTCGGCCTCCCATAGCCTCGTCTTCCACTATGCCAGCGACGTCGGCAAACTATCCCCCGCCTCCACGTCGCAGCTCCACATCTCCCGCGCCGAAGAGATCCTCAACAAGAAGTCTGGCTGGTCAGCCCTCACGGGCACGACGGACTTTGCCACCATCGCCTCGCGCGCCACGCCCGAGCAGGCGCTCGCCTTTGATCTGTTTGTCGACCGCGTCGCCGGCTTTATCGGGAGCTACTTTGTCTCGCTGGGCGGCGACGTTGACGCACTCGTCTTTGCGGGCGGCATCGGCGAGAAGAGCTGGGAGTTGCGGGACGCGGTCGCGCGCAAGGTTCAGTGTCTCGGCTTCCGCGTAGACGAGGGCAAGAACAAGGGCCCTCGGAAGGGCATCGTCGACGAGATCAGCGGCGATGGCGGCAAGAAGGTGTTGGTGTGTCAGACGGACGAGCAGTTTGAGATGGCTAGGATGTGTGCCGCAAAGGAGGAGCTATGGGCATAGAAAGATACCTCCCATAGTCCCGGGTTTGTCGGTGTCAATTATTTGACTTTGTCAATGAAGAATCCAACGGGGATAGCATAATTTGACTCGCACGGCGGATGCAATTCATTTATCAACAATTAAAGTATGGGGCGATGGGGTTTGTTATATGTGCAGAAAGCAGATGGTATCATTTAAGCCAAGAGTAACCCAACTCTCGGACCTTTTCCTCATATCTTAATCCTATCTTAAAAAATTTCCCAATTGTATGTGCTTCCCAAGTGTTGAGAGAGAATCATGTACACTCTGACGCCGCTTCTCAATGCAAAGCGCCGATGTAGACAAAAAGCCGCCAACGCCATGCCCAACTGTAACTGTTTTGAAAATGCGAAAGAAAAAATGGACGGACAATGCGAATATGCATAGTTTGCGCATCTCAGCATCTTGCAATGCAATGCATCGCCCCGCAAGCCCTCAATCGGAAAAAACCAAGATCATAAAGAGGTTCGGAAGAATAAATCAGCGGTTGTGGTGGGTGAGATCAGTCACCCCAGTCGCTGCGCCTGCGCACCAATCTCTGCTGGAGATGAATGACCAGTCGACGAGACCGACAAAAGGTACAGCAGACCCTGGACGCAAAGATGCGACACGAGTTGCGGTGCGCAAGAGGGTCCCCCCGTAGCGGCAAACCAATTGGCACGAGTGGTGTGACAGACCTCCCGTGGTCGCGACCGCGCCCACAGACGGGAATTGTGGAATTCACCGTCTGCGAAGAATGGGAATGTTGCGAGATCGAGGGGTCGAGCTGAGCAGGGTCATGTGGGGTTCATGGCGTATTGGGATTAGGCATCTGACCGGATATAGAATCCGGAGCTTAGGAGGGCGTAGCGGCCCTCAATAGCTGAGATGCGCCGCAAGAAAAGTGCCAATCGGTGTGCTCAGGCGACCTCCTCCTGGTGGGCAATGGCCATCGCCAGGGCGTCAAGGCCGCTGCTTGGCGTGCGGGCGGCGACAGGGCGACTCAGGAGGGGTAGATTCAAGCCACTCATGTCCCAGGTCGCGCCGGTGCCGTTAGGGGAGGCCAGGGGAGGCGATGGCAACGGTCGCTGCTCGGTCGGCTCCCAGGAGCGCGTCGTCGAAGCCTGCGACTCGCGGGCCACGGGGCGGTTGCGCGCAGCCATCCTCTGCTGGGCGCGCTGGGCGCTAGCAGCGCCGCGAGCGCGGTCTTTAAAATGCGTTTCCAAGTGCTGCTTCATGTTGTCGGCGCGGGTGAACTTTTTCTGGCAGAGCGGGAATGAGCACTGCACGGCCTTCTCCGCCGTGTGAATTTTAGAGTGACGCGAGGCGTGTCCAGAGGTGGTAAAGGTCTTCTCGCATCCATGCGTCTCACGATACCGACAAGGATATCGCTTGCCCTGCCGCTGCTCGGGCAGGGGCGACGTGGCGGGCGTTTCTTCCCCTACGTACGAGGTGGTGCGGCTTTCTGCAAAGGCGGGACGCTTCGCCACGGTGGGATCAACTGTGTAGGCCTGGTTGATGGTGTATTGTGCAGGACGGGGAAAAGAATATTCTGTGGCGGGTGTGAGAGGCGACAAGGGATCGTTGCTGGCCTGTGAGTCGAATGATTCCGAGCGGGAAAGCTCGGGCATGTGCGGTGAAGACGATGTGCTGCGAGACAAGGCGGTAGGACGGGAGAGGACATGATTAGAGTGAAAGCTCAACGGTCTTTGCGGTAGCGGCCTTTGCGCTGTGAGCCCACCAGGGGCGGAAGCGCCGGTCTTATTGCCTTCGTCGTTAAGCAACGAGACGCAGCGACCCGAGGCATCGCGCGCTTGCATCATGGCTGCAGTCTTGCTTTCGAGGTAGGGCTGGTAAAGATCTCCGGTCAAGGGGCCTTGGGACGTTTCCAGGCGGTAACTCTATAGTGGACCAGACTAGCTTGCTAGCAAATCTCGGTGACTCGACTCGAGCAGCAGCGTGAGAGAGGAATTGTTCCTTCTTATATAGATCCGATGATGCCGTTGAAATAATCAGCGAGGGACCTCCGAGACGTGCTTGGCAACTTGTTGTTGGACGATGCGCAAACACTGCTTGAAGCCTGACGATGATAACCACGTCAAAGGTGAAGGAAAACAAGGGGTGACCGTTGGCCGTTGAAAACTCAAATGCCACGAAAGGCGGCGTGGTCGTAGAGTTGAAGGTTGTTGAGGTCGGCTGGCGACGGCAGGGTGGGCTAGCTGTTAACCTTGTGGTTCAGATCAGGTTCAGGACCAAGTCGGGATGGTTTGGGTTGCGGTGGTAGATGGTTGAAAGTTCAGGGTCGTCGACTTGTTGCCTGGGAAGATCGAGTTGTGAAATGTTCGACGTTGCAAGACAGGAAAGACGAAGAACGGGAGCAGGAGTGATGGGGGATTGGGATCGGGATGTACTAAAGTAGGTATCGAGCAGGCCCAGAGGAAGGAGAGAATGCAAGAGACACCTGGGAGACCTAGTTTGAGTTAGTCCCAGGCCAAGCCGGTATGGGTCCTGGCAGCTGGATCCAGCCAGGATGTGAACGAATGTGGATGTGGTCAGTGTGGGTGCCAAAGTGGGCGTGTGTGGTAGCGCCGACGACGTTCAGGGTCAAAGCCTCCAGGGACGCACGCAAGCAACTGGACTCCAGTCACTCACTGTCTGACCTGCCGGAGGGGGGTGTGCTCACGTCCAAGAGCTGTCTGCTGCGGCACAGGGTCCTGCAGGTTCGTCATGGTCAAGCCACGGACGGACAGAGGCTTGCCCCTGGGTACCGATTGTTCAAGCTCGAGTACGAAAGATAGTTGACCGACTCGCGGGGCGGACGGAAACAGACACATCGATGTCGGCACGTGAAGATGGGCGCCACGACGAGGAAGTCGTGTCTAGGTCCGTAGACGGTGACGATAATCACACGAACCTACCTTGATGCTCAAGACGAGAGCGACGGCGCAGGCTGCTGAGGCGGGGCGTGGCCTGAAGCGCGCGGTGTGTGTGCGGCTTGCAGCGAGGCCCTGCCGGACTGGAGATGACCAGCCATGACGTGAACCGCCATGAGTGAGGGACCGGACCCTGAATCACGACGTCTCTCCAACAACACAAAAGGGACTGGACGGGAGCGGAGAGGGCAATTGCGACGACCTGGAGATTGCGATGTTCAATAGCGCCGAAGCTTCCATCGGTGATGCGATGCAGAGAATGATTCCAGGCACTCTCAGGCTTCCGCGGCCAGTAATTAGCGCTTGCATGTGCCCAATGTTCATTCCCGACTTTCTTCGTGCCTTCCGTTCTCTGTTTGAAAATTCCGTGCGATCGGTGATCTCGACAGCGGAAAGTTATTCTGCCACAGGGCAAGAACCTCCGAGCTCATGTTGACTGGATGGCTGCGTTGCACTGTGGAACCACCCCCTCCCCCGAATCCCCGATTACCCCCTGTGGGTCCCCTTGAGCCCCTTTGACAGGGGGCCCCGACAGGGGTCGATGCCCTTGGGCAAGTCGCGTCAGGTACCGGTCTTCTCAAGCACGACAGCCAATCAAAAGCCTCACTGAAGTACGGTCTTGGGTGCAGCTTGGTCACAGAGGACTGTGATCACGATGAGGTCCCGATGCAAGTCATCAAGCGTTTTTGCCGCATCGGTCATCCTGTCGCGGAAGAATGTTGACGAGACGAGCTGTTTATACGTTTAATTCCATCGTGTAGTACAAGAGTTGCGACGCCTAGGCTAGAGGTCTTTTGCAGCTTGTTGCGGAAAGTCGAAACGTGCAATGCGTACGTTGTGCTGAACTGTGTACAGCCTGGTATGCAATGCATTCTCATCTTGTGGAAGATGCCTCTCTGCATTTCAATAATATCTTTTTGCACTTGAATACTTCCAAGTATTTCATTCGCCGCGAATGGCAACAGCCATTGCGAATGGCGGCCGTTCTTTCTCCGTCTCCTTTGCGAGAGCTACGACTGACCAGCCAGCCCCGCAGATCGAGCTGCCTCGGGACCCTGACGGCAGGATATTGCGATCGCTCAGCTAACCTTCGATCTCTGCCACGGATAGCAGGGGCCCAAAATGCTTCGTCTTGAGTCCCGCTCCTAGGCATGACAATGTGACGTCAATGATGCCAGCTTGGGGGGCTTCCTCAGCACGGCAGCCTTGTTTTTCTTGTTCACGGCGAGATGCGTGAGGACTGGAACCGGCCTAGCACGGATGAGGCTCTGAGGTAGTCATGCCGACTGCAGATGGTATGGAAACGGTCCTCTCGCGCACGTTGGCGTCCTTCTGCCGCCGCTTCGGGTGGCTGGCTGCTATCTCCGGCGCCAGCATGAGCATGCTTAAGCCTTTCACGCCGTCGTCCTCGCGCATTGTGAAGCTATAAAGGGTGGGGGCTCTGGTCGTGACAGTTGTGCGTACGCATCCGCTCTCTTAAAGAGCCATTCTCGACGCGCACCAGAACCCAAGGTGCTGCGTAAAATCTCAGCCTCGGGGCTGCCTTGGGCTGCCACTGAAACATTTGCCAACCCATCCCTATGCACTCACGGCTCACAGCCTCGTGGTTCAGCTCGAGCCTCAAAGCTCAACAAAGCCCTGGCAGTCCCTGCAAACTGATTTTGTGCAGGTTCTCTCACCGAACTGGCTTACTCCGAGTCCCGATCGGGGGCATGTATCAAGTCAATGTTGGATTGACCGTTTGGATACTGTTGCTCGCTCGTCCGGTCGCGCTGGTGAATGAATGAATGTTAGAACAGCTCATGGAGTCGGGGGCGTGTATTTCGCACGTCGACGCCCTAAAGGGTCGTCGCAGGGTCCAGGGTCGCGTGGGAGATCGACCAATGATCGGCTTTACTTCCGTCAAAGGGGTACAGAAGATACATTGGCAGGAAGCCCCTCAGACCCTTCAGTCAGCCCATGACGTGACCTGGCGGACCCCCAGAATAATAAGGTACGTTACGACGCCCGCCGCAAGCACGTCTGTCTCCTTTGGGCGGATGGGATTTCTGACAAGACCATGTTGGATCGATGCTCGTCGCGCGTCGAAGTGTCTGCTGCACGGGCGCCGTCAGGATGAAAGCTGCCTTTCGCAGGATTAGCGGGACATTGTTCATGGGGATCGGCAATTGTGTCAAACGTTACCGCCCTTTGGATTTGGGATGGAGATGCTTTACTATGTTAGCAGCGCGACCGTGCGCAGCTGCGGAGACCACCGCCCTTTGACTTGGAGAGGTCGAACTTCGACTCCAAGTTATCAGGTCCTTGAAGCTGAAGCCATTCAAGTAGTTGCTAGCCAACGGCTGGTGTAACAATGACTCAGACCCTGACTTTGCACTCATGGAGTCACGAGAGCTTCTCCTTGAGAAACCTAATTCGCACAACAGTCAATCGAGTTTGGCAAGCCCAAAGGCTGCTCTGGTGTCGGCACGCCATAATTAAAACGTCAATAGAGCTCACTACTACGTCATTGGAACGTGAGGCTCTATTTTACCGGCGTCTTATACAAAGACAAGGGTGGCTCCAAGGCTCAAGCCTCCAACAAATCCTGCTGGTCAGAGGTGGCTCCCGCAGGCTCCATACCCCGGAAACGACTCCTGGTGAAGCTCTGTTGGAGACAGTCCTGGCCCGCCTGCGTCAATAATTCTCCTGTGAGATGTTTCGAATGGTAATATCAGGGCCGGCGAGGCACCGGCAGCCCTCGCAGCAAGCAGGCTCTGCTAGGAGTGACAGACCGCAACGTCCAGTCGTCCTGCTTGCTGCCCAAAGCCCCTTTGGTCAAATTCGGCCAGTCGACCATCTCGATGCGGCGTTGGATGGCATAATGATTGCCTGATGAGCAGTGCATTGCTCGCAGAGAAAGGTTTTCCCAGGCGCTAACGGACGTGATTTGCTTGCATTCGAATCCCTGCGCGTGGTGCTGACCGCTGCGTGCGCGGTCTGCGATGCACCGAGGGCATAGGCGATCGCAGATGCACTGCATCGTGCGATCACGCTTTGCGAGGGCAATCGACGATAATAAGCACCTCGGACTCAAGCGCAACGCGAGCGCCCCACCCGCCGCCCACTTTCAATCCGTCGCGCGCTGAGTTGACCGACCGACGGACCTACAAGGCACGCTCCGGAGGCGGGTTGGACCCCCGTTGTCCTGCACTGCTCCGTCTCTTTGTTGTTGCGGCGCTTGATCCCCTGTCTGGCTGGACCCCTTGACGGGGCGGTGGCTGGGGCTGTACGGATACGCACGGAGTTGAGTCAACCCTTTGTCATTTTGGGCCGAAGCTGTGAGCTGTTTGGCAGATTTCCAGCGCCCCGTCCGGACCCTTCGAACGTCGACGGCACCCACAGCGACGTCATCCCCCAGGGCAGCAGCACGACAAAGTTGAGGATCACTGAGTATTTTCTACTACGTACGGGTACGGAGTACTAGATAAGTTAAAAGCCCTGGCGCTGAATCGTGATGGAAGCATCTAGGGAGCTCAACGTTGACCAGCGGTGTGATGTGCGTTCGCTCATCACCAGGGGACGGACGGCCCAAGTTTTCTTGATCTCAAGCCGTTCGAGACAGAACGATGGGAAAGCAACCATGACTGGGTCGGTAGAGGGTGGAAAAGACCTTTTCGTGTGTCGTGCCATGACTATCTTATGGCATTGTGATCAATTGATTGTCCATCCGCTAGAACCGCATTCCTCCCTCGAGAACCTGTGTAGATCTCGATGGATGACATGGCTGTCTCAGCCATACACCCTCGTCCTTCCACACGTCCGGACAGAACGCTTGAAATTTACCTGTCGATCTCGTCGACTTTCTACGTAGCCGAATGAGAGCCTGTGGTAACTGATCATCCCACTCTCCGCTTGTCGGCACGCACGGTTGACATTGGCTCGAATTCCATATCGTATCATGGAATTTGCTAGAGGCGGTGCAGATCGCTCCTCTATGCGTCAGCTGAAGGTTGCTGATTGCTGTGTAAACACCCATCGGTTCACATGTCCGTAGTACGTACACGTGATTGAAGACGCACTTAAACGACACTTGCAAGTGGAAAGACAAGTAATGAAAATAAAGAAAAATAGCAACCGGGTATTTGAGCCAGGATAGCATATTCGCAGCTATTGTGAACGAGGTTCATGGTGGATGAGATACATTGTAGGGTAGGCTGTTGTCGCAGGTAGCTCTGGTCATGTCTGTGTAATTGAAACCACCCAACCTGGTCAACAACGTCTCATGGCGGTATGCTCACTGAATACAATAACAGTGATTCAGATAGTAAAGTAAGGCCATTTATAAGCATCTATGCTGTAATGCGCAGTACGTTGTAGTTGTATGCCTGCACTGCCGAATCAACGCCCCTGCGCCCTGAGAGATGAATACAACACCATCCTTTGTCGCCAAACCACGGTATTAGTCCCTCGTCCATACATCTATTTCCTGGAAGGAGGCGGCCCCATCTTCGTCGCGCCAGTATCGACCTTTTTGGCCTGTGGCAGATCCGGCACCTTGAACCCCCCCGACGAAGACGACGACGAAGAACCACCACCGCCCGCCTGGGTGAACGTCCCGCCCTTGAACCACTTGTCCTCCTCTGCTTTCCGCTTCCGGCTCATCTCCGCCTGCTTCTTGGGATCGACCAGCTCGAGGCCCTGCACGGGTGTAAACGCCAGGGACGACGCCGTGCCCGCCGAACCGACGGTGCTGCCCACGCCCGACGACCGCAGACCCGAGCCGCCAAGGGCGATGCCACCGTTGTTGTGCTGGCCAAAGCCGCCAATGGACGACGCGGCGCCATTGAGGGAGCTCGCACCACCCCAGCCCTTGTGCTTCTGCCCCAGTTTGGCGCGTGTCCTCTGGTCGATCTGGAGCCCGCGGATGCGCCCGTCGTTCTGCTGCCCAATCATGCCCATACCCACCGTGCCATCACCCGTGCCGAAGCCAGCCTCCTTCTCTTCCTTGCCAAAAGCCATGCGGTTCTGCGCCGTCCTGAGGTCGGTCATGGCCACGGCCTCCTTTGCCTTGCGCGCGCGACGACCGCCTCGCTTGCGGGCGGGCTTGTCGTCGGGCACGGGCAGCGCGCGGCCGCCCTTGTTCTCCGCCGGCTCGGTAAGTTTCTCGAGTCGCTTGAGGGAGGCAGCCTTGAGCTCTTCGCCCGTCGCGCCGTCGGGACTGGAGTGGATGCGGTCGACGCGCGCCGCCAGGACCAGCTTTGCGGCGACGATGCGCATGGCTTGCTTCTTGAGGTCGCTGGGGATACCGCGGATCATATCCGAGTGGTAGAGGAAGCCTTGCGATCGCACACCAATGTTCGTGGCGAGACCAGCCTGGCGCTTCTTCGAACCCCACGAGGGGATGTTGCAGGCTGGCGTTTTGGATAGCCCGGTCAGGCCACCGGCCTGATTGAGCATCTGAGCGGCGGTGAGGGAACCGATCAGGGCCGTGAGGTTGGGCGCAAATACGGTCATGCGCGACTGGACATATTCCGTCAGAATATTTTTGGCCCTGTGAAGCGCAATGACCAGCTCGCAGCCCTGGCGCACGCGCGCGAGCTCCTCGGGCGACATCTCCTGGCCCTTGGACGTGGTGGCTTCCACTGTGACGACCATGACGGTGGGCCCGTCGAGGACGGACTTGAGCGTCACGCCCAGTGGATTGTCGGTGGAGGACTGCAGCTTCTTGATGGTCTCCGAGTCCATGGGTCCGTTGCCCAGGATCATGACCACCTTGGCGTACTCCAACGGGGTCGTCACCAGCCGCTCGAGCTCGGGGAAGCGTGTCGAGTAGTGGTCGCGGTTGAACTTGTGCACCAGAGCCACCTCGCCGTCAATATGCGTCGACAAGCTATTCGACTGTGTCAGGAGGTGATACTCTGGGTGGTCTTCGATGTTGCCCAGGTTCGTGGTCTGCGTCGCCGCTTGCGCTCGGTAGTGCTCGATTTTCTAAAATAGTGTAAAGGGCGTCTCGTCAGGGCTCTATTCCTCATAGGGTCTGATGTAAACGAATCGTCCACAAGGGATGTTCTGGGGGCGGGGGGGAGAGGCAGTCGGGGGCAGGCAATGCAATGGAGGAGAGACCAACCTGTAGAACCGGTTCCAGGGTCTGCATCAGACTCGCGACGCTCCGCACGTCCTTGACGCCGCCGAGCTCCATCTTCTCAATCTTGGCCATCTTGACCTCGTCGTCGTCCGCATCGTTCATCTCCTTGTCTTCGTCGTCCGCGCCGTTGGGGCGCGCGTGGGCGCCATCGACGTCCATGGCATCTTCGCGGTCGCCGTTTGTCTGGGGCGCGTCATCGTTCTTGAGACCACTGTAGGGCTCGTCCTCGGCCTCGTCGCCCGAGCTGGCAAAGTCGTTGAGCAGGTCCTCTGCGACCGTCGACATGATGGTACGTAGTGTGTGATGCGCAGTTGGGAAAGGTGACAGGAAAGATTGATGGCGGGATGCACCAGGCGTGGAAGGTGAGGCAAGGTCAGGTACTTTTCGGCTGGGGTGCCTTATCGATAAGGCCAGCGGACGACGAGGCTCCGGCCGGATCGCGTCGCCCAAAAATCATCCATCACCAGAGCCACCACCACAACCACCACCGACAAATACCCATCCCCCCACGCGCATCATACCGGTGCACGCACCCATCATGGAGCTCTCAAGAGGCCCTCCGCGGGTCAAGAACAAGGCCGCAGCGCCTGTCCAGATTTCCGCCGAGCAGCTTCTCCGCGAGGCTGTCGACCGCCAGGACACTGGCCTCCAGGCCCCGACAACACGCTTCGCCGATCTCGAGGAGCTGCACGAATTCCAGGGCCGCAAGCGCAAGGAGTTTGAGGACTATGTTCGACGAAATGCACTCAATCTCAACAACTGGATGCGCTACGCTGCGTGGGAGCTGGAGCAGAAGGAGTACGCCCGTGCCCGATCCGTCTTTGAGCGAGCGCTGGACTCGCATCCCAACTCGGTGCAGCTATGGATCCGGTACATTGAGGCGGAGATGAAGAGCAGGAACATTAACCACGCGCGGAACCTCCTGGACCGTGCCGTGGCCCGATTGCCGCGCGTCGACAAGCTGTGGTACAAGTACGTCTACATGGAGGAGATGCTGGGCAACATCCCGGGCACGCGCCAGGTCTTCGATCGCTGGATGCAGTGGCGACCCGACGAGGCGGCGTGGAGCGCCTATATCAAGCTGGAGAAGCGCTACGGCGAGTTTGACCGGGCGCGCGACATCTTCCGGACGTTCACCCTGGTGCATCCAGAGCCGAGGAACTGGATCAAGTGGGCCAAGTTTGAGGAGGAGAACGGCACGAGCGACCAGGTGCGCGACGTGTTTGGCGATGCCGTCGAGGCGCTGGGCGACGACTTTGTGGACGAGCGCCTGTTCATTGCGTACGCGCGTTTCGAGGCCAAGCTCAAGGAGTACGAGCGGGCGCGCGCCATCTACAAGCACGCCCTGGACCGCCTCCCCCGGTCCCGCTCCATGGCCCTGCACAAGGCGTACACGACGTTTGAGAAGCAGTTTGGCGACAGGGACGGCGTGGAGGACGTTGTCCTGTCCAAGAGGCGGCGATACTACGAGGAGCTGGTCAAGGAGAACCCCAAGAACTACGACTCGTGGTTCGACTATGCGGGCCTGGAGGAGTCGTCCCGGGACGCCGATCGCGTGCGGGACGTCTACGAGCGCGCCATTGCGCAGGTGCCCCCGACACAGGAGAAGCGCCACTGGCGGCGGTACATCTACATCTGGATCTTCTACGCGCTCTGGGAGGAGACGGAGGGGGCCGACGTGGAGCGGGCGCGGCAGATCTACCAGACCTGCCTCGGCCTCATCCCGCACAACAAGTTCACTTTTGCCAAGATCTGGCTGCTGGCGGCCCAGTTCGAGATCCGCCAGGGCGAGCTCACGGCGGCGCGGAAGCTGCTGGGGCGGGCCCTGGGCCAGTGCCCCAAGGACAAGCTGTTCCACGGGTACATTGACCTCGAGCGTCGGCTGTTTGAGTTTGTGCGCTGCCGCACGCTGTACGAGAAGCACGTCGAGTTCAACCCGGCCAACGCGACGACGTGGATCCGCTTCGCCGAGCTGGAGCGCGGCCTCGACGACCTCGAGCGCGCGCGGGCCATCTTTGAGCTCGCGACCAGCCAGCCATCGCTCGACATGCCCGAGCTCTTGTGGAAGGCCTACATTGACTTTGAGGAGGAGGAAGGCGAGTACGAGCGCGCGCGCGACCTGTATGAGCGCCTGCTCGACAAGACAGACCACGTCAAGGTCTGGATCAGCTATGCCCACTTTGAGATCAACATTCCCGAGGACGACGAGGCAGACGAAGAAGAAGAAGAAGAGGAGGAAGCACCCGTCAGCGAGGAGGCCAAGGCGCGCGCGCGCAAGGTCTTTACGCGCGCGCACAACCGCCTGCGCGATGCCGACCTCAAGGAGGAGCGTGTCACGCTGCTCAACGCCTGGCTGGCGTTTGAGCGTACGCACGGCACGGAGGAGGACGTGGAGGGCGTGCAGAAGCAGATGCCGCGCAAGGTCAAGAAGAGGCGGCGGGGCGAGGACGGGGACAGCTGGGAGGAGTACTTTGACTACGTCTTCCCGGCGGACGACCAGCAGGCCAAGGGCATGGCGAGCATCATGGCCATGGCGCAGAAGTGGAAGCAGAGCGGGGGGGAGGTGTCGTGAGGGGTGGGCTGGGCTTATCGTTAGTCTAGAGAGGATGAAGCGTGTATGTTCAACAGCTCAGCATATCCTGCGTTTATCGTCTTGCCTCCCCAGTTCTAACATGGTGTGATGATGTCTGTGATGGCGCAGTGGAGGAGGGAGTGAGTGAGTGAGCCGACAACGCGGACGGATCGCGCCGCCCACGACTGGGAACCGCGAGACCGCGATCAGGGGTCCAATACTATGAGTCCAATCGCAAGAAGCTAAGCTACTTGATTTGCTCCTAAATAACCAGCCAACACATCCATCCACACCCGGGACAAGTTGAGAACCTGGAAGCCCAGAGGAGCATGTGGCATGACATCATCCCGGCCGACTCCCTCCCACTGGACGCACACCGCATTCCACGATAAGGTACGGAGTACCTAACACAGTATCGCTAGATCTCAACATAAGAAGCCAGTCAGTCCAAGTACCAGGCCGTCATATCATCAATTCGTATCGTTACGTGTCGTGACTCTTGTCTACTTTGCCGTTGACCACAACATGGCCAAGACGCAACAGCTCCCCCCCCCTTCCCCCCGTTTATATCCCACGAGAACAAATCCAAACATGAACCACACCCCGGCACCGCCAAGCGGACGGACGAGGCACCGTCCTGCCCCTCCCTACGTTCGGAGTACATCGAATCGAGATCCCTCCTCCTCTTGATGCAGCACCCTCGGGATCGGAGAACGTCTAGCGCACCCCAAGCCACTGATGCTTGCCCGCCGCCCCCTTTCCTTGTTTCACGATGCCCATTCCTTTTTGTCGTGCCGCATATGCTGCACGATCCCGTGTCGTCGTGACACGTCCCTCCAATCGACCATAGCCCTAGGGCAGACAGGGGTTGGTTTGCTTAGTAGCGGCGATCTGTGAACAATGTAGATTCTCATTAGTTATCAGTACAGTAGCAGAGAGGGATAAGAAGAAAGGGCAAGCAGAAGAAGAAGAGGTCAATGGATGGATGCATCGCAGTCGTCGCCACAGCCAGTCACCGTCTATCTTGTTTTTTCCTTTTCTGCGCCAGATCCACGCAGTACTTAGTGCACCAGCGCAAATGACCCCCTTTTCCTCGTCCAGGGGACTCCTCCTCATGTCGTGTAATGTCGTTGCTCATCAAAGTCGTCAGGCGTCATGCGTCGGAACTAGGCGAGAACCCGTCTCACCTTGCACGGCCGCTCATGGAGGGCGCGGGCAAGGTGTTGGAACGATACGGATTCCCGTCGTAGTACCACGGCTCGTCGTCGTAGTAGTCATCGTCCGACTCATAGCCGTCGTCGTAGTGGCTTCGTCGGTCGGAGGTCGCCCAGCTGTCCGCCCGTCCGCGAGGGTAGCCGCCAACGCTCTGGTGCCTCTGGCGCCTCTGGAGGCGCTTCTCGTGCCGGCGCGCCTTCTCCTCCTGGAAATGCTTGCACTCGTGCGACATCTCCTTGGCCTGTTTGAGCTCGTCGACGGCGCCCTTGACGCCCATGGCGGCGATGCCGATGGATGCCGCATCCTGCATCATCGCCTTGGTCTTGAGTTTGCGCGCCTCGGCCGGACTCAGACGCCCCTCCCGCACGGCCTTTTGCCGCACGGCTCTCTTCTCCATGCTCTGGTACACCTCATGTGCTGCGTGGACCGTGGCGACGGCTGCGAGACCCGTTTTGAGGATTTGCTTACCTTTCATTTTCTTCGCCTGCTTCTCATCGTCCGACGAGTCTCCTAGGTCCGACTCGGACGTGTAGTCGGACCGGCCCCCTCCCCGTCTGTCCCGGCGTCCGCTGCGGTATGAACGCTCATCGTCGTAGTAGTCGCGCGCTTCACCCCCGCGGCGCGAGCGAGGGGCATCGTCGTACATGTCATCCGAGTAGCGTCGCGCGCGACGCGAGGACACCCGGTCATCAAAGTCGTCCTGCGTGCGACGGCGGTCGTCATCGGCGGCAGCGCCGGCCGCTGCGCTGCCAATGCCCAGCTTGGCCAGGCTGTTGCGAGCCTTGTCCACCACGCTGCGGCTGCGGCTCCGGTTGCGACGGCGGTCAGGCGAGCCATCTCGCGAGTAGTAGTCGTCGTCGTCGTCGCCTCCTCGGCGGCTGCGTGACCGCGACCGCGACTGGTGAGCGTCGTACGCCTTCTTGGCACCGATAGCACCGAGACCGGCGGTGGCGAGGGCGGCCAAGCCAGCGCCGCCACCGCCATCGTGAGAGCGGGAGCGGGAGCGGGCCCGCGAACGTGAGCGGCTGCGTCCTGTGGCCTTGTCTTCCTCAATTTCATCCTTGGAGCCGTTGACGAGGCGGTTGCCGACCAGGCCACCAATGACGGACTGTACCATGCCGAGCTTGCCATGGTCCGCATCCTGCGCCGCGTCGACGGTGGCTGCGCCGGCCGCAGCCGTCATGACGCGCTTGGCCTTCTCGCCCTTCCAGCTGCCAGGCTCCCTGGAGACGCGGAAGGCCTCGGTGGCGCCGGCCAACAGAGACGCCATGGCTGCCTTTTGCATCTTGTTGGCGCCGTCGCCGCGAGAGCGCGAGCGGGACCTCGAGCCCCGACGGCTGCGTGTGTCGGACCGGTCGTCCTTATCGCCGCCCCCCGTCAGAGACTTGACGGCGGCGCCGAGGCCGGTGGCCGCCAGGGCGCTCTCCAGGAAGTTCTTGTTGCCCTTCTTGTCGTCGTCGTCGTCCGAGTAGTATTCGCTCACATGGCCGTCGCGGCCACGGTGCAGGATGTAGGTCGCTTTCTGGTCCTTCTTGGCCTGCTGCTTGTTGTAGAACTCGGCGCCCTGGTAGGCGGCAAAGGCACCGACACCAGCGAGGGCCGCGGACGAGAGCATGTTGCGCTGGACGTCGCTCCTCTCCTCCTTAGCCTCGTGTCGGTCGTAGAGTTCCTTTCCACCGGCCAGCAGGGCAGCACCGGCGACGGCCGCCATGATCTTCTCCTCCTTGGACATGGCCTTGTGCTTGGACTTGCGCTCGCGGCCCCCCTCCTCGTAGTAGGAGGGCGTGCGGCTGCCCATGCCCCGGCGCGAGCGACGGTCGTAGTCGCGGTCTCGGCGGTAGTCATCGTAGTAGTCATCGTCGTAGTACGGCTCGGCCGAGCGGGCTCGCCGAATGTCGCGGCTGCCGGAGGGTGGCGGGAACTCCCTGCGGATCTCCTCGACGGAGAGGTCACTGTCCTCACGGCGAGGCTCGCGTGGGACAAGCTCGCGGTGCGATGTGCGCCATTCGCGGGTCTCGAGATAGCGAGGGTCACGCTCTTCGCGGCGCTCCTCGCGAACGTACCGGCGGGGATAGTCCCGCTCGTACTCGTAAGCTGACATCCGATGTGGCGTTCTAGTTCGTGGTGTCCAGATATGTTCTTTGTAGATGTGTACGGTATATACGTACGTACGTAGGTGCTTGCTTGGTTGAAAGGAGACGGTCGGTGTAGAAACGCAACGACGATCAAGTAAGTCTGATTGCGGGCTATGCAAGAGAGAGAAATGATGCAAGCAACCCTTTGGAATATGTCGAGCAGGATGACTGCACTGGACTGGAAAGAGGGCAGCGCCAGGCCCAGGCCCCAGCTATGGTAGTCTCGGTAGACTAGACCAGGGTAGATGCAGGTCAGGAGGAGGGCTTATTGGCGGGCTGACCCACGCAACGCAAGCAAAGTACATGTACAGGTAAGCAAGGCAATGATGCTGGAAGAAGGAGAGCAGAAAGAAGCACGTCTATGGGTGCCCAACAGAGGCCTGGCTTCCTCCATCAGGGCACTGTCCCCTCTCGCGACAGTAAACCGGGCCGAATGATGCTGGAGTCTTTGCGTGCGAACGGAGAGGCAGAAACTCCGAGGCCAGAATGATGACTTTGACGGGCGAAGCGGGGCAGCAACGACGTAATGCGAGCCACTTGGACCGATGCGAGACTGGCCATGGACCAACGACGAGGGCGAGTGACCTCTCCAGCCTCCTTCCCTGCACCTGTACCAGTACGTGCGTTTGTAGGCGCCCTTTGCTGAGACAGAAGAGTCTCGATGCTCTCTCTGTCGTGAGGTGCCCGGCATTCCCCTGCTGGCCTGCATCCACACGCCTCTCAGCATGTCAATATTGGGCACACTGTCCGTCGGGACCAAGTTCGAACGAGTCTTGTTGGGCCGTGATCACGGCCATTGGGCATGGCGCATTGGGCGCGAAGCCGGCGCGGTCGCAGCCTCGCAGGGACTGCGGCGGTATAATTCAGCCTGGACCGTGTATTACGTGCCGTTGTGCCACAGACTGACTGGCTGCAGTAGTTCTTGACATGGCATTCATCAATCGGCAGCGCGAATGTGAAGAACTTGCATCACTACCTCTGCCCAGCCAGTTCCCAGGCGTCTTAAACGGCTGCGCCACAGCTGACCCCGCCCAGCCACACTTTATGACATCACATACCAGGTGCCTGGGGCCACCTCACCTGTGAGATTGCAAGCCAGAAGCTGCCAGTGCCAAGCTTTCCGAGAGCTGCCTTTCTGGGCTGCAACTTACGTGGCGAGCATTTGACTCTGACGACTCCGTCAAGTCTGATGATCATCACCACGGACGGGGCAGATACTTGAACAGGCTGCCGCTCAAAGGATCCTCCCTCTCCTCTCCTCTCCTTCCCACATTGACATGACAGGAAGCCCAGCATAGTACATGTACGTCCCTGACTGGCACAGCCAAGTGGTCCGACTGTGCGCACGGCGTGAAAGACCCTCAACCCAGGCCCAGGCGTCCAGGCCACTGCAGCCGGTAAATACTCTCCAGCCCGCACTGCGATGTGCCGTTTCAGAGTCTTCGCTGCCGTAAAGTATACCTTGCAGCCTTCCTTTCTCAGCGAATCCCCACGGTAACCAATGCACATCCCCTCCACGCAATTCGTTCGTGAGGGCGATCGCTGGGGCGCTAGCACCGCCCGTCCAAGTCCCGGCCAGCCAACAACAGGACACACGTCCTACGCTCGGCTTCCGACGTTGCAACAACAGACAGGTCCTCGTATATATGAATAGCAGTGCTTGTCCACATAGCGTGTGCTCCCTGCTTCCCATGTTCATCTCACACGACTAACGTTTTGTGCTCTCGCTACCTTATCTGCTATTGTATCCCCATCCACCCACTTCCGTGTCGAGGACGTACACTACCCCAGATCTTGGACCCTGAATTCACGTATACAACCACCACACGCATTCAACGTCACTCATCATGCGTTCCGCTCTCTTCGCTACTGCCTCCTTGGCTCTGACAGCCTCGGCTTCCAAGATCAAGTAGGTATCCCTCGAAATGGGTACCCATCCACCTTCAACCTCTTCAAGCTGACAGTCGTTCCATCTCCCAGGCGCCAGGGCGAGTTCACCCTCCCCGTCGAGCCAAAGACATGGACCTCGGACGGCGTCGTCCACACCGGCCTCCCCCTCGGCACCTTCACAGAGACCAACACCAACACAGATGTTTACGTCCCTTCCATGCCACTCGAGACACCCACCACCATGTCAGAGGACACTCCGTAAGTCCCACACATCTATCCATCCATCCCAATCCACCAGTCCCCAATGCGCTGACATGACCAATCCAACAAGGATCGTAACCGTCACCACCCCTGCAGAGACAGTCACCTTCACGACGCCCATTGGCAGCAGCAGCGGCACCACCGTCACCGAGACGGACGCCGCTACGGAGACCGAGTCGCCCACCGAGACTGACGAGGACGGCAACCCTGTCGAGACGGACGGCGGTGATGACGAGGACCAACCCGGCGCAGCAGCCCTCGCCAGGCCCTTTGCCGGTGCTCTTGGCGCCATTGCTGCTGTCGGCATCGCCATGGCCCTGTGAGGCACTCAGCAACGTAGTAATAGGCACCAACATGGGCCAACCACTGGAATAAAATAGGAACAAGGAGGGGCACCTGGAGGAGTTCACTCATTTCCCGCTGTGTTAATTAGCATCCAAATCATATAGCTTTGAGTTACAATTGGCTTCTCATGTACGAGTTGACACAATTCACACATATCCACTCGTCGTCGTGCACATGTCTTGTTACACTATGTAATAGTCTTTATTTCTTTTATGTACCGCAAAACCAAATGGTAAATCAAAACGCGGAATCCCCTTGTGCCTGAACTGACTGGACCCCCTGTGCCTCGGTATTCGTACAATGTCTCTCGCTGAGTATGATAGACGGGGAGAGAAAAGAAAGGGGGGAGGATGCCGGCCAGAGAGAGAGAAGGAAGGGAAATCATTGTCCATCATCTATGTGCAATTGCAATGCATAGTAACCAAGCCTGAGAAAGAGAAAGAGGAACAGCCTTTCCGATCCTCTGGAAGAAATTCAACAAGCAGGAAATGCCACTTTTTTTGGGGGGTTTGTTGGAGTAGAAGCCCTGGTTGATGCATCCGAGACAGAAAGGTCCCTCCTCGCACAAGAGTTGATGCTTTCCAACAATAATCCGCCCTTTTTGTTTTTGCTGGTCTGAAAATTTTGAACTCCGGTGATGGAATAGGCCATCATGGATGTCTGCGGAAAAGAAATGGAAAGTCTAGCATGGCGGCCGTAAGCACGCACTCGGCCAATGCTGGGATGTTGACAGAAGCATCGGTGAAGCAACCAAGCAGCATTGATCAAGAGGTCAAGAACAGACGCATAATAGGCTGTAACGGCAGACAAATTCTCAAGCCAAGCGCCGTGCATGCTCTTCTCAATCGCCCGTTTTCTTCCCCTGTTCCATACGCTGTAAGCCTCGTCCACATGGAGACCATCTGTTCCCTCTCGGGAACAGACAGCTCCATGCGTCAGCTGACAGCGTCCAGTTCTGCGCTCTGACAACCAAGTCACCGTGGCAGCTCGGTCTGTGTCAAAGTTCCGGGCCCATCCTGGTCGTGCAGTGTCCATTGTGTGAGCACACGCGCTCTCAAAAGTGGCCCATATATCGTCATTTTTCCCGAATCGCTGAAATTAAAAGCAATACCAGTTGTCCAGCATGTACACGAAGCTCGTGCAGACGGACACGGCCCGCCAAACCCGTCGCGGCGCTGGTATCATGTCGTTCGTTCGTGTGGTGTGGTCTGGTCGCCATGATCACAAGTCCAAGACCGTACTTTCCGCCCATATGTCACAAAATGCCGCTGCAAGAACGAATTGAAAGTAGATGTACGGCCAAAGTTGCTTCGTGAGAGTCTGCAAAGTCACCCTCAATGTATCACACCGCAAGGCGAGACAACGCTCATGAGAGCCCGGCGGCTTGGGCGTTGTCATCGTGGGCAACACCATTGACGGCGGCAGCCGACACGTGCCCGTTCGGCAGTCCGGCAGCTTGAGCGGGTGCAAAGTCGGGGACCTCGGCAGAGAGCTGCGTGGCAGCCCCGTTTCCGTTGGGCATGCCGTTCGCCATGTTGTAGCTCTGCGCATCGGCGAAATGCTGGTGGTACTCTTGCTGCGAGCCCATGCCGTAAGGTGACTGCATCCCGTTGAACTGACCCTGCTGGGGGTACTGGTAGGCACGGCTCTTGTAGGTGACCTTGGCTGGGCCATCCGTGCGGGCCAGCTCGTCGCGCTCTTGCGTCGGAAGGACCCAGGTCTGCCACCCGTCGCGACGGCGAAGACGTTCAGTACCATCCGGCTCGATGATGTAGTCAATGACTTCTGACGTCTCGCAGACAGCGCGCACAATCGAGATGTCCGAGGCAATCTCCCGCATGCGCTTGAATGCAGTGATGAAGAGGAGCGGGACGTAGCCTTGCCCGTCCATATGCCTGCGCAAGAAAACATCCTTGCACAGGTTTTCAATTGAGAAATAGTACTCGATCTGCTTCATCAGCACGCCGGCGAGCATGGGGTCCACGTATGGCGTCTGCGGGTAGGCCACGGCGGACATGGGCATCTGGTAGTCATAAGGAGCGTAGTGCGTCTGCACAGGAGGAAGACGAGTACCACCGTTGGGAAGCGACATGCGGTGATAGTTGCTACCACCACGCGCGCCACGGCCGCCGCGCGACGCGGATGGCATGTACATCTGACCCTGGCCGTGTCCATTGCGAAGAGGAGGGCTATAAGGGCCGGATGTCCGACCAGCCACGTTCCCGTTGGAGAACGACGCACCCGCAGCGTTCGACGTGCTCTGGTGCTGTGAGTGTCCGTTCACGTTGTGGTGACCACCCCGACCACGGTATCCACCACGGCCGCGCTCACTGCGCGGTTCGCGAGCGGCAGGCTGTTGCTCCTACATCAAATTAGTATTGCAAACGAGAAATTGAGATATTGGACACTTACTGTTTGCTGGCTTGATGCGATGTCCTTAACACGGTCTCCGGCGGTGTTGTGGGCAGGCTTGCGCTGCTCGCCGCGAGCCGGAGCACCTTCAGCGGGGGCACGCTTGCTGGCGGGTGGCTGGGAGGAGTTGCGACCACCAGCGCTAGATGCCTCCCTGGTGCGATCTCTTGTCTCGGTGGACTTGGTCGGTGTAGTAGCGGTGGCCTTCTCACCAGCCTGAGCCGCAGTGGAGGACCTGCTGCTACCAGTGCCCTTGGCGCCGCCACGAGGCTTGGAGCCGCGCATCTGCGGGAGCTGCGTCTCAAACGCAACTGTTGGCACGTAATCGTACTTGACCCACTCGTTCTTCTGGCGAGGCTTTGGTGCGCTCTCGTCCTTGACTTCCTTGTCGGCAGCCTTTTCAGCTGCCTTCTTCGGCTCCTCAGAGGTGGCAGTCTCGGGCGTTGGCCAAGAGACGGCATCAGCTACCGACGGAGGGACACCGGCCTTAGGGTCACGAATCTCACGGATAGGAACCCGGTTGCCACGGCTGCCGTTGCGCTCCGACTTCTCAGCAGGGCGCGGCGCAGGCTTGACTCCGTTGGCATCGGAGAAAGTGGTCTTGGTATTGCTGCTGTTGTTTGCAGCGGGTTTGGGGTCGGCATTCTGGTCAATGGGCGCAGAGCTTGCCGTGGCTGGCGTCTCCGACTTTGGTTTGACCTGCGCAGCTTTCCTTTGCTGCCAGATGTTGACTGTGGGGATGGGTGCCTCGGAGAGTTCGACCTTGGGTGCCTCGGGCTCGTCTTTGCTCTGCTCTGAGCTGGGAGTCGCATCGCCGGCCTGCTTCTCTGATGGCTTGCCTTTCCTGCCTTTGCGCTGCCTCCTCGAATCCTGCTCATCGACTGAGCGGGTAGCCGCGCTAGACGATCGCGCACTCTTCTCTGCCTGTCTCCAAGGCTGATCTAACCGGCTGACCTCTCCATCGCGCTTTGCCTCTGGGCGCTTCTCGGGGGCGGACTCGGTCGTCTGGGTCTCGCTAACGGCGGAAACGCTCTCATTATCATGCCTCTCGGCGCTGGTTGTGGAGGTATCGGTAGACGGCGCTGAGTGTGCCGTTTGGCTGGAGGGCTCTTCCAAGGTGGAGGGTTTCTCCTCGACCGGAGCACTGGGAGCGTCGTTTGTTCCGTTCATTTCTGAGGTAGCCGACTGATTCGCGGCTTGGGTTTGCGCTGGTGTGCCCTGGCCTTTCGCGGCTTGAGCATATGAAAACGAGGATGCAGAAGCCATCTCGGAAGTGGATGAGCCAAAGCTCATTTCAAAAGGGGTATCGAAAGGTGTTGTGGTAGAAATTTTTGGTCGTGTGTGCGAATAAGAACCAATCGTCCGAACTCAAAACCAGACCGAAGACGGATCCGAAATATTCCGCGAAGAGCTCGAGTGCCCTGAAGACCCGGGTTCGAGCTCGAGGAGGAGAAGGTTCGAGTCTGCGTGTGCGGAATCGAGTTGAGTTGTTTAGATGCGCAAGGCGTGAACAAATTTCGCGATGTCGGTCTCGCTGTACGGCTTGGGAAACCTAGACTCTCGATAGACGGGCCAACTGAGTAAGTACGTAGTATGGTCCAGCTGGTGAATCACGAGTCGGGCAAAGGGATGCGAGCTCGTGGGCGAAGGGAATCGACAGACGCGGTGGTGTTGACGGCTGACTGTGGTATGTAGGTCGACCCGGATGGCACTGCCGGGTACGAATAAGGCAAGTGCCTGCGGTACGCGAGGAGGATCGACTCTGCTGAGGCAAGCGCTCACAAACAGAGGCAGGAGCAAAATGGCACAAGCAGACCGGATGTCGCTATTGTTAACAGTGGGCGCACTGGCAGCTGTGGCCGTGAGGCAAACAGCTTGGTTGGTGGTTGGTTTGGGGGGAGGGGACTGGAGACCTCGGTGAAGTTGATGCAGCAGGTTGCGTGCGTGGTCGCTTGTCCTCGCCAAGTATTCACTTGTAGGAGGGGGTCGCGAAAGGAGGCGTGGTGAGCCGGATTGCGCAACTGGGGTTATGACAAAGCTGTCAAAGGGCCAGTCGGTGATGCGTACTCGAGAAAAGTGACCTGAGCAAGGAGTCAGGCAGAAGGAAAGAGAGGGTTGATGTCGGGTAGGGTTCAGTGGGAAAAAATCCAAAGGGACCCGACTGACGAAAATGAATCCCGGAGGTTATTTAATTTTGCGCTCTCGGGCAGGGCAGAGTGCGGGCAGAGTGCGGTTGTGTGTGGGTAGCAGTACGTAGTAGTATCCGTAGTTGCGGCGGTTTGGGTGTGGATAATAATTGAGCGAGTCTTCAGCGTCCTTTTTATCTTCTCAGGTCCAGTCCTGCTGGCCAACTCACTTTTTTATTTGACTTTGGTGCACATTTATGTTTGTGTGTCGAGGGTCTTCATCACCGCTGGAACAGACCGCGGAATCGCACATTGATCTTTGGCCACGCATCACAAAAGTTGGAGGTGTAATTAATTCGCAGTGACCGGAAGCGGCCTAATCAATGTCTAATGGGGGATGGATGACCATACATGATACAGGCAGGCCGCGGGCAGCCTCG